CCCCCCCAAACTCCCCGACGATAGTCATCATCGCTGCGCGCACAACGTGGTGGCCACCGTGGGAATAGGAAAATTCTAATTCAGGCGCGCCACAATGGCCCTCTTATTGAAATGCAAGGCCTGGGTTATTGACATGCCTCTGCGGTGTAAACACGGAGCAGCAGCCCTCGGAGATGCCGTCGCGTTTCATATGCATTAAAAGTCTTGCCATGCCCTGCCATGTCCTGCCTGTCTTGCCGGATGCTACCTCGCTGCCTTCTGGGCTGCTGCTTCTCCCGCTGTTCCTGACTCGCCATGTCGGTGCCCTTGTTGGAGACTGAGTCTTGGACGACTTGGGCGATGCGTCTTCCCTCGGATATTCGTGCGCCCCTGACCGCCGATAATGTCGATGACCATAGCGGGCTTGTCGTTGTGATTACCTCGTTCTATATCGTCCTGACGTTATCCTCGCTAGCCGCCCGGCTCTTTTCGTCGCATAGGAAGCAGGTTGTCCAGCGGGATGACTACGCCTTTGCTGCTCTTGTGGTAGGTGTCGCTCCACACTTGCCTGCTATACTGCTGACATGACTCGGCCAGATCCTGGCTTTTGCTCAAGCGTCGGTGGTCCTAGCTCAGGTTCACTATGGATGGGGGCGCCAGATCGACTTTATCCCAGCTGGTTATCTCGATCGAATGCTCAAAGTACCATCCTACCCCACTCGGCCTCTCTAACGTCCAGCCTTACTTACCTTTTCAGACCGGCTACGCCGCTGACATCCTCTCCATCGCCACCCTCGCCCTCTCCAAGATTGTAACATGCATCTTCTACGAGTCTCTCTTCTACCAAATGCAGCGGCGCTTCATCCGATCGATCCTCATCCTCACAGTAACCTGGACAATAATGTCAATACTCCTCCTCGCAATACGGTGCGACGCCCGTCCATGGACGGATATCAGTTCAGAGCAATGCAGCGGACTAGTAAGTCGAGAATTCTCAACTGTGCAAAACGGATGTATTGGTCTAACGCTACAGTTCCGCCGCTGGCAAGCCATCACAGCGCTCGATGTCGTCACTGAAGTCTCGTTGTTGGTTTATTCGGCGATGGCCATGTCCCAGGTGAAGGTTTCGTTGCACAAGAAACTCTTGGTCATTTTGGCCCTGGGGTGTCGGATTGTGTACGTCCAATCTCTACCTTGTCCAAACCAGTATAGAACAGAAGAGAACCCAGGCTAACGCTATGCTGTATTCTAATATGAACAGCCTCGTCCCCCTCTCCGCCCTCCGCCTGCACTACACGAACCTCCAACTAACCAGCGACTCCCCCACGCTCCTCGGCGCATACGCCACAACCGCAGCGGAAATCTACCTGTCGCTCAGCATAATCTGCCAAATCACCTCGTCGCTGAAATTCATCATCGCAGTCTACGAGGATAAAGACGGGATCTCCTATACGGATGGGTCGCGGCAGTCGCACTCGGGGTATAGATCCAAAAGCGGCTTGTCGACGGATTTGAGTTCGCAGTCACATAATGCACGGGCTTATACGACCCGACGGGCGTCGAGGCCTATAGATATAGATGGGGAGGGTTTGGATGACTTGGAGGCGTTGGCGGGGACACGGACGGGTGGGAGTGCGTGTGGGGCTGGAGCGCTGAAGATTTTCAGGACAATGCAGTTCAAGGTGCAGGATGAGGCTATCGAGTTGGATGATCGGGGAAGGGAGGTCGAGGGGACGGGCGCAGGGATACCGCCTCTGGGGTAATAGTTGTTGATGCATCTCCCATCTTATATCCGACACGCCAGTATATACTAATGAAGTCCAATTAAGAGCTAATGTCACGACTCTTACGAAGCCTGCCAGGTGAACAACCACAGTTTCTACTCTTGGTGTTGCATTTTCCTAGGAATAGCAGCGATTTTCTCATTGATAGCTGGGAAGCCTCGTCGCATCTGCCCTTCGTTACATCGCGCAGGCCAGAAAGAAATAGGACCAATCTTGCACCACCTGGGCCACGCTACTGAGGCGCTCCTGTCATGAAGGGACACGCAAGGGGGCTACGGAGTCTGCTCTCGTGGCTGATCTCGGGTACGCACGCCGCCACCATCGTTGGGGGCGAGGAATGTTATATCGTGCGTGGGATCGCCCACCTGCACTAGAATGCCACACTGCAACCCCATGCTGGCAACTCTCCGTCGATGACTCATGTACTTGATGTAGCATCTCCAAGCCAGAACAACGTAGCCCCATGTACACTTTGAGCCGCAACGACCCTCCATCGGTTCCGCTGAATTATATCTTCACATCAATAAATCCCAGCTACACCTGCAATCATACGCATCAGGAGCAGATACGAACAAAATGCAGTGTAGATCTTGTTTTTCCGGTTTTTTTTTTTTTATTAGCAGTCCATCTCGCTGAACTGATGCTTTTGGTATTAAGTATTATTTGAATCATACACTCGGAGATATCATACGGATACACCCCGAACAAGAAGCCACAAAAATGATCGTAGTAGTACATAGTTGACGACACGGTCATTTCGTTCCGGGTCTAAAAGCAGCAGCAATGCAAATCTGGTTCTCGCCTTGCACTTGCTGTCCTGGGGGATAGCGGATCAACGCCTTCATGTTCCGGCCGTTGACCTCGAGTTCTAAACTGTAGTCAACCACATAGTACTCCTTGCCTTTGTCGTTTATCTTTGGTTGGATCAGGTGTTCTCGCAGGAAGTCCAGGCTGGCCTCGACGACGCCCGCTTCGCGATGCCCTGCCTCATATTAGCCGCTAATGCAGGTTACGTTCAGGCAGGTGTTGACCAACCACTATTGCGCCAGTGGTCCTTTTCATAGTGTGGATGGACCATTTGGTCCGAGAAGTACAAGGTCTCGTAGGCAGCCATCTCGGCATCCACATCAAAGACCCGGTGCATGAGGATGCTCGCGTTTTTGCCCTCACCCAGGACACAATCCTGGTTTATTGTTAGCGATTGTTCATTCGTCAAACTCAGCAAAATATATAAGCCAGCGACGTACCTTCCTTATTGCCCACTCAATGCACTCCTTGACGTATTTCTTGCCGTTGAGCGGATGGTAAAAGGGCTGGCTGGCACGGTGTCCCCAAAACCTGGGGTTGTATTCCTCGGTCACGCAAACCCCCAGGTTCAGTCGCAGCTTGCGGCGAGGGCCATCGTCTTTGTTCAACGCCCTGAGCAAGCCACCACGCGAGACAGCATTCTCCATGGGCCTTTGGCAGTCGTCAGTCATGGCCCTCTCTGGCCTTGAAAAGACATCATACTTACACATCATCCTCTGGTTCCACGATTTGCAATGTCGTAAACTCGCTCTGCAGGCGTTTGCGGAGCGCCGGTGAGCGCGAAAATCCACCAACAAGCAAAAGAGTCTGTCAACAGTCATCCACGGAGCATGGAACGATAAGCTGCCTTAGTAGCGCGGGCCGTACCTTGACACCCCCCGCCTCTGCCTGTCGTAATTGTTCCCGGATCAGTGATACGGTCCCTGTGATGCTTCTCTCAAAATAGCTGTTCATCTGCTCCCTTTCCAAAGCGAGTTAGCTCTCAGCTCGTGGTGCAGTGAACTCGGACCTACTTTGGTACCAACAGCAGCCCCTGGCCAAAGTTTCTGGACGGGTCAGCCTTCAGCCCCAATAAGCGAAGCTTCACGCAGTCACCATCCTCAAGGTCATCCGGGTTGTATCTTCGCTTCACCTCGTACTCGAACTCGCGTAAGAGATCAGTTTCGATTGCAGCGTCCTTGGAGTACTCCGTGTCGCTTCCCAAATCGACATCTGCTAGCCTGCGTCTGGAGTCTCTGGCCAGGGCTTGGTTGATGTAGCTGGAACCACAGTCCTTTCCTAGATTCACGACAATCAATAATCAATGAATGAATGGCAACAGCTCGCACCGGGTGAGTCATACCGGTGGGGGTTGTTATTTCATCGAACCGAAAGGGATCTGTCTGCCGCACACGGTACGTGATCACATCCTACCACGGGGAAATTGAAGGGTCAGCTAGCCATCAATACGAAGGGGGGGGGGCAAGAGAAAACACATACGACAGTGCCACCTCCAGCGTCGCAAACAATAAAGTCGGAACCTTCCTTCATGTTCGGGGGGGCTCAGCATCGGCAAGATTTCACCATCGAGTGGGCCCTCTGCACGCACCTTGAATATGCGATCATCGCCGAATGTATCGCGTCGCAGGGCAAAGGTCACAGCAGCCTCCGGTTCGTCAAGAATGAACAGCGAGAAGTTTCTCCCTTGCATATCGGTGGCAGCGGTGACTTCGAGGGCGATCTCCTGCATCGTGAGGTGGGCATAGGTAGACCACTTGGACGGGACACACACAGTGCGAGCTCGACCTCCCAGGACTGGGTAAACCCTTCAGATCGTTCCAGCACTCTGCGCGCATGCATAAACACATGCATGAGGTAGTCTGTGACTGCCTCTCTTGCCGTTCTGCCCACAGTGCGCAGCGCATTCTTGATCTCGAGCAAAGGGTCGCTCAAAGATGCTTCTTCTTCTTGTTCGTCAAGAAGTAGCTTGGCCAGCCGAACAATCCGGTTTGTCGAACTCGCATCTTCCTCTTTCGACATGGACCGCAGTTTCTGCTGCACAGTGTATCCCCAGAGATATTCTCCATCCCGGTACCAGCTCTCGCTCGGCACTCACGCAGTCAGGGGATTGAAAAACCCGGGGGTTTGTGGCCAGTCTCGCACGGATCGGACGCTGCGGAGACCAATGTCGACTGGGGTTTCGTCGGGGTCCAGCACGATGTAGGATATGGAAGTGAACGCCGTCCCGTAGTCGAGGCACATGAGCAGCTTCTGGTTGGAGTTTCTGCTCCGGGCCGCAGGGGGGTTCGGGTCGGCCCGTAAGGGGATGCTCCGCCCGTAGCCTGCGCGTTCTCCATTGTTACTCGACGCGGTAGTCGAATGCGTGGCGTGCGTGAGTTTCCGTCACACTCGGCGGGGAGGGTTCGTTCGTTGGCTCATCTTGAGCACATTTGTTGCTCCATGTCAAGTGTCTGAAGTCGACAAACCAGATCGGAGACCAGCAAAACAAAAATCTGTGGGCGGTTACACTCCATGCCTAAAAGGGACTTGTTGTTTGATTACGGCGCGGTCACCAGGCACACCGCGAGGCTGGCACATACCCATAGGCAGCAATGGCCCTGATTTGTGCAAATCTGCCTTGGCTGTCTGGTTTGTAGCAAGCTAGCAGGGGTCCGCGTTTGTCGCAGTTGAGATGATAGGTCGGTGCCAAGGGGCTCAGGCCCCAGGGGCTGAGCGCAAAATTGATCTATCGATCGTTTCCATTCGTTTTTCCAACTCGTGCTTTTGTTTTCTTGTTTTTACTCGCCGCGCCGCAGATCCAGATTCGCATGGCCTCCTTCTCCTTCCCAGGCTTTCTGAGCCCTTCTTCGCCGTTCCATGGCTAATGGGTGACCAGCAGGCACCTCGGAAGCACGCTCGCATAGATGGCTACTAGTCGGCCCCCTGCTGGGCGGAAGCTGCAGCCCAAACCCTCTCTCGCCCTCACGCAGAACCACATTCCCCGTCATGTCGAGCGCAAAAGGAAACCGCCTGCGCGGTTTAGTAAAGGCGAGCGCGACTTCCAGATCGAGGACGCGTATAAAGCGAGAAAAAGGACTCCGAGACCAGCAGACGCATCAGAGACACAGCAAGCCACGCAAACGGTAAGTGACTTCGCGTATCAACATTTTCCCTGCACATCTGCGAATCAATTACCTCGCTGTCAACGTGGAATGCTAACATTTGGCATTGTCTCATCGCTCTGTAGATCAGGGTTGTTTTGCCCGGTCCGGATCTCGCCTACGAGTCGGACGTCTCGTCGCTCACGGACCTTGAAGACCTTGAGGATATCGAGGACCCGTTTGAAGATACCGCCGACATTTCACACGACGTATATGGACCCGCTGTCAGCGAAGAGGAGCAAAGACGCCCAGAGGGCGGATACCGAGACGCCATATCCGCCTTCCAGGAGAGCCTCAATGCCTTGCAAAGCCGTAATCGCATACTCGAAGATGAAGTGACAAGGTTGACCAAGCAGAACGAGGCGTTGGCTTGTGCCAATGCCTTGGTAACTGAGGTTTCGCCCGCCGATCTCCACGAGAAGAATGAAGAAATCAAAGCACTCCGCCGACGGCTTGCACGGACACTGGATATGGTCGAGTTAGCCCGGCCGTTGTCAGATTGGGAGTCGTTTGCCGAGTCTACGGGCATTATCTACCAGGAGATGCATACTCTGAGTAATTACGTGGCCTACGTAGCGGATCCACTGACCCACATCAGAGTCCAGGACATCCGACGACTCCGTACTGACTACGGGCTCAGCCACGAGGTTGCTAATCTGCTTGCGCGAACAATTGGCACTGTGTCGCTTCTAGCTTTAGACTCCGTATCCGCCTTTAGAGCTCTTATTTTCGGGTTCCTCCAGGAGCACGTTTTCGATGCCCTGGAGCCGTGGAATAGTTTTCATACTGATAGCATTAAGCTGAGGCATTACCAAGAGGTAATAGAGCAAAGCAGTGCGTAACCATCTGAAACAACCCTCATGTTCCCAGCCAGATACTGACCGCTGCTAGTTTCGCCAGATGCCGTCGAAAAATACCATCGCGCAGCGGTTCGCCTCGCGATTACAAGCCGACAGTTCAAGGAAGACTTCCTCCCAAGCCATGTCGAAACCCTCTCCACAAAACTCCTCAAGATGTTCGGTCCATTCATACAGAGAAAAAAGGTTAGCGGACAGCTTCAACGCCAATTGCGGATCCTATTCCGCCACGCTGTGAACCTGCGCGCTGCGTGCTATCCGGGCAAAGGGATCCGCTACCAACTTGTGCAGTTTCTGCCAAACGCTGTATACGACCCAGAGGCCATGGATGCCCAGACCGACGTCGGGAGGCCGGTACATGTTCCCGCGGATGGGCGCCCTCGGCTTATCAAGGTCTGTGTGCATGGGTTGCTCAAGGCACATTCCGTCTCGGAAACAGTGTCTGGAGTCAAACTTGTTGAACGGCTCAGTTGCCCATTTATTTCGGAGGTTTCCTCTGATGGTCAGGTGGTCAGCGAAAAGGCTACCGTTATTTTACAATAGTGACAAAGTCATCCGAGATGACATTGCTTTGGTTTCTTCTAGAAAGCTTGGAGGGCAGGGGGCGTGGGTGTAGAAGAGGGGGCAACCGCCAGTCCAGCGTCTGTGTCGGGGGATGATGTCAATCTTGTGGGCCTGCAGACTCTGCTGGATCAGGGATGAATTTTGATGATCAAGCTCAAGGCAAGATGCGCAAGTTACAGTGCGGATTTACTTCAATTCCAGATTGAAGCTGATGGGGCCAGCAGTCACGCATCAAATCGCCTGTTAATTCGTCGAGCGATGATATGGATTCCCCAGTCCAGCAAACCAGCCAATCATTGATATTTGCGCGCTCCCCACCGGTGGAAACCATGCAGTCTATAATGACGAGCAGCGCCTCTTCCTCTTGCATACAAGGATAGCAGCTTCACTCTACCATCTCCTTAGCTACTCAACATGTCTATACCAATCTCCTCAACCTCTCCGCGACGCCCTGTCAACAATCCTCTCCCACAAATCCTGCCGCCCCTTCATCCGCACTGCCCTCCCGCCCGGAACCCTCGAAACCCTCATCGCGGCAGCGCAAAGAGCCTCGACCTCCTCCCTCCTCCAGACATGGGACGCCATCGCGATCCAAGACCCCGCGCATAAATCCACCATGGCGACACTCGCAGGGGACCAGGGGTTTATCCGCCAGACGCCGCTGTTCCTAGTACTTGTTCCGAATCTCCGGCGGCTGCGGAATCTCGAGGAGCAGTATAAGCCAGGTCAGGATGCGCAGGCGCTGGCGGGGATGGATATGTTCATTATGAGCACGGTTGACGCGGCGCTCGCGGCGCAGAATGTGGCTATTGTGGCCGAGGCCCTTGGGCTGGGTGTATGCTATGTGGGTGCGCTGCAGAATCACGCAGAGGAGGTCTGCAGGCTACTCAACCTGCCTGCGTTAGCATAGGGTGTGTGTGGGATGGCGATTGGGTGGCCCGATACCGGGGACAGGCGCTCGGGGACGCGGCTGAAACCGCGCTTGCCGATCCGGGAGGTGCTGCGTCTGGAGCGCTGGAGTGAGGAGGGGCAGGAGAAAAGGGTCAGGGCATATGATCGGGCCCTTGGGGAATTCTATGTTGATGAGGGCAAGGCTGGGAGGATGGGGTGGGGCGAGTTTGTAGCTGGTAGAGTTGTGCCGTGGGAGCAGGACGGGAGGGAGAGGATCAGGGGGGTTCTTGAGAGGCAGGGATTTAAGCTGAAATAGAGCTAGGTCAACCTACCGTTCTTGGTCGGATTAGATCCAGGGTGTATAGTAAATTGATTCCCATATGGTAATACATAGTCGACGGTCGGGAAACAACCTATTCTTTGGGAAGAACCAGTCCTCGTGTATATTAAGAATTGCCCTACTCGCTCTAACCGGGTACAACATGTCATATACCCTTCTAATCATCTACGTAGCACCTGACAGTCAACACGGAGCCAGGAGGGTGGTCAGCGAACGGGTGTTCGTTATCGATCCTGCCAAAGCCATCGTGGCACATTTGGCTACATCGCGTATTAGCATCGCGAGATCAGATCAGGCCTGCCAGGATAGGGCCGGTCTTGTCCGAGCACAAGGCTGGCAAACATACCTATACAGATAACAGAAAGTCGGAACGGTAAGTGTCTCGACGAGGAGTCGTACCGTGTGGGCGCTGGTCTGCGTTAGTTCAGGATCCAAAGCACATGAGAAGCAGCGCTCTACAGGTGGAGGGTCATCTTACGAAAAAGGAAGAGCCGGGCAAGGCTGATCCTTGGGAAGGACAGAGTCGTCGATGTAGGGCATGTCGACGATTGCGACTCGCGGTGTACGGTGGTCTGCATATAGAGTTTCGTTTATTTCCTGAGGGCGTTAGTGTGAGCAGACCTTTTGATAGCGATAGAAACGTACGAGCTGAACGGCTGTCGCCGCTTGGAGGGAGCTAAGGAGCCCCAGGGATAGGAGGGCTGAGGCCTTCATCGTTGCGATAAGGGTGGTCGATGAAATATCAGTTAGCGAGGGAGGAATCGCATGGATTATATACCAAGAACATAATGTCAGCCCTCTGCTCTTGATTAGGAATCCATCAAAGTCCAGAGTACAGCGCAGGATTATTCCACTTTGATCTCTATTGGCCTCTAATTTCAGGCTCGCTGCAGTGGCTGACTCGCCTGGACAACTGAAAACCAATCAACCTGAGCTCGTGTGAGCCGCTTAAGCAATGCCACTTCATCAGGTGGAGACATCGCATATCGGATCTGAATGTCGTTGGCCGGGTTTTGATGGTCACAAGCCTCATAAGCAGCTTCTAAGACATGCAGAAAGGTGAGACGAATCGGCGAACCGGCCATTTGCGCACCGATTCGGGGCTATTGTGCTATTTGCAGGGTTGACCGGTTAAGCGGATTATCAGAGGATGGTATGTCAACCTTCGAGGCTTTCAAGTATAAATGAGCCCTTGTCAAAAGCGATGCTAAAAATACAGAAAACGAGCTCATGTCGCAATATCAGCCGTCGATGAGCCGTAGTCTCGTCAGGTATGGCACTTTTGGCCCTGTCGCAATCGTCAGTTGTTACTAGAATGAATGCCCGAAAAAGTCAAGCACCCAACATTGCACGACGAGTATAACGAACCCTGATAGTCCAGCATCTCCTTATCGACCACAACCTTGACCTGGCCACCCCCTAGAAACGTAATCTCGACCTCTTGACCTTCTTCCGCTTCAACAACAACCGGCTTAGTCGACGCATATCGCGGAAGATCAAATGGCATAAGACTCAGGGTCCCATGCGGGTCGATTCGTATCTTACCAGAGAGCCGACCGGGGCCGTCCGAAAAGAAGGTGGCTGTTTTCCGGTCATACCCCTGGAATGTCTCTTCCTCGCCAAAGAAGTCGTAGTATTTGCTACAGTAGAGCTCGAACCGGCCGTGCTTGATCGCCCCGATGGGGACGCGTTCGCCCCGTCTAGTCTTGCTCATTAGCGCGGCGAAGGCGAGGCTGATGTGCTCCTCTTGCTTTCGCTCGGGTTTTTGAAGAGCCTTTTTTTCCTTTGTCGAACCATTTATCGGGGTCGTCCTCGTCCTCGTAGGAGCTGGAGTCCGAGTCGGAGTTGAAGTCGTCTTCTTCGGGGGTGTGGTCGTCTTCTTCATCCCACCAGTAATTTCCGTCTGCATCAAATACCCAGGTCTCCTTCTCCTTCTTCTCGTCGTCGCTGGGGATGGTAATTGGATTGTCCTGGTCCCCAGGTGTTGAGCGGCAATTTGATACGACTTTACTATTAATGGTGAAAGGTAGGACATTGGAATATCACCCCCTGGCGTTTCACTGAGTTTGTTTCCGAGTTTTCCGCCGAATATGTTCTTTTCTTTGAAGACTCCATGATCTCCTACGTGCGGTTCTTTTTCGGTGAAAGTACAGGCGAATTTCGCAGTTTGAACCGAATTATCTGCTCCAGATTTAGCAAAAAGTAGTTTCAGCAATATACATCGGACTATATATCTTTGAAAGACACACCTATTAGTATATATCAGCTGGCGTTGTCTCAATGTACGCTGTAGTAGTCCGCTGCCAGTATAGCATCTCTGATATCCGAGCGGACAGTTAGCTTCCTTTAGCGCTATACATTACGGTCTATATAGATTTGAAGTGGTCTATGAACAGCGAAATTGACGAAAATCAGTTAGCCCTTTCAAGACTCTCTAGGCATACGATTAAGCTTTATGTCCAGCTCCACTCCTGCAATGCGGGATAATCTCATTCACATGATCAAGGCTTGCCTTTGTCCTAGGGAGTAATCCTTAGGTCCTAATAGGTCGATCACTACGCTTTCTTTGTTAAGGACAATGGGCATGAAGCGGCATCCATTGTTTTATCCGATCCCTGAAAGGGGAGACACAGATGAACGCCTTGAGATCAAAGCCGGAAGTCAATCTATAATCTTCTTGTTTGTCAGAGTATAAATACAGTCATCATATCTGCCGTGAACCCATCTCACCATCCACCCCATCTCGCCCATCCAAACTAGTGTGCATCTCCAAGTGCACACTCTTTCGAACCAATCCCAACAAAACAGCCAGTCTACAGAAACTCAACTCAGCTCAACAATCACCACAATGCCCCCCTCCAAGTCCCCCTATCCCGGAACAGCCTACCATATCGCCTGGATTTGCAGTACGCAAAGCGACCTAAGCGCAGCCCTAACTCTCCTCGACAAAAACTTCGGCCCACCCGCAGAAGACCGCGAACCCATAGCCGGCGACGCCTGCACCTACACAACCGGCCTGATGGTCGGCCACAAGGTCGTGCTGGTCTGCATGGACGCCGAGCTCCCGCAGCCGTTTACGGCAGATAACATCGTGCATAATATGCGCTATGATTTTCCGAACCTGCGCTTCGCCATGCTCGTCGGTGTTGGGTCTGCGGTCCCCAGGTATGGGCTTGGTTGTGTACGCGATGTCCGGCTGGGCGATGTTGTTGTTGGATGCTTGAAGGGGAGGAAGGAGGGCGTTGTTGTTTACGAGGTGCATAATAACGGGCCTGTTCAGATGAGGACGGTGAATAACCGTCCCAGTTCTGTGACGAAAGCGCTGACTAGGCTCGAGGGCCAACGCGCCCACCTCGGCCGCTACGTTGAACAGTGCGTCGCCTCTTTCCCCCAATATACCCGCCCTCCGCACTCATCTGATCACCTCCCGAAGCTAATGGGCAAAGACGCCTCGAGGATCGCCGCGCGCGCGAATACGGACATCCCCACCGTGCACTTTGGGACAATCGTGAGCGCAAAGCACCCCGATCGTATACCCGTGGAACTCGACGGGCACTGCGTGGAGAGCCAGGCAGCCTCGTTACAGAGCGAGTGGCCGTGCCTTGGTATCCGGGGGATGGTGGATTATTGGGGCGATGGCGGGAATGGTGGTAGGGAGTGGAGAGGGTATGCCCGGGCAAGCGCCGCTGCGTTTGCGAAGCTCTTTTTGCAGGCTGTTAGGGAGGATGAGTTGATGAGGGATCGGATTGTTATTGAGGCGTTGGCTGTTAGGAGGGGGGTCAAGAAGGCATAAATTGCAGGGCATTTTTTTGGAGTTGGGTTTTGGGCTTGTTTTGGCGCTTATGGTACCTCGTATGGGTGCACTAACTACCAGATCAGAAAAATGGAGGTAACCGTTGGGTTTGATATTAGTTTTCTTAATTGTAAAGCAAAGATCTGTGAATTCCCGCTTCGAGTTAGCTTTGCCGTTTCCGGGATAGTCCGCCCGTATGCTGTATTGTTATCGCCGCCGGCCCCTCTGATATACAAGAACTGGGTTGCTGTTTGACCTCACTTTCCTCCAAACTCCTTCTTTTTCCCTTATTCTGCACTCACCCGGTCGCGAACTGTCGTCTCACCTACTCAAACAACGCCAACTGCTTCGCCCCCTTATCTTTGCTCGGAAATAGCGGCTGGGCTTTGTTTCTTGTACCTCCGGTCCTAGATTCTGCCCCGTTTGCTTGGACCGCCTTTTCAGCTGAACTTTTTTTGCTCTCTTATCTATGTTATCCGACGAAATGATTTTTATTCTTTATTCATCTAGCTGCCACTGCTGGAGCGTTGAATTCATTTGAGTCCTCATGTAGCCTATCAGCCTTCTACGGTATCTACCTCTCCAACTTTTTTTACCCTGGATTACCAGCTGAGGCTCAGGAAAGAATAGCAAGAGAATAAATGGCGCATGGAATGGGACTCATCGCGCGAGCGGGTGAAAAAAAAAAGCTTGTAATAAATAAAGATATAATAATTATTATATAAAATGGAATAATAATATAAAGGATCTTGAAACACTTAATAATATCAAAATGGTTAGTAAACTAAACAGGCCGCAATAATATAAATAGCTAACTATCTGGGTCTTACATCTGCCATAGACGCCAGTTGGCGGCCCTCCCTCTAGTGGTCGTACGACTGGGGCGCTCTATGACTGGCTTGGTCGGAAGCACAGGGTCTAGCGTTTCTGGTGCTGTGTCGCTAGGCCGACACACTCAATCTTACCGCCCGGGCCATGAGCATCCACGTCTATTACCCCGGCGATCTGTTCTTGTTCTATAATTGGAGTCTAGTTAGTTCAGTGTACTTCCGTATGTCGCTTGTGTGGATATTTTGTAAACAACAAGGACTGAATCCGACAGAGGACGTCCTCATCAAAGGCAATGTCATCGGGCTACGCCCCAATTACCCTCGTCATTTTGGTCAACTATTCTTCGCGGGGCCATTCTGGCCTGATTGGAAAAATGTACCTGCCATCAAAGGTGGTTTTTTGTAATGATATTCGGTAATACACCCCCTAGCACAAAACTCACCGCAGGAGCGAGGCGATGAAAGGCCCGTTCTAGCGGGATAAAGTAGCCTTGAAAATCTTCGGCCGACTCAAGGTTGGCCTTGAGATTATTAAAGCAGAGCCAACGCTGGTTATTAAACCCGCAGCGGTAGGCTTCGTGCAGAAGAAGTCCTATCTAGGTGCAAGCTCTAATCTGGCACCCAGTGCTCAAGTCCCTTAAAGTGTATATATCCTCATAATTTTGGTTAATACTCTCTTTCATATATTCTTATATTTCATTAAAAGCTACTTGTGTAAAAGCATCATGTGTCGCCATGGGCTTGACCTCTATAGCGCCTAGATATATTATCAGCCCATTACGCTCGCCGTACGAATAAGACAGCGGCTCATACCTGCTATTTGATGGAGTAGTCGTGGAAGTTGCCTGCTTTCGTGCTATTGCTGTTTGTGTTCGGAACTCGTCGTAGACCATGGGATTGTTTTAAGAAGTCTCTGTATAGTTTCAAAGGTTCAATTATGGCTCTTCTTCCCAATTTTCAATTTATATTTGCACATATTCATTTTCGCCCAAAGAATGATAGGTCCAGGCTGATCAGCACTGTAAAGAAAGGTTTACCATCAAAGTACGTAGAGAAGGCTTCAAAGGGAGGGTCGAGAAGTGCTCAGTGCTATCCACGAAATCCTTCAATCTCTGTTCCTCCTCCAGATTAAGCGGTCATTTATCCAAGGTATCAATTGAGCTTGGCTGGTTGGATTGCGATATCATCCATTTAGACCACTTTTCGATGACGGAAATTGCTTTTGAAGGGGAAATTTCAAACCATTCTATGTGCGGCTTAAGGCAGCCACTACAATAGATTCGAATGTTCTGGCGCTTCAGCTCTGCATGACACAACTGCTCCACACGGGCAGCATTTGGAACTGCCACACTTGTACTGAAAGAAATCGGGTATATAAGCTTTGAGGCTCTGTTGCAATCAAATGACCATTTGTCCAGACGGTCCTTCACTGAGCGAGTGGTGTACCCAATTTTGACAAACCCCTTGTTCCCCTCAACCTCGTATGCGTATAGGAAGCCTGCTTCTCGGTCCGCTTTCTGCGATGGGCCGAGTACTGCTTTCCGCACCCCTGTGCAAGATGCTCTCTGATTCTTAGAAAAACTACTTGAAGGTAGAATGTTGAAAGGGGTTGTGTCGTATAGCTCTGGCCAGTACTCAGCAGGGGAGACCGATCTCACATTCTGTGGTTTTGGTGTGCTTCGATTGTACAAACTGGAACTAATCGTCTTCGGGCTTGACACTCTGATAAACACTGATTTGGCTTGGGCTGGGTCTTGGATCTGATGGCCTTTATTGTCTGTCATCAACGAGGGCTCCAAGCCTTCCGCATCGCGAAATTTTGAGATTTCCAACATCCAGGTTTTCACCTGCTTTGGACTCTGGCTTTTGTGAACATGACAGTACATGTTCTCTGCAAGGACTTGAAGAAAGTACTCAAGCCGGTCATTGTGTGAGTATATCTCCGGTTTAACGATTTCTTGTATCGTTTTGGAACAATTTTGGACTTTCTGACCACCCATATAGTCACTGCAGGCCACGTCCGATTTTGTCCCCACGCAACGAACCGATACTTCGCCCAATACCTTCATGATCCTAACACTAATCTCCGCATTCGGGTCGAAGTCATTGTCTCCTAGCGGAAAAGCTGCTTTCCATAGCTCAACCCGATGCTCCAGGTACGGGTCGTGGTTGTGATTATAACAATGTACTGTTGTTGCTAGGAGACGCAACTCTTTGTTGAGATTCTCTAACGACTGAAGGGAGACTAATGATCGCAACCTAGTAAGGGCTTTGGCTCGCTTTTCGGCTGGTATTCGTCTGTTGCAAGGTTTGCCCGTCGTTTTCGTTTGAGATCCGCATTTCCAGCCGTCAAGATCCAAACGACTTTTGAGACTTCCAATATCCAAATTATCCATGCCATCTAATGGCCTCTGGTCGGGTGAAATACTTGCATTGCCCGCCGATTGCTTGCTCTGTACACCGACTTCTTGTGCACTGTGAGGGGGCGTGGCGGGCGGAGTGGGAAGCTCGCGATAAGTAGAGCACGGTGGCTGCTGTTCGTTTTTCGAGTTTCTTCTCCTTATTAGAGTAGCTGCCTGTGTAGGTGTTAACGGATCTGGAGAGCTCGAATATCGCAAATCTGGTGTGGAGAACATGATATAGGTTAGGTTGTAAAACCTGCCCAGGAGTATTGGATGCGGTAGGTCGAAAGCTCCAATTGTCTGATCAGGAAGCTTTAAAATATGGAGGCCAACAAGGTATTTCCCGCGGCTGAGTATGGGCGTCTTGTTTCTTCCTGCTGATGCTGTCGCGGCATGAAGCGGGGTGAGCGCATGGAGGAGGAATATCCTTGTCCAAAAGCCAAGAAGCAGTCATGGCGCCAACACCAAAGAGCAACAGAAAGGAAGAACGAGGGTGCAGCTACTGGCCACTGCATGTACCCAACATGGGGTATATTATGGCCTTATTAATTAGATTTCGGTTACGCGAGTCTGCCTCCGCCGCCAGAGAACAGGGTGATAGGTGACTCGGGTAAAATTAGGTTCAAAGGGCCATATTGAACATGCGTTTTCTTTCTTTTTTTTTTCATTTGTCGCATAGATCTGTGTGCTGGGAGATTGTGTGATGGGCCGGGATCTCAAGCAGTTTAGTGGGCGCAAGACAGCCAAAGAGGGGGTGGGGAAGACGTGAATATCAAGCATATGTATGCGAGACACGTCACCTTGCTAGGTGCTCAATGCAGTCACCGTTATACGGAGCTTCCTCGGTTAGATCGTGTCTTTGATTGGAGAATATCGAAGATCGGTAAAAGCTTATAGGAAGGTACAGCAATTGTCTTTGGGTAGTACACTTACATTCAGTCTTTCGCGTCATAATCAGGCTTTGACTTTAGGCATCAGTACATGAGTGAATTGGCCAGGAATGAGAAAATAATGACATCAAGGCTACCACACGTGCTCAAAAGGGCATTTTAAATTCACAGCCGTCGGAGATTTCAAGGATTATCTGTGAGTACTTCACAGCCGCAGTCCATGTCCACTGGTCGAGCCAAGAAAACTACATGATAGAGGCCATAATATTGAACCGCTAGAAAAGCAAGGAGGTGCAGAGAAAAGCAACATTGCAAAATACCCCTACTGTACTGAAATATGAAACCATAGAGCCTTACTTGAGGAACCTGGCATTATAGCAAGGCTAAAGGCCGCCCTTTTGAATTAAAAGGAGCACCTTCACCGACAACACTTGCTACTGATTTCCAGTGTATCCGCAGCAACGGATGAAAATAACAATACATTCGATGCCTACCAGGAAGAAAGTGCTGGAACATGACCCTGGTGATGTCGAAGCATTCTACGCAATCATTTGCTTCTCCCGTTCTCTGAATATTGTGAGGGGTGATCGAATCAAGCCGACGTTTTCTGCTGAAAGTGATGGTGTTGACCTCGCAAAATGCCGGCGAGATTTTGCGGACGCGATCGCATACTTTTGCGCATACAAGGGCGACCCTGATTGTGTCATTGCTGTGGCTTTAGGTCAAAGGGGAACCAAAGTCATCCTTTGGGTTGCAAGCAACGCAAAAGTCCCCAGGAAGGTGGTTGATTTTCTGGAAAGTGATGTGCTCAACGCTGTGCAAGGACTGGCATATGCATCTACGCAGGAACAGTTGCCTCCGAGCGAAACAGAGAGGGTTACTGATCTTCTGAATAAGGTGCTGCAGTTTACAAGCGAGAAAATTTTCAAGTACTATAAACGCGCCCTTATGACATGGAGGGGTGTTTACGGATCCGGGATAACCGAAGGTACGGTTTTCGAACTCATGCTTCATCGCTTCTCATTCTAATGTTTACTCGGTTTAGGAACCCCGAATCAGGATCTTGCTATATTTCACGAATGGTTTAAAAGGACATTTCAGAAAGACGGCGACTCGCTAGTGAAATGTGACATGCCTGAGCTCTCAACTCTTTGTTATCAGCAACGAAAGAACAAGGCATTTGATATCCTCAAGCACTTTTCGAGCCAAGGTAATGAACATAGCCTTGATTATGAGCGACTATACAAGTTGCTCTACAAGTTGGGCAAGCATATTATGCTATTCGAGAAAATGATATGTGCCACCTTCTCTTTACGCCAAGTCTTTCAGGGAGGCTTTATGGTGGAACCGATTCCAGCATCTACTCCGAAGCCCATGCCTCTTCCAAAGCTAACTGACCGGGCCCTGAATAATATCGTGACGCGCATTTTCCCCGGAGACGATGAGAGAAATCAGTTTTACCATCACCTTGACCAATTCTATAACCTGAATATGGAGAAAATAAAGCAGTCGCTGCAGCTGTGGGAGAAGACCCAAGTCCGAGTCCACGCAGAGATTCTATTGATCGATTACCTGGACAAGACTGGCGGGAAATTCCTTGATAACAATGATAAATACGTTGGCTGTAGCAAGCCGGCATGCTACCTTTGCTATCAATATATTTGCCAACACCCGGGTAAATATACACACCCCCCGGCCCACCAAAAGGTTTACCATGCGTGGGCTCTTCCAATTGTACAAGCCGATGATCGCACTTGCTCTGAGAAGTATGCTCGACATAATCGTTTTCTCCGTCAGATTGCAGAGGACCTTCGATCCGAACTTCGACACGAGGTACGCCGGCAGTTGGCTCCGAGAAAATTCCACACGGACTCTACAGCAGGAGAAAGTTCAGTTGTCGATACTAATAGAGCAAGATTAAGACCACAGGGGCTCGACGACTCGATCCTCGCTTTGATCCGAGAAATAAGCGAAGGTTAGCCATATCAACAAATATATTTAAAGAAATTAGAAGCTAACGCAATCATGTTGAACAGAAAAAAGTTCTAGCTACGAAGCCAACTCTGATGACGGTGGTGTTATGCTCTAGTGCTGGGGTTGAAGATTACTGAATATGTTGTTGCAACGCTCTTGACCATACTGATCCTGACAGCTTGGTTATTATACGGGTCTGAGTGCGGCTGTTTTTTTGGGGCCTCATATGTGTACTGATACTTCCTTCCGTATTTAGTTGTAACAAGCAGAGTGACGTTTCCTGATTTCCTTCTGAAATAATTTGTATAGGCGTGCCATAAATACAAGTGTAGCTAATTTGACGTTGGTAGAGGTTCAAAGGAAAGGCTTTATGGCTTGCAAATTAGGGACAAGAGTTGGACTAATACTTGCATCTGCCCTTGAATAACACAGTATCCTCTGCATCTTCATCACTAGTCTTATCCGCATCAGAAGCTCTGTCCGATTTAGTATCCAACTCTTGGGTAACTTGGCTGATGGAGGCGGTTTGGGAGGCAGACGTTAAATTTGGACTGGATGGTGTTGAGCCGCGAGCAAAAATATCATCATCAACAGGTAAAGTCCACTGAGTTTCCGACTCTGAATAATGAAACTGCAGCATCCACTCTTTATTCACTTTTTCTTCCAGCTCATTTCGAATTGTATTGATCAACTGCCGGAGTATGGATTTTTGATATTTGGCACGAGTCATGGCATTGCATTCCTCGTGCCAGATATCCGGTAAACGCCATTTCAGACAAATTTTGGAGTTTGCGGATATACCGGAATACCTTGCGGGATGGTATGAGATGAATAGATGGCATAGATAACAGCTTGGCCTCGTACATCCGATATACTTGTCGCCTTCATCGAGAAAACCGCCGTCGGGAAGTCTGTCAAAGTGATTTATAACAATTAGTTCGGGGTGCACTTCAGTTACAGCTTTCCTTGAATGATACACCAAGGCTTTGGCCAAACTTGGAGGGGTTATGTGTTGAAGCTTCTGGAGAAAATCGTCTCTTTTCGATGAGTTCGAGAACATTCGGTTCGAAATGCTCTCCATGGACAGTTTTTTGGGGAGAAGAGGAATTGGCAGACTTGTTGAGGATGGTAGGCTTTCTGCCACAAGATCATTTGCAAGGTCTTGACGCAGAGCGACAGTAGACTCAAAAAGTTTGGAAACCATATCGATAGTTCGGCTCAGGTTCGCAAGTCTTTTATAAAATTTCTCAAAATAGGTCACGTGCTTGTTCCCCTGAAACGTGAACTTCCTTAAAAGTTCCAACTGCCCAGATTGTCGAGCATCAAAGCACTCTCTTGCTAGGACCCTCATGTCTTGTCGAGTCAAAATGGCGCCGTTTTTATAGAACTTGTCCTGGAACCAGCCTTTGAAACGAACGCAATCTCCGGCCGCCTCTATACTGCCGTCAGTACTTTTGACATGAGTAAAAGAAAGGCAGGCTTTTGAGTTATGGTCTCTCCATACCATTCAGCCCGGTTGTAATATCTGCCAAGCACGTGGGAGCAATATCTTGCAATATTTTCATGTAGTGGGCATAAATCTTCTCTTGACCAAAATTCAGCGCCATGTCTGACAAGTGATTGACAATGCGATCCTGCAGTTCGCCCCTTATATCATCTGTGCTTGACTTTACGACGGTTGACAATGCGGTCAAGAGGTCGTTCAGAAAAGGCACAACGATCTTCTCGGTTTCTCCAGTGCCCGCAACCCGAACGATGAGCAAATCTGGCTGCCTTTCTAGAGCAACAGCAATCTCACACTCCTTACTATAGGCACCGATAAATGCAATTGAATCGACAAAATCCCGGCGTCGCTGCATGATGCTGATCCCGCCAGCACTGACCGAGAAAACAGAGCGCGGCTTCATTTGGTCTCTCAAAGTTAATTCGTACAGAATTCCAAGGGGCTCGTAAAATCGACGAAGCTCTTTTGGCTTGTGCGTATCATATTGGCTGGTGGGGACCATACTTTCTCTTCCTTTTTTTTTGATCAAGGTCTTGGACGGTTGACGGTAATTTAAGGTAAAATCCAGAACTCGAAACACAACTGGAGAATACAAATGCTTGAACGGAGCTCTCATTAATCTCCCAGCTGATGTATCTAGGAAGTAGAACTGTCCTATATAGGCGCTCGAAAGGTAATGATTTGACTCTGCCCCTCAAACAACTTATCATCCCAGCCTCTACCCCTCATTCTTGAATTTCGTCCAATGGTATAGTCCTGACGTACACCATCATTGAGACATTCAAATTGTCGGTCGGTCCTAGCGTACTTCGAGAAAGATGATAAGCTCGTGGTAGAGATACAGCTGCATTGCTGCCTGATCTCTGATCGAAACACCACAAAACCTAATCCCAAAGAATTGGCTCAAGTATATTCGAGTTTATTTCCTTGAGGCCAAATTTTAGGCTCCTCTACCTACCTGCAATCTTTTCGCCCCTATGGGCTGTGCGGCTTCTGGGCACGTGAGGGCACTCAGGCAGCGGCTTCGCCGCTGAAAGATACGGGTGGGAATGCGGCCGTTTATAGCATCAGTAGCCGTCATTTTCGGCGTTGATTTCACTGATCCTCATTTTCTAGTTGTAAATCAATGTGTATATCCTGAGAAACTTCATTGTTCAATTTATCCTTGTTGAGTAGATGATTCCCTCTCTAGTCATGCCCTTGAAGTTATCATGGGGGAAAGATGTCGATTCTGGTTCCAACATTGGACTTTTTCAACCGTCATCAATCTATGGTAATGGGTTCATCTTGACGCCGTTGGATATTTATTGTCCTAGGCACCAAGACCTGATGCATGATATCCGTAAAACTCTGCAGACGGGAAGCGTCGATCTAATCAAGCGCCTCGTATTCCAGGACGCTAGCGCCCAACACTGAGTCGACTTCCACGACTCTGTCTCAATTCATCCCCTTCATCTTGCTCATCAACCGCGCCCAGATACTGCCAGGGGCTTCGTCCTCAATGTAATTACCCCGTCGGATCAACAGATGGACAATACAAGCTAACAGGCTCCTACAGGTCCCTGCTAACGCTCCCACCCGAGATCCTCTCTTGCATCCTCACCCACTGCATCCCCCGGGACCGCGATGGAGAAGCCAGTATCGCGTCATATGATCAAGACGACGAAACTGATATCCGTCTTGTCTGTCGTATGTCCCATTGAAAATAACCCATCATAACAATGGACCTCCCAGTGAATCATCACGCTAACGTATATCTAGAACGATTCGACTCGATGTGGTCCCACGCCTTCGTATGGGATTTGCTGAGTGTGACCCGATCTCAGCGCTACAACTACAGGCAAATCAACGAGTCGTGGCCGATAGATTCGACTATCTGGTTTGTGCGGACGATCCTCGTCATGCGGCATGGCCAGGCGCGGCGAGAGTCACCGACGGAAAATGTTAACGGTAGGCCGTCGGTGCTTGAGTATGTTTACGCTATGGTCGAGGTCGTTAGCGGTATCCTCCTGGAGATTGAACCAGAGAAAGATCGCGTGGGTGTCATTGCGCGCGCGATCGCCCTGGCTGCAAAGGCGTTGGTGCTCAACCATGAGTTCAAGGATATCGTTACGGAACTTGTGCCACGTCGAGAGGGGTCTGATGTTTCTCGCAAAGTGCAGGCCAGGGAGAAAGAAGAGTCCATACCGTTGAGCTGGGGGTTGAAACCCGATGATATCTTCCCCCTGCTATGTCTGACCTGCCGCGCGGAAGCCATCGAGAAATTCCTGGCCAGGGAAAGAGAGACCAACATCAACAAGCGCAACCACATTTTCGGATCTGCGCTATACAACGCCGCAGCAGCAAACAATGCAGATGTCGCCAAGCTCCTCCTCGACAAAGGCGCAGACGTCAATGCGACGGGCGGCCGGTGGTACACCCCGCTGCACGCCTCTGTCGCATACCCAACGGGCACCGGGTCTCTCACCTTGCTCCTCGCCGCAGGTGCAGACGTAAACGCACAACCTGCCTACAGTATAAACGACGGCCGAACACCTCTGATAACAGCCTCGCACGCTCGAAACAGCGAAGCGGTCTCCATCCTCCTCGCGCGCAAGGACATCGACGTGAAGATTACCGCCATGAGCGACGAGTCGATCGCGCACTACATTGCTCGGGCGGGAGACCCCGACAACCTACGATTACTCCTCGAGCTACATCCCGACGTCGACATCAAGCTGAAAGGCGAGTACGGTACCCCACTACACACGGCGATGAACTTTGCATGGTATCAGCTCACGGAAGGGCACGATGCTGTTGTTGAGATCTTGCTGGAGAGGGGGCTTAAACCGAATGAGACGTGCCCCGGGGCCGAGAGGGACATTGTGGGGTGGGCGGAGGAGATGATAAATGAGGCGAGGGAGGAGGAGGAGGAGGTTCCGGCTGCGGTGATGAGGATTATCAGGTGGTGGAAAGAATATATGGAGAATGTGATCAGGAGGCGACGAGGGAGCGGGTGATATAAAAAAATTTTTTAGCCTAACGGACTCCAAGGATAGATAACCTTTGAAAGCTGCGCTCTTTGGTGCTGGCAAGGATTTCGGGAAACCATCTCAAAGACTAGTATACTAATCCTGCAGCGCTATACAACGCGACCAAACTCCCACGCACATCCCCTCTCCCCCTTAGCAGCAGGAACCAAGTCCCTCCCCCTGACCCTAACCCCCCTCAACCCAATTTTCGTGCAGACTAACAACTCCCACCCACCATCCGGATGCGCCCGCCTCGAAAAGAACTCGTGTAAATCATGATGTTTGACCTCCAGTTCTCCACAAACCATGCCCCGTTCTGCCCTATGTATGTGTCTGAGGCAACGTTGCGAAACCGGAGCCAGCGGCGCGGGTTCTCGATACAGTGCCAGTGGGCGGTTTTGTTTGTCAAAAGATCTCCTTCGAGGTGGTGGACCGCGAGGGCGCTGTTCTTCCGGAGCGTTATGGCGAGGTTCGTGCCGCGGGAGCGGATTATGTAGGTTTTCTGCGGTAGGTGGGGTGTCCGTTGGGGTATGATGCTGATTGTCTTGTGTGAGGATTGAGGATAAGGCTTGGGGAATTGACATCTTGCAAGTCTGGAAGAACCAGAGGGAGTTTCTTTCTTGTCTTGGTGGTTCAGGGATAGATGCGGTCGGGCAGCTCCTGGTGTTGCTATCGACGTCGGCGCTTAGCAGGCTGCGCGGCTTCAGCCTTTAAGGGCACGGGGCGGGGTGAAATTCCAAATGCATAATCCATGATTTTTTTCCTTCGGACTACTGCACCAGTCTTATACCGCAACAGCCCTCCATTTAGAACTGGGATCTAATACCGGACCAGCCGGTTTCCTCTCCTACTGAGAGGTAACAACCACTAACGGCATGACTCCACTGGTTAGCGGAAGATTCAGATACAAATCTAAGAACTGTAAAACCTACATTAAGCTCTAGACTACGGTTTTTAAAAGCGGTTTAAGACTTGTTGGAAGAAAATTTCGAGTTGGACTATTCGTGGAAATGGGGATGACATGTTAGGTGTTTACTGCCGCAAATAGCACACCTGTTGCCTGGGATTTGCATAGAGGGCTCATCGCCAGGGACTCGTTATAGAGCTAGATTTTGCGATCCTCGTCTGCGATGCTCCTCCAATGACTCTTTTGCCAAGTTTCTAAGTGCATCACAGTAGGATATGCCTAACACTCTTTACCTGGCTGGGGAAAAAGGGTAGTCGGATAGTCAGATGTAGTACTCCAAGGCGTATCCGCGTAAGCGTATGATGAAGCTTAGTGGGTTTTGAGGACTGGCCTATTTTGTAGATCGTAATCAGGAGCAACTCTATGCTGGAAGCCTACATTGTTTGTACTGTGTCTGAAATATGTTCTTTGTTGCAGGAAGGTAGATGACGAGAGATATTGCGATGATAACATCGTAAACTATGATCCAGGAAGAGCAAGGTCAGACTGGATTGCTAAAACATCGAAAACCGGTCTGGCATCAGATAACCGGCCAAGCACGTAAACACGATTGCCCCTCTTGCTGCGATTCGACCGATAAGAAATTCTTATCGACAAGCCGACCTTAAGAGCCGGTGGTATAGGCGGGACTCCCCACAGAGAGGGGAAAGTGGGGGTTGATTATTCAATCGGAGAGACGAGCACCCCATATGTCATCATTCGCACCGGAGCTTTGCAATGGCCGCAGCTTAGAAATCCACATTCGTGCGACACCATATAAGCCCTCTTCTGTCCGACCTTGTTCCAGTCCATCCTCACTTCCGCAACCAGATCCCCAGCAAACACAATGGCCGCCCCAAAGATCATCCTCTACACCAACCACCTCTGCCCCTGGGCACACCGCGCCCACATCGCGCTCAAGGAGCTCGGCCTCGACTACGAAGAGGTCATCATCGACCTTGACAAGCCGCGCGAGCCGTGGTATCTCGAGATTAATCCCGTGCGTCCACACCCGCCATCCTACCTACCTAGAACTTCCATCTTCTAACATTGTTTTGTTATTTTCCAGCGCGGCCTCGTCCCCACAATCTCCTACAACGGCACCATAATCCCCGAGTCCGCAATCGTCACCCAACTCCTCGCCGACGCCCACCCTTCCCACCTCGTGCCCCCCTCCAACACCCCTGAAGGCGCGATCCAGCGCGCCCACATCTCCTTCTTCGTCGATACATTCGTCTCCAAGGTCCTGCCCCACTCCTTCGCCGCGCACCGCGCGAGCACAGACGAAGAACGCAGCGCCGCAACCCTCGCGCTCGTCGAAGCCATTGAGAAGAATAACGTCGAAGCACTACTCTACCCCGAGGGGTCTGGGTCCGGTCCGTTCTTCCGGGGCGCGGAGAAGATAACCCTTGCCGAGGCGCTGACGGGGTCGTTTCTGCTGCGGTTCCTCTCGCTGCATAAGCCCGAGTATGGATTGTTAGCGCCGGAGCTGCCGGAGTTGTTGGAGAAGAGGACTCCAAAGTTCTTGAGTTGGGCGCAGAAGGTTGTTGCGCAAGAGAGCGTGAATTATATTTGGGATGAGAAGGTTGTTGGGGAGAGGAGCGCGAAGAAGTGGAAGGGGGCTAAGGCCTAATTAGGCGGCTGATCAATAATACGACCCTGCTATATACGTTGGTCATGGAGACTCGATTGGTGAGGATGATCAGTTATGATTAATGCTATGAATGTCGCCGTACAGTCTTCTGGTTATTACAATTGCGCCCCTGCAAACTGCCCTGGACGCGCGCGCAGGCTTGTAAAACCAGGCTGCCTTTAGCGAAACCTGTTGCCTTTAGTTCTTGAGCTCTTGTAGCATTGTTATGTACCTAGCTCCCAGGCTAAAGTAGCTAATGACCAAATCTAGAGGTATTTTAGATCATCGACTCATATCGTCCAGGGAATATATCAGATCATCATCAACCCCTACTACCCCCCTCGAGCGTCTTAGATTGAAAGTTTCGTCGCATTTAAGAAACATTAAGAACATGGCTGAAGTATCTCGGAAATTCCGTAAATGCGAATTTCCCCGCCGACAAGTCTCGTACATATGGTAGAGTTTCCGACTCGAAACCTACAGGCGACAACTCAGCAACGCCGGCCCGAGCCCTCCTCCCCTCGGACAAAGTATCGAGCTACCTATGGTCATCCTCACATGAGTCGAATCGTTGCTCAGATGGGCACTGAGCTTTCCAGTCCACGTGAACGAATAGAATCTCTTTAGGACGTGTCAAATAATTCGGTCAACCGGGATGACGACAACTGCACTGCGCCGCAGACCAGCCCGCGATGCACTTGAAACACTTGGACATCGTCGAATCGACCACCACCAGGGTCCCAACCGAAGATCCGGAGATCAGCTCCAGGTTTGTTCGGATCGAAAAAACGGGCAACGCGGAGAATATACGGGGAATAGGCGTTCTCCTTGCCGATCCCGCCGGAACGACGTTGTCAATCCCCACAACGAGTGGGACCAGAACTAATTCCTGCCGTGTATACCGACTAGCTGTAGGATGTGACATGGCATGCCCCTTGGAGGTTCCGCCGATCCAGGGGGAATCAAGCTCTGGATCTGCGTTTTGTGGCGCCGGGGCGCGTAAGCTACATTGCTTAGCCGAGGGATGGATCTGTGGATTGGATATTGGTTTCAACTTTCAGGATTGGGCTGGGAGGCCGGAGATGGGGTATAAAAGGCTCTGTTTCGACGGCGATAGTCTCATTCTTCATCACGATTGCGAATCCGATCTCATCTATATTCCTATCCATACTAAGCTCATCTGAACTATACCTATCTTCACCAATTCTTCCCTCCTCATCCCCATCAAAATGAAGCTCACCACCCTCCTCGCCGTCACACTCGCAACCCTCGCCGCGTCGCAAACAATCAACGACGTCCCCAAGTGCGCAATCCCCTGCCTCGACGACGCGATCAAGAGCAAGACCAGCTGCGACGTCAAGGACTACAAGTGCGTGTGCAAAAAGGAGAACTTTAGGAAGGTCCAGGGGGCAGCCACGGCCTGTGTTGTTCAGAAGTGTGGGTCGGATGTTGCGTTGCGTATGTGTTATCCATTGGTTTTATTGATGCGGGGCGGGTTCCTAATGTGTTTGGCTTTTAGAGCAAGTTCTTCCTGCGACTAGGAAGCTTTGTGCGGCGCAGTAAGTGGCTATGGTTCAAGAAAGCCCTGAGGGGCGGGTGGGATGGACGGGTCTGCTGGTCTGGCCCGTGTCATCATGACTCTGAGACAACACAGTTCTTTCTCAATAGATGTCAAATAAAGTTATTGTGTGACAAGTTTATAACTGGATATGCTCAAACTCAATCCATCAGACAAGCCCTCAGCTCACTACACTACAGCTTCCCCTCCCTCTTTCCAGGCAATAATTCCAAATCCCGATGCGGCACATCTAGATAATCCCACATATAATGAAACCGATCACTCCCGAAAAACGGCTCGCGATTCCCCTTCCCATCAGTGACCCAGAACCACGGACATCCAAACGCACCGAGATCCTTCACAACTCTCCCCGTGGTCTCCGTCAGGGCTTGCTTCGTCTCGGGCGCGTTTGCGCCGGCGATGATGTCTTTGATGGTAGCTTCGTCTTTGAAGACTTTGGATAGGGCGAGGGCGAGGTTCTCGGGGACAGAGATGTCGACGTGCTCATACCACATTGTGGTGAAGCATGCCTGGAACGATGCTTCGAAGAGCTCCTGGGAGTGGGTTTTTTTGAGGTATGTTAATGCGCGTTGGGGCTGTATCTCCGGTCAGCTGTCAATCCACTCGCCCTCATTCCCCTGCAGCTCGATCGACCCATCCATCCATGACATCGTAGCAGCAATGAGAAAACCTGTGATGGGACAGGGGAGACCATACAAGCAACGACAAGATCGGAAAAAAGCTCGGAACCTCAAAATCATGGCCAAAGTAGCGCTGCGCGCGCTTGCCGTCGTACTTGCTGTACGCGGCTTTTGCGGGGAGGGTCCAGGGGGGTTTGTTTCCTGCGGATTGTCTCGGTTAGTCTTCGGATACTATTCATCTAGAGAGTCCGTGATGTTTTTTTTTTTTTTCTTTTTTTTTTGGTGGTTTGTTGAATAGTGATGCATGTTGTGAGACTGACCGCTCCCGACGTTAATCCCGCCGAGGAAGACGGGGATGAATCTGTTTCGCGTCAGAAAACGGAATTCATTTCGGTTCAAGCTAGGATACGTACTCAATTTCAACTCCGAAGCTGTCTAGAGTCTGTTTATTCGCCTGGAGATAGCTAAACGCGTAGTAGCTGTACGGCGACACTGTCGGTCGGCTGTCAGTCAGACATGTGATCGCGATCGCATCCCTTTCTGAAGCGGACGCGTTGAACCTCAGAATGACGTACCGCAGTCAAGATAACATTCGATCTTCTTTTGCGCCATTTTCGCGGGGTCTGATGAATTAGCGCCCAACAGATGAGATGCCAAATCGATCTATATATGACTGACGCGTGATGGAAGTTGTAGACCGCAGAATTGGGCCCCTTCGGCTCCGGGACTCGGATGCGGGGTCGGAGCCTCGGGTGTGCCTTTTTTGATTAGTCGTCGCCAAGTGAGCTCGCTGCAGAGTATCTCGGAGCTCGGTAAAGCCTTCTTATGTAGTAGAGAAGCTCGCGACTTTTTTTTTTAAAAAAAAAAAAAAAAAAAAGTTGAATTGTGTCTCGCAGATGGTCGGTTTTTCGATGTCGCAATTCCGTCTAGTCCCCACCTACCTTGCGCGCCCAAACACATGTCGGATTATATATATTGGACGCTGGGGAGGGACTTCTCTGTGCACGGCCTGCTCTATCAAGAGTAGAAAGACTGTGTTGACCCCCGTAGAACCCTCACTGCATTCATGAGCTCTGCATAAAGAACAGCCTGCGGCATCAGATCATAAACGATTCCAAACCGAACAAAACGACTTCGACCCTTTTTCAATAGGATAACGATCATAATAAGCCGACAACGAGGAAGACATCTATATCCAGCAGACCCTATCTACGGCATCTCAAGCCTCCCCCGATCACTACCACTACCACTCCAATACCCCCCCCCTCCCCGCTGCCCCGCATCCCCCCTCCAATCCCTCTCCGTATAGTACGCACACCTCCCCGTCACACAAGTAAAATACCAAACCCCGCCATTCGACTCCTCGAGCCGACTGCGCTCCCCACACTGGCAATCCGGGTTCCGCTCATACACGCCGTGCATATCCGCCCAAGCGCGGAATTTGCCGCATCGGTCGCACCGGTAGTACGGGCGGTTGAGGTGCCCGTTTTCGTCGTTGCGCACGCGGCAGAGGGTTAGTGGGTGTCTGCATTTGCGGCATGGAGGGGATGGGGATTGGGAATGCGGTTGGGATACGTGGGGTTGGGATGGGCCTGGACTCGTTGAAGAGAATGGCGGGGAGTACTGTTGCCGTCGTTGGTGTAGCTGTCGTTGGCGTTGTGGCGAGTTGTACGAGGTATTTGAGGAGGTATTGCCGTACTGGCCCGAGTTCGACCCAGTGTCTTCCCCGCTGAGTTCCGGTGTAAACGCCGCAAGTGGATTGGACGACAGTGCTGGGCCATATAACTGTAGGTGCCGCGCGTGGCTGCTTGAGGTCCCCAAGCGCCCGTGTGCAGTGCCTCCTCCGTGAAGGCCATGAGTCCTCACTAAGTAGATATGTTAGCAGGACCCGAACGCAAGACCGGGAAGAGGCGCGAACTGACTCTCGGGAGCCGGGGTGTATATCGAAAAGCTCGGTTCAGAGTCATAAGTATGAGGCCTTCTGCAGAAGAGCTTGCCGAGAGCCATGGCCAAGGAGGGCATGACGGTCAGAAAATGAAGTACCTTGGGGCCATGCGTTTATTGCAGGTCAGGGTCTGAGCAGCATGATCGCTGATTTATCTAGGACGTCTGAATCAGCCTTGCGCGCGAGTGAATGACGAGGTGTCCCTGCTTACGGAACGGGTCGCCTCGTGAACTTGTGCTGCGCCAGGATTCATGCGTAGCGCAGTTCAGTTATGAATCCGGCAAAGCTGCAGGGGTGATTTTCCACAGTCGTCATGTTATCCCAGTCTGCTCGCTACAGAGTTCCTCTTCCATCTATGGCGATGAGAGGGCGCTTAACGAGCGAGCGATAATGGTAGGGTCGCTCGGCAACGTTCACCATAATCGTGAGCGCCCCTCCTAATCGTGGTTTCGCCCAAGACGGTGAGGTCAGAGGTGAACCTCGTGGCTGTTGCTGCCCAGGCCCCAGGGAATGTTGACCACTTAGTGCGCGGCTCGTAGCGCGGAGCGGACATGGCTGAAGGATTTATGCGTGCGCCTCTTCGCCAAGGGCGCCAAATGACTGGCACGAGATGTCCAAGTTCCAGGCAGTGACTTGACAGGTTTAGCGGATGTGGCTGCGCTATTCAGGGGTTGATACGAGGGACACGACAGGAACAAGGTTCTTCAGATGCGAGGCGCGGGACCCGAACTGTTAATATCAGATTCTATGCTATAGGTTCGATGATTGGTCACTGACAGACTGCCACAATGCAGAAGCACGGAGGATAAATGTAAGGCTAGAAAAGAAAGAAATCGCTTTTCATCACAGGACAGTGATGCGAAATATGCGGGAAGGATGTTTCATAGACAAGGTCCATGTTCGATGAATACGCCCTCCTGTCAATGTAGTCGCTTGAAACCGTCTGTCGCACGCAGTGAGCGAATCCCAGCGAGTCTCCAACGTTGCGGTGAGGTTGACCATATGGCACATACGGCAGGGCAGTTATTGTTGTTGTAATGGTCAATGTGAAACTAAACCATAGGCATTCGCGCAGCACGCGCCCTTGTGGTCGACCAGACTTCCTGCACGATGCGAAATGTGGGATGGGCGGCCGAAAGCGTAGACTAGAATCACCAACGACTTCACCTTGCTCTCTCTCTTCCCCCAGAAGACACAGGCTCGAGCTGTTGATTGGGCGCGAAAGCAATTCAACCTCGCAGCCACAACGCCTGCTAGCGTTCACCTGATGACGCCAGCCTCAACCGGATAAAAGAGGTTGCCTTTTCAGACAAAGCAACTTGTGGCCTAGCCAATCCTCTGCTTCCGCCGGACCCAAACCTCCTTTTCCTCGGAGTCGGACCCCCCGGGTACGTCACGCAGCTGCACCTCCCAAACCTTGAGCTTGTAGTTGCCTCGATCCGCCTTGCCCGAGATAATATCGAATGACCACCCGTGTTTCGGACATGTAATCCCAGTACTCAGCGTAATCCCGAAATCCTCAATGTCAAAGAGATTCCCCTGAGATAGGGGGAATGATGAGTGTGGGCATTGCTGTAGGTGACAGTTAGTGAACTGTCCGGCGGTATTGGGTTCCTCGTATCTTACGTGATCGATTGCATGGACCTTTCCTTTATATTTGAAGACAAGGACTTGGTCTTTCAAATCTCCAGGTAAGTCAATGTCTGCTTCGACGACTTCCTCGCCCTTCGTTTTCGGGATCCGGAAGGCTTTGCAGCTTTGTGTGATGGCGCAAGCTTCGGTGTCATCTGATATCTCGGGAAATTCCGAAGTCAGCCCGACACGCTGCCAGGGCTCGCCAGTCTGAAAGACACGAAAGGGGTTCATTGCTGGGGAAGAAACGAGGTTGAGTTTGTCTCCCGCTGGTGGGACGCGTTTTTTCTGCGCGGGCCCCACTTTGCGCATCTCTTGGCATTGAGCAAATACAAACATGAACATAGCTCTGGTCAGTCCAGAGAGTCATCAGTCGCTAAGCATGACTTCGAGTCATGCTGATAACATGGGAATCCTTTATTGAGGCCCTTTCCTACTGTTTGCTGCTACAAGTCTGCGTAGGAGCCAATAGGTCCTGAAAATGAGAAAGTGAAGATACAAGTGGACATTCATGATACAACTTCAGAAACAACTAATCTAGGCTACGTAGACGTATTGAACATGAACAAATTCATCAATGTGCGACTCGCACATACCAGATATTCTGTCTGGCCATTGGGGTTGTTTCCCCGCCTGTGTCACTATCACATTCCCAGGACAACACGAAAACAAGACACTCGTCAATATGAATGCAATCAGGCTCATGGCAGGGTAGTTCTCAAATACCGACGAGCTAGTCGCTTAATGAGACATTGCTTGTGCTCTTCTGTTTGCACTACCAAAGTATCACCTGCTCGCTGCCGGCAACTGGATTCGATAAAGTGGCGAGCCCCTTCCAGGCACCGCAGCGACACATTTCGTAACGACTGCCGAGCCATCGATCGAAGTCGGGGGTCTGCGAACGATATACGTTCCGTTTCATCTTCGAGAAAGTAGATGCCAGGTAACCGTGCTTTCTGTGATCGAGGTGGTGACCAGTAGCTTGCTGGAGCCTTTCAGGATAATCATATCATCGAATTTGACTAACTCGTTGGACCCGATGAGGTGTGACATTATCACAAGTGTCACCTCCAGGCCAGACTTTCTGACGTATTCATCTCTGTTTAGGATTGGATACCCACTGACCATAGTGGCACTGTCCAGCAGCGAGCTCCAGCAAAATCCGTTAGTGGCAGTGTCAATCGCTAGCCTTTCGGACGCGAATCTTACACGGCATGAGGCTCTCATTACAACCGAAGTGTAATCTTCGCTGCTGGTGATGGAAAGATCCGCTGCCCGAGGGACAATGACGGTGATGTCGTTGGTCGTGACGTCCTGATGAGGAGGAGATGTGCTCAAGGCTGAGGTCAGCCATGCGAGCTCTTCTATAATTTCCGCCACAAGGGACGGGCGGCCGGTTATAGTGATCGGGCAAACTGAATCTTGCCGAACCGACACTAGAATATCCGCACGGTGCGGTTCAGGAATCTGATCTGCTGCAGTTGTCAGTATTTGTTCACGAGTATTATTCAGGCTCTTACACTGCACACTTTCCCCTTGCGATGCGGCAATAAGCTGCTCTGCTAAAGAGACTACGTCCTGCCCGGTTGTAGGCCATGTTTTTAAGAGGTACTCGCTGGCCGTGGCCGCCTGCGCCTCGTTTGCTGCCCCCGTCAAACACACAACTCGGTGCATGACCGGCCATGCCCTGATTCTTGGTAGTGGCAGAGGCGGTACAGAATGCTACTTGTCCTCTTGTAAGACTTGTGCGCTATCCAGCAGCTACGATGGCGAAATCTTTACAGGAGAAATGGCATGAGATGAAGGGTTCTATTTACACGAATCCTTGAGCGAGTTATTGGTTTAAACACAGGAGAATTAACGCAAACTTGGTACTGTATGTACATTCCTGTCAGCTGGGAGGCATCCATACATATTGGAGGGTGTATGAGTAGAGAGGAATATGACCCCGAGCGGTCCGACACCTCCCTAGTATCTACAGCAGGTAGCTTCAACTAGCTGATCCTTTTCTTCCCCTCCAAAACCTCGCAGCTGCATTGATGCAATCCTCGGGGCGTACGCGTTAGTAATGAGTAGGCCATGCATGTGATACCTAGCATGGCTTCTTTGGGCAATGCAACTACTTGAGGTTTGACTGTCGTCAGGTCTGTGCAGGAATCTGGACCATCGGACGTGAGGACGAGGCTCTGAGTAGTGTTAGGGGCGCCTAGAGTAGGTCATGTGATAATTGCGAGAGATAGTATTTGATCGGAATTTCAGCTGGTCTTCACGATCCACGTTGTACGTGAGTGCAAACTTGAAAGGAGGATACATAGAAGCTTTTCCTGTCCATACACTCATCTCGCGATACAATCTTTGATTCTTGGTCTCGCACTGCTAGACGACTGTGCTTCGTTCGAATCTTTCCATCCAAGCGAGGTTCCAGAAAGCTTATAGAAGGCTATCGCACTTTCTCTATCACTAGCCCGAATCCGAGGCGGGAACTCAAACCCCATAACCGAACGCGGATCTCGAGGTCCGAGCTGGATGCTCCCGTTGTTCTCATCAACCACTGGCGCAAAATCGTGTCGGAATCCCAACACGTGGCCGAGCTGATGCAAAAAGATATCCTTCAGATACTCTACTGTTCCCTGTTTCAACGCAGCCGAGTAAATATTGACACGACTCAGTTTCTCCTCATTTGGGAAGAAGGCCTGGGCGAGTATCTCACCATTGTCTCCTGCATAGCAGAGAACGAATGAGGCATCCTCAAGCTTCTCAACCCAATTGAAGTTGACGCCAAGCTCAAGCTGGTTCCAGTCCTCTGCAGCATCTCTTAAGGCGTTGGCAGCGATGACAGCGAGTTCCTGTCGTGGGTACCCATTCGACAGCGCAGCAAAATTGATCGTTTGACCCTTCGCCCAGCGCGGTAAAACGGCTCCCTGTCCACCCTGCACCATAGCCGTACTAGTAGTACTGGGGGCAGCTGGAAACGGTTTCTCTGATGCACAGGTGTACCGCGTAGGGGGATGGCTGAAAACATCCAGCCGAATATGGCTGGGGTTGTAGAGGCTGAATCCAGGCGGGGCTGGCTTAACGGGAGCAAGGGTTTCCCAGACTGATTGAGCAGCAGCGTCTTTCAACCCCTGGGTATAGCTGGGCCCAGAAGTCGAAGGCGTGGTGGTACCTGGATCGGCAAAAGAGGGCACCGTCGATTGAACTTCAGCCGAACGTATCTCACTGGACAGGCGCGCTTGCTTGAGATGCTCGAGCCTTTTTTCCAACGTTTTAACCTGTAAGACAGGTGGAGATGCCTCCTCATCGTCTCCCTTGCTTACGCAGTATAGGATTGCTGCTAAAGACCGAGAATTTTGCAAGTAAGCTTCAGCAAGCTTGACTAGAGCTTCTAGCCGTCGTCCATCACTGGGCTTAAGTACATCACAGTGCTCCAGAACGTATCTGCACATATTATTGGCAGAGATCAAGTCAGAAAGCACCAAAGTTTCATCAAAGGATCCGTTGTCGATGTTCTCCACCACGTAGTCAAACGTGTAGCGCGTCATAAACATACCAATGGCGTTATTGAGTGGGAGGACGGGAAGGAGGATGCTCAAGATCCTCTGTGCTTCCCAGAAATAGCCGCGGCCTCGCAGCCGGGCATACCAGTCACCAAATCCACTCCATGCTGGTGAGTAAGCCTTCCACCAAGGAGGATTTGTATATTGATAGTTCACCTCGCGCCACTTGGAGGTCCTGTAAGCAACCACAGCAATCTCCAGGTACAACTCAAGCATATGTATCTCCAGCGCGTTTGGGTGTCCATCCTGACCTAGACGTCGGTAACTTAGATAGTTGAAGCATGCTATGGCGTCATTCAATGCATCGGATGCCGCACCTCCTAAATGCATATTGGCAAGGTGTCCAAGCAACCCCCAAAGCCTGTCTATGTCATTGCCTTCTGGAAGACCGGCAGTGTTCGGACTGTGAAGAGCGAGGACTTCCCGGTATGAACCCTGCCGCAGGAGCATATCCGCATACTCAAGTGCGACGGGGAACTCGGCCAAATGATCACGGAGGCAGCCGTCAAACCACTGTCTAGCTTTTTCGAAAAGTTCAAAGTGTGATAGTCGGACGAAGGCCTCAAGCTCGGCAGGAACGTCCTCCTCTACCTTTAAATGAAAGGCATTGGATTCCCCCGTCCTGGGCTGAATAGTAAGTATACACTGTGAGTCGCCGAGGTGGTAGTCGTCCTCTGTCGTAGCCATGTGGATAACTGGTGAAGTCTGCTTTTTCAAGAGGTTCTAGAGAAGAGCGCAACTGATTGCGAAGAAGAGGGCGAAGCGCAGCCCATATGTAGTAACTGGGTATATGGCTATGAGTTTCAATTTGACAGGAGCCTTGCCCAGAATGTGACGAACTGGGTCCGGTAGTTAACGTCGAGTATAGTGGGGACTCACCAATCCCTCTTAATAACTCCTCAAAGTAGGTCCTAGGCTTTTCCTCCTCCGGTTAAAACCACTGCAAATGGGAAAGTTTGCTAATCGCGCATGTCAGCTCGAGTGATGATGTCAGAGCACACACATGTACGATGCAATCCGCAACCGGCCATGCGATCTTGCCTAGCCCTAGTTCTACGTGGTCTGCGCAATCAGAGCCGTGGGTCTCTTGAACCTCTATGTTTGTATAGGGTTCTGAGATCACCGGTTGGTTGGTGGCATGATAACATAACCTTAAGAACATTCTTTGCCATGCGCTAAGTAAGACAAGCAATTATTCACTTATATCACCACGTCCTTACTCACTCACTTACTATAACTGTTCGTGTTCTTCTTATGATCTTCCTTTATTTCCGTCTAATCAGTTGTATAGAAACACCTGACTGCACACTATGGTTGGGAGATATTCTGATTACTACCATAACCTTAATCAAGGTCGGGATCAATCTCTTGGAAGGAGAAAAGTTCGCGACGTGAAAATCGACTGTCGCTATCTCTCATCATCGAGATGGGGCCTGTTCGAGGATAAACCGGCATGGATCCTGTTGGGGGAGCTCCAAATTGGGCAACCCAGCGACGTCAAACTCAAACAGGCGAACCTACAACTTCGGTTCAAAGGCACTACAAAGCAAAACACCTCCTGCCTTGATGTCACTAATAATTATGGGCCCGTAATTGGGTTCGGTAAACCTATAAGCAAGGACGTTCAAAAAAGGGCTACAGCAGCGCCGGAGGTTGGGGTCAACGGTGTTTCGGTCAATCCTGGCGAGCTCGAGAGGGCAACCAGCCAGACTGATGTGTACCGATGGCAACTTCATGGCGAACGAATCGCAGACGATGAGGACGGACTTTATAGAGGCATTGAGTGGACAATAGAGGAAGCCAAATTCGCAAAACAGATTAACCACAGAGCAATCTGGAATTTGGGGCTTACCCTCAAGCATGGCTGTGAGCCATTTCTCATCTACGCGGGTATCTATATCCAGCTGCGGGGCATGCAAAATATTTTCTCCTCCAAGACCAACGACGACCTTGAGCCAACCCTTGTTACACCACCCCGCAAGTTCCCAAAAGACCGGTTGGATGATATTGTTCTCGCTTTGAATGATGAGTTAACGATAGAGAATCTCAGGCGTCCACCGGAGGAGTCGGACGATCCTGTACTCCATCAACGAGTTCCCCTAGGAGAACATCGAGACCAGCTAGCTGAGGCGATCGAAATGTTGATCATTGTACTTGCAAATGTACAGATCGCTGAAGCTAGTGATTGGGAGGAATGAAAAATGCAATATATTCAGCTTAATCACTTCGATATTGATAGCCGTGGCATCCAAACGATTATGATTGTTGAAGTCTCTCGTCTCTCATTCTTGTGCTATGGCTAATGCAACGTAATCATGGCTTCGTATAGCCCGTTTGCTCCCAGTAACCTTTATTTAGCATGGCCGCGTGTTCTCCTGCACTCCATCTACGCTCTGTCAATGATAAGGAGGCGTAGAGAGAGGTGAAGCTCGTAAGGGATACATCAAGGCTTTTCCGCGCCTTCTCTAGCACTTTTGCCTCAGATATTTTGAGGAACGGAGTCGAATGGTGGCGTCTACCTATTCATAACTAGGTCAAGGATCGTGTAGCCGTGAATTTATGACAGGGTGAGAATAGGTACAGTCCACCTTTTAGCCTGCTACGTGCTCCTATAGCCTGCCTACAAAGTATGCCCCCAAGAATCAAGCCCACCCCAGCAAAGTTCTTACAACGACAAGACGTCTCAACACTAGAAGAATATGAATATAACCTTACAATGCCACGGATCTCAAAATAAGAAAGGTACTATATGTACCAAGAGAAAGGTCTTGCATAAGCAGAGGTTCGAGGGAGGTTCCAAGGCCAGTTTAGTTTAACTGCTGAAATAAGTGACTTGGGCGGATAATGCGTGTGGTCCTAAAGCATGTGGCAGCCTTGGACCCCCAAGCGCGCGTAATATAGCGAGCCCTGATATCCGCTTGACAGACTTTATGATCAAGTATGCACTATAATGCAAGCTATGCATACGCAATCAACGACATACGACATCCACACCTCGTGGCAAACTAGGTATCGTTAGAAACGGCGCCATGACAACTGGGCCGCGGCGACCCAGCCTCCAACAAGGGCACGAAACGCACGCAACAACCCCAGAGCATCTCGCACGAGACTGCACCCTACCCCGCAAAACCAGGGTCCATCGAGGCCTGCTCGCATTACTCATCGGCGAGTCATGCCATCCCTGCCGTTAGACGCCGCTGGCCGTCCGAGGACCGCCAGCCGCGGATCAGCTGCCGAGCCTTGTGAATCCTTCCGGAACAGACCCTGCGGCGACTATGTATTACCATTGCATTCCTAGTCTTAATGCCATGCTAATGCATGCTTAATGTCGAGTTTATGCCGGATCTGTGCAGACGGAATAGGGCCACTCGCGGGGTAGCGTGTCAGGGATCGTCATGTGTGCTCATGCGCTTCGGTAGGGGCAGCCCTGGCTGGTTGAGGGTGAGGTAGAATATAAAAGGGCATCTTCGTGGGTTGCGCGAACTGCTGTCTTCTCCAGATTGTAATCCCGATTCTGTTTCTCTCTTATTATTTTATTGCATATACGTCTTCACCATGCGCCAGTCCGAATCCAGCGGGTCGAACGTGGACCTCGAAAAGGGCGCCCCCGTCCGCTACGACGAAGAACTCGTCGAGCTCCCCGAGATCCTCAAGGAGAGCATCACCGGCTTCGGCGGGTTCGGAGCTCTCCTCCTGCAGATCGCCCACCCCGGCGTCGCCCGCGGTGTCGGCAACCACAGCGAGTTCGCAACACGCCAGATCGACCGTGCCGAAAAGACCGCCATCTACGTGTACATGATGGTGTACGGGACACAAGAGGAGAAGAACTACATCAAGGAGTGGGTCAACCGGATGCATGCCCGCGTCAAGGGAGGGGATGGCGAGTCTGCGTATTTTGCACAGGACCCGGACCTGCAACTATGGGTTGCTGCCACGCTGTATGTGGGTTGGGTCAAGTCGTACGAGATGGCATACGGGCCATTGCCTGAAGACAGGGCAGAGCGCGTCTACCAGGAGTTCTCCGTCTTTGGGACCTCCCTCCAAGTGCCCCGCGAGAAGTGGCCCAAGGACCGCGCCGCGTTTGATGAATACTACCGGCACGTCATCGAAAACGACCTGCGGCTCGTCCCCGAGGGCGAAGAGGTCTACTGGCACATCATGCACCCGAACCTGCCCTGGGTCTTCAAGCCGTTTATCCCGCTCGCGCTGTACCTGACAAAGATCTTCTCTGTCGACTACCTCCCGCCAGAGATCAGGGTTACCTACGGACTGAAGCCGACGACAAGGTATGACCGGTTCAATCGCAAGCTGATGATTATGCAATACAAGATGACGCCCAAGTTTATCCGGTCGCTGCCCAAGCGGTATTATATGAAGAGGGGGAGGGTTATGGTTGCGAAGCTCAAGGAGAGGGGGTTTACCGGGGATATGAGGATGCGGAGTCATTAGTCTAGTGCCAGTGGTGGTTATGTTGTAATGCTATGATTTATGTACTTGCGCACAATTTGATACCATTTGTTTTCCCTTGCATCGATTACAGCCGTAGCCTCTGCCTGGATTTGATCATGATAGCTGGAAGTATGCGAATACTGTGGCATGGCATAAATCTGATATGCCGGCATAGGGACATCGCTTGGCCCTCCGACGCGAGATGACTCGAGCCCCCGACTCAGCGTCCATAAGTTATACAACTGTTATGCATTCATTCACTCATACGTGGACGGCTAGATCCGTCATCAACCTAGTCTAGACCCTGGGCTCGCACTCCTAGCTAAGCGCCATACGCGCAAAGGGTCTTATTCGTTTTAAAGCCCATCCCACCCTAACCCAACACCCCCTTCGAATAAAGACAAAAAGGACGTCGGCTACAAACTCGCCCTCCCCTTTCCTTGAAGAGCATCAACAGCTTCCAGTCCACCAACCTCCCCCGAGCAAAGCGCCCCCTCCATATACCCCTTCCACTCGGTACTATATTCCGTCCCGACAAAATGCAAATTCCCCACCGGTTTGCCATACACATCCGCAAACTCGACGTAATGCCCGAGCGCCGTGATGGGTGCCAGCGCCCCGCGAGAAAACCGCTCGTGCTGCCAGATCTGGTCGAAGAATTCGATGGGTTTCCAGACCTCGTGGTTGGATCCAGGTTCGGTATCGGCATTGAAGACTGTAGCGAGTTGTCTCAAGACAACAGCGCGCCGTTCGTGCGGTGGGAGTTTACTCCAGAACCGACCAGGTTTTCCATTCACGAAACAGGTTAGAGAGAAATGTCTCGCTGACTCGACACTGGTATCTCTGGCGAGAATGACTGGCCCTTCAAACGACGCAAAATACCCATTGAACCCTTTTTCGCGCCACCAGGGTCGATCATAGCACACTATCGCCTTGTTGTAGTCACCCAGGACGGTGGCGTCTGTGATTTGGCGGAGGCGTGGCGGGAGATTAGGCTGGATGTTGAGCTCCTTGTACATGGTTGAGGGGATGGAGAGGATGGCCTTTCGGGATACGAAGGTTTGGCCGGTTGTTGAGGTTACAGTGACGTGGGTTTTGGCGTCGGTTATGCTGAGCACGGGGGTGCTGAGGTGGATGTGACTGGGCCCAATTAGGGAGGCGAGGTGCGTTGCTAGGGATTGGGAGCCTGGCAGCGTCTGTGGTCAGTATTCTGGTGCACCAAGAAAAGCCGAGATACGCATCGTCACTGGTTGTAAAGCGCAGGTACCAACATACCCCCCCGAAACCTCAAATGCTGCCCGCCACTGGCATCATCCGCCCGAATCGCCAGCAGCCCCCGATTCCGTCGACAGTAATCGATAAACCACGCCGCCGAGTACTCGCTCGATTCAAGACCATGCATGACCTGCGCCCAGAGATTGACCATCTTGGCGGTCTTGGGCAGCGCGCCGAGGTCCCGGACGTACTGGTCCAGCGTGACGTTGTCGTCTTGGGCGCGCGGTGGACCGGGTTTCAGCGACTCGGCCTGGATGTGGTCGCGGATGCGTTCGAGGTTTTGCTTTTCGGCGGGGGTGAACTGTAGACACCCATAACTACTGGTTAGTTACCACAACCCTGAAACAGGACATGTACATGGATGGAGAATTCTTGCATCAGGCGTAACCCCAAAAGGAAACTCAAACCTTCCCCCTGCCTCCTTACTTTCCTGCATAACCGCTCTCCCATCAAGCCGCTGAACCTCCGTGTCGAGCCCAAACTGCTTAACGTATGCGCCGACGCGCGGCTGCAGGGTAAGATTCACCCACGCACCACCGAGATCGGCGTACCCGCGTCCCGAAGCCAGCGGCACGCTCCAGATCTTCCCGCCGACGCGGTCGCGGGCTTCGAGGACTGCGACGCTGAGCCCGGCTTGTTGGGCTGTGTAGGCGGCTTGCAGGCCGCTGAGGCCGGCGCCGATGACGATTACGTCGAACATTGGAACGATTTGAGGAGTTCAATGGAGGAGGAGGGGTGGCAATGGGCAAAATGGATTATTGAAATAGAGTCAATTGAGGAACAGCTATGGATGGAATGTTGTCTTTTATTTTGTTTCTTTGGAGATGTTGGAGAAGCCGAGGGCTCGGGTTCTCCTCACCTTCTCGGTTTCTGCATCCGAGATGCTGCATGCACACCGCAGGATGCACGATTAAGCTATGGACCATGCGCACGCGAGTCAAATGAATGGTATCATCCCCCTCTAGACACTTAATAGCGGCATCATGTCCTGAGTCTGCCGTCTTCCCTCAAGGCACGGCTGTGGACATCGATGCCCCCAAAGCAACTCAGAAACTACACCATGGAAGACGCGGCGGCTACCTACGACGAAGGCGGTCTTGCTCCATTTGCAGTATATCTTCTCCTCATCTCAGATGGTTGGTCTGATACGGAACCCTGACGCCACTCAAGCTTCGAGTGTCACCCTCACGATGCGAATCCCCGACAAAGGGATCCAATGATTGGCGGCAATCGTTTCAGGCTTGCGGCCCCTCGCTGGGCTTGTTGCACTAAAAAGGGAACTATTTCCCCCACGCCCGGGCGATGGGCCAGACGTGCGGGGGGAGACATGGTTTATCTCGTGTCGGAGAACTCTCACTCCCGAGCAGCTCTCATCGCATAACATCACATCACCTTTACATTGCCGCTCACCAATATATCTTCTCTTTTTCGTACGAACCCGAGGCCAACACCATGGCGGAACCCCGACCCGGCCTGCCACGCAAATCAAAGCGCACATCCAACGCGTAAGCTGCCCACGAGACTCTCACTTCCTTATCTCTTTCTCCTGCACCAACCCCGCTCCCACCACGAGCTGCCACGTCACCATCACCACTATCCCTCCTAATCCTCATATCTAACAAACCGTCAAGATGCGTCGCCTGCCGCACAAGCAAAATCAAATGCACGGGCGCCGACCCCTGCGCAAACTGTCAGCGGCGCCGCGTCGAGTGCCGCTTCCTGGAGACCGTCAGCAAGGTTATGGTGCCGGAAAGGTTCGTCGCGCACCCGCTCCCAAGACACCACAACTATGAAAAGGGAGGATCCGCGCTTCTATGGAGCCAGTCGATATATGGTGACAAGGTATCTTCGTGAATTGCAGGGAAAGGTCAGCGAGTCGGTGTCACGGCGGCATGGTCATCATGAGCAGCGGACGGGGGAGAAAGGAGGGCGTGTCGATGAGAGGTCACCGTCTGTGAAGAGGACAGCGGGTGAGGCGTTCGGGTCTGAGGTTGATATTGATGGTGCGATATCACCTGCTGAGCTCGTCGTTTATGTATACTGACAGTTGTTGCAGGAAGCGTCGAGTCGCCGCCGCCTGAAGAACTGCTGGCCGTGGACTCTGGCCGAACGATCTGGACGAGCCCGTTTACGCTGCCATCCCGCATCATCAAGAAGAACCACAAAACAAAGCGCAACTGGAGTACGTCCCCATTACCCGCTCACGGGCCCATCTAACATCCTAGCCTGGCTCGCCCCAACCTCAACCTGGTCCTTCACAGCGCGCCTCAAACTCATGATCGCCGAGAAACTCCACGTGGAGTCCCACTACAGCGGCCCTGAGCTGTTCGACGGCGACCTGTACCCAATCCAATGGCAGCCCGTACGCCCAAACACACATCCCGACATCACAAACCTCCCCTCGATAGACCACGCCCTGTACCTATTCAACACGGTGAAATTCCACCTAGGTCACAACCACCTGCTCATTGACGAGAAGCCGTTCGTCGAGAATGTCCATGCCTTCTACTACGGGGATTCGGTCAAGCAGGCGACTGAGTGTCGATTGTGGTTTGTGCAGTTTCTGCTTGTGCTCGCGTTTGGGAATGCGTTTTTGATGCCTTCGAAGAATATGAATGACCCGCCAGGGGCAAAGTTCTTTCTTCGTGCTATGTCGCTTATGCCTGATCATACGGCACTCTCGCGAGGCGGGTTTCTGGCTATTGAGGTGCTGTCCCTGACCGGGTTGTATCTGTATTCAATTGACCATCGCGCGTCGGCGAATGTTTACGTACGCATTTCATAGACTCACCTCCCCCGTGATGCTCGAAAGACTAACGGTCTAGATCGGCCACGCAATCCGCATCGCAGAAATGGACGGCATGCACACGCAGCTTCCTGAAGATGAACTAGGAGCAGAGACTGTAGCCCGGTGTCGAAATCTCTGGTGGACGTTGTACGTTCTCGACCAGCACTTTTCGACCTCCGTCGGGGCCTCGATGACGCCCAAAGATAGCGATATCACGACGCTGTTGGATCCGCCGGCGACGTCTTCGCAGAGTGATGCGACCCTCGGGTTGCTTGTTAGGTTGTCGCACTTGCTGTCGTATATACTCTCATGTAAATGCACCTCCCAAGGCTCCATCTTTTTTCGTCCGGTGTCTGGTTTGGCTGGCTACTGATGGCACCCGAACAAGCTATCTACAGAGGCACAAAGACCCAACTAGGCACCTTCCTCGAAACAACACGCTCAATCCTCCACGTGTTAGCCGGCCACGCACGCGAAATCGAGAGCATCATCCACATCAAGTTCCAGAACTCGGTTGACACGATGCCCAAGGGGACGCGGCATATCACCTTGTTATACCACCAGGTCTGCGCTGTCCCAATCTCCTTCCTCGATGCCCTCAGCAATCTTCCCAGTGAACATAGTCTGATGTCGACTTTTTTTTTTGGTAGTGCGTAATCGTCGCAACCCGCCCTCTCCTCCTGTCCATCTTAAAAGAGCGCCTCGAGCGCCTCGGTCACGGCGCCGAAGACTGGCAGAGTATCGTTGCTCCAACAAACGCGCTCATTTCCGCGGGGATAAAGTCCGCGTCGAAGACGCTGCAGATTCTCACAGATGAGGAGAGTTTGCTTGGTTGGTCACCCTCCCACTCTTTTCTCCAAGCGCACGCACATGCCGCAAACCCAGCTCAGCGAGTTCTAGCTGACGATGCAAACAAGGCGTAGAAACATTCCTCCCCTTCGACATGGAGTTCACCTACGGGGCGGCTTTGCACATCGCCATGGCCAGCATACTCTTTCCAACTGTTACAGAGGGCCAACAGGCGAGTTTGCAGGACGCGTATTCCATTCTCGACCAGATGATCGACAAGGGGAATAAACTTGCTTCGGCGCGGAAATCGGAGCTGGTGCAGCTCGAGATGCTGTTTCGGGATTTGGCGGCGAGGACTGAACGTAGCGGGTTGGAGAGGCTTGTTCTTCCTCTACCTGTTCCGCCGGCGGTGCTGCTGCCGTCTGGTGCTAGTCTGGCCCCAGATCATGTCGCAGGAAATGGACATATAGACGCCCAAGACCCCGCACCAGCACCGGTACCAGTCGATATCGCTCATGGACCAGAAAGCCTGCCTCTCTCACTGGCCGTTGATCCTGGATCCGACTCGCCCTCGGAGATCGTACACGACTCGGCGAATGTCGATTTCCTGGACAGCATTGGGATCTCCTCGTACGAGTTCTTCTCCCTGGTCAACCAGATTGGGAATCCGGAAAGTTATGTGCTTGATCCCGCGTTGCAGCCGTGGGAGGAGGAGTCCGGGCTGGAAGGGTGACACGTTGACCAGGAGGGCAAAGGGAGGTCGTAAGAGATGATGGTCCGTGAGTACAGGTGCTCGTCCAATGGGCGTTATGGTTTCCCGTCTTCAGCATCAGCGAGTAATTCAATTTATAAGCACATATGTTCTCCATCTCTAAATAGCGCAACGGTGCATACATACATAAGATCTGGCTCTGCCCACAGGCCACTTCTCCCCTGGAGCTATTCTTCAAAGTCACCACGTGCGGAGCACAGGGGTTACTCGATTTCCAAGGGGGATGGATACATGTAGCCAAAATGACTACCTCAAGGAGAGTTCTCTATATTGATATATCTGACACCGAATCCATTGTACCTAAGACGCCCATCCAAGTCCGCTAGCAGTAGCCTGCAGCAAGACAGCGAGCTAAGCAAGTTCCTCTCGTTTCCAGTCAAGCAGCATACAGGGCCCTTTGAATTTCAAGTCCAGTCACCTGCCCACCAGGCAATTATCAGCACCGGAACTTGGCGCATGAGACTGGTTCTTTCACCTGGTCTGCATTTCAGGTCTATGGGAAAGTTTATGCAGGCTGCGTGAGCGTCTCCACCCTCGGGTTGAGGACCCGATATAGGCATCCGAGCGCGAGCCGAGGCAGGGTTGAGGAGGCGTCTTTGTCCTTTCTCCAGCACTGGGGGACAAACGCACCTCGGGTTGGCTTTGGAGAACATTGATCTCGAAGGGACTTTGTAGTCGCTTGGTCTGGGCTCGTTTGCAGAGGAATTATATTGGTCTTCTACACAAGCCCTGCCTGGATGGCTGTGCGTGGTTGAGGGAGTCAAGGGCACGCACCACGTTTCTGAGAACACGGGGTAATTGATCTGTGCACTTGAGGGTGCGTGATATTGTCTAAGCGCTGGCTATGTGTACTACAAATTCGCGTGGATTGTGTTGATACCACCCGTGATGATCGTCTTGAGAGCCATATAGTCCTCCACTCCGTATTTACTTCCCTCGCGACCAAAACCTGAATGTTTGACTCCTCCAAAGCTGCTACTGTTAGCATCCTTCCGAGGGATATCACAGAGTAAATAACAGAGAAGGGGGAAAGGCGAAAAGGAAAAACCTACGGCGCAGCAGCATCCGAAATAACCCCCGTATTGATCGCAACCATCCCAAACTGCAAGGTCTCCGAGACACGGTGAGCCCTGGCAAGATCCGTTGTCATGATATAAGAAGCCAGTCCAACATCGCACTTGTTCGCCCGCCGAATGACTTCCTCTTCAGTGTCGAATTTAGCCAACGCAGCTAGCGGGCCAAAGGTCTCTTCGCTCATCACCTTCATGCTATCGTTGACCTCGGAGAGGATGGTGAGTTCGTAAAAGTTGTTGCCTAGTGCAGGGATGCGGTTTCCTCCGAGTAAAACTTTGGCATTCTTATCGATTGCGTCTTGGACGTGCTCTTCGATCTTGGCTACACCGGTTGTTAGCGGTCCGTGAGTGACGGAAGGGTCTGCGTGGGTATTCCCAACGCGGAGCTTGGCGACTTCTTCAACGAGTCGAGCGGCGAAGCGGTCGTAGATTTTAGACTGGACATAGATCCTGTTTGCGCAGACGCAGGTTTGGCCGGTGACTTTGAACTTGCTCACCAGCGCACTGGAAACCGCAACTTCGATGTCCGCATCGTCGAAGACGATGAATGGCGCGTTCCCACCGAGTTCCAAGCTCAACTTCTTGAGTGTATCGCTCGACTGCTTCATCAAGAGCTTCCCTACCCTCGTCGAGCCCGTGAATGATATCTTCTTGACTATCTCAGACTCGCAGAGTGCAAGCCCCAGCTGCGGTGTATTCTCCAGCGCAGTTACCACATTGATGACCCCAGATGGAATCCCCGCGCGCTCAGCTAGGAGGACCAACGCATTCATCGAAAACGGCGTTAACCCATCTGATTTGATGATCACTGTACAACCCGCCGCCAACGCCGCAGCAAGCTTCCTCGCACCCATCGCCATAGGAAAGTTCCAGGGCAGAATCAAACCGCAAACGCCGACTGGCTCTCTGATAACATGCGTCCGACTCAAGCCGTTGCTATGCGGAATCACATCCCCATATATCCGCGGGGCCTCCTCCGCGAACCACTCGAAGAAGCTTGCTGAGAACACAACCTCGCCTTCAGCGTCTGCTTTTGCCTTGCCGTTTTCTGCAGTGATGATGCGGGCGAGGTCCTCTTTATTCTCGAGGAGGAGGTCCGAGATCCTGCGGAGATACTGAGCGCGGGTTCGGCCTGGGAGGGAGCGCCAGGAGGGGAATGCGGCTGCGGCAGAGGTTATGGTGGTATTCAGGTCTGCGACTGTACATTCTGGGCATGTTCCCAGGGGCTCGTCGGTTGCGGGGTTTGTGATGGTGAATGTCTTGGTGGATTTCGAGGGCGTCCAGGTGCCGTTGATGTAGGCGGCTTCGATGAAGAGGGAAGGGTCTTTGAGTGAGAGGGTGGACATTTTGAAGAGTCTAAAGAGATTGATAGAAATGAGAGTGGAATTGCTGCGGTTAATCGCGTTAAGAAATACAAGGCCTTAATACGATACTGCGATGAGCAGTCCACGGTGAGGGGGTCTGCGGGGTGTATCTCAGGTTCGCTTCGGCTTCCTCATCCGAGACTACTCCACCATCGAGGTAGGGGTTCCGCTTTGTTCTTGGATGGGCCTTGTGGACCTTGCGAGCGATTTGCCGTCATCACAGCTTTGATGTGGCTCCTGCGACTGGAGCGTCTTGGACTCCTAAGGCGAATATCGCGGCCGCCTGAAGTATGGAGTCAGGCGTGTACGGGGTGTACGCGGAGCTTAAGGTCATGTTTGGTAGACGTTGCTGCTGCTGCATACCTAATTCTTACCATCTCTAGTATGGACTACTAATGGCTGTGACTTTTTAACCAGATCAGGTCAATGTATCCCAAGCATGAGATCAAACATTCGAGAGACTACCAAGGGACACATTAATTCATGCGCGGAGTAGCTCGTCACAATGATTCGTGCATCGGCTCGACAATCCGAGACAACTGAAGCGCATTATCAAGATAGGGTTCTCGCGCCTAGACCCGATGCATACCCATTGGTTTGCGATAAGGAATCTAGACCCTGATCGACGGGGTTCCTATAATTATGACAGTGCGGGTGGGGGGTGATGCAAAGCGAGATACACCCGGTCCTTCGTCCCATGACCCTCTATCACGGATAGCCCCAGATAGCATACCCCGAAAACAATAGCATAGCTGTGGCCAGCGAGGTATAAGTAACTCGTGGAGGATCGGGCAGATAGGTCTCCAACTCCAGTTCCAGCACCAGCCTCAGCTTCTCTATCATCAAGGAATCGAGTACCACTCTCACTATCCTCAACTTAGTAGCACATCACATCACAATGGCCCCAGCCGCCCTCCTCCCCACCCCTGTGGAATCCACCACCACCACAACACCACCTCTCCCTCTCCCGATAACCGCCCCAACCGTAACCGGCCCAACAACCAAAAAAGCCACACGCCCAACACACCCCCTCCCCCGCTCATTGATCGAAAACGCCCGAATCCCCGACGGCGAAAAAGTCCCTTTCACTCCATCCGTGCACCTCGCCTACGAGCCCCCTTCCAAGATCTACAAAATGGCCGATTTCGGCCTCGAGGGCGCGGGCATCTCACCGAATGCCATCTCAGAGCCGTTTCCGCTCTTCACGCCCGAGGCGATTCGGCAGATGCGTGGCGAGATCTTTAGTGAGGCGGTCCTGGAGCATTGTCGGTTCAGTTCGAGCTTTTGCGCGAATATGATTCGCGGGATGGGGCATGTGTATGTTATGTTACGATTTGATTTCCACACCATGTTCACTTATAGCTATCCTTCCAGTTCATGAGGTATCGACTAATACCAGGACGCTACAGCCGCGCACCATTCATCTACGACGTCTGGAAATCCCCCGACGTCCTCTCCAAGATCTCCGCCGCAGCAGGCATAGACCTGATTCCAGCCTTTGACTACGAAATCGCCAACATCAACGTTGCCGTGAGGGGCGAAGACGATGACCTTGACGCCAGCACCAACACGACCAACCTGGCCGTCAAGAATGTTAATGAGGATGCTGACGTCCCCGCCTTCGCCTGGCACTACGACTCCTTCCCGTTCGTCTGCGTAACCATGCTCAGCGACTGCAGCGGGATGGTCGGCGGCGAAACCGCAATCCGGCTCCCCGATGGCTCGATCAAAAAAGTCCGCGGCCCCGCGCAGGGGTACGCGGTCGTTATGCAGGGGCGGTATCTCGAGCACCAGGCGCTGAAAGCCCTTGGTGGTCGTGAAAGGATTAGTATGGTTACGCCGTTTCGGCCGCGGGATGCGAATGTAAGGGATGAGGTGATTCTTGTGGGGACGCGCGGGATAAGTGACTTGGGCGAGATGTATCCGCAGTATTTTGAGTATCGGATGGAGGTTCTTGAGGAGAGGGTGAGGGGGGTTATCAAGGCCGAGAGGGGGAGGGGGAGAAGTGGGAGGGGGTGGGGGGGGGAGGGGGTGCGGGGGTGGATTGAGGAGCAGAGGGAGTTTTTGGATTCGATGTTGAGGGAGATGGTTGTTGTTGAGTAGGTTAGAGGAATAGGTGAGAGGTGAGAGCATGGGCCCGGGAGATGAGCTGGTGTCTTGTTTGCTTGATTTATGCCATGTTCAGATTGAGCCTGTGCTTTGTCTTTAGTGTCCTTTCTCGCGGTTTTATACAATTGACGAGTGAGTAGGTTGTTGTAAGTCTCGTCGAAGCATTCCATACGCGACTCTCCATACCTACTTATAGTTGTCCTCTTGGTGCTGTAATGTTAAAGACGAAGCAACCGTCTCTCATATCCATGTTCCACATTCGGACCCCTTATTCTAGACCTCTCCACCAGCTTGAATACTTGGGACAGTGTGCCTACCAGGGACCCAGCCCATCTAATCCGTGCACTAGCCTACCTACCCCTTGACAAATTCGTATTTGACAGACACGGCGCAGTAATCGAGGGAGTCGGCTTCCCTCGGGCGGTAGATTACAGAGCTATGTTCGCTGTAGATGCTAGGGGGTATCACGTCATAGGGAGCTCCATGTGCTCTGGTCGAATGAGCTGCGAGGGCAGATGCACAGTGATAGAGCAGCAAGTATCTATGGCGGACTTCAAAGATTAAACGACTGGTCTGCGATCATGATGACTATCGGCTTCCATATGCGAGATAAGATGAGCTAAAGTAACGCGTTGGTAGGTTAGGAGGTACTAGCCCCTAAGGCACACTATCAGATTAGCAAGGAACTAGATAACTTAGTTCTAATAAAGTTACTTACTAAACTTAGTAGGCTCATGGAATAGATTAGTTAGGAGAGGAGATAAAGTATATTACGAGAAACTATAAATAGTTTATGCGGTAATTTTAGTGACACATGTTCCTGCGAATGCGGTCCAAGAGTTAGGCCTCAAGCGTCCCAATTAGCTCTTTAGCCGCAGGGTCTTCCATAGCATCTGCCGCTCCCCGGGGTGTTGAGCGCAAGCGGGAGGCAAGTGTGGCGGTTACTCATTAGGAGGACCGCACATCATAGGGGAGAGGGCGACTGTGTCAGGCCCGCGCCGTTTCAATTCCTATCATGCAGCATATGATACAGACCTGAGGTTTTTGTCTTGACTTTCTAGCAGGGCTCAGGACCATGACCTTGATCCTGCAGGATTCTTTACAAACTCCGGAACAGAATGCTGGGGCAGACGCCCAATTCACTCTCTATCATCCCTCACAAGAGACTGTATAAACATCGAACGACCCGCTCGATGAGTGCCTCTCCATTCCAATCTCTATATTCTCAGGTTATATAATTCTGTGCTTCTCTAAATCAACCACGTGGAGGGTTATTGTCATCTGGGTATAGCGTGGGTACACGACTGGGAATTGGGCTCGCAGTCTGCATGTAGATTCCACAGTACAGTGGATGGATGGATGGATGGTTTTATTTACCCTGACCCCTCGCAAGCTAAAGCGATATGCATTCTACCTGCAGCTATTTATATCTTCCTTCATATCTCTATTTACATGATCACATTTCTTACGGACGAATATTAAGCCTCGCCTAGGGGCCTGTGGTGGCCGCTTGTCTTTGGTTCTGTCTTTGCGGGCCCTTTGGTCCGCGGCTACGAACCCTTTGAGATGCTTCTGCAAAATTTAATGTAGCATTCACGTTGCTGGTTTACCTTTTCCTCCTAACACGGCTGGTATGTGCCCAGATGCTTCTCCAATTCCTCTGCGTAGTTTTTGGCGCAGTGTTTTCAGTTTCGGGCAGTGGAGCATAACATGAATAACAGCTTCTGTTGCCCCGCATTCGTATTTTCGTCTTCTCGCTGTCCGTAGAGCTTGCCACAAGGCGCTAACCAACAGTTGCCAGCCCGCAGCTGGGTAAGTAGGTAGGCACGGTTCCGTGGCAATGGGTCATTATAAGGTCGGAGCAATCAGAACGGCGGCGCAGGCAGCCTGACAAGTGCCAAAGGCTGAATTGCATGCTATGACAGATGCTGGCGCGGAAAGTCCCAGTGTTGCGCCCCATGTAAAACCAGCTGCGCCATAACAGGCCATTACCACTGCCGAACACCCTGCTTGGCACACGCCATATGCTGCTGGACCGGCGGAGACTAGGCCTGATACCAGCACAGTAGACAGAACAGCCCCGTGAGGTGGTTTCATGGTGTTGAGAATGCTGAGGATATTGGGGCTTGCCCAGTTAGACATGCTCAAGGGAAGTTATACAAGATGGCTCACCAGTGAATCAAGTTTATTGGTTTGAGTGATATGGAAATGGCTCGGGTCTGCAGATCTGCTCAGTTGAAGTACAAGGAGAAAAGGAGGTACTTAGGGATGGATTTAGCATGCCGACTGCAGCTCCTTACATGGTTTAAATGTTTTGGTAACCCAGGAGCTTGACTATGCAGGATAATAAGACTCTCTGTGTTACAGTTTACACCTTAAATGCAAAGTAAATTCCTGTTCTACCCACTAGCGGCCCCAGCGTGGGCTACTCACCTAACACGACCTCATTACATACGCAAATTCCAAGATCTTGTCGAGGGAAGCTGGTTCTGTGAGGTCTCTACTTTCGTTCATGTTATAGTGGTCATGTTAGCTAATAGTAGAATGGCAGCTTCTAGGGTAGAAATTTCCTGCAAGGAGAGCATTTGCGTGATTTTTCAGGCCTTTTATTTTGCATTGTGTGTGAAAAAATAGAAATAATCTATCATGATTTACGGCTTCCTTTCTGTTGCAGCTGTAAGGGGTACATGTTTTCTAGGGACGTCATTTAACCAAGAAAAGCTTTGACTGAAAATGCAGCTGATTAGAAAGCTGGAACACCAAGCGCTTTTATGCTCGCAGCTTGCGTACCTGCCCCCCCCCCAACTAATTGACAAAAGTGGCTATGACGGAATGACGATGCATTGAGCTATGTAGCGATCAAGAGGTGAAGAAAGGAAGAAACCACTGGAAGGACCTCTTTCCTATAAAGGAAAGGGTGTCGCACGTGCGGCGCTAAACCCCATTTGGAAGTGAAAGGGAACCAGACTTCTAACACGAATAAGCACTCATTTCTGTGCTAGCGTCTTAGCAATGTGGTCAAGAATTAATCAAAGAAAGTTGCCATGTAATTAGTACAAAAGAAGAGAGTGCTAGTGGTCATTTTCAGTGCTTCAGCCTGACAATAAAAGGTTGTGGAGCCTGAAATCATTTCAATCCCAATCTAAAGCTCTCCTTCCTCTAGTAACCCCTGATTATGGGTCATGGTCGACCAGAAAGCAGACCATAGAGTAGCCTTCCCTCTTGAATAATTGCTGGAGTATGAAGATCAGGTCTCTCATTAACTCCTCGATGTAATGCACACAATCACCCAACGCCTCGCAATTGTTGACAAGCTGAGATATGGCCCAGTTGAAACTGTCCCGAAATGTGCTTTTAATGCCTCCGCAGACGTTCGCAAAAAAAGTCGCATATGGACTGCCAAACACCATTGTTTGGAGGCGACTCATCATCAGATAGAACCTGCCGGATGGGTCATCATCGCCAGACGAATCATTATCCCTAGAGGCCTCGAGATCGAGCAAATCCTTCAGACGGTTGGCTGGCTGCTTCATGAACTCGATTTCACTTGCGATAGCGGCCTGGCGGTCTGGGGACATTGTAGCGACGGTCTCCATAGGATACGCGCGTGACGCTGTCTTATTTTATTTCGAAGTTACTGGTATTACTCCCATCTGCACTAAAAAGGAACATGACCCACTTCACTGAGCCGTTAGTGGGTAGACAGAGCATGTAGCTGGATCCCGGTCAACTATCGGCAAGCCGTGTATAAAAAGAAAAGTATGAAAGCCTTGCCTCGCAGAGTTGCATATGCTCCAAACACAATCCTCGAGCGGGCCATGTTCCGTTTCATCCCGAAGAGCGACTAGGTCGCCCTTGACCTTAGACCTGTATTCAACGCTCAGTGCACTAAAAAAGCACATGGCCTGCCTCTTACGGCTGCTAATTGCCTCCAAGCGAGAGTTCACCCTATATATTCCGATTAACGATATACAGGCTCCTCGGCGACGCAAATGCACAGCAGTGTCGCTCTGGAAGCGTGGTGCGGTGTCTCGTCGATCATCCGCATCCCTAAGAGTCGGCCAAGGATGATAAGATGCGCCTCGGCCAGTGGTGGCTTGATCCTGAGATCTCCATTTGCGTTTGAACAGGGGGTCGTCGGTGCAGCCGAGGTAATTCATGAGACAGAGAAGACGCAGGCGTCGACGAGGCGACAGGGGTGTCTATCCCGACGCTGGCTGGCAGGGAAAGGGGTACGTGAGGAAGGGGAATACGCTGAGCAGCGCAAGGCATCTCGATGATTTTTGACGCTGCAACGGATTAACAAGCTTAATAAGACATGTATGCGAGAGATGTCAGCATAAAAAACGACAAGCACATGGTGTAGAATAGCGCAATGGTGGACAATAGGCTAAATAAAGTGGGCTGACATCCCAAGGCGCAGGGTCTGGTCTGGCCTTGATCAATTTAGTGTGTCTAGCCAAGCAGTGGCGGTCTTCTGACATTCAGCCCTCCCTGACGGATTCGATCTGGCGCCAATGAAGCCAGCACATGTCGCTACGTCAGTCGGGGAACCGAATGGGAAAGCGCGACGCTGCAGCCACGACCACCGGCCACGTCCGCCCAGAGACCATGACAGTGTCAGTGCCAGCCGTGGTGTCTTTGTTCTCTCCCGTTGTCACGCTGTTGGGGCCAGGATCCAACAGCCCAGCCCAGCAACCCAAGTTCCAGTTCCACTATCCACTCTAACCCAAATGCAGGCTAGCTTGCGAGACTGCCGTCACCATCGGAACTAAAGTGGGTATTCCGGTTTTCCGTCGTGGAAATTTGCATGTGCAAGTGCGTCAATCGGGCCGATATACTCATCAAAAATTCATAGGTCACACGGAACAGCTAACGTTATGAATCACGGCGGAGGAAACCCCGATTTAATGATCATGATGGATGGGAAAACTCTATCGCGCGATCGGCTGCGGCGGAGTTTTCGGTTCCTCCGTCGCTTCCTTATTTAGAGCGGCTGATGCCAGCGAAACTGCTGCTGGGAGGCCTTACGTTATGTTTACCTCAGGGCAGCGCTTTTCAGCTACGATTACTTTTTTCTCTACTATACAAGCCGGATACTGCGTTCTGCTACTTGGTTAAAGAATAACGTTTCGCTCAATTGACTTCGACTTTCCATTATCGATCAATCCTCAACTATCCTGGTGACCACTTGGACAATGTCGCTCCATCGACACAAGTTCGACACTGTCAACAACAGGGAATTTGTTGATGTCCAGTGAGCTCGCCTCTATCGCATTGATCGACTTCAGCTGACTCTTTCCGCAGGCTCGACAAAGATCATGTCGTCTTCCACGGCTCAGAACAAGAGGCAATGGGCGTCTACCTGAGCGGGCATCTCGTCTTCCGACTGAAGGAGGCGACCCCAGTCAAACACATCCGACTACATTTGACTGGTGTCCGGAGAGTATCGTGAGTTACCATACCCATACTTGAGGAGTGCGGTCAAGCTGACTGCATAGTCTCCCATCCCGCACAGCTGGATTCAAGCGGTCGTCACGCGAGACCGAATTCTATAAGCAGACGTGGGAGTTTCATGATGCGTATCGAACGGCTCCAGAGATCTTTCCGGCCGGAGACTACAGGTACCCGTTCAATGTTATCCTGGAGGGGTCGATGCCCGAGACTCTCGAGGGACTCAAAGACGCGTCGATCATGTATGCCTTCGCCGTTGAAATTGGTCGCAAGCATGGCAAGAATATCACATACCGGAAACCGCTGCGCGTGATTCGGGCGCCAAAGCCCGCTTGTGTGGATTTGGTAAGGCCTTTCTCGTTATCGTGGTTATTGTTCCGGAGCTTGAGCTAACGATATGGACAGACACTCGACGAAGTCTGGGCACAAAAGATCGCATACCGGGTCGAGATGCCCAGCAAAGTCGTCGCATTCGGAACATCAGTCGACGTGAATTACGACTTTGTGCCAATCGTTCCCGGCCTCACAATCGCACACATCGAGTCACAGCTGACCGAAATCCGAGACCTCACATTGAACGAAGACGATCTCCCCACTACCCGCAATACATCGAGCACAACGGCCGTGTTGGCAAGCGATACCTACACAATCGACCAAAACAGCGCGCACTATACGACGAAATCAACCGACGGATTCCAATTTTCGCGCTCACTGCAGCTCCCGCGATCGCTGGGCCAGTGCGTGCAGGACACGAGCGCGATGGGGATCGATATCAAACACAAGCTCAGAATCCACGTTCGGATGCGGAATCCTGATGGACATTTTAGCGAGGTATGCAAGACGAAGCCGCGGGCCGAGACAGGAGGGTTTGCTGACTGACAAATCTAGCTGCGACTTGCGATCCCCGTGTCGATATATCTGTCGCCGCACTATCGTGTCTGGGAGGGGGAGACCTTTTCTGGTGAGGCGCCGCCCGTCTTTATGGAGAGTGAATTGAGCGACGAGGCTCCTCCGCCGTATGGGCAGCATGAGCTCGACCGGACGTTTGATGGGCAGTATCGGGTTGCTGCGACTTGACTCACTCAGGGATATTCTTGACTTGTACAACATCATCGTTATGCGTTATGACCACCGATAGACTTATAGACTAGTAATCTTAATCAAGCTTGGATGCCTAAAGAATAACCATCGGCCGAAAACGCCGTCTTAACCATCACGGATTAAGATAACGAGATGGGTTCCATCACACCTGGACAGCCCGAGTCCGTCCCCGAGTCCGGGCGAGGATCCGGTCCGGCACTAACTGCATCTGAATTAGAGCCCATGCTGATTCGCTGATCGCTGATTTTCGGCACAATAAACCATCCGGCGGGGTCTGCCGCGGATAAATCGATACGAGCGAGACTCGGCGTGGCATCCCTCCGACCCTGCAGCACCCACGCCAAACGCAGCATGTCCACACGAGAAATCCAATCTCTCGTTATGTTGGACCGTTTACGAGGCGGGAGGCAGCATCGTTTGACTCAGTCGGGTCTCGAGTTTGCCCGCAGCGTAAGCTCTCGCGTTGATGGATTTGAAATGCAAGAGAGGAAACTGTGTATATATTTTCGCAGCCTAGCCAGCCCTCATAATACTATCCACTCAACCAACGCATATCCTCTCTGTTTTTAGACAAGCTCGACAAGCAACCAAGCTTTCCTGCGCAACATGTCGAATAAAGAAACAGTCCTCGCCGAGCCCGATGTGGCTTCCTCGATCACTACCCCAGATGCGCCTGCCGCGAAGCCCTTGACACCAGAGATGGAGGAGTTTACGCTGGGGAAGCGTGGGCAGCTGGCGTTCTTCACGCTCTCCGTGTTGACGCTCATGGTTGCCCTCGATGGGACGTCCATCTCGGTTGCTTTGCCTGTTCGTATTCTGAACCCATACTGGGTGACTTACGCTCACCTATCCAGATTATTACGCGCGACCTCGGAGGAACCGCTATTGAAGCTTTCTGGAGTGGAACTTCGTTCCTCTTGGCGTCGACAGGTTCGTACCATATCCATACCCAGATGGTTATCTCAACATCCTTTGACTAACGCGCGCAGTATTCCAACCGAACTTTGCCTCGCTATCCAACATCTTCGGTCGCCGTCCCCTGATCCTCATCGCTCTGACCCTCTTCTTTGTCGGGACTGTCGTCTGCTCAGTCGCCAAGGACTTTACATACATGCTTGTCGGACGTTCGGTGCAAGGTGTCGGAGGTGGAGGCTTGATTGCGCTTAGCGAGGTGATTGTTACCGACCTCGTCCCTCTGCGCCTGCGAGGCCAGTACTTTGGTATCCTCTCTGCCATGTGGAGTGTGGGTTCCGTTACTGGCCCAATCTTGGGTGGTGGGTTTTCGCAGGACGTTACTTGGGTATGCACCTTGATTGCCAGTATCAGAACGCGAACTAACATATGCAGCGCTGGATCTTCTACATCAACTTCCCCTTCATCGGCGTCGGCGCAGTCCTGATCGTCCTGTTCCTGAAGCTCAACATCCTTCCAACCTCGCTCGCCGAGAAACTCCGCCAGATCGACTACATCGGAACCGTCATCTTCATCGGCAGTCTCTCCTCGTTCCTCATCCCACTGACATGGGGCGGCATCCTCTACGACTGGAACTCCTGGCGCACCCTCGTCCCTCTCCTAATCGGTATCGCGGGCCTGATCGTCTTCGCCTTCTACGAATACCGCTACGCGACAGACCCCATCATCCCACCCAAGATCTTCCAGAACCGCACCGCCGTCGTTTCATTTGCAGGCAGTTTCCTGCAGGGTCTTGTTCTATGGTGTATCCTCTACTACCAGCCCCTCTACTACGAAGCCGTCAAAGGGTATACTCCGATAATGGCCGGCGTCGCGCTCTTCCCCGCAACATTCACCGTGGCACCCAGCGCCGCCGTCGTCGGTATCCTGGTTACAAAGTACGGCCGGTACAGATGGGCCGTCTGGCTGGGCTGGTTCCTCGCGACATTCGGTCTCGGTCTGCTGACATACATGGACGTCGACACCAACATCCCCTCCTGGATCTTCATCAACATCGTCTCCGGAATCGGCCTCGGCCTCCTCTTCCCCGCCATCGGCTTCGCGGTCCAGGCCTCCGCGACCAACGATACGCTCGCCATCGCAGTCGCCATGTTCAGCTTCTTCCGCGCAATGGGCCAGGCCGTCGGCGTCGCGATCGGCGGTGTGGTATTTCAGAATCGGATGTACCACAATCTCCTCGCCTACCCGAGCCTCGCGCCCCTGGCGAGCGAGTACTCGCAGGATGCCGCGGGGCTCGTCGAGGTCATCAAGGGGATGCCAGAGGGCGCGGAGAAATTGGGGCTGCGGACGGCGTATACGGACTCGCTACGGATCGTCTATGCAGTCTGTGCGGCTGTGTCGGGCGTTGCGATGCTGTTGAGTTTCTTGACCGAGAGCTATGATCTCAATCGGGCGTTGGAGAGTAAGCAGGGCTTGCGCAGTGAGAAGAATACCAGGGGGGATCTGGAGAGTGAGTCGACATAGATGTGATGCGGATAATCGAAGCTGGAATTATAGAGTGGTGGTGTAATGGTCTGGATGGTCTGGATGGACTGGATTGGGTGGGTTTCTTTTATAGAATAGAGATCTCCTGTCATGATATGATACGTAATGTTAATAGACTTATGATATGATTGCTTTTACTTTTTTGTGCCTTTTACAGATGAGAGAGATGGGTTTTGAGAAGATTACCTTGTTCTCAGCCTCTGGTCCTCGCAAGATTACGATCCACCTGATAGCAAGATTACCGCAAGTCGATTCGCGGGTCAATCTCGAGTCAAAGCTACGGCGAATGATTGTATCTAGAAGGTTGCAATCGGAACTGTTCCGCCACCCATCGCTCCGTTAGGGCAAATGTTGGCTCTGCGCAATGAAGCTGTCCATGGAAATGCAGTTCGCGACGAGCATCCCGCTGGCCCCAGGACGTGCTGTCCCTACTGAGTGATTCTGGGCGAGATGCACGGCGTTCACCCTACGCACCAGCCTATCCAGACAATGTAGATGTAGCGCTATAAATTGGAAAGGAAGACGGTTACGGCTTGAATAGTCTCGCTACTCGGTAGGGGTTGCGATAGCTTTTCCAATAACATTACTAATTGCCAATCAAGATTAGATCCAGTAAGCAACGGGCATTTTGATACAATTTGGTCCGCCCAGAATACAACTTTTCTCCCCCGTCCCTCTCCGTCGCCTTCCTGGTCCGCCTTTCCCATCCATTACATCCATCCATCCCACTTGCCCAATCCCTCGAATAACCACCTCTCAGTGCCTATCTCTGCACTTGCACTCCCTAAAGTCCCAGTTGCGGCAGTTGTTGGGCTTCGGACACCTCTGATCGCGGCACTTGCACTCCCTATAGTCCCAGTCCCGACAGTTGTTCGGCTTGGGGCACTTCCACCTCCGACAATGGCACCCGCGATAATCCCAGTCCCAGCACCCGTCAGGCTTGGGACACTTCCACACCCGACACTTGCATTCCCTCCAGTCCCAGTCGCGGCACCCGTCCGGCTTCGCGCAGTGCTCCTTGCGGCACTTGCACTCCTTCCAGTCCCAGTCGCGACAGTTGGTGGGCTTGGGGCAGTGCTCCTTGCGACACTTGCACTCCTTCCAGTCCCAGTCGCGACAGTTGGTGGGTTTCGGCGGGCACTCCTTCTTCCGGCACTTGCACTCGTGGAAATCCCAGTCGCGGCAGTCCGGCGGTTTCGGGCAGTGCTCCTTGCGACACTTGCACTCGCGGAAGTCCCAGTCGCGACAGTTGGTGGGCTTCGGCGGGCACTCCTTCTTCCGGCACTTGCACTCGCGGAAATCCCAGTCGCGGCAGTCCGGCGGTTTCGGGCATTTCGGGCGCCTGCATTTGCACTCGCGGAAGTCCCAGTCCTGGCACCAGTCGGGTTTGGGGCAGTTGGGGTGGTTGCGGTCTTGGGGGTCCGCTTCGGCTTCGGGAGAGCGGACGTCGAGTGCGGGGCTGGGTTCGGGGTCTGTTACCTCGATGGTGTCGTCGGTTTTGAAGGAGCGTTCTGCGGAGGGGAGTGATGTGTTAGAAGTTGGTGGGTACTGCTTTGATGGTGGTGGGGTTAGGGTTATAGCGAGGGGGAAGATATTATGCTGTGTGAGGGAAGGTAGGTGAGTAGGTACTTTCGAGATCCTCTGTCTCTTCAATTGGCGAGCTAAGCGCCAGGGTGAACAAGAGGGCAAAGAGGAGAAGAAAAGTAGTGTGCAGATTGATCTTCATGATGGGCAATTGATATCAGACTGTGCGTTGGGCAAGTCTGACTTGAGATTGACATTGAGGTTTGATCTGGCTGGGATCTCAGCTACTCAAGGGGCATTCTCGCCATGATTCCAGGACATCTTTATACCCGTCTCCCCCCTCCCTCTCTATCTGCTCGAAATAGAACCAGTGCAAGAGCAAGCATAGCCTCCAACGATTCAACCCAATCGAAATCAAGACCTTATGCCCATCCGTGAACTGACCGGTTTCCACGTCAAGACTCATGAACTCCCCAGCGGTCTCCCTCTCGCCAAGAGTCACGATGGCGGAGCTCAAAACCTTCAATCCCGCCAAGAAGGCAAAGACTCGCTGTTCAGTAGGCAAGAATCACCAAGCTAGACAGTCAAACGGCGTCTAGAGCCGCCTGTGGGGTGGCAAAGACTGCCTCCCCGTGACCCCTACTTCAAGGTTCAGGGTCCGCTATAGTAGATCGGCCTATAGGCTCCCCTGCCTTGGTGTCGGAGATGCTGGGAGGATAAGGTCACGGGTGGCGGTGTCTCAGATCTAATTTCTGGTTGAATCAGGCCACGCGGGGGAAAGTATATTTGTCGATCTTGTTCATGACGTGGGGGAATGTCCTTGATTTGAATGCGTGGTACATGTGAGACAAAGAAAGAGAAGAGCAAGTAAGCTTCAGGGTCCGGATTTAGCCGCCCCCGGATTCAGTATCCCTTAGCGTGGGGACCACAGTTTGGTCATCCGTGGTTTTCGGGCAGTCAGGTGCAAGATTGCCTATTTTTAAGTGTGAGGATCAGTGGCGTCCATTTATCACATGGGATTGGCCAGCGTGCTGTTATGCGGCTGTGGATTCCTCTTGTTTTGTTTTCAAGAGCCCGCAGAGGCGGCGCTTTGATCTGTGCTGAGATGGCTGCATGCGGCGACCAGGGTTGCGGAATGGAACCCGTCGAATGGAAAACGGCCTCGTGTGGGAGATCCCATGGGCTCGAGACAGGCCGTTGAAAGTCAAGGTCATAATGTACATTATATCCAGTCCAATCCATCCACCGCAGCTGATCTACCAGCAGAATCTAAAAGTATAATATATGGTCGAAAATGTAAAAATATATGTCCAACATCAACGGATATCCACAGTCGCCCCCGTTGGCACTCGACGAAGAAGACCCAAAATCTCGATTAAAGTCTAATAATTCTCCATATTGTTCCAGTAAAGCGTCCCGTGCTGCATCTCGCCGCGCGGATTCAGCTCCCAGCCCAGCATGAGGTTGGTCCACTGCAGCATGTGGCTGGCGATTTTAATGTGCCCGACGTCCGTGGGATGGTTCTTGGGGTTGATGTCGTTGTGGCCGAGGATGCCATCTGTGTGGAAGAGATAGACGAACCGCCACTTGCGGTCCTTGAAGTGTTCGTACACGCGCTGGATCTCTTCTTCGTAGATGACAGTCTGCTCGTACTCGTCACCTTCTTGGTTCCAGACGCCCCACTGGGTCTGTTTCTGTTATTAGTCTCCTGATCGATCGACCGAATTCTGGCTCGCATGGTTAAGTTGGGCTGAGCGGGGGTGCACGTACCATAATGACAATCTCGGCGTCCGGCCAGTGGTGGTGGATATCTTCAATGAGGTCGATGTATCCCTGGTAGAAGTTTTCTCCGGGGATCTCGTTCGGGCTGCGGTGGTCGTTGCCGCCCATTTGGATGATGACCAGGTCGGCGGGTTGCTCGGCCGTCACGTCGTACTCTTCCGGCTCGTGGTCGTACATGGCGCGTGCGCGAGAGCCAGGGTCGGAGGCTCGGTGCCAGTACCAGATCATGCCGTGGGCGCCGCCACCGTAACATTGTAAATCGACGAGACAAGCTCCGGGGTATGCCTACGCTTGTTAATAGAGCTTATTGTAGTGGTAGTTGGGGGCACTGACTGTGATGCCGAATTCAACATTGCCGAGACCCTGCGCGTAGACAAAGGCCCATGACGAGAGTGTTTCGTAGGTCGCGTATTGTCCACCCGTGAGGCTGCATTTATTAGCCAAGCTCAATCTGTTGAGATCGAAGCGACGTACGATCCTCCGATAATTTCCACCTTCTTCTTATATTGCGGGGGCTTTTTCAGCTGGGCGTCGACGTCGACGGATGCGCCGGCGATCTGGACTGTGCGAAGGGTGAGCGACGAACTTGCGAGCGAACCGGTGTACTTATCCTATGCCCCAATTCGTGACTATGACGATTAGCATCTAAACCTTCAACAATGCGGACAGACGCCGACCTACCTCTCATCTCAAAAATATTGTCTCCCTCAAGCGGCAATTCCTCGTATTCCGTGCCCGGTCCGACAAACTGGTATGTGGCGTCGGCGGTGACATTCGAAAACCGCCAGTCAAGCCTCCCGAGCCTGCAAAGTTGTAGCCGTTGTCATTCCAATGGAGCGGAGCGAGGGTAAATACCGGTAAGCGACCAATGTGCCCTCGGAGGTGTGTTCACCGAAACTTATCGCAAGCTATCCACCAAAATATTATTATTTATCGCTCGATCGGAGGATATTCGGTCGTACCTTGCTTCCGGAGAATTGCAGCTTGATACCCGGTGCTCTGGACGCGTTAGTGACGGATCGGAGGCGAATCGAGGGAAAAGGGGAACACACGACCACCCTGCGACAGTTAGCATTAACCAGACACACACGAAAGTAAAGAGAGCGTACAGGAAATATGTTTGCTATCCCATCGTCCTTTGTATGAAATCTCAGGCGCATCGGCATCGTAGTTCCTCCATGAGCTGTCGAGATCGATGGTGGACACTTGTCCCGGGTAAGGATCGTCTCTCGGCTGTCCGTTCTGCAGAATCGTGGCCGAGACGCTCACCGACCACGAGAGCACGGTCGTGAGCAGGAGGGACGGTGACCACATTCTTTCGGACACCTAAGCTGTGAACAAAACGAGCGACATCAAGGTGCCAGGTGTGGATGGCGGAGGTCAGGTCCGGAGTTTCGACTGGGGAATAATTTTCAGAAGGGTTGGCGGCCAGAAATGCAACATGGCTCAGGGTCTCCAAGAGCCCAGCTGTGGGCGGACTGCGCTAGTGATGACGCGATTCCAGGTTCAGACTGCCCTATGGGAGATGGACCACTCACCATGCTGGAATTGAAGGTGGAAAAGGGGTGGCCAGCCTTACAGAGCAGAGTTCATTTCCCCGCCGTTGTCTTGCGCGCTTCTGGTTCGCTGCGTTTCTCAGATGCCGAGCCCACTTGGAAATATGGTCGCCTATTTTTGGCGTCTGATAAGTTGCATTTGTACCCCTGAATTTGTTTCATAATGAAGCTGAGACAAAGTTATGAACTGATAAAAGCACAAGAATACGCTCAATGTGTTCCAACACGAGCGCGAAATGAAAAATGTCCTGTTGCGATTCGAAGATCATTTCCACTCCTGTCTCCGCGGATCAACCTAAATCCGCCGCTACATCTTGGAAAACATCTGCTCCCTCTGCGCCCGCACATCCAACTCCTGCGTCCACGTACTCCGCGGTTGCGTGTACAACCACCAATAAATCCCCGCCAAATCGCTCGGCTGCATCAGATACAGGTCCTTTTCCTGCAACTTCTCCGTTTCCCCCTCCCTCTCCCACCGCCGCCGCACCACCCCTCCGACGATATCACTTTCAACCGGCCCATCCACAATAACATGCGCCGCATGGATCCCCTTAGTCTGGAACTCGCGCGTGATGATCTGGCTTAGAGACCGAAGCCCAAACTTCCCCGGCGAAAAGCTACTCAACCCCGCACTCCCGCGAATCGACCCCGTCGCGCCCGTGAAAATCACCGTCCCCTCTCCCTTCTCCAGCATGCCCGGAATAACACACTTGGCCGCATAAAACGCACCAAAGAGGTTGATCTTCGTGAAACTCTCAAACTCCTCCGAGCTCGTCTCGAGGATCGTGCGCGGCGTGAAGCGTCGCGAGCCCGCGTTGTAGATCAGCACGTCCACGACACCGAGGTCGGATTTGATCGCTGCAAAGGTGGACTGCAGGCTGGATTCGCTGCGCGCGTCGGCGACATAATACTTTGATACGGGGCTGCCGACGGAACTGTTGATGGTGTTTTGGATCGTGGCGAGCTTCGACTCGGTGCGAGCGATGAGGGCCACGGCGAAGTTCTTCTGCGCGAAATGGTGCGAGACGGCTTCGCCGATTCCGGGGCCGACGCCTATCACGGCGAGGACGGGCTTTTTGTCGGGGTTCAGGGACATTGTAGAGTGTAGTGTCTAAGGAGTGTAGAGGGCGTAGTAGCTTCGCTGGTGTTCGTCTCCCAGCTTATGAGTGTTCGTAGAAGGGTGTAGCTATGCGCGTGCTATATAAGAAGAAGGTGAGGGAAGACCGAGGTTGGATGATTAGTAGGGTAGATAATTGGGGATGACGTTGGATAATCTGGGGTTGTGGTCGGAGCCGAGCAGAATAACTAATCTCGGGATCCAAAACCGTGATTAGTGATCTGCTGCCTCGGGTTAGAGTGAGGGGTTCCAGCAGGAAAGACGAGCATCCATCCAGGAACCATGAGTGAATTGCATAGTTGATTGAATTGGTCTTCTATGGCTTATAATTATGGGAATCCTGTCTTGAAAACCATATACTACTACCCATCCGAACAGGATGCAGAATATGTGTTGCAGTGGGGCACGATATATATCCGGGATGAAACGGTCAATATGACAACAAAAATTTTCGCTGGACACCTGAACAATCTGAAAGAGTGCTATATAGGCATGTCTGGGAAGGTAAGATGTGCCATTAAGCAGGCACTATTGATCTGACTTTATTTCTACCGGACGTTACGTCTTGAGAGGCGCATCAGGGGATCACGGACAGGGCGAAGGAAAATACTAAGATGGCCTTCAGGTATATTAAAGGGAGGTTGCAGGGTGTCTATGCTGTCAGTGATAGGTTGACGGCTGTTGATGCGTCCTTGTACCCGCTGTACCGCTGGGCTAAGCAGGATGGGATTGATGTCAATGCGTATACGGTCTTGGTTAACACGTTGGAAAAGAGGGAGAGTGTCCAGACTGTTTTAGCCAAGGTGAGACTCAAGTCCGTGTCTGGTCTATGATTACATTGATCGTGATGCTTTTCGGTTCCATGTCTTGATGCGTTTAATAACACTTTTTCTAGCTCTTAGAAGAGGAACAGGTCTGTCGATCCGTAAACAGTCTGATTATCTAGCCACTGCCTACATAATGCTCTACATGAATCGTAAGTCTAATTGGAAAATACATTATTTGGTCAATCCGAACTCCATTTAATACCCAGATCAAATAACCTGGCTGGCTTCTGCGTCGCAGTCACAAGCCATATACCTACCTAGTAAACAGACTACTTCCCACCCACTCACCAGCAAAACAGCAAAAGGGTAGATCGAGCCAACCACCTACCTAAACCCAAGGGCAGGCTTCATCCCTGTCTTGGGATGCCTCTGCTCCCACGGGGTTTCCACCTCCTCCCTACCCTCATCCTGAACCAGAACAACCGTTGTTTCGTTCTTGACCTCAACAACAGTCCCCTCAGCCCACCTGACCAGCTTATCGTCGCTAGGAATCCAGAATCCCAAGCCGACACGCTGGTCATTCGGGAGTCTGAATCCCGTACCGTTCTCGAGACTGAGAAACTGCTCAAGGGTGACCAAGTTTCCACGACACTCTCTGTCCTGTGCAGGGCGCGTCGTAACGACATGCCTGAAGTTCATAACCCTATAAACCTTGCCGCGGGCTACTCGTAGAGTGTTGGCAGGAGTCACTGCGAAGCCGTTGGCGATGTCGCCTACCTGGATGTTTGTGGACATTTTGAATTTTGGGATTGGTGATAGTGTTGGAGTGGTTGTTGCAAATTGTCGATTTAACGGCCGAATGGTTAGCTAGATTCAGTTAAGCTGGTGGTCGAGTGGCCGGTAGTTTTGGTGATGGCGTGAAGGGAGTATGGGGGCAAGTATGGTGGTCTTTATACTTTTTTCTGACGGCACTGATAAAGAAGATCGTCTTTCCTTTGGTCTGTATATTGCTTTGAAGAACATTATTATATATCTTTTATGTCGCATACATTAGAGGCCTGCAACCTTTGTTCTCACCCTAAAGACACTTTCTGTCTTTATACAGCCTTCCTGTCAAAGGTAAGCGCAATTGGGTCTTTGCTGGTCAACGTATGTCGTGACAGTGGTGGTTTAGAGACGCTTGTTCTTTTGTTCATATCTAACTATCCTCTGGCTTGTTATATGACCAAAAACAATGGTTGCAATGCACCAAAAGGCAAGAATCTTTTGTCATGAAAGTATACCCCAGGAGATTCTTTGATACACCAAACAATGGACTTTTGATTTAGAATACCTCAATGGAGCCTTGTAGAGTGCAACGGGGCAGATGTTGCTTTTAAGTCTAGTTTACACTCTCATTTGATAGTGTCAGCTGAAAAAAAAGCTGCTTTATGTAGCAGGTAATTAACTCCACGCATAGTACCAATAGATTGCTCTGGAAAACACTATCACAGTGCATAGTATCATGCTGGGAAAGGTGATTGTCATTAATATCACAATAGACGGAACAATCTTAGCATACACCAAACTGTCAATCTACAAGAAGATCGGTGGACCTCGGAAGCCAACGCTACGATGGACGCAACTAGGGCCTTAAACAGCTGCAATGTCACCTTGGAACTGTCAGTTGTGGGCCCCCATTTGATGTCCTGACTCCGTTTACTCAACCATTCTTCCCTTTCCAATGATCCAAGTCCCCTCTGATCTTACGCAAGATCCGGGACATATCTGGTTGCTTCTGTTTGATCAGATGGACATAGATTAGAATATGTTTCTCGGTTTTTCAAAGACACTGTTGTTGAGGGGTGCGGGAGAGATCTGAGAAACGCCACCTGTTCCTTCTATATACTTTCTAATTAATATATGTTAGTAAGTAGTCTCAGTTTTCCAGATTCACGATCATCGTCATCAACAGCCTAGAAAATAAACAGAGGTGGTGGACCCTTTATCTACTTTCCTCTCTATGACCACCTATCCCACTGGTTTCAAGGGATATCCACAGCTCGTTGGCTGACCACTTCACAGCGAGTTCCACACTTAGGAAGTCCGTGTGGGAGGTTATCACGCTTTTTAATCTGCTCAATAAGGGACATGGATTCCGGATAGAGCGACTGAAGCAAGCACATGGTGTCAGATCTCTCTTGGGAAATACATACAGAGAAGAAGTTATACTAATATCAATCACGCGCCAGTTGTATAAGCTCTGGACTCTTGGAACCCACTTTAGAGGACTGCATTCGATAGTTCAATTAGCCTCACGCGCATTATTCTCTCCTTGCTTTCTAGCATATGGCTATGCTGGACGTACCTGGAGCACAGCAGCGTGTCTCCTCCTGTAGCCTGCCACGCTAGGCTCTCGTATTGACGAGCTGATGTCGAGGTTTTGGAGCTGTTGGAACCTTCTCCGTACCCAAAGGACCCGGATGCGGATCTCCACTGACTTGTATATAGTGAGCCCGATCCGAGTGGATTTTTGCCCTGTGTTGTTACAATCACTGCGTTGGAGACGAATCACTTTGATCAATATGGTCATGTATATACTGAGCACATCAAGCAGTAGTAAATTTGTAGCTATGTACCACACATGCCAGAGGAGAATATAATCACATGATGTTGGGCTTCTTTGGCGCACCCGATGCATCTCCAGCTCCAAACAAAACCCTATCACCGGTCAAGGACCAGAAAAAGCCCATTGCGAAAAGCAAGAATGTCCTCTCCTGCTCATTCAACTTCCGACCTGCCTCCCTTAGGAGTGGACGACCTGGTATACTGGCCTGAAGACGACGTTGAGAACCTGGAAGGTTATCGCCCCGGCGGGTATCATCCAACCTATATCAATGACGAGTTCTCAAATGGCCGATACAAAGTTGTTCACAAAATCGGCTACGGATCCTACTCAACTGTCTGGCTTGGTCGTGGCCAATTAGTGAACCGCTATGTTGCGTTGAAAATCATCGTTGGCGAGGCGTCAACCAATGGCGCTGAGTTAAAGATTCTTCAACATCTACGATCTGACTCATCTATTCACCTACGACAGCAGTATATCGCGTCCTTACTGGATGTATTCACTTTTAGGGGGCCAAACGGGGAACAACAATGCCTGGTCAGTGAGGTTGGCGGGTGCAGTATTGCGCTATCCAAGGAAAATAGCTCTAATTTCATGTTTCCAATTGACACCGCGCGATCCATTGCGGCTCAAGTTGTAATGGGCCTGGCCTATATGCATTCATGTGGTGTCGTTCATGGAGGTGCGTTGTCCCTAGCGCGACTCACCCACGACGGCCATCACTGACACGCGATCTAGATCTACATGCTCGAAATATCCTAATTCAACCGACACACATGGATGATATGACCACGGATGAGATATATGAGCGGTTTGGCCAGCCATTCGAAATACCGGTCGTGCGGAATGATAAAGCCACCCTCGGACCGGAAGCGCCCAGCAACGCCATCATACCGATGAACTTGATTGCTCCGAGTAATGAAGTGGTCGACAGCAAAATTAAGATCACCGACTTTGGCACATCCTTCTTCGTCGATGGTCCGCCGGCGAAACTACATACTCCAACTTCTCTACTCCCACCAGAAGCATTTTTCCACGAACCTATCGGTCCACCTGCTGATATCTGGACACTTGGCTGCACCCTATTCGACATCCTCGGTGAACGCACCATCTTCGAAACATGGGCCGACGACCGCGACGATGTCATCGCGGAGATGGTCAGTGCGTTGCGGAACTTGCCTACGAGATGGTGGCGGAAGTGGAAGAAAAGACCCGATTTTTTCCTCGAAGACGGAAAATCCTGGAACCCAAAGTTTGACCGCATGCAAACCCCGGTTTTCAGGCCTCTGGAACAGCGGCTTCGGCAAATGGGTCGCGGAAGTACCCCTGAAACGTGCGAACTGGACGAGGCGGAGAGGGCGAGCCTGAAAAGTCTTCTGTCTGCTATGTTGGTTTATGAACCGTCGGAACGGATCACAGCAGACGGCACAATGCACTCTGCATTTCTGCAGCCTTGGGTGCGTCCGGCGGCTTTACAGCTGGCATATACGAGTTTCCTTTCCCGTAACATATATGTTTCTTTTCCAAGGCAATCGCAGTGCCAATCACTTGACTTTATTATCGTTCGTTGTTGAGGGAACCATGGAGTAGTGCAAATGGATGCCTTTTCTTGGCGCAGGATATACTTATATACAAGCGTCCCAGCACTTCCTAACGCGTAATCGGCAGTATGATAGAGGCGGGGACTCGAACTACATGTTATGGACGAACTGGTGAGTAGTGGCGAGATGGATACTGCGTTCTGCTGGGCTTCCCTGCAACCGACTGCAGTTTGCGACAAGATCTTGCAATACCTTACGACTGACGACCATCTCGACCCCGGTTCAATACCGTTGAAAGTCGCTCAACGGCCCTTGGTCAAACTAGGTACAGACATCAACGACCATTTTCGACAGTGAAATGAACTCGGCGCTCCTCTGTGCGGTCAAGGCGGGTAACACAACTGGAGCCTCTGCCCCCTCTCCAATGGCGCAGATGTATATCACAAGAACTCCATGTCGTGACAAGACCAGGAAATTCCCTAGTTCTTGAAATGCTGTTGGCACACGGAGCTCCTATCTCACAACCAGATGCCAATGGTAAAACCCGCTACTCATAGCATTTGCCTTGGAGAACGACGGACTTGTTAGCATCCTGTTGGGCCTTGGCGCAACGCAATGGGAGACTGACACAGAAGGCAGAACAGCTCTTTACTTCGCGAAGAAGGATCAAGTGCACAGGGGAACATTTATTGTAGAGATCCCATTGCAGAATCTGCAACACGGCTGAGTGATCGCACGGACGAAGATGAGCCCTCTTCTCCGGTCTCAAAAGACATTCGCGGTGACCGAGGCCATGGGAATCTTTCTCGTGCAGAACAGCGGCGAGGCGAGTCTGGAATGCGCCGCCAAGGACGAACTGGCTGGTGGACTCGCTGGAGACACTGGAGGCAACCATCTGTTCCATTCCGAACGAGTCGGGAACAAGAGTAGAGCGCCCCGGAAAACGATCCACGTTGAATCGGCAGCCAAGCCCGCGCAGTGGAGGCTGAGCACAGGCAAAGCGGGCCCAGTCCCCATAAACCGAACACGAACGCGAGAGCGAGAGCGAGAGCGATAAGCTGTGCACCATAAGCACAACGTAGGCCGGAGATATAAGACTCATCTCCGGCTTACTCCCCGGACTGTGGATTTTTAAATAGCTGCGCCATCTCTCTGTGGGTTGATACCAGCACACGCCGCTCGTTCCTCACCATGTCCACCGCAAACTGTACCTCTGTGACCCCAGAATGCCCCGTCTCCGCAACAACATACGCCTACGTGCCTAATCTCGGCGCAAACGCTTTCTTTGCGGCCTTATTCGGCGTTTGCGGGGTCTACCACCTTGTTGTCGGCGTCAAGTCGCGAGGATGGACCTTCATGATTGCGCTCGCCCTCGGTGCCCTAATGGAAATGGTTGGCTACATCGGCCGTATACTAATGCACGATAATGTCTGGGACAGCAACGCCTTTCGCCAACAAATCGTCTGTCTGATCCTCGCCCCCTCCCTTATCGCCGCAGGCATCTACTGGTCCTTAAAACACATCGTCCTCTACCTCGGCCCTGAGCACTCACGCCTCCGACCCAACCTATACCCGTGGATCTTTATCGGATGCGATGTCGGGTCGATCTTCCTACAAGCAGCCGGCGGTGGTGTCGCCAGCGCAGGCGACGACAATCCCGACCGAGTCAATGCCGGAAACAACATCATGATCGCTGGAATCGCGTTCCAGGTCGGGACGATGGGGATATGCGGGATTCTCGGACTCGACTTCGTCTGGAGGGTATACAAGTCGCGCAAGGCCGCAGGGGGAGAGAAGCCGCCCGTCAAGGATGGAAACAAGTTCTACCTTTTCTGTGCGGCTGAGGTGTTCGCTTATGTTACCGTGCTCATTCGGTGTATCTATCGGTATGTCCTCGCTATAGCCTGTTCAGGTCAGGATTGATACTGATGAAATAGGTTGCCCGAGATGGCTGGTGGATGGGGAAATGAACTCATGCAGAATGAGTTGGAGTTTCTGATTCTGGATGGGATGTAAGTGCCACTGCTGCATACACTGGTTGCTTCCCTTCTAGATGAGGGCATATACTGATTGATCTTGAAGGATGGTTGCGTTGGCTGTTGTCGCGCTCTCGGTCTTCCACCCTTATTGGTTGTGCCCGTCGATTTTGAAATGAGTATGAGTATGGCTTGAAAACGCGGCAGATCGGTTTATATAAACGAGATAGATATTGGTTCCCTCTTTGACCTCTAAGGATTTAGCGATGGCTGGAATTTTCTTGATGACTAGATGATGAGTTAGATAGCCTTGTCAAAGAACGATATTACAAGCATGAAAACTGGTCTAGGATTCTTTCGAGTAACTGTGCTACTTGATCCAGGTTCGAGCAGTCCATCTATCAAGATAAATAGAAACGAACCACTTTCCCTGAGAAATGGCCTTGACCACCGCTGCTCCTCCCTGAATGGGGCAGAAACAATCAACCAGAATCTGAGTCAGGGGCTGAAAACAAAGCATGTTTAGCGGCCCTTTAGTCTCGGATAGCTTGATTGAACACATCCGATTGGGTGTCAGACTGAGGGGCCTGGGGTCCAAATCTCGCCGCTTCGTCACTGCCTAATTTTCGTCAGCTTACTTTTTGAGAGCCGCCGTCCAAAGCTCGCTCCAGTCAGGTGCCTAAACCATGAATCCTGATCTTTAATTTGAGCCTCGATCAATGAGGGGGTGATCCGGAAGTGGGAAAGAAAGCTAATAATGCCACCGCTCAGATCTCATCGGAAATCCCGGACGGGGTGTCTGGTGTGTAGGAAACGACGAGTCAAGGTGAGCCTGAGCCAATGCAAATCCCGGTCACATGTCAGATAGAATCCTTACATTGAATACGAGCTAACCAATCCAGTGCGACGAATCAGGCCACCCCTGTGCAAACTGTACCTTCCGGGGCCTGGACTGCGCATACGCCGATCCCAGAACGTTGGCCGGTGGAAGCGCAGCGGAAGAAAGAGCTACGCCATCGCGTACGGAGTCCTTACCTGGGGTGCCCCCAAGGGATAGCGTTACTCGGCAAACTCAGCCAGCACTATCACAGGCGGCGGTATCACTTCGACTACAGTTGGAGCTGATGCACACTTACTCGACGGAAACATACAAGAGCCTCTTCGCAGAACCAACTGACAACCATACATGGCAAGTCGTGGTCCCCCGACGCGCGCTGGAAGATGGTGACGGGGACAGGGAGAATGGATTCCTGCTTGATGGACTCCTATCCGTCGCAGCACTGCATACGGCCGTTCGTCTAAGCAACAGTCCGAAGCCAGAAGACCGAGCATGGAAGCAGGTATACATCGATGTTGCAATGGAATATCAAAGCCACGCGCTGCAACCATTCCAACGAGCTATCCAGCAGATTTCAAGGGACAACTGTGACGTCGTCTTTGCGCACTCGTTGATTACCATCGTGAATGGGATCGCGGTTCCGCAGGTCCTCCACGTCTCAGAAGGCCGTAGGGAAGATTCCAAGATGAATATGCTAGAGACGATATTCACTCTCTTCGAACTCGTTCAGGGCACGGCGGAAATCAATCGGATAACGGGGCCCTGGCTTAAAGATAAAGACCCGTGTCTTGTATACCAGGATTTCTGGGCTGCGGCGAGCGGGACGGCGCTTGACACCGAAACAGATGCAGCGCTGAATAGACTCGGCGCTCTGAACGACGCAGAAAACAAAAGCGATATCACTCGGCATCTCGGCGACGGCCGATTCACCCTAATCGAGAAAGCAATATCCCTCCTTCGGAGATGCTTCCAGCGATATACAGCACTCAATGATCCCGTTTCCGTCTTGACTTGGCTCGCGACGGTCGATCGCGCGTTCGTCGACTGTCTACGGCGCCACGAGGCGCTGCTGTTGCTGGTGCTTATGCATTGGGGCGCGCTGCTTGCGAGGTTGGAGGGGGTTGTGTGGTGGGCCGGGGGCTCAGGGAGGGGGCTTGTCGGGGATGTTTTATGGATTCTGAGGGTTCAGCATGAGGGGACCAGTGGGGCAGATAAGCCAGGGCGAGATGGTGGAGTACGAAGAGGGGAGGACTTTGGCGGTGCATTGAAATGGGTACGGGAGGATTTGGGGTTGTGAATGGCAGTCAATGTGTACAGCCTGACTTTGTTGCTAGTGTGGTGTACAGGACCGTTACCTCTGACCCTTGATCAATCGCACAACGGGATCCGTGTCTCACTGGAGAGCCTTGTCATAGATAGTGACGTACTTACTGAAGCCGCGTAAACCCCACCACTGCCTAGTCTCGGCGATGTAATTCGTATTGCCGCGTACATCCCCCGCCTGCCTGATCCATGCCCTGATTATAAGAACGCCATTAGGCGTGGAGCATACACAAAAGACCGTTTGTGAATTATCGCACTGTTAAAGCTCACCTACAGCAGAACCAGAGCTAGAGCTATGACCTCACAGACACAAACCCCTGAAGTCGAATTCCGCAACTGGCTCCACACTGCAGACCATACACCGGAGCACCCAGCGAGTCTGGACGACGAAACACGCCGTGGCCTGATCGAAAATATCATTAATGCCATTCAAAACTATTATCTGAACCAAGACGCTGCAGCACAACTGGCAACGACACTTCGCGCCCGTGTCTCGGAGGGCATATACAACCACATCTCGTCAAGTACAGACCTAGCACGCACTGTAACAACAGACCTCCAGGCCCTAAGCGGGGACAAGCACTTCCGATGTATTTTCGGCATATCACCCGAGGAGCCCTCGAGGGAGGAACAACGGGCCACACTGGAGAAAATGAACTACGGGTTCGGGGATGTCAGAACCCTCGACGGGAGCATTGCGCTTGTTGACATGACGCTATTTCCCCCTGTCCATTGGGAAGGTGTTCGTGATAAGATTCAGAATGTTCTACGGAGCCTCTCATGCGCGGCTACACTCATCATTGATCTGCGGAAGTGTCGAGGTGGGGATCCGAGGACTGTAGCATTGATCTCCAGTTACCTGGACAAAAGCGAAGGCGGTCCCTGGCTGAAGATGGTACGGCCCTCTGACGGGATGACCGAAGAGCTCCGCGGAGAGCCACTCCCCAAGGACGCGGTCTTCAGTCCCGAAAAACCAATATACGTCCTCACAAGCCACGCCACAATCTCCGGCGGCGAGGACCTCGCGTACGGGCTTCAGGCACGGAAGAGGGCTACGGTCATTGGGGAGAGAACGGCTGGTGCAGCTAACTTGCCTCGCGCGTGTGTTTTGCCTGGAGGGTTTGTCCTCTGGGTTCCGCACAAGTACCCAGTTTGTCCGGTTACTGATGGGAACTGGGAGGGGGTGGGGATTGCGCCTGATATCGTGTGCGAGGCAGAAACCGGTGTTGACAGGGCCGTTGCGCTGGCGGTAGAAGGACTCAACTCGAGGAAAGGATCCACCATGGAGGAGTGAACGGGAGTGCTGACGACGTAGACCATGGTTACACATTGCATAACCTCAAGAACCGAAGATCTCGTGTACACGGCAGATACAAAAAAGCAATAGTAACCAGGAGGCAAAATTCTGCCATAGCTGGTCTACCCTGAGCATATATTTCATCTTGGTGGTTTTTCCTAGAGATTCTATGTGAAAATCTAGTTTGTACTCTTCCTCGGCGGAATGGGGAGGGGGTTGGGGCAGCGCCTATTGTTACTTTTCAAAAGGAGGACGCTACTCCAGAAGCGATTGCCATGACAAACAAGGCACTGATTTTGGAGAAAGGGCTCGTTGTGACTAAGATTGGAAAGATTGGTGATGGGACAGTGGTGTGCCGAATGGACGGTTTGTTCGGAGGCATATGTAGCGTACATGTCTTTCAATGTTTCTCCCATTTCTATGTGTCTGCCTATATCTCGGGTCTCTGGACTCTAGTACCGAACCAAGACGGATGCACCCACTAAGTTAACACTTCCTCCCCGCGAAACGCCTGAATTGCATCAATAATCTGCACCACAGCATCCCAAATCCTTACTCTATTCTTCAACCCCTTCAAAGACTCCCTATTCCCCGTAATATCCCTATACAGCTGATACCAATTCGTCCGCTCATACGGCAGGCGAATCGGACTAAGCTTCAACATCTCTGCTCTATCCGGATCCTCAGGCCACTGCCACATCGAAGCATCTTTGATCCACTCCTCGGCGATCTCGGGCATATCCTGGCGGATGATGCTGATGGGTTCTTCGAGGTTGCGGAAGAACTTTTCCCGCTCTTGCTTTTGCTTTATAAGGTCTGTTGCTAGGAGTGTGCTCCAGTAGTATGGTGCCGGGTCGGACGACCATGCTTCGTAGAGGGCGGGGATCTCTTTCACGAGGAGGTGGTGCCAGAGCGAAATGGGGAGGTGCGTGAATGCGCGAGAGGACAGGCGGAGGGCCGCGATATCAGGGGAGTCGAGTTGCCAGATGATGATGTGGATAAGCTCAGGTGGTAGCGAAAGAAACGGGTCTTTTGCGCTGGTCGAGTCGTGGAGCCTCGCCGTAGTAGGGAATGGGCTATTCTGTATGCTAAACGCTGCGTCATCTGATACAATAGACGCTGCTACGATTGGAGCCAAGTCTGGGATAAAGACGGGGTTCGCGACCAGATATTCTCGGCCCGCGCTGTGTTTCCATACCTGCTCTTGCTCGTCTCGTACATCATCTTGGTGCGTGACGGGGAACTCGTTCTGTTGCAGAGCAGCGCGGTCTCGGATCTGCACGAGGGCGTCGATATCAACGCGCCCGAGAATCTGCTTACTGGCCTGGATGAAGATTTCAAAACATGTAGGGTGAAAAGGAAGCCCTGTTTGGTTTAGCTCCTCTTGTGTCTACCGGGGCCTTGGTCAGAATATAGGCATCCAACCTCACGCTCATGCAGAGACAGCATAGAATAGGTACGCACCGTCTCAATATAAAACGCACTCTGCGACTGCCACCCAGCGCCAACGCCATACCTCGCGGGTTCAACCTCCATATCCCACAGACCAGTCGGCATCCGATCAGCGAGTCCCGTCAGGAAATACTCGCTGTCCTTTTCAAAGTTCATGTCGTCCGCAGCGGCGGCTGGCTGCCAGTTGCGTGGTTTGCGAAGCAAACACTGCACGGTATGGCAGTTTCGCATCTCCTCAGTGGATATGGCGTGCGGGCGGTATCCCTCGGTATTCACACAACCAGGCCCGGCGATGTGCTCGTGATGCCGCTGGATCAGACGCAAAGGCTGCATACCGTGGTTGTTGAAATCTTCCTCCCCGTCAAGCCCACCAGTGACTGGGGCATCAACTGGCAGGAACTCGGTATCGAATTCGGGGATTATAGGCTTGGCTCGGAATATCCACTCTTGATCAGCCTTTGATCCGACATCGTCATCATCCTCATCATCATCGTCATCGCCTTCACTGTCGACTTCCATTTTGCCATGGCTGAACTCGCCCTCGGACAGGTCCACATCGGAGTCAAACTCAAGCGGCCCATCCTCATCCTCTCCGACACTTTCATAAATATAGTCGGGGTCACTGTGCGAGCTCTCATCATCTAGAAAGAGGTCCTCAAGCATAGCCGGGGGACCGATCGCTAACTCCTCCGCCCTAAAGACCATCGAACATCCGGTTTCATCGGAGCACCGCGGCGGGAAGCGCGAACTGTTGTCGTCGTCGTCATCGTCATCGTCGTGACCGCCTTGCTGCCTCGCATCATTGTGGAAATCTCGGCCCTCCACCCAGGACCCCGGATGTCCGCCAAAGGCAGCAGAGCGCGGTTCGTCGGGGCCGCGGATCCGGCTGATGTTAAAGCTCACGCCGCAGATCTGGCAGAGTTCCTGTAATCGTTTCCATTAATATCGCAAGTGCTGGAAAGGTGTGTTGAGGGTAAATTTGGCCAAGTGATAGGATCTTGTACCTCTGTGTAGCCTGGTAGTTTGATAGTAGAACGGTTTAGCAGGTCGCCAGCTCGGTTTTGCGTTGGGCGAGTAGTACGTACCCATTGCTGCGTGGGATTCCCACCAGCTTCCGATGATGGGTGCGTGCGCGGGAAAGTACAGGGAGATGTGAAAGGTTACTACTCCTGAGCTCGTATTTGTTGGGGGATCGGCTGCTATTTATACGAGCGCCATTGGCAACCCGGGAAATCAGGCACCAGATACGAGGGCCAGCACTACCCGCAATCCAGCCAATAGGATACCTCCCGCTAAAGATTGTTGTGGTTCTTTTTTTTTGAAGGTTCCTAGGTAGTGAATCCAGCGATTTTGCGTTCAAGGCTTTTTGTTGAGTAGGTCCCTCTCGAATTTCTTATTAAGATAAATAATATCATGTATCTAGGTTCGTAATAAGAGAGTGTGTTATAGTATGCTATTCTACAATTAATATGGTATATTTTTCCCTGGGTAATATGGTATGTATTTAAATAAAGTACTATTAACATGGGTTAGTAAGGCTACTATTAGCACCAGAACATTACACTAGTTTTAAGTGATTCGAGTCCAGGATTCTAGGATCTGTAGCCAGATTCTACTACTTCAATAAGTCATGAAACTACAATTCTAGTGTTATAAATATCAAGGAGTATGGCTTATACTTCACACGGTACCTAGCAACCCGCAACATCACCTAATAGAGAAGCGGTTGCGAGTAGACTAGCCCGCATTATACCTCTTTAAACACCCCAAACGTTGCATATCTTAGTATTTGTACTGTAGCTATGCCGCCGTGTCAATATTCTTAGAAGCTTTGTGCTTCATTGCACTACGCACTGTAGTCCTTCTTAAAAGTCTTCGCAGGACACCTCTTACCTACGCACACTATCATGGCCGTAGTTTGAAGATTCGACACAAGTATCCGTACAGCTCCAAAGGGTGCAGACACAGACGAGAAGTAAACAGTGGCAGCATCCCGGAAGTAGAGCTCCATACCATGCGGTTGCTGCGGGACGCCATTGTGCGAATATGGAGCCCTATCATTAGCGAGAAATGGCCTGAGAGACAGCCTGGAATATTTCGGGTACTCGGTCCTCAGATCTGCAAGAGCAGCTTCGGCAAAGATTGCCGGGCGTTGTCAAAGCAGTTCGAGCCTTGGGCTTTTGCAGGGTAACTCCATGATAAACTCCTGCGCCCGTAATTGTCGTGGGCCTGGAAAGAAACGCACGCATGGAATGCTGGTGACATCAACATGGGGACCCTGGCACAGTAACCCGGTACTAGTGACGGCCACCTGGGCAAGCAAGACCCAATCCGGACATCGCGTGGCTAGAATGTCCCGAAATGCGGGGGTGGCACGGAGAAACCCCAGACATCCGGGGTATTCCATCCAGTCTTCTAGAATAGGCATTCGCAACCCCCGCAGTCAATCCACGTGGACACCCGTAGAGCACCAATATCGGCATCGTTTCATTAGCGCCGGGGTTATCCGGTCGTGGCAGCTAAGTTGAGGCTGGGCTGGGCTGAAACGCATCCGCATGCACACAGCATAAGCAGCAACTTTAAGCGCAGGGATGACGCTCCCCCGAGGATTACCCGCGCCATGCAATCCGCATTGGACGGCTCGTCCCGAGGTGGTCTCCCTCGCTCCCCTATTCACCGACATGCAATATTTGTTGTACCCCGCTCGAGGGATGCCCGAGTTCAATCATACGGACACTATTATACTCCATCACGGCGTCTGGTGCCTTTTCCACCTTGGTGTGTACTTTGATATCGTGGTAAAGGATATTTTCAAGCTTACTGACGCGGAGATAGCGCCTCTCGTCCGCGATGGGAGTCTAGGCCTCAGCCGGGCCCGCAGAACAAGGTTTGACTGCGCAAAAAGTTAGACATGCGCCCCTGAACGGAAGCTTGAAGCACCCAGCGCGTGGTTAGGGTCGTCGTTCAAAAAGAAAGCTACTTCTCCGGCCCGTCTCCGGTTGGGAGTTCTCTCCACAGAAAGAATCTGGCTCCACGCATCCCCGGATTTGTCCCTCGATCGGTGTCGAGGATAAAAGGATCGACATCCCCTCTACTCCGTATTCTCACTCTGTCTTCAACCTGCATCCTCCTCTTCCTTTCGTACATCTTCTCATCCAGCTCTACCCCTACTACTCGCCCACAATGGACCCCGAAAAACCCACCTCCGCAATCCACGACGAAGCGACAGAACACCACCTCGCCCACCTAACGAATCAAGAAGACCACGCGCGCTCCAAATGGGAGGCGATAAAAGCGCACCCATGGGCATTCGCTTGGTGCATCTTTGGCGCGTGGACAATCCTCCTCGTCAGCTTCGAGAACCAAGCTGGCGGGATCGTCGTCAGCATTCCGCAGTTCCGAAAGGATTTTGGGACGGCCTTTGGAGGCGATTATGTCCTTGATACCACCTGGCAGTCGGCGTTTCAGGGAGGGCCGGGGGCTTCGTGAGTGCATCTTTATTTTATTTTATTTTTTTATTTGAGCGCGTTGGGGTAGGTTGCTGATGTTTGTGGATTGTGTAGGATGGTTGTCGGCGCCTTAGGGGCTGCAGTCATCGCCGACTGGATCGGTCGTCGGAATACGCTCATCATCGCTCTGGTTATCTCGTACGCCGCCGTTTCACTCGAGGTAGTCTCGACCACGAATGAGATGTTCTTTGGCGGGAAGTTTCTCAACGGCTTCGCTGTCGGCGCGATCCAAGCTGTTTGTGCGACGTATATCGGAGAGGTAGGATGATGTTCTCAATCACGAAGCCATTGCTTTATGCTGACATGACAGATCGTCCCACTCGCTCTGCGCGGCCTCATGACCTGCCTCATTGCCCTCGCATTCACACTTGGCCCGTTCATCGTCTCGCTCATTGTCAACGAGCAAGGCAGTGTCGAGTCACGCTGGGCCTATCGCTCAATCTTCGTAGCCCAGTATGGTTTCGCCGCTGTCACCACGGCCTTCATCTTCTTCATGCCGGAGTAAGTGCCATAATCCTCAATAATCCTAACTTATCCTATCCATAGTTAACACTTTGGGCAGATCACCCTGGTGGCTCGCAAACAAGGGCCAGGACGAAAAGGCCCTGCACAGCCTAAGCCGCCTCGGCTACAGCACGTCCACCGGCGAAGCCCTCGCGCGTCTCTCAAACATCAAAGTCACCCTCGAAGAAATCCAGCTCGAAACCTCGGGGGTAACCTACCTCGAATGCTTCCGCAAGTCAAACCTCCGCCGCACAATCGTCTCCATCGCCCCGCTCGTCATCCAACAATTCACAGGAATCGTCTTTGCCGCGTCGTACTCGACGTACTACGCACAGCTCGCGGGATACAGCACGGATATGAGTTTCAAACTCCAGGTTACGCAGCAGGTTCTCTCTATGGTCGGGAATATCACCTCGTGGTATCTGGTTGACAAAGTCGGGCGCCGCGATCTGACGCTTTACGGCACCGCCGGGCTAACAGTGATCCTGTGGGTGATGGGCGGACTCGCCGTCGGCGGAAGCGTCGCCGAACTCCGCGGCGCAGTCGCCATGATCCTGCTCTACTGCTTCTTCTACAACGTGACAATCGGGGCAACAGCATACACATGCCTAACGGAAACAGCGACGTCGCGCCTGCGGATAAAAACCATCGCCATCGGGCTCGCGACGGCAAACTCCCTTGGCGTCATGTGGAGTTTCGTGCTGCCCTACCTCTTCAATCCGGACCGGGCGAATCTAGGCGGGAAGCTGGGGTTCGTGTTTGGGGGCCTGTGTTTCCCGTCGATTGCGTTTATCTGGTGGTATCAGCCCGAGACAAGGGGGAGGTCGTATGAGGAGCTGGATGAGATGTTTGTGAAGAAGGTCCCGGCGAGGAAGTTTGGGGCGTATAAGACGGAGGTTGAGGGGTTGGGGGAGGCGGCGGTGGTTGCGAAGGAAGCGGAGGGAAAGGCGTAGTGGGGTGTGATGAGCCTTAACTAGGATGCGCGACGATACCGCATAGTGCCGCTGTCTGGATGTGCTGCTGCTGATGAGGGGGGATGTCGTGAATTCTTTGCCTTCTAACGGTACGACCATTTGGTAGCAAACAGTATAATATTGGTGTACATGGTTCAAGTAGCAACTACGTACAGCCTCCAATGGGTGAACGGTGGACAATCTAAATCCATTCTCTGTCCATTATCCGACTCTGGAAGTCGGCGCAACTGTGGATTCTTGGTCGTATCTTCCCATGTAGGGCCAGCCAAAAGCAATACATAGCTGTAGATTTTCCTCTTCAGATTTGAGCTTATATCCGAAGGCGTGTACCCTCCTCTCGCATACTGCGACTTGTAGCTAGCCCTTGTGGGTCTGGGAATGCATCGAACCGCCGCAGCTAACTAACCGTGCCGTAAAAACGTGGTTGTTACCACGTATGAGGGGGTTCAGCTAAGGGCCCGCTTTCATTGTTGAAGGCTTCAGGCATTCAAGTAACGACCTCATGGATATCACAAAGGCCATTGTTCAGCAGATAAACCCGCGGTACAACCAGGCAATTGAGAAATTCAAGGAAAAAGCAGTGTTGCCAACTAAATCCATTATGTTCGTGGACAACAACCTGTGTATCAAAGCCCTTTGTCCAGCACAATGTATAAAGTTCTAAGCCCTGGCCTTGTGAAAAAAGAACCCCCAATGCACGCCCATCCCACCTCCACCAACCCAACCTCTCAGCTCAATCCCACCAATCCCCGGTCTCCATCTCCACCCCGCATGCTTTGCGGCCTCCTGCACCGAAACATGGAGAAGGAGATCATAAACCACCTCGGCAGCCCATCGAGAATCCGCAGACTGCTCCCGCGGATTCTGGCATCCAATAACACTGTGCGACTGCTGGGGCTTATACTGGAGGATTGTGCGCTGGTAGGGCATCTGGAGACATACCGCGTTGTGGCACATGTCGTCTTTGAGAGGGCGGCGGAGGATGGGTATAAAAATCTGATCACCGAGGCACTTTCGTTGTCCATCTCCAAGACGTCCTCGTTCATTGCTCAGGACCTTGTCCAGAGGATCCTTGGGATTCCAGAGGAGGGGGTGAGATTGGAGCTCCTGGGGTGGGGACTTGTGTGTGCGGCCCAGGAGGGCAATTTGGATTTGGCGGAAAGCTTGCTCCGGGAGAATATTCGACATAGAAACGTACATGTTGCCCTGCAATGTGCTGCCTCTAGGAACCATGCGGAGGTAACTGGGCTTCTAATCGACGACATCATAGACGAGGCAGTGGGCGAGAAGCGGGGTCTTGAGGGGTCACCTACACCAGACAGTAAGTTAGCCTCGCTACTAACATACCAGTGCAGCGCTATTACGGCGGCTATCATCAAGGCCATCGACGGGGACTGTTTCCACGCAACCGCGGTCCTTCTCTCGCCTTTTATCGAGTGTATGGAAGGGCTGGATGGGCCTTCGCAGAAGACGTTTAACAAGAACAGGATACTGACAAGGATTCCACTTGAGGCACTGGAGGCGATTCCCCGGGATGTGTGTTTCGAACTCCTGGACGGCAAGATCCCCACGCAGCTAACGGCGACAATACTCAATCGGCTAAAGGGCAATCCGAAAGAGCCTTACGATATAACGATTCAGGCGGATGGGAGATCCGCCCGCGTGCATCGGGATACTCTCGTATACTGGTCGCCGTATATACGGGATAACATTGATGCTCTGAACTCGGCTAACAGCATTATAGATCTGAGTGGGGATATCTCGCCAAGGGCAGTTGATGCTATCGTGGAGTTTTGCTATAATGGCGTTGAGCTGCCCAGACTTGTGCGTGTCTGTGTTGGTGAAGATGGCTCTGGTGTCAGTAAGCGGAGGAAAGAGCTGCTCCATGCCGCAAGATTCCTGCGGATCGGGGCGTTGGTGAGGATACTGGAGGACTCGGAATTGAGGTAGGTTTACTACGTCTGGGAACAAGGTGAGTTTCTGGTTCAAACTTTGTTTCTTTGATGCTGTTTGGTTTATTTTGCTTTCCTTTGGCTTTTCTCTTTCGTGGCTTGTTTTGCTGTTTGAGTCAGGAAAGCATAATAATGGGCCAGTACCGGTGTATTTCAATTTTGAATGCAGAATTATGTTCGTAGTATCACTTTTCTGGCAGTTTTATACCAGTAGCCTAAAATCTAGCGGAGCGTCATTTTGCCGGAAGACGTGGATAGTTTTCTGTATATCAACCATGACGGCTCGCCGTGGAGTACGCGAGAGGTATGCATTGTATCAACGGGACCATCTCTCAAAGTCCGAGGACATTCGTCTACAGACGGTGTACAGGGCGATTCTCGTATAACTCCACGCTGCTCGCCGATGCCACGTAGGAAGTGTCAGTCACTTCTCTAATAATAAATATAGTGCATAAGAACTAGTATTCATATTATCATGTGCTGACAATGTCCTAACAACTCACGATAATTAATAGATGTAATAATATAATCCAAGAACCACCTGATATGTGAAATCTTCATGCAATTAAATTAGGCCAAGTGATAGGTCATGTGAAGCTTGAAGTTCTAGAATTACCTAGATTTTCCAGTCTTGCTTTTGCGATGAATCAGAATAGTAGAGTCAAGGGGCTTCGCATCCTGTAGAGAAGCAAATATCATAGTGCGCTCTATCCCACGAGGCTTAACCCCCCTCAACAAGCCCCATTCTTACTGAACTCTTCTGGCACCGGTGATTCAAACCTCCTCCCCGTCCGCTGCTCCAAATAATTCAGGAGCACCGCATACCGAGAGAACAGTTCAGTGCGGTATTTGCGTGGGCGCACACAGAGGCCGTATCGATCAGTGTAGGCCGCAACGGCGCTTGTCATATAGTCAAAGAAAAGAACCAGCTCCCTCTGCGACCTGAAGCAGCGCCGCTCCAGCTCCTCGGGGTGGAAAGGTATTGCGTTCATTGCGGGAGTCCGTATGGAGAATTGATCATTTGCGTAAGAATCGAACTCCTACTAATAATACACCCACTCGATAGATGCAAAGTCGGTCGAGGGAATCAGGGGCCCTCACCTCGTTCGATGGGATCCACGCCGGGAGGGAAAAGGACGGCGTGCCTTGCGTCCCGAGAATCTAGAGTCGGACCGTAAGCTCCAGCGGCAGCTGGATGTTTTCCGGCGACGCATGAATGCCCTCGTGTGCGACTATTGGAATGAGAATCGAGACTGGACTCGCGGGGAACGTGGATATGATACGGAATTGTTCTCTCGGTATGCGACCTTGCTAAATTATTTGGAGAGCCGGTCGGGGCGGAGGCTTCGTTTTTGATCAAATCCTGCAGGGGCGTTGTTGATATATGGCACCCAACTGCGCCGTTCAATAAGCATCGTATATAGTTGCTTTGAAATGTATATTTTCACCTACCGACAATCCATCTTTATATTCCACATTCAGCACCACAGCGATGTATGATAACTCACCAAGAAGGCGGAATCCAATACTTCCTCCAGTGCTCCTCCGTATCCGCCTCCCTAAACTTGCCAATCCCGCCCTGCACTCCATCCTCACCAACGACCCAGTCCCCCTCCTCAACACGCTCCGCCCAGCTCTGCAACACCTTGTGAATTTGCACAGAGTGACCATGATCGATCCCATTTGAAAGCCATGCCTGCTGATACAGCGAATCGTGATCCCTAACCCTGATCAACTGTCCATTGGACATTCGAGCCTTCCTGTTGCGTCCAATGGCAAAAGGAAGACGCAGGCTGCTTCCGTTTGCAAAGTACTCTGGGTGTCTGGTGACGACATTGTCGATGAAGAGGCCACGGGTCCGCATATTCTGGCTCCCTGTTCCTCCTTGCCCTTCTTCTGGGTCCATCTGGAAGATGCGCAGCGAGCATCCGCCCGGGTATTCGAGTTCTCCAACACCTTGGTCCAGGAATTCAGCGATAGTCGGGAACCGGATCCCAGGCGCTAAGTAGCGGAAGCGGACTGTCCACTTTGACACTGCGCTCAGGAACACATGCGCGAAAGAGTCGGGTGGGATAAAAGCCTGGTTTAGCGTGACAGGGTCGTGCCACGGGAGGGGAATCTCGGGCTTGGTGGTGGGGGTGGTGGTGGCCTCCTCCATCCGAGACTCAATTGCAGTAATCAGGCGGCGCAAAGAGGCCACTGATTTGGAGACGTCGGTCTGGGAGTACGGATTCATCATCCAGGGCTTCTCGATTGACGGTTCCTCATCATCCTCGTTATCCGAATTTATTTCATAGGAGAAATCCCGGACAATAGACACTTTGCCTTCATCGGCCATCTGGAGGTAGCTGTCGAGTATCGCCTCGAGAGGCATCCAGCCCCATTCATGCAAACATGTGTCTGTGGTGTCATCTACATGGACGATATAGGTGGCTTTGAATGTGTGCTGGTCAAAACTACGGTCCGTCAGCGATGGAAATCAGAGTAAGAGCTGAGAGGACCGAGGCAGCTCACAGGATCCCCTGCTCATCCCCCAACATGAAACCACTCGAGATATAGAGTAAAAGAAACCTGTCGGGTCCAGTCATATCACGGTCTAGAAGCGACACGATATCCTTTGGCACAGCGAGACATCTAATGAAGAAAAAGAGGTTCTTCCATTTGCTGTCATGCTTAAACGCATCACGCGACACATGGTACGCGCGCTTGAGGAATTCAATCAGCGACGGGTGGAGTCGGCTGGCGAGTGCATCTGGCGGGGAGTAGTACTCCCACCATGTTGGCGGCTCATTCCACTCATTGCCCGCGCCGGTCCAGCCCCTGAAAAGGAGTTCGTTATGCAGGGCAGCACATCGCTCGTAGTCCATGTGTCCAAGGTGGCGAATAGGATTGGATTCTGTTATACGATGTTCTGCCGCCATGCTTCAAAAGTTTCGCTGTGGTGGATGTTCTGGGTGCTTTGGAAAGTGGAAACCGTAGAAGGACTTTTATCCTCCCACACTAGTGGAAGTCACATGACAAGAACTTGTCAAAGGCAACGGTCTCGATTCGTAATCCTGGACACGGGGGAAGGAGCTACACTCGTCTAAACGATATGTCGTAGTTGATCCACTTAAACAACGGCCTCAGAATACTGCGGCCCTACCAAATCTCAAATGACTGTGATGTACTAATTCTAGAGTAGCGCACGGCTTTGGCGCGCGAAGTCTATGTTATCCTGACAGCCATATTTAGGGTCCTCGAAGTGTCAAGTCTGACATGCTCCTGAATAACAATGTCCAGCACCACAGTACTCGTCCGTACTTCCACAATACCCTGAGGTTGAGCAACAGTCCCCAAATTGAGTTCCTGTACATGTTTTATTCCCTGCGAAGCCTGGACCGCACTCTCCATTGATACTTGGACCTCCAATATCGGGCTCGCATTCTCCAGAATAGCAGTTTCCTGGGCCACAGAAATCTGACCCATCTCCACAGTACCCGTAGATTGAACAGCAACTAATGTCAATCAGAAACGACGAGGAACCCTTTTGTGAACGGCGTTGGATGAATGGAAGCAAAGGAGTCACTCACGGGCCGAATTCTGGATTACTGCAAGTCTTGAATCCCCAATCTGGACCACATGTACCATTCGTGGTGGCACCATTATTAGGTTCGCATGCACCAGAAACACAGTTTCCAGGACCGCAATATTGTACACCAGTTCCGCAATATCCACTTGTAGAGCAGCAGCTGCGGAGCGCAATTGCCATTAGTAAAGGTCTTAAAAGTAGGATCATAATGTCTGAGATGATAACATCATTTACTTACTCTCCAAAAGATGATCCTTCACAGACAGAATTTCCATAGGACGGTCCACATGTACCATCTATAGAGACAGTGGCCTCAGTCACGGGGGCGACGCAAATATCATACTCAAGCCAAAGGTTTGTGCAATCATCCCGCAGCTACGTATTAATTTTTAGCACATTCAAAAGATGACAACAATAAGAGACCTCACATATGTATTGAGCAGCTTGAGGTCTGCAAAGGTGATGCCACTAGTATCCGTACGTCAGTAACTCACCAAACAAGGATGGAAATTGCCAAAGCCTACAATCGTAGTGCTACCGTGTTGCACTAGAGAGTCTGGTTAGCTTCGCCAGTTGCTCAAGTGAGCAGGATATAGTTCCGTACCGTGTCCCCAGATACAACTTTGTAGTACCGACCGCAAGCGGGAGTGGTACCGGTTTGTGTTGGCTCTGCTGGAATGGCTAAAGTACCGGATCCATTAGAAGCGGCGTTCTGTTTTTTCTCAGGTGCATTTAGGGCTACCGGTTGTGTAATATTCACTAGCGCCGGTCGGCGCTGCAATGACTGCAGAAGGTTTGTGATAGCCGCCGGGAGGACTGGTCAAATATTATTATCAGTAAGGCCAGATTTGTAGGGGCCCATCGTAAGTGCTTAACTAACCCTCTGCACACTCTTTGCAAGTGGTTCAAGAACCGACAAGAACCCTGGATATGCGGATTCCAGGCAAGGAACTGGGTCAGTGAGACGGGAAACTCGTCCATTGAGTATCGAGCAATTAGATCTTCGCTACCTCGATATTAATGTCATCTTGCGCCCTGATCGGAACTTTCGGTGGCCTTACCATGTGGGGTTACCATCAAATCGATCTATGTCACAAGGCAAGGGGAGACAGATGGAGGTTTCAAAGTAACAGTCGACTTCCCCAGTAATATGGACAATCGTCCCAGTGCTAACATTGTAAGTATCTGCCAACTCAAAGCATGTTAGCTCTGGGTCGGTCTGCTCCACAAACTGCCCTAGGCATGTACTTGTGGGAGACTGATTTGTGGTGGATGTGCTGGGGAGCGTTGTTGTTGCGCTTGGTTGAAGTAGAAGGGTTGATGTATAGGTCGAAACAGGCATGGATATGGAGCAAAATCGCTGGATACTGTCGTATTGCTCCAGGAGATAGTCACTGTGTTCACTCTGAGGAAGTGAAGATGACATCAATCTCTGTCTCCATATCTTGACAAAACACTCGCTGCAAAGCTAGAAGGATTAGCTACCTGTCTTTCAATGGATCGGAGAAAGGTACCAGGCTCTTGTCATATAGACGAGTAATGTCTTGCATTTCTGGAGTTATAAAGGAGAGTGAGAAGTTTGGATCGTTGCACTCAGGTGGCATCTCATCCTTGTTGGCATTCATGCAGGCGTATAGTGAATAGCTGATAACGAGCATTAATACGGCACGGGGTGAGGTGTTTCAAGCGGACATGTACATACCGAACATAGTCGCTTCCCTGCCACTCTTGTGACTCTAGGAAACACCAATTTGACAAACTAATAGTGAGTCTAGTAAGATAATCTTGCTCCACCGGGTATGGATATTGCCTGCCTACCTGTCCTGTTCGCATACAAGGTCATGCCCCTGAGACCAATAAAGTGGCTCTGCCTTGGCGAGAAGGAGCCCCCCTGGAGCAATCACTGTTTCACCATCACAATCCTTCTCGACCGCTGCTTGCCATGAGGCTAAAGAATCTGCGCATCCTCGAGTACACAGTGTGGTGAGCTGTTCTTCTGTCCAGACTTTCGGAGATGTCAGCGGAACAAAGGACACTATTGACGTTAGATTCTCTAGCAACTTACGATACCGATCCGGCTCTGTGGCAGCTCTGAGTGCGGTTTTCGCATCGCAAAGCACCGTCTGGTTCCTGGGGGAATATGTGAATTGTCCGTAATAAGAATCTAGAAGGGAAAGCCTGCGACTTACAGTGCTGCAAGACATTGATCAGATAAATCATAGATCTGTTGTACTTGGTCTCGCCCTTGTCCTGCATAGAGATTGAAAGCAGCGTGCACTGGGCTGACCAAGGAGTAAGACAGCCAGAGGCTCATCAACCCCGTCAGAGAGCGGCGACTCCAACCCCTTGACTGCATGACCTTTCTGTGTTGTGTGAAAACCAGATGGGAAGAAGGGCACACCCTCCACATACGAGTTTCTTTAAATCAACACCTGATGTATCCGTCGGAGCCCCCAACTGACCACTTAACTGAGGAGATAAGCGAGAGTGGCCGTGTGAAATCCAGACCATCAAAATGTCTCAGCTTAGAGAGATTAATTATTTTAGCGTCTCTTGGACTCAGTGGATGTCCGCCTAGGACATGATTATAGAGTATTTTATTTTGCCCAAGCTCAAGGCAACAAGTTGGAACCTCAAAGGGCAAACTGTGACAGGGGCGCACTCATCAAAGCGACGCTAAATTAATCCTTCTTGGCACTTCGCCAGGGACCTCACACAATTTCGTTTTTATCCTTTTGTCCCGTTCGGACGCCGTACTCGCTTTCCGGTTTCCACATGCGCGCGGACCTGAGAGGACCAAACCAAATGGTACAAGCTACAGGAGCAATGAGACCTCCCCATTAGTATCTCGCTCTTCAACGCTGACCAGCCACCAGAAATGGCAGCAATTGCCTTGGGTTGTGCAAAGAGGTTCCCGAAACAGGATACCTTCACGATCCCGGGCCTGGGCTTGGGGATATGTATGTGGGCCCCATGTCTTTTTGCAAGATCCACACCCAACTTGAGACTGAGAACTTCACTGGCTAGTATTACCAAGTGAAAATAGCCTCTGCAGAAGTCCTAAGCAGCTAGTACCTCCGTGCGCTTCCTAGCGTCCTCCTTGGTAGCAGGCTGCGGTCAGTAGACGCCTCATTACGGCAAGCGTGGTTATGAACGACCTTGAACGAGTGGCGAGCGGTGGGCCCGCCAGGTGCCTCTCAAGTCTCTAGTAGTGCCTTTGGGGCATTGTGCATCAGTTGAGATAAAATTCTGCTTCTTCTGCAGGCTCACCCGCTGGTTTGAGGGAGAAAACCTCTCTGCCATTTTAATAGAGTTGCTTTCTAGAAGTGGTCCAGGGCCTTTGGCAGCTGCCTGTCTGAGTGGTATTTTGAGTACTTTGCAGGCGCCAGGTGAGAAGCCATCCGATGCATACTGCTCTATCAGACCGGATCTCGGGGGATCGTCGAGATATCCTTCCAAACCACTAAATCCCTAGCCCCCGAAAAGATGCCCACTCTGGCCCGTCTAAGGGCAATCTCCGAGGCCCCCACGTTATCCGGAGTAAGGGTTTGCCCTCCCGTAAGAGGCCCTGAGGAGCTTTATCCCAGATAGGATATCCCATCGATTCTTAACTACACATAAATGCACCATTGTAGACGATAGTTGAAGTTTCAATGGTCCGGTCTATCCGGCGTGCGCCCATAGAGGTCTAGATGCGCGATTTTTGTGCAAAGGGAGAAGTTATGGACGGCCCTGTGAGGTTTTCTGACGGATCTTGCGATCCCTCGTCTCGCCTGCAGCTGCTTCGATACCTCTCATGCCCCGCCTCGGAATCCCACCAGCATTTACTGGTCATGATTGGTGATGTTCCGGTCTCTAGCATTCAGCTCAACCTATTGTCCAAATAATTTTTGAGGAGAGATAAATAATCGTCGAGGGGCAAAAGGTGGTGACTTCTGTGCTGAGCGACTCTCAGCATTTCTTGGATCTGCATTGAGACAGGATGCGTTTTCATCAAGCCTTTCTTGCCGGGTTTCTGGCTGTGGTTGGTGCTGCACCTGGGCAAAACGTCCGCAACAACAGTGCTGTCTACAAAGCATTGTATTCTGTTCACTCGGACTCTACGCCAGTCTTCAGAAACGTCTCTGGGCAGTCCGCCAATCCTCTGATTAAAGCTCTCCAAGGTCCTTCTAACAGCTCTATTTCCGCCTCGCTTAAAAAGAGGGATGACCTCCCTGTTGGAACCTGCGCGCCGGGCATTCCATGCGTGAACGGAGCTTGTTGCAGCAGCGTATGTAGCACCTCATGTCCCCTGTTCACGCCCGGATTCAACATGCAATCTGACGGTTATACAGAAGGGAATTTGCGGATTCTCCCCCGATGAATGCGGCAAGCATACCTGTATCTCAGACTGTGATGCTAAGGCCGAGTGCGGGCAATATGCATTGCCACAGTCTGCAACATGCCCGCTTAACGTGTGTTGCTCGAAGTACGGCTTCTGCGGGACGACTGATGTTAGCCTCCATTACCTCTGGAACGTCTTGCTCCGTCCCTAGGAACATTGCTAAACATGCCTTTTTTTCCCAGGACTTCTGTGGTACTGGATGCCAGGCGGGTTACGGCGGCTGCGGCTCAGTCGACGAGCCATCATATGGTGGCCAGACTCTTGCCAGAACCATTGGATATTATGAGGGCTGGTATAATAGGCTCCTGGCCAAGGGAATTTGCTAGGATATATGCTGATTGTTCTAGGTCTACTACACGCCCTGTGACAAACGAAAACCCTCCGACATTGACTTGGTCCCTCTTACCCATCTAAACTTTGGTATGGTATTAGATTCCGAGTATTTAGCAAGGACTAACCTCTGTCTCCGCACTAGCGTTTGCGTTTTTCCACCCAACGACATTCGAGGTGATCCCCATGAGCGCAGGTGATCAAGCTCTCTACCCTGAGTTCACCGCGTTGAAGATGAAAAAGCCGTATGCATGTCCTGCCTAGCCTTACTAAAGGACCTTTCCTCACAGTCCCTCCTCTAGGTCGTTGAAAACATGGATCGCCGTTGGAGGATGGAGCTTCAATGTGCGGATACACAGCCAACAGTGAGGTAAATGGAGAGGCTAATCCTCACAGGATGCTACAAATTCCCCGAACACCCAGACCGCATTTAGCGACATGGCCAGCAACGCTGCGAACCGTCGGAAATTCATTAATTCGCTTCGAAACTTCATGCAGACTTGGGGATTTGATGGTGTGGATCTCGACTGGGAGGTAGGTATTTTCAGATGACAAACGATTATGTTGACGTGGGAGATTCTAAGTCTGACCTTCCGGTAGTATCCAGGGGCAGACGACCGTGGCGGTGTTCCCGAAGATACCGCTAACTTCGTCGACCTCTTGAAAGACATGCGAGACGATTTCCAAGGTGAATATGGAATTAGCGTTACTTTACCTGCCTCATACTGGTACCTGCGCTGGTTCGATCTACCAGCAATGCAGGAACAAGTTGACTTTCTAAATATCATGACCTACGATATCCATGGCGTTTGGGATGCGTCCAACAAACATGTAGGGCCCTATGTTCGCCCGCACACCAATCTAACAGAGATTAGACAGGGACTGGACTTATTATGGAGGAATAACGTACGGCCATCCCAGGTCAACTTTGGCCTTGGATGGTATGGCCGTTCCTTTACTCTTCAAGACCCTAGCTGTACAACACCTGGTTGTATTTTTAGCTATGGAGGTACCCCTGGAGCTTGCACAAATTCATCTGGAACATTATCCAACTCTGAAATACAACGGATAATAACACAGAATAATCTCACACCAGTCATGGACACCGATGCAGCAGTCAAGTGGATTTCCTGGGATGACCAATGGGTCTCATATGATGACGGAGAGCTCAGATGAAGCTAGCCGCCGCAAATAGCCTATGCCTGGGTGGCGTCCTGATCTGGGCTGTTGACCTTGATGGTTCAGGTCATGCAAGCTCAAATGACCTCCTTGGAATCGGTGCAGCAAACGGCGTCTCCGCGGAAGAGGCTGAGGAATACCGAGAGCAGCAGGAGACTTTGCTAAGGGCAGCAAGTATTCAAAACTCATGTTATTGGTCATTTTGCGGTCAGTCATGCAAGCAGGGGTATTCTACGGAAGCATGGTCCAACGGACAGGTTCCTGGCCTCGAGGGAGATCTCGCATGCACGAACGACGAGACACGAACGTTGTGCTGCGCTCCAGGAACGAACCCCGGCACCTGCTCCTGGCATGGTTGGAGGGGTGTTGGTCTGGCTTGCGCATCTGATTACTGCCCCGAAGGGACCGAGAGAGTTGCGGTCAATTGTGAGTCCAGTCATTATTTTGCTCACACTCCGTTTCTAATCAGGCTTTAGCAAACTCCTACAAAGGCGCAAACAACCTTACCTGCAATGGTCTGTAGCAATTATTGAAGCAGTGTGATTCTCATGAGACGCAGCTAATGGTGCCCAGGCGGATCGCAATCATACTGCTGTTCAGGGTTTGTGCCCTCACCATACTCTAACACGGACTCGCTCTATCTCCTAGGTCAAGACTGGGAGGAAAAGGAAGGACAGAATGCCCTCGCTGGAAGAGCTGACGCGGGTCCCACAATCACCCTCAGCGGACCTTGTCTTATAGCATCAGCCATCGGCTTTGGTCTCACTGGTTAGGATTATCTATCCCCTCCACAACGACCATAGCATGGCCCACTAACTCGTGCATAATTCCCGAAATAGCTGAGTTTAAAGGCGTTGGCGCTGCGATCACTAGGTGGTTTCTTCCGTTGGTTTGCATAAGGTCGATTAAGAAACCCCCGGTTCAACCCAATAAGCCGAAGTCCCCCCTGGAGGGTAGCATCGCTCAACGACTCGGCCAGGGTGCTCTTGGGCCGAAGGAATTTCATGAGCCCACAGTGACCTACAGCATTACCTGGGATCCCACATCAACTGCGGTTGCGGGTAATGGTTGGCCGGTCAAGAAGTATAAAAAGGACGATCCTGACTGCGAGACGACCTACACATGCAGATACGGTAGGGGCTTCGACGAGGTAAGTGTTCATTGTGCCATCTTGCCACAATTGGCCTCAGGTGACTGAGATGTGTACTAATCCAGTGTTGCCTTCATCATACTTAGATCTGTGACAACCAACGTTGGGCCATTGATAAGGCATTCAATGGTAGGACAGTATTCAACAAAATAGACGGCGCTACGGAGTTCCCTGGCACTGATCCCGCCGAGAATGCGGACGGTGATACTACCACTTCCTCTACTACGAGACGAGGCCGACGCCCTACATACAAGGATAGGTGGAATTATCAACGAGCGAAGTATTATCGAACCGCGGCCCAGGAATCTGAGGACGAGGACCGGAACCGCTGTGATTTGTAAGGCCGAGCATCGACCACTTGTTCCTTGTCAAAAACATACTAATGACAAAATGCTACAATAGGGATGAATTTCCATTATACTCGCTGGAGGAGTCGTTGGATATGGCTTATCAGGTTGTCCGATTTGTCAATGGACAGGTGAACAAGGCGCAAGGTAACTAGTTTATCTTTAAACGTTTGCATGTTAAAAGAGATGCAGTTCGCAGGCTTACCACGATGCTCCTATAGGAGAGGATTGGAGTCAGTGGTTAGAGACGGTCTGGAAACCTTGTTCTAGCCACCGTGTCACAAACCTTAGATTGCCGAAGCCTCCAGTCACTTGGGCATTTTCACCTTTTGAAGAAGGCGATCACCGCGCAAATGCCAATAAGCAGAAACCACATTTTATCCAAGCATATGGTGTAAGTCTCCACTTTGTTTTCAAGGACGCCAATCGTTTCTGATACTACTTTTGTCGTTAGTGGGACTCGGCAGTTGATAACGTTCATTGTTTTCGTGAGTGCTCCGCTACTACGCCTAGCTGCCACACTTGACTCATTGATGCTTCCCTTTATACAGCAACATACACATTCGCAGATAATAATGCGATAGTCACCGTGACACTAAGTGATTATGGTTTCCGGGCGCTCGCAGATGACCCGTAAGCTCCGCTCCCTGTCAATTCTCCCTACTCTCAGTTTCGGCTGAGAGGGAATCAGAGGCCGTGGGCTCAATACTAAGCCATCAATCTTCTAACTGTTCTCTATCCCAACAGAATGTTCATACCGACTGCCGGTTACAAGTACCCCCAGAACGGCTATCGAAAACCTCCTAATAAGAACAGGCCTACGGTCATCAAGAATACCAACTGGCTGAAGAGAGAGATTGCTGTTTCGGTCCTGAACCAGGAGCTCCCATTCAGCGCGATCTGGGAGGCTGAAAAGGCAGCGGACTATCTGGAATCCTTCAATCCACCGGACTTGGAAGCAACCCCAACAAATGCAGCGGATTATCTGCTCCCAGGCGCTACTCCTACCTTGGCAAACAGCTGGCAGCCTTCTAGAGGCCACACGCCGGCGGAGACGGGCCTGCCCTCAGATGAGGATGAGGGTCACATGATGCGGCGGCGGAAACAGCACTTGCAGGAACACCAGCGAGGGCACGGGCATGGGCATGGTCATGCCCACAATCATTAGAGGATACGGCTTGCGTCCACATTTGTATGGCCTTGATGCTAGCTTGGCTCTTCACAATGAGCTTTCTTTGATGAACTTCGTTTGTTTTCAAGCCAGTGAGAGTTGATGATGACAGCGTCAAAAAGTTGTTACGCCGGCCTAGACGTGACTTGGGTCTACGCCACATAGTCGGTAACATAATAGACGCTCGTTTGTATGTAATTCTTGTTGCATGGACGTTCAGCCTAGATTTCTGATCGGCGCAGAATGTCGCGAAGCTTGCGACGACAGGGCCTCATTGCTGAAACCCCCTAAAATACGACAATATGTATCACTGGCGGCCATACTTTCACCTGCTACCATTGGATTTGGACTTTTGACAGCGCCAAAAACTTGACATTATACAAAATTCTCCCAATCCGCTTTAACTATCTGGATGTCGCATTAACTACCTGGATGTTTTGATGCTCCAAAATAGTGAACAAGGACCATTTTGCCTTGAGGAGGCCGGTCAAAGAGAACAAGCTCTCTTCATTCTATCTATCCAAGGGGCTTTTCCCGAGGGGTTGGGTAGATCATTCAACTTTGCCTAGGGCTCTAGATCATTGTTATGGCACTTGAGTGAGAAAGGCAATTCTTCCAGCCTCCAAAACGGCGCTTCTAGCATGACCTACTAGAGCAACCAAGTTCTTTCAACTCGAGAGCTTAACTGCACGTCCTATCCTCCACAGGGTCTCAACAACCTAATAACATGAGGCCTACTCCCAAATCTGTCAGCCGGTAATGGATTATAAGAGGCGTTCATATCATTCACTCACTCTACCTAGTGCCACGGCTACAGGTGTCTGAAGTAGTTCCTTGACGTGTTCGAGGATGTAGGCTGGATTTCAGATGTTGATACTCGTATGCTGTATATTGTCCGCCTGGCTTATGCAGTTGCATGCAGTAGTGAAACTCTTTATAAGTCCAATGCCTAGGCCTGCCTCTCAAACTAAAAGCAGTCAACCCGCCCTCTTGGTGGGAAATCTACGGTTTGGGCTGAACTATATATAATCACGCTTGAGCTAGGACTCCCCGGCAAAGAACTGCAAAACCATGCTGAAGTTCTTCTAATCTGTGTAGCTTCCCATGATCAAGAATGTATCCCCCCGCATCTCCAACTGGTATCACGCTGCTGCGTACTAACCCCTTTCTACCCCGCAACCCCGCGCGACTGCACGTGATCCGCGATTGCCGAGGCCAGCCGCAACCACATCGCTCAACCAATCACCCTGCGCACAGCCCGGAGTAGCCGTCTTGGAACCCATACAACCGCGAAATGGCCGACATGTCGGGGGACGCCCGGCTGCAAGTCTCCCTCACCACCATTGATCAGTCCAACATGATTCCCAACCCTTCCTGAAGACCAAACCAACAGAAAAACCATCTCAATACGCCGCGAAAATGTCCCTCCCAAACACCCGCACCGCGCGCCTGGCGAGCTGGTCCGCAACACTCACATACAGTGACATCCCCGACCCCGCGATCCAACGAACAAAAGACCTCTTCCTCGACTGGCTAGGCTGCACAATCGCAGGGCGATCTCACCCGGCCGTAGCTGCGATTGTGAAATTCGTGAAAGCGATGGGCCCGACGTCGGGGAAAAGCGAGCTTGTTGATGGCGAATTGGGGTTCAGTACCTCCGCCGCGTTCGCGGCGCTGGTTAATGCCGCTGCGAGCCATGTTGTTGAGCAGGATGATTTGCATAATGGCAGTATTACGCATCCAGTAAGTTATTCTGGTGGGTGGGAGGGGTTTAGAAAATGGTTGGCTGACTGATTGTTTTGTAGGCGACGGTTATCTTCCCTGCTGCGTTGGCAGTCGCGCAGGACGTTGGCGCGGACGGAAAGGACCTGATCACGGCTTGTGTGGTGGGCTATGAAGTCGGTTGCCGCGTCGGCGCGTACTTCGGCAAGAGTCACTACGAGGTACGTCGGGGTAGAACTTTTCTACCCCCCCCGCATCAAGAAGTGTCTAATTCGCGAGACCCCAATTCCCTAATAAAGTGGCCTAGAACTTCCATTCAACAGCCACAGCCGGAACCCTTGGCGTCGCCGCCGCAGCTGCACACCTGCTCAAGCTCTCACCAGCAGAAACGCTCTCGGCAATCGGCACAGCCGGCACACAAGCTGCAGGACTGTGGCAGTTCCTCCTCGACGCATCACACTCGAAACAAGTGCATACAGGCAAAGCCTGTTTCGACGGGATATTCGCCGCGTACACGGCGCGCGACGGGTTGCTCGGCACAAAGGATATCCTCGAGGGGCCGCGCGGGATGGGGAATGCGCTTGTTCCTGGGGAGACGAAGCCAGAGGCTATTGATGGTAATCTGGGGGGTGACTTTGAGGTGTTGAGGTCAAGTTTCAAGTGGCATGCCAGCTGCAGACATACGCATCCGAGTGTGGATGCGTTGCTTGCGCTTATGGCTAAGCAGAACGTCAAATTCGAGGATATCGAGTCCGTCCTCGTACCCACATACCAAGCCGCCCTGAACGTGCTGGGAATGAGCGGGACATGCGAAACGGTGCACCAGAGTAAATTCAGCATGGGGTTTGTGCTGGCCGTTGCGGCGAAGAAGGGGCAGGCGATGATTACGGATTTCCGCGAGGAGGATCTGAAGGATGCGCAATTGAGGGAGTTTCAGGGACGCGTGAGCATGGTGCTTGATGAGGAGATTGAGGCGGCGTTTCCGGCGCGCTGGATGGGGAGGGTTGTTGTTACCACCAAGGATGGGAGGGAGATTGAGGAGAGGGTTGGGTTTGCGAAGGGGGATCCAGAGGTTACCCTGACGAGGTGAGTGATTTTTATCTATGAAAAAAGCGAAGAGCTGCGTGTGCGTTGGGCTAATCTGTGCAGGGACGAACTCGAGACCAAAATGAGGAGTCTGGCTAGGTATGGGGGCATTACCGATGGCAACAAGGTAGAAAGGCTGATTCAACGGGCGTGGAATCTGGAAAATGAGAGCGATTTGCATGGGTTTGTTTTCTAGACATTGTGCAAGCGAGATCTTCATGGCTGTGCTAGAACGAAACTAGATTTCTTGCATAACTTGACAATCTATATTCGCACATTACCAGGCGAATGTCATATTCCCAAAAACATCGGACATGCAAACAGAACCACAGTCCGGTCCTCGTCTATCCCGCCTTCTCGTCGACCTTTTCAACATCAACGAGGCCACCAGCCGCCTGATCTTCCCGAGCCCCTCCTTCATTCCCCTTGTCCTGTCCCGTCCCCTTAGCATCAGCTGCCTCGACCTTAATACTCCCCCACCCCATGCCCAAAGCAACAACCAAGCTCGCCGCACTCGCCGCCGTAGCCAAATACATGACCCTCACAATCGCCTCACAGTACCCCTCCAGCACATTTCCAAGAACATCCTCCCTAAACCCCAAATCCCCAACCCCCGCAGCGCCCGCCCTCACAATCTCAGCTACATCAACCCCCGGCGCATGCCTCGCAAGTTCACTCTCCAACCCCGACGAAAAAATAACCTGCGCAAGTGACAAGAAAATCGCCGGGCCCAGGTTCTGCGCGAGGACGACGAGTGCGGTTGCGATGGCGTTTTGCGATTGGGGCGCGTTGTGCTGCGCGGCGATTAGGGGCATTTGAACGTTCAGGCCGCGGCCGATGCCGAGTGTTAGCTGGATGAGGACCCAGGCGTAGGTTGGTGTTGACGGGGTAAGCAGGATGAGTAGGCCTGCGCCCGTTGTTGCGATGGCTGCACCGAGGAGGGCGAAGGGCGTGTAGTGGCCGACTCGGGTTACTGTTTGATTGAGCTCCCGTTAGCGATGCCGTTCTTCAGGTTACGTTCGAGGGAAAGATATGAAGATCGGGGAGGGATTGTAGATACCAAGCGCGCCAGCGATAATCCCAAAAACAATCGTGCCTCCAATACTCGGCAACAAATCGACCCCACTAACCGTCGGCGACGCCCCCCGCACAGCCTGGAAGTAGATCGGCAGGTAATACGTCGTGACCATCGAACACGCCATCAGGAACCCCATGTTCAGACAACTACTCCAGATAACCCGTCGCCCCACCAGCGCGAACGGGATCATGGCCCGGTCGCCCATATAGCTTTCCCAGAGCAGGAATAAGATGAACGTCACACCGGACCCGCAGAATAGCCCAATAATCGCACTGCTGTCCCAGCGGTATGTCGTCCCGCCCCAGTTTAGTGCGAGGAGGAGCTGGCTCGCGGAACCGGCGAAGATGGCGAAGCCGAGGAGGTCAAGGTGTGGTATGATTTCGCGGAGGGGCTGGAATTTTATCTCGGGGGCTCGTTGGTCGGGGGTGGGGACGAGGAGGAGGGCCGGGGCGATTATTGCCGCGCAGGGGAGGTTGATGTAGAAGCCTGATTCTGCTTGTTAATATGGCGCGGCTTATAGGTAAGTACCAGGTGGAGGGGTAGAAGGGTAGACTTACACCAGCGCCACGATGTATGCTCTGTTAGGGCTCCGCCGATCAAGGGGCCGGATAGGAGCCCCAGTTGGGAGAGGCCGATGAGGACGCCCGTTAGTGCTGTCGCTATCAGTAATGGTTTTTTTCTCGGGGCCCAGGGAAGGATGTGATACCCGGTCGTCGCTGTGGTGGCACACAAGCAGCGAGAAAGGTGAAACCACCATTAAAGAGCCCCGACGAGCCAATGCCCGCAATCGCACGCCCGACAATCAGCATGTTGGAGTCCTGGGCGGCGCCGCACAGAGCAGAGCCGAGTTCAAATATTGAAAGGCAGACGAGATACACCCACTGTATAGATGGTTAGTTCGGGTTGTGTCTGATGATCGGAATCCTGACCTTGATGTTGAAGTACGTGTAGAGCTTTCCGGTCAATGGTTGGAGAGAGCAGCTACTTTGTTAGATCATGACTAGCCGGTGAACGGGAAACTCACTTGGCGAGGAGATACGCCGTTCCGTACCAGCCTACATCGTTCAGCGAGTGGAAATCGGACGTGATGCGTGGGATGGCCTTTGCGTCTCAATCAGTCGCTCAGGACCTGCTGGGGGGCGGGCGCGGGGGAGCGCATACCGTAGAGACGATCGAGGTGTCCAGGAGGACAAGGTAGGAAGTCAAGGTCAGAGCCACCATGGTCGCAGTCACACTGAAGCCTGTTGGGTAATTTGTCTCTTCGATATTTGGAGACTGTTTTTCGTTGCTCACTCCATCCTTTGCAACATCTGGGCTCTCCAACCCGCGATCAGCGATGAGGCTTTTCGAATCTGATCCCTCCATCGTCGGCAAGGTTAACAACTGCGAGCGGCGACATAAAGTCGGGGCTCGGTCCGCTTGTAATATCTGGCGAGACGGAGTAACTGATTGCCTAACTCCGAGGACAAAGAACCAAAGACTTCAATAGTGCGATAGATCGCCCCCGGGCTTGATCCAATCAAGCAATGCTTGGCATGCACCGAGTCGGACCTTATCACATCGCCCGACTCCGATTTGGAACACGATCGGAGTCGAGAGTCGATTTAACCTCCTTCTCCTGTCTCCTCTCATCACACGCCAGTGCAAGCTCAATTGCCATGTCAGAACCTCACGGGACGAGAACCAAGACGAGAAGCACACTCATCCGAGCATGCAAGAATTCCTTCCGCGTCAAGGTCAAGCCCACAGCCGGCGCGCAGGGATGATCTTGAGATAGGTATACTCATTTCCTGATAACGAGCGCAGCACCACAATCCGCCGTGATGCGTCCGGCTCCGATCCCATCGCCACCAGTAGTCACTCTCCTTCAACACTGTATCCACTAAGCCATTGTATCAGAGGGAGGCATATTCCAGTCAGTTTGGGACGGAGATGCTCAGCGACCTTCCGTTCCTCGTCTTGTTCCCGATTTCAACAGCTGAAGCACCTTTTCACGAGCGGTCATTCTTCGGGTCTCTGGAAACTACATGGGACAGGTTCATATTAATAGGACGTGCACTATCCCATCAGCACATCGGCGTCTTCAGGTATCCGTGGTGGGTGAAGATATGGGACATGCTCTATCCATCTTGCGCTGCTTAATCATGCCAGGTAAATCACCACACAGGCAAGTGAGCGGTACCGCCGGACACGCGCAAGTATCTAGGATTTAGCACGACTAGAAGCCCAACCGCCCAAAGTCCTATACTTCAGAAGCCACAACCGAGCATCTTTGGGTTGTCATGTGACTTGCGCCTCGAACCTGCAGTAGATGTTGGCGATGCAAGTAGCCAGAAGGGCAGGGCTGCCTGTTCCAAAGGTGATTCGCCACGGCGATCACCCGGATAGCCCACATGCGCCGGTTTCGATTTTCATGACGCGCGTTTCTGGTTTCTGAACTTGATCGCGTTTACGAGGCGTTAAACTATGAGGAGCGTGAGTTGATCGCACAGGATTTAGCAGGGCATCTTGGTGCGATATCGCCGCTGGGAGAATTTCCGGGGCCCGAGTAGGATCTGCTCGATAATTGGGACGGCGATCTGCAGTATCCGCGTCCCCGGGGAATCATTGCATGGGCCCGTTCGAGTTAGAGCAGGAGCTTAATGAGTACCTGATAGGTCCCGCCTCAGCGCACGGACTCCAATTAAAAGAGGCGTAAGAGGCTACCCTTGTCCGGGCAAATAAAAAGCTACCCATGAGCCACTCTATTATCCTTGGACATAACGACCTGAAACTCCACAATATCATGGTTCAGGGTGGCTGGAGCACGGGATTCATCGACTAAGAGTCCGCGGGTTAGTATCCGGATTACTGGGACTTTACGACTGCGTTGAGGTTCTCCAGAGAGGACTACTGGTGGTATCATTTTGTCATGCGGCTTGAGGGTGGGCGGTATCTAGAGGAATTGGATTGCGATCGGGCGTTGAATAACTTGACGGTTGATTCGTACGCTTGGTAAATCTGTGCTAAGGCCTACTCAAACGCTTCTTGCTCCTGCCTATCCTGCAAGATATATATCTTTCTGGAGACTGGGAGCCTCTGTTAGATATATATACCTCGGTAGCCCTATGATGGATGGTTGGGTCGGATCCGCTCTGCACTTGTTGCGGGTCACACCAAGGCTGGCCTTGCTTTAAGTTTCTAGACTCATGGTACATCGATCATATTTTTGCTTACCTGATGTTCCCTTGCGTCGTCCTTTCCTCAAATTCGCAATGCACCGCAATGTCTGCCATACATGGCGTCATTAGCGCCCGTCGGATTCGCCCAAAACCCACCGCGCCCCCACCATTTCGGCATCCCACACCGATTTTTCAAGGTTCCTTCTGCCTCAGCCTCTCCAAGACACCCACATCCCCCACGTCTACAAGATCGACTACTTCTCACACACCACGGAAAAAGCAAAAACAATAGCAGAAAATGCCTATAATAACAAACTTCCGCCTCCCCGCCTCTACGGCAACCCTCAAACTCCCAACCCCACCAAACACCCCCTTCTTCGTCGCCTTCCTCGCCTCCGTCGACCCCAGCACGGGGAAACCATGGTGTCCAGACGTCGTCGCCGCACTGCCCGTTCTGCACGAGACGTTTTCGCCTGAGCATGCGCCGATCGTTGCCTTTGTTGAGGTCGGGCAGAAACTCGAGTACGTCAACTGATTATCCCTTGCATGAGTGTGTGTGAGAGGTGGTGTGGATTTGTTGACTAACCGCTGGCACAGGTGGAAGGATCTCTCGAATGGTTTCCGCACAAAGTGGAAGTTGAGCGCCGTCCCGTCGCTCGTTCGCTTTGAGGCTGTTGATGGGGAGGTCAGGGAGCTTGGGAGGCTTGTGGAGGGGGAGATACTTGACCGGGCGCGACTGGGCAAGTTTATTGGCGGCCGGGCAGCGCGGATTTGAAGTTTTGAATGAGGTCGTTTGTCTTGTTACGAGCATCGACTCAGCGAGCGATCATTTGATTATGCGGTCAAGATTCTTGGCTAGTCATAGATCTCGACAGAGTGGATGATTGGTACTATACCACCTTTCGCCGCAATTGGTGGCTTAATAAATCCAACTACACCTGGTAAAAATTAACATCAGACAGATTGAAACGAAGAAGCTAAGTCGTATGCTAGATAGAGCTGGCGCAGGCATCAGACTTTCGGGGAAGCAGTAGAACACAGTAAGCGCATCCACACCGCGTACAACGAGAGCTCATGCCCTCTAGGCCAAGATCTGAGAGCCGTAAGTCACACGAGAAAGCATTACAGCGAGGAAGGAGGTAATGGTAAGAACCCATGGAACTAATACAAGTGCACGGAGGGAAGTACTAGGTATGATCTTCATGCCTTCCAGAAGCGGGCGTCACTGTAGAAACAGTTATTGGAATCATCTATTTATGGACAGCTTCCTTAAGACATGGAATGACGCTATAATTAGTGAAGTAAGTGATTCGAGTGGTAGAAAGAGAGAAGGACAATGGCAGAGTTTTGAAAGGCTGTTATCCCGTGGTTATTCTATATAATAACGTGCACTTCTCCTCTTTACCGTGATAACCCACTATTTATTTCTACAGATATCCTAATTACTTATATATACTTTAGTTCCTAAATGTGTGGCCAGAGGAAACCCGTTCTCTAGATTAAACCCCGCCTGGGCAAAGAGCTCCCAAACTCTCTTATCCCCTGGCAAAGGCCTCTGTCGCTGCTGGGCCCCCCGCCGATATGTTTTGGGTTTGGTAGTATCGTATTAGAAGACCCAGAAAACATTACCAGTACTATCCTTAACGCTGTAGGTGCAGCAGGCGTACGGGCAACGATTTCCAAAGGCTGGTCTAATTTAGGCACGATACACAATGACAGAATTTATTTTATCCGAGAGTGCCCTTATAAAAAGCTGTTTTTAACCGCTTGGCAGCTGTCGTGCATCATAGAGGCGTGAGCATGATACAGTGCGGTAGAAGAACACATCTCCACTGAACCTGCCCTCGAGATTGCCTATAATCATGATATAATGAACCCGAGGATAGATCTTATAGCTTCGCATATTAAAGCTCATACGACTCGTGGGCAAGTTAGGCCTAGAACAGCCTGGTACAAGCATTGTATCACCTCTAATCTAACCGTTGGTGTGGAGCCATTGGAGTACCAGAATATGGGGAATCCTTAACGTCATGAGACCAAATTATTGGTTCCAGACACGGTCGGTTACACAGGCACCATTGAACACAAAATGCCGAATGTGGTCAAGACTTCCCATTTCTTAATTATTTTCCAGCGCCGCGAGATGCTACTGCCTGTACTATTAGTTAGCACTTCTCTAGTCTTTACCGTACAAATTATCAACTGCATTTAGAAACGGCCTTCCGTGCACAGGCTTTGCAATGTCATGGCTTGAAGTCTTGTCAAGTACAGCGGAGCCTGTAACCACAGATCGAGAGCAAAGGTCCACGCGGCAGGTGAAGTTCATACACTGCTCTGCTGCAATTGCATTCTTGCCCCAAGCACCAGCCATAGTAGACTATCCGGCTTGTCACCAACGGGCACTAACCAGCATTACCCACGAGGCTGGTACTACAACTCAGTAAGAAATGATGGCAACCTTCCAGGCGCTGCACATACGAAGAGTTTCTCATGTTCTCACAAAACCAGAACGTCCGGTTTTATTGGTCCCCGTTGGCGATAATACTTTCAACCCATCCGATCTGTTGGTTTTGCTTGAGCTCGGACAGCCATTTGGATCTATCTTCACCTCTGTTCTCCTTTACCTTTTATATGGCTATAATTGCGATCACCTATATAGTGGAAGCCACGCTTTCGCGAAAGGCAAAGGTAGAGCCAGACATAGTATAGGTAGTGTCGAGTTCGATACCTACAGCACAATGAAACCTTGGGGTGAGTGGGGGATCTTGTATAGGACGAGCGAGCGCACGGTGGTAATTCACGATATCACCCCCAGGCCACAACGTTGGGGGAACCTAGAGGCCGACAAAAGCTGACTCAAAGCCCAACACGCTTCGACTTTGGGGCTAACTTTCAGAGACAGTCCTACGCTTGTTTTGCTTCAAGTGGCCACAATAAAAGGAGAGTCACCATTATGCAGTTAGAGATCCTGGTGACTTCATTATCTACACGGACACTGCACTGCTCAGTTGCCCCTGGTAACTTAGGATCAGAAACCCCACCCAAACCACTTTTTTCACGGGCCGCCTCTGGCCATCTAAAAGGGTTCCGTGGAATAGCATTAAAAGTTTCCTTTGCTATTGTCTGAAGTGACAATGTTGTCCAAATTGATGGCTCTTGCTGGGGGTTTTAAATGTAACAGTAAGTTCCTTGGCACTACCCATTGTGATATAGCCTGGTGCGCCAACATATTTTCAGTAACGTTGCTCACTTCTGGGAATAGGAGAAGAGAGTTAGGCCTAAGGTACCAGATTCCTGGATCCGTATACATTCTACGTTCGAATATTTTCGGGGTCATGATTGGAGGGAGCTGCTTTTGCCGTTTGCAAACTCAATGGAGAGGAGATAAAAGTCTAATAGAAGATAATGTGTGACAGATAATAGTCCAGTGTAATTCTCAGCCCTTTTTCACTTTTAAACTTAAAAGTGAAAAGTAATTGATTGTTCTAGATTCATGGCTAATGTAACATGGTTAGTGGCTTAGTCAATTCACATAATTACGAAATCGGCCAAATGCGCGTCAGTGGCGCATGGTTGTATGTTTATCGGTCTTGTACTCGATAAGCACCTCTGCCTCCCCACTGGACAGTCTAGAGGGATTGAGTCCGCATCTCAAGCGTTATTTCCCTTCAAAGGGGTAACTGCGTATAATTAGGCTACTTTAACCAGAGATTGTAAGTCCACAGATCAGGATGTTGATTGTTGTACTTGTGTGGTCCAAACCGAGAAAAGCAAGACCTGGGAAAGTTTTAGAGAGCGAGTAATTATTAGAACAATAATATAATTTGGAGCGGCTTCTGAGAAGAGTAACTATTAGGCTTGTGACGTGATTAAAGCAAAGGTATTCAATTGCCACGCACACAGCATTCATGATCAGATCATTACTGTGTTGTGTGGCAGATACAGGTTCTATATATTAAACAATGGTTTGCATTTTCTTGTCCTTGGAATTATCACACCTACAAAGTCTGCCATCTCATATGGAATACAGAGCTCGCGCTGGGTAAAATTCCTCTCTCTGCTGAGGATTAGGTTACCTACATTCCTATTTAAGCACCTTTTGATAGATCTTCCGTCTTCTCTCTGTAACTGTTTAATAACCTCACCAGTCAGGCTGATCCTCAGGACGATCCTCGGCCCCTGGTTCAAGAAAGGATACTAGAAGTTGTGATTTCCGAGCCAGGGTAATTTGTGATACACAGCGTGGTATATAGTACCGCAATAAGAGCTGGAATGATAACAGCTAAGCCTTTTGGGAGACGTGGAAGCGCTTAAGTTTGGGCGCACGACGCAACCCAGCCACTTACCTAAGTCACCTGTAATTCACCACACAGTGCCTTTTCCAATTGAGCTCAAATATTTCAAACCTTGTTCTTACAGAAAGTGGGACGATATCATGAACCATGGTTACGTACAGTAAACTAGTGTACGGGAGTACTCTGGAAACAACATGAAGTTACACACGAAGCTCTCTCATGAACCAGATATTCAGGTTATAACAGCAAAGGTGTATGCTCCCTAATTGGGCCCGGGTTCCGGAATCTCTCAAGGACCAGCATTTGAAGTTACAGCTCGAAAAGTATAAGCTCTCCGTTTGGGCCCGGGTTGCAGAAGGGCGTTGCAGTAGGTGAAGGTTTTGCATCATGGACTATTTGGACAGATGGATATAAATTGACCGTCATCCTCGCTTTCGAAAGTGATTTACTATCCGTACTAAACAGATCACCGTCCTTTCTTTGCATCCTCTGCATAGACGACATCTTGCCTTCATTGCATACGCAAACGAACGTTGAGGGACACTGTCATATCAACATCACCCAAATACGGCATTTCTGTCGCCTTTGTCTTCAATAAGTCAAAACAAGATGCCTTTCTACACATACGCTTTGTGGCACAACGATGATGAGGGTAAACAGAAGTACTGCCTCATCATCTCCGATAACAGAGCATCAGCGGATGAGCTCTACCGTGGCATCCAGGAACAGATGGTATTCAATAAAGGTTCTGTCGAATTCAAACGCTTGCGTCGCCTTTCCCCTCAGATGTGGACCTGGGGCGCGACGGGTACCGACGACCTCAGAGAACTCCTTGACTATATAAATAAAGGCGAAAACCAATACCTTCAGGAGCGCCTAAAGCGTCTTCGCGGAAGGGTGTTCATTCGAGAGTTGGGAGACTATGACGACGGCAGCGGGGCGTGGCCCATCATTCCGCCTTATGAACGAGCAGACCATGTCAACAAGCAGACTTTCTTCATCCGCAACAAGCTAAACCCCAGTCAATTCTGGACAGAAGATTCGAGTGGGTATATAGGACTATCAGCAGACAGACGGTCGAGGTTTCGAATTGAACTCCCTGACGGTGATAAAATGTTCAACGGTGAACAACCTCTGCTTGTCGCTAAAGATCGAGTCCGCCTGACCCTTATACGAAATGAAACATCGAGCGAGGCGGATGAAGTACGCCTTTACTTCGAAGACAACACCGGATTCATCACAACTCAACGTAAAGCAAATGCTGAGTTTGAGTTTGGAAACCTAAATGGCGGTTTCGCTATCTACAATTCAACAAAGGGATCTATCTCCGGCTGGCCTGCGCTCCAATCTAACGGCCAGGGGGAGGTGTGGGAACTCGTCTAATTATATCGGTGGCTGCGAAAAGGAGGGGGGAAACTATGGCCGGCAAAAGTACTATTTTCAACGTTTTTACTCTTTCCATTTATTGATCAGATGCTATGCTCTTTATTTGGTGCTTAAGTTGAATTGAACACATATTAATTGCCCACAGAGCTAGAGTATCATTTCCAGATGTATGAACTACCCCAAGTTGGGTGTTAGAAACCCATCCTAGCAGCTTCTGGTGAAGTTAGGTCCTCTTTTATCGCCGCTTCTAGGCGATTTCAGGCCAAACAAGGCTAATGCTATATTGAACCTGTTAGTGTGGCCAATGTCGCTATAATATTTCAATATGGCAACGGCACGTCCCCTTGGACGAAGCGCAATGCCTGGGGTCCTTCCTGTTGTGCAAAGCTTATAAGCACATCGTCACCATTCATTTAGCCTCTGTGAATAATAAGACCGTCTCTTACAAAATTCAAAGGCAGCTTATTCAAGCAGCAAGTGGGTCGATCCAAGTAAGAACTTGCGGTGCCATTTATACGCCTCCTTTGGATCGGCCGGAGAGGGTTGTTAATGTTATTGTACGATGAAGGCAGGGATACACCTTTAAGGTACTACCTCAATGGCCCCGCGCCTGCATAGAATGATTACACGCGACCCCGCGCCCCGGACAGCGGGCTATCTGCTGGCCATGCTTTGAGGCTGACGGCGTAAGAAAGGTACGCGGCTCGATTGTAGTTCCCTCCGCCCCTGTCCCCACAGCTGTTTCTTCGCTTGGGACCCAGGGCATGAAGTTTGGACTAGCTTCCTGTGCAGAAGACGAACAGGGAGACGCTGGAACAGTTAGAGCTGTAGAAGGCAGGCTAATCACGAGTTTTGATTTGCTCATAGTATTAAAGGTAAATTCTGTTCTGGTTTCACATTGGCAGGAGGTGTAATGGCAACAGTGGACAACAAGAGGGGTTGATTCCACTTAGTAGAGAATAAGACCACAGGGGCAGCCGCTGACCACGGCCTTGAGTCTACTTGCCTCTCTGCTATCTATCTGAGTCGGCCTTTTGGTCCGCATAGGCGGCGGCATTGCTCGACCTGACAACAGCCACGACATCACGGTTAGGTGACGTTGTCGTCAGCCAATCCTGTGGGACCAGGGGCGGCATCAGTCAGTACGACTTGGTCAAAGCACACTCAGATGACAAGCGTGAGCGGAAAGGCTTTCTCGGACTGCCGCTAACGGTCCTCCTTAATGCGCTCACGGGAATACGGGCCATTCATGAGCCGGAAGACTCCAAGATTTTGAGCTTTCTGCAAGAAATGCTGAGGAAGAACGTAAGATGGGCAAGAGATCCGAGCCTGAATATGCTCATGAGGGCTTTGAGAATCACCGCCTCTTCAACGCTTCATGCGACCACGTCCCTGGCCCGTACTGCCGGGGCTGTGAGGCGGCTAGTTCTGTGGTGAGAATCGGGAGAGAGAGATGGCTGAGAATGGCGGGGAAGAGTTTAGCGGGACAGTAGGAGTTGTCGTGCGTACTGAAGAAGACGGTGTAGATCCATCTGTTGGCATGCACTTGGGCTTCAAGGTCCCTCCTTTAATTTTTGACAGATAGTATAGCCCTTACCCTTATTATCCTGAATTTTGTCTAACTTCGCGATATGTAACTCTACTTTATCCACTGGAGAAGCTTTTTTTGGGCAATATATATGCTTGACAAACAACCAGTTTTCTTTGATGGACACCCGTGCGATTTTTACTGATTTGATTCCGACTTACAGCTTACAAGCTGCCGTGACGACACGATGCAAGTCGAAGGAAAGAGCTCTATCAGTTTCTTGCAAGTTTGAGACGTCACGGTAGGTTGCCTATTATATGGAGAAATGACTGTCTCGAAAATTAAAGTACATTTGTATATTTTTGCTATTCTCAATTTTGAGAAATATGAGTGTTTATTGCAAGTCAATGATTTCGCGATTATATCTGGTGGTTTGATAGCTTACCCAGCCTGGGGTTCCCCATCAGCCTTTAGCCTAGCTACTATGTCTGGCATTAATATCGTCCTCTATCTCTTTACCCCTGAATAATGCTCAGACCCACAAATTAGATTCACGGTAAAGGTTGCTTCACATCCTCCTTCTCCGCCACTTCGGCAACAACATCTTCCTCGCCAACATTCGTTGAGGTAATGGCCCAGACGGTAGGAATGGCAATCAGTAGCGAACCGATACAAAGACCCCAGTCCATAGCAAACTGAGTCATGGCCGGCTTTTTCAAGGCATTCACTCTCCACGCCATGGCACCCCCAGTAGCCTGAAAGGTCTTATAAGCACCGACCAATATAGCAGTTCTAGCAGGAGAGTTAGACTGGGCACCAATCAGCCAGTAACAAAAAGCCTGCCAAAGGGCATCATATGCTCCGTAGCAGATGTACAGGATGATGGGGCCGGCTGAGAGACTTCCATTCGTATAGTCAATGTCTTGCTTCAGCCCTTGTGCCATACGATGAGTAGACCACAGCTGAAATTTGTAGCCACCACCCCAGATAACCATCCCAGTCACGAAGAGGGTTACCCAGCCCGCCACAGCACGCCATCGACGGGTCAGCCATGGCATATCGAGCAAGCAGCCCATGATCAGGCCACCTAGCATCTGAGCCATCCAGTATAGTGCACCATTCAAGGATCGGGTTCGAATGTTGAAGTTCATACCATTTACTTCGTTTTGCTGATATGAATAGAACACGTTGGCGGAGAAGAATAAAGGCAACATGCAGATGACCCTCCAGTCGAATACTGTGTTTAGTGCAAGTCGTGCTGTCTGTCGCCAGTTGGGTTTCTCGCTTGCAGTTGTATGTATCCCTTTCACTTGCACCGCTGATGGAGGGCATGTCAAAAGTCCCAGCACCCACCCGACCAGCATAATCACAAGCAGAGCAATGTACGTTGCGTCCGATACGGTGCTGGTCTTTGAGTGGAAGTTGAGGCCAAAGCTAGCGAGAGAGCCAACTCCGCCGCCAAGGTTGAAAATTATCCAAAATACGGCGATGGCTCGCCCCTTCTGAGACTCGGGAACGTAGGTTGTCATAATTGCACCCTGGGATACCCATAAGAACGAGGCGCCTACACCCAGGAGAGCACCGGACGCAATGACAAACGCTCCATTTTCGTTATCTTAGAATTGCACTTGGTCAATCATGTCCCCGTTTCTTTGTGTCTCTAAACAAGAACTTACGGTTGAAATTCAACAAGCTACCCGAATACAGGGCATATGTCCATCCGCCAAGGAGAAGGCAAACACGAGGCCCAACCCGCTCAAATATTGGTCCCACGACGAACAGAGCGGTTCCGGCAGTGGCAGACAACAGGGCAACTGTAGCATTGGCTGCTACGGTTGGGTCGACCTGGCCGGACCCTCCCAAGCCGGAGAGGGCATTGTACATCTACCGCCATTGATTTGATTAGTATGTTGTTCACATTGTGCCAAGCCAGGCATAATAATAAAGACATGTCTTACGCCAGGGCAGCAGAAGCAAATAAAGCTGATTAGAAGGATCTGAAACCAAGAATTTGTATAAACGCGTCGAACCATGGACGGAGATGTTTCGACAGTGACTGTCGACGACATGGTGAAGAATGTTGTACTGTGCTCGAACTAATCAAGAGATAATGTTAAATATTAGTGCCTGGTGCCCAGGCAGAATATGAACTTTCATCCACCCTGAACTGGTCGATGCAGGGCATATTATAGCTCCATCATATCGCTAACCCCAGTTTCTTAACCGTGCAGAGCCAGATGGAACATGTAGTCGGCCCACTCGGAGTAAGGAGATTACAGATAGGGCAATGGAGGCTATCTGTAGACCAATAAATTGAAAAGTATAGTCTGATCAGGAGGTAAGAAGGCTCAACGCTGCAAAAGAGAAGAATTGGGACCGGGGGTAGAACGGAGTCATCGGGGTAGTGTGGGGCATGTCGTTAATGTTCGGTGTAAATGAGCTCTACCATTGGCCCAAGCGATCTCTTCTCTCCGGCTCAGCCCCCTGGAACCCCGCAAAATCAGCTGGATAAGGGGTCGGCGATCACACTCTCCGCGTGATGGACTCTTCTAACTCATTTTCAAACCAAACTCGACGTTGTGTGTCAATATTCAACCGCCTGGCCCACTTCAATGGGCTAAAGATAACATCTCGCCGAAGTAACACACCGGATAAAAATTTCGCGGATTCATGATGCGGTTCTTCTGATATAACAGCCCGCATCCGTGACATATCAGCAAGGTAAACACATAGCAGTCAATCCCGGAAAGGCAGGCTTCGCAAATATGGCACAGGATGCCTTGGATCTATCGGGTTTACAGACCGAGGCAATCAATGAACGCACCAGCAATATCGACAGGGTTTCGACTCTGCAGATGTGCACCATGATCAATGATGAAGACATAACAGTCGCTGGAAGTGTTACAGCATGCTTGGAAGACATTGTGCTTGCAATAGACCTGTTAGTTCCTCGTGTACGCGCTGGCGGGCGAGTGATATATGTCGGAGCAGGAACTAGCGGCAGGTTCGTATTTCTGACATGACGATACTGAATCTCAAGTCTTACCATGTATTGATTTTCTCTAGGTTAGGAGTACTGGACAGTTCCGAAATACTACCTACCTTTGCGGCACCCCCGACACAATTTGTCGGTTTGATTGCTGGAGGAGATGCCGCCATCCGCAAGGCACAAGAAGGAGCAGAGGACAGCATCGCAGCAGGCAGGGACGAACTTACCGCCATGAATCTTAATGGTGAACAAGACAGCATTATCGGAATTGCGGCGTCCGGCCGCACGCCTTACGTCCTTGGTGCGCTCGAGTATGCAAAGAGCTTGGGCTGCCTCACTATTGGAGTTGCATGCGTATCGCCGTCAGAAATAGGTCAATCCGGCAACGTTGATATTATGATTGCACCTTTACCTGGCCCAGAAGTCATCACTGGGAGTACGAGATTGAAGGCCGGAACTGCCACGAAGCTGGTATTGAATATGCTGAGTACTGGCACTATGATCAAGGCTGGTAAAACATATGGGAACATGGTGAGAAATCTTTAGTCAAAGCTTTCCCACCCTGGAGACGAATGCTAATTTCTATTTGCCCCAGATGGTCGATCTTATCGCATCAAATCAGAAACTCAAGCAAAGATCGCGGAATATCCTCCGGAAAGTTAGTAGACGATGCTCAACTATGACTGATCAATACTTGGATGATCTGCTCGCCCGTTGTGGTGGTAGAGTCAAAGTTGCACTTGTTGTCGCAGAGAAAGGGATCTCGGTAGAAGAAAGCCGGGAGCAGCTTGAAATGGCTCAAGGTGTTCTCGCCAAGGTTATCGCGACCGAGGATGAGGCTCCAGTCAAGACACCTCTGATAAATGGATTTAAACACCGTCGGTCTGTCCTGTGTATTGATGGTGGAGGGTCGAAATGTGCCGCCGTGGTAGGAGATACAGGCGGGGATTTGGGGAAAGGCGTTGCTGGACCTTGTAATCTGTGAGCTCTCATACTCCCCTTTTAAGCCTTCAGATATATGCTAACAATAGGAGGACGGATGGCAATTTCGAGGCCTCGGTGGATGCAATAGTCATAGCTGCACGAGAGGCATTCAGGAACATTGGCAAACCAGCGAACCGCATTAACGGCATCAATGGCTCAACAGATTCACACCAGTCAACCATTACAAATCACGGCCAGTCATTGGATTCAATCTGGATCGCAAGTGCCGGAATGGACCGTCCAGGGATGCGAGAACGTGTGCAAGCAGCAGTGGCACAGAATCTCAATCTGAATAAGTCGATTCAAATGCGGATAACCAACGACGTTGACCTGCTAGCTGCAGCTATGGCACGCCACCCAGAAATCTCCTCGAGCTTGGTCGTCATAGCTGGCACAGGTAGCATCGCCATTCGTTATGCTTATAACAACGATGATTTAGTGCCAAGGCGCGTTGCACGCGCTGGCGGATGGGGTCATCTTCTTGGAGACGAAGGAGCCGGATATGCAATTGGAAGACAAGCCATCCGGAAAACCTTGTTCTCACTAGACGATATCAAACTTTCTCAGCGAAAATCCGGCCTCAGCTCGCTAGAATTGAAGGTGGTGAACTTCTTCTCTAAGTGCTCGTCTGAAGCAAACCATGATGTTCTGGATATCGACCTCCTGAGCAACGTCCTGATGGCAAGCGATGACAAATCCGCCAAGAGCCGAATCGCAGGCGTCGCACAAACAATTCTGGATTCAGCTGGCTCTGGAGATGCCGAAGCAGTGGAAATCATTGCTCAACAAGTATCCGGTTTCGTCGACAACACTCTATCTCGTCTACTTGACCCTCAATCGCATGGTTATATAGACCCGTCAAAATGTGGTCTCATCCTCTCTGGAGGAGTGATGCTTCACAGTGTTTATCAAACCATATTTCAGCTTGCCCTAGCGAAACGAAGCATCCGATTTAGCTGTACGGAAGCTGTCCCCAATGCGGCGCTGGTCGGTGTCGAATACTTACTAGCATCGCATACACTTTGTCCTCGACAGAATGGCGTAATATAAATCCTCTGTTATAGCTGGCGAGCCCTGGAAACCCAGTATAGACATAGGAAATTTTGAGGCACAAGGTGGCTAGCAAAGAGAACTTGTAATTATACTATGTTGTATAGATATATCCAACCCAAAGGATTCAACTGCTCTTCTTTTAAAAATAGCTAAGATGCCCAATCCGTAAGAGTCTGTTCTGCCTTTTCCATAAGCTTCCTCTGCACGAAGTCATCAAGAGCATCTCTCTTCTCGACAGTGGGCAGTTTTGATATATCCTCTCGCTTCTGTAGTTTCAGATAGTTGGTGAGCATCGGATGCCGGCTTTAAACATGCATCATTGGCATTTTAGAGTTAGGGGAAAGAATGTAGTGCTGTTATCGCGGGGTGTTGTCGGGGTGTTGTCGGGGTGTTGTCGGGGTGTTTTCGGGGTGTTTTCGGGGTAAAGGAAGGCCCATCCAACATTAGGTATCATTTGCTCAAAGGCTTCTATCATGCTTAAGTCTTCTCGTTTTAGGCCCGGAGTGGCCATGTCACTCGCAAGTTAGTATGATATCTGTGGAGACCAACAATGTGTAAGTGAAGCGCACAATATATAAATGTCAACCAAGCCCTGTGTCCTAATGAGGTTTTGGGAAGCACCTACCGTCAGAAATTGCTCAAACATCCTCAAGATTGAAACTAGTTCCTTCTTCTGCTGGTGATAACGACTTGTTAGCTCGTCAAGAAGGTAAAGATGAGGGTTCTGACTATATTCGCCGTTCTTTCGAGTGTGTCATGGGCCAAATATGCAGTCAAAACCGGTTTGGATGTTTTATTCGAAAGCAATTACACACAGCTAGCTGGCAGAAAAGTCATCGTACTCACTAATCCAACGGGTGTGACTCCGGACTTAAATCTTGGGGTTGACGTTATGTTCAATTCTGGCGCCGTTGACCTCGTTGGTGTCATGGGTCCTGAGCATGGGTTCAGGGGCACAGCCCAAGCTGGGGGTTCAGAAGGGACGTTTATTGATCCAGAAACTGGATTAACAGTTTATGTACGTTTCTTTCCATCAAAAAGTTCTTCGGATATATCTTTGACAATTTCTCCTATTCTAGGATGCGTATAATGTCAACACGAGCACACTTGTTGGCTATATCAAGGAATCTGGAGCGGATACCGTACTATTTGATATACAAGATGTAGGAGCTCGGTTTTATACGTGTCAGTCCAGTTCATAGAAACTCAAAAACTTCAAGATAACTAATGGTGAGCAGATACTTGGGCCATGTATGACACTATGGTGGCTGCAGCCATTACAAATGCTAGCTTTGTGGTCATAGACCGCCCAAATCCTATCACAGGATTGAATGCATTCGGCCCGGTACTCAATGAGAGCTATGCATCTTATGTGGGACGGCGTCCTATTGCACAAGCTCATGGCATGACAACGGGTGAACTGGCATCAATGTTTGTTGGAGAGAAGTGGATTCAAGAAACTGCAAACGGTTCGGACCTGAACTTAGAGGTCATTCAAATGAAAGGGTGGAAGCGATCGATGACATGGGAAGACACTCATCTTCCGTGGGTCATGCCAAGTCCAAGTAAGTGATCGAGCTCCCTATAAATAGCAGAGCACTGATGACATGCGATTTCAAAGACATGCCCACTCCGGACACAGCTTTGATCTACGCAGGTGCCTGCATGTTCGAGGGGACCAGCATTTCCGAGGGGCGTGGAACTACTCGGCCCTTTGAGGTACAGTATTGCGTACGTCAAAGCAGTGGAGTTTGAAAGCTGACTAGCTACAGTTACTCGGGGGCTCCTTCACGAATGACTCATGGGCCGACGAAATGCGAGCACTGAATATCCCGCACACGAACTTTCGTTCTGCTTGTTTCAGCCCGACAACATCAAAGTTTCAGTCGCAGACCGTCTGTGGACTTGAAACTTACGTTTTTCTCGATTCTATCGGCGACTATGAGGAATTTGATCCAGTCTTCCTTGGAGTATCATTGCTCTGGAGCGCCAAACATCTCTACACTGTCGGCAGTAACGACACAGGCTTCGGAAACACGACACAAAGTTTCCACTGGCTATTTGCTTCCAAAACGAGCTTGTACGATGTGGATGTGTTGACTGGTGGCTCTTTGATTCGGGAAGGCATTGAGGCTGGACTTTCTCCGGATGAAATCCGGACACAGTGGGAGGCTGACTTACAGGCTTTCAAGAAGAAGCGAGAAACGTATCTTCTATATTGACGAGTCGGAAGTTGAAGTGCCGTATGTAAGATCGAATCAAGCTTGGTCCTTGTAGCCTAAAAAGTGCTTAGTTGAATCGATGTGCGAATGGCAGTGTGAAGGAGAGTACGGAAGAAAGTTGCGAGGGAAAGTTGGAATTGCAGTCCCGTAGAATCCCGAATTAAGAGGCACCTTCGGAACGGAATGCGGAGAAAATGTGTCCGTAGTGGGCCTTAATCTACCTTATCAACTGATCCAATGAAATGCTAGCGGCGTCAAGTTACATATCGCGGGGTAATTGGAGTAAATGTTCCTTCTCAACTTCATACAACACATCAATCCTCAATTGCTTCTATTCCATGTATATCGTGGTATAAGAGATGCCTCCACCATCAAGCTCAACTAGGCGAGCAGTGGAAAAAAATCGCATTCGGATCCCCTCGTGTGAGCCCTGTCGTTTATCCAAACTCGCTTGTGATCACAAGCGTCCAGCATGCTCCCGTTGCGCCAGTCGTGAAATCACTCAACAGTGCGTCTATAGAAAGAATCCATTCAAGCGACATAGGCCAATTGTGGTCTCTCAGCAACATCATGTGTAAGCTCCCAGTCTTCGGCGACCATCATCCCCTGAGGAAAAGAGCTAATCTCTAGCAGTCTTCCAACAAGCGGGCCAAATGGCTTGTCGCCTGAAAGACCAGTGGCCACCTTTCAAATGAAACGGTATCCAAATCCAGGCTACCAAGGGTCATCATCTCTCAAGACAGTGCTGGATAATCTTGGTGACCACTTAGCCGTTAGAATTGATACCTCCAGACCTCATGTCAACGACCAACAGTCGTCACGAGACGCTGTACTTCGGGCAGATAGCTCCAAGATGGTCGATGAAGGAGTACAGCTGTTAGAGACGTTCCTTGATTATCTTGCTGATGATGCTTTTCGACAACTGTTCTCCGAAGCGAAAGGAAGCGGTTTACAAACCCACTTGGGTACCTTCTTACTTTTCCCATTCTTTGAAAGTCTGGCGAACGAAATTGACATCATACGACAATCAGAAAACCGGCAGGCAAGCTCGTTCGCACTATCACAACGCCTCTTTGAAAAGGCAAACCAACCCGTTGAGATTCATAGCGCCATGACTCTTGAAGAGTTTGCCGCTCAGTACACGGGGCAAAATTTACGATGGGAAACGGTGGGTTTAATTATTACACTAGCCGGGTACGTACTCTTAAAGTTAGGTTTCATTTAACATAATGCTAACTAGACAAGCATTGCTTCTACCGAGATACGAGTCCCGCATCCAGCCTGCAAAACAGAAGAGGAACGCCAACTTCTGAGGACAAACCTTGTTCATTTGACCAACAAATGTGTTGGCTTCTGCGATTCTTTGGACACATTGAATGATATCACTATGATATTCATATACGAGAGCTTCCTTCTTGCTTCAATATTCTATGGCGATCAAAGTATGAAAATGAACAACCCTTTACAACAGCTCAATTCCATTGACAAGTATTATAGGTTTCAAGGCTTGGAGAAGACTTAATCATGCTTCCAGCGCACTGTTTGCAGATGGGCTTCACGAGACTGTCAAAGAAAAACAGTATCTCCCATTCTTCCTAACACAGTTACGCCAGCAAATCTTTGCACGAATTTATGGATCCGATATTAGTTTCGCTGTCTTTCTAGGCCGTCCTCCGCGGGTAAGTAAACGCTTTTGTTATACAAGTATGCCTCTCGACATCGAAGAGGATATATACTGTCTAGTAGGAGAAGCTTTGGACCAAGAATTGGCACACCTGGACCGAAACGGTTGGAACACTCTCGGCCAGATCAGGAAAAGTGCTGTCATACGATGGTCTATGATCACCTCTATGATCCGTGAAGATGCTTTAGAAACTCTACTTGGACGTAATCTCACCAATGTACCACAGCGAATCGGGTATGTTTTCTCTCCATTATGCTACACTTCATGTTGATATTGAGATTTTACTAGTGAGCTTCAAGCGAAGATTGACCATGCGTGGAAAGATCTTCCCCCGTTTCTCACAATTCCAACCCGGGATCTTTGGCTGAAAGGACGCTCCTGCCATGAGGTAGACACTTTGCATCAAATTCGTCTACTTTACCTCAATACCGCCTTTTTAATCGAATGGGCGGCTTCGCGACATGGCCTTCAAGATACTGGTGCCTTGTTTGTCAATGCTAGTGAACTACTCTCATGGGTTAATGAAGCTCTAGTCAGGCGTGAACAGTTGTCCGAAAGAGGTTTGATTTCTCTAGCATGGAGGGTACGTTGCAGTTGGAAGCTCGCTTTTTATGATGCCAAGTACTGATATAAACAGGTTACTTCTTGTGCTCTACCCGCTGCCGGTGCTATTGCCTGGTATCTCCTCCAGCCATCGTCCCGTGTCGGCCTCAATCTCGACTTATCATCGAGAAGACGCAGCATAGAGAATCTCTCAGTGCTCATTGCTCACATGGGTGTCCTACATGATCCTGGAGACGGGAACTATCAGCTTTTCTGCCACGCCAAAAGTGCTCTGCAATCTGCAATGGACACTATCCTCAGTCTTCCAGATCCCGCTCAGCCTGAGAATTCCTTAGATATGCTATCCTCGGCTGCACTGTCACCAGACTGGATCTTTTCGGATTATTTAGGGCTTGGGGTTGATTCATGGTGGATTTCTTTCGTGCTGCTTTTATTGAAGAGATGTTGGCTAATGCCTTGACAGGATCGGTCTTCCGGATCGCGGGTCTTTTATGACAATAGATGATAATATGTTATATTGAATGGTGAATATTTGTGTTTATGGTAGTGAAGCTTTAGAAATTTCTGGCTTTGCCTTGACAAAATTATTGGGATCCACGCTGCGGATTCTGCGATATATGAGATATTTGCATTCAAATTCATTCCTCGTGTACATACAAGTCTATCGAAGGAATGAACCCAGGCTCCCATTCGGTACGGCCTCAACTCAACCATTACAACAGAGGAAACGCAACATCCAACCCCAAGCTCTTCCCAACCCAATATCCAATAGCCTGTCTCACGATACTATTGCTAGACCATGCCCTAGACGGATGCACCCTATTACTAAAATGCAACCAAAAGGCATTATACGTCCTATTCATCACCAACGTAGTCCCGGTAAACCCCGTATGACTCGCAGTTTGCAAACTCGCCATCGGTCCCGCAGTAGAATACTGATCCAACTCAAACCCTAAACTACGAGCATCCCCCGGAAACCTGGCATTGAAGTTTGTGAAAATCAGGTCTACCGCTCTTTGAGAAAGGATCCGTTGACCTGCATATGTGCCGTTGTTGAGGATCATTTGGCAAAATGCCGCTGTGTCGCGCACGGTGGAGAATAGACCTGCATGGCCTGATACGCCGCCTAGGGACCATGCGTTTTCGTCGTGAACTGTGCCGCGCACTGGTTGTGGACGCTGTGGTTCTGAGGGTCCGAGGGCTGCGATTTGGAATTCTTGTGTGGCTGTGCGGTCGTACTTGGGTGTCTGGGGTGTAGAGCCTTCGATATTCCCGCGGTTGAAGAAGGTAGATGTCATTCCAAGCGGTCTGGTGAAGTCATAAATAAGATCATCTAGGGCGCGTCCCGTTACGGTCTCGATGACGAGGCCCAGAGACATAAAGTTGAGATCTGAGTAGAGGTATGTGCTGCCGGGAGTATTGATAATTTTCTGCCTCAGAATCGCATTAATGCGTTCCTCATAGGTTGTGTAACTAGCGGAGAAAAGTGGTGGCGATGGATCAGCATCGAAACCGCTTGTATGCGTGAACAGCTCCAAGATAATAATGTTCTCCTTCCCATTTGCCGCAAACTCCGGTATATAAGTCGCAACAGTTGCATTAAGCGCAATTCGAGCAGCGTCAAGTTCCCGTAAAGCAGCTACAGTGGTGAAGAGCTTCGTGAGACTTGCCATGTCGTAGACTGTATCCACGGTGGTGTCTTCCTGTAAATGTCGAGGTAACTTGGTGCCGTTGACATCGGCGTATAGATTTCTCTTGCCCACGGCAAATTCGCTGACGATGACGCCGTCGCGAGCCACCAGGGTAACAGACCCTGGTTCGATCGGATGGATTTTCTCGTACGAGAACTTGCTATAGTTGGCAGCATGTGTATATGCGCTAACATTCTGGACCATTTGGTGCAAAGGGGCTGATATCATACCGACGGATTCTGGTGAGCCATATACCAGTCTCCCATCGTTATTTTTGGTCGGACTGGCAAAGGCAATGCCAATGCAAGCCTAGCAAAAGACGTAGTAGTTCTCATGGTGAAATGTGTGAGCGGCTTTCTGATTCAAATCTCTCCTCGACTTAGATTAGACCGAGTCTCGGTATTTCTGTCATCCATAGATACTGGTCATAATATATATCTACATAGATCTGATGCGTTCGGAGTCACCATTTCGGGGTGTTTGGAAGGTTGTATACGTTTCCCCGCTTAATTTTTGTAGTTTCGGCGAGAAGGCACACAGTTTACTCCGAGAGATAAGAGATAGACAGAATCCTTAGTAAAATTGATTTGCAGATTGGTTGACCGACATTGCTGGAAGCTTATCATTCATGTTTATCAGTCAAATGTAACTCTGTTCCTTTTAGTATTCGCATTATGTATTAGCTCGGTAGTTTCCAATGGATACGAGTGTTGATCTTACGGAACACGCTATGTATCTAAATAGAGAATGCTGTTTGGAGCCAATCATGCATTCGCTAATGTCATTCTGCAATAAAATATAGTACATCTACTGCAAGCCTATGGGAAGCTAGGTTTTGTGTGTATGTGTGTGTTTATGTGTTAGGGTCAGTGCATGGGTGGGTCACTACATACGAACCCATTACCTTAACGCCACCCATTTATTGTACGTCTCGACATGTAGGCCCAAAACAAGCGGTGTCTTGGATTCCGTCGACTGGGGTGTGTAGGGCATTGGCAAGATCTTTCCAGCACATACGACCACAGGGTGTGGAGAACAGGGCTTCCCGTCCGCTCAGCCGTACTTAAGCCACACGCCGGTAGGTTAGTAGTATGGTGGGTGACCACATGCGAATCCCTACTGTTGTATGTTTTTGATGCTTTTTTTTTCGAGCTTTTTCTTAGTAGTGGCAAACGCAGGACGAACCAGGGCATTGTTAGGGAAGAAGCGCTGGACCGCGGGTGACTTCTCTAAAAGCCCCATCTCTCGCTCACCACCTCTTTGACTTTCAACCATCCTCTTACCTTTGCTGCATGAAATGCGGAAGACCTTCGCTAGAGCTGCAATTTCCTGTATTACTCTGATCATTCTACAGTAACATGGTGCCCAGTGCCATGTTTCTATAAGGAGGACTAGCATGCCTTTCTTGGAGGTTCCGTATACTACACAATATAAAAGGAAGGAGCGATCGACCTAGATGGGTTTCAGGGGGCGTAACTTTCTTTGGTACATATATTGGTGAATGGATGATTGCTACCCCGTTGCTGTTCAGAGGCTTGAAATATTTATACAGGTGCAGTCTTCTCCTTGAATGACCGGATACTCTAGATGAGGCACTGTGGGTTAGTACTTGCTACCACTATTCATCCCTCGAGTGCTTGGTGCGTTGCATTATGGATGCCGTTCAACCAAGAGTTGTGTTGTGGATACCATGTCTCGTGAGGGTTATGATAGAAGAGCATGAACATCAACATGTGGAGAATAGTCTGATTATACAGCTGCTAATAGTTCTTCTAGTAGAGAGGATATGTATCCATAGGGGTACAAAAGTCGCCTAAGAACTAAAGTATAAAGAGAGGGTATATTCCCTCAACGACGCGGATACCTACTCTCGCCCCTCCTTAGTTCTTCTAGAAGATGGAAATAGATCCAAGCTACCTATATTATACCCAGCGCCATTATACTCTTCGTTCCGCTCAACATTATACCCAACAAACCAGTCTGACGACACCCCTATTAGCACCATCCACGGCTGCTGCTGTAGGTAGTATTCCTTAATAACCTTCTACTGCTTATCCAAATGCGGTGGCTCTGTAATATTAATCCCTATCTCCCGCGCCCGCCGCAGGAGATCCTTATACTAAAACAGGTTTTCGTGCACCTTCTGCCGCGCCGCGTCAACAAGGATGTCATCTGGCGTTGGGCTAATCCGGCGATATTCATCCTTATACCCGGCCACGATGCACGCGCGCGCCGCCGGAATGTAGTTAAATAACTGGACTTCTACACTCTCCACAAAAACCCACTCAATCACTCAGATCACTATGTTCTTCCTGGTACCAGTGAAGCTGCCAGTAGACATTGATAGTATCCCTATGAACGATTCCTAGAGTCTTCTTTCGTCCCTCGTAAACCCGCTGGTAAATACTCATGGCCTCGAGATGCTTCTTCTTCCCCTTTGCCTCCCTCTTTGTCCGTCACTCCCTGTAGCCATCGCTTGGAGAGTCACAGACTCACCAACCAGACGCAGCGCAGCCAGAGTATCTTCATGCAGAGACCCATGTCGCTGCGTTTGCCGGCCATGAAGCTCCGTGTATGCGTCCCGCCTGCCGTTATGATCGCCATACAGGAATAAGCTCCATATAGCGGTAGTAGCCTGGCTACTGTCAGTAGACGGCAGCTTAGCTACTGGCTACTGTGCTGTGGTAGCTACTGTCACGTGATCCAATGGGTGCAGGGGGTTGCCAGGTTTCTGCCGTAGCTTTTGCGGTATCGTATTGTCCTGCGCCCGATTAATCCATGGATGATTGGCTGTCGTTGCTTCTTAACGAACAGAGGTCAGCGTCGTAACAGGCACTAAAAGCATGCAAACTCTGCAAACCAATATTGAAAATGGCCCATTTAAGGCAATTCAAATTTTGGCAAGTGGTGCTTGGCTGGCATTTTGGACCACGGTTCGGAATGTCAACCAATCAGTTGAATCTTGTGCACGAGGCACATCCCCTGCAAGCAGACTCTGGCGTGGGCCAATCAGATGCGGGGACTCGTGCTCAGGTGAGATGGCAGTGACCAGGGTAGAAGGGAAGCTGCGACCAGCCTCTTAAAAAGAAAAATTTCCTCAACGCGACTCGTTTCTCTCCGTCTTTTCCTCACAAGATCCCAGCCAGGCCAATCTCTAAATTCTTTCGTTCCCGCGACTTGGTCAGAATGCCACCCCACGCTCCCGCGATCGCAGACGAGGTCTGGGCCCGACACAGGGAGGAGATCATCGCGTTCTATCAATCCAGCTCGCTACCAAAGACCATGGCCTACATGGTCGAGAAGCACAACTTCCGAGCTAGGTACAGTTTGCTTCTCCCAGTACGTGTCTCTGTCTGGGTTCGTGTTCTAACGTTGCAACGCCGCTTAGCAAAAACCAGTATATCAGAATGCTGGATTTATGGGGCATCAAGAAAAATCACCCCGGGAAGGACTGGATTGCCATCGCGAAGGTGAAACGAAAGCGGAGTAAAATAGGCAAGGAATCTGAGGTTTCTATTCATGGCCGCAAGCGCACGCGGCAGCAGGTCGAAAAGGAGATCGCTCGGCATGTTCCTTTGCTCGAGCTGTGCTGCAGCCCGGGGGATGTAGTTCTCCCAGACTATATTTCCGTCTCTACACCGCTTGCACAGCCTGTTGGTGTATCTCGCGAAAGGCTTTTACTGAATCTGCCTTGGTACCAGTACGGACGAGAGATACAAGCATTTGGTAAGTGCTCGATAGTTCTTGGTGTGGCGTCTTGTCCTGGCCTGAATGTTTGATGCTTTTCGTGCCTGCTGCTCTACTGTTTATTGGTTATTATAGCTTCACTCTGTTCCTCACAGCTCCTAGAGCTTTATTGGCCATAGCTGACGAAATACATAGTTTCTGGTGAGAGACAGACGAGGATTCGTGCAAGCGCCTCTCTTCAACCCAGCAAGGATTTACCACAGCTAAGCGTGCGCCGCAGGTCTTGCTACCAGAATGAAACCTGTTCTAGCGAGCTTTTCCTATCGGCGGAACTTGAATCAGGTCACTCTCCGACCCAATTGCTATCGCGAGAGAAAGACTCACCGTCGGTCTTCAAGGTCTTTCTACAGCGCTTTATCTTTCTAGCAATAAACAATCTGATCTGGGAAGGGGACTTTAAGAAAGTGTGCGACTGGATCGTGGAGAAATGTGGTGCTGACACGCTCCTCGTGCTGTGTCGGCTGGATCTTCCGTCAATGAAAGTCTTCGCGACAAGGTGCTTTGCAGTGTTATCGAGTCTGGAAATATAGGGCTCGCCATCAGAGTGGCTCACTGTGGAGTTACATTGGAAGACCATAATCCTTCTCGCTATCAGAGGTGGACACCATGCCTCGATAGCGCGGTTCGAGGCGGACACAATTCAATGGTTGAGCTACTGTGCCAGGCCAAGGTCACTCCCAAGATCAGGACTCCATGGACGTGGAAGGCACAGCCATGGGAATACCGTCTGCCAATTCTACGCACCCTTCTTGCCTATGGTGCAGATCCAGATAGTTTCGTCACGGAAGAGGAGCCCGGATTTCCCTTAATTAACGCAGCAAAAGACGGTTGCCTTGACGCGGTGCAACTGCTTTTGAGTAACGGAGCTACACTTGACCTGTCGATTCCGTCCCACAATGGCACTGCTTTGCAAGCAGCAGTGTTTGAGGGGCATGTGGATGTGGCCAAATATCTCATTACCTGCGGCGCTGACACCGACGTTCCGTACATATCGACTTCAACCGAGCTTCCCTACCGGTTCAGCCTGAATCAGGGAAGGATATATCTTCAGACTCCAGTTCAAATTGCTGCCGAAAGAGACAATACTCCGCTCCTTCAAATCTTACTAGACTACGGTGCATGTGTGTGGGCTTACCCGATCGCTGTACACCCAGCTGTCAAAAGAGTAGCATCCAACACATCGAGTCATGAGCTGTTCGGAGAAGTCGATCTTGGGCCCTGGTATAAAAGAGGCTCTCAAATATATACCGCCCTTCAATATGCGGCTATCAACCAGAATTTGGACATGGCCAGACTGTTGCTATCTAGAGGTATTGATCCGGACTCCCGGATCGCCCCAGATATAGGTGACACGCCCTTGCAAATATCTGCAAGATTAGGCAATATCACAATGTCTCACCTATTCTTGAATAGTGGCGCAGATATTAACGCCACCCCAGATGCTTGCAAGGGCCGGACTGCGCTTCAAGGGGCAGCAGAAAGCGGAAACTTAGAACTCCTATTACTACTTCAGAAACACGGTGCCTGGATCGGGGCACCGGCTGCAAAAGAGTTTGGTCTCACTGCATTGCAGGCAGCTTGCTACAATGGCCATTCTGTTATAGTTGGATCTCTCCTTGCACACGGGGCGGATGCCAATGAGCCTCCAGCGTCCCTAGGAGGATTAACGTCCTTACAAGGAGCAGTCTCACACGGTGACATGAGACTAATAAGAGATTTGATAAATCTCGGAGCTGAGGCGGACTCCCCGGCAACTTATATGGGCAAGACCGCTCTCTTGGCATCAGTGAAGCATAGATCTCTACCAATTGTTGAGTTACTGATCCAGCACGGCGCGAATGTCAATCAACCAAGGGATTGCCGGTATATAACTCTGCTGGATCCCACAGTTACTCCCCTTCAGGAGGCGGCTCGGGAAGACTGGCTCCAGGGTGTCGAGCTGCTGTTGAAACATGGTGCGAATGCGAACTATTTGGCCCCGCCTGGTGAGTATGAGGATGTTATTGCAGACCTCCTAAGTCCTTTGGGCTGGGCTATTTCGAATGGCTCTGAAGCGATGGTAGAACTACTGCTGGACCATGGTGCCAGTGTTCGTACAGTTGCATCGTGGATTGGAGTTGAAAACATGGGTGCCTTAGTGTCTGCACTACGCTACGAGCCGGATCCGGGCATTATTCAATTGCTCCTGGCGAAGGCTCCACACTTGGAAAAACACTATGGGTGGGAAGCCACGTTGGAGGCTCTACTCTATGGCGGCAACGAGATGCCCGTTGTCGTCCGCGAGATGGTAGTCGAGAAAGTACTGTCAATGCCGCCGTCTCTTTACCAGACGGTGGTTCGAAAAGGTTGGAATGCGTTACCTGATTCAGATTGGATGGAAGATGAAGATTGCCTCTGCTTTGTTGAGCTTTTCACAAAGATTGGGGCACCCCTGGACGAGTGCGACGAGAATGAAACTACACTCCTTCAACGCATTACAGCATGCGGCTACTCTCAGTGTTGTCGTTTCTTGATTAAGCACGGTGCTGCGGTCAATACCCACGCGGCCAAATGGCACGGAACGCCCCTTCAACAAGCCCTCAAGAACGGGTATACCGAGGCAGCCAATGCATTATTAGATCATGGCGCAGATGTCAACGCCTTGCCCGCAACATACCACGGTGTCACTGCACTCCAGGCCGCCTCCATTGACGGACTCCCTGATATGGTTGTACGGCTGCTCGAACTGGGAGCAGATGTCGATGCGCCCGCTGCGCCTATTGAGGGAAGGACGGCGATTAATGGAGCCGCAGAGCGTGGCTACTGGGATATCGTGCAGATACTCCTGAATGCGTATCAGGCGCAAGAAGCTGATTTGATGCCAGTATGTGTCGAGGCAGCGGAGTATGCGGAGCGCGAAGGTCATATCAATTTGGCTGAATGGCTGCGCGGGTATTCGCCCGCTTGACTACCCTGAATAGGCTTTGTCCTATGATATGTTGTTGTCTTCCCTGAATCTATGAAGGCTTTTGGGTTTGCATCTTTTTTTTTTTTTTTCCTACCCTGGGGGCAGATACTTAGCTTGGGAAACTAGAATTCGCCCTTACTGGTTGCTTTTTCTTTCTTTGTTTCACATGCTTAATCCAGAGTAGACCTTAGCACCGTGGCCTCGTTGAGTTCCATATTGTGGACAATGTCAGGTGAAAAGATATTGAAGTAGCTAGTTCAACGGATGTGCAAACAGTCTTAGCATTTACTACGCTCTATATCCCCTAATTTCAGCTCTTGAATGCTACAGTTCCAATAACTTATAATTGGTTATCCCGAGTATGTTTTCCGCCATAGTCAGCGTAGCGTTTGCATAGCTAGTGTCCTCCGTCTTTCGGTTCGCACTATGTCTTCATAATTTCAAACTCTCCCTCTACGTTGGACCATCATACGGATTGCAGTGACTTGGGTGGACAAAGCTCCAGATAAATCACCAATATGATCTGAAGCTCCCCTGTATATCCGGAATCGGTCAATTGCAGAGAATCGAGAGCACTGGCTTCACTCATCCTAGGTAGGCAGATCACGAACCGGACAGCCAAATCCAACTGTCCTTAAGCATCAGGTTCAGCGAAGCTCGGAGGGGGGCTGGCGGCGTCCGCCATATGGATGTCAACTAAGACTATGTCACTTGAGGCTGATTCGGAGAATGATGGACATTTCCAGGAATAATATGTGTCGCAGATAAATAGGACTGCAGTTGTGTTGCCAAATCAAGACTGCTAAATGACACCTTCACTGAAACCCGTATCTTCCCCCCGAGGGCGCTCAGCAGCCGCGGCTGAAGCGCCCTCGGCCGCTGTATCCTCTTTTTTCCGCTTTCCGTCTCGCTCTGAGACCACAGATACCCCTGCCGTCTGCGAGTCATCATCTATCTTTTCAGCAAAGCCTTGCCCTGTACCGTGACTCCCGTGCATACAGGATGACTCCAGAACCCAGCCCTCTCGACATGCCAAACAGCGAAAACAATAGTATTCCTCGGGGCAATACCTGCGCCGTAAACCGCCGTACTTGAGATAGTGGTAGTGAACTTGGGAAGAGATATCAGTCCGGGATACACTTTCATGTCTGATGCCCGTGGGCCTGCTATGCGAAGCATCTTGAACATCGCCGGTGGCTTTATAGCAGCCACAATCCGTCACCGACTCGGCAGTTAAAGCTGAGCTGTGTTCTTGACATCCCGGAATTTGGGTGAAGCATTCTGGTGGGCGGTTCTCGACGACTATATCCCGCATTGAAAAAAAAGCACTTTTAGACCTTACACGGTATTTGAGCTCCTCCCACCAGGGTTCGACGATGGTGCGATTCTTATGCAGGCGATGTGCAGGTTCCGCGAGCCAACAGCCGATCTCCCCACACAACACGTCTCCAAAGTTTGGAGTTAATAAGAGGGACATATTAGGTGAGTAAATAGGCGTATGCCAGTGAAACATGTGATACAGAGTGTCATGTGTCCACCCCTGAGCAGTCAGTGGGGCATAATCCTACGTTTCCCGATCTATAAAAAAGCTGATGCCACAGACATGCGCAGCGTCCGTAACGCGCCCACTCCACCGGAAGAATACGCAGGCGAAACGCAACGCTCTCGAGGCGCCACTTGCCGTCCTACTCTACAACGAGATCTATGCCTCGATCAATAAGGTACTGTCGGATGACAGGGTCATCTTGCAGGTAGAACATTATGGCGCCCAGGATAGCAGTTCAGCCTTCATGCCAGATTAGCTAATAGTAGCTTTCTAGATCAGGGTCAAATTGACTGAAAGTCTGGATGGGAAAATCATCGCGTTTCGTGTTGGCCAGTGCTAAAGCACCCCAGAGATAATATTTGTCGATCTCGCTTGTTGTCTCCAGGAGGCATTTCTAGAGTAGAAAAGAGAGGCATTCACGGCTGTCTGCCAAGTCCGCTCGAACGTCTGAGTCAATTTGAAAATTCAAACTCCTCAGTAAGCTCCAGCGAGGCTTCCGCAATAAGCCAAAGAGCTTCTGGGAAATCCGCTTTTGTCTTTTCGCGTCAAGTAGACACTAAAGTAATCGATTGACTCAGTTAATTAACAACCGCAGGCTATAAATTTGCCAAATGTGAAGATTGAATAGAATTCGCTTCTGCATTGACCCAATCACCAATGGCCGCGTTATCTTCAGCCGCTACCTACTGCACGTACCTTCGAGTACTCTATCCTGACCTGATGCTTGTAAGCGCACTTAAATCGTGTCGTCGAAGCTGATGGCATCCAAGCTCACGGTCAAAACTTCCAGCTTGTTGAGTGATCAAGCAGTGCAAAGGTCTCCCCAGGCAGCAGGATTCTAACGCCAGTTTCGTGGCTACGCCTTCCTGCCGAGCTAGCTAGTGTTCCAAGAAATAAATTTAGTTCATAGCTAAGCAACTGGTTAGGCAGGTCGCGCGAGGCTGGTGAGCACAGGGTGAGTGGCTCACCTTATCTGTTGCGCACTCACCTAACTTACCCAAGTCTCACCCATGTCGCGCGACCATAAAGTGGCCTTACCCTAAGCTCACACGGGGCAGTACTCACCCGACTTCTAGCCCCGCTTAAGCCACACGCCGGTAGGTTAGTAGTATGGTGGGTGACCACATGCGAATCCCTAATGTTGTATCTTTTTATATGTTGAATTCCTCTCTTGTTCTTTTGTTCTCCATTTGGTTCCTCCCGACTTGGAAGGGCGCGCAGTCGCACCCGCACCATCCTCTGATTCTTGTTTTTTTTCTTGATGAAAGCCAAGGAAGAAGAAGGCAGTTAGCTAGCCAGCTACCCTAATTAGCTCTTGCTCGAAACCAACTTACGTGCGAGATCCACTCAGCTCTTTCCTGATTCGTTTTTGCCGAGTGCAAAAGGCAGGAAGAACCCCTACCCCCGGCCAAACCCAAACCATCAACACCGCACGGAACCAGCCCCGTAGCGGGACGGCAGCCTGGACTGAATGTACGACGGCGGCTAATGGACCCCACCAGACAACGCTCCTGGTGGTACCTAGGTATGTAGGTATGGACCCTGCTAGACAGGAGCTCCTGCCCTACCTTTAGCAGCTATAAAGTGTGTTCACAATTTAGGGTTAGGTGGCGTATGTAGGTGGTGCCATCTGCAGTTATTTGAGGTCCTCCATTTCGATCGCTTGATCAATCCATCGGACTGCCCAGACAAGAAAATTCAGTAGATTTATGCGGCATACTCCTTCAACTCGCACTAACAGCGCAAACCCCTACGGTGGGAAGAATTGCTAATTGTTCCAAGTCAGTCAGATTATCAGAGAATATCTGTAGGCGACAAATTGTCTTAAGGGTTGATTTCATTATAAGCAGCAGTCTTGTGTGCTATATTCTGATTTCGGATACAATATAGAACAGAATGAAAGGCTAGGTCATAAAAATGAGACAAAAGGCCTTATGACACGTGGGTAAAGCTGCCCCTTGAAATAGAAGAACAGGACAGTGTGTTATAGGACCTATCCCTCAAACAACCAGGGCGGAGGATAGTAGACTCGAGGCCCGTTTAGAAGGTCACTCCAGGCTACATCATATTCCCGCGTCTCTACAGATACGCCAACCTGGCGAAGCTGAGCAACTTCTTGGTCATTGGGCATCTCCGAGAGGATCTCATCGATTCTCTCGCGCCAGACCTCTTTCAGGAACTTGTGAAGTGTTAATGGCGAGCGATGGTATTCCTCGAGGAGCTCCTTGACCAGGGAATTCAGCTGGCCGAGTAAGGATGCCTCCTCTTCACGGATCTCCGTGATAAGCTCCGCCTCCGGCTCCTCATTATCGTGGTCACAGGTATGAGTGAGATCAAGCTCGCAGAAGGTGAGATACCGGATAATGCGGGACGCGATCTTGTCAAAGAATTCCCTCTCCGTGTTGGGGGTGAGCGTGCTCTCGATGACATGCAATATGACTGATAAGGGCGGACCGTAGGTCGCGATTGTAGATGGTGGTGCTGTCTCATCCCATTTAAGCCGGTCAAAAGCCGTATGTAGTAGTACCTTCAACGCAAAGCATCCACCTGCACAACAGGGGCAGTCACAATCGTCACGGGTGTCATCCAAGACAACAGTATGGAGGAGTTTCACACATTGTTCGCTTATGTCGGAAAGGCTATCGGCCTCAGTCTTGGCCATTGTCCGAGCCATTGCTTCTGCCAGGTGTTGTGTAGCCGGGCGGCTGCAGTACACGCGATACAAGTCCGCACCCCTCGAGACCAACCATTCAGCCTTTTCTAAGCATACCTTAAGACTGGCGTATCGAAAGTCATCACTGATGCATGACAGGAGAATGGTTTGCCCATCTTCATCTGGTTCGTCGACGTCCCGGAAGCCAGCGTCCCACAATGCGTTCCAAAGGCCGAGGCCGTCCGAGTGAGTGAAGTATACACAATACGATTCGACGGCTTCAATTCCACTTACATCAACCGAGAGCAATTTAAGCAACTCAGAAGCCCGTGCAGCCTTTCGGTTCAAAAGCGTTCCGGGTTGAAGATTCAACTCCCCTTGCAACCTTGCGAGAAGTCGAGTCTCAGCTAAAGCCTGTAGGCATCGTCTGCGGCTAACGAAAGCTTCGATTAGGAGGCTTCGGATTTCGGGGTTCACCCAGTGGTTCCAGTGATTCTGACCCGCGTAGCTAAGTGCTTCTTTGCCCAAGGAGAACCTGTCGCAGTCGAGCATCAACTTCACAGATGGTACACAGCTCCTTTCGATAGCACGATCTAGGGCTTGCACTGTGGGTGTATATCCGTGGTCAAGTAGGATTGCAAGGCCCTCTGGCCACTGAGCATAATAGTGCAAATATGAGGAAGCTTCTGGGCCCAAGGGACCTGAAGAGTCAAGGAGCGAATGAAGACCATCCGCAGATTGCAATATCAGTGGATGTAGCTCTTCCGGAATCTCCATATCTATTCGCTATCAATGACATGTTGCGGCGAAGGTTTAAAAGTACGGGCAAATTACCATAAATCCCGTGCCTGGCAACTACGGATTGAAGCAGTCCTATTGCTCGTGTGCTGATGTGCAGAGGGATATCCGGGGGACTCATGATGCACGTGAGAATATCAGGATATTCAAGTGGGAGTCCATACCCACTCAAGAAAGCACGATCTGTAATATGAGAGCCCCCTTTGAGGAATTGAAGGCAAGATGTGGCAGTATGTATCGCTCTAGATGTGTCACCATCTCTGTAGCCAAAGGCGTCACTGCATTCGAATATCACATCTGTCGGTGTCATGTCCCGTTGATTCACGGCGCTTGGGGAAATGCCTGTTGCAAGAAGATCTTTAATGAAAGCATGCCAATCCACCCATGCATCGTCATCCCGTAAGCGATTCGGTTTCAGCCATTGAGCAACAACCTAACCTTTCTCTTAGCGAACACAAATTAACAGCAAGGAGAAGGCAGATGTTTGACGCACGTGTAATAAAGTATCGCCATTCTCCAATGTGTCCGTCGGGGAGGCCCGGCCGGCATGAAAGAGCTCGAAGAGTGCCTGATGGGTTCTTCGTATTTCCCTCTTCTCTATCATCCATTGTGAGTAGTGTTTATCAAGGAGCTTGAATGCCGGTGAATCCTTCGGTACAACGGCCCGAAAGTGTAGCTTGGGACTGATAGAGAAACCGCCCGCGCCGTGGGTCATAGTCAATGAAGCAGTCACCGAGAACCTGAGAAACCAATTGCAGAATGTCTGCCGGAATAGAAGTATAGTCCAGTCTCGGCTCTGGTTGTGCAGCGGACAGCAGGTGCCATGAGCGATTGAATGCGCCTTCACCGGGTCGCAGTTGCAACGGAGTGCTCGCTTCGTCCGCGAGTTCCTCGTCTGCAGCTTAGGGAGTAGGATCTTTACGGTATGCTCATTCTGTCGTTGCGTGTTTAAGAGGGATTTTAAGAGTTTTGGCTTCGTGATTGGTTTTCCGCTGCTTGCTTTGATATGTGACTCCTGATAGTGCACATTAGCTCAGTCTCCGGACTGATACGGCGCGACCATACCACTTGATCCATCCGCTCCATCAGCATCGTAAGGGTAGAATGAATTCCCGAATGCTGGTCTTCAAGTCTCTCCAGCCCGCCAATAATCCTACGTGTATTTGACGCAGTAGATAATGTATTTGACAGAACCAAACCCATTGACTGTTGACCCGACTTAAGCAATGATCTAGAAGGGATTAGCATTGGCAGAGCCTCTAGGGCGACACTTACAAATGTAGAACTTGCAAAGTACTATCCACATTTGCCTGTAGCCAGGACGCAGTATCCATAAGGTTCATCAGTGTTTCCCTGCGAAACGGGTAGAGCAGCCGGTCAAATTGTGTTCTTAACCTCGACGCCGTTTCACGGCCTGGTGGACAGGTCTTGTGACATTTATCTAGCATCTTCTGTAGTCGGTTCAGACCTTGCCGGCAGCTTTCGATGTTTTTTTGCGTCGCTAGGTCTACAGTCTTCGTAACTGGGGAGGCATCCGTCGCATCAGACTCAGTCACCACTCTTTGTAACAAAGTAAGTAAGCCATTCAGACTCTGGATGCGAGACACGACCTCGTCAACATCATCATGAAATGATTTGTAAGGGCCATAGTATAGAAGAAATCCTTGACAGATGGTTAGGCCCAGAGAGGCAACACCAACTGCGCTCCCTGTTACCGAGAAAGGATCGGACATTGTGCGACGAACGGTTTTTTTTGCTGTGAGCGGAGGATGAGAGTAAATGAAAATGATCGATTCTGAGACGGGGAAGAAAACCAGGAGGCGAGATTCCGTTGGCAGGGAAGACACTGCCCGCTTGTGCGACCGTAGCCTCGCTGAGCTGGAGGCCCAGGGCGCCTGCCTTCTTGGCGAGGCAGATCAGGCTCAAACGCCTTCAATCGTGGCACAAGACTATTCGTTCCTCGCCCCCATTCGATTTCGACTGGCATGCAAATCGAATATTCGGTCTCACAGAAACTGCGAGCAAGGGGCATCTTGTCAGCCTCTACGCGAGACTAGCTAGACCTTGCTATATGACCCCTGTGATGCTAGTGAGCTGCAGTCAAGGGTGTAAACCAGAATATGGACGACGCCATGCTAAGAACGTCGCGCCCTCTTTCGTTACCTCTCGCTAAGCCCTCGCTAAAGGGGTTCTAATACTTCTCGTCTGTTCCTGAACAGCGAACAATGGAACATCCTCTACAACTCGAGCCCACCGGGTGCGTATCTCATTGGTATTGGCGGACGCCAGCTAAAACCTGAGGGTGCACCCATGTCCGCCACCACCACAGCCACGTCGGATATCGCGGCTGAAAATATCACCACCCCGCAATCAACGCGTATCCTATTAACCTAGTTTACCGTTCTCACTGTCAAGAGCCTCATACCGAATTATCTTCACCTAGCCTACACGAAAGCTCAATCGGTTTTATTTACTAGTATTCCTTTTAATGCGACCACTCCGACCTTGGCAGGAATTTAGCCTGGGTATTCATGTTCGTCATGACAGCGTCATTCATATGCTGGTGCTAGCCTTGGTGTGCACCAACGTTTATTGTGGCCATGTTGACCGCTGATGTCTGGACCTGATAGGGCAAGCTACGTAACGCCTCACTAGTCCTGGATGGGTCCGAACCGTCACAGCAGCCATGTGGAAATACCTAGCTACTGCAGATTTACCCGGGAAAAAAGGCCGTGAGAGGCCAGATGATAAGCATGGTGCTCAGTGCGAAATTACCCAATGCTTTGACATGCTGTATCATCACCAGAGGTAGGCCCCTGTATTTCGATTCAGAGATCAAGATGCTTGATGTTAACCTGGAAAATTTGGATCCCTGCCAAGCTAAATCAAGCAGAAACTAGTCTCTGCAAGCGTTTGGCCATGGCGCCTTAACAGGCTAAGCCTTGCCAAAATGACCCTTTCCTTTCGACGCGATGATCAAGACCGCTCCTTGGATCTATCTACTAGCATTTATACTGTGCCTGGCTCCCTCCCTGCGCCTATTTTAGTTTGAATCTCTAATCTACGCAAAAACATTGACATAATAACCGCCATAACCGCTGCGAACAGCTACTTCGCATACGTCTTCTCCAACTACGGCCTCCTTACCACAACGTTCACGCAACTGGCAACATGCACTTCCGTTCGAGCTTATCGGCTTGGTAGATCCGACTGACGGTAGTATCTACCCGCAGTATCAGTACCTACTACGAGGGCTGCTGGCCCACCAGGGCCCCAGAGGCTAACTTAACTCCCCAGCTTTCACTGGGGTTACCAAGGAGGATTGTGACGACTATCTCGACTCAAGAAAGTTATACGAGACACCATGCGGAGCTTATTTTTCCCCGGGACTCTACTGTCCTTCTCTCTGGGAGACGGTCAGAATGGCCGCCCGTGACACCAGCAGCCCCTTGACCTCCTCAGGGATCTTGACGTGCTATTCCCACGACGACCACTTGAACTGCCCAGATTGGATTTATGATTGCGCAGATAGCGGCTCGTTGATGAAACATGCTCTACAGCCGAAATGCTGCCCTATGTACTTACCGTTTGCGCCCTCGTTTCGCCGCCGTCTCTTTGACACGACGATCGACGGACCGATGGGGTCTAGCGGAATAGTCGCCAACAGCAGCGGTGTTTGCATCCCCGTAGACCCCAACTACGCCGTCTCAAAGGGGTGCCAGGGCCATGAAGCATACAGTTACCAGTACGCAAGGACAGTATACACATACACCAACGGGAGCACCACGGGCGTCACAGCTTTCAATTCACCTACGTCTACCTTTTCCGATATGATCCCGGTTCCTACATCCTTTAAGCCTGAGGAGCTGTCCGAGTATCGCAGACTCCATGCTGTTGATGCCATTTCACTTCTGTCCCATGAGTCTGATTTGCAGGCGGCTGCTACTGCGACAGCGACAGCGACAGCGGATACAGGGTCGGGTACGCCCGGTACTAGTAAAACGACGAGTAATGCTGCTGGCTCGCTGAGGAGGAAGTCTGCGTGATACGGTATGGGGTCCTCGCTTGTGATATGGAATTCGTGTATGATCCTGGGTGCAGCAATGATTGTACTGCAAACCATTGGGCTCTTTTTCAAAGCGGCGTATAGACCAATTTTTAATTGTCTCTAGATGAGATAACTATATAGTTCGCCAAAAGTTCGGTTACCAATACGAACTACCCAGAGTATGTAGAGCTAGCTATATATATTGACGTAATAATATATTATCTCAGTAGCTATGATATATCAGATGGTCCCGACCCTTATGTCTAAAGAACAGCAATAACAACACCACTGTCTTACTCAAGAATCTTCATAGGAAGTAGATGGCGACTAGTGAAACCCATCTCCTTTGCCTTGTATACTAGATGAGTTACGCTTGTCGCCAGTCAGGATGGTTGATGATGATCGCCGCGATCGTGGATGCGCAAAACCCCCGGCGCAGCGCCGTCGCCAAGCAGCAGGCAATCGCGCGAGCACGGAGGCCTCCAAGCCTTTCTGTAGCTGCTACTTCTAGTGACGGGATGTCTGGATACGGAAAGCTCCACCCTGTTATTCACACGACGATTCATGATGCTACTATGAAGTGGTCTCTTACTCTGATGCGCTTATCGCTGTTCCGTCCGCTTCCTGGCCAAAGGTTCAAAGTTGGTACAGATGATTTAACGCAAACGTCTCAGAATTTATTGTACAGTGGAACTAGATATAGATGTGTGAAGAAAGTAGCAGGCGGGAAGAAGGAGATATACAAGCCAGAGAAAAAAAATGAATGTGTGACCCCAGAAGCACAGCGGACTTGGAAGATACGCAGAACGCTGGGCAATAACGAGTTCCTCACTCGTGTTCGATCACCTCGTAACCCTCCCCACCATCCTCGATACACGGAATCGCGCAGTCACCACCCCAGAGCACACCACCACTCCAGAACTGATTTTTCACGCCCGAGGAGCACATTCCCTTGCAGTCCTCGCCCTGGGAATACTGGCAGGCCGAGACCTCGCCCTGGGATTCTGATCGTAGAAAGATTGTCAGAAACAAAACCAAAGACCATAACAAGAACAGCACGAAGCAGGCCAAGTCCTGGGGAAACTCACGCCATGTGTTCAGAACAATATCATAGTCCTTGTGGTAGAAGATATACTGGGGGTTGCACAGTCCCTCAATGTGGCATGTTTCCGTCCCCTCGATCCCGCCCCACGCCACCCTGTCCGTGGCCGTGTACTGGACGCTGTACGCACCGATCGCGGGGTCGCCGTTGGCTCCCTCGAAGAAGTGGACTGGGGGGGTCGTGTTCTCGGGATCGTTCCAGCCGGAGCTGTTGACGCGCGACAGAATTAGCACGGTACTCCTGGATGGATGAGGTTTTGACCTACTTGATGTTCACCTGCGACGTCCGATCCCCATGATCCCTCGCATACGTCCGAAATTCTTCATTCCCTCCACCATGTGTGCTGAAATAGGCGCGGCAGTACTCCTTGTTATGCCAGATGATATCGTCCCCGAGAAAGACTTCGAGGAGCTCGCCAAGAACTTGCTGGAGAGCCCCAGCGCCAACCCGCGAGGCGACATAGACCCCAAGAAGGCCGAAGACGTGGAACAGACGTCTCTCGTGCGAGGGGGTGTTTTCGGTTAGGTTTCGGTAGGTGGAGGGAGTCACGGGGATGGCGGCGGCCGAGTTGAGTAGGGCCAGGGTGTCGGCGTGGTGTGCCTGCAGCTGGGCGAGACGCTCGGGGTCGGTGATTTGGCGGGCCGCGAGCGGTCTTGCGGCGGGGCTTGGAGAGGCTGCCGCGAGTGGCAGCAGAGTGACGAGAAGGGTAGAGAGCTTCATTTTGCGACGCAATGAGATGGAATGCACAGCTATTTCGATTTGACGCAGGTAGTATTGCTAATTATGCCGCTTGAATCCAACCCGGAGACAGTGCGCGGTATTTATATCTGGCGCTTCCTTTGGCCTCCATCAAAATGATCTCAGCCTCACGAAACTACGAAACCTCCTGCACAGCGAGTCCTGTAGTTCAGCCAGCCCTCTCCTCCAACGACGCCGATCCCGTCCCTATTTGCAGGCTCCCTCTGCATCCCAGGCAGATCCCTAGACCCTTCGCAGTATGTCTGAAACGGTGGCTTTGGTAGCTAGATTTGCCTCGTGGCTTGTTTGTAAATTGAAGTCGGTTATCCTCTGGGTGGCGTCCAATGAACATTATCGACTTGAACGAGAGACGTAACGCAAATTTCCGCGCCGACTCTCAAGAACTCGGCTGGGGAAAAGCAGGCTTGGCAGGGTCAGCCAAGAACGACGGTAGTGGCCAGACTTGCGGTACTAGCGGGGACTAAGCATTGGTTGATCTCATTCCAAGCGACATCCAGACATGGTCTGTAGGCCTTCACTGGGTTGTTTGACCTTCAATGAGGGAGTAGTGCCAGGGGTGTACAGCTACATCGCTCCACATTGGAAGAGTACTACATGAAGATCAAAGCTCAATGCAGCGGCAGGTCGAGTAAGGCCTATGCAGCTTATTCCTACGAGTCTCCGACCATCAGGTCTGTTTTGGTCTGTCGCCTCTTTCGCACCAAGCAGTCTTGGCAACGGGGCTGTGCCTGTCCCGTGCTGGGGCTCGAGGAAATGCAATATGCCAAGGTATTGATCGCCAAGAACCAGCTTAATCTGCCAAGGTCGGGGGCATTTCAGCTGAGCTCGTATTCGATCATCCCTTAATATTACTCTTAAGCTCATGTTCGAGACGCAGAAGAACCCTCCGAAGTTGACCCTGAAGCATATCCATTTGTGTCTGACGGTGTTCTGCTATCCATTGGAGATACAGTGCATTGTAGAGATTTTCCTTACAACACTGAACTAAACCTTTGTTAACGAGCAAACTCTCCTTGCGGGATCCTAAAAGGGCCGGAGGAGGACTCGCATTTGACGCCCCTGTTGAGGGCAGCTTTTTTGCTTGGTGTGATTGGACGGAACAATGTCCCGCCTTGCCCCTGAAGCCTTCGCTTACAGGGAAGATAATGCTTTACCATGCACCAGAATATCAGAGGATGCGAGCTGGACATTTGATTACGATGGGGAGCGAGACAAGTCCAGAGGCACCATGGGAATGAATACGGTTCACTTTGGATATCAAGGAGTAGAGCTGCCATCGCCTAACTCGTAAAATGAAGCCGTATGGACGGCGGGAGTTTTTTTTTGCTCCCATAATTTTGCAATATATATTCCAGTTCAGCTCTGTTCTAGTTTAGTAGAGACATACCTCCAACACGTCTAACGGGACCAGACCATTAGAGATATCCGCCTGCGGCCTCTTAACATTACCCAGAACCCGGCAAGGAACCTCAATTGCACTTGTCAGGGACTTCACTCAGCATATTAAAAGGAAGCAGATGCACATGTGGCTTATTGTTGTAATTAGGTAATCTCCTTGAGTATGGTTGAAAATAAAGGAAAGCATACTAGAGCACTGCAGTCCTGTCTAGCGTGTGCGATAATCCAAAGCAACGCCTCTTAACCCTCGTCATCAGCGCGGGCTACCTCTCAGCCTGCGACTTCAAGCCAATGACTGGCCCGACAAATTCTGAGCGTCTCCCTCGAATATCCATCCAGACATCATGCACAGTATCCTAGACGACTGGATCGCGGCGCCGCAGAGACAAACGTACCCCTTTGCGCTGTTCTCGGAATAAGAGTCACCTTCGCAAAATGGAACCCCAAGCGAACTTACATGGAAGTTTGTTTCGGGATTGTGCGGCGCAGGTATAAGATTATTAGCGACACCACATTCGGTCCGGGGAGATCTGTGGTGTTTTGGACTGATGCGGTCCTGGAGGATGTTAGGCTGGAATTTAGGGCTATATGCACCATAGCTCCATAACCTGTTTCGTCTCAGGACAATGCAGGTGATGTTTAAAGCTGAAATCCGGAGTTTATGATTTGTGGCTTTGGTGTGAATATTCTCGACTAGACTCCAATGCTTAAGACGATATGAATACTCGTGTTGCTCCCGCTACAGCTGGAGCTGTCTGGCATGGCAGGGTGATACCTCGCACGCTGTTATTGAAAGACTAAGGCACCATAACTGTAGATCCAGTTAAAGCTGTTTCTTCTCATTCACAATAAGTATGGTCTTTTTCTTTCTGCTTTTTTGTTGGTGGTTGAAAATTTCATATGTAATCGAATTGCTAGACCCTTGTCTGAGTGACTTGATCAGCAGAGGTGATCTTAGTCCTGTTCCTAGCCCGGCGCACCATGTTCATCGCATCTGTAGAGGCCGACAACAATAATAGCCTGGACTAAGGAGTCTCTGCAACAATAGGTATGAAGGTCTAGTGCGTCTTTGACACGTCTACGAGGGGAAATCAAAAATTACACACTAAGCGTCTTTCTAGGCATGATGATAAAGATGAACCCTGGTGCCTATAGATCAGTCACCAGTGTAGAAATTGCCATACCTGAGCGCAGTAGGAACTCGGATACCAAGTCAGTTGTCCTGCACGTTGATGGACCGCAGCCCTACCCGCTTGATGAGGATGGGACTTGAAAAGACCCCACTTCTTCCCCCTTTCAATAAAGCCGGAAGGAGGGCCTGGACAGCACATTCAGCATGTCATCTGTGCCATCTGAATAACGTAAACCGAGAGAAACCCGGTAGTATCCTAGTAGTTAATGCCTTTGTTACCTGTAGATAGCTCCCGTGGTCTCGGTACCCAAGACGCTGAGTTTATGGTCCATGATGTAACTCCTCAACGTTATCATAATAAATTAGAAGCTTGAATGACTGGAGTTATGGCACTGAGGTCTCTATTTCACCAAAGTGGAACCTGAAACTTGGAAAACGAGTCGCCCAACCACAAATAAGAAATGCGCCTAGTCTCCATGCCAGCCTTTATTCAGGTGCTAATGTTGGCCGGCAGCTATTTGACCTGTGATTTCCAATTACTTCCGGACTGGTTTCATTGGCGTTTTTGAGTGCCTTCCCTTGCAGACGGTGGGACGCGAGTTGTGTTTGTCTGTATCGCCAGCTCCCTCTTCTCGCTGTTCATAGTTCATGGAGTAGGCGTACTAAGAAGTACAGTTCTTTAGGCCACCAATACTTGAAAGTGTATGACCCAGATCCGTAGTGGCCCGTCCAATGAGCAAGATGTTTTGAAAAAGTGGTTTTGGTTGGACCCGAACACTCCCAATTATATGCTCTCACCGGGACGGCTATGGCAATGATATTTCCAAACGTAATATCTACAGTTTGACCTCTTTCATATTGACACTGCGCGTTCCACGAACCACGCAGAAAGGATTCGAAGCACGAGTGCTTTCTGGTATTACTCGCCGCGTGGTGTTTGGATGCAGCAACCTTTTTGCATCTGGCGGCGTACAGACTAGATCGTGGGTTGTGTACTCGACATTCGTCATCACCCATGCCGACGCAGTGACCGGCAACAACCTAAAGCTGTCTTGATGTACAACTAATAGAACAAGCTCCGTCTCCGTGCTCCTTTTGCATCTGTAATGGAGAATATCCAACATCCGATTTGCCCGGAGCTCAAGTTCTCCGATGACAAAGCCTTCTGAAACCCACAACTGCAGATCACTACTCCACGGATCCTAGTGGATGCATCCCCACAGGTCTCTTCCATCAATCAGATAAAGTACATTCGTCATCTGGGCCGACGATCGTCTCTATATTTGCTGCAGAGCATGGAGATGCCACGGCACCTCCGCAATCTTGTGCTTGAAGATATTGACCTCTGTCCTAATTTGTACTCCGGTTGCAGATATGCTGACGACTGTGATGAGAAATCAGGGGCTTCTCCGCTGACGAAACTCTCGATGGCCATGTCGAATCTGGGAGGAGAGCCTTTAGGCAGACGAGGATTTCCACTGTATAAATTCATGGGACCTACCGTGAAGAGTACATTGAATAGAACTCCTCAACCACCTCCACTCATCCTGATCTTCAAACTTCACCATGCAACTCATGTCAATGATCAAGGTGGCCACGCTGGCCATGGCCACCATCGCCGCCGCCCACCCGGGCGCCCACGAGCCTTCCTCCATGTCCCACGCGGAGAAGCGCTCCTTCCTCCTCAACGCCAAACGCAGCCTCGGCCAATGCGCTGACCGTCTCGAACGCCGCGGCCTCACCGCACGCATTGAAGCACGACGCGCCGAGCAGTTCGACTTTTACCGCCGCCAAGTCCTCGAAACCCGCGACTATAACCCCTCCGTCAACGAATCGCACTACTCTTCCCTGCACGTCACGGAAAACACCTCGGCCGACGAACTCTTCGCCAAGGACCCCGTGTGCATCCTCTCGCCCGAAGGCGAGATCGGACCGTTCTGGGTGAAAGGCGAACTTGTTCGCTCGGATATCCAGGATGGTGAGCCGGGAATTCCGCTTATTATGGATGGGCAATTCATTGATATCGAGACCTGTGAGCCAATTGCCGAGCTGTACTGGGACGTCTGGAGCTGTAACTCTACTGGCGTATACTCTGGTGTGCAGGATAGCTCGAACGGGAACGGCGACGACGCGTCGAACTTGGACAACCTTGCGCTCCGCGGGATCCAGAAGACAGATACAGAGGGCGTCGCGCAGTTCAAGTCGGTTTTCCCTGGACATTACGGTGGACGGACGACGCATGTGCATGTTGTCGCGCACATTGGCGCTCAGACGCTTCCCAACAACACGATTACTGGCGGCCACGTCGCGCACATCGGGCAGTTGTTTTTCGACCAGGACCTGATTACCGAGGTCGAGGCTACGTATCCGTACAACACGAACGAGGTCGAGATTACGCTTAATGCGGATGACCATGTCGTGCAGGACGAGACGGAGGACTCGGCTTCGGACCCGTTCTTCGAGTATGCGCTTCTTGGTGATTCTCTGGAAGACGGCATCTTTGCGTGGATTACACTGGGTGTCAATGTTTCGGCGAGCTATGATACCAGCTATGCGGCGCTTTTGACTGCGGATGGTGGTGTCGCGAACTCGGAGAGTAGTGGGCCAGGAGATGCTGCTGGTGGTGAAGGAGGTGCCGGGGGTCCTCCTAGCTTCTAGGCGTTTTGTCTCTTGCTTTGCTGAGACCGTGTAAGGAAGATGATCCCGGCCTAACCATGTTCGTTCGATAGTCCCGTTCATTCGTTTATCAAACCAGGACTTGAAACAATGTTAGTCTACTGTTTCTTGCAGATGCCCTTGTAGATTTCGCGTGCTAGAGAGCAGAGACTATAATCTGTGGATTGCTTCATTAATCCAGAGACAAGAGGCCGTGGGCGCCTCATTCGTGATAAAGTGTTCGCACCGCCACTGGCAGCCCACGTTCCTCCGCCTCAGCCCAACCCTAACAACCTGCCCGGCTCCCGAGTCCCCACCGATCGACAGCGGGTGACGAATCCGGTTTCTGGTCCACGGGGCTGAGTCAGCGGCGTTGAATGTCTCCGAGATTGGGGACTGCTCCTTTTCTTACCATTCGGACTACAAGCTTGCCAGCATGGAGCCCCGCCCGAACCCACGAGGCGGGCGCCTTCGGACTGCGTGCGATCTATGTCGGCATAAGAAGGTTTTGTAGTCCCTTCCAACTTGGCACCAGCAATGAGAGGCTGATGCAATCTCACTAACTAGATTAGCTGCGATGGTGAGAAACCCGCCTGTGAAACATGTCGCCTGGCCGGCGTGCCGTGCCAAATTACGCCGCAGGGGCCTTCGGAGAAGAAATCTATGAGGGAGTATGAGGTTGCCCTGTCGTCTCGCTATTGTAGGTTTACACTAATGTGGACCTAGGCAACTCGCAGAGGCAAGAGCCCGGATTCATGAAATGGAAGAGCGGACAGCAACACCACAACCGAACATCGGGGTCCATATCCGCGATCCGGCCAACTTTGATGAGGCGATGGATATCTTCATGTGGCACCTCGCCTGTGCAGGTCCGCTATCACCAAGCTCGTCTCGAGGGGAGGCCTTTCTATCCACAGTCTACAGTCGAACAGGGCAGGCATTCGATCTCAATGTCTTTGCAACCCGCACCCGCGAAGCTTACATGGCAAAGCATCCCAACAGAGCTTCGAGGACACTCATCCCAAAATGGTCTGGGATTGACTTGACGAAAAAGTGCATTGAGCACTACACGAGTCAATGGCTGTACGCGGTCTTCCCTATCGCGAAGCCGAGCCGCTTACAGACCCTGCTCGACGAGTATTCATCCCAATCCCTGGGGAGAAGGGGGCATACAATGGTCAAGGCCTTTCTCGTTGCGTTTACTGCCTTTATGACCCAGATACATCGCCATCTGCCCGCGTTTGCCGATGGCGAACCCGATTGTTATATCCTGGCGGTACTCTCTCTGCTACCGCAATTAATCCTCGAACCGAGGAATGTCGAAGCTCTTCAGGCAGTTATGGTCATGGTGTGTGTCCTGAACACATACAAACACCGTATGTCTCGTAATACTTACAATAATACCCTAGGCACAATATATAACCCCCACCGGCCAAACCGAAGCCGGTCAGCTGCTGTTAGGTGTTTCCGTCCGCATGTTGTATAACCTCGGCGCCCACAGGGTACACCCAACGACCACCAGCGCCGAGGAACATAGCCACCTCCGTGCCCTCTTCTGGGCGTGCTATGGAATGGATAAGGAGATGTCCATCCGCAGCTTGCAGCCGCCACTGATAAACGACGCAGAGTGCGACCTTGATCTACCCCCGAACTATATCCAGAGCGCATCCGTACACCAGTTCGTGGACCAGGCCTTGCCTGAAGACATCCTGCTGTACCCCTCTGACCTCCGTTTTGCCCAACTCAAATCAAGACTGTACACACACCTTCTCTCGCCGACCGCTCGAGCACTTCCCGAACCTCGACGACTTGAGTTCATCCGCCAACTCGACCACGAACTCGCGGAGCTCAAGGCGAGTTTCCCGGCTCATTTCCAGCCTGACCCCACAGCGTACTTGAATCCCAACTACAAGGTCCATGACATCAGTCTCCGCGGGATGAACATTCATCTCGAGTACTACTACTGCCTCCGTATCATCCACGAGGCGAGTATCGTTTCGAGCATGGCGTATCCCGGGACAGGGCACCCGCAGCCGCAGCCGTTAGCCTCGAGCGTCGAGCTATATTATCATGCCGTGCGCTCGACATTACTTTATTTCATACGCGTCGAGGGGCTGGTTCAGGCGCCGACTGTTTGGTACGTTTCCCCTGTCTATTCTCCATCCCAAAAAAAAAAAAAAACAAATCCTACAACGAAAGCAATACTAACCAAGTTGATCCAGGATCCACGCCCAGTTCATCCTCTCCTCGGTAACTGCCCTCTTCTGGAACATGCTCCACGACCCTACAGCGGCAACATTCCACTCAGATCTCCGCCTACTACATGATATGAAAGCGCTCTTCACACGGCTGTGTGAGAATTGCTGGGAGGGTGCGCCGCTACCACCATTGTTCATCTTCGAGGGGTTCTTGGAGATGCTGTGTGATTTAGCTAGACGGGCTCGACTACCTCCTACACAATAAGGTGTCATGGGTATATTATTCTTGGTATGGAATAGAATGGAAGTCTGCTTTATACTATCAGGAATAATATGGGGTACAGATGTCGCTCCGAGGTCGTGGCAAGGTATGCTACGGGTGCGCGAGCCCCGGCAGAGTGGGTTGAGAACGATAAATATCCAAGGAGACCCTCGGCCGTCGTAGAACTCCACGCTTCGGCCGTGCTTGACGAACTGCTTTGTCACGAATTTCTCCAATGAGTGGAATTAACATATGCACGGCTGAGACCCTGATCGCCATTCTTTGCCTTGTTGACCATCCAAGCCCAGGCAGCGAGTGGATCCCATGGGAAACCCAAACGTCGCCGTAGAGGTGCTTGCTGTCACCAACCTGTCAGTCAAAGTCGCCTCGCTCTGCCTCCAGTACTCCAGACTTGCTAGGAACACCAACAACGATATTAATCAACTGCACCAAGAGGTTACCAGTGTAAAGAATATCTTAGAGAACGTTACGAAGCTGCTTAGTAGCCCTAGTAACAGGATGGTTGAGGGTTCCAGGCGGCTGATCGTCGCTGGTAAGGATAGCCTGTCGAAGCTTCAAAGGCTAGAGCAGAACCGGTCTCCTGGAATAGCCCACACGGCGTTGAGCCGCGTGGGTTTTCGCACACTAAAGTGGCCGCTCACTTGCAATGATGTTGAGAGGACTGCCCGAGACCTCGGGCGCTGCAAATGCCAGTAAATTAGACGCGTATCCTGGATGCACTTAATCTCAAGTACTTCATCATAACAGACTCGTGGCAGTAAGCATCCAGCCCAGCAGGGTTCCTGCGCACCTAACAGACGGGCCAGACTTTCCACCAGGAGGGATACAGCTTCTCCCCCAAGCCTAGCTAGAAGCACACCTATTTCTTCCTTGACTACAAGCGCGGCCATATCATCTATTATTACAAGGCAGTTACCGTGGAGGAGGCCTAGCAGCTCATCAGGAGAAGCTGCGGCGCAAATATAAACAGGGACAGGCTGGCTAAGTGCTGGCTGAGGGGGTTAAGGTCACATGGAATACAAGATACTACTTGAGTCCAGGCACGGATCTTTTCTCTTCCCCTCTCCCTTCTCGCTTATACTGCGAATTCACATTAGTAGCCGTCATTCGCAGTTGACTTCCATATTCACTCGCGAGTCTAGGACTGCCCCAGCCAGGAAACATTAAACGTCGCTCTCCTCTCCAGCTGGACTATCGGATACCGAAGCAAAGGCCCGGTCCTTATTACACCTGCCCAACGAAATTCGATTACACATCTTTCATCAAATGGAAATGGTCAGGATCTTTGCTCTCTTGTTCAATCGTCTTGGCGGCTTCATACGCTGTTTCCCAAGGCCCGAAACAAGATCCTTCGGTCAGCAGCAAGGGTGCCTCTGAAACCCGACTATGGCTTGGATAAGGCGTTCTCCGGTAAAGATAGTAACCCGTCATATACTTATGACTCTGCTTGTGTTAACTAAGGCAATACTGCGTAGCTCTCGTTTAAGCATTGTCCTCAACCTGGATCATCCGGTAGTGTGAACAATACTCAATGTATGTTATCAACATGGCTCGCAACCCGGATTCAGAGCAAGACTCCATCTGGGACCTTTTAATTTCCCACCCTCCCCACCCCGGCCACGCTGATCAATTTATTACCTCTGTTCAGGATCTGCTCTTGGAATTCCTCCGCCGATTCCAAGGACGCAACTTGCATCTGTTGGGCTGGTATGGCCAAGTCACCCACGACATACTCGTAGCCGCCGCTCAGCTCCAAGCAGATATTGTCTGTGATTCGTCGAATATCGCTACTGACGTGGCAGGAGAGCCAACAAGTGTGCGCGAGCCCTGCGCTGTTTCCTGGATCTCCACCTTCTCGACCTGGTCCGCTGGACTGTTAACGGCAGCACCGTGAAAATCGCCGGCGTCCCAGAGGATGGCTCGTCGGTAGAAGTCCTCAGGCCCGATGATAGCGACCATTTCGTTACTGCGACGGCCTACAATGAAGAAAAATAACAACAACAACCGGATAGATTGTTGGACATACAGCAAAAGAAAGCTCCGTCGGCAGGGTGTCATTTCGACAGCAATATCCACAGTATTTTAGGCACTCTAGCGCAGTTACCAGTCCAACGCTCAGACACACAAGACCTGCGGCACTGGCCAACAGTTCTGTACGTGCTCCTAATCCCGACAGTGTCTGCGGTACTGCCCATCGTGGATGAAGAAGCTCTACGACGCAGCTTAAATCGTAGAGGATCTTCTTCCAAGACCTCACGCGGTATTACTATGTCTGAACGGAGGGTGGGCAGGTCTTGACCTACCACTGGAATAAAAAGTACACAATGCTGTGAATCTAGAGTGCTAGAAACAAATGGCGTTGCTCTTGTTATCGGCTATAGATTGCCCTTCGTTGTTCAGCACGCGTCATCCCTCTGGTACGGGTAGTTTCCCTCTCAGGCCATACTTGGGTGCTATTAGCCTCTTGTTGCTCTATGTGACTCATATCCTCTGGCTTCTCTGCTTCGGCCGCCTTCCCACCACTAGGCGCCCGCTCATTCCCTACCCTAAGACCCCTGACCAAATCAATCAGACCGTCCAAATCTTTCTCAATTTTTTCCGCAATATCATCATTCATGAGACCGGGTTCCGTTAAAGATAGATCTGACTCCAAGAGCAGGCACTGCGCGCGCAGGAGCCGCAATACTCGACGCTGCTGTTGCCGAACAGAGTCCTCTGGTCGTAGCTCCAGCGGATACGGCAGGTCGGTCCACTCATCTTCATCATCAGAGTCCACAGCGAAACGGCTCTCGGAGTCGGACGCTATATGAACGGTGAAATCTCCCGTTTTGCGGGAGCGATGGGGCGAGCGCTGAGCGCGCGCGTGTGTGTCGGGCCTTTCGATATTGCCTCGAGGACGCCGATGTCGATACTTCAGTCTTGGAACGGCTAACGGGTCTACGGGTCCAAGAGAGGTGGGTCTGTCGGTATTCGAGTACCACTCATGGTACGGAGGGTTGGCGGAGTTCCCGGGGATTGGGGTCGCAAAATAGCCTGTCTGTGTAGCATGGGTTGAATCTTGAACGCCCGGATCCGGGGATTCTATTGTTATATTGAACACCATCGCTCTCAAGTCGGGTTCGCCGCCGAATGCACTATTCTTGCTCTATTGACAACATAGATTCAATAGCGGGAGGGACAAAATATCGGAGACAAGTACGAAACGCAGGAAGGGGTGTCGGAGAATCAGAAGGCGTCTCTTCGATTTATGATTGATGATGGGGCAGTGGTCACAATGAGGAGCCGCCTGGGATCGGACAAGGCGGGGCGGAAATCACTTGGGGTGAGTTCGAGATGAGTTGAGAGCTCTGCCCCCGGCAGTTTGCTGCAGAGGCCAATGAAGGTACATTACGTGGCAACTGGGCAACATGACAGGGATTGTGCAGTAGCCCAACACTGTTGTTGGACGAGAATGTTTGTGGGCGGTGGCTGCGGGTCGCAGAAAGAAATCCTGAGCCTGGTGGTTTTAGAGGCGCTTCCAGGTGCAAACTGGCGAGGAGGATGATTTCACTATCTTCTTAGCGCCGTGGCTGAACCATGAGAGGTAAATGGGCGGTGGATGAGAACAGAACTGAGCATCGCTAAAGTATTGCAACTATGAATCATAAAAGGTGTCTAGTTCATTCTTGCGGCCACTGCCCTGAGTAGGGGGTTTTCAAAGCCGCCGTTTCTTCTGTGCCACATGTCTCATCAATCTTAGTTTTATTGTTAGCAGGTTGTGAACCAGGCATCAAGTCCAAGACACCGGCCATGATACGCAGTATAAAAATGAGAAAAGGATACCGGGACAACAGGACGAGCGTGGGATCCTGAGGGGTAGAAAGTGGTTCCTTTAGCCGCGGTATCTGCAGGCTTTGCGGCTGTTGCGGCGTCTCTTTCCCCATGGAACGCTCTCGTGGACGCCTGTTAAAGCAGTTAATCGCACTGTCTAGGATTGCAGAGGAAGTGTCTCGCGATAGTGGAGTGCGGGGCGTGTTGACCAAGGTTGATGCGGAGGAGAGATTCGAGACCGAAGAAGCTAGTCGGTTTCCTGTGATCGAGGCTGCGTCGTCTGGAGAAAGGAACAATTCGGGCGTTGTTTCTCGAGTCAGTCTTCTTTGTTCTGTCGAGTATTTGACGGGCATCTCTGTCGTTCTTTGAGCAAACAGCGGTGTACCTGGTCGTGGCGTGGCCGTCGCTGCATCGCCATCGACGGAAAACGAGACTGGCAATGCGTCAGGAACTTCGACAGGGACTCTCATAAGGTTCTCGCGCTCCATCGCGCTTGACAGCCCCATCGCAAGCATATCTAATGGCCGTCCTCGAGCTGAAACAATGTTAGGACAAACAAGAGTATCGCTCCGGCCCTGCTGAGAATCGTTTGGTCTCGGAAATCGCATCTTCTGGCGGAAGCGATCTCTCGAACTCTGCAGACGTCCTTGGATCTCAGTCCGCATGATAAATGGACGGTCGCTGTGTTGAAGGGAGAATGCAGTGTGGATGACGGGGCTGCGATTCGATCGGGCGCCGGCCTCATTCTCTCGTAGTTCCCATTTCAGTGTTCGCCAGAAGGGGCTCATCTGTTCTCCTGCCAACAGCCCGCCGGTAAATGTCCATCGGGTGTTGTAGCTGGCGGATTTCTCCCTCTCCACCCCGAGTCCCCCTCCACCACTGCCCATCACGTTGACCTGCGGGACAAGGTGCACACTGCGAGTCACGGTGACTTTGGTCGCTTCACCGCTGAGCTGTTTCGGTCCGTAGTAGTCGGTCATTTGCAGTGGTTTGTTCTGGCAAGGTATTCGCGAGTGGGACGCCTCCTCCAGCGTAATAAGGACAGTCGCACTCTCCAAGCGACAGTTCGACGGTTGGTCGATGGCAAGGTCCATGTAGATTATGGCTGCAGGCTTTTCCAGAGCACCGAGAGACCCCCATTGCGATTTTGCGACTCGGAGCCGGCAGTCTGCTCGCACCTTCCCGACATTGCGAGAGCAGAGGCTCGCGGTTGTGAGGTTGTCGAGTCCGCGGTAGGTGCGACCGAAGCGCCGGGCGTACGTGTGTGGTGGTTGTCCGGTCGCAGTCTCTGTTGGACTTGACCCTGTTGAGGTGATTGTTGGAATGGATACCGGCATGGAGCCGGGTCGAGAGTTTTTGTCGCCCATGTGGGATTGAGAGGTTGGGAAAGGTGATGGGCTAAATAAAACTGGGGGATGGAGACACCCCTCACTGCCGTGGCTGGACACAGCCCACAGAATCGAAAAGTGCGAGGCTGAATGGGTTACACCGAGTTTGCCGAGGCGCTTCCAGACTGGAGGGGGTTTGTCGAATCATCACTGCAAAGCCACATGCTACGCAAACATTCCTGACTACCCCTCTGCCACACCATGATTGCTTCTTCCGCGCCCGACCTTTTGATCCTCGCGAAATCCAGTTCAACACTGTCAGACACGCCAAATCTCGGGCCTGGGTCTTGCTGTCTCTCTTCACAACCCAGGAGAATGGCCACCCGCCGCCGTGTGCGATCCCATCGGGCGCTGAATGATCTGCTGAATGACGGCAATGATGCGGGGACGCCGCTGGATAAGAGTCTTGTCAACAATCCCAGGCCGTACTTGCACCAACACGCGACTGAGGAGCATGCGACTCCGAATCGTTATGAGCCTGCTGAACGGCAATGGGGACAGGCTGTCCCGACACCCGTCAGGGAGCCGCCACAACAACAACAACAACAACAACAACAACAGCAGCAGCAGCAACAACAACAACAACAGGGGAACCCACTGGATAGGTTGACCGCACAAACCATCTTGAGCCCGGCTACCTCCAAGGATGTCACTCTACATTTTGACATGGACGTCACCGACGATGTTGGCTACTTGCTGGAGGAGTTCTCCCGCCTCAAGCGGCTGGGCGACTTCCCGGCTGCCGCACGATATTTCAACGACCATCTGAGTGACTTCGCCGACATTCTCCCAGTTGTTATCGAGTATGCAGATATGCTCGTGGAGCAGGGTACATATCAGCAGCTAAAGGATTTTCTACAACCCCATAATCAGGTGCTCCAGCGGACTACAAAAATAGTTCGTAACATCACGGATGAGGAGCAGGAGACCTTGTTGTACCAAGCAAACCTCCAGCTTATTGATGCCTTCGGATCTATGCACTTAACAGGTAATATGGACAAGCCGTATGATATGGTACGAGAGGTTGCAAAGTCTGCGCCTGCGATCCTGCAAAATCGGTCCCCAGCTCTTGGATCGCTGGATTCATCTGAAGTAAGAGAAGCCCCCGTCTCTGTTTATGCCTTTTGCAAACGTCGGATACTAGGTACAAGTCTTTCGATACGCACTCAAGATCCTGTCCCGCGTCGAGAGAGAATCAGATTGGATACCAGAGTCCGACTTTGACTTTTGGGCAAATTGTGGGCATTTATATAGACCGCTCATTGCTATGGGTCAGGTGTGGGATGCCAGAGACCTTATCTGCGCATTGATCGAGTCCGAGGGTGCAGCGAATACGTGGGACATCATATTGCACTCCGACATCACATCTTCAAATGCCTTTACTAAGCTGCTCGCCGACTGGAATATGGAGCAGTATGATGAGGCAACGTACCTAGCAATCCTTGACATACTTGTACGTGCCAGTAACGCGTTGTCTTCTTGCACATTTTCTGCTCCAACACCGGAAGCCTTATCTCTGGCTGCCCAATGTCTGAACCATGCTCGTGAGATTGCGACGTGCCTAAAGGAGAACAATCCAGATCTCGTACACTGTCGGTCATACCTTGCCTGGATTCTTGCTGAAACGCAACTGCGGCGGAAACGACATCCTACTGGTTCGGACTTGGGAAGGCATCTCAGTGGCTACCCAGGTCTCACAGTCTGGAGCAACACGCTCCCCATATATCTCCCTATTCGGTCCGAGAACCCAACATGGAACCCACCTTCTGGCACCCCGGAGCAAGTCACAACATCGGATGACGAGCTGCTTGACGCGGCTGTCGAGGCAGCAATGGGCCGAGAAGACTACCCAACAGAGGTAGCATGCCTTGCAGAGCTGATCTACCGCGGATCAGGCGGACCACAAGTTCAAGAGCGACGGCTTTCCCGCATGTACGACCTACAGTTCCGGTGCCAGAGGGATGTCCTGAATGCCCAGCATACGTGCTTATCCCGCTTTCTCACGCGATCAAATGATCACGGTCGCAGAGCATTACTCACAGACATCAAAGAGCTACAGCGCCACATCCCAAGCGAGGTCCCTTACACGCCCACCCTAACATCTTGGTGGATGCAAGTGGTTGAAAAGTCCATTGAATCTCAGACCCCCAGACCCACTATAAAACCACTTTCCTCAGATAATGCCTTGTCCTCTGCTCGCAACCTGCCCCGGTACATCAAAGACCAGCTGACAGTGCGCGGCCTGGCACGTTCATACGGTCTTGACCTCGACGACCTCGACACTTTCGGCCACAGACGCACAACGTACTACAGTCGGTCTCCGGAACGGGCCAACAGATTTGTACCGAAACCCCCATCACCCCCACCAGCCCCAAGCATAAGAAGGAGAGGATCGTACGAACGGGAACGTCCTACCAGGCCCAGCATCTATGATTATCCACTTTTGCGTAAGGTGGTGCCCAGTAAGGGTATCGTCACTCCCACTCGTCGTATCCCTGATCCAATTGGGATCTTCGGGTCGGAGAGTGAGCGCAACGATGAAGAGCCGGGTGACGCAATTGGTAGGAGGGCGAGAGGGTCGGTGGTTTATCATCGACCTGATGACTCGGATGATGAAGAGAAAGTAGAGGAACAAGAGAAGGAGGGGGATCACCATGATGCAGAGAAATCAGAGGAATCGGACGGTGAAATGAAACCTCCTGTGAGGCAGAATACGGTGGAGATTGCCGATGAGAGTGAGGTGGAGGATGAGGTTAATTAATATTTTATTCTGCGCCGTGTTTAGCTATCTACCTCTTATTTCACGCTCGCTATGTAGTCCAACACTTACCGCGCTTCTTACCACAGTTGTCCCCTGTCTAATAGTCACAACAGTTCGTAGTGCGATATCAACATGTCTAGTTCAGCTATATCATTCAAACACAATGAATTCAGCTCCGTCTACTGATTCACATGATCGACCCCGCTCACCGCGCTCTCAGCCATAGGTTGTAATCGTAGAATGGTCAACAGGGTGGCTCTCATCAAGTGAATCTCTGCCGTAACGCAGCAAAGCACCTTGAGCATTGATACCGGCTCCCACTTAGGCAGAGTGAGTCAGTGCGGAGGTAATCTGTAGTCGTTGTGGCGTGGAGGCCATCGTAGAGTAACGAGACGCCGGTCCCATATCTGCAACGTGTTTAGTGCCAAAGACTTTGCGTGCAAGAAACAACAAACCTGGTACTACGGTTGATGATCGATTCTTCCAGACATGCGGCTGTTCCCAATGCCGTCAGGCTGAGGCTGAAGCGCTGTGGCGTATATACCTGGCGTCCCGGGCGTTTTGTGCAGCCATTGATTGGTGCGTAGTGGTCTGAGCTTGTGGTGAACAATTTCTGAGGACCAGTCGCTTCAAGTTGTGGGATTATGGGTGTCACAGCTTGCGTGGGCGAAGGAGACAGCCAAGATATATTCTCGCCAATGGCATTGACCATCACCGCTGACCGAGTTGTCAGGGATTAGCATTGCCCAATCCGAGGATATCATTAGACAGGTAAGGCTCGGATCGCAGGCGCCGGACTGCCAGACTACCACCTATCAAGTAAAGGGCCAAGAGAACAGTTGCAAGGGTCTGACCTCCAAAGCGAATCAGCAATGGACACTGGGAGCCCGATTATTGCTTTTGCCAAATCACCTCAGCGCACATGACTAGGACAGGATGGCGGGGCTGGGTTTGGAGGTGAGACTGGAAATCTCTCGCGATTCAATTTCATCCCTCTCCATCCCAACTTGTGCTTACCCTAAGCCGCACCTGAAAACTTGGAGAAACGGATGCACCTTGGGGACAATCCGCTGGCACCCTTGGTTGAGATGGCGCATGCTCGTTATGCGCCTGATCCTGCCCAATTTGAGATTGCCTTTCTGTGTGTTCTACTAGAAGAGCGGAACGCGATCGCATTAGCCTTGGACGGCCAATACGAGAGATCCGGGATTGTCTATCCAAGGGGAAGCGGCGACACAAACGCCTACACAACTGGATGGATTGGCAACTACGACGTTGTGATCGTGTACCTGCCTGGCGTGGGGAATATTGGGTCGGCCGCGGCTGCTGCAAGTATTCCCAGGACGTTCCCGGGGATCAAACTTGCCATTGTCGTCGGCGTCTGTGGGGTCAATCCTCACGCTCGCAACAATAACGGACAAGAAGTTGTCCTCGGCGATGTCGTTGTTAGTACCACAGTGCTCAGGTCAAGTTATGGGCACCAATACTCCGACGCATTTGCTTTGGGGCGAGAAGAGGACACACTGCGTTTAGCGCCGCTCGCAATACGTACCTTTCTGCGGCAGCTCGAGACAATCATTGTCATTCAAAACTTGGAACAGAAAACCGCCCTTTACAGCGAGAAAATCCTGGACCGTGGTCTGAGGCCACGCGGCCAATACCCGGGACCCGAAAACGACATCCTATTCGATCCGGAATATCGACACAAGCACTGGGTCGAGGATGAGTGTGAGACCTGTGCTCATTGCCAGCACCGTACTCACCAAGTCTGCTCGCGTGCCCTGCGAGCACCGTGCTCCGAGCTTGGTTGTGATATGCGGTATCTGGTTCCCCGACAGAGGCTACGGCTTGCCTCGGGCTTTCGCCCCGATGGTACCCCTATACGAGATAGGGGCCAGGTTGAACGTGCTCGACAGCCTTCTATCTGGTTCGGGAAATTCGCATCCGGCGAGTCGGTCATGAAAAGCGCATATCACAGGGATCAGCTGGTTGAGCAGCACGGCGTGATGGGATTTGAGATGGAAGGCGCAGGGTCTTGGGACTACATTCCTACGATCATCGTCAAGGGCGCATGCGACTATGCCGATAGCCACAAGAACAAAGTCTGGCAGCAGTACTCGGCCATAACGGCCGCCGCATGTGCGAGAGCGATAGTCGAACAATGGAGATCCGATTCGGTAAGAGAGACCCCTGGTACGTACTGTGCAGCCTTTTAGGGACCGGAACCTGACAGCTTCCAGCAATTCTAGATACAATCAAGGATATTCCCCGGGTTATGGAGGCCTGCTTTGACTCGCAGAAGCTGCAGGACATTCAAACATGCCTGACAAACACAAGAGTTGCCCTCCTTGAGGAGGTTTACCAGTGGGCCATGCGTCCCGACAGCCAGCCGGTTTTCTGGATCCAGGGTGTAGCTGGGACGGGGAAGACAACCATTGCGAAAACAATTGCGGAGACTTTACAGAAGGAGGAATCCCTGGGTGGAAGCTTCTTTTTCTCCCGACAAGGTGGCGACCGTCGAAACGCGGAAAAATTCTTTGGCACACTTGCCTACCAGCTGGCGATACGTGCATTTCCGGCTCATCATCCCATGGTGCAATTTCGGTCTCTTGTGCACGAAGCCATCAAGTCCCACCCGGACATTTTCGGCAAAGCCTATAGGGAGCAATGGGAGCAGCTTATCCTGCACCCAATGTTGCAATTGGATCAGCGGAATGCTTCCCCGCGGTGTGAATTCGTGATCTTCGTGATAGACGCGGTCGATGAGTGTGAGCCAAATACCGATGTCAGCTTGATACTCGAGCTTTTGATCCAGGCGTCGAGGTTGAAGACATTCCATCTGCGATTTCTGCTGACAGGGCGACCTGAGGAGTGTATACATTACGGATTCCGCCGCCTCGGGCACCATCTGGATCAGATAATTCTCCACCAGATCGAATCCAGCGTGGTCAACACCGATATACGAACCTTCGTCGAGCACGAGTTTGCCATGATTCAAGAGCAGCACCGTTGGCGAGGATGGTACACACATGATCAGATTGAGGCTGTTGTTGCAAAGTCTGCTGGTCTCTTTATTTACGCTGCCACATTGTCTCGGTATCTTAAAAAGTCACTCTACCCACATAAAGCACTGACCCAGTTTCTTACTCGCGACTCCTCGTCAATGCCCCACCTAAGCCAGATGTATACCCTTATTCTCGCTCAGTCAGCTCCAGGACCCTCAGAGGAGGCTATTGACGATACCGAGCGGGAATACTACCGGATTATCGTAGGATCATTTGCTGTCCTGTTTGACACATTGTCTGTTAACTCAGTGCACCGATTGTTAGCCAGTGCCTGGACGTTCGCAGAACCGGCCAACGGCCCGGCGGATATTGAGGCAACTCTTGTGCGACTAGGATCAGTCATTGACATTCCCTATGATAGTCACGGCAATGTGGATAGTGATACTCCAATTCGTATTTTCCACCCCTCATTTCGTGAGTTTCTCTTGGACGAACGGCAGCCCCCACTACAGGACTTGCAACTGGACTCTAGTGCTTTACACGAAGGCCTACTCAATGGATGCGTCAACCTTATGAACAGATGTCTTCGAAGGAACATGTGTCGACTTCCTGTGCCTGACTTTGACCCCAGCACGCTATCCCGGGAGGTTTTGGAATTTTACATCCCACACGAGGTCCAGTATGCGTGCAAATACTGGATTGCCCATGCGGAAAAACTTTCCAGACGAAGCCTCGAACTGGCCCTCGTTAACGGGGGCGCTGTGCATCGGTTCCTTGAGAAAACTTCGCTATATTGGATTGAGGCTATGGGTCTTTTGGGTCTCGTCCCGCAAGCCGTGGCTAGCACTGTTATATTAAAATCCTTGACAAACGTAGGATTTCAGGCAATCGGTATACCAGATATCCACTGACTCAAGATCTAGGATTTTGAAAACAGTAGCAACAGCTCGGACCTTGTTAGGGATCTTCAGCGCTTCCTTGTAACGCATCGGATGATCATCGCCGATGCACCCTTGCAAATCTACTGTTCTGCGCTGTTATTCTGCCCTGGCAGCAGTATCATGAAAAGGTTGTTCGCCAACGACCTCCCGAGGTGGCTACTAAGGCCACCCGATGTTGCTCAATCCTGGCCGGCAGCGATCACATACGAAGCGGGATCATTTGTCAACAGTATCGACTTCACCTTGGACGGTAAAATACTCGTTTCCGGAGGCCTCAACGGCTTACTGTCCTTCTGGGACACCGAGACCGGGTTTCTCAAGGAAACGATTCATACCAAGTTTGAAGGGATCATGTCCATTGCCCTTCTCCACGGCACAAATCGGGTTATTGTAGGATCTTACCGGAAAGTGTCCCTGTATGACACTATCACTGGGCTTGAACTAAGCACGCAGGACGAACCAACTGATACTCTAGTGCACCACATGAGTGTTTCCCATGACAGTAAACTCATTGCCACCGCTCGCACTCAGATTGGGATCTGGGATGCTGACCTGTCATGTTTACAACATGTCCTGACTGGATACACGGATGGAGTAACCTGTCTTTCTTTCTCCCCCAACAACGAAAGTGTTATAGCTGGAAGCTCTGTTGGCTTGATCCGTATATACTGTTGTGCTACGGGCGCACTCCAACGCACTCTCGAAGCTCATGTAGGGGATGTGCGCTCTGTGTCGGTATGCCCTGCCCGCGAGTCCTACGCAACCGCCGACCGCGAAAGCATACAGATACGGGATGCTTCCGAGCATCAACTCCTTCGAAGAATCGATTTTACAGCATCCCGGAACCCGCTAATCGCGCTCTCACCAGATGGTACGCGATTAGCAGGTGAATGCAATTACTCGGATATCCGGATATGGGATATGAACATTGCGTCTGCCTTCTGCACTCTGAAGCCCAGGGCGGGAGGTATCCATCAGTTGAAATTCTCATCGGATTCTCGTCTCCTTGCCTCAGCGTCCGCACAAGGGGTGAAAATCTGGGACCTGACACAAACTATATCCGTGGATGGATTCGACTTTCAGGCTAGTGCACTGGGAAGTATGAAAATTTCCCCGGATGGTACGATGCTTGCCTCGTTCTCTTCCAATTCGACACTTGAAGTATGCAGCCTCGCGAGCAGATCGGCGACCCCTGTTTTGTCAGTCGATGAGGATATTTTCACTGACATAGCCTTCGCACCTGATGGGTGTCTCCTAGCCGTTTCCTCGCTGGATTCGGTGCGAGTGTTAGACACTAGGAATTGGCACCTGCACAGCTTTTGGGCGGGCCTGGACGACCCATGTACTCTGTCATTCTCGGCAGACGGCAAACATCTTGCAGTAGCAGGTGATTCGGGTGTTGAGATCTGGGACACCCAAAACGGGGAGCTAGTAGCAACTCCAAGTCTCCGAGGCATTGAATATGTTGATGTGGTAGCTTTCGCCCCAAGTGGCCAATGCCTAGCATTTGTGAACTGGGAATCGCTATACGTCGTTGATCTGGAGGATGAGGAGCGATATAATTTTCCCATGGGCCGCTTTGGCCAAATCAATGCCATGTCATTTTCTCCAGACGGCGTCTACATAGTGTGTCGAAATACGGATGGGGAAACGAAAGCATTTCGCCTACCAAGGGAATCGGCGCAACCGGGCGTATGGATGTTGGAGGACGTCCCCGACAACTTTCTTATCGCTCCAAGAACGTTAATGGGAGGCAGGGAGGCTAGGTGGGCCATTAGAGGCCGTTGGATCACGTTTTCCGGCCAGGCAATCATGTACCTCCCGGATGATCGACTGGTCAGGCACTGTGATGTCTTTGGAGACACCATTGCAATTGACTCAGCTTCCGGTCACCGTACCATCCTTCAGTTCCGGACCTTGGATGAATATGTGCTGGACTTGGACAGTTCTGAATGAGACTCGCGTGAGGTGCGATGGAGGCAGTATCTAAGTGTTGATGATATGGGGAGACGGAGGACATGAACCGTGTATGATTGATCCGCCGGGGCTGTTACTACTATCACGATAAGCCAAATATGATAAGCCATGTCTGTAAAAGCTCGCTACTCCTGGCGCTTCTCGTCTCTCTACTGCGGGAGCAATACGAGAAGTGCACGTACCTCGTCCTCAGGTAGCCAGATGTCTCGCGCCAGCTGCTCCAGCATGTCATTACATAACATCACTCTCGGCGTCCGCCGAAATAGGCCTTGAAAATAGGTTCTCGAACTCGATGACCAGCGGTCCCACATTCACCGTGTCCGACCGTTTGTCCCTAGTTATTTCAATACGCTGCATTACTCGAGCACTACCGACGGCCTCATTCTTCTCCCACTTCGCGATAGTGATGTGTCCATCTCCGGGACGGATCACCACCGTCAGCACAGCCTTGACGTATCCCTCGCAACACCGGAGCCAGAACCGTACATCAGATTGCAGTTTGTACCGCCGTTCGATCTCCGAACACGCCACCTCCAACACGACAGTCGGCAAATCGCTATTCACAGCGTACTGGACATCCTTCGGCGCCCATGACGCAGTCGGCTGCTTACACCCCGCCGATCGCTCTTCCGGTGGCGCGGGCGCACCCTGAGTGGCAGCCCCAAGAAGCCTTACCTGCAACCGCAATTGCGGATCTATGTCCCGTAGGGCATCCACCACGGCCACGTAGAAGTTTGGTGAGACGGTTGCATGAGTCTGCGACTCGCCGAGGTGGAAAAGGAGGAGGTTGAGCGCTGGGTCGTACGCGCACCATTGCGCGAAGGGATCGTTTTTGTCGTCCATGCAGCCGCGGAAGTGGGCGTTGAATATCTCTTCCGTCACCCCCGTGAGGAGGAAGTAATTGTCGAGGAGGTTCTCGAAGACGGCGGGGTGGAAGTCAGACGCTGTGTTGGTGAGAAAGGACGAAGGGCTTCGCCAGCTGTGTCTTCGGAGGAGGGAGTGTGGTGCGGAGGCTAGACTACCGAGGAAACCGGGCGAGGGACTGTTGACATAGGCCTCTGCGTCTGTATCTGTATCGGTAGACATGTTGTCTGGCAGGGAATACTCGAACTGACGGATATTCCGGCGCAGCCATTGCCTTTCACGGATCTCTTGGCGACATATATAGCCTGGACAAAGGCTATTTGGCTCTAGTGATGTAAGTGAAACTCTCCTGTTGATCATGCAACCCTTCTCCATTGTACGTGAGCCGGAAGAACATCATCTGCTGCTTGATCAGACAACGTCCATCTCCCATTCTGGGCAATATTGGCCCTTGCATAGCTGTTTGTCGGCGATCAATCGTGTTGCTTGACTAGGTTCGATAACCGAAGGACCGGGCGTAGGGCAACCGTAGGCATGGAAAGTACAGTGGATTCGAGCGGCACCGTTGAACTGGCGCAATGATTGCAAATGTCAAGCCCTTGGCTTTGAGGATCTCCTTGGCTTCGTGGCTGAGTCTGGCGCTTTCGTCCTTGGCCCTCCGAACTCGTCGCCGGATGCAGTTAGCCCTAACCTTCCCCGGCCCTCTCCTCGGTGGCGCTTTCCGCCTTGGGCTATCACTAATACCATATTAGGCATCTAATATCAAACCAAGCCGCGACTTTAAAGTACAAAGTATATAGCTAGTCTCGCAGTCCTGCTACTGAATGGCTTCTCTGTAAAGAAGGTTTGGTGCTGATCCCGCCCGTGTCATGGCCGGGCGTCACCGAAGTCCTGTGTCAATAGTCCAATGCCTTGTAATGCTTTCGATATTTTTCTGAACGACGTTATTTACACTATGTAGCTGTAGATCTCGTCGGGGTTTCTCTTTCCTTGTTTTTGTCCCCTCAGAGGTGAGGCGGCATCGTCTAGGTGGTTTCTGGGAGGAAGTAGCAGACGCGAGGTAAATCTGATGGTAGACTTGGGGTCTTGCGTTCCTTGCATGTGGTACATCCAGGCAAGGAACAATGACGGGAAAGTAGATTGATCAGGTCAGAGTCGTACGGGCTATACTGCGCTCGATTAGTAACGCCCGCGATAGAGATTCCTGGCAGCGGGCGAGAAGGTGAGATCTTGGTGGATGACCCCCCTGCAGGTCAGCTGTTCGGGACAGGCGCGGGGTAATGATTTGAACTGGTCGCTGACGTGGCAGAGAGACGACTCCGCTGGGGTGGCACCCCCCACAGCCTCACCGCACTCGCTTTGCATCTTCCACCACATGTTGGACTTCCGGACTGTATTGAAGCCGTAAAGCATGGCTGATCCACGGGCCTACACGGTCGGCTGGATCTGCGCTGTCCTCGTCGAATACGTTGCGGCGCAAACATTCCTTGATGAGGAACACGAGGGACCCGCTTATCTGTCTCCAAACGATGCCAACGACTACACTCTGGGTAAAATGGGCGGGCATAACGTTGTTATCGCTGTCTTACCCAACGGGGAGTATGGTACCTCCTCTGCTTCGGGTGTTGCAAGGGACTTGTTGCACAGCTTTCCCAATGTTAAGCTTGGTCTTATGGTTGGCATAGCTGGCGGCGCGCCCCGCCTAGATGACGATGTCGTACACGATATCCGTCTCGGGGACATTGTTGTCAGCTCCCCGGGCCGGGGTAGAGGGGGTGTGCTCCATTACGACTTCGGTATACAACGGCAAGAAGGCTTTACACAGACTGGATTTTTAAACCAGCCACCAACTATCCTTCGGACGGCAGTCAGCGGGTTGAGGTCCCAGTATGAGATAAAGGGGCAGAAGCTCCAGGCGTCCATTGACAGTATCCTCAATAAATACCCCACTCTACGGGAGAACTACTCGCGGCCAGAGGCGAGCAGTGACCGCCTTTATCGAAGCAACGTTACCCATCCCAATGCCAACGGATTGGGCTGTGAAACAGTATGTGGGGATGATGCTTCGAGCCTGCGAGGTCGACCGGAACGCCCGGCTAACAGAGATCGCCCGGTGATTCACTATGGGTTGATTGCATCCGGAAATCAGTTAATGAAGGATGCTTTATTGCGGGATCGGCTTTCCAGGGAGGAAGGGGTCTTGTGTTTTGAAATGGAGGCAGCCGGTCTGATGAATCAGTTTCCCTGCCTTGTGGTTCGTGGTATATGCGACTATTCTGACTCTCATAAAAATGACAAGTGGCAAGGATACGCTGCGATGGTGGCAGCATCCTACGCAAAGGATCTCCTATGTCGAATCAGTCCGAGCCGGGTGGATCACGAGAAAAGGCTTTGTGAGGTGCTCTCTAGTTAGTTTGCATCAATGTGAGGTGGTTCTATGGCAGAGCAGCTGATGCATTGTAGGTGTCGAAGCGAAAGTTGAACGATTTTTGCACAACCACGAATATCAAGCTGTCCTTGACTGGCTCACTCCAACGGATTATTCCCCCAAGCAAAATGATGCCATCAGACGCCGGCATAAGGGAACTGTGAACTGGCTACTGGGGTCCAGAGAGTTTAATGAATGGATCACGGGCAATAATTCGACATTGTTCTGTCCTGGGAAGCCAGGGGCGGGAAAGACAACGGCAACATCTTTGGTCATTGATTTTCTCTCAAAGGAGCTTGAGAATCCCTCAAGCATTGGGATCGCATACGTGTATTTCAACTTCCGGGAACGACAACAGCAGCAATTAGAGGATCTCTTACTAAGCATGATAAAACAGCTGGTAAGACCCAACGCCCTTGGCGGCATCAAAACATTCTACCAGAGTCACATGCGGAAAAAGACCAGGCCAACTGTTGATGAGATCCTTGACGTTGTTACAAGAGTCGTTGCCCGGTTTTCCCGAGCTTTTCTCGTCGTCGATGCATTGGATGAATGCCATACGGCGTCGAGGTTTCTGTCGGTACTATTCGAGCTGCAAGTCAGGTCTGGCGCAAGTGTATTTGCTACATCACGGTTCATACCAGAGATCATGACATTATTCAGCGGATGCCCATCGATTGAAATCCGGGCTACGGACGCAGATATTGCGAAGTATATCGCTGAAAACATTGCACATGAGCTGCGACCAATCGTCCTGGAGGAGCCTGACATGCCTAGAGATATCATCACTGGCATTGTCAGCGCCTCTGATGGCATGTAAGTCTCTCTTAAACCAGTAAACCTCATTCATGGATTATGCTAAGTCTCCTGTTGCATCTCCCAGGTTTCTCCTCGCGCAACTGTATCTAGAACTACTCGGTAACCAGACAACACCGAAGGCTGCAAGGCTTACGTTGGAAAGCTTTCAAAAGATGCCTCTGGCTGAAAAGAAAGACAGTGGCGATGACTTGCTGGACTCCGCATATCAGCGTGTAATGGAGAGAATTGAGGACCAGAGGGAGGGGTTGCGGCGGCTTGCCAAACGGGCCTTATCTTGGATTGTCTGCTCAATGCGGCCACTCCAGCCGCTAGAGCTTCAACACGCTCTTGCCGTGGAAGATGACACATCTGAGCTGGACGAGAAAAACATGCCCAACCTCGCAGACCTCGTTTCTGCGTGCGCCGGGCTAGTTACGGTAGATGGTGACAGCAAAATCATCCGACTCGTGCACTACACCGCGCAAGAATACTTTGAGCGAACTTGGACAGTCTGGTTCCCTGGCGCGCATGTGGACATCGCAAAGACTTGCATCACCGCCCTCAAATTTGATAGCTTTAACGCCGACCCAGGCGCTGCACAAGAGGGTGGACGAAAAATAAGCGATTCCCACCTTCTGCACGACTATGCATTACAGAACTGGGGACATCATGTCCGCCTGTCCGCGACCGATGGGGAGCAGCTCGCCTTGCGCTTTCTTCGGGACGAGAGACGCATGACCCAGTACATCAGAGGCATGGCCTTGGCCTGCTCCCTTCTGGGTCCTAACGGTGAAAACGACGGAGCATCTGTTCAGGTTGCAGCGTACTTTGGATTGCGAAACGCCCTGGCACTGCTGCTTGGCGAAGGTGATTGTCGAAAGCATACCAAGTATGTGCAGGACCTGGAAGTGAAGAGGGACCGGAAGGCAGAGGCTAAAGAGCGAGCCGAGTCGAGGCTCTCAAATCTCTTACTACTGGCCGCATCAGAAGGGCATGCCGGAACTGTGGAGCTATTACTCGAGATGGGTGCGCAGGTCGGGTCGTCATCTATGTGGGCTCCCAGCCCGATGGTGATGGCCGCGCAGGGAAACCATGCTCCGGTCGTGGGCCTGCTACTAGAGCATGGTATCCCCCTGGAAGGAGGAGCCCTCATCGCAGCTGCAGGGGCTGGTAGAGAAAGAGCCGTCCATCTGCTTCTCGACAAGGGCGCAGGCGTGGACTGGAAAGACTCGCACGGCAACACAGCACTGTCATGCGCTGCAGCAAATGGACACGAAAGGCTTGTGCGGCAGCTGCTTCATCGTGGCGCCAGTCTCGAGTCCGGAGATTCTGACGGTATGGATCCATTACTACGGGCAGCGATGGCGGGACATGAACCAATAGTAAAGGTGTTACTTGAACGTGGGGCTTGTATCGAGGTCATGGACGCCGCCGGGAGAACACCTCTGCTATTGGCGGAAGCGCATGGGCGCGAAGCTGTTGTTCTGACGCTGCTCCGTCAGGGTGCTCGCCGTGTCGAAGATTCTCTGGGCCGGACACCCTTGCTTTGGGCAGCGGAGACTAGGCGAGAGGCCGTGCTGCGCTTGCTTTCAGAGGAGAGTGCTACGCTGGAGGAAGTAGATTCTGATAATCGAACCCCACTCTTGTGGGCTGCAATCAATGAACAAGAAGCGATGGTCAAGCTGCTCGTCGACAAGGGTGCGCACCTGGAGGTACGGGACGACAGAGGTCGAACCCCATTGTTATTGGCGGTCGTCGCTAAACAAGCGGCGCTGGTACGATTTCTTCTCGAAAAAGGGGCCGATCTCGAGGCGGAAGACGATGATGGCCGAACTGCCCTCCTGTGCGCAGTAATGGGTGGAGACGCGCAACTGGCGGAGTTTCTGGTCGATCAGGGCGCTTGTTTGCATGCAGCGGATAACAAGTATGAGCGGACAGCACTACTGTGGGCCTCAAGACGAAACGTTCCAACGCTAGTAAAGCTGTTACTAAAGAAAGGCGCCTGCATCGATGATGAGGATTATGACGGTCAAACCTCGCTGTCTTTGGCTGCGAGGTACGGCTATGACAGAGTAGTACACCTGCTGGTTGAGAACGGGGCCTGTATAGACAGTGAGGACGATCATAGGCGAACACCAATTGTGTGGGCTTCTCTCAACAACCATCATATGATTGTAAACCTTCTGGCAAAGCATACCCGAGTGGCTTGAGGAAATCACGATTGTTTTGGATTTATCACTATACTTCGCTAGCGCGAGCGGTTGCCGGGGCAGAGTATTATACTCTCTGCCTTGGTCGGCTAGCCTTTCAGGTAGTGTGGTTTGGGATTTGGTTGAAAAGGGCATCTGGGTAGGATTACTGTGGCAGAGAGGGGTTTCCTAGAGAAGAGCATTGACATGTAAGTTCTGGGTGAGACACTTGGACGTTTACTGTATGAATTGGAAAGCGGCATTGGCGAGATTACTAGGTTTATGACTCGAATTCCCAGACGGCACTCCTCGATCAAACAATTGAGTTCCCTGCAATATCCCTCCGCACTCTGCATCGCTCGATATCCTCCAATTCCTGGGCCACTGCTACAATGTCCATACGCCAATCTTCGCTCATGTGGCTAACCATGCTTGTCGAGCTCAACGGCCGCGGCGCTTTTCTTCCTCCTAGCGTGCGGTGGTTAGATCAGATACATAGCCTGGCGTACGAGTATGTACTTGCCTTGTCGGCTTCCTGCCAAATAACTTGCGCTATCTGTTGGAGTTGGTCATTCCCCAACTGGATATCTTGTTCAATGGGCGAGGAAATGGGTCTCGAGAAGAGGTTCTCAAAACCGATAACCAAGGGGCCGCCAGTCACAGTCGCGGTGTTCGTCCGCCTGTTTCTCGTTATTTTGAGATACTGCTCGGCGTGAGCACGACCATTTTCTCCGTTCTCCCACTTCTCTATGATGATCGACTCTGCACGGTCTCGGATGGCGACGGTCAACACTGTTTTGACGTGCCCCTCGGATTGCCTGAGCCAAAAGCGGATATCGGACTGCAATTTCTTCTGGGATTCCGAATACCCGACCTCCAGGACCACACTCGGCCAGCCCTTGTTGCGGCTATAGGGTACCCTGATGGGCCGCCAACTTGCGTCTGGTTGCTTCGCGCCCGACGGGCCCTCGTTGCCCGCACTTCCCGTTTTCGCCAGCTCCCTTGTCAGCCTCATTGGGCGCAGCGCGTCATGCACTACCTCATAGAATTCTGGGGCTACAACGCCATGCACTGACGATTCCACCGTCATTCTAAATAGCAGGAGTTCAAGGGCGCTGTCGTATGCACACCAGCGGCCAAAAGGATCGTCCGTGTCTTCTCCGCGGTCTCGGAATGTGCTGTTGTATATTCGTCCGGTTACACCAGTAAGCAGAAAGTATTGATCGTAGTCGTTCTCGTGGTCTCTGTGATTGAAGGCTATTGCAGTGTCCCTCAAAAATTGCTCCCGGCCTCGCCAGGCGTATTGCCGCATGACCACGGCGGAAGAGGCAGGTGCGCCCGCCAGGTTACCCAAGAAGCCGCGACCGGGGTTGTTGATGTAAGCCTCTGCGTCGTCGGCATGTGCATCTTCGCCCAAGGCTCCAGTGCTGAACATATTGGCTGGAACGTGAGGGTAGGGAGTTTCTTAAGCTGCTGTGTTTGAAGCCAATACTTGGTTTCGTTGAACGGAGTCGCATCGGCCGCGGGATGGCGGCATATATCGCCCTGAGAAAGGTTATTTGGCATGGTGATGTAAGTGAAAGCCTACTTGCACCTATAAGCCTCACTTCACTTGCGAGTGGCTCGAGTAAGTGAACCTTGGTTCAGACTCGTCACTCTCCGCTATGCGTAACGGGGGAAACTCACCAGGATTCGGTATAACTTCTGTTTAACTCTAACCCTACCTGGAACAGGCTTTTGACGTGCAAATAGAAGGTTCTATTAACGCCACGGTTAGATCTATACTTTCTAGGGTGCCGCAAAAGGCATAAAATGGGACCGATTTCAACGCCCCGAATACTACCGGCCATATGAGTGGCGGATGGATGGATGTGGGTTAAGGCTCACTCGCTTTTTGCCTCTGGAACCTTTGTCACCACTCATGGACGCCGAACATCTCGCCGCAGACTATAATCACTACCAGGGACTTATCTGCCGCCGTTATACACGCAGCCAATTGCTATGGTATGATCGTATCAATACGTGCTCTCGTATACTGATCAGTAATCGCTATTTCGAAAGCTCACCCGTACATCCCCTGCATAGTCCGACAACCACGCATTTCCTTAGAGCCCAGAAGTCCGGAGTCTGGACGGACTCTCAGCTACCCTACCTAAGAGGACCGGATGCTGTGCATTGGTGAATTCCAAGGAGCTGAGCGGACGATTCCGTGGAAAGCATGAGAGTATATCCGAGCGGGGGGTGTGCCTCGCAATGGGGGAATTGGTCAGCTCACAATCACTTGCTACTACAGATGATCTGCTTGGCTTCGTGGCGGAGCGTGGTGCAGTCATGCTTGGCTCTCCGAAGTCGTTGCCGGATACAGTTAGCCCGACCCTTCCCTCTCGTCGGTGGCCGTTTCAGCCCCAGGGACACCGTGAGTATCTAACCCCATTACAGTCGGAGAGTTCAGAGTATGTGCATGGCTTGTCTGCCCTGCTACACATTGGTTTCTGGAATCGGAAATTTCTCTGCTGGTCTGGTCCATGGCATTTCTGGGCGTCAGCAGGGAGCTGGTATATATTGCTGGGATGGTCCTGGCGATCTCAGTGGGAACGCGCTGACCATGGGCATCGCACTAAACCAGACATCACGTCTCCCTTGTTAGACCGAATTCCAAGATGGCAGACCAACCTACAGGTCAAGGACCCAGCCCCATCCTCCCCGCCAATGTCAGTCCCGTGGGGCCACCACCACAAATCTATACAGCACCATTCAGACCAATCGTCATACCTCGTGCGCACCTCCCCCTCACACAGGCGTTCCCAATCATAGGATATTCACCAATATCCCGCAGAAGTCTCCAAATCCTCCCAAAGCACAATAATCACCCCCTTCCTCCGCGCCTACAGCGCCACACTCTCATCCCCACCCTACGGCATAACTCAATCCGACTTCCTCACCTTCCTCGACGGCCTCAACGCCGTCTGGATTGCGAACCCCGTGTTACAAGCGACGAGTATCGCCGGCCAGGTCATGGGAGTGATCCACCCCGTCGAGATCGCGGGGTTGGTTCTTGAGACTGTTTCCGAGGTCGCGAGCGAGGGGAGTTCGTACCTGCGCACGAGGAGGTATCTGAAGAAGATGAATGCGGTGGTGTTTGAGCCAAGAGGGTTTCGCGTGCGGATTTGCGGGTTTGAGGATATGTTGGATACTATCGGTGTTTCGGAGAGGTGGGTGAGGGGGTGCTTGGAGATGAGGAAAAGCGCGGATGAAGAGGCGGATGTTACTCTCGAGAAACTTGAGCGGTTACTTGCAAGTGTGAATGAGACCGGTGGGGAGATAGTCCATCCGCGACTACGGTTGCTTCACGCTCTGGAGGGGTATGTGGCCCCACTGGACAGGGTGGATATGCCGGTGGACACGCAGCAGCAGTCGAGCGTACTGCGGCGCTTGCATGCCTCGTATGCTGCCAGGGAGGAACAGAAGCGGACGGAGGGACTAGAGAAGAAACAAAACGAAGGCAGGAATCGTCAGGTGGCGAAATACCGAGAAGCTATTGAGGGGGTACAAAGGAAGAACAAGGAAATCGCGAAAATTCAAGAGAGGATCACTGAAGCTGAAGGGAAGCGTGGAGATGATGAGAAAGCGTCAACGAAGAAGATTGGCCGGCTTACATCTGAGATGGGCAAGGTCGAGAAGGAGAAGCAGAGAAAAGTAAAGGAAAAGCTGAGAGATGCCGAGAAAGTGCTTGAAAAGCTGGAGCAGAAAGAAATGGAGGAGACGATGAAGATCAAGTGGCTCGTCATTTCTCGAATTTGAAACAATCGCGGCTGTCAGAGGGATGGTTTTGATGGAATGAACACCCAGTCCTCGATCATGGCATGAGTACCTCTCGCACGCAATTTGTCCGGCCCAAAGTATTGTCGATCATGTTTTCGGGGAACGTTCTCGTCCTGTGGCATGTCCCTGAAGAAGCCACTGAACACAGCAACGCCATTATTCCACTACTCGACGAGCTTGATTTGACGAGCGCTGGACATTCACAACCGGTGACATTGGGCGACGGGGAGAGCTACAGACAGAAAGACACCACCGGAGTCGCTACAGATATCGTCATCTGAGGGACTGGAACAGGGTCCTCGTATTCGCAAGCTGGCGATTTATAGCTCCCCGCATGACTGGACCATGTTTCTTCACCAATACGAGGTGCATGAACATCATTTCCTGTTTTCGTTTGAGAATGTCTTAGATTTCGAGATATAAGACGATGGCGTTCTGCTCACTGATTGTTCTCAGAGACTCCAAGACGATTTCGGAAGACATCGACCTGACCAACGATGCGCGTCACTCCCCTCCTCACGCTCCTCGCAGCAACTCCCGCCGTCCTCGGCGACCTATATACCGCGAGAAAAGCCTACCAGCTCGCACCAGGGACCTGGATAGAGAATATCTCTCAACGCGGCGGCCTCTCATGGTACACCCGCCTAACCAGGCTCGATAGCCCCATTGTCCAAGAGGTCGATCCCTCGCATCAGCACGGCGGCCCTCGCACGATCTACACTTTTCCCGAGGCAACTAATGCCACTGGAATCGCTGAGCTCGCTGCCGATAGATATGCTGTGTTAACGCTCAACGAAGTCAACGATGCCACGACTGTCTCGGTCTGGACACTTCAAGCCAGTGGCGATCCCACGGCCAGCAAAGTCATCGAGGACGTGGCGGGCTCCGAGCTTCTAAACGGTCTTGCTGCTGTTTCGTCGACCATCGTTTTGGCGACTGATAGCCTCGTCGGCGGTGTCGTCCGAATCAACCTAGAAACTGGCGTCGCCGACAAGGTCCTTTCCGGCGCTGCGTTTGCCGTCGGCATCAACGGCCTCAAGTATCGCGCACCATACCTGTACTACACAAACACACTCGAAGGCACATTCAGCCGCGTCGCAATCGACTCCGTAACTGGCTCCCCAACCGGCGAAGCCGAAATAATTGCCAGCGGCGATGTACTCGTCGGCGCAGACGATTTCGCACTGGCGTACTGGACCGAGGCTGCCTTCGTCACGAACTTTGAGAAGAACACTGTTGTTCGTGTCGATATTGATGCGGGGACAGCTGAGGTCGTTGTCGAGGATATCCCTGCGCCAACTTCTGCGGCGTTTGGGACTTCCGGGGGATTGTATGTTGCGACGAGTGGGACGGGGGAAGATGGTGGGGCGAGTATTTGGGCTGTTGTTGTACCGGATGAGACGTTTGTTTGATGGATTCGTTTCTTCTTTTATTCGGGGTACTGAGACCATGTCAGCTTAGCCAACAGGGGAATATTGGCTCTGAGGAGAAAGTGCATTGAGAACTTGGATACGATATGTAGCCGTGAGCCAGGGATGTCATTCAGGATGGCCTTATAACCAGCCAATGTCGGTTACGGATACTTGAATTCTTCAAAAAAAAGACAGCCAGTGTGTCTTCCCGATAAGAATAACGTATAGTAGCAAAGCTCTGCTAAACTATGGTCTAAGTAAAAGGCTTAGAGTGTCTAACCTCTTGAAGGCGAATCGTCGGTGTAATTTCAATCACATGTAGTCTCCATAAGCCTTGCCTTGCAGAAATGCGATAACGAAACAATACTATAACTAAGACTAAACTCTAGCGTCTGGCTTCTCTACCTGGAATGACCAAAGGACAAACAAAAAAGAAAGAAAGAACGAAAAATGCGAGAAAGACTACACAAAGTAAGAAATCAGGATCAGATAAACATGGTCCTTAGAGAAAGACATAACCCATGAATTTCAGGGCAACCTGTCATCTCACAGGTTTTTGGCCTTCGACGGGTCACATGACTCTATCGAATGTTTCCAGGAGCCAAAACCGGCCGGTTGGCCTAGGCAGCCCGCACCACAGGGCCAACTCTAGTTCTCGCCAGAGTCAAGCGTACTACTGGGCAACGGCAGGTTCGCACCAGCAGACGGGACAGGAATACCGCCCAGACCGGTGAAGCCATTCGCAGCCACCGCCGGCTCCTCGGCGGCCGCTGCAGGCGTGGGCAGTGCACCATCGGCACCGGGCAGGACACCAGGGAAGCCTAAGAAGTCCGGAAGGCCCGCGGCGCCCGAAAGACCAGGGGGGACAGCAATAGGACCAGGAAAGCCCGGGATGCCCGTTGGTGCGGGTGTTCCTGAGCTAGATGTGGTTGTCGTGGCTGCTTCGGCGGCCGCTGTGGATGGGAGTGCCGCTGCGCGTTGCGCGCCGGGGACTAGGGGGGTTGCCGGCGCGGAGGCGGGGTCGGTAGCAGTCTCGGGGGTCAACGAGGGATTTGAACCGGCCATGCCGGGAACAGCTGGGAAGCCTTGAGGAGCGGCGGCGGTGGAGGGTGCGCTGCCCTGGGTTGGGAAGTTGGGGAATCCAGGGAACGCAAAGGAGCCACCAGTACTGGATGGCGCAACTCCTTGGGATGGAAAACTTGGGAATCCTGGAAAACCAAAGCCACCAGGAGTGCTGAACGGTGCGCCGCCCTGAGCTCCAAAGCCAGGAAATCCGGGGAAGCTCACCCCACCAGAGGATGCGGCACCTTGGCCCGGAAACCCTGCGAATCCAGGGAACCCAGGAAAGCCCGACTGTGCTCCAGCTGGCGGGTCCGCCTTCGAATCAGCGGCTTGAGTGGCATCGGTAGAGCGGCCTTCGCCACCGGCAGCAGCGGAAGGTGATGAGCAGGCATCGGACCTTGGGGCGTTGACAATGCCTGAACTGGTCGGAAGACCGCCAAAGCCTGGAAAGCCAAATGCACTCGGGAAGCCACCAAAACCACCAACCCCAGGCAGACTGTGACTCACAGCAGATTTCTCGTCGCTGGTAGTGGCAGGTGCTTGGAATCCGGGAAGGCCTGGGAAACCCGCAAAGCCCTGAAAGCCCGGAAAGCCGGGAAAGCCTGGAAAGCTTGGAAAGCCTGGAAAGCCTGGAAAACCTGGAACGCCTGGGGGAGTCCCCGGGGTAGCGAGTGCAGATGCCGGTGATGGACAAGATGACTCGGGAGGGGTAGGCAATGCAAGGGCAGAGCCCAGCATTCCGAGGGTGGCGTAACTGGAGTACTTCATGTCGATGGCTGATGGGATAAGGCTTCAGTTTAGGTTTGCGTTCTCCAAGTTATTAAGATAATGACTTCTACTACTGATAAAGGAAAGCTCGGGGTCGCTTTATACACTTTCTCTGTGGGTTTACAGTGCTTGCAAACAGGGGAAGTGAGTATGGGGTCCTTCCGCGCGAGCATCCGGATACCGGGTGCAGCACTGTGTAAAGACTGTTCCCAGAAGATATCAAATGAGGTAAATAAATGTCGGCCAATCTCGCGTATTGGAAGCTGTAAGCAAACCTCACGATGACCGAATCCACCAGCCGCATCCAGTTCTAGTATATACTAGGAGGTGACCGAATGCGGCCCTGGGCAGATCCCTTCGGAAATGATATCCGGGGGAGCTCACTTGCGTCAGTGCAAAGAGGTCAGAGTACCGTGGCTTGCCATAACCAGACGGGGGATTGTATGCAATTGGCATTTAACCGAGGAGTGATAGATCGATCTACGTTGTAGCAGGTGGACACATCACATGGGCAATGGTTTAGCGACCTTGTAGATAGACTAAGCAGGGCAATTACATTACCTGGTTAGAATTCCGGGCCGGCCCTTGTGATCCATACCGAACCCCAACAGGGTAATAGATCGTCACCTCAACCCTCCCTCGACACCTGGCCAGCCACCCGGGCCCTGGGTGCTGCATCCACATTCCCGCATTCCTCTATATTGCCTCTTAACGGTCCGGACGGCCTCAAGAATGCAGCCACCTCTTATCCCTACCACAAATCTATTGGCTTTGGGAATAAATTCCGAAGATCTACAGCCATACCTCCGGTCCCAAGGAAGTCAGCAGCTAGCTAGGTAGCTCGTCCAACCACCCTCGTCGGGTCCCGAGCGCACATTCCAGGCCCTACATTATTCAGTGTAGGCACCGTGCGTGTCACGGCCGCTTTCGTCCGCAAAGAGTTGAGTCTACTGCATGCTGTTAGATCGTCCGAAACCTCACGCAGATCAGCGCTGGAGCTATTCCTTGTACCACGTCCGCCATACTTGTGTAGCCTCTCCTACTTCGCGTCGCACGTACCGGTCATATCCTGGTAGGTACCAGTGAACATAATAATAATATAACTGTGGCCCGATAGGAAAACCTATAGCAAAAGACGCATGGCCGGTCTGGTCGAATTTAACCGAATGTATTGTGGCGCGCAACCCGCTTGCGCCCCTTGCACCGGGGGTTGCGGTTGGCTTGGTCGGTTATGGCTCTAGAGGTTCTAGGGCTTTTGTCAATTCTTGCCCACTAGGTATCGCGATTAGGGACTGGTGAGTGATTTGCCTGGAAGAATGCATATCATTTTACGCGATGGTCCTTGCCTGTCACCTAGGAGAAGGATAATGCGAATACAAGCTCTACCAACTCCCGGTTATAAAGTCCGGTCCGTGCAGAACTGAAACATAAGCAAGTAGATGAAGAAGAATAACAATAACGCTAATACCCGACACTTGGGAAGATCCCTGTCCAGACCATGTATCACGCTGGTAAGCATAATTCCAATCCGCATTTGTTCCATGTCACCGTGAGCTTACTCTAGAATTCTTTTGTTCCATAGCCCTCGTGATCCTGAAGACGCGCCAAGAGGACGGCACATACAGAGTCCAACAGGTCGAGAACAAACGCTGCCTGTCGATATCATCCTTTTCGCAGAGGAGGGATAGACACCCGATCAATGTAACAATTAACGATGCCTTCCACGTACGCCTCCCCAGCTCCCCAGCTCCCCTTCCCCCCTTAGCTCCTCACCATCTGACCCCCCTTATACGGCCCCTGTCCTAACTACACTGTCCCAGATAACCGGCTCAATCGACCCCATAACCTCGGAAACAATCCTCGGCATCGAAATAAGCGGGACAGACCTTGGCGTCTTCCATGGTATGGCGAACCACGCGATGGAGATTGACCTGCATTTGCAAGCCCTAAAGGGCAAGATCACATTTGAGCTGAATGCGTGTGACGAGCTGTGGGTGCATGTTGACACGGTTGCGTGTGGGAAGAACGAGCGGTTGTCCAAGTTCAACTGTAAGCGCTCCGAGCAGTTGAAGCGGTTCCCGGGCGTTGATTCTGAGCCGTGGTTATGAGATGGATGGGAGGTTCTTGGCTAGGCTAGGAAGATTGCGAAAGTACTGGCTGATCAAACACGGTATATTCTAATGCAACCTATGTCCTGCACCCGTATTAAGTCCAGGTATAAGGTCAATTGCCCCGTGAGGCTCCAGGATGCTGTATAGATCTATCGTTTAAGAGGTTTGTTCAAGCTCCAGATGGCCACGGTACCATACCACGGAGGTATCCTCGGACTGGAGTTGTACTGGCACTCCCCGGCTTTTTAGTCACAAGCAGGTCAATACATCAAGTAATGGCAGTCAGGCACTAAGTCTTGAGCATTAGAATGCACGAGGGGAAGAGTTGTATCCGCCCCACATGGTTTTCGAGGGTGCGATATATATATCTCGTGACCAAAAGGATGAAAAGCTGATAATCATCATTGGTAGTGTGGAGCACATATTGAAAGCCCAGTAAATATAGCAATGTAGCCAAATATTCTTATCCCCGGAATCATGTAGCTGGTGGTGATGTTGAGGAGTTTAGTTATTGGGGCAGTTCTTACAGGGGTTGTTGAGCTGCCCCTCGCGCCTTGGCGAAGAAGAGGAGAAATCACGCTTAGCATTGGCATAATTGAGCTTATGTGGTGTATAAAGGTGCCAAGAAGATATTCAGTCCTCGATGGTCTAACGGTTCATGATTTCCGCTTGTCAGATTACCAATGTGATCACAAGCGCGGGAGACCTGGGTTCGACTCCCAGTCGGGGAGACTTTTTTTTTTCTCTGGTTGGGGAGGATTTAATTGTGAATCCAGCGATTACTCAAAGTCGTTGCTTGGAAAAACCTGGTTAGCACGCGCAACTGTGGATGTTTTGCTGATGTTACACACAAGGATGGTTGCGTTTTGGGCATAAAACCAGGGTCTCTGCCCCTTGCAGACAGCCTCCCGTTTGCCTTCGCCCCGTGCACAATTTTTCATTCGGGGTCCCGAGGCTCCGGATCGACCATACAACGGCGGAACCTAGAAAATAAGGAGGGCGGGATCAGGTGGAAGCAATGGTCAAGAGCCGGAGAAACATCAGCCAGTCGACATCTGCTGCTTTCATTCTTTAGTCGTTTTCGATTGGCGTGCTCCTGTAGGCAAGGGGCCTGTAAGGAGTCGCCCGCATGAACAGCCAACGGGTTACAAGCAGACGGTAGCGGATTCAGTTAAGGTCATAATTCTAATACCGAGGACATGAATTGGGACATGCAATGTTACGAAATATAGGAGCAAAGGTTGCGTTTGTCTTGGCCGACGTGACCAGGAGAAGCGGAGGCCCGATATATCAGTTACGACACGTCAAGGGGACTAGGATGTCAGAGTTTCTGGAAGTATTTTCCAATTGCTCTTATTGTCACGTCTCACTAAATCTAAACAGGTGGGTTGATCCTAATACTATTCCTGCTACATTTGGCTCACCTGTACTGGGAGACTAGTGTCCACACCTTTCATGGCAGAAATGGCAACCTGCCAGTCACAGCATATCCTAGGCGGCTGCTTCTATTTGAAGCGTACGATGGTGTCTCCATGTTTCCTGGTTCATCTAGAAGAACGTCCACAACCAAAAGGAAGTTAGCCTCCGGGGAAAGCTCCGGTTGAACGGCATGAACGAGAAGGACTAGGCCGTGCCATGGTTAGGCTCCGTTAATGAGGACCGGGCAGTCGCATAGATTGATATATTAGATAGTGTATATTGTAAAGCCCTGGAGATAGCGATTGCTGGCAAGAGTCGGAAAGAAAAAGAATTAAGTTCCTTCCTTCGCAGGAACTCGGAGCCTCGACGGCGAACTCTACAAGCGAGGCCGGCCAGCCATGTCTCTCCCTCCTCGGCCTGCAAGAAATGCCAGGCGCAGAAGCATCTCTTGTATCCCGAGGAGGACCTCCAGCTGCAAGTCCAGGGTTGCGTCGATCTTTTCAATGATCACTCCCAGATTTTCCCAGTCCTCCGACATAACGTTGTCATGTTGGCGGCACGAAACTTCACACCGAAGCTGTCGAATAAGCAAGGTCAGGGCTTCGCTTCGTCTTGAGAGCTAATGTGAGTCAGTGCACGTATTCATTTAAGCCCTGGCGCAGGCATCCAGTCCTTACTCACGGCTCTGAAAAATTCCTCCAACGCTAGACAGAGATCTGTGGCCTCTTGTGCAATCCCATTTCCCCTACTTCAGATGAGGAAATGTCAACAGCCCTGGGCGTGTCGTGGCAGGATTCAAGTCATACCGTATCAAATCCAGGGGTCGTACCTGGTTATTCGTTTCGCACAGAGCGGTCATTTTATCTTGGGATGCAGAGCGCTTGCGCCTGTGAAATATCAATCAGCAATGGGCAGCTTCACTTGAGGTACTTTATACAATGACAGCAAGCCCCGGGAGGACCTCTGTCAGGCAACATGTGCATGGCATCCCTAATAGTCGCAGATAGTACATATGGCGCTGATATCATGATGGTCATGGAATATTTACCCGCTGGAGAACAGGCTACCTGGCTGGCTGAAGGGTTGCGTGGCAGCACCAACTCAGCAACGAACTGCGAGATCTACGGACGCCACAGGATGTTCATTGCGGCAAAAGGACATATTTAACGCAATCGCAACAGCGGTGAGCGGCTCAGGCAAGAGGCAATATGAAGTTTCACAGTGTGATCGCCAGGTCTGCCACGGAGATGTTTTCCAAGCACACTCATTGGGCGCGAGGACGGACAGACAGTTGATTCAGGGGCTATTTGGGCGCCGCGAAAGCTCATTCATTCAATTATTGGAATATCACAGCCAGGTGCCAACGGCTCTTGGGGGCACACCGTTTCTATGAGCGCGCAGCTAGAGAAGGGGAGTCGGCTTCTTGTACTACAGGTAGATTCCTTAGGCGACATGCGTTGTGATCGCAGGATAGCCATTGGCGCACCTGGAAGGCCAAATGTCGTCATAGCCTCCATGCGAAGCCCACTGAGATTTAAGGGCTTCTCAAACTGGTTTTGCCAGTAGCAACCCTGCGACGAAAAACGTGGATACACAGAAATAGCCGAGGCAACAATGCTAGTCGTTGTGCAAGCCTCGCGGGGAGCACCGGCCAGAGTCCGCTCTAGAGCAGCCTCGCCGGAGCAAGCAAAAGGAGGTTGCCTACTGTACGACCAATGAAGTATGTAGCCATGAATGTGGCAAATAGTGAGGGTGCATAGGCGTTGAAGCGACTCGCGACAGAATGCTTAGTGCGACCGAACCACTCGGTATGCGCCAATTGAGTCGACTTGTGGTGTCGGGATCATATCTCCGGCTCAATCATGTTGCAGCTGTGCAAGGGGTGGGGGAGGAATGTACTAGTACCTGTTTGTAGTACGGCCCGTAACCCTACCGGGACTTGGAGTCCAGGCCCCGTTTGGAAGATATGCTTGTATGCCTTGGATGGATATCTTTTCCAAGGAAATAGCAAAAAGGTGACAGTGTATGGGATTGAGTAACTGTCAGACGTTGTGCACTGCCGGCAGGTACCAGTCCGCCGCCTGTCGATACAACGCTGGCTCTACTCCGAACCATTTCGCGAGACCCTACACCTACAGATTCTAGACGGGCGACTCGTTCTATATTGATGGACACCAAGAATGGTACCCGCACCCGCCCCAAGACGGCACCAGATATCGCCAGGACCAGCCAATAACTTGAAAGAACCAGTTGTCCTGTCAGCCGTTCATTCACCTCTCAGACAACAACACCATGACGAACCACCGCATGAATGGGGACCATGCAACGCGGCGGACCTCCCACAGGGCCCCGAACGGTCTTTAAAGCTTCATTGGAGAGACGCGATCAGGGAGCAGACGGGGTGCGACGAGACTCCTTACCAGGATACATGTGGCAGCATGCACACAAGCCGGAGTTTCTACAATATGGCGCGGCTGGTGGACATTAAGCATCAGCGCGGCTTCTGGTCCAAGGTTCTGATAGAGTATGGCATCTACACACTCTTCATCGCCTTTGTATACTTCGTCCTCATTGGGATGCCGCTCTGGAAAGGCGCAGTCTTCTGGCTGTACTGGATCATGCGACACAAGTTTGTGTTCCAGGGAGGGTGGGCTATTGTCATTGCGATACTAGTCTTGTGTGTTGCATTCTATCTGCTACGAGCCAGGAGTCTTGCTAACTACGTTATTAGTTACACCTATACTCCGCTCCTCATCATCTTCGAGGACAATGCACCAGGCCCAGAATATTACGAGCAACGGAATATCGAGCCTAGAGCCCTCAACACGGCTCTCCTCATCCCAACCTATCGATCCGCGCCTATACTCGGCAACACACTCGAGGCGGCACTGAAGGTCTTTCCAGCAGAGAACATCTACATAGTTGCCAACGGAAACTCCTCTACGCCGCTGGACAACACCGAGGAAATCTGTCGGGAGTACGGAGTGAACCACATCTGGAGTCCGGTCGGTTCGAAGATCGTTGCGCTGTTCGTTGGCTGCTACGCCGTCAACCGGTTTCGCTCCGTCCTCGTCATGGATGACGACTGTGTGCTTCCACCAAACTTTATCGTCGTTGCTTCTCGCCTTTCTGATACAACGCGTTGCATCGGCTACACGATAAAAGCCGCAGGTCTTGAAACGAACGAGGCAACATGGTGCCAGAAAGCGCAAGACCTGGAATACAAACTCGCCGGGTTACAGCGCTGTTTCTCGGCCACGGTCGGGAGTGCGACTTTTCCACATGGGGCAATCTCGCTCTGGGATCGCGCGTTCCTTCAGAAGACTCTCGAGCACCATCCCGGATTCTCTATTAGCGAGGATTGGTTTCTGGGCGATTCGTGTCGCAGGCTGGGCGGGCGGATCCAGATGTGCAGTGCTGTGTTTGTGGAAACGAGCACACCATCCACTTTGCTCTTTGGGGAGAAAAACGCGGAGAGAGGAGGGTTCGGTGAGATGACCGTCTTTCGACAACGGTTTACACGGTGGAACTTCTTTACCACGACGGGCGTGTGGCACAATATCTCTTATATATTCGGATCGTGGAAATTAGGAGGATGGGAAGTCGGGACGAAGATATTCGTGTGTCAAGAGGTATGGCATATTCCCCTTTACCTAATATGATAACTCCAGTTAACCTGGAAGATCCAGGTGTATGAAACAATCCTATACCTGTTGACCCCGTTCATCCTCCCAGTCTCACTCATCGTCCAGCCATGGTTCTGCGTCGCCATGTCCTTTGGTATACTGGGTCTCTACCTGCTCCAGGTGCTTATTTTCAACGAGTTTCATCTTCGACGGAAGAATGAGCGTGTGAGCATGTCCACCGTGCTGGGATTCTACGTACGTTCCCCGTCTCATCCTACGACTCCAGCGGGGCCAGCACTGATTTGCGTGGGTAGATGCCCTACAAGATCATCATCAGCTTTATCAATGTGGGCAGCTGCTACTGGGCGCTGTTCAAGTATGGGCGATATTTCGCGCAACGCCATCCGAAGCTTACGGAGGATCACAAGGCGGTTGGTCTGGTTTTGACTTTGCAGAATGCGATACGGAGTGGTCAAGGAGTGGCCAGGGATATCAGTAGAAGGTATCAGAGTCGGAGAAGTGGACATAGAAGTGTATCAGGAGGGTGCTGATGAACTCGGATACTCTCATTGAAATGGTACTTTTTTTCGAACGTTCAGTCAGATCCCTGTACCAATCGACAAGGCATTCCGTTCAGCTGCAAAACCTTGACTAGCACATGGTCACAGCACAACCCAGGTTACTGTGTAATCGTCCAAGGGTAGCATGAGAGTACTAGAACTTCAAGATACAATTCTGAGAACAGTGGCTGCGGAATTTCCAGCCGAAGCATGTTGATTATATACCTTGCTGTCTACGTTGTGGAAAAGATATCAATTGCATATCCATAGAATAAAATTCTTATAGCGACCGTGAACAAATTATTCGATTGAATAGTACCAGCAAGCTTGAGAGATATCAGCCTTTTAGGGCATAATATCCATCTTCAGACACCGATCAATACGCCTCCCAGCAAAGACTGGAACACCAGCAGCGAGAAGCTTTTTGCACTCCTCACGCCCAAGGAGGAGGTACACCTCGTCATCAAGGCCCGTAAAGATCTCCGTCTTGTTAAAGTTCTCGTGGGAGACTGGGCTGATGTCCTCGAGACACTCAAGATATGGCTGAAGCAGAAATGCCGCGACCTCATGGGCCCCGGCCCCGATCGCGCTGCAGAGGGCGGTCATCAGGCATTGCGCCTGCAAGAGATGAACATTATGCTGGATCTCCTCTTCCGTCTTGGACTGGATCCAAGGAGCGCGGCTGCGCGTCTTCTCGTCGTCGAGCAGGCCATCAAGCAGCAGCGTCATAACCTCCATACTACAACTCTCCGCGGCACCACTCATGGCCTTCTGAAACTCGGCATACAGAATCTCCTCCCTGAGAATCCTCTCGACAATCGCCGTATCATCCGCCGCAACCGCACAATGGAACGCACAAACCATCAAGAACCGCCTCGGCTCCGGTTGCGCCATGTCCAGAATCCTCGCGACCAGATCGTCTGCAACAGCACGATGGCCCTTACGAATCGACGCGCGAATCGCAGGCGGGATCCGCATGGACGATTTGACGTCGACGGCGTGCCGAAAGACCTGCTCCGCGACGAGCTGGTAGCTCTTCAGGTAGCCGTTGCTTGCTGTTTCGTAGAGGATCAGCTCGATTAGTTCATCTTCGCGGGGGGAGGCGCGGATTTTGGGGAGGACTTTGGAGAGAGCCGAGGGGTTGTCGAGTTTCAGGGCGTTGATGATTTCGCGTTCGGGGGAGACCATGATTAAGATTAATGGGCTTGATGATGTGGGCTGTGCTGGGACTTGGATATTCGTTGGATGGTGATCAGGCGAGAGGATCTGATGCTGTGTGGAGAGGATGGAGGACTTGTGTTGGATACGGTACAGGATGAAGAGGGTGGTTTATATCTTGCGATGGCAACAATGAACAACGGCATCAATGGCCATTTGAAAGAAGCCATTTTGATTGAGCTTGTGCTAATAACAATGAAAGGCCGCCACACATGCCGTCCGCAATCCTTTGTTTTGAAGGGGAATGGTGGCTGACTCACTACTCCTGCGACAATGGGCACTGAGGATTTCCTTGAGCATCTAATGCGACTGCTCAAACAGCCATCTCAATGGCGCCTCGTACCCATCACCTGCAGTCCCGGGTGCTTGCCGCCTCAGCGCTGTGGACATCTGCTCGGCCTGTTGGGGAAGGCGCCACGGATGGCCGGAGGTCGATTCTCATTACCTCCGTGGAAACGTTGCGTCCTTTCGATCGTCCTCATAAACAACGAGCATCTCTTTATAGTAATCCACATTGATACGGTGAAAGTTTGACCAAGATATCGCTCGGCATCAATTGAGTTTCTCTACAGGATCCACGTTGTCTACGCTCAGCCGCGCAGAGACCAACAACTCGCTTTCCATCACTTGCTCTCCTGCGTCGGCCTCTTTGCGTCGCTCCGCACAGTGGCTACTGCAATCACTGTCGATCAGACTCTGTGACAAGGAAATGCCGGAGAGTGGGATTGTCAAGTAATTGAGGGTTGACTTATCAGGTAAGCCACAACGACCGGTCTCGCGGCTAGCTAGGCAGAGTCGGCGTTGCCAGTCGCCATTGATTGATCAATTGCCACTATTTATACAGCTTACACAGTCATTGGGCGTTGCCTTCAACAGGCGCACGAAACTGACCAACACTGTAGACTAGACAGCCGTCCACCGCAGTTGCACCCCATCAGGATTCCTCATCGACAGCGCCAGTTTGCTCACAGAATCGCGAGTCAGCCCGAGCAGCCTCTCTCGCAACAGCTCCGGCGAGTCCACCCCGTCTATCGGTAGGGGCTCGCACTTTCCATTCCGAAAGAGAGTCGCCATTGTTGCCACAAACTCCACCTGCGACATCTTCATCCCGGGGCAGATTCTCGGCCCGCCAGACCAGGGGAGGTACGTGCCCTTTTCTGGGGTGACGAGCTGGCCGGCCTCGTCAATCCAACGGCTGGGTCGGAACTCATCTGCGTCGTCGCCCCAGATCCTGCGGTCCAGGTGCAGGCTGAGCTGGCATGCATAGATGTCCATTGGCGGCATCAACAAGTGGGTCTTGCCGGTCGCATCGATGAGTTCTTGAGGTTCGAGGACTGCGCGTGTTGTGTGGAGGACTGGAGGGAAGAGGCGGAGGGTTTCGAGCTACATGTACAGGTTAAAAAGGCTGGCACTGACAGGGGGTTGGACAGGGGTCAAGATCGCACCATCAACGCAAGGGTCCGTCGGCATTTTGGAAAGACCTCTTCGTACTTCCACGTCGCTGGATCCTCGGAAAGACCCTGCAGCTCTTCGCGAATCCACTCCTGCCACTGTGGGTATGCGGCGAGGAAGCTGACCGAATAGCCCATGGTGTTTGCGGTTGTCTCGTACCCTGCCGTGGTGAAGATGAACAAACTGCCGCTGATTTCGTCGTCTGATAGCGAAAACTGGCTCTGTCCGGATCGTCGATCCTCGTCGGAGAGCTGCAGCAGCAGGCTGAGAAAATTGCTGCGAGAACCGCCCGCCTTCTCTGTAGCATTGCGTTCCTCGTTGAGCACTTCCTGCACGTACTCTGGGGTTCGCTCCATGTGATATCCCAGCAGCTGCAACCCACGCGACATGATGGGCAACTTCATAAACTTGGTTGGAAGCAACGCCGCCTCGAGGAACATCTGGGTAATCAGCGAGAGCGTCTCAAAATAGGCGGCCTTGCCAGTCGTCGCTGCCCCCAGGCGAGCCCGCAACCCCGGTGTCCAGTGCTCTTTCTGGCTGAAACCAGCTTGACCGATCACGTTGATTGCCACGCTCTTCAGCCCGTCCAGCGTTTGATTCCCAGGGTGGTTGACGATGTACTTGAACATATCCTGGGCCTGCACTTTGCTCTCCGTCCACACGGTCCTGCTAATCCGCTCGTCCAGATTGGATGCGAACATTCGGCGATGTCGTTTCCTGTCTGCTTAGTGCCGATTCAGGGGTACGAGGAGATACTATGACTAACTCACCATTCATCACCGTTTGCCTGTAGCGAGTCAGATTCTAGTCCATGGAAACCGCTACAGCCGGGAAACTCACACAAAACACATTCGAACCAAGGAACCCCATGATCTTGGCGACAATGGGCGCTTGAGGGAAATCATTTCGTCTCTGAAGCATGCTGAGCGCGAGAGTGGGGTCCGCAATCCTGGTCTCATCAGAACTGATCCGCTCAACAGCCTCGATTCGCTCACCAGACCGAACACTCGTCGGGCGTGACGAGAATAAACACGTCGCCGAGGCGGTCGTGATATGCGCGCTTGTTGCGAAACTCCCATCCATGGGCGCAAACGTCGAGTCGGTCGAAGATCCAGTGTGGCAGGTATTTCTTGTATACAGGCTGCAGGGCCGGGCCCAGGATCATCCACGGGATACTTTTGGAGAAGACGGGCGAGACAAAGACTGGAAAGCCCGATTGTCGTGCATGGCGGTAGAAGCGCAGGAAGGAGAAGAACTTATAAATATAAAATGCGACCAGCAATGTCGCTGTCGCGGCCAGGAAGCTGAGCGCCATCACAGCGAACGAGTTGTCGTGGCGGAGATGGAGGACGAAACTTTGTCGAAAAGTGGTTCGCAGGTTTTATTTAACAAAGTTGCTGAAGGGTCCCACTTATCTCTCGTACCAATGGTCACATCAAACAGTCTTTCTTTATCTGCCAGCTGATTCGCCCGTTTTGGCCCCAGGATGCTCAGCTCTCAGCCTCCGTTTACGAGCTGTGGGTCTAGACTCCCCAGCTCTTGGTCCCTGACTGACAGCGATACTGATAGGCTACTTCGGTTACTGTGGCCCAATGCCCAGGACCCGGGTGTTCACTATGTAGTACCAGAGGATTTGTTGGCCGGTGATACCGGGGTATAAATCTTCAACACACGATGTTCGACGCTGACCACACTCGTGTGTAATCACTGAGCAACAATATGGGAATGAATAGTCAGGACCTCGTTGATTAGACCCGGTTCACCTATTCCCTGCTTATCGCGACCATCGTTTTTACTTTGGTGGCCGTTTTCATGCAAACACAAGAATCGACCACCGTTGTTGCTTTGTCTCGGGCAGACGAATCCCAAAAAAGTTGACTGGAGCTGTCAAAAGCATCGCTTATTCCACTGCGTCAATCTCACTATCGACCCTCTTCAAGAATCTCTCCTGAACAGTCTGCAACCGATTCGGTATGCTTTCTCGAAGCGCCAGGCCACTCACACACCACCGTTTGCTCCCAGGCAACTTGTATTCCAGCGTCCTGCAGAATTCGCCCTAGTCAGCCACCTTGTCGATGTTGGGAGTGCCCATCATGTCGAACCCCAGATCCATGCTACATCGGGAGATCCAGTATCTGTCGGGCAGTTTCCACCCAAGAGCGCGCAGGGCTCTCCGCACACCCCTCACGTCGCTGCGGCTGAAGTTAGGAAGTATGTACAGCTCGTCGACGATCATAATCCGAATCTCGAGCGGCAGATGCACCAAGGGTTGGGCCGGATAGCCTACTCGGCTGGCTTCTCCCGATCGAGACGCCACTTGCCGAATCATCTTCTGTACTTTTGGCAGATGGAGCGGGCTGTCGGACGCGTGCGATTTTGCACTCAAAGGACATCTGGCCTTTGCGTCTAGCTGACGGACCCCAGGCTGGCGCGAGATATACCGACAAGCGGGATCAGTGGGATGAGACAGATTTGTTTACCAATGCTGTGCGTGTTTGCTCCAGTACTCGTACAGTGTCTCGCAGAACGCGCGCAGGTTCTTCTCGACGATTCCCAACCCGATGACGTGGTCCACCAGCATCCAGCAATGGGCATGGACCGGGTATCCGAAGCGCAGATTGCTATAATTATCATCGAGAGGGAATATCCGCCTCCCACGGGCGCGGAACACCTTGCACTGCCGCTTTCCATGCGACGCACAGCTCGGAGCGACGATGCAAGCTTTACCCGGAGACGCTGGGACAACCGCTTTGCTATCATTTTCTCGGAAGCCGATGCCAGTGAGTACCAGTGTCGAGTCTGGAGGACCTTCCACAACTGAGCAGGGTTAGCATCAGCGCCTCTTCGGCAGGCCAAGGGTCGAATTGCTCACTCGCGCGGAAGAAATGGCCCCACTGGGTAGATAGCTTGCCAAAGGAGGTCTCCTCGACCTCGGGGGCTAGCACTAGCTGGTCCCCCTTGAGCTCCTTTTCAGCCCAGCCCTTTCGCTCGGGGATGGCGAGGCCTTTGAATCTCCGGTCACCTGCCTGAATCATCATCCCGCACAGGAAGCAGTTCATCCCGTGGCCCCATGTCGACATGAAGCTCATGGTGCATTTGGAGTGATGAGGCACTGGTATATCTTGGTCAGAGACGACAAAGTCGCTGGCGATGTTGGAGGGCTGACGTGCGGGGTGGAAGCAGCTCGCTGGGTAAACAGTCACCAGGGGCAAAACAAACTTTGAGCAAGCGACCATGCCACCACTGGTGACATCAGGTCCGAATAGAACGGCAAGGGCGGAATTTCTTCTCCTCTCCTTTGACATTCCTCCCCCACACGATCGCTCACAATGAAGTTCCACAAGGTCAACCCCGCTGGCGCAGCATATCCTGTCTGCGTGATATGCGGGAGCCCTATCCTCGAATCCAAATACCCGGACTATAACGACCGGGAAGACTGGGGGCAGAAAACAAGAAACAGGCGCGGACGGTGCGCCTACACCTCGACGGCTGACGTCGAGGCCACGGACCTGAGCGACGACCCCGCGCGCTGGGCCAAGTGGTATCGCGCAAGTATGCAACACCTCGCCCCTTTGCTACATACCGCTCTGTTAACCGATTGTAACAGTTATCTTCCACCCAAAGACAAAGGGGGCACACCTGTCTGGTCTGGCCCGCGGCGCTCACCCGGATTACGCACCGGTGGTGCCAACCGACTCGAACAAGGCGCGGCTCTCTGGTCGTCCCAAACACGACAATGACTGGAACACCGAGTTTTACCCAGCAGACATCTTCTACAAGCGTGCACTCATTAAAGACAAGCGATACGGCTTCGCAATCCACGCGCACTGCTGGCTCCTTCTCACCCGGACGATCGATCTCGCGACAATTGAACGCAATCTCGAGGTCTTCTGCCTCGCCGTTAGACTCCTCTGGAACTTCGAGGGACGTGCTCCGTACTGGGGAAGAACACTGACGCATAACCCGAGCAACCGGTGCCTTGACCAGGGGACCTTTGGTCGGCGCAAGATAAAAATGGTCGGGGTATTCTGTAATCCGGATCGCCCGGCTGAATGGCCCCTGTATGCGCGCCATACATCCGGGAGCCCGTACCACATCCCGAAGATCCACGCGCTCATCACGCAGGCCACTCAAAGCGCCGGTAAATGTAGCAACCAGGCTCGTCCGCGTCGCCAGCAGCGACCTCAACCCACCCAGCCAATCGCAACCCGACTCCCCCTCGACATCGCCCTCGAAATCATCGACGTCATCTACCACTCCGACGCGCCGACCTTCGCCCGAGCCAAGGATACGCGCAACATCCTCGAGGCCTTCCACTGGCACCTCCCAGACTCGTACTGGATAAAACGGTGCAACCCGGGCCTCCTCTTCGAAATCGCGGACCTCCGCGCCAGCGGGAAACCCGTCGACTGGGCGACGTTCTGCCTTGGCATCGAGGAGCTCCTGGTTGATCCCAACTGGTTCTGCAACAGCGGGCTCGGGAGGCGCAGGGTGGTTTTGGATTTTGTGGCAACCCTGCAGCGGTATATGCATTGGATTATGTTTGATGAGGAGTGGAGGGGCAAGTACCTCGCTAATCACTCGGGAGAGGCTGCGGATTGGGGCTGGTGCCATGGGCTGGGAGGGGGGGGAGGGGGTCGAGCTCGGGTCAATGTGGGGGCAGATTGAGTGACGAGACGAGAGGAGAAATTGGGCGGGCTTTCAGTTTGTTATAGTTTATCATGGTACTGGCGTCAATAGATCGTGAAGGAGGGCTGTGGGATTTACATGGGAATATTCAAGATGGCCGGGGCGTATTCATCTCCCACTTACCAAACAATTGGCGTTGTAAGGAGAGAGGGAGAAAGTCAAAGTAACGAGAAAGTTGAATTATGGTCATTGGACTTGCTTGCCTATCATACTATGTAGTAGCCTCGATAATCAGATGTGAAGAGCTCTCATAAATGTTGAGGGTACAGATAGATGTCACTGCCGATTCCCTCGCGCATTCTCCCATGCTGCTCACTCTAATGGCCACATGATTATATAGCAGTTCTTATCCTAAGGGTCATAGTCTACTATCTGATAAAGATTCATAGTCAAAGGTGGTTGTTTCTACAACTATCAACCGCTAAAAATATATTATCAGGCTCGATCATTGCGTTTTCACCTCCGAGCCACCACACAGAGCGTTCACAACTCCTTTTGAGCATTTCTTCCACCTTTCCAAGAAAGACAGCTATAGCCCTTGAAACTGGGCAGCTCGTGCTTTGATGGCGTGCAGGTGGTGAAGATTGACTCATGGCGGGGCACCTCGCGAACCCCACTGCGCTATCGGAGCTTGTCAGGTTTTTTTTCCGACGGGTCTGGTCTGGACCGACAGAGGATAAAATCCTTAGACCCTTGTCGCAAGTAAAAACTCGAGGTCGCTTCATCGGCTCTTAGGTGTGAGCTTCGATATTTTTTTTGTCCACTTTGCCTGGCAATGGACACAAAAGCGCCGACCGAGACGCAGGTCGCGCCTCTCAGCGGCGAGCCACCAGCCCCCAAGACCCGCTGGGAGCGCATCGAGGCGGTCATCTGGGATGGCGGGTATCGCTCCAAGGAGGAGAAGAAACTGGTGCGCACTTTGGATATTTTCATCATGTAAGCTCGCTTTCTTTTGCGTATCTGGATAGCGACTAATAAATATGCTGTAGGAGCTGGGCAACATACGGCTACTTCGTGCGCCTGCTTGACTCGGGCAACATCACAAATGCCTACGTCTCGGGGATGAAGGAGGATCTGAACTTTCATGGCAATCAGTACAATTTGCTCACGACGTTCTTTACGTGTGGATATCTCATTGGGCAGATCCCGTCGCAGTTTCTGCTCACACGAGGTGCGTCACCATATACTGCCTGTCTGCTCAATTGAACTGGACCTCTTGATTGACTCGTCCAGTTCGCCCATCCTACTACATCCCCACCGTCGAACTCCTCTGGTCAATCGTGACCTTCTGCTTCGCATCCGTCAAGAACGTCAAAGCCGTCTTCGCCCTGCGCTTCATCATCGGCATGCTCGAGTCCCCCTTTGCCGTCGGCGTCCTAACAATCATGGGGAGCTGGTACACGCCCCGAGGTGAGCCCCAACCTTCACTATAACCCCACCTCAATCTCTAATCACCGTGGAACCTACCAGAACTCTCCAAACGCATCGCAATCTTCTACTCGGCCAGCTACGCCGCAAGCATGTTCAGCGGCTACCTGCAGGCCGGCATCTACAGCGGGATGGACGGGCACCTGGGCCTGCCCGGGTGGCGGTGGCTGTTTATCTTCTGCGGGGTGATATCCGTTCCGGCGGCCATGTACGGGTATTTTGCCGTTCCCGATAATCCGTATAACTGCAAGGCGCGGTGGCTTGCGCCGGAGAAGCTCGAGCATGCGAGGGCGCGCATGGAGGAGATTGATCGGCGGCCGCCGGCGCGCTTGACCGTGCAGAAGGTCAAGGGGATTTTTTCGACGTGGAGGATGTATTGCATGATTGCGGCGTTGATGTGAGTTTCTGGCCGCCCCTCTCAGTCCTGGTTTACTGAGGGGACTAGTCTGGGTATGGGGATTGATGCTGATTTGCGTCGTGTAGCTTCCACTGCGTCGCCACGCAGCCCCTAAACTACTTTGCCGTCTGGCTGAAGAGTCTCGACCGCTTCACCGTGTACCAGATCAACCTCTTCCCGACAGCCGCGCAGGCCTGCGGCCTCGTCACGACGTTGCTGTACTCGTGGTTGTCTGATGGACTTGGTGGGAAGCGATGGCAGCTTCTTTGTGTTCCTGCTGTATGTTGGCTCCACTATTTTCCCCTCCCATGACACCCACGGGTGATGAAGATGTCTAATGATGATGATGATGATGATGCAGATAATCAACCTCATCGGAATGATCATCCTCGCCGTCGGCCCAAACTACGGCGCGACGTTTCTGGGGTACATGCTCAATGCGGCGTCGTGGGGGTATTGGCCTGTTCTCTACGTACGCAACCAACCAACCAACCCCGTTCTAGACTCGCGTAGTCATCCTCAATACTAACTTGTGCTGTAACAGGCCTGGGCCAGCGAAATCTGCCACAAAGACGCCGAAGAGCGCGCGATCGTCATTGGCGTCGCGCAGACGTTTGGGCAGGCGTTTGTTGCTTGGGTTCCTGGTACGCCACGCCACCCCTACCTATTCCCAAACCAATCCCAATCCCCTTGATGCGACACACGGATAGATGTGCTAATCAGTAAGTGTGTAGTCGTCATCCTCGACACGGGCAAATACGCGCCGAAATTCACAATGGGATATAGTATCATGTGTGGCGTGAGCGCGCTACAGTTTGCAATGATTTTTGTGTTGAGGTATTTTGTTAATCGGCAGAAGGAGCTTGATGCTGCTGCTGCTTCTGCTGCTAGTGCGACGGCTTCTAGTTCTGATGGTGATTTGTCTGATACTGGGGTGGAGGGGGTCTCAACTACGCCCGTTAACGCCAACAAGGGGGGCTTTCCGTCGAGGGGCGACGGCGTCTAGGAGGAGATGTTGGAGGCGTTGTGCGTGGGATCAAGTGGAGAAGATCTGGTGTGCTTCGACAACATGGTTGGCGGCGGCGACATGGAATCTGATATGATAGGCGTGAAAGAAGACGACATGGAGGCTATAATTGTGCATTTGCTAGTCGTCGTGATGATCAGATAAGACTGGTCGAATTCTTGCAGCAGAGCTTAGCTTATCCCTTCCGGAACCTGGTATAGGTGTAGGCGTGTCTAGGAGCGCGAGTCATGTTAGTTGTCATACCCTGTTTCAATGCGTGGGAACTTATCTCGAGCGGCCGACTCTCGGAGCATGGCGCCGCAGAGCGTGATTCGTGATTGAAATCTCCTTGGTCGTCGAGATCCCTGGTGGCCGGCCCAGTTACGAGCTGGATAAATGTCGTCATTTGGAGAGCATCCAGCGCGAGCAAATGCCCTCCTACGAAAAGATCGAACATCTCCAAATAATGGTTACACACATTCCATTTCACCCTCTTAATCAAAGCGACCGCGTATGAATCGATCCCGGGTTCGAGTCAGCCATTGTAGGAACAATTTCGAAACACCACAGGCTACTCCCCAATTCCTCTCAGCTATTTCGACCCCGAGCTCCATCTCCCCAGAGAAACGACTAGCCATGGCACTAGAGCAAACCCCCGCACCCCCCTCACCCTCAGCGGGCAAAAAACGCATCATCCTCAACGGCTTCGACATGTTCACCGTCGGCCACCTGTCCTTCGGGCAATGGCGACATCCAGACGACCGGTCCGCAACGAAACGGCGAGACCTGTCGTACTGGACAAATCTCGCACAACTCCTCGAAAAGGGCGACTTCACCGCGCTGTTTCTGGCCGACTCGTTCGGCCTCCATGATACGTATCGGGGGAATGGGGACACGGCGGTTCGAGAGGGCGTGCAGTGGCCCATGGGGGACCCGAGTATTGTACGTCGGATTTTCTTTCTATCAATCGCTCCTTCGCTGGGTGAGCTGTATCTATAGGGATTGATTGATTGAACCTGGGATAGTTAGTGGGTGGGTGCTAACTTGAACAGCCCGTTGCAGCAATGGCCGCCGTAACGAAGAACCTCGGGTTCGCAATCACAACGTCTACGTCCTACGAGGCGCCGTATGTCGTCGCGAAGCGGTTCTCCACACTCGACCATCTTACAGGTGGGCGGTTCGGGTGGAACATCGTGACCTCGTGGAAGGCGAGCGCGTCGAGGGCAGTTGGACTACCCCTTGTCGAGCACGACAAGCGGTATGAGATAGCGGATGAGTATCTGACTGTTTTGTACAAGCAAGTCAACCCAACCCACCCATCGAATCTTTACTGGATACTGTACGGGTGCTAACGGAAGGCCTACCTACATAGATTGTGGGAATCCTCCTGGTCCCCAAGCGCCCTTGTCGAAGACCCCATCTCTGGAGTCTACACCGACCCCACGCAAATACGAACAGTCCACCACAACAGTGAAAATTTCACCCTCGATGCTCCGCATATCCTCGACCCATCGCCGCAGCGCACGCCCTTCCTCTTCCAGGCCGGTACATCGCCCGCGGGAATCGCCTTCGGCGCGAAACACGCAGAGGGGATCTTTGTGTCGGCGCCGAGCCCGCATATCCTTGCGCCGCGGGTAAAGGCGATACGGGAGGCTGCAGAGAAGAATGAACGGGATCCGGCGTCGTTGAAAGTGTTTGCGATTTTCACACCGATTTTGGGGAGGACGGAGGAGGAGGCGAGGGCCAAGTATGAGGAAGCGTTGAAGTTTGCAAGTGCCGAGGGCGGGTTGGCGTTTTATTCGTCGAATATCGGTAGCTACATCCCCTCTTCCATACACAGCACAGATTGCCAATGCCCGGGCAGAAAGATAACCTTTTGCGTAGGAGTCGACTTGAGTAAATTCCCGCTCGACACCGAGATCACCCCGGCGGACATCCACATCGACGCGCGCGTCCACTCGTCCATCAACACACTGTCCTACCACGGCGCCGACGTGCCCCGCTGGACACCGCACAACATCGGCAAAGCAGTCTCCATCGGCGGGAACGGGCCCGTCGCCGTCGGGACAGCACAAAAGGTAGCCGACGTGATGGAAGAGTGGATCCGGGTCGCGGATCTCGATGGGTTCAATATTGGGTACGTCTGGACGCCCGGGACATTTGAGGATGTGGTTGAGTTGCTGGTACCGGAGTTGAGGCGGAGGGGCGTTTATGCTCCGAAAGGGGAGAGTGGGACGATGAGGGAGAGAGTTTATGGGCGCGGGCAAAGGGGGGTTAGGGATGATCACCCGGCGAGTCGGTTTCAGTATGGGGTTTACAAGGGAGATTGAGCTGGAAGTATAGGAGCAACAAATTATTCTAGGTGGGAGGCAGTTAATCACGGATGTACCATTGCTTTCGTGTTCAACCTCCACTAAATTACCCATCCTCGTGTAATTCTGAGTTGTTGGCTTGCGCGTTTGCCTTCTGGCCTGACAAACCTTAGCGTTGTGAGAATCCAGATTAACCGACGCCGAGGCAAAGGTAATCCACCGGCTGTAGAGCGTATCGGTGACCATTTCCGTGCAGGCTCCTGATCTGAAAACATAATAAACCATCCCTGGGTGGAACCTAGCTCGACAGGGTTGCTGCCCTAGGATAAGGTTGCACAGTCGATTCGTCGACCAGCGTCATCTGCCACGCAGGACGCTGGCTCGACACTATAAAACCTGACTTGCAAGGTCCGCAAGCCTCAAGGTTTGTAAAAGTGATTTGCAACGCCGGCAAAATGGGCATTCATCGCAATACCACTCTCCCGGTTGGCAAGGTCACCATCAAGAGCAAGCACTCCCTTGTCTGTATAATCTGTGGCGCGCGGATCGGTGTGTGCTGCACGGGAGCTCGTCGCAATGCCTTCCAGGAGACAACGCTACCAGACGGCTCCGTCATCCCTGCGGCAAAGATCAAGCAGAAGCAGTACCCCTGGGTCCGATACAGCACAGAGTCGACTTTCTTTTTTCGCATAGGTGGGAGCTGCTCTTCGCCCTCCGTGTATGAATCCTCTATTTACCGATGATAGTCACCAAGGATCCAAAGACCCACCAGCTCTCCGTATCACAGATTGGCAGTCCGAGCACTCTTGGTGTTTCCGGGTGGACATTGAGGGCCCGGTTCCAAAACCCGAATGGGAAGCGCAGATGGTGGCCTGCCTCGATAGACACAGCGTGCATCCTGTATACAGAGGAAATGCAACCCAACCGGAAGCAATATCCGGTATCATATGCTGTGCATGTCGACTGCTGGGAATTCCTGGATCGAATCATCGGCCACGAGGCCGTCCAGGGACACTGGGAGTCTTTTATAGACATAACGCTGGCTTTCTGGCTTTCGAATATAGACCGCTTCGGATGTTGGTACGCTGATGGCTCGCGGAGGGCAGCTTCTGACAATCGGAGTCGAGATACCGTCGACGCGGTGGTCAACCCGCAGGACCCCATCCTTCCCTTGGTGGTGTTGAAACATGACGCCGCGGTCCTTGTGGGATATCACCCAACTGTACATGAGGATTCAGGCCGGCTGGGTCTCCCTGGCATGCACGAGCTGGCGAGCACAGTCGTGCGGCCTCCCCGGCAAAAGAGTTACTCGCGACAACCACAAGACACCTGGCCCACCTCGACATACCAGTTGAGCTCGCCATTATGATTATGGAGATAGTCAGATTGTCACATAGCGACCGGCTTGAAGCAGTCCGAGACACGCGAAACATGCTGGCAGCATTCCAGTGGAGACTGCCGGACGCATACTGGATTTCTCGGTCTAACGGACACTTGAAGTTTGAGATGCAACAGGATGCGCTGGATCGCGATGTCGATTGGGAAAGGGTTTGTCTGGACATTGAGGAGATGTGGCTAAGCGGCAATGATTGCGCTGCTGCAACGAAAAACCGTGCGCAGGCTCTGGGGTCACTTGGAATTATGAGGGAGCTTTTGCTGCGGGAAGTTGAGAAGAAGTCGACTCAGTCTGAGAACCTGGCGAATGGAAGGATGAATCGGGCCGAAAGAAGGACTACTTTCAGGGTTCTGGGTTGTCGGCGGATAAGCCAGCGTAAAAGACGGTCATTGCACCAGGGGTCTTTCAAAATCCTTGCTTGCACGTTGCAGTGGCCGTGGTGGAAACGCAGAGCGTAGGTAGTTTGTGAAGGCCAGAGAGACTTCTTGCTGCAAGTGAGGAAGACGCCTCTGCATCTCTCTGGGAAGGTACGACCTACTATCAACTTGCTCATCGACGGACCCGTAGTCCTGTCATAGCCATGTCTCTTTCTTTTTCTTCCTAGTATCTATTGCTCTCGACACTGCTCATGCCACCTTCATGTCGAATTTCAGTCCTGAAGTATCCTCCCGGCAAACACCTAAAAGATTGATTGTGAAGCGCCAGCTTTCAACGACCCCACAGCAAATACGGGCTCCAATTCAGTAGACCCTTCCTCTCTCCCCGTATACTGAATATATCTTCTTTCGGCCGTTTCCCCATCTCGACAACAACATTGGGACCATCGAAAAATCCTTCTATCGAAATACTTACCGACGTCATTGACCTCGTACACAACCCGCAGTCATCAGTGTATGCTACAATGGTTGGAAAGAACACGGAATCTATCCTAGGCATGGAAGATGGCCTATCAGCCGCCGCTATCAGCGGCGACTAGAACACATATTGCACTCAGAGAGACGAGCAACGTCGCACACCACAAATGTTTCACGACAGAATCCTAGACGCTTTCAGCCTCTCCATTCAATACCACCACCATCAGATTGCCACCAATATCCTGTATGAGTTGAATCTGATCAACCGGCTTGGCCCCTATGGATTCCGGCGCACCGGTCTTCTCGCCGCAGCCATCGCAAAAGACCGCGTCAATCTCGTCATTGCCAGAGAGATTCTGAACAGAAACATGCCTGTGAATATGCTCGGAACCCCCCTTGAGTGGGCATGCAAGAGAGGGAGCGTGAAACTTGTCAAGATGATCCTGGCGAACCTAATGGAGTCCAAGCCCGACGCTCTCGCAGAGTACCAAGATTTCGTAGTTCGGCGCGGCACAGAGAAAAGCCACTCACCGTCTTCCCATGCCGACAACGACCACGCATTCTTTCTCAACAAGCCCATGAAGATTTGCATAAACGCCGCGAACTAGAAGCTCTATGGTGTGCTTATACCGTCGTACATTGAGTGTGTCGCGTACGGCAAAGCCCACGGCGCGCAGCTCATTCGGGGAATGGAAAACGTCCACATCTCCGCGTTTGCTTGGCTCGCACCAGAGACGTGCTACAAGCTTATTGCCTTGTCCATGCCCAAGTCTCTCAAGAAACTGCTCCTATAACATATCCACACCGACATACAGCCAGACAGCACAGTGTACGTTGGCGAGGAAGAACTTGACGCTCACCGAGCTGTACTCCTGCACTGGTCTCCTTCCCTTGACCAGTATTTGCTGTGCAACGAGGAAGACGGTTATGACATAGACCTCAGCGGTGAGATAGAGCCCGGCACGATGCGTAATGTCTTGAATATCATGTACGGGCTGCCGTTTGGCGAGCATCGTGGAGAGGATTGGAACCTCGTGCTGAGCGACTTTCAGCGTCATGTGATCATCTAGAGATTTCCGACATTAACGACCACACATACTGGGTCCGTCTAGACTCCGAGGCAGCGGATTATCTGGGCTTAGACAGATTGATTGAAAGCATTGATGGCCTTACGGGTACCCGCGAGGAGTCGGAAGATGAATTCTGGTATACTGCGGACGAATGTGGATCTTGCTCTGAGTCCGATGACTCGTGGGATGATAAGTGTGGGAATGTGCTTAGTTGAAGCCGAGTGCGGTTTGGCCAGCGCACTATATGTTGGCGACTCTGTGTTTGGGATGGAAACAAGTGAAGCTTTTCTTAGGCTATCGGAACGGTTCTCTCTATATTCGTCTGGACTTACGAAAGTAGAGTTTTGTACCTCTCGTCTTTCGCAGCTAGGAGAGTTTGTTATATCCACTCATGTACAATACAGCCTCTTCTGCTCCGTTTCAAGTGGTCGATGTTTGCTCGGAATAGGTCAAAGGCGCCATGCAGTTCATAGCCAAATTAGTCCTAGCACATCGGGGATACCACTTATGATTCAGACCATAGGCCACAGGCCCCTATTAAGCTGTGGGAGAATGATGCATCTATATTCAGTTTAGCAGGTGTTTGAATGTCCTCGCCCTTCAGCACGGCCGGAGACTGCGGCGGAGCGCTTGGATGATGACGAGCCGGGAATTTTGTATTGGCGAATGTCTTGTAAGACTGGAAATGCTGCTTAGTTGAACCCTGTGCCATGGCTATCCCTGATGCCGAATGTCTCATGTATTACTTGGATTGAAGAAGCAACGTCTGCGGTGTCTGTGAAACTTTGTGCGTTAGCTTGGAAATACGATAAGCCTTTATATTTGAGCTTAAGACATCCCTTGCCTCGTCTTCTACCATCTACATGACCTCGTTTCGATACTACGATGAATACTATTCCCTCGCGGTTGTGGAACTGGCAATGTCCAACGTACAGTCCCTCTCCGACTCTGGCCCTCGATAGGTCATAACTTGCTGGAAACTACTCGATGCCTTATTCTCGACTTCAATTGCTCGAAGTAGGGCTCGAGGCCGTCTGCCACCCGCCCGGCAAATCTCATTGAAGCGGGTGTCAGTCAGGAAACTGTCAGATATACCACCGCCACTTTGAGCAGCACGCACATCACACAACGACACTCTCTCACCCAAGCGCTCGACCCGAACCACCAGTGCAGTATAGCCCTCCAAGAATGTCCATATATGATGTCATAACAGACAGGATGAATAGAGTTGTGCAGAATCTTGCATGATCGACACTCGGCGAACCCTTGCCTGGAAGGTTATGCGAAAACGGGGACTCGCCGAGGACCCACGCATTACGCAGCGAGCCCTAAAGAATGGACCCGAATCCGATGCCGGACACGCCGTGGACAGTTTATGGAGCACGGTACACGCGAACTGATTGATAAGATTTATGCATCTTATCAATCTCACGGAGCCATGACTCCGGACTGGGGTGTATGCCTCCTAGCCTCGCTACACCAATCCATTAAGTCATTGAAGATCGCTATCCAAAGCTCCGACCCCGCTATATTCAGCATTCCACGGAAGCGATGCTACAGCTTCCGTGCCACGGACTATCCTACACACGGTGAAATTGCTCTGTCAAGCTGGATGGAAGAGCTTGGCCGGACTCCGAGCCGAGCGAGCAGTGATCGTCATGACGAACGCCGATCCCCTCGATTCTACCTATCAGATTGTCGGTATCTTCTGCCACGGTATGTTGTGCCTGGATTTACTCCGGAGTATCTACTCTTTCTTCGGTCCACATAATCCGGCCGCTGCTGTCGGCACTTCTAGCACCCGGCGGTGCCGCGTCCTGGCTTGCCTTTCCTTGATGGTATATAACTTCGGGGCCTTCGTCGAGCTCTAGCCTTGCACAGACCAGCCATGACCACCATGAGCGCCGTTCCCTCCGTTTCCGCCTTGTTGGCTGTGTTCATATACTCGGGTAAAGCGCTCGGCACACTCCACTGGACCCCCTGCCCCTCGAATCCGACCTTCGACTGCACAACGCTACCAGTCCCCCTCGAATACGCCGCCCCAAACAACGGACAGTCCGCATCCATCCCCCTCGCCCGCCTCAACGCCACCGTCCCGCCATCCAAACGCAAAGGCCCCCTCCTCACGAATCCCGGCGGCCCCGGGTCCTCGGGAATCGACTTCCTGCTCAACGGCGCAGGCGAGGGGCTTTCAGCAATTACAGGCGGGTTCTACGATATAATCTCCTGGGATCCGCGCGGTGTCGGGTCGGCAGAGCCACTCCTGCGATGTTTCGACACGGTCGGGGAAGAGAGCAGAGGGTCGGCGAGTCTCCCGCTCGCGGCGGAGATCGAGTATACCCAGTTCAGGAATGCGAGCTATATGCTTGAGTTTTACGAGAGGTTGGAGGAGTATGACAGTGCCGTTGGAGAACTTGCGCGGGAGTGCGCGGAGTATAATTCCTCGGCGCTGTATACGTCGAGCGCGGCGTATGTCGTGCGCGATATGGCTGCCATCGTTGATGCGATTGAAGGGACGAAGAATGCGAGATTGAACTACTGGGGCCTGTCATATGGGACGATTTATGGCGCGGAGTTCATCCAGACGTTCCCCGAGCGAGTTGGGAGGATTATCCTAGATGGTGTCTTCGATGCCGAGGCTAATTCCGAGCAATATACAAGCCAGCTCCCGCATGACGAGCTATACGTCCGCGACGCGATAGCAGATTTCGACACGATGTGCACTGACGCTGGTACGGATGCTTGCGCTCTGAGTCTCTCACCAGGAAATCACTCAACGAACCTTAGCATCACAACCCGCCTCGCAAACCTCCAGGAATCCCTCTACCACAACCCCATCTCGGCCCCCGACGGAACCTGGTCCATCACAGCTGGAATCTTCAGCTTCTTCATGTACTCGTACCTCAAGCTCCCCCCGACATGGCCGATCGTTACATCTGCCGTCCGCGCACTCGAGACCGGGGACTCGGGACCCTTCGCTACGCTTCTCACTGGGGCGACGACGGCCTCTGTAACGAATGAGAATGCGCCTGCGACAGGGTCGTTGGCTGGGTGGCCGATTCAGTGTACGGATAACGCGCCGTCGAATCAGACAACTCTGCGCGAGATCGGCAAACTGATACTTGATGTTTCGCTTGCGGAGGAAACGCCGTGGCTGAACGCTGATTTGTCGACGTTATCATTCTGTCGGAATTTTCCGAATACACGACCACAGGTGCCGAACCTCGGTGCTGGGAAGCTCACAACTGGGGAAACGAACAATATCCTCTTTGCAAAGAATACATCTATCCTGATCGTGAACGCCCTGCATGACCCCACAACCCCCGTCTCCTCCGCGAAAAGACTGCACGAGTGGCTTCCGTCATCTTCGCAGTTACTTACGAGGCGAGGACCTGGGCATACAACGATAAGTCTCGGGTCGTTGGGTCTTGTCCAGGCGATCCGGGAGTATTTCGTTGATGGGACTTTGCCGGCTACGCCGGAAGTGCATGATGTGAGCCAGAATGTCTTTCCTGGTGGGGATGCGGCCGACAGTGCGAATCCGGATCCGGTGTTCAATGAGACACTTAGCGATGAGGAGAGGAAGCTGTTGGAGGCGACGTACAATGTGTTTTTGGCGTTTGTCGGATTGCCGTAGATAAGCTTATATGTCCTTGACTGGAACTGGGAGCCAGGGGTGGAAAAATATATCCATCTAGATTAATATAGATCTAGCGCTATATAACTTGAAACAAATGCTCACTAAACACGCTAAACGGCGAATGCAAATATTGTCCAAGAGCAACAACTAAGCCTGCGCCGAGTGTTGCCTCAAAACCGCCTCCCGAGCCAATGCCTCCCTCTCATCAACGGTGAGCTCACTCCTCGCCTCCTTAACCCTCACAAAGCCAGCAACAACAAGCAATCCGACGACCGCAAGGCCAACCTCAAACCAAAACACCGCCTTATAACTTCCCCTCATCCCGGCATACTCCATCGTCTCAATATGCACGATATCCGCAAAGCCCAGCATAACCGCGATTCCCAAATGCAGCGTGCAATTAATCAACGCGCCCGCGAGGCCCTGTTTCGATTTGGGCATGTTCGTTGTAATGAATATGTTCGCGAGGTTGAAACTAATGTCGATGCCGATCGTGCCACAAATCATTGCGGGGAAGACGAACGCCCAGTAGTTGGCCCCTTGCGGGGCGACGGCGAAGAAGAGGCCGGAGCCGATGTAGCCCAGCGATGAGATTATTAGAAGGATTGTGCCGGAGACGCGGTGGAAGATCAACCCGCCGATGCAGCAGATGATTAGGCCGCCTAGCGCCATGGGGACGCTCCAGGCGACCATTTGGAAGGGGGTTGCGCCCATGAATTCGGACATGCTAGGGTTTGTTAGATTGAGGCAGGGTGCAAATTAGGAAGGAATGGACTTACTATAGCACGGCGTAGAGAAAGAAAACCCCAAGGCTGCCATAAAGGAAGAGGAGCGCAATTGCCAGGGGCTTCATGTATTTCACGGCGAAAATGTCACCGGGAAGGAGGGGGTTCTTGGCAACCCAGCCTTCCACATAAACCATGGCGATTATAAGAAGAGCACCAAGGATGAAGCAGACAGGTATATATGGAGTTCTCCATCCTTCGGGCGCGTACGAGCTGTAGGCGATGGCGAAGACGAAAAGCACAGTACCGGATACGGACAAGGTACATCCAGCCCAATCCATCTGCGCACCTTGCTTTCTCGTCTCCTTATAGTCGCGCGGGACAAAGAAAATCGACGATAGCGTTGTAATGGCGGAGAGAATCGCGCCGATGAAGAAGTACCACCTCCAAGTCAGGTACTGGCTGCATAGCCCGGAGAAAAAAATCCCAACGAAGAAGCCGAGCGCTGCGCATGCGCCGTAGAGACTAAAGACGAAGTTCTTTCGCGGACCTGGGCGATAAGTTTTACCTAGGACCATCACGCCGGACGGCAGAAATGCCGCGAGGCCTAGACCTTGGAGGGCGCGGAATACGACGAGCATGAGCCATGATTGTGAGATGCCGCAGAGGATCGATGATATTGTTAGCCATGCGGCGCCGCCGATGTACACGGCGTAACCACCAAACATGTCAGTCAGCCGGCCGAAGATAAGAAGCGTCGAGGTGACGGCTAGCGAGAGTGATGTGGACGGCCATATTGCTGAGGCTGGTGGGAAGTCGAGTTCCTCAATCAGCGCGGGAAGGAGGACATTCGAGCCGGAGATGTAGTACTCCTGTACACCAATTAGTAGGTTCCAAAACGAAATAATCAGTACAACGTACTGCAAGAATCTGCGACATGACAATCGAAAAGCAAAATCCGATTTCCGGAAATGCACCGGTAAAGAACGCCGGTCTCTCGCGACCAAGTCGCTCCAATGTCGAGTCGTCAATGAGTGCTGCACTTTCCGCGAAGCGCGAGTCATCAGACCCCGATTCCTTTGGCGACGTCATGATCTCTGCAGGAAAAGCGTTGAAGGAAAACGGCCACTGGTCTGAGCGTCCATTATAAACTCTAGCCTTAGAACCTGGAAAGCCTGGAGTCTGACATATTAATAGGGGTCGAAGGCGTGCTGACTAAATTTGCATCTCGTAATGGGATCTGAGTCTCTCCCAAGACCTTCTGCTTGGGGTAGTTGCAAGGAGAGGAGCGGAGAAAGTAGAAAGGATGGCCGAATGCTTGGCTCCTAGAGGACGTTACGACTGGCCGATGATTCAATGTCACGGGCTCACGGCCCCTTTGCCGCTTAAGAACAATGGTCATGCTCGACGCCATGGATGTCTGTGGAGCGGTCCGACAAATACGAAGCCTTGCCGTCAAAGGGAGTAGCCGCTTTAGGCAGGTGAAGGGAGTGGGGCGCCATGAGCCGGAGAAAAAAAGGCTAGATAAGCAGCCAATCATGGCTCGACCGGCCAATTTCAAAGATCCAGTTCGTTGCCACCGATTTGTTTTCGTCGATCTTCGCCCAATGGGCTTTGAGGATTTTGGCGGCGTTCATCACGTTCAAGCAGTGGGTTCCTATCCAGAATGTCTCTAGGATGCGGATAAGTAAATCTCTCTGGGAGTGTTCCTGGCATTCTAGGCCTGCCACCGTAATGGGCCAGAGAATGCACTTGAGCAAGGTTGATCCGTCTTTGAAGGTATCGACTAGGCTGACCAGTGCGGAAACCACAGAGTCCTGTTGTGTTCGAGTATTTTGCAGTGCATCGAGTACGCGCTGCCCATATAGTACGGCGCCGAGCTGGTATGTCCTGGCGAGCTTGGCGAGATCGTCGACGTTGTGCATCGCAGAATGCTGCGGCAGAGTCGATGCCCAAAAGTAACAGTCGAACTCTTTCACCCCGTTCAGTACGGACATCACATCGGATATTGGTGCTTGATCAGTGGCATCTCCATGGGCCATGATGTCCCGTTGGATGGAGAGGAATTGCAGTGATGTCAAGATATATTCAGGGCAACCAAGAAATGACTCCTCTACGACATCCTCAAGGAGGCCGATATTTTGCTCTATCGAGTTGGATTGTGACAAGAGATGCGGACGCACAAACGTTGCCCCAAGCGCTTCAATCCTGGAAAAATGTCAGTAATAGAAGGGACGACTGGAAAAGGCATGTGTACAGATGGATCTGCTTCGTGATAAACTGCCGTAACCGCTGGACGGTCCGACCAGGATCTTCAATTGGTATGAGCGCCAGTAAGCTCTTTGCCCCTTCAAGGTGATAGTTCCACTGGTCGCAACCCGATTCTAGCAAGTCCAGGAAAACAAGAAGGAAGACAGTGGCCACAGTGGCGTCGCGGTAGCCTTTCTGACCGTTCAGCGCCTGGGCTAGTCCTTGGATGGCGCGATGCTTGAATCGAAGAGCCTCATGATGCGGCTCTGCGAATGCTGGCATGTCTTGCGTGGTGCTTGTCGAAAAGGGGTGGTCAAAATTAGCCCTGTGCCGAGCAGCGAGGCCGAGAAGAGCATCGAGGAGGACAGTGTCGCTCAAAGCGAGCGGTATCAAATTCCGAAAAGGATTAGTCTGGCTATCGTAGACAATGAACAGCTCACATATCCGGTCATTATCTGCGTCTTCGATTAGTCTTGAACAGCGGCAGGGCGAGTCAACATACAGTAGTCCAGATAATATCGAGCTGTCGAATTCAATCCGGCCAGGGCAGCATCGCCGATAGCCACAGGGACACTCGGTAAAGCCGGACGAACAGGAATGATGGCGTCATGGCGTTGGAGAAGCGGCGAAAGCTCGCCGAGGGATGTGGGAAGCTTGGCGTGGTGTTGCGTAGGCGTCGGAGACTGGAGATTGTTTGCCGGGGTAGAACAGATATCAATCTTTCCCACCGGAGAACTCGACACTAAAGAGTTCTCGAAAGATCGTCCCCGCATTCCTCCGCGAATGGCGACGCCTTGCACCCACCGCACTGGCCTTTTGTCGAGGCACTGGAGGCCCGCCTTTTGGCATTTGGCGCACGGGACCGCGGAGCGGTCGCATTGGATGTGCCGTCGGCGGCACGTATAGCAGGCTTGGGTCATTGCAAAAGATTACATTGCATATCGAGGAGGTATGATGGAGATGGCAAGACCGAAGTCGAGTTTTATCCGCAATCCGTGAACAAGTGACTGAGTGAAGATGGTGACTTGCGTTCGTCTCGCAGCCGGAGAGGCAAGAATTAGTCAGCGGCGGCTTCAGAAGCACTAGCCCGATTAGGACTTCTATGTATCATTGTCGCCCTGGGAACAATAATAATATCTTCACCAAGTGTATGTACTCTATGAAAAGAAAGACCTAGTTCTAAATCAAGGTAACAGGTTGCTGAGCCGCCTATCAAAAGAGTGTTCGGTCGCCAGGAGTATCTTCAACACGATGCCATGGTTAGATTTGACAACGAGCGATCGCGCGTTGCATATACGACTCGAGCAGCTGTCTCATCTTCTTACTCCTGGCCTCCTTATAAGCCCGAGCTATATCCACAAGTCGAGTTTTATCATAGCTTAGTATTGCCTCAGCGGCAGAGACAGCATCCTGACAGATCGCCATCTCCAGTGGGTGCCAGTTTAGCGACCACCCAGCGTTGGCTGGATCAGCTTCTTCACCATCTTTGCCCGCCCAGTCATCCCGCCCTCCATACATCTTGTACCGCGTATCGTCTATCGCAAGCCCATACTGAACGAGGAGCCGAATCAAGGCTCCATCGCCCCCAGCGTTACTTACGTCCTGCAGGCCATCGAGGTAGTTATAGGTAAAAAAGACAGACGCTCCTCCTTCCAGAAGCTCCTGCACAATAGCAATCTTCCCGTCGTGTACTGCATCTGCCAGTGGGGTTTCCATTGACCAGCTATGCCAGTCAAGCCCCGGCCATCCATTTTCCACGCCGTAATCGAGGAGTAACCTGACCGCAGCGATGTTTCCCTTTTTCACGGCTATATCCAAAAGACTAATGTCTGGCCGATCCTCATCCATTTCCTCCAGTAGCATCTCCGTGCAGCGTAGATAGTTTCTCCGCAAGGTGTACCTGGCGAATTGCTCCAAGGTCCACTGCTCTATCTTAGTCTCTGTCGTCCGTATCAGTCTTGCTACGGCAGCCAAACCCATATCCTCCGATGCAAGATTCAATATGGTGCGGATCGAACGGCCCTCGATAATGGTAACGCGTAATCCGGTATTCCAGGACCCTGGCGCCACGTTAGTATGGAGTGCAAACCCGCCGCGGAGTAACATACTGCAGACCAGGCAGTAGGATATGATCCCTTTCCACGCCGTCCACATAGACCCCAAGGTTAGATCACCGCCAGCGCCAAAGATACCATGCTTGCCATCGAGGTCCTTTGCTTCGGTGTCCAGATCTGAAAGCTCCTTGAAAATCATCAGGTCGATCTCGCGAGGGAGCTTATCCCAGCCCGTAGTGACCACTTGAGCGGGCATAATCGAATGGTAGTATATGCTTCCGGTAAACATGCTGGCGTTTCTAGAAAGTGTATAAAAATGTGAGTAATGGCAGATCGCAACTCCGTTTGTGTTGCGCGACTTGAGGTGGTAACGAAGTGGGATGGATGCCGTGGCTGGAAGGCACGACACACGGTTGGAAATCTGCTCAAAAGTCTCAACCACTTTACCAGACCTTCCTTTAATCCACTCGTTTCCTCCTGTTTCCCTGTAGACATCGCCCGCCATGGAAATTGTTGTCTTGCCAAGTACCTTATTCCCCCGGACGAGTAGGATCTCCATATTCAGGTCTATTCAGGTCCCGATCTAAAACGACCAGTATCATCAGTCACACCGTCCAAGAATTATTAGTCCTAGATTTGCCTGCAACCTTTCTTCAAGAGCTTTAATTTCCCCTTCAGTGGTTTCCCCTTGTGTGTTGTTCTGACAGGGAGTAGCGAGGTTGGAGCTCTGGCAACTGTTACTACTAGTAGTATGTATGCGCTGCTCCACAGGGTACGGTACCTATAACTAAAAGTGGCGGCGGCTAAGTACCAAGGGCAAAAGCCTAGCTAGTTATGGATAGAGGACTGGCACTCCCTGCCCACGATTTAACTCTAGAGTTTAGTTTTATTGAACCATACCTCTTCCCTTGTTTGCAAGCCCACGGGGCTTAGAGGGATGGTGAAACTCATGTAATTTATGTCTCTGCTACTTACATCATGTGCTGGCAAGGGAGATACTGCGGAAAGACCTACTATGAGGTCTTAACGCCTCTACTTCCATGCGGTTCCGGTAGACATATATCTTCGCTTTCGGATCCAACCACAACAGCTCTTCAGCTGTCGCAGACTTTGTTCCTGCTTACTTGACGTCTCGTGTGCTAACTTACCCAGAAAGCACAGCCTGGGTCTCAAAACGAGCGGTACAGTTCCGAGGTGCTTGCAAATCAGTCCAGCTGCATGACAAAGCTTACGTGATGCCCAATAGCGAGATGATTGTACCCAAAAGCTCTACTATACCTGGTGGTATAAAGCCCAACTGAATTGCGCTTGACGATGACTTTGCATTCCAAAAACAGACCCAGCGCAGACAATTCTTAATTTACTCTGAAATCAATCACCTCCAGACCGTTCAGTTCCATTCCATCTAACCAAGCACCCAACGGCGACCCGGACAATGGCATCCCCCTCCCCCGCAGCAAACGCCCTCATAGCCAAGCTCGACGCGTTCTACAACGCCCTCCTCGCCTTCCAAACTAACACAAGCGACGAGAACCTCCAACGCCTCGGCGCATTCTTCGCCCCCAACTGCACCGCCGAGCCGCGAAGCATGCGCCACTGGAAGCACCGGGCCATCGGCCGCGACGCGGCGATGCAGGCGTACCGCGAGATGCTCGGCGAGCAGGTTCTCAAGGAGCGAAGAGTCGTTTCGCAGGTTGCTGTTGCGGACGCGGATGCTGCTGCTGGGGGCCCGAGGGTATACTGTGAGATGGCGAACCGGTATGATGTGCAGGGCTTGGAGCTCGATCCAATGCTCGAGACGGTCGTGGTGCGGTTTAGTAATGCGCTGGGCGGGGAGATTGTGGAGTGGAAGACGTATAATTGTCAGAGTCCGGTTGCGGCGCTGACGCAGCAGGCGACGGGGAAGGGACTTTATGCGAATGTGAGGGTTTTGCGTGCTCCCGTGAGGGGCTATTATAGTGCAGTGGTGCTGACTGATATTTTCTAGCTTGAGCTTGTGATGGATGAACACATGCCTGAGAAATGTGATGGCAGCTGTTAGCTGCTACGGGCTGGCCGGAACGGAATCATGCAGGTGAAGGTTGGGGCTAAGGGCAAAGCATAGGTCTCAATCTAGAAGTCCGTGCATGTCTTCAGTGTATAGGTGAGGCCATGTTGTGTACATATCAGGTCGCCGAGTCTCATCTTGGTACGGTTTTGAGGTCCGGGCTCCATCTATTTCCTGTCTCATTTTCTTCATTTATTTGCTGGAGCCGTTGTATATGTGTCTTTCGGAACAGCACAAAGTAGATCAGTGAAACAAATTTACCGGGTTGTGGATCCTTTCGTGACGGCAAATTATTATCTAAAGAACTGCATGTATTAAAGATAACAAAGGCACACACCGGGTCGATGTGAGAGCCTGATGTCCACTGTCCATAGATGGGCAGAGTACAGCATGTTCGGAAACCCTCTTATAGCACGGTATCTTTGGCCACGAGCAGCAATGTTACTATTGTCCAGAGTTGTGGGATAGTGATGTTAGATTAAGTCTGAAGCTAGTCAGCAAAGCTAGCGTAAAGCAAGTTATCCTAAATTAAGTGAGACACCGCAATCTGATTGTCAGTGCACCTTTTAAGGGAGAGTGTATCCACCGTCAATAACGATGTCAGCTCCAGTCATGTAACTCGAGGCGTCGGAGGCACAGAAGACGTAAGCCTATAGGTTCAGCATTGGTCGAAAATTGGTAAAGCATTGAAGGAGTGCCCGAACTTACACCCTTGAGCTCGTAGGTTTCCGCCATCCGCCGAGCAGGAATCATGCTGTACCACTTCTCTCGCCACTCTTGAGGATGGATGTCGAGGATGTCCGTTGCGATGAACCCAGGCGAGATGCAGTTGACGCGGCAGAAATCGACCCATTCAACGGACAGACATTTGGCAAGCTGGACGACCGCCGCTTTCGAGGCGTTGTACTATTCTGATTAGCCCCAGTCACACGTCTAAGATTGGTCCCTTACAGCCGCCTGTTTCTGAGGAACATTGACGAGCGTCGCGCTAACAGAAGCCGTAAAGATGATATTCCCCTTCCCCTGTTCCTTGAAAATCTTCGCCGCAGCCTGAGCCGAGTAAAACGCGCCGTCTAGATTGACATCCATAATCTTCCGCCACTGCTCAACAGTGTAGTCCTCAGCCGGAACGGTCTCTGTGATACCGGAGTTCACGACGATGACGTCGAGTTTCCCAAAGTCGGTCTTGATCTGCTGAATTGTCGACTCGATCTCGCTCTGGCTTGTTACGTTCGCTTTGTAGGCGCGAGCTGTGACGTTGTTCGCGGAGGCAATCTCGGCAGCGAGATCGTTGGCGTTGGAGGAGGAATTGTAGATCAGGGCGACCTGGAGTTCGATCAGAGGCTGTGGAGGAGAGGATACTAGGGTTGTACATTTGCGCCAGCTTCGGCTAGACCTCGCGAGACTTCAAGGCCGATGCCGCGAGCTCCTCCTAGAAGGTATCAGCAGCTGTTCATTGAGGGGGCACACAAGGAGTACCAGTGACGACGGCGACCTTTCCGGACAGGTCAAACGCCTTCATGACATGTTGGTTGGCCGGCTGAGATAGAACCATGGTGACGGTGTCAAGTGTAACTGTGTGTAAGGATATTGAGGCTATGATAGTATAAGAGTATAGTGAAGAGGGAATAGAGGTTGATGAGAGATGTTGACAGCAAACGGGGAAGATCGTGTGTTGAGAAGTTGGGCACCCCGCATCAACCCCCACTTTGGCAGGAGCAACCGCGCCGGACTTACTCCGTGTGCCTCTTTCGTCATCATGCTGGTGATCTGACCTCTAATTCGGTTGCCTATCGATAAGTATGGGAATACTGTAAACAGTGTACGATCTCCAACCCCCAGACAACCTGCGCATCCGAACAATAACAACTGTATAACCTTCCTTGCAGCACTTAGTGTCGAACCGGGGGATACCACGAGAAAGTCAGAACCACTCATGGGAATACGCAATATTCCGATGCGAATAACGCTCCACCACCTCCCTAAGTCTAACCTTGATCAATGGCGACTGCCCAATCCTCTCGCGAACCACGATCCTCGTCAACTTCGGAAGGCGCCACGCATCCTGAAACACCTCCTCCAATCTCTTCGGAACATCACTCTTCATGAACCACGCAGTAACCGTCAGAAACTGGATATTGGGCGGCAGCAGACTGATCCACCCGTCGCTCTGGGGGCCAAACTGCATGCTAAGAAGAAGCGCATCTGGGAGCTCGAGGGCGGGGAGACTGTAAAATCTAGACAACGGCGGAGGTATCAGGCGAGCATCTGGGGCCTGGGCGGTCGTCCAGTAGCGATCTTTGAATCGCATACGGAGTTCCCGAAGAGTTTGAGAGCGGGAGCGGATTGCGAACCACAGGTGCTCGTGGCTGCGATCGCCCGTCGCCATTAGGGAGAATAAGTCTAGGTGTAGGATTTCAAGGTCGGTGCTTCCGACGATCAGAGGCAGCAGGCACGCTGGGGAGAGACTTGGGAGAGAAAGGCGCAAATCCCGGATTGTAGCCAGCGGCGAAAATGAGGCTGGCAGCCTAATCATGCCCAATTCTGCTGGAGGGCTGCCGAGGTATGTCACAGAGAGCGAACGAAGCCTCGGTGGCCGGAAACTCTTGAAGATCCGTTTGAACCAGGTATCGGCGGCGCATCCCAGGATCTCGATCCCTTCAAGGTCACGGAACATTGGCAACGCGAGCCACGCTGGGATCGTGTTAATGACCTTTGTCAAGACGGAACCGAACATGGTCTGGCTCGCCCGGCCCACATACCGCAGGAATTTCAAATTCGGCAGGTGCTTGATAACTGTAAGAAGCTCCAGTACCGCGTCCCGGATCTCGGGGACATTTTCATTGAGCTCCTTTCTGTCTGGGCTAGGAACCTGCCCCCACAGGCGCTGCATGTCATCCGCGAGGGGGCCGGTTGCAACGATGTCGCAATTGTGATCAATCAGCGATGGGAAGGCTGTTTTCTCTCTGGCAGGATAGTCTCTCAGTTCAAAAAAGGTCAGGTTCTCCACTAGTCTGCCTAGTGACCGGTTCTGCCTTAGAGCCTGAAAGAGCAACCGATGATGCGTGTCGCGGGAGAAGACGATAGTGCGGTAGAGGACCGGGAGGGCAAGCTCGCTGAAGCGCCGCGACGCTACAGCTAGAGCTGCCAGGGTTTTCACACACTGGGCAGAGTCATGAGGCATTGGGACTGCTTGGGCCTGTCGGGCATGCTTATCGTGTGCGGCGGCCAGGATAGTAAAGATCTCTCTAAGCACCGAGTTGGGGAAGCCTCTTGGGGGCCTGGTTAGTGAAGACATTTTGACAATTTGAGATGTCATCAGCAGCATCAGAGGATATAAAAATGGGATGAGGGATGGAGAAAGATGAAAGTGGGAGGAGACAGACGTGAGGGGCAACGGAAGCGTAGTGTTAACAAAGCAACCCGTTTGAGAGGCTCTGCATCGACTAACACTGGGCGTGTTGTGCCTGGAATTCATCCGTCTACCTACTCCCAACCCTTTAATTTTCTTCGTCCTTCTTTTTCATTCTGCACTTCCAGCGACTAAGAGACTGAGTTTCCTCCCAGCACTCATTTGCACATGATGGTTCCAAGTACCACCAGAAGCAAGTCCGTTACCCAAGTCCACCGCCATACCCCCATCATCGACCTTCCAGACGAGATCCTCCTCCAAACCTTTGAAACACTGCATGCTGAGCACGAGGCCAGAGGCCGACGCACTATGGCTTTTCGAGCCACAACTGACACACAATGGCCCCTCCACGCCCTGACACTGACAGCCCGCCGCTTCCACGTCCTAGCCCAACCGCTATTCTACCGCACAGTCGTTCTCGCATCGAGACACAAGGCGCTATATCACCGTCTTATACGAAGTCGGCATCTAGCGGCGTACTTTAGAAATCTCGTGCTTTTCGAGGACAAATACCTTTCAATCCAGAGCGGCTGGCTGAATCGGGAACCAATCGTGGGTTGCCCCAGCGTTTCTCAACAGATGGCCCTGGAGCGCCAATCTCGAGTATATGAATCGCAACTGGAAGTATCGACTGGGCACGATCAATGGGGCCTATGGGGCACAAAACAAATTAAGATCTATCCCTCCGTCCGCCGAAGAGAAAGAAGCCATGGAACTTACCAGTCTCCTGCTCCGCCTGCCCGATCTCCGCTTCATTAGCTACGTTGCGGGGCCGGACTGGGAGTGGAACGGCTTTCAAGCCTTTGTCCAGCGCCTCCCTACATTACAATCCAAACTCCACGTCCCCGTGAAACCTCGGTTATTCCACGCCATCGAGTAGATAGACTTAGGGTGCCGATATCCAGATTCTTGGCAAGATTTCATGCCGTATGCCGCGACTTTACCTCCATTAAAGCCTCTCCGTCTCCTGATACTCCAATGATGTCCGGGTTTGAACGCTGTGGTTCCCGGAGCTTCCCCAGCTCTCAGTCCCGGTTCCATTGCGTGATGTCGAGGCGCTTCTCCTTGAACTGCGTCGTCTTGATCGTTTGTTCCTTGCGGGTTCATGGCTGCCTGTTGATTATCCAGAGGCTGATATTGGGGAGTTATCGGATATCTTTGAGGTGGTAGGTTTTACTCCTGTTGCTTCTCATCAAGTAGGTGACTAGTAGCTCTATTATCAGTAATCTGTTGCTTACGGCCATGGGCCTCATCTTCGTACGCATCTCAATGGAGGGTCTTTTGGTAGTATCAAGCAGAGGCCTTCTGATATAGATGGAACTAGTGTAGTTTGAGTGAAGGTCAGCGGCTAGTTTGATTGCCATAACATGGTAAACGTCCTTATAAAGCTGTATGGACATGCCCAATACTTGGAAGCTTGTGAGATGTATTCAAGCTGCACGGGATAGATCCGTGCATGTTTGTCAGGTCCGTGTGGAGACAAAGGGTGCTGCCAAAAGTCTTTGGTCTATGTATCTAGCCATCCTTGTGTGCATCTGGCCTTCACCTTCTCTTGGACTATACTCCATCAGTACCACTGTTGCTCTGACTTCGATATCCAGTCCTCGCAAACGATAGGACTCCTCAGTCTTTCAACTTTTTCCCATCTCTACTTCAAGCAATACGCCAAAGTCCCTCATCATGCCAAAGGTCAATAATCCTCGGCGCAATACGATACGATGCGTGCCAAACGAGATAATGTTCGAAATTCTCCGGCACGCATTTCAGGACGATGAGGAGTACTGGCGCCACAACGCTCCGCAGCTCTCCGAAAGCCGCAAATATCCCGAGGGCCTCAAGCGCCATCTCAGATCGCTGCAGGCCCTCGCTTTAACATCTCGGCAGCTTTATCACGCCGTCCAACCATTTCTCTATCGATCAGCTTGGATTTTCAGCCTCTCGCAGCTTTGCACTCTTATCGAGAGCATTTCAAGTGCGCCACATGGGACGAGCTATATCCGAGGCATCGTCTTCTCAGGCAGAGATCCCCAGTATATCACGGCAGAGAAGAATACTTCTGTCCTCAAAGCCCCATTCTCAGAGGGACGAACGAGCAGCGAAAAAAACTCCCGGTCAAGCGATGTTCGCCCGGTAGTCAATGGCCTGATGCGTCCTGACACGTTATTGATAGCCTCAGGCACTTTAATACACCTTCACTAGAGGGTCTCAAAAACGAAAGTCTGCAGATTTATAAGATGATGCGAACTCAGAAATACAGAGCAGAGGGCTCATGGCCCGTCAAGCCATCAGTTAGGCGAGAAAATGGGCGTAATGGACATGGCTGTGTATAAGAAGGAGCAATAAATGACTCTTCCCCTATTGTCTATCTCCACAATCGCTTGAGCAGTATTGCAGGCAATGTACTATCCACTCGGCCAGGGCGGGGAGAACTTGCCTATGTCCAGCCATCTTTGGACGGTAGGACTTTTCTCTCCCACACTCATTTTGCTTCTCTCTCTACTTTTGGTGCGCCTACAAAACGCAACAGACATCTGCAGCAGACCTCATCATCCACGAGCCGGCACAGTTCCTGCCAAATGGGATTCTCTGGCAGATATTCGAGTTTCTCATCCCCGATTATGGAAATTACGAACAACGACTTGCCACACACACATACGTCCGCGCCCTGCAGGCCATTTCTATAACCTGTCACCACTTTCATGAGGCTGCCCAGCCCTACCTCTATGGCACAATCTTGATCGAGCATCTTGCGCAGCTTTATAAGCTACACGACACCATTGTCAATGCCTAGGGCTGCTTGTAACATAAACAATGTACTTCAGCTGGCAGTCAAGGAAACAAGTATTGCTCTTCCCCCAGTATTGATGCATATTAGACGACGGGACAGCACCTTGAACAACTATACCAGCCGGTGTTATGCCCTGTCAGCCAAGGCGGAGAAAGGGGGGTATAAAAGGCTCGACCTGCTTTTCACATTTGTTCATTCTACATCCATATTGTCATTGTCGTTCCGCAGCAGACTCTCCGTTCTCTTTATTGTTCTAGATACATTGTCAATCCTCCAGGATGGCTTTCCTCTCTAGTGTTTCCACTTCGTCGGCCAACCATAGTTCGCTTACTGGAGCTCAGTCCAAGGACGCCGTCGATATCCATCAATCTGCCACACCTAGCGGGCGTCAACGCTTCATTCCTCGACTACCGAACGAAATCCTCTACGAAATCTTCTTATGCCTCCGCCAGGACCTAGACTCCTTGCTTCAGAGTGCTAGATCGACGACCGACCTGGATGCCGCCAGGGTCTCTACTCGAACGTTCCACGACTTCCTCTTTATCTCGCACCAATTCTACTTCGTTGCGAGGCCGTTCCTGTACCATACCATCTTCCTCACACACGGGAAGCGTGTCAGGCAGCTATACCGCTCGATAGAGAAATCTCCTTCACTCTCGAGTCATGTGAGACATTTATTCTTCGTTGAGCAGAAGGACTGGAGTGGCCTCAAACCCAAGTCCGAGGCCATGCCGCAGCTCTGGCAGTCAGTTAAGTGTCAGCGCCCTGAAGTCGCCGCGAATTGGAAGAGAACGTCGAAAGCGCAACGTGATGTCGCGCTACAACTCGTTTCCATCCTTGCGGGTCTCAAGAGCCTGAAGACGTTCAAATATCGTGCAAACATCGATTCCACGCAGTGGCCGGTCAGGGCCCGCGGCACTACTTTTGACTGGATTTTCATGACGCTCATCTCGACATTAGCGTCGAGGAAGTACGGTCATGGGCTTCTCCATAGCTTGGAAGAAGTAGACATCACAGGGCTTTCGCCGCCAAACAAAGCGACCTTTCTCCGCGTGTTTTTCAAGCTTCCCAACCTTCGCTCTTTGTCTCTGAGGCCTGCCTCGCATTTACAGACGCTGCCCCAATATCTTCCCGACCGCCTCTCCCAGACAATTCGTGAGCTCAGAATCACGAGCCCTATATCTCTCAACAACTTCCCCAGCCTCCTACGTGCCGTCGACAAGCTCGAAGTACTACATCTAGACATCTGCCCGTCATCCTTCGAATTCACATCAGCATATACTGCGTTCAAAGATGCTCTCGAGACCCAACACACACACCTCAGAGAGCTACACATCTCGTCGCGCACACCATGCGGGGTACACTTTCTGGGAACCAACAACCGTCCGTGGTCCTTCTGGGAATGTACAAACCTGCGTATCCTCAGCATCCCCGATGAGCTGTACAACCACTATGGAGTGAACATCACACGCGCGACTCATTTCCTCATCCCTCCGCATGTCGAGACGCTCATCATCTCCCACTGGTGGTTTAAGACACTAGAACCTGTGGATGTGGACTTTCTCGTGCAGGATACTGCCGTCTGCTTGCAGTTGCAAAAGGTCGTTTTGCAGGATCTCGTTGGCGGCCAACACGGGCGCATGTATAAATTCGGGAATGCTCGCAAGGCGTTTGCTAAGCGCAATGTGGCTTTGGTCTACGAGGACTGTGCCGCTGAAGGACGGGCACGGGCCAAGGAGAAATGCCCGTGGTGGGGATAGCTACTCAGGGCGGGGTATGCGGTTGGTCGCTCGGACATGTCGAGAGCCCTACTGGTTAGCCCTAATTGCGCCAACCTCGCCTGGTGACATGCTTGGATTCTGGCTGCGATTCGTTTTGCTTGCTTGTGCGCCTCCTTTTCTTGTTGAATCTGTATACTCATTCAGGGCAATATGATGTATGTAGCCACCTGGGTTTCTTAGACAATAGATCAAGTTTGAGTGGTCTTCCATCGTGGACGATTCCCGGTTGCCACACTTGCCTTTGCGTTATCACTGTCTCTCAAGCCTCTCCTTTTCTAATATTCAGGCCATAATTCCAACACTTTGACTTATTTATCTTCTTACCCTCATGATAAAACATGTTTTAGAAGATCTGGTTCTGGTACCAGATTTGTCCCTTCAAGGAATCAGGCCATGAACCTAGATAGTAACCCAACGCCGTGATTGCCGCTACCATTGAACTTGTAACCTTTTCGCTACCGAGCGAGCGACCACTGATGCCAACAGTCGCCGCACAGATGGATATTGAGGATGCATAAATGTATTCCACGTATCTTTGTGTCGTTTCCTCATCCATCGGTAGCAGCCTTGCACTCACCCACCACCACAATGGGTTCCTAGATTGAAACACCCTCAGCTGCTGCCCTAACTTCTGCAAACGCACAACCTTCTGAGAACAAGCAACTTGGCCAATACTTTGAATCGGCAACCCCGTTTAAGAAATCCCCATCTCTCCCCAACGACATCCTCTACGAGATCTTCAGCTACTATCTACGCGAGCAGGAGGCCGAGATCCGCAACCCCTCACCTGAGAGGAATCCCGACAGCGCCACAAAGCTACGGTCGACCCTCTGCTCAGTCCTCTTTCTATCCCGCCGGTTCTATCTCCTCGTCCGGCCGTTCCTCTATCACACGATATGTCTTTCAAACAGCGTCGATGTCGAAAAGTTATATAACACCGTGCGAGCGAATCCGTCTATGAGGAAGCATGTGAAAGCGCTTCTTGTGATGGAGCCGACGGATTTTAGCACGTTTCCCAAAACAAAGGATCCCACGCCGGACCTTCTAGATATCGTTCCCAGACGGAAACATAGGGTATGGTACCCGCGGGAGCACAGTACTGCTCTGCAAGCTGGTGTACGTCCTGCATCATTTGCATAACCTGAAATACTTCCGTTTCCTCGCGGCCAATAGATCCGGGTCAAGGTTCCAAAATACCTTTATCTGTTTCTTCACCAGGCTCGCCGCTCGAGAGATGCAGGATCAGACGGAGGTGGAGGTTCGGCCCTTGCCCTTGCTCGGCAGCGTAGAGGAAGTCGACATTTAGAGAATCCGCTACCCAAATCAAGGCTCCTTCATGCACGTTTTCGTGTACCGGCCCAACATACAGTCGCTCTCCATCTCCCAGACTGTGCCGGTGCTGAAGCTGTATTTCCGGTCGCAGTCCGGCATCAACACCTCGTCGATCCGCAAACTGACGGTCTCGAGCCCGATCATTCTTATGGACTCGTCAACGCTGGTGCGGTGCGCCCCCTGAAGTCTTTGGAAGTTCTCAGTCTGCACTTGTGTCCCATGTTCTTCTTCCGCCCCGACGAGCAGAGTTACCTAGAAGCGGCGCTCCAGACCCAAGCCACCAACCTGAAAGAACTCCGTCTCTCCGCACACTCCACGACAGCCCCCAAGCTATCCTGGTACCCACGGTACAAGCCCTACGTCCTCTCGTAGTACACCAATCTCCGCACCCTCTCAATCCCGAACTTCCTGTACACGTTCAACTACAACAAAATCGGAATGTCTGAAGTAGTGTCTTCCCTTCTGAGCCCTGAAATCCGCACACTATGCCTCTCCACCTGGTACTTTGAGCAAATCACCCCTGACACATTGCGGTCGCGAGCAGGGAAGTGGCGCCGAATCTAGAGAAGATTGTCATAGAAGATATGAAGGGTTGTAACACGCAGCGGATGGACAAATTTGCGGCTGCGGAGGATGTGTGTTTCATGACAGGGATTGCGCTGGAGTACCAGGATGTTTCATCGTTTGCGAGGGCGGGTGCGCCAAAGCTGATGGACTGTAATTTCTTCCGACGTGAGCACCCTGTAGGTAGTCTACCTAGTTACCTGTCGCCCGGTTCCGGATTGGTTTTGTAGGGCAAGGCTAGAAAGGGCTGGAAGAAATGACATTTGTGGAGCTATCCACTAGCGATAGGGATGCTCATGGTATGGTGGGAAGGACGGAGGTGATAGGGTCCGACAAGCAAGTCGAGGTTCTTATGTGGGTGGTCGGACTGCTGGAGGCCCTTCGCTGCCGCTTTGGTAGTTACTGAACCTCAAATTAGCGATCGATACTAGTATGGATGTTCGATTCCAGCTAATTCACTGCCATCAGTTGCCACTTACTTTGTAGGCCTTGGCTTACCAGGCCTCTCTGGTCTAGCTTCTAGGCGTTCGTCGCCGTATGTAGTGTGCGCTCACACGGGCCAGGTTACTGAGCTTTCCGCTCCGCAATGGGGGAAACATATATCTCAGACACGACACGGACGCAGGAAGGTAACCAGGCAGGTACCCCGTCTTTATAGCATCATAGAAGCGTCTCAAGGAGATAGAAGAGACAGACAGTACGACATATTTAGCACTCAATCATCTCGCAAGAACAAATTGCGCGGCTGTTGTTCAAGTCTGCTTTGGCTTCTTCGGGACAAATGGACCACGTGACTACAGGCCCACAATAGAGATAGAGCTGTCTTATCATCACGTGCTAAGTCCCACCAATCAGGGACACAAGCGATAAGCCCGCGAAAAAAAGATCTCGAAATTGTCGCCCGCCCTCTCCGTCAATCCCGCAACCACCACAAAACAATCCACACCAACTTCAACACAGCACAGTCACAATGGGCAAAGCCGATCGCAGAAAAGGCGCGCGTGCCTCCTCAGCACCTTACTCAAAGCCCTCCTCAAAAGGCCTGGCGAGTGCCGGCTCGACAATCTTCAAATTCAACACAGACATCGGCCAACACATTTTGAAAAACGGCGCGATCGCGGACAACATTGTCGACAAGGCGAATGTGCAACCCTCGCAGACGGTGCTGGAAGTCGGTCCCGGTCCCGGTATCTTGACGAGTCGGATTCTGGAAAAGGCGAAGAAGGTCATTGCGGTGGAACTGGATCCGCGCATGGCGGCGGAGTTGACAAAGCGCGTGCAGGGGACGCCACAGGAGAAGAAGCTGCAGATTGTTTTGGGGGATTTCATCAAGACGGATTTGTCGAAATTGCCGCCTTTTCAGACTGTTATTAGTAATACGCCGTATCAGGTTTGTCTCCCCTCTTCTCCCTTCAACGCGCTCATGGTGCGTTGGCCTGGCATGGACATGCTAACAGTATTTCCGCGATAGATCTCCTCCCCCCTCATCTTCAAACTCCTCTCGATGCCCAACCCCCCCAAGGTATGCGTGCTCATGGTCCAACGCGAATTCGCGCTCCGCCTAATCGCCCGCCCCGGCGACGCCCTCTACTCACGCCTCTCCGTAAACGTGCAATTCTTCTCAAAGGTATCCCACATCATGAAAGTCGGCCGCAACAACTTCCGCCCGCCTCCGCAAGTTGAATCGAGCGTCGTCCGCGTCGAGCCCAAACCGCAGCGCCCGGATATCAGCTGGGACGAGTGGGATGGGATGCTCCGGATTTGCTTTGTGAGGAAGAATAAGACGTTGCGCGCCGGGTTTATGGCGACGAAGATTCGCCAGTTGATTGAGCGGAATTGGATTACGTGGGCGGCTATGCATCCCGAGGCGGTTCGGGCGGAGGATGTCGAGTTGCTTACGGGGAAGGTGGCGTTTCCGGAGAAGTTTGCGGGGAATAACAAGGGAGAGGAGGATGTCGAGATGGATGGCGTTGAGGAAACGGCCGCCGGCGGTGATGTTGACGGCGACGACGACGACGTGGATATTTTCATGGGCGATGAATCGAAGGAGGACAAGGCGGCCGCCACTGCGCAGAGTGGACCGATCATCACCGTTGCCGGACACCAGGTACCGCGGAATCTGGTCACCAAGTTGATTCAGTACAAAATTGAGAAGATCCTCGATCAGGCGGGATTGGCGAACGCGCGTGCGCAAAAGTGCGACGAGAATGATTTCCTGCGACTGTTGCATAGCTGCAATACCGAGGGTATTCATTTCTCATAATGGAGAGATTGATGGCTATCTGGGTTCGGTATGCTGCCTATCTCGATGACCGGTGACTGACACGGCTTGTCTGAGCAGTGCTGGACACTGCCTGTTCATCGCGCCTCTGCTTCGGTTGCGATCCTCTGCCGTTGTACCGAGTGCGGGTTATAGACTATAATGACGAAAAGTGCGATTTGTTATACCTCTCAGCGAACATGAATTTCAAGAATAATACGGTTTTCCATCTATTCCCGAGCTATCCGAATAATTGCGGATGCTCGACGCTGTGCTCGTCTCAAATGTAGGCACCGATCCACATCTAACCCGTACGTCTAGAGTTAGTAATATCCGGCTGTGTTGCTCCTCTGGCCGGACCATCGCCTGAAGGCAGTATGTGGCGATTTTTCACCAGCAGGCACCGCCCCCCATACCCATGGTTCTTGTGTCCTGAGACCGTTTTCCCCTGCAGGTCCAAACTTGTGTATACTTTGGTTCGATCTGGACAGCTCCAAAGCCTTCTCATAGATCATCCACACCCAATACTTGCTTCCAGTTCAAGATGACACAAGCTGTCAAACTAGTCAACTCGCCATGGCAACGTCGACTATAAGAAGGGTCCCGATGCTTGCTTCCTAGGCCACTCGCTGCTCAGCGGACAGCTTCCCTAACAAGCTATCATCGGTCGATAAGTCCTCACTTGGCTTGGAAGTAAGTAACGATCTATTCCCTCACTTAAGAGAATACCAACGAACCCTGAGACAAAATCCATGAAGGTCGCCAACGCAACCACGATCGGTCTCCTCCTTCTTGCCCCGACTGCATGCGCTGGCCCAGCCGCGTACGGGGTCCGCCAAGCTGGATGCGGCGGTGTAGTGATGGCCTGTTGTTCTGCCGCGGGCTTTGTATGGGGTGCAGCTATGCTGCTGTCACTCTGTCTATATTCGCCTGCAATAACGCGTTTAGGGCTTGCCAGGCAGCCTGGGCTACAGTCGTGCTGGGACCGGCTCCTTGACCGTGGTTTATGGGAAAGGGCTGAGCGGATATGGACCGAAAATGAACTCTGGAATGTGTAGAATGGGCTCGGAACTGTGGCTTTCTTTTTTTTACTCTGCTTGAAAAAGGATGTATGTAGCTTAAGCTCGCTGTCATTGAATTGATTCTATGAAGAGTATTAGCCGCTTTCCAGGACTAGAGTAGGAATGGCAGATTGTAAAGCCCCGTGCCACTCTGCGAGTCTAAAGGTGCCGTTTCTACGCCAAGTAGTGAGTCCATGTTCCGACGCTGTAGGGGACGTCCTTCACGAAGTCAAGAAGGAGGAGGGGCGGCGGGGGGTGCCCCTTGCGATATCTGTCCAGCTTGGAGCGCCTCCGTTAGGTGCCTGCGCTGTGGATAGGGAGGGCCCTTCAGGGGCTCTCAAAGCTCGCAACATGTGGGTAGATGATTGTTAGGTATTATAATCCCCCTTGGCTGCGCATCTCGACCGCTTTGATGATTGCTCTGACTTCTTATTTACAGAAGCATGTGTGTTAATCGCAGCAAGAGGCATCTCGGGGGAAATGAAATGAACACGACGGCCACCCGCGCCCATTCAACTGTCCGAACCTTCGGCTAGATCATAGATGCCGTGTTTTTAAGAAGTGCTAGACAAGGCCACCCGTGGCGGTTTCAGACACGAAGGAACAATTGACTCATGTCACGTCAGGGGTCGCACTTTCCCTGTCTTATTGTCCACCCGCCTCCCACCACGATCCTTCTTCCTGCTCCCTCTCCTCTCCCAACTCCTCACCTTTAACCCAGACAACTCCGGGGCTGGCATCGCATTTTATCGTGCTTATTACACTAACATATCTTTACTAACAATGTTTCCTGTAGGATACTCCCTAGATAAACCGCAGTTCAACGATTGAACACACAATCCGCCCAACGGCCCAATAACACCGGATACCTAGCCTGGCCGAAAGGGCCTCTTGAGGCTACAGAGAACGAACGGTATGTTCTGGAAGACCAATCTTGAGGATAACTCGCTAATTACTTCTGGCACTCGAGATAGAACACGGACCACGGCATCAGCCACGGCGAGCGGAAGCCTTCGACCACGACATAACGCGTTTCGACCATGCTGAGTACAATGATACGGCCGGCAAACTCTCTGCGGAAGTCCCCGGCAGCAGGTAGCTCACGCCCGACCAGACCTTTCTACGGCAGCGACTGATCTTCTAGCCGAAGATGAAGCTCCCTCAATGCTGGTGCCAATCCGGCGACCCGCGGCTTAGGAACGGAGCTCAGCTAGGACAATGGAGAACTTCCAGGAAGATTTGTCATAGGTAAGGCTACCTGACTTGCTCATTCAATGATCATATCTAACTTCTCGAAGGATTTGCGGGAGCTCGAAGGGTTATTTCATCGTTGTACGAGCCTGCTGTGGTCTGTGTGTTTATGAATGTCGGATTATTGTTATAAGCATGATCATGTTGTGCTACGTCAAACTAAACCTAAGTTGCCTGTTTCCTTGCTTCACAACAAGTCATCCAGTTGCTCTTGTCATATGTAAAGCCATTAAAATGAATCCTTGGTCTGTCAACCCCAAGCTGCTCGAAGAAAGAAACGCATTACCGTCTTACTCATTCAAAATAGGTCTCTATATAATAAGTCTCTCCGCAGGGAAAATTCCGAACCGTCTAGACGTCTTCCTTGTGGCTAGCATCCCCCATATGGTCATCAACAACACTCTGCTTGCGGTGCTGTTCGATCTGCTCCCCGAACCGGCCATGCATCTTGGCCGTCTCCCACGCCTTGACCCCAGAGTCAAACATGAGATCAATCTCCTCGAGAGATCGTTCTGCTGTCTCAGGGTACATGAAGAAGACGTGGAAGGTCATTACAGTACAGAAAACACCGAAGATGATATATGTCTTCCACTGAATGTTCGTGAAAGCCGGAGCGACAAAGTATGCGAGGGCAAAGTTGAATATCCAGTTTCCTGCTGCGGACAGACCGACACCCTTGGCGCGGTACTTGAGGGGGAAGACCTCGGAGGCATAAATCCAGGCGGTGGGGGCCTATCGTGTGGGCTGTCAGTTCCTGCAACCAAGATACACACAAAATACGGAAGAAGAAAACAACTTACCCAGGTAAGGCCGTAAACTCCGACGAAAATGTAGGAGCACGCAATAACTCCCTTTCCTGCCGCGCCCTTCACCTCCCACTTTAGGTTCTCGTTTCCGTTAATCGAGTCGACCGGGTTTCCGTACGTTGCCATTGTACCAGCAATAGCGAAGTGCAGAGCCATGGATGCGATGGCACCGGAAATGAGCAAGAGACGGCGTCCGATTCGATCGATGTAAGGGAGGATAACGCCTGTTGTCACGAGGAAGATGACGTATTGGATGATTGAGGAGTATAGAGAGGTATCACCGGTCTGTTAGGTAGCGAGTTAGTTCGACACCATTCAGCTTGGAGAACCTCAGAGAAAGTTAGTTCAGCAACGTACCATGCCAGCCTGCTGGAAGATATAAACAACGTAGTACATGGCAACATTCCCACCGAGAAGCTGCTGCCAAACCTGAACACTAACACCGCAAAGAGTCCGCTTCCAAATCTCGGGGCCAAAGAGAGCGAGGAAGGTGACATCCTTGGCCTCATGGGCAATCCGAGCGGCTTCCTGGACCTCTTCGTACTCGACCTGGACGACTGGATCGTTTCGGTTTCCGTTACCATGCAGAAGGGCGAGCGTGTCGAGGGCTTCTTCCCATCGTTCTTGGCCAGCGAGCCAGCGGGGGGATTCGGGGAAGAAGGGTAACGCGAGGAGGAGGATCAGCCCCGGGATGGCCTGGACTCCCCAGGCAATTCGGAAGGATGATGGGCCATCAACACCCTTGCCGCAGCCCCAGGAGATCAGGTACATGATCAAAATCTAAAGGGTAACCCGTCAGTACATAGTGCTGAAAGAGGAATTTGGGTACTTACACCCCACTCGATTGCCCATTGTTGGATACCGACGATGCGACCACGGATCTTGGCAGGAGCCAGCTCGGCCAAGTATACACAGACTTGACTCGAGGTAATACCGACTGCGAAGTGAAATAATTAGGTGCGACGCTCTCAAATGTGTTGCTGTCCCAGGCGGTGGACGGGGGCAATATATTTACCAGAAAGACCGCTGATGACTCGCCCCGCGACAAGATGAGCAACATTCTGAGCAGAACACTGAATGACAGCACCAATGATCCAAATGACGGAGGCGATCATCAAGGCATAGCGACGACCGAGATGGTCAGCAACCCAACCGGCGGCGATGGCACCAGCGAAAGATCCGGCCGACATTGACGCGGTAATCTACCGTTTGTTAACACTGCGCGTGCTGCAGCTCGGGGGCCACTCACTCCTCCTTGAAGATCAGAGTTTGGATGGTTGAAATATTCCAGGTACTGGTCTGTTCCGATCCAAGCGCTCATTGAACTGACATCGAAACCGAACAGGGCACCTCCGATCGTGCCAAAGGCAGCGAGAACTGGACAGCGTCAGAATCATAGCTTTTGACAACCTTCGGCTCGACCTACCATAGATATTAGTGATGCGATACATCTTGGCAATAGAGACCGGTTCACCCGGGGAAGAAATCTGGAGACCCCGACCCGGAATTCGAAGAGGACCCTTTTATACTTGACCGCGGCCGAGCCCTGCCAACTTGGCACATCTCAGCCGATTCCCAGTCTTTCCCGATGCAACGCTGTCGGACAATCGAAAATCGAGGTGCGACCAGCGAAATGCGGGTTGCGGAGGCCCGGGATGGGGGAAAACTGGACCAGACCCAACCAGAATCTGGAGTTCTTGGGATTTGCGTCACAGTGGGGATGGCCTCATTCCAAGCGATCCAGTCGGTTTGTTTTACTCCTTCCATCGGTTATGCGCCAATTTAACCGAAGTGGTGCCATGAAAAAGCAGGTCAGGTCAGGGAAACGACTGTCAGGGCAAGTAATCCTTTCCTCGATGACGGTGATGACTTCCATGCTCTGCAGTTCTCTCCACCGGAGAAGCTTCTGATAGTCACTTCTTGCATGACAGCCAAATTGCCGATATCGTTGCAGGGAACAACCAAACGCCACTAACATCGCTCGCTGCGAACCACGAGGAAGCCACACGCGCGGTTTCGCATAGGACTGGCGGATAAATTCTTTCCTGGTTTGCGTTCAAGCCATTTAATATAAATCCGTCTTGTCGCGACGTCAGCGGCTGCGCTTTAATCTAGCCGCAATCCTCCCGTGACGCTACGTAGCAAGCGCCCTTTTGCACTGCCGAACTATACTCCAACGTCAACGCAGGAGCAAAATACTATCTCATAAGCGCGGCGTTGATGTCCATCGGCAAGAATCGGGCAGTGCTGTGTTTGTCCCGCCATGGAGGGAACTTAGTACCCGGGAATATCCCTGTCGAATCCTGAATTGCGCCACTTTGGCGACAACAAGCCGTCTATGCGTGCCGGAGAACGGGCCGAATCCTCAGTCAAACTACTCCGATGAGGATGATCCAAACCAGTATCAGCCCCAGTCGCCTGTTCGACATCTTTGCTTTGTTCGGTTCAGGTACTTGAAGGCGAACTCTTTCCCGCGTCAACACATTCGGTAGAATGCTGCCAACATCAAATGTAGTAAGGGCGGCTTATCGCCGACCATGGCTCCTGGCAGCCAGCCGACCGTTATCCTTCGCCTCCCTCGATAGTATATCACCCATCGATGAGTTTCCCTAGGCTGATGCTCAGTCTCGGTTGAATTCAAACCACAATCTCCGGAAACGGGCCCCAGACTCTGTTTCGCAGCTCGACCCACAGCGTACCCACAACCCTTCCGTGAGGCCTGGGGTCTGGAGTCCCAAATTGCGTGTCTGTCTCAGCTTCGTGATATGTATTGCCCGATCGATGAGACAGCATCCTTCAAGCTCACTTTTACCGAGAACAGCCCGTCGGTAATTCTCGTCGATCACTTTGTCGGGTAAATGTACCTGGCCATGTTAGTCATGACGAGGCAACTGGTGTGCCTGTTCCCATGCGATCCTATCAATTTGCCAACGATCGGTGGGCATAATCGAATGGTTAGTTGTTCCAGGCTCTGGCGGGTATCGATTGCAAAGCCGATCGAACCCTTATCGCATACGGCTCCTTCCAAAGGTAGGTCCTTCAGAAAGACGAAGAAGTCTCATCGAATTCTCCATCTTGCTATTGTCGACGACTCAAGCAGCAGATCAATTGCTGTCCGGACTTCTAGTGAGGCCGTAAGAGTTTCACAAAAGCAAATCTCATCCACAACCACCGGGCGCATTGCCGCGCCATTGGGAAATTGCCTTTGCTCATTATGTGAACTTTGCCTTGTCCGCATTCCAATCTCTCTACCCAGAGTATTCAAGGTTTCGATGAGAGCAACGTTCAACGATAGCTAACGTGTACCCGGAATTAAATGTTGGCCTTCGGTTCCTTGTCTGACGACTCTTGTCTCCTACTGGAATGTTCAGATCAGCGCTCAGGAATTCCCAGAGTCGGTCAATGATCCTCAAACCTTGCTCGATGGCCGAGCGCATGACCAACACAGTGGCACCGTCAGACCGTCTTGCCATCCACCCATCAGCCATATTCGACTTCACGGATTAGGCTCTCAACCCAAGGGCAGACCTTGCTGATTATATAGCGCAGGCCTCTCGACACTGGACCGAGCGATGGACTGTTTGTGGCCCGCGTAACCACACCGTCATCTTTCCTGGTCGAGAAAGAAACACTAGTCGCATATTCCTTTTTTTGCCTACGACGCAAACCAATAGTGGTGTTAAGACAGCCACTGAATTGGATTGAAGCAATTACATGGCAGGATTACGCCGCTCGAGAAAAAGTAATCATGAGGGCAGCAGTTCATACCGGTGAATCCACGAAGCGCCAAGTGGTTGTGCGAGTTGTCAATGCAGCTGTTAACGCAAGGGAGGTTTAGTTCTGGACCGGCTGGCTTGTCCAAGGCTTATCGCGACGCCACCTCAGAGCCGGTCCATCCTACACTGACAAGCCGACTGAGAGCGCGAAGATGCTTTTGGTGCTCTTATGTATTGAGCTGCGTTGTTACCTCTCCTCCTCGTGCCTGCGCCCCGGTGAGGCGGCATCCCCAATTTCAGGGTGCGGACGAGGATCGACCGAGTCCGTCAGTAAGGCATCCCCGAGCCTGATTGCGCATCTTTGTGCGACGGTCAGCCTGAGGCTTATTGTGCGTAAGCCTTCTCGCAATGATATAATATGGGGAGTGCCCAAGGTTCCGCCTGATATTATCCCCTCGACTGATACCGCCGGCTGATCAAGCTTCGCGATGGACATATCGACACTGACCCCTCCTTTCGAAAGCTCTAGCAGCCGCGAAAATGAATCAGAGAAGCACCTGGCCTCCACCCAGTCTACTGGCGACCATGGAGCGGACACCGACCTTCGGCGCTCGTTATCGACACGTCATCTCACGATGATCGCGCTCGGCTCATCGATTGGTATGGGCCTCTGGCTCGGCAGCGGTACTTCCCTTCGGAACGGCGGACCGGCGGCGATATTTATTGGATACATTCTGGCTGGTACAATGGTATGGGCTGTTAGTCATGCTATTGGCGAGATGGCCGTGCTATACCCGCTTCCTAGTGCTTTTGTGCAGTGGGCGTGCATTTTCATCAGCCCTTCCGTTGGTTTTGCTGTTGGCTATGCATATTTGTTTGGCTATTTGATTACAATTGCGAATGAGCTTCAGGTAGGCTACTCGAGTACCCACATGCCGGTGTTCCCATTGCTGATGGCGGAGGGCGTTGTGACTGTCCTCAACTTCTGGACCGACTCCGTACCGACGGCAGCCTGGATCACGATCTTCTGGCTGGTGATCATTCTCATCAATGTATGCGCCGTCAGATTCTTCGGTGAAGTGGAAGTGATTTCATCAACTATAAAGTTCTCATGGATCTTCGTTGTCATAATCTCGTTGATAGGTTAGTCCTCTTCTCCTAGCTATACCGATCCTACTAACTCCCGCTGGCAGTGGTATCCGCCGGCGGAGCCCCCGACCAGGACGCGATTGGTTTCCGCTATTGGAACGCAGAGCCCTTCACCAACGGCTTCAAGGGTTTTCTCAGTGTCATGCCTACCTGCATCTTCGCCATGTCCGGCTCCGAGAGCTCTGCGCTGGTGGCAGCAGAGACGCAGAACCCTCGCAAATCGGTTCCTAGGGCAGTGGGTTCAATATGGCTGCGTCTGTCTCTTTTCTATATTCTAGGCTCGCTTGCGATCACGATCACTGTCTCGCCACATGATCCGAACCTTTTTGGTGGGAATGGTGGTTCGAACTCACCATTCGTCGTCGCGTACCAGAATGCTGGAATCCCCGTGCTCGCGCATATGATGAACGCTGTGATTTTTATCTCGATCATCTCCACTGGGAGCATCTCAGGTTATGGTGGCTCTAGGACATTGATGGGATTGTCCCATCTCAACATGGCGCCCAAGGTAAACCGTTTTAACCACGTTCGGTTGAATGCTACTAAGCCGTCGCAGATCTTCGGCCGCGCAGACGACACCGGCCGCCCCTACGCCGGTCTCTTCGTCGTCCTTCTCGTCGGTGGCGGTCTGTCATATCTCAATGTAAGCAGCAGCGGCTCAGACGTCTTCAGCTGGTTCTCAAACCTAACCTCCCTCTTCACCCTGTTCGGCTGGGGCACCATCTGCCTCTCGCACCTGCGAATGCGGCACGCATGGAAGACGCAAGGTCGAGCTGAGAGTGACCTGCCTTGGCGGACCTGGACATATCCATATGCATCATGCTGGGGACTCTTCTGGTGTGTTCTTCTAATCATTGCGGAATTCTACCTGAGTGTATGGCCGCTTCATACGAGCCCGAATCCGAGAGATTTCTTTGCGAATTATGTCAGTGTGATTGTGATTCTTGTTGTTTACACCGGGGCAAGATGTTGGTATCGCGGGTGGTGGTGGGTGGATGCTGGTACAATTGATTTGGATGGGCCACGAAGGTTCTACGCGAGGGATGAGGAGGAGGCGACGTCGAGGACTGTGCTGTCGAGAGCTGCTGGGTGGGTGTTCAAATGAACGTTGTATTCCTTGACGAAAGACTGTTGTTTTTTTGTTTGTTCCAACTTTGAAGCAATGTTCGTCTTCAACCCGCGTTGAATCATGGTCTTTTACACCTGTCATCCATGTTATCCAGGGCGTCGAAAGGATGCCTATTCTGTTCATTACCTGGATCTGGGACTTTGATCCAATCGCACGCAGCCATTGTGATAGGAGCTAGCATGCAGCTGGTCCCCGTCCCTAAAACCCTACCTCCGTTTGAGGTTCGCTGATCTGCCATCGTTGGAGCCCTCGCTGCCTTGACAGCCCGTGAAGTGAAGTGGGTGGCGGTGAATTGGCTACCTGAGCCCTCCAGGTGAATGGACTTCCAGGTTAATAAAATTGCATTGTGCACAAAGTGAATGGAAACTTTGACTGACTATAATTCTAGGACGTCCTTCTCGAGTATAAATTCTGCTACTAGCAATTTCAGCAAGTCATCCTCTCAACATGAAAATCACTTGCTCCAACTACAGCATTCTGAACCCAATTCTACAAACCCGGTCTCTTCGCCATCGTCCAAGATATCAAGGATCCCGGCCGGAGGTAAATCCGACCAGATTTTGACGATCTCGTTCACAATTCTTACTCATTTACTACGACCTTCCGCCTGAATACGCCATCATGACCAAGCACAGCCGGGACCGCAATGTCAAGCGAGGTATTATTCCTCGCCCCAGCGCCAACGAAGATCCCAACGCGCTTAAGAGTGCCGGTGTCCAGCAGGCTCAAGCCGGTATACCCCCATCGGAATTACTCCCTCTCTCACCATGATCATGACCAACTGACTATGCCACAGAACTGCAAGGCTACCTGACAAAAGATGCAGTACGCATAGCCCGGGCCATCACAATCAAACGCGGATACGACTGGACAAGCGATCAAAGCGGCAGAGCTCTGGAACGGGCAGCTTACAGTGACTCGAAACGTCTGGCCGCGGTGTTGCACCGTCGCGGCGTCGTGGCATCCCAGCCGTGTCAAGATTGCCTCTCGAGAAATGATAGGCCCTGGCAATCCTGTGTTGTGTCGCCGACAGTAGGCGGGAGGGTGTTTCAGGGCGGGTCGTGCAGTAATTGTCTTTTTAGGCATCGGGGATATGCTTGCAGTCATCGAATCGATAAGGGGAGTAACGAGGCTTCCGCGGCTTGGTGAGCATCTTGTCAACCCCGTTTATCCGCTCGTCCCCCACTAACATTCCTCGGCAGTCTCTCCATGCAAGACACCACTATCCAACCCACCCCTCGTTGGCAAGATGTGTCGAATACGGTTGCCCCTAATGAGGTTACGTCTCCTTTAATACTCCGTCGCAACCCCGATTCCACGCCACTGCAGTGGCGCACACCAAGTTGGAAGGGTGCAGGGACGGTGACGGCTGCACAGCCAACTTTGAACCCCTCCGAATCACCGCCCTTTTTAACTGCATCGACTGCCACCCATACGCTCACGACTCACTCAGCCCCTGGCTCCCACCTCGCCTCGATGAAGTGCAATATCCCTCCGCCTAATGTCCCTCCTCGTCATCTCTCTCCCGTTTCGAAGACGTCTCAAACCTTAACACCCAAACCTGTTTTTGCGACGCCGATGACATATTCTCCGCCACCCTCTAACAGCCACGCTGAAACCCTTCCCCACCCATCCTCAATTACCGCATCCCCCCAGACCTTCCCGGCAAACTTGACTATGCACCCCGCCACATATACTGGGCAGCTGCTCCACCTCCCTCTAACCGGCACCGCGATGAACGACCCTAGACAGCTTTTCCGCGCACGATCTGACCTAGCGCGGCTTATCGCAACCGTGGATGGCCGCCTTCGCGAGCTGGGCTATTGTAACGAGGATTGGCGGCGCTCGATATACTCTGTTGGAGAAGATCCGGCGGAGGAAAGGGCCTGAGGTGAAGTCGTCTGGCGTTCGGAGACGGCTCTTGGTATGTCCTTCTTCAGGGCTTCTCTGCGGTGGATGTTGGTTGCGGTGGGGACTGCTTCATCTCCTGCACTAGTCGGTATCATAACTTTTGTTTCCCGAGTCCTCACCTTGAGGATTGCTTTTTCTTTCGCTATCACGGGTCTCAGGACTACTCAGTGACGCTCGCGGTCAGAGTTTACGAGCTCCTACTCCTGAGAGACAGCGACCCCCGTTACTATATGAGACTTACCGCCCTGAAAGGTTGTATTGGATGACCGTACTGAGTCATTTAGCATCAACGCAATCCACCCGGCTGGTTCCCGAATTTGGACATTGTGAGGTTGGTATGTGCTGGAGAAGGATGCATCTGCGAGCTGACTGTGGTTTTGGCTGGCGTCTTGGAGGGTGGCGTGTGAGTATCTTTGGTGCGGCATAGATAAATCACTGAGACGGGCTTCGCTGGCGTTTGGCGCAAAGGAAGGGTTTTCATGCTTTGGTGGTATGAACAGGGTTGTTTATTGCCTTCTTGAGGGATCATCGTGATAGAGCAAACAAGGATCAGTTGAGGCAAGATATGGACAGCGGCGCTAGGAGATTTTCTTATGAAGAAGGAACAGAATTTGTTGCGACGTGTTATTCCCCATATCAGGCGTATATCATGAGTTTAGTTACATTTTCTCCCTCCAACCCCAAACGCCAACTCGCTGTCCTAGATCAAGTCACCACCACCCCTCCGCATGACGCCCCCCATCCTCAACCCCCTCGCCAGACTCCGACTTCTCGCCCTTGTCGCCACACTGTTGGTTCTGAACGTCCGTACAGCCTCAACAGCCTCCTCAGCTGGAACATCCATCCCAACACCCGCCATGCGCAACTCATTCTCAGATAGCGAAGTCCAGCCGCTCAGCGGCGGAGAAACCTGCACGAAGTCGTACGGGACTTGGATGCTCAGACATTCCTCGCATCCCCCCTCCTCCTCCTCCTCTTCTTGAGCAAGACCAGGGTCAGGACCAGGACGAAGAGAAGACCGATCCAGCCTCCACACAACCGAAACAACATAATAATCCAACACCCCCGGCCTATCTGGCGTCTCATCGCGAACCCACCGTCTCCCACCGAACATGCTACTCCCACTCCACCGACTAACACTCACATCCTGCGCCGTCGCACGAAGGACCCCGCCATCCCTTCGCCGAAACACCCACCCTGCCACCGCCTGCCCAACAATACAATCAACCTCCCCCTTCCGCCTCTCAACTGACTCGAAATCCACCACAAACCGCACAACACTCTCTGGGAACCGGACCCGATTCACCCACGTCGCACTAACCCGCAGGGGCTCATTCCGCTCCCAGTGCCAGAAGTCCGTGTACCGCAGGGTCAGCGTGACACTGCGCGGCGCGAAATGCTCGATATCGAAGAGGTCTTGGAGCGCGGACCCGGGCTCCAGCATGTACAGCTGCGCGAAGATGTGCAGGGGGCCCGTGTGCATCTGCATCTCGCTCATCCCGCGCCGCGCGTGCATCTCGTGGATGTGTTTGAGGAATCCCTCAAACGCGCGGCGCTCGATGCGGCCGCCGCCAATGCGTGGTGGCGCGCGCTCGTCGGCCGTCAGGTAGAAGACTTGTTCGGCAAAGGCAAGCGGCATCCACCAGCCCTCGGCGTAGGCGAGCTTACATGTTCGCAGGAGCGCAGTGTGGGTTTTTAGCGGCGCGGAGTACCCCGGTCGCGCCCAGTAGGTTTCGCGGTTGTAGGCGTGGGATGGATCTGTGTCTTCGCATTGCGTGAGGGTGTAGGTGAAGATTTGGTGGCGGAGTTCGGGGGGGAGGGTGCTGAAGAGCGGGGATGTTGGCTGTGGGGAGGTGGTGGTGAATGAGAGCGGGGTGAGGATGGGATCTTGGGTGTGTTCGGCGGAGGACATGCTTGACTTTGTTTCTTTAGGGATGATTTGGTTGTTGGGGTGGTGAGGTTTGGATGGATGAATGAGGAGAGTCGAGGTGAGGCTCCTATATTTGCGGAGTTAAGGTGCGGGGCTGTGGTTGCGGTTGCCTGGTGGGGTTGATGCCTGGCTCATCTGCAATGCTTCAAGGATGCAAGGACCGGCTTGAATCAAGAAAGGAAATTAGAATTCAAGACCATGAATCGCTATCTATCGCTATAAGAACCAAGGAAAAAAGTTTATCAATCCGTCCATGCTCATCGAAACTCGATCAACCAAAACCGCTTCAGCTGAAATGCGGCGCATTCAGAACAAGCCCCATGGTGACACCACCCAGGGTTCCAGCAATGGGAATCGTCATGATCCACGCAATAACCAAGAGTCCAACACGCTGCCAGTTGACAGCCTTGAAGGTGCCATTGCACAGTCCAACACCGACCGTCGCGCCCGTAATGCACATGGAGGTAGAGACGGGTAGTTTGTATTGCGAGAAGATGAGGACGGTGATTGCGGCGCCCATTTCCATTGAGCAGCCGCGGCTAGGGGAGTGGTAGGTGATTTTGTTGCCCATGACTAGATAGAAGAGTTAGCTGGTTGTTAAATAAGTGGAGGGTGGTGTGTGAGGGGGTGCGAACCTTTCATGATGTTGTACCCGTAGGTGATAAGACCGAGGGAAATGGTCGCGGAGAGGACAGCCAGCTGCCACACGGCGACGTCGGCTTCCGACTCAGCTGCGTTTCCAGTCTTCCACGCGCCGTAGAGCACAGCCCAGGGACCAACCGAGTTACCAATGTCGTTCGCTCCGTGCGCAAAGGACGCAGTGCAGGCAGTAAGGATCTGAATGAAGGAATAGGTGTGTTCAACCTCGTTGGGATACTTCTTTGCGTGCGAGTACACCCGCTCCATACGGTCACCTTCAGGAGTGCCATGGATACCGCTCTGCGCGGCGTGGATATCGTAGTGAAGACCATAGAGCGCGCCGACGACAATCATGCAGGGGATGCGCTTGAGAAGGATCTTTATGTTCTTGATCTCGTAGATTTCACCAGCCTGCATCGGGTTCTCGTGCAACGTCCGCATCGCCCAGGCAAGCGGGCCGCGGCCCTTGCGGAGCTTCGCGTGGAACTTCTCTTCCGCCTGCGCCAGGAGCAGCTTGTAGTCGACTTGGGCTTCGGCGGCGCTGACGGATTTCTCGTTGACCTGTGCAGCCTTGGGGAGAGCCTCCATCGTGGGAGAAGCGACAATGGTATCGGGGGAGCCAATATCGTTGAGGTCCGGATCGTGCTGGACGACGGCGTAGTCCGGGACGAGGGCGACGGCGCGGTCGGCATCAGCGGGGTAGGGGCGGCTCCAGAGGAGTGGGCCCATGAAAACGTGGAACCATTTGATCGAGCCGTCGCGCTTGATTACCCTAGCGTGTGCCCAGGGGACGAAGAACAGCGCGGAGAGGAGACAAACGCCGCCGCCGGTGCCCATGGTGACCGCGGCAATATACCAGGCGGGCTTCTTCTTCAGGCCAAGGTTGGGGGAGCCCTTGTACACGATGGAAAGTGTGCAGACGGTCGCGGCGACAAGGAAGAAGAAGGGTGCGGTCCAAATAGCCCACGGGATCGGGTTCTTGCGCATGTGGACCACGAGCTTGATCAACATGAAGATGATCGCTCCAAAGCAAGCAGCAATAGCGGGTGCCATTCCAAGACCAGCGAAGATGGCTCCCAGGCCCTGGCCGCCGTTCCAACCCCACTGAACCTGGGACGCTCCGACTGTGGCCACACCAACGCCAGCAACGGCGGAAATCAAAGTGTATGTAGAGGAAACGTGTGCGGAATGGCGTGTACACCACATGACCCAGGAGGAAGCGGCAGCAAGTGCACAGGTAAAGGCAAGCATCTGCACACCTGCGTTACCCTGGAAGGCTTCGTGTGGGATGATTCCATTCTTGATTGTATCAGCTGTGCGGGCACCGACGGTGATAGCTCCGAGCATTTCGAATATCGTGCCGAAGATCATGGCCTGGCGATAGCTGATCGAGCGGGAGGAGACACTAGTAGCCCATGCATTGGCCACATCGTCTAGAGACGTTAGTACGGATCGATGGTGGGGATATAGTCGAACATACTTGCACCGTTGTTGTAGGCATCCAACATGGCAAAGAATGTGCCGATGACGAACACATAAGTGTAGTCGGAGAGGACCATCTTGACGGTCAATGAGAGAAGGATGAAAGTGATGGGGGAGTTGTCTGGCTGGGAGAGAAAGAAAAGAGACAATATCAAGCGGGCAAATGGAGGGTTTTATGTGTCCTGCGGCGGGAGGAAAACGTACAGCGGGTGGACTGTTACCCCCCCACGTGCGGAACTGTCTCGCTGTGGCCGCAGGAGCAAAATCCAGGTTCGGAGCGGGACGACAAGGGCGAGATTGGCCGGTTGGAGGAGTAGTGCCAGAGGTGTCGCGTGCCCCAGGGGACTGTGGCGTTGACAGAGTTGCGCTAGTCCAGCAGTGATTTTAGCCGCAGATCCAGCCAGTCGCAGCAGTCTTGCGGAGGGGCATCTGGAGTCGCCGATACCCCACAAATGACAGGAGAGGCTGCCATTGTGGCAAACCGGTATCTTGTGCATCTTTCCCATTCACTCTTCGTGGAGACTGCACTCGGATACGATCATATCCAAGGGGGAAGCTTCACCAGCGGACCGCCCCAGTGGGCGGAATCAAAAATTCACTCGCCCAGCATTGAGCCATTTGTCACGCCAATTGGAAACCGGATGGTTCAAATGACGATAGCCGACGATGGCGCTGGAGCGTGAAAATGCCCGAATACGCAACGCTGAGGCATCCCGCGGACAGAAACTTGGGAGAGAGCACGTTCCCTTCTTGAGGCTTGTCATTCGCCGTTGAAAACTCAATCCTCGGTTGTTCTAGGCTTCGTCGACGCCATGCAGCTTGGCAGGCTCGGCGGTGTCTGGGCGAAGAATGGGTGGTGGCCATTTGCGAGTGCGGGTCCAAATGTGGTCTTGGCGGATGGAGCGTCCCGACCAACGGGAGTTGCGGATCTTCCCACGTGTGGCCTCTTCCGCCTTTTGCTGGAGATCAAATGCCAAGCCTTCCGCGGAATGCTCCAATCGCTCGCCATGTCTGCGCTCAGCCTTCAGGGTCAAGGAGGACGAGAAAAGCTAAGGCTACATTCCGGTGCTTCATGTCCGAGTACCACTCAGATCGTCCGCCGAGTTCTTGTCCAGGATGCGCGATTTGTCTTGACTAATGACAAGCATTTCAGATTTACTGGGCGGACGCATCCATTCTTGGGTTCATAGAGGCCAAGTCTGAGAGATGAAATCAAGACCTCCAAAGTGTTGTCGAGCCGCGGACGGCTTTTCTGGACGTGTGTGACGCGAAAAGGGATCATCTGAGCGCCTCTTGCGATCAAAGGAGCTCGTTTTCGCGAGGCGGCAGCTCCGAGCGCCTGGCTTCGGGGCAGCAGCTGGGCGTGGGATGTCCGAAGTTTGTGGAAGGCTTCTAGAAGTTCTAGTGCAGGAAGCCTTGCCGGTTTTGGAGGGATTCGCCCTGACATTCCCATGTTTGGATGTCAGCTGCGTGTGCGCTAGGCCGATGCACAGGGGTCATTGGTGCAGATCGTCGTACGGTAAGCTGACGGCGTGATGCAGGGATGGGACCCAGCGAGCAGCAGTCCAATTTCGCACTTTCGGACATGGCCTGGTTTGGAGTGCGTCATGCTGCATGCATGCAAGCTCCGACAGGGGTACAAGGTCGGTTTGATATCAGGCTGCATATGCATGAGCGATTGAGGATCGAGTTGGAATCGACGCCAAATGGAGCGATATTGCCATGCAGTATGTCGTCTCTCCACGTGCTGTGCGAGAGCTTCATGATATGCAAGTCAAGTTGGCCGGTTTCTTGGCCCAGATGCGAGTATACAGATGAGCTCTTTGTTCGGCCAGTACTTGTGATTGGCGGCCACCAAAGGATTTTCTCGTAGCTAAACTCGAGCAACTCGACAGGATCAGGCCGACCTAGACTGTGTGGCGGTGATTGTGGCGACGTTAAAATCTCTGTCGCTAAGCTACAGATTCTTTTGGCGTAATTATCGGAGCTGATAGCGAACGAGAAACCTTTCGATGGCGGTCGTTTGACAGTGATTCATCTGGACCGCCAAACAGATACGGCGTGATGTCTCCCGAGTTCGGCAAGACCGCGAGTCTGCGGCAGGCTTCTGAGAGCTCAAACTGAAGGGTCCGGCTCAAATCCTCGTCTGGTCAGGTCTCGCAATCGGGCAACTCTAGCCTCGAAAGGTCGTGTTGGGTGTCCTCCTCGTACGCGACATTTATCTGACGAGTCCCAGCAGCCGGCTTAGGTTGGTGGCTGAGCGCTTGTCCCACGCAGCCCTGGGTTTCGTCCAGGCGAGTGTGAATGCGACAGTCTGGAGGGGTCGTGCTTCCTCCATTGGATGACAATCCTCATTACCTGTCGCTAGCGCGCGTGGCCTAAATCACCCGAGCATCACGAATGGTGCCCTATAGAGCATGCGTTGAGAAACAATGTAGCCATGTAGGGCTTCCGAGCAGATCGGATGAGAAGACAGACTAAGCACCTTCCATCGGAGTCCACCAAAGGAAAGTCCTCGGTACGGAATCCGGACGAGGTACGGGCGTTGATCTCGATAAGCAGGAGAAGTCATCTGATAATGATATCCGCGTTTCCCCTTGCTGTCTGCAGAAAGACTTCTCACAACCACCAGGTGATTACCGCGACTGAATCCCGTTGACCTGTGAGTCGAGTCGACTCATCCGCGCTAATCAGATCTGGGGGAGTGTAGAACTCAGGTTAATTCCTTTTTCCCCAAGCGCGTATAGAATAGGGTCCCATGACTAGTAGGATTGCCGTAAGTTTGTAAGGTAGTCATAGTTAACTTGGGGATATAGATGGCGATGGTCAAGCGACTGTGGAGAAAGAGTCATTCAACAGTCACGCCTCCTTTCGGCCTTGTGTTGATTCAAAGCTAGAAAGCCCGCACATTTCTTCTATCAGGAATTGGCTTTGAATTCGTAGCAACGAGTTAGACGAGGAGCGATAGTCGTTCTTTTGCTCCTCAAAACGCGTGGAGATGGTGGTCGAGTGGGACGATTGGTAGGATGAGTGGGTGGAAGATTGTTCCGAACCCCGAACGCGGAGTTGGTCACGAGTCAGATTTCGGACTGTCGAGATCTGATCACGTGCCTCGACCAGAACAAAGCGCAACATGGCATTGTCTCTTCGGAGACCACAAGCTAAAGCATCAAACATTCGCTATCGAGATGAATTGTTGAGATTATCAATCAGGTTGAATAGCATGTGATATGAAACAGCGTCCTCGTCCTCCATTGAACGCAATTCCCATTCACTCTGAGTTTCCTGCAGATATATATTTTGGAAGTGGCTGCTAGCACCAGGCCATGAATACAAAGGCAAGCCGGACAAAAGCATGCTTTATAAGATAGAGTACTGGAAGCAGAGGATATAATGGAATTCACTTCCAAGAAGAACTTGCACAGCTTCTTTCTTGATGAATGGCAATGGAAACACGCAATGGACCGTCAGACTAGACAGAAAATCCCAGAACTCGTCGAGACAACACAGTTTTCCAGTCGCTCGGGTCACCGAGCGATAAAACTGAGCTCTCAGTTGCCAACAACAGCAGGGCGTGAAGCTTGGATGCGTTCCTTGATCAAATCGTTCCGACAAGGACCAGAGGAACGGCCAATTTATCCCCATCAACGATCAAACCTAACCAGCGCCTTGTTTCGAGTCCCAGGAGTCCAAAACTGCTACTCCATAGTCGCTCGGTCTCCCAGGGTCCATGGGTCCACGACCAGATCACTCAGCGGCCCGACCGGTGAAGATTCCGAGGATTTTGCCGAATCGATCAATCGCAGACAAGACTTTAAGGGAGAGTGAGAGCTAGGAGACCGATGGATCCAGCAGCGTTGCGCTCGCGGTGGAGCAAATACTACTTCAGAGTACACTCGGCGGGTCGTCGCGGATTCGCGGGTGCGTTTCAGGATCCTTAATCCAGGGCCTGGGCGCCTCTGAGCTGCCATCCCCGCAGATGGTGAGACCACGGCAGATTACCCATGCTACCAAGGGGTTCACCACGGATCCTGGTCCCTTCATCAACCAAGTTTCGCTGAAGAAGATATGGAAACTGCTAAGCGCCTTGCGAGGCAGAGATAGGGGTGGGCGCGTATAAAAGGGTCGGAAGGGAACCAAAGACGATGAGTTTTCACTGCTGGTCGCCAGACGCTCATTACATTCATTTTTCTCTTCATTAAAAACACTCGTTATACTTTTCAAGATGCGGGCTGGAACTCGGCATCTTCCGCTCTTTTTGTCGTGCCTCGAGCTGGCTCAGGCGTTTTTCAAGGTCCCCTGCAGCAACCCATTGGTGGTTGAGCGGGCCGATCCGATTGTGAACCCTGGGCTTGTCGCGGGCCACGTCCATACCATTATGGGTGGTTCGGGATTCGGGTTCACCATGGATTACAACCAGACTCAGGAGTCGCAGTGCAGTTCTTGTGCGCCAATCGCAGACAAGTCGAATTACTGGATTCCGTCGCTGTACTACCAGGCCGAGAACGGGAGCTTTACACCCGTTCCACAGAATGGGGGAGCTCTGATTTACTATCTGTAAGGTCTCTTTATTCGAAATAGGTAGTATACTAATCTGAGCAGGCAACGCCCCGAACCTGGAAGTGATACCGTCCGCGCCCCTCCGAAAGACCTGCGCATGCTCGCCGGGAACCCCCTCGACCGCGAATACAAAGATACCCGGGAAGCCGAAGCCCGTAGCTACGCGTGCCTCGACTATACTGGCGGAGCGAAGCCCGAAACAAATGGTCTACCAAACTATAACTGCCCCAATGGCCTTCGCGGCCAGGTGTTCTTTCCCTCCTGTTGGGACGGGAAGAACTACGACAGCCCGGACCACAAGTCTCACATGGCATATCCCATCGAAGCCTACAACAGTGGTACATGTCCAGAGTCGCACCCCGTCAAGATCGTTTCGATTTTCATCGAAGTTATCTGGCACACGGAGTACTTTGCCGATATGTGGTATGGCGATAGGCAGCCGTTTGTGTTTTCGAATGGAGACCCGACTGAGTATGGGTTGCACGGCGACTTTGTACGTTCCACCACGTCGAATTTGTATTTACGCTAATGATCCATGATGCAGGTCAACGGCTGGGACATTGATATCCTCCAAGAAGCCCTCGACACGTGCGACGACCTAAACGGCGACATCAAGAACTGCGCCGCACTCACGCTCTACGAAGACTACATGACCGAAGGCTGCCTGCTGGAAACCTCCATCCCCGAACCCGTCTCCGGCTGGCTCCCCTCCCTCCCAGGCTGCAACGCCGTTCAATCTGGTCCCGGGGACGCACAAGCAACCAAAAATTGCACCACGGCGCCAACCGAAATCGACATCCCGCAACACTACTACACAGACGTAACCGCCTCTCTCGAATGGGCCTGGATCGGATGCACACGCGACAACGTCGACGGGCAGCGCGTTCTCTCAGAGGCAAGCACCAGCGCCGACGACATGACCGTGCAGAAATGCATTGCCTTCTGTGACGGCAAAGGGTATACCTATGCGGGGCTCGAGTATTCGCGCGAGTGTTATTGTGGGAGTAGTATTTCGCCCGAGCACGAGCCGGCCGTTGCGCCGATGGGCAAGTGCCTGCATCCGTGCAGTGGGAATCCGGGGCAGAATTGTGGTGGAGCGGCGTATATCGGGGTTTACCAGGCTTGTGGGGAGAGTTGTGAGAATTTGGTGTATCCGGCTGTCCCTGTTTGAGCTCGATCGCTTGAGGATTGTGGGTTCTCGTGGATGGTACTGGGAGTTGGGGTTGTTGGAAGCCTGGTCTCCCTTTCACTTCGAAAAGACGTTTAGCGCTGTACGTGTGGCCCTTTCCTTTATAGGAAAGAGCCGTCCAGTGGTTTCTTCTTTCTTTTCTCTCCCTTAGCAGGTAGTTAGACCAATGCGTCGTTTCTTTGTCATGGCCTCTTCCATCAGGGGTATGGTCCGCAAAGATTGAAAGGAAGAAGTTATTTACCAGCATGATAGAATCTTATCGAGATCTTGACTACTACCCTGGGACTGTTGCCGATTGTGGATTCAGGCTTTTCTGGTGGTTTAGGAAAGTTAACTCTCGAGAACCCGTGAATAGGCTATTCTGGAGATATGAAGTTGGGGATGGAGTACTATAGGTTTTGGACACAAAGATTTGACCCTGAGGCTGGCGTCAAGGTTATTTCGCACGAGGGACGTGCCGCTGGCGCAGCTGGGCGGCATCTACTGCTTGTTTCTCTATAGAGCGCCGTCTACAACCCGCGCAATATTGCTTGGTCTTCTCCAGAATGGACAGGAAGGTTGCGAGCGACATTTGGGCTCGTTGTTGTTACTGAATATCATGTGGTCCTACCCTAAGGATATCGTATTGCTTCTCGAAACTCACATTGCCCCTTGGATCTTTTAGCAAGCGCCCCCCCTTGGGTAAGAAAGCATCGCTTCTCTCAGCACCCAAGTGTGCCTCTTTAAGGGACATATTAGGTCACGTTACTAAAGTTTTCTTAACCAATTAGATTGAGGGAAGGTTTTGCCAAGAAATAACCAAACTTACCTAGCAGTTGAACTACATCACGTGACAAAGAAACGCTATCTCACCTGCTCACTGGGCGCGCAATGATCAAGTTGTGCAGCTGCACTAGAAGCGCATAACTTGTACGGAGTGTTTCTCTGAAGTATGCAGATACGATCGGGCTGTTATTGATCAACCAACCTTGGAAGGTTGTCAAGTAACTTGGAACATGGAAACTTGAATTCAGTCTACAGAGTACGTAAAGCTTACTCAGCTGGCCGCTGCACTCCAGACACGGTCTATTCTCGCAACCTTGGAACTTGTAGATCATGATGTATGTTGTGGGGTAGAAACGCCAAGATAGCGGGTGAGATTGCTTAACTGTTAAAGGAAATCGTATAGGAGAGACAGGAGATTACAACAAAAGTATTCTGACTTTAGTAGTTGCTGGCACTTGAGGTCAAGTTCGGTCGCGTCTTCTCACAAAAGGCGGTGTGGCAAAGCTGAGGGCGATCTGGCGCGGCGACCGACAAACCTTTGCTCCACGCTTCCACGACTCTCCTTCTTCTGGGCTTCAGTCACTGTGAGCCTCTTCAGACTTGCGCACATTCTCAACCGATCACCCCCCAAGTCTACGGTGTATTGACATTTCACCGTCCGAGGCAACTAGCGAAATACCGGTCGTTCCGAACCCACTTTTCCCCGCGCGAGATCGATTGGCTTGTGTGGCTGGCAATGGCGAGCAATCTCAGACTCCAGAGGCAATGGACCCATGTCGGCCAAGTTCTTTCCGGCTAGGCTTTGCTGTCTGCGCACCGAATGCCATATCGTCGCCTTGTGACTGGAGGATGCCATTCCCGATTTCGGGCATTCACAGCCACGGTCGGGATGCAAATCCACTTCTTGACGGACCGGATGCTGGCACAACGGTGTTTCTCTGGCCAGACCTCAACATCGTTCGACGAGCCCAGGTGTCGCATGGATGGGAATCACAATTTTATCCACCTAAGTCGCGCTTGCCGCTCGAACCGACTTTGAATACTCTGCCTACTGGGGATCGTCTCGACGGTCGCAAAACGCCGTATCGGGATGCTGGAATGCGTGCGATTGGAAACTCACCCCTCTTTTGCCGGAGCTTTGGGAAACGCAACGAGCAACGGAACGAGAGGTAGCAAGCATGGCATCGCCGGAATGCTAATGGCTGAACTGGACCGGGCAGGCTTGCTTGCTATGAAAAAGCCAATGCAGTTCCTAGTCATCTTCACAAGGTCCTTCTCCTCGATCGCGGTCTGGATGTGCTGGAGTGGACCGACGTAGCCGAGGGTTTGTTTCGATCGATAGATTCTGAAAAGGACGGGGCGGGGTCGCTCCCTACGGTCACTGTCAGGACGGCTTACCAGGAGCAGCTAGGTGGCTCGATTTGAAGTTTAATAGATGGGGAATAACGATGTTTAGAGCTTTTTGAAGTAATGGAAGCAATTAGCAGGCATGACTCCTCATAACATATCCGGAAGGCCTAGCACTTACCATACCGGGAGTGTTCACTTCCTTGATTGTCACCTCGAGGGAGCGTGAGGGGTCGTCTGACACTGGGATTGTGAATGTGGCGAGCTCCCTTGGACTGACTGGGTCTCTAGTAGCTGCCCGCTCAGGTATGGGGACATCAAACTGGAACCGGAGTCTCTTCTCCGGCGGCTGCGAGTCGCGATTGGTGGCTGTTGTTACACAGTGAGCACTGATCAGGAACCTGATGCTCCAGATTCACTCACCTCTGGGACAAGTCAGCTTGACTTGCCCCTCCAACCATTCCATATCTGGCTCTGCGCCCTGGGCTGAGAACAGCATGCATGATTAGCTACGGGGACGCGAGGGGCTGGGTCTTGCGTGACCTACTGTTATCCGCATGGTTCTCGATGGCGAACACAACAGGACCGTTGAAGGTCTGATTATACGCCTGGTTCATAACAGGTTTGTAGTTGTTGATAGTACCATACATGTTGCTGCAGCGAACTTTGATCCCGACGACAGAGGTAAGGTCTGGTTGGTAGAAGCGCGCAGAAGGTTGCCATTCTCTCGTTGGTCTACGGTGCGGTGGTGGCACTGTACCTACAGCAGCTTTGTGTATTGCGTTCACCACCAGGCTTTCAGGAGCCACTTCACAAAGAGGTTCAACAACCGTACCTCTTTCCTCTAGCCATACGGCTGCTCATCCTGCTTCTCTCTCAGTAGAAAGCAGAGCTTCAGCTTCACCGTCTCCTGAAGTTGTACGGACCCCCGTGGCAGTCTGGATCAAAATCGTGCTCAGCCCAACCCCTCTCTCCCATCCCTGAGGGTATGTGACCAAACTTGCTGCTCGGCTTCACTCGAAACCTCTGGAGCCACATCCTACTGCTATATCTGCTTGAATGCTAAGTGCCTTGCATCCTCGCAGTCTTTATGTAGTGTAATGGCTCTGGACCTCTGGAATTACCTGCAAACCTGGCTTGGGGGAGTTCTAGCTGCTTCCGCAAGCCATCATTTACCCTTTTTTTTAGTGTTAATAAGCGGGGTTGTTTGTCTCTCAATTAATATTCTCCCCTGATTAGTCTTTGAAAAAGTAGTCACGTTGATTACTGAACCAGGCTGAAAATATTTGGATCCCGGCGATGAGCTGGCAAGAGGGCATTGGATTCTCACGGCACACTGGCAGGCGGGGCTATGGAAATCGCGATGTTAACAAGAAGAGGCACTTGTTTCGCGGACTTGTGGCTCTTTAATTTCATTCCTATAAAATAGAGTGATTACTTGGTGCTGGATTCTTTATTCTAACTTCTTTCATCTGTTTTCTTCCCCCATCACAGCTCAAAACTACTTTCCATTTCTGAGGCCTTCCATTCGTGTGATCCTTAAAATAGTAATCAACTGCAATGGCGCGACCTAATAACCACAAGGCCTTCCGCGTGGCCTTCAGCTTTGCGTTACCAGTCGAGAGTAATGCTTGCGAGTGCATGTTTGACGAGGTGTGGGAGGATATCCCCAATCCGCCAGGTGATGACCACAGAAATAGGTACACATTTGGGCGCATTGGGGATCTCCCAGTGGTTTTAGCGTACGGCGGGGGCATGGGGAAGACTAGGGCGGCGACCGTGGCCACATCCCTTGCCCTAAACTTCCCCGATATCGAAGTGGGTTTCCTAGTCGGCATTTGTGCAGCCGTTCCCATCATCCGTAAAGGCAGTGAAATCTTCCTCGGCGACGTTGTCGTCAGCACCGGTGTCATACAATATGACCTGGTACGTCAATACCAGGACATGGAGATCACGAAAGACGGCTTGAACGAGAGACTGGCCTGCTACCGTCCGTCAATGCAGAAGTTTATCCACCAAGCACAGGGCCAGTGGGCGCTCCACAAGCTGCTTGAAGAGACTGCTGCCAAAACCGCTACCCTCGGGACCGAGAAACATGGTAAGTATAAACCGCCAGGGCCAGAGTTTGATGTTGTCTTCGATCCAAAATACCTTCACTGTCACCATGCTCCAACCGGCTGCGAAATCTGCGACCCAAAGAACGACGTAGTGTGTGACTTCTCACGGACGGCATCGTGCCAGCACCTGAATTGTGATACCAAGGAAAACCAACGTCTGCGCCCGGGCACCTCTGTTGCCAATCCCCAGATTCATTTTGGAGTTTTCGGGTCTGGGGATCGTGTCCAGAAATCTGGGGCACATCGGGACGACATTGGCGAAAAGCATCCGGACATCGTGGCATTTGAGATGGAAGGGGCAGGGGTGTGGGAGACGATACCCACGATAATAGTTAAAGCCGCGTGTGACTATGGTGATAGTCACAGGGAGAAGAGGTGGCACCCGTATGCGGCCTTCACAGCTGCTTCGTGTGCAAGGGCCCTGATATTGCTGTGGGGAAAGCGCGATGATTTGCCCTCTCCTGAAAGCGATGGTACCCCAGTCGCGACCGATGACAGGTTCTTGTGGGTGAGTACAAATCAATACTTCATGTTCTGTTGAGAAGGCCAACGTTTATTGATCCGCAAACAGAACCAGTACGCTGGTACCTTCAGGAACCACAACTCGCCGGTGGCGAATCAGGCATTCAATCAGAATATCAGCGGCGGCTTCACCATTCCCTTCAATTTCGGCGCCCCCCAAGGACCCGGCGAGCGGTGACGGAGCGGAGGGTTGTTTCTCCATGGGATGACTTTTGAGAGCCAGATGGGTGTTGGTCGGCATGGGAAGTGTTCGGGCTGCATATCCGGTCATCAAACCACCACCTTCTCTGCCACGATGAGACTGCCCGACATTCATCCTTTGTTCAGGCACCTACTGTCGATTTCCTCAGTATAGCCCTCTGCTCCTAGTCAACTCTGTCTGCCCTTGGCATTGTGCTGTTTTGCTGTAAACTGTAGGATCTGTTCGCTTTCCATCCCGCCATCATTAGAAAGGCGTCTTCTACCGACATCACCACTGGTTCACTTGGGTATTGGTGAGCGTATCCCTGGCCTCTGATGCGACGCACCCAAACTGATCTCATGCATCCTTGACGTTCGATTGGACTTCAACCTTGAAATCCCGGCGCCTCGCAATGACGACCCCTCCTCCGGCACCCGCACTACTACCTGGTTGAAGATATAATTATACATGACCGATTACAAATACATGTGAGTGGACAAAACAAGACCCAAAACCATATTTCTGACATGACTAGATTACTGATTTGCACATCAACGAACGCCTCTGAACGGAAAGACGAGGTAAAAAACGCCGCCCGCGGCGCAGAATTGCAGCACCATATGTTATATGTGAGAATATTCTACTCGCGTATCCCGCATTACTGGCTGACGTCCGCTGAGTTAGGAGTCTTGAATGATTTGACTTGCGCTTATTGTCGAATACTCGTACTCGAGACGCCGGCGCATCAAGGGAAGTTCATGAGGATGTAGACGCCGCCCGTGATGTTCTGGTTATTGCTTGAGTACCGACACTGCCGCCATAATTCTCGAAGACCGCACTCTCCCCGTCGTCATTGTCATCGTCATCGCCATCATCCTCGCCCTCGTCACCATCCGCAGGTTCTCGCACGGTCCCCCAGGTCGGGTGGCTCGCGTTGCCAATAACTGTACCATGATTGCGGAAAATGGCACGGCCACGGCGGCGGCGCCTTTGTGTTCCTCTGTCGTCGCCGGCAGCGGGAGCAGCAGTAGCAGCAGCAGCAGGGGTACTTCGTTCAGGCCCACAGCCCACGTAGAAGGTTGCGCCTCGCAAGTCTTCGGATCCTAGAGACTGGGTTCCCACGTTGGATGTCCTGCCCTGAGAGTCTTGGGGTCCTTGAGAGTAGCTCCCCACTCTGAATACCCTGCTCCCCGGGGCCGGAGGCTCTGGCGATTGACAATCCAGGTAGAATGTGGTGCCCTGCATGTCAGGGGTCCCCGCAGATTGAATACCCACAGTTCCATGGTTGGCGAACTTCATGTTGCCAATGCGAAAGTCATCGTTCTTCGGCTCAATGTTGCCGCCGGGTCCGTGATCGTCAAAAACGGTACGGGAACCGCGGCTGCGCTTTCGGGTGTCGGTCTCGTCGTCAGCAGCAGAGGGGCTACTGCGCTTGATCCTGCTAGGGGGTGGCCCCACCCTGGCTACAAAGCCGCCCTCGGCGATGACCTCGGACAGAAGCTGGGTATCCTGGTCTCCTTCCTCTGCTAATCGGAGCTGCGCCTCCCCATCCGCGCCTGCATGCAGAAGCATTCTCAGCATGTTCTTATCACGCGTCGCGCGCATTGCGGCAGCCAGCGGGGTACCTAGGCTCGAATGGCAATGGTTGGGATCCGCTCCCAGCCTGAGGAGGGCTTCAACAACGCCTCCGTGCCCCGCTGCTGCGGCCTTGACCAGCCCGGTATTCAAATCGTTCGAGGTCAGCTCGCCATGGCACTCCGCCGCTGCCCATTCGATAAACTTGAGCTCACCGCGCAAGGCTGCCACTGTGAAGGGGGTGTCGCCAGAGCTGTTTTTGGACTGCCAGTGGGCACCGTAATTCCACAGAGCTCTTGCAGTTTCCACATGCCCTTTCCCAGCCGCAACGTGGAGTGGCGTGTTGTTGCCCAAAGCGTCGGGGGGACCGAGATTCTGACCCATTTCATAAATGTGGACGACGAGGTCTGCCATGTTGGCGCTGCACGCGGCGGATAAGAGTGACCAGGGGGAAATCGAGAGCCCCTGCCCAGATACTACGCGATTGGCCACGGCGAACAACCGCCTCCATTTGGGGAAGATCTGTTGGAGCGCGGCGAGCTCCCGGTGCAGAAAAATCGACGCGGCTCTGCGGTCCCCTGCATGTTTAGCATGGAGGAAGATGCTCTGTGCGGCATACTCTGAGAAGGGCGAGCGCTTGAAGAGATCCTCGACCTCTGCGTCCTGTGGATCCGCGGGGAGATATTGCAGGTATGGGGAACCGTAAAGCCAATGCAAGCATGCACGATAGAGCATGGCGTGGCAAACCAGGTTGTGGGTATCGAAATCTTGATCCTCCTCGAGGTCTTTGAATAGCGCCAGCCGGTTCCAGAGGGGCACGCGGCCGAAGAGCAGGCAGAGACCTCGTTCAAGGAAGAATTCTTTGGCAGATGGGTGGATGAATTGGGGGCACTCTCCGGTTCCATAGGGCGCCGGTCCAGTCTCGAGCAGGCCTCCAGACAAGCGGATGATCCGCCTCTTGGTCTCCGCTTCACTGGCGAAGAGGTGGCGTGTATGCCGCCAAACGGCCCCAAACTTCTTAGGAATGATAGCCTGGATCGCCATCGCAGAAGGCAGCGCAGCCACGGTGAGAGGGTGTTGTGCAAAGCAAACCCATTGAAACAACAGATAGGCGTCTTCGCAATCCGGGTGCTCAATCGTGGTTTCGATGATCCGTCGATACTTGGCCTGTAGCTCTTGAGGGACCTGTCGGAGCAGCTGCTAACCTCGTCAGGCGACCTGCCTTCGAGGATCTTTCTTTTGACCTCCGGCACGACCAGACGGACCCATTGGAAAATCCCCTTTGCGGACGAAATCAGCTGCTGTGTAAGGTTCTTCCACGCCTCCTTGACCTCCACCGGCTGATCGGGGACTAGATCGTGCTTCAAGAGGGCCTCGCGAACGAATGCCTCGATGCTGTCGCCATTGCACTCGTCTACTGCGATTTGGTTGTCTTGGCGGGGGGGTGGCTAGAATCGGATAGTGGCGAGCGGACAGACAGATCTTGCAGCTAAGGTTGTTGGAGGGGAGAGCATCAATGATCTTGTCAAAGTAGCAGGCGAGCTCGGTACCTGTCCGCGCCCCCGCCTGGTCCAGTGCATCCGCAAAGACAGCGACGGGTCGCCTCTGGGCTGCTTCAACAACAGCACGTTGTAACAGGCTCTCGAGTTCCGCCTGTTGCCAAACCACGCTGTCTTTATCACCCCCGACCAGGCCATATTTCTCGACAAACAATTTGCGGATCTCGGGGCGTACAGCCTCGTCCTGGTGGTAGAGCTGTGCGAGCAACGAGCGGAGCAGGTTGGATGCGGTAGATGGCGGCTCCGAGGCCGTGTCATTGAAGAAAAACTTGAGCACGACCTTTCCGTCTTCCTGCGCGGCCAGAGCTAGGAATGACATGAGCGTCGACTTTCCGGATCCTGGCTTGCCTTTGATCCAGAGTACGCCGGACTTCCCGGATGCCCAACGCCTGTAGGCCGCCGATCCCAAGACCCAGTTGCAGGTCTCCTCGTCACCCTCCTCGACGTCATCTCGCTGGGAAACGGTCAGAGAGCGTAGTACTGATGGTGAGCGATACACATGTTAGTGGGGCTCCATGGCATAACAATGGCAGATGGCGAGGATGCCTACCGTCCAGATCGACAGGGGTTAGATCTAACGCATGTATTAGCTCGAGATCGCACGGGGGACACTCCAGTCTGGCTTACTGCGTGGATGGCTGTACTGGCTTCCAAGTCCAGCACTCGACTGGATTTCGGTGCTGCGCAGCGAGCAGGCCCTGTTCGCCCAGAGACAGTTGCTGCACGCGCTATGCTGGAATCCGGTCACGGCGACGCACTGCGTGAAGGTCCCTCCCGTGCCGGCACACTGCGCACACGGATTCTCGACCAGATCTCCGCGCCGGTAGAGGATGGCAGCGAGTCTCTGCTTGGCCGTGCCGGGGGTCAGCGTAGTGTTGGTGTCGCGGACGATCTTGCGCTCGCGGGCGATCTTCTTTCCTCCCACCGGAAGCCTGGGACGCCCCGATTTCTGCAGAAGGAATGCGTCAGCTGTTGATCTGTCGAGGGGCATCAATGCAGCGAGGCTGCTTCACTCACCGGCTAGCGCCTGCGCTTCACCGTCTGATCCGATGGCTTCCCGGTCCGAGGCCTGTCCTGCGTCGTGCATGGAGGAATCCGAGTCGCCTCTTTCTGCCTTTCTGCGGGGCATTGTGATGGAGGGCAGTGGGTAATCAATTTTTGCGATTGTTGTCAAGACTTTCAAGTTGAGCTTGATGATGGGTATCGCGAGAGTTAATCCAGAACGGGCAGCCAGGAAACGTCCTCGTCTTAAGTGTTGGCTTCGAAAATTCCCGCTTCGAGGGCGTGTTCCGAATCAGTGCAGGCTTCTTTGTCTTCTCCTGTTCCAGCAGTTGAACCGACTCGGGCATGCACAAAGACGTCGAGTAGCGCGATTCGACCTTCTTTGCCGGTACTATAGAGAAAGGCCACGATATTCCAAGATGCTTTTGTCCAGGAATAGATTACTTTCTATCCTTGGGTTCTGGCTTGTCGGGCGTCCTGAAAGATCACAGTCTGCCTGTTTATTTGGCTTCGCAAACTCCCACTTCCATGGCGTCGTCCAAATCCTTGCAGGCTTCTTTGTCTATTCCTTTTCCGGTGGTTAAACCAATTCGTTCACGAACAAAGACATCAAGTAGCGCGAGTATTTGCCGGTACCATAAAGAAACGCCATGATGTTTCGAGACGGCTTACTTTCTATCCTTGGATTCTGGTTTGTCGGGCGTCCTGAAAGATCGCGGTCTGCTTGTTCCTTTGGTAACCACCTGGTTCTCGTGCCTGGAATGGCCACTGAAAGAGATGGACGGACTACGCCATGATTCCCCGCTGACAGTCACTGCGCCAAGGAGAATGAAAGAAAGGATTGACCCAAGTAAGGACCCGGCCGAGGCTGGGGTTTCCTCAATCCGATTCGAGACGACTGCCTCAACGGCTCAGCATCTGTAGGTGTGTCCACCCTAGAGCCGTGTCTACTAGAATGGCTTTGAAACAAAATAATGCATTTGATCCCTACAATAGCACAACGGACAAGGAAAAACGCAGCAGAAGATCGATCTCTATTACACGCATACACTCTGTCCTGCAAAGTGTAGCCACACCTGCCTATCCAACCATCCATCTCAACACTCCCATCAGGCTGCAGGGCCACCAAGCGATGACCCATCAGGGTTGTTCTCCCCCCTCGGCCTCTTCTCCGGAGGCTCCTCAGCACTCCCTTCCCCACTCCGCCGCTTCGACCCAGTCGCACCCCCAGAAATGGAGTTCAACGCATCAAGAGCCGTCCCCAGAAATTTCATTCTCCGCCGAGATGGGCCACTGCCCGTACTGCCAGTTGCCCCTCCCCCTACAGTCCGCGTTGCCGTGGTCGTCGCTAGCGGGCGGGCGGGAGCAGTTGAGGGGCCAGCGGCTCCGACTCCGGCGCCAGCCATGTCATCGTCCTCATCGTCGTCGTCCCTGGATGGGCGGATCTTTCTGTCTACGCGAGCTGGGGGATTGGGAAGGCCGCTATCAGACGAAGACGACTCGTTGTCTGCTTGCGAGTCTGAGATTTCAAATGCTGTATTCCTCGATGTGCCCGGTTTGGAGCCCGTCTTTGGATCCTTGGAAGAGGGTCTGTTCTGTACCGCGGCGGCTACCGATGGCTTGCCTTGGGACTGCGTTTCGGGAACTTCAGGGCTCTTCTTTTGAGGGGTCGGCTTCGGGGCGCTAGGGGTTTCTTCAACGGGTGTCTCAGGGATCACCTTGTCATCAGCCGGCTGTGTCTCGGGGACCACGGGGGCCTTGTCTTGGGGTTTTGGCGTTGCCGCTTGGGGGGTCGTTTTGGGGGGTGTCTCGGCGATCACGGTCTCGTCATTCTGCTGCGTTTCGGGGACGACATCGGGGGTCTCGTCGGTGGGCTCTTGCGTCTGCGGGACCTGCACGGAGCTGGCCTGGGGTCTGTCAGCATACGGCCTCGCAGCAAAGGATGGCTGGATCATACCCTTTTAGGCGCCTGCGGTGCAGCGTACAACGCCGGCAACCTCTTCGCCTCCCTGCGCCAAAAGAACGAATCGTCGTCTCCTTCCTCTCCAAGCTCATACAGCCTCGCATCAACGGTCGCCAGGAAATGCGCAAGATCCGACCGCGCCGCGAGCAACCGCTTGGGGTCTTCCCAGATCAAGCGGGAGATGGGGAATCGCAGCTCATCGCCATCGAACTCACAGCGGGGCCCGCGCTGCGAGACGCCTACGCGGTTGAGTCTGCGGTCCTGGACGAAGGCGCCGAAGAAGGTTGACGAGGGGATCGTCTGGATATTCCGGCCGTCCGGTTCCTCGGGGGAGGTGTCGTTGGAAGACGAAGCCACTACCTCCTTCTGTTTGCCTTTTCCCTTATCTGTATCTTTTCCCTTCTCCCCCTTCCCCTTCCCCTTCCCCTTCTCTTGCTCCCCAAGCGCAACCCTCTGCGCCGCAATCGCATCTCGCAGACTAAACTGCCCATTCTCCACATCAACAAACTGCCGAATGCTCCCCCCATCCAGCGCCAGCGTCGTCCCGCGCAGCGAACACGTCTTCTTCTCCCAAACGCAGCTCGCGCAAGCCCCGTTCGCAAACGCCGCGCCCCCAATCACCGGCGCCGCAACGCACTCGGCGAAGACGCCGGCGCCCTCGGCCTCGTCCTCGTCTTCGTCCTCGTCCCCGTCCCGCTGGCACTCGTCGCACGGCGGCTGCATGACGTCGCCGCGCCGCTGCAGCAGCATCGCGGTGCGGTGGTCCCCTCTGGTGGCGCGTTTGGATTTGTTTGCCCATTGGATCTCGCGCTGGCGTTCGAGGTGGCGGACGATGTCTCTGTCCAAGTCGGCGAGTTGGGCGCGGCTGCCAATTTCTGTGTGCGACTGTGTGGTTAGATGGGGGTTATGCAAGAGAAAGGAGCACGGGAGGGAGGGGAGGAGAGGAGGAAATGGAATTGCACGTACCCTTCGAACCTTCAATTTCCCCGGCGTCTCCTAGGGCAGGCCCGTCTGGGGTGGTGCCGCCGACTCTGCCAGGCTGCGCCTGCGTGCCGTCTCCCCCGCTGGCCGATGCAGCGTCGTCGGACATTGTATAAGATGAGTGATATTACGGTAGGAATATTGAACTGATATGATAGGTAGTAGAATATCTACACAGAAGAATCAGAAAAGGGAAAAAAAAACTGAACTCTGAACAGCATGCTTTTGCTTATATCGCCTCGGATGGTCGAGTATAGACGCGAGATCGGGTGGTGGAAGAACAAAGCCCGCATCGGCTTTGTTGAAATCTTTAAGGAACCAGACCAAGTTCCGTGTTTCGGGGCTCAAAGACTGTGGCTATTATTGCAGTTCATTATGTCGAGGCGTGTCTCAGGTTTCGGTTGTCCTCTTTCAATATAGGGAACCGTCGTGCGCGGATTTCTACTTTCGAGGCGAGCATAGTATGGTCTCTAGATCGCGGCTGGCACGAGACCACGAGGCTTACACTACAAAATACAATACACGTACCTGCCTCGACCACGTTAGAATCCCTTCGCCCTAATGGTATGGTCGGAGTTGACACTCGGCTATCCTCGAATAGATCTGTATGCCATCTGTTCTAGACGCCATCTTTTAAACCTACTAACCTCTGGTTCCTTCATCGCCATATCTCCATCCCGAACCGCTTTCCTGCGGTGACTCCCTTCTTTATTTTGGGTTGGGTGGCATATCTACCCTTTGTCTTCTTTGATGTTTGGATCGACCACCTTGTCTACTGGCAATGGACTGGTGACATAGAAACGAGGTTCCATAAACGCGTGATAAATGTGTCCGAACTTGAAACTCATCGGCGGCTCTGACAGCGGCGAAGGTGACGGCGATGCTGACGGCCAGGGCCCTTTCGTGGCGTCTGCAGGTACGAAAAGGAGTAAAGGATAGTCGGTGTGGTCCCCTTGGACAACCCCGAGTAGGTAGAGGCAGTCATTGCTTTAGACAAAGCCCGCTGCTGGTTTCGAGGATTCGCTGCGCAATGGCTCGTCGGTGCCGTTGAAAGTAAGCTTCTCTGCGAAAAAACTCTTCCCCTGGCAATCCTCTACGTCTACAGGGCTCCTGGTTGGGCTTAGGCCGTTGCCATGGTTTGCCTGAGGCGTAGAGCTGGTCGGCGAGTGCAGGTTCTGCGGGTCCTTGATGTTGATAAAGAGGGAGAGGCCGAGGATTCCGGAGCGGGTGTATTGGGTATTCTCTATTTGCATGGTCCAGAATTTCGCCATTAGCACAAGGTAGGTAGGCCTCACGCTCTTGCTGATGATGATCATCATCTCTACTCTCTCGGTGGGTACTTAGCATAGAATTCGCGAGCCCTTGGTCGGCTCGATCTCGTAGGTCGCACAGAAGTCCACCGCAGTACGCAGTACTCCTTTCGTAGCGTTTATAGGCATCACAGTGTCTTGGTCTATGACCGTGAACCTGCCCAAGAATTAAGAGGCTAGAAATGAGGGTGTGAGATATGCCGGGCATCAGTACCAAACGACCTGTCCACCATCATAATTAGACTGGCCAGGATTCCACCCCATTGTTTCATCATCATTGACGTTTAGACCTAAATACAAAGGATGGACAAGCACCTGTTTTGTCGATGGGTATTTCACAGGGTTTATGTGCAGAGACTGAGCATCTGTGTCATTTAAATCGCTAGCTAGTCTGGTAAGGCGCATCTACCAGCGCTCCAGCGGTCTCTGGTATATTCAATACGATCTAAACCTTGTGGCCTAGGCAGGTAGAGACAGTTTTGATTGCTGGACTATAGGCAATGTGCGGCTCGACGAGCTTCGGCGGAACTCTACGCTCAGACTGTCCTCACCATTTTCCATGTCAGTTTTATTCACCACAGCATCCTTCAACCTCGCCTTCTATTCTGTTACACCCGTTCCATAGCAAAAAGGCTGTCCTGTCGTCAGCATATGGATCTCTGCCGTCGGCGCCGCAGCAGTCAACAGCCTGATCTCATCCTTCCAGGTCGAGATATACCCGCCGTACAAAGGCTGGCGGAAGCTTGAATAGCGTAGGCGCGTGGAACATCGTCTCTTGAATTATGGATTACGTGCTGGTGTATAGCTGAACGTAATGCCGGCAAGTCTAAAGTAGCTTACTTTGTGTAACCCTCATTGAGTCTGCGGTAGCCCGATCTGTTTACCCTGTGGCTGCGATGCGACTGCACTTACTGGCCAACTGCGTTAACTTAGCTTAGATCCGATCCTCTACTCCTGTTAGCTATTAATCTCTTTTCCTCAGCCTCTTCTTCTTTTTAATGGATGATAACAGGAGGTGCTGACCAGAACGAGGAGATGCTGCAGGGGAAGCAAGAAAATAGATGAGCTTTTGGCTGTGGCTCCAGAGGAGAGTTTCTTAGTGATGGCAGTAGACAGACGTAATCTCCGACACATCCGATGGTGCTTGAAATGCATGTTTCTTTGCCAGCCAAGTCGTGCGAAACCATTATCCCCAACTGAGTAGGTATAGCAGAAAGTGCTGCAAGGCCAGAGCAACATAGAACCCCTAAAGCTCCTCAGAACATCTACTTCTTGACAATATCAAACCCGACTTCCCACTCATCCAACGCCTTCCTGATCTCTTTCGCATACCTCGGCAGCCCACCCGCATAACAGACCGGCTCAACAACCTTGCCGGGAATCCCACCCCCCATATACGTCGACCTTGTCGTCGGAAACAACGTCTTGTCATTGAGCTCGATGATTCGCTTCTTCCATTTCGCCGACGCCTCGGGTTTCGGGTTGATGTATTTGACGCCTTGTGCTTCGATTTTGGATATCGCGTCCGCGATCCACCGGCCCTGGACGGCGACAGAGGTTGGCCCGTTGCTGAGGAGGGTTGGGCCGTGCGCGCCGTAGAGGTGGAACATGTTTGGGTAGCCGCTTATGGTTGTGCCCAGGTAGGTTTGGGCGCCGGAGGACCATTCGGTGGATAAGGAGGTGCCGGATATGCTTTGAAGGTTGAGCTGGGTCATTGCGCCGGTGACCACGTCCTGTGACATTAGTTTTGCCAACGCAAGCCAATCGTGATGGCCACGAGTCAGATTTCAAGGGGGTAGATGGACTCACAAACCCCGTCGCAACAGCCACAACATCAAACTCGTAATGCTCCCCATTTTCCAGTCTGATCCCCGTCTCCGTAAACTCCCGAATCCCATTGCTCCTAATATCCACAAGATCCACGTTCTCGCGATTAAACTGCTCGTAGTAGTCCCGCTCCAGCGCGGGCCGTTTAATCCCAAAGAAATGCGGCATGTCCTTTGGATCCGGCGCGAGGAGGTCCCTGAGTCGCGGATCCCGGATTCGGGCACGCGTCTTCTTCGCCCAGAATGCATACGACTCTTTATTCGCCTCGGCATCGAAAACGTTGTCCTTGTAGATGGACACCCAGAAGCGGAACCCGCCTTCTTGCCAAACTTTTTCATAGAACGCTTCGCGGTCCGCGGGGGTGTCGTCGAATGTATTCTTCTCGGCCCAGTCGTAGAGGAACCCGGCGAATGTCGTCTCGCGGTAGCGGAACAGCTCCGCGTAGTAGTGCTTCAGCGCATTCTGGGACTCGGGTGTCAGGGATTGTTTGCGCATGGGCAGGCCGAGATTCGGGGTGCGTTGAAAGACGGTTAGGCTGCCTGCGCGGGGGCCCCAGGCCTGGGTGATTTGCACCCCCGAGGCGCCGGTCCCGATTATCGCGCAGCGTTTGTTCTCGACGGGGATTTCGGTGTCCGGCCAGAAGGAGCTGTGGTGGACGATTCCCTTGAATTTGTCCATGCCGGGCCAGGGGGGGATGTAGCGTTTTGCGGACTATATAGCAGTTAGTTCTTGCTGCTGTCGCAGCTCCGATGGGGGATGGAGTAGTAAAAAGTAGGTATGAAGAGAGGACATACAAACCCCGTCCCCAACACCAAATACCTCGCCGTCGCAACCCTCCCATCCTCCGTCTGCACCCTCCAAACCCCCAGTTCAGTATCAAACCTCGCCCCCACAACCACAGTCTCAAACGCACAGTGCTGCTTAACCCCGATTACCCGATCCACATGGTCAAAGTACTCGCGCAGCTCGCTGTACGTCGGGTAGTTACTCTTCCACGTCCAGGTGCTATACACCTCGGGCCAGCTGAACTCGTACTCGGGGACTTCGGAGTCGACGGCCGCGCCTGGGTAGCAGTTCCAGCGCCAGGTGCCGCCGATGTCGGTACCTGCTTCGAAGATTGTAGTGCGGAGGCCGAGGTCGCGGAGGGTTTTTAGCATGAAGATGCCGGCTAGATAAGAGTGATGGTTCTGGTTAGCGTGGAGTGTTCGAGAGGGGATGTGTTGTTTGATAGGAGGGGAGGGGAGGGGGACGCCGTACCGAAACCAGCGCCAACAATCAGCGCATCGACGCTGAGACTTTCAGCATAAGGGCCGGTCTTGTCCTCGTGGACGCCTGAGAAGTCTGTGAGTGAGGTGTTGAATTTCTTGGGATGCGGCACGGTGTCGTCGATGCTGCCCATGATTCTTGTGGCGTTGAGCTTGTGCTTGCTTGGTATTTATCTGGAGTTTCTCTTTTGACTCGGCAGATCGGTCATTGCAATGAAGGTATCTTCCAAGTAAAGTGCCAGAATCTCGCCTATATTTATACCCGAGGTTTGACAAACATCCGGCCGAGTAGGACGAACAATCACCAGGGCAATCAGGCAACGTGTTGCGCACTGCAGCCAGCAAACATCCATCTGTCCGGACAGCGTACTACGTTGGCGCTGCAGTCACTCCTCTCTGCTAGTAAGCATCACCATTGTCTAGACCTGAGCTTGAGGGAGCACCATCCAACCCCCGCGTTGATAGACAATCGCCCGGTGGTGGGCTCCAAGTTTCCCCGCACCTCCACCCCTCGTTCACTACCGGAACTAACTGAGAGCAACCTAGCCTCATGCACAGCAGCGCAGGTGATGGTGTGATAACACCGAGATGGATCTCTGATTCGCTGCCCCAAGACGACTATCGAAGCCAGCCGAGACTATCTGCGGTTACACAGCCGAGTGATCGCCCTCCCCGCTCTGGGAGTTGCCGTGAGCCATCCGCGATCGCGATGATGATCATCCGTCTGCCCGCAGACTTGTCCGCACTGGTTCTGTTCGGAAGCGATATTGCGGGTCCGCAAATGGCGCTGGATATTTTATCTACATTGGGAACGCAGTGCCAGGCCGGGTGTGGTCTCGAACTGGGGCAGCAGTTCGACGGACGCCTTGGCGGCATCACCAGGATCCAAGACTCTGACACGGCTGAGCTGAAGCCAAGGATCGGCTCAGAGAGGCACAGATAAATAGCTGAGGCGGCCCTCGCAGCTTGGATTTCTGCTTTTGTTTCGCTCTCGAGTGTTCACGTTATTTCCCCTCACTTTGCTTCTACCATTCCCTCTTGTTCACCCGGAGCTTTCCCCCAAAAACGTGATTGCAGGACAAAAGCCCCCAGCAGAGTAAAATGCCTTTATCAGAAGACACCCTCTCGACACTCCGCACCCTCGTTGACAACGCCTGCGCAGACCCCAAAACAACCATCCCCGGCGCCGTCGTCGTAATCATCGACAAAGCCGGAACTGAGCGCTTCGCACACGCAGCCGGAAAACGCGGCGCCGAGTCGCCTGAGCCCATGACCCTCGACACAATCTTCTGGATTGCATCCTGCACAAAACTCCTCGTAGGCATCGCATGCATGCAGCTCGTCGAGCAGGGCAAACTCTCCCTCGACGACGAGACGCAGATTGAAGAGTTGTGTCCCGAATTGAAGAGGTTGAAGGTATTGAAACCGGACGGGAGTTTTGAGGAGAAGAAGAAAGCGATTACCCTGCGCATGCTGCTTACACATACGGCTGGGTTCGGGTATACGTTTTTCAACGAGAGACTGAGGGACTGGTCGTATCCGGCGGGTGTGGATGAGTTTTCAGGGCGCGTGGAGGACATTACTAGCACGCCGTTGCTCTTCCAGCCGGGCGAGGGGTGGGAGTATGGGGTACGCTGCAGATCTCCATTCTCGACTCGATCCACGTGCTTACCTCCCGGCTCGCGAACGAGTTCTAACAGATGCGCAGGCCGGAATTGACTGGGCCGGCATCGCCCTCGAGCGCGTCACGGGAATGACACTAAACACTTACCTCCAAAAACACATCTTCGAGCCGCTCGGCATTAAAGACATGTCGATGATTCCGAATAGGGAGATGCGCAGCCGGTTGGCGTATATGAATTTCCGCGACGCCGAGGGCAAGTTACGCGGGAGGGACCATCTACTTCGTCTGCCGCTGGTCGTCGACCCGGACAATGAGGAGGAGGTCAAGCGGGTGTTTAATAGTGGGGGCGCGGGAATGTTTGCGAGGGTGGGCGACTATTGCAGTACGTTCCGCTACTATCACCTTCCCACTCATGCCATATGCAATGAACGCACAGGTGGGCCTTTCAAGTACTAACATGACCCAGAAATCCTCGCCACATTACTAAACAACGGCACCTGCCCGTCCACCGGCACATCCCTCCTCTCAAAGTCCACCGTCGAAACAATGTTCACAAACCAAATCCCCCACCTCCCCCACTTCTCCCGAACACCCATCCCCGCCGCAAAGCCTGCACTGACAAACCCCATTCCTGAACTGTACCCGGTCCCTGACGATCCGCCGCAAGGGTGGGGATTGACATTCATGCTGAGCAATGGGGGCGCGACGGGACGGTCGACGAGTACCGTGCACTGGGCGGGACTGGCGAATCTGTGGTGGTGGGTTGATCGGGAGAAAGGGGTTGCGGGGTTGGTGGCTACGCAGATTTTGCCGTTTGTTGATAAGCATGTCCTCGGGCTTTGGGGGAGTGTTGAGGCGGTGCTTTATCAGGGGCTTGATGGGTGATGGGTGATGGGTGATGGGGGTAGCTATGTGACTAGTTGGCCTGCTACATCTAGGGCACGTGGCACAGTACTAGGTCTTTAGAATGGGTTCACAAGGAGGACCGACGCCGTTCCACTCTACTATGCGTTTATAGTCTGAGCGAACGGATCTACGATTTATTTAGAAAACAAGAAGAACGAGAATATATATTAGCATGCTCTAGGCCTCTCATAACGAGTCTCATTCCGAGCCCCATGTAGGTATACCGTCGCAGGAAAAAACAACGAGATCAACCCCAGTGGCCATTTATAAGGACCTGTGTCTTCGGACAGCAATGTGGCATTCTTCAGAGACGTGGAGGTCTGTGTCCCTTCGGCTTCGCCATCTAGGCTTGGGAAAGAGATAAATGACATTTTGGTTGATACCACGGCACGTTGTGGGGTAAGGTAAACTGGATGGATATGTTTTGGTACTATCGAGGTCGAGGAAGGGTCGAGGTATTATTATACTACACGACGGACAACGAGGATGGGAATTTGGTGTTTCACGGCGATATCCTGTCCGGAGTCATTGCTTTGGTTTCTCGCAGACATGTTTTGAAAGTACGTCCCCTTTTGTCCAGGGCCTCTTTCACGTGAGTGTGTCATAAAAAAAAAAGGCAACGTACAACGGCAGGCATGGACGAAAGGCCTTTCTCGTTTAACGACGGTCTACAAAGAGCTTTGAGATGCTTTCCTAGATCTTCGAGTATTACCGTTCGAACAAAGACCGCCCTTTGTATCGAAGATCAACAGAACGAAGTTCGCGCGCAGTCAAAGAAAAAGCTATACGATCTTTGTTGGAGGAGCTGTCCTTTGTTGACAAGAGCTATAAAACTCGACCTCAGTCCCCTTGTCTTCATCTGAACAATCCAATTGAATCTTGATTCAATTACTGGCTTTCTTTACCATAGATACGCCCCAGTCTCTGTCACCGAGCAGGCTAAGCAGACTACTTTATTAACCCCGTGTAGTAATTACCACCGTATCAATCAATCTCATTCCTGCTGTCTCTCAATCTTGACCCCGGTGCCCAAATCACAAGCGCAAATTGTAGTGTAGTCTCAGCATTATCTTCCCAACCATTAGCAGGCAGTAGCCTCTTTATCTTCAGCCCTCTGATTTATTCTCGACAAGTAGAATGGCAAGGATGTCTTGATGTAGAGGCAGTGCTGCTTATATAAGCTGTCTGGGACAAAGAGCCCTACTTGGTCGAGCGCCCTTTGTCTTGACTTGTTTTCCCAAATTAGGATCCCATTCATCTTATCTTTGGCCGAGTGTCTTCAAACATGTTTCGAGTCTGCTTTCAAGCTGCCCCTCGGGCTTTGTGCCCGAGGTTTCCCAGAATCATCCTATTACGTCTACATATACCCAGACAGCCGCAGAATCGCGACGCGGCCTTTTTCTTCCTTGAATATTTCGCATCTCCATTTTCACAAACTCACGCATCTGGTCAGGTACCACTCGTCACCATGCTGGCCATTCTATTCGCGCTCCTTCTCGTGCCTCTGGCAGTCACCTCTCCGCACGTCACCTCCTTTGCCTCTCTTGTCGTCGATCGAGCGCGCGACTTTTACTATGCCTACCCATTCTACTATTACATCTCCCTCATCTCCTTTGCCGAATCGCTTCCGTACTACTTTACCAGCATCTTCAACGGCTGGGCGAGCTGGGCTTCACAGTTCTGGTGCTCACAAAAATGTCGACAGAGGATCCGCCGTCTTCTCGAGAAGAAGGGAGTCGTCGGCGCGCTCATCACTCTCCTCCCATCGGACTCGCAGATCTACGCCGAGTGGCTTCTCGCCGACAACATGACCGTCTACTTCATCTATCTCTTCGTCTTTCGATATATCCGGGTCCTCGGAAACCTCATCTCTCTTCTGTTCCTCAACGGCTCGACACCTGTCCCGAAGAAAAATAAAGTCCGTCGAAGCGACTGCACCGTCATTATTCCAGTCGTTAACCCTGAAAGCCAACAGTTTGAAGAATGCCTTATCTCATGCCTCATCAACGAGCCCGCCTGTGTCCTCGTCGTCACAAGCAGCGCCAAAATGGCTACACTCACAAAACGCCTCATGATCCCCTTCATGCAGCGCTTCCCCTACACCAAGATCGCCGTCAAAACTGGCAACGGGGTCAACAAGCGTCTCCAAATCGCGACTGGACTCGGTTACGTCAACACGAAAATCACAGTCCTCCTCGACGAACATGCCATCTGGCCTTCCGCCCGCTTCCTCCCAGCCCTCCTCGCCCCCTTCGCAAACCCGCGCGTCGGAATCGTCGGGACGACAAAGCGCGCGCGTCGCGGCCCCGAGGGCTTCAACTGGCCATCCTTCCTGAACATGCTCGGCGCAATCGAGGTCGACCGCGAGAGCCGCGACATCGAGTCGACGTGCGCAATCGACGGCGGCGTCTCCGCCGTCTCGAGCCTCACCTCCGCGCACCGTTCCGAGATCATCTCGAACCCAGCGTTCCTCACGGCGTATAGCTGGGAGTATCTGGGCTGGGGCATGTTCGGTCCGTTTGCCGTCGACGAGAGCGCAGCCGATAACTTTCTTACCCGCTGGACGGTCAAGGAGGGATACGCGGTGCGCATCCAGTCGTCGCACGACGCCTGCGTGGAGATTGCGCTCGATAACGCTGGGGTAACAGGCTTCCTCGCGGAATCGCTTCGAAAGGCGCGGACGGCCTTCCGGAGTAGTTGTGCCTCGCTTACATCTCCGATATCGTGGTTCCGGCACCCGTGGTGCACGTACGCCGTGTATGCGACGTCGATCCTCGACATCCCGCTCGTCTACGATGCCGCGCTGGTGTATACACTTTGGGATAGTCGGCTCGGTGAACAGCAGCATGCATTCTTCTACCTCTCGCGCGTGATGCTGGGAGCGAAGCTGCTCGAGGTCATACCGTACTTCCTCCGCGAGCCGCAGGATATGTTTCTGGCGCCGGGGTACCTCCTCTGGAGCTATGTCCACAGCGTCCTGAAAGTATTTGCGATGGTCACGTTCTGGAATACAGGTCCTGGAGAGCGTGCGAATGGACCCGCGCATGTTCTCCCCCCACCCCCAGCACCGGCACCGGCGCCGGCACCGGTCCCCGCTGCGCGACGACCGGGATACCACATCGACACAGTCGCTCAGAACCCGAGTCCTGCCTCTCCTCGAAGTCCTGCCAATGCTGCACGGAGACCGTTTGAGGTTCCTGTTGCTGCTGTGGCGGCGCCTGTGAAGAGGCCCCGGGGTAGGCCGAAGAAGGTTCCTGATCTTGGGATCATTCCGTCGATTGAGGAGCCGATTATGGTTGCTTCGCCAAAGGTCGCTAAGAAGAGGGGGAGGCCGAGGAAGAAGCTGTAAAAATGAAAGCTGGGGACTGGATTTGGGGTTGTTTTGAGAGGGTGAAAAACGGTTGATTTACTTTTATTTTGTGGCATCGCGGGTTTGAGATTGGGTTAGGTGTTTATGGTCCTATTTTGGTTGTATATATTCGCATTTCTTTGTTCTGTGCCTGTTACTGTAGGCCTGAATCAAATATGGTACATGTCCTTAAAATATGTTCCACACCTACTTCGAGTAAAACTTCCTGACGATCATCCTGGTGTGTATCGTCTTTGCCCGCTCATTCTCCCGTTCCTCGTCCTCGGATCTACCGTTACTAGAAGACCACGTGGGGTAAGAAGGTTATTCCTTCAGTATGCAATTGATAGCAGTGGACCCCGGACATCCGACCTTGTCTTCGGAGTCTCCAGATAGCGCCATGTGTATATCTAGCGCTAGTAGCCCGGGTCTGTGGTAGAGTCCCACTGCAGTGTCTCGACTCTTTACTTGTTTCTACCGAGATGAGCCAGCAATCGAACCTGCGGCCCCGCGTGGCCAAGCTGAAAAAGTACCTCCAGACTCGCGATGCGCCTGAAGAGGGCGCTGAGGGCGCTGCGTACTTTAATGAGGATTCGTTGCCGACGCCGCCGGGTCCGTACCGAACCCTCCTTCAATTCTCCAGTTGTGTTTCCATTCGCTGATGAAACCAGAACACCGCATGTGGACCGTCCTCCACTTCTTCGCCTCCTACCTGATGACAACCTCTTCCCTGAGCAGCTACAACCTCGGCGCAACGCTCATCAGTCTCGGCCTGGTGCGTCCACCCATTCCACACTTCCCCATCTCGGCCGGCCCCAAAGACTAACGGAAGGAATGTACCGCGCTGGTGGCACTGCCCGATCCTGGTGAACCAGCCCGATGTCGCGCGGTACGCGACGCGGCCCTCGCAGGCGACGTGGAGCCAGGCGCTGGGGATCGTCATTTCAAAAGTGCTGGCTATGTTGGTCAGCTGTGCGACGACGAGCGCAACGACACAGTTTCTAGGGCGGAGAGTTTGGAATGTTTGGGATTCGTATGATGCGATTCTCACGCAGTGTTGGGGCGCAGGCGAGGGCGAGGATATCTTTTGCTGGGTTGCTATGTTTTCCCTTCCCTCCCGCCTAACCTTTCGGTTTCCTTTACATTGGTTACTGCTTTCTTTTCCTCCATTTCTCTTCTCGTGTCATCAGCCACTAACTGGAGCCTGGTGGTCCAGGCCGTGGTCCTAGCTATAATCGCCACAAACGCCGGAACAAACTCTCTCCCGTCGGCGCACACATTACAAGCCTCTTACCCCGCTACCTCAACATCGTCCGCGGGCAGGTCCTCTGCGCCCTCCTCGCGCCCCTTTGCGTCCCCTGGAAGATCATCTCCAGCGCCAGCTCCTTCCTCACCTTCCTGGGCTCGTACACCGTCTTCCGCATGCCAACGTGCGCAATCATGCTGGTCGACTACTGGCTTATCCGGCGGGGCAATTTCCGCGTCCCGAGTCTGTACACGAGGGACCCCGCGTCGCCGTATGCGTACTGCCACGGGTGGAATCTGAGATCGGTGGCGGCGTGGATCGGGGGTGTGGCGTTTACGGTCCATGGGATTGCGGGGCAGTCTACGGGCGGATGCGGTCAAACGGGCGAGTAAGGATACATATGTATAAGCTGGGGTTTTTGTTGAGTTTTGCGATGGACGGGGTTCTTGTTTTATGGGTTTAATCTCGTCTGGCTGGCTCCTGTTGATCCCGTCGGGAGGGAGGAGGATGAGGGGCGGGATGGGGTTTGAGAGGATGGCGAGGACGGAGGGCTTCTTTGAGGGGGAGAGTGTCGAGGGGATTCGGTTGGGGTTTGGGCCTAGTGTAGAAGAGGGGGAGAAGGCTGTTGGATATGGGGCTCTTGAGGTTTAAATATTGATTGATTTTCTGATTTGAATAAAAGAGATTAATTCATTCTTGGCGCTTTCGGCGCTGTATTAACTAGATATTCTGTTCACATATCGCTAACCCCTCTCCTGACTCGAATATATGTCCTCGATATACGGGGCACAACTAAAAAAAAAAGAAAAGCTGAAGCAAAGGCCCTCTGCTCGGCGCCACCACACCTCCAAACCGCACTCCGCCGTCCTAGAAAACTCCTCACGGCATCTAGATCTCCCCCTGGAACCTCCTTTTGCAAACAAACTTCCGGAACAAGAGCCACGACACCCGGAATCAATCTCCGAATGACGTCTCGCCAATCGCTGCCAAATCAAACTCTCGATGTGAGCGAGCGCCACTTCCACCCCATTCCATCGATATGGCCTTTGCAGCGGACGAGATCCGGTTGGGTGGGAAGCCTCATGCGCGTGTGAAAAGCTTGATCCATGAAGCTTCCAGCGGAGAAGTGCCATGTCATGCCCGGTCTCAGACCGCTTGGGAAGGTTTTTCTTGAGTCGTTTCATTCCTCTTGCTCTTTTCTTTTTGTCCAGGTCTCTCTGTCAGTTGTGTCTGATCCATCTAAATCACAGTATTGAGCTACTTCTCTGTCTTACATACGGAACGGAATATTATCATTCTACCTGTCTACCGCTGACCATCTTACCTTTATTTGATACTCTCATCGTCCTTGTCACAGACGATAACAATATTCCTTCCATCTCTCACCTTTGTCCGAGTCAACTGGAATCCAACCACCACCCTCACCACCACTACCACATCACGATTCCCAAAAACAACCCATTCCAACCACGACCACAACCACCACCGACATTATCCCCATCTCACCCGACCTGCAAGTTATCGGCCATCACAGGCTCAAAGAATACCACCAAAGGATCACATAACACCGACGACCAAAATCCACCCACGACCAACCATACCACCGCCATGCCTCTCACAAACCCGCTCCCGCGCGTGCACTCGCACATCCAGAAACAGTTCCAGCGCAGCACCGAGCGGATCCACCGCGAGTACCAGATCATCCGTCTGCGCCGCATGCTCAAGGGGACTCCCGCCATTGCTGATGCAGAGGCATATTCGTCGCATCATGAGTTTGTGAATGAGAATCCGACGCCACTTACCGCTATTGCGAGTGCGGCTGAGGGTGCGAAAGTGGCGTGAGAGGTCAGAGGAAGGGGAGAAGAATTGCGGAGATAGAAGTCATAGATTGATAGGTGCGCTTTTTCTTCGGGATGTCTGTGTGGGATGGTCGAGGAGCTGGCTAACGACTCGCGCGAGAGTGGTCAGCAGTGTTGGAGAGTTCGATTTGATTCTAGCTCCTAGGAGGATTCGTTGGCGATACGTGCTCCCTAGCATGACGAACCGAACTGACCCAAACGACACGACACCGGACGACACTTAGATTATGGCCACATCATGAAGGCACAACGCAAACACCAACCACGCATAGCAAACTCTCTTATCATCCACTACCAATTTGAAGCGGGACCGAACCACATCCACCTCACAGTACGCGGAACATAAGAAGAACAACAGAAGAAGAGAAGAAACACAGATCCGAGGGCTCGGAAGGTGCGAGTACGGAGCTTACTAGTCTATAAACCCAAGGTACGCAATGCACCCAATATTATGAGTGGACAAAGAATGAAACGGGCTGACTTAACGGCGTAGGACTGTCGACATAGATATCACCGATTAAACAAATTCAGATCTCGTCGCTTATGAGTTATAAGCTGCATGGGAATTCGCTGACCAGCACAGCTCCGCAAAGATCCCAAGCTGATACACCGCGGGTGCGGCGCTTACCAAGACGTAGATTGAGGTAGGGGATTGAACGTTGCTGATGAAGGTTCACCCTGAGGGTGTGGTCTGACCAGGCGTAGGTATATAATGATTCTAAGCGTTAGACGACGGTTGCGAGATGCAGGAAAATATAAGCCGAGGGCTAAAAGCGACGGTATAGTGTAGTCCAGCACGCTAGACACACCATTGGCAGCATCTGCAAACCCGAATTCGATACTGGTTGGATATATTAGGTGTAATAAAAGGTATAGCAACGTTATTGTTTTATCGCGGATTCGGGACAGATTGGTCATCATGTGTTCACTCCTGTTTTTTTGTCTCCCTTTTTGTTTGGGAAAACTCAATGTCGAGTTGGTATGTGTGTGTGCGTGGGTCATTGAAACGATTCTTCGATTTGCTCCTGTATGTAATTAGCACCGAACAATGGAACTCGAGTCTACCTTTTCCATATCGCACCGTTGTCGTGACCTGAGTGGATGCTGGCCTTCGATCTGTATACAGCGTGCAAATCACCCAGTAGTAGTGGCTTTTACGTCCACCAGTTGGAAACGTGTTGTAACAGAAAAGGGATAATAAACAAAAAGAGAAGAAAGAGAACAAGAGGTGTATAGGTCGGGATTGAGCACCCCTACCGTGACTCTTGGAAGCAATGTCCCAATCACAGCTGGAGGCAGAGCCATCTTGCCGGCTCTGACCAGCTCCGTGGCCAAACCGTCTGGCCAGGAGGATATGGGGTGATGCTGCCAGAGTCGATGTTGGGAACCCCAAACAAAAAGAGCTCATGCAGGCCGACGCCGCACTGGTATTCGAACCACCGGTGGACCCAGTGGGATATGCTCAGCCAGCGCATATCACGACAAAATCTCAACGGATTGTGCCCTCGATGGCTCAATTCCGTTCGAATCGAACACATATCATAGCAGCAGCAACTGGAGGTGCTTTTCATTTCGGCTCTTGCAATTCTCCAACTGATTGCTCGGGTCGTCCTGACATAAACAGCGGACTGGGTCACCACAAATGTTGCTGATAGGATCAGGATACCACAAAAACCCGGTCCTTCGCTTTCGAGCTCCTTAAAGCACACTGCTCACAAGTCGCTTGTTGCTTGTCCCCTATCTCAAAACGCCAGCTCAATCGGTATCCCCGCCACGTTGGAGGCTCCGGCGCCATGGGTGTGGGGTTTGGAGAGCTGGCAGTCGATGGCCGAGTAGTCGATCTCGGCGCTAAATAAGATGGAGCAATAGTGATCCAGTACGTAGTCGGGTTTGGTGTGGAGGCGGAGGTGGAGCTGAGATCGATTCGATAACGTCGATGGAACTGGGGATGGTTAGGTAGTAGCTTTCAAGGAGTCTTCCTCGCTCGCTCAGCGAAAGGTCTCCAGCCGGATTAGTGAATTTGATTATCAAGAAAGTGAAGCCAGCACCTCTTGAGGGTTCCGAGGTTCTTTGGGAGCAACTGGCTCAAGGAGCGGAGCGGGATGCCGAGCGAAGCGATCAAAGGCGCCGGGCTCTGATCTCACAATCCGGGGAACAGCGCACCTTTGAGGCTATTTGCGCCAATGGCCGCAGACATTTCTGACTCAATAAAGCAGTTCGAGGGCATTGTAGACTCTACATACGGGATACCACCTACATCGAGTGAGGCAGAGCTGGAAAGATCCAGGCAGACAGGGGAGCTTTCTTTTCTGTTTTGTGCTCGGCGACAGCGTGTGTCTAGATTCGGTTTTGGTTCTTTCCTCTTTACTTGGTCCTGCTTCAAATAATACAGACTGCTGACCGGTGAGCGTGTGGATGGTGAGTAGGAAATGTTTACATGCCTCTCACTACCACCCTCAAACGAGCTCGTCCAAGCCGAGTCCAAGTCCAAGTCCTTGGAATCCTACGAGGAAAAGCGGACGCCCGGAGTATCCAATCAGTTATAAGACAGTGGATTAGACTTGCAGGTTGTCAAAGAAACCTGAACAATCAGCACAGTCAGCGGGACTATGGAAAACCTTGGTGGGATATACACAGAGGAACACAGCGTGGATGTGCGTCATGAAACGGCCGGACCTTTGCGACAAGAAACCATACAGGGATTCAGAGCGTTCAGGCGAGAGAGCTCAGAAAGGAGGCAATGACTGTTATGAAGTTTCCGGCAGACTCGCAAAGCAACCCGACAAGGTCTTCGCACGAAAGAGAGGCTGGCAAAGTGCAATTGCTTCCTAGCCCAGGTTGGCTGATGCCGCACCTCCTTTGAGCTGGGATAGGACAAGATACGAAGGCGAATTGATGGTGGAATAATCACATTGACATTACTTTATTCTTTCTCAGGCTGTTCAATACATCTCTCACCAGACGTAGACAACGAGCCAGCCGTACTATCACTTCCAATCAATCAATCACCGAGCTTGCCGTACGGGCTCTTCATCGGCAAACACCCAACCTAAACCTCACGACAGGCACGCATCGAACCTCTCAGTTATTTGATCCCGACCTGCCGTGTCCAGCGAAAAACTGATCACCCAAAGACCTCATTCCCTGATCGGCTTCGTGCCTCTGCACAAGAGGACTCCAACCCTCGAACATCATCTCAAACTCCTCGTCGGTTCCGCCCAGTTCCCAGCCTGCTCTCACCATACCATTTCTCACGGCGGGCTTTTTGACCATTCTATCGAGCCAATCGTCCACGCGTGGGAGGGTCGGTGCCTTGAGCCTTCGATGCAGAGCGTAGACGTAGGGCAGCAAGACGAGGTCGGGGAGTGTGCTAGGTAAATAGAGACTTGTCAGCGCGTATCCTGAGCACGGACTGAACGCCAACTAAAGCAGTCCGAGGAGTGATCCAAGAGGAATGATTAGTGAATTAGAACGTGGAAGGGAAGACGTACACCTTGCGTCCCACAACCCACTGCTCGCGCGACCAGACCAGACCGTAGCTCAGGGCACAGAATGCGCCTGCGTCGTCGCCGAGATTTTTAATGTCCTGCTTAACTTGCTCATAGCGAGTTTGAACCTTGCTGGCCATAAGACTGCCTTCTTCATAGGAGATTTTGTGGTGCTGGTCATGGTTCTTGACCAGAAAGGTGAGAATCTCCTCATTGTGGACGATGACAGTGTCATTTGGAACGTTCAAGTTTAACGCGGGCTTGTCGTCGTCCGTCTGTTCGAAATCGACACGATATTTGACGCTGGATGGTGTGTAGTCAGTGGGGTGCTCTTCAGAGGGAGGATTGTAATGTGGTTGCTTACCCTAGAATGGACATCGCCATCGCAGCAGCTGTTCCCAAGCGAGACTCCTTCTTGCAGATAAGAGTGTATCGTCTCTCCTGAATCGGTTCCTCGTTGAGGGTTGCGAGGAGAGCCTCGGAGGGCCAGATGCCGAAGACGGACATTTTTGCTAAGGGTGACAAGTGCTGAAGATGAGGTGATGAGGCATGAACAGACGATGAGACTGGGCGATGCGCTGTATTTAAGCACAGCTTTGGCAACGCTTTATGAATTGACTCTTGTGGTCGAGTGGTGGTGGGGTCGAAAGGTGAAGCCGGTCAAGAGGAGGTGAATGAAGAAGACACGAAAGGATGTGAAGGTAGCAAACGACGAGACAGGCTCAACAGCGGTAGTCACTAGAGCCGGTCTCGAGCTGTAGATGATTGTATCGGGTGAAATGGAAGAGTGAATCTGATCAAAGACGGGAGAAAAAGGGCAAGACAGGGAGACAGCGTAGGTGTCAATCAGACGGATCAGCAGCAGTATCCAGTAAGTGGTCTCAGAAACGCAGAAATTTGAATAGAGTGTCGCTTGCAAAGCAGTGTAGAATGGATATGTGAACTCGACTGGTGGTGAAAGGAAAGGAGGAATCCAGACGACGAGACGATGAGGGGTAATGAGAGGACCGAGCAGGAGGACTTCCCGACTGATCTCAACAACAGAGGTGCGTGACTTGACTGTCTCTGTAAACAGGTAGGGAATTGAAATGTGAGCCTGGCTGTTAAGGAGAAAAGGCAAAGAGGGAAGTGGAATAGAAGAGCGACCTTGACTGAGGATAAGAGGAAAAGAGGGAATGTAGAGGAGAAGGGGGAGAGAAACAGGGAGATGCAATGAGCAGTAGACTTTACAACTAGTCACAACGACAGAGAGACTTGAGCTGAACGACGTTGTGAACTGTTGTAGAATGAAAGCTTGGAGCAGACTGCTGAGGAGGGGAGAGACAAAGAAGAAGAAGAGGAGGAAGAGAGGTGGGTGGGAGAAAAGAAGAAGAAGAGGCGAGCTGGGTGAAGCACACGACAACAGAAAAGGGAAAACGGGGCAGAGGGCTTGTGCAAATAAGCCAGAGAGGGGGGGTCACGGTCACCAGGACCCTGCAGGCAAGAAACTTTTACATTGAGGGCAGATTCACTCCCTGCAGCTCGTGATTTCCTGCCTGGTGGATTCGAAGACGGCCACCAAAACAGAATCGCTTCTTGCCTGACGGAAGTACAGAGGCTTGAATCTTGCTAGTATCTTGGAAGTTGCAGAACTCTCCAAGTCTTTCGCTATAATCTAGTAGCTCAAGGAGAAACAAAAGGAGTCAGGGGAGTCAGTGGGAGCCTTGAAGCAGACTGATGGGTGCCCATTCGGTAGATTTCGACCAGGCTTTACAGGCTTAGTCGTCTAATCTGCAGCTGGGAAGCCTTGTAGGGCCATTGAAAAATTCTCAGAAGAAAACAGCTCTGATATACAACCAGCCAAATCGTAGTCCTAAGCGTACAAAAGCGATAAGAAAAAAAGAAAGACAGAGAGACAGAATATTATCCAACAATGCCCCATCCCAAGCAGAAACACCTCCGTCCAAAGAATTTCCCAGCCGTAGACTGTTCCTGAAGATGCCAAATCCATCACAAGCCGTTTCGTTCCAGCAGATCGTCATAGGCAGGATCCCCTTTCCGCCATCCAACCGATGCCATTGCATTGAGGGGTGCTGGGGTCACACGCCCAGGCGCTGTACCAAAGATTAGTCCGTCTAAAAAGACAGTTTCTGGCTTCCTGAAAGGGAATAAAGATGCTAAACGAGACTGGGAAGAAGAGAAAGTCGGCAATCGAGCTGCATGTCTTGTCAGGAACAGCAAACCCACAAGTCTCACAAGGTGCCAAAGCGAGATGCAATTGAGTCTGACTTACGTTGTACGTCCGACGTACCGACAGGAACGTTCCTCGCACAAATACGTTTCCAGGTCGAATGCGAAACGAACTGGGTCGCCGGCCTGGATGCGTTCCATCATCCGGTCGATTGGGATCTGCACTATCTGGGATTCCAGTGTGTCTTCTTCGTACTTCCGTTTCTTTTCAGTGTCTAGCGTCTTGAGAAGGTGCGGCACAATGCCGAAACCACCTATAGTCTCGTCGGTATGCGGATCGTGCAGGGCGGGTTGAGTCCACGCCGACGTCTTTCTCGTCCCAGCACACACGGTATTGGGCGCTGGTCTGTCAGTCCAATGCTATCAGTCCGGAAGACTGTTCTTGCAAGCTTACTTGTACCATTGGAGTATCAGGGCCGCGCTGGCGCCAATCGGGACCTTCTTCGACAGTACAGGCTGTAATGGATGGGCACTGAGGGCGGGGAGGTGGTTGAGGAAGACCTTGATCGAAAGATGAGGAACAGGGCTTCTTATGTGCTGAATCTGGCGAGGCGACTGTAATCAGAACGCTGGAAGTGTGAAGATGTTGAGAGGTTAAGATGTGAATATGAGAATGTATCGAGGTTTGCGTTTTGAAGGACGTGAAGGAAAGAGAGCGGAGGGGCAGGAAAGGAAGAGCAAGGCTGGTCGTTTTATCAGGCGAGGGAAGCTCAGTGAATCACCCTTGCGCCCCACTCACGTAGACGGACAGCCTGCAGTGGCTTCACACTTCATGTCCAATAGGATCAGGACAGGACCTGCAGTCGCTGGGCACCCGTGACGTGCTGGGCGAGGTGGATCGAGGCGAAGACGGCCAATCGAGAGGACCTTGATTGGCGGAGATCAGACGCACCCTCCCGACAGTCCTCAGTTACCTGCAGCTCTACTTTGCTCGAGGTGGGGTACTATGCGAGACAAAAGGGTGACCTGCGCAGGACTGCAGCGTCCAAGACGAAAGGAAAGACTGTTGGTGGCTACGGTATGATTTGCGCCAGGTTTGAGTTTTTGACTGGCTTCAAGAAAATGACTTTTTTGCCTCCGTAGCAGCAAACTCCAAGAAGGATGGAAGCCGCTGCTGGCTAGGCACGTGCAGCTCCGTGTTGTTCAAAATCTGAGATTTCCCAGAAAAAGCTTGATCAGGGCGGTCCAAGTGGGAAAACCAGTGGCGGCTGTCATATGCCTTTGCAGCGGACCTGGATTTTTAACTAGCACTGGATACATCATTCTATTTCTTGCATTGCAAACAAACTCAGAGAGAGAGATCGCCCAGTTCTGCGAGATTGAAAATCGTCGAGGCCCAGCTGTAGGTACAGAACATGTAGCTCCGCTTTGCTCAAGGTGAGAAGCTTACGAGGAAACTGACCAGCGGTAGCTGTAATCTGGCTGAGAGTCAAATTTGGCAGATTTGGCTTTCGGGCTGGCTTTACTAGATGGATGAGCCTTTGCACCCGATCGGTTGCAAAGAAAACTTGGAAGACGAGAAAGAAATCAGTCTGCAAAATCGATAGAACCGAGATTCCAGCTGTGGGTGCCGAACCTATAGCTCACGTCTGAAGAGTTTCGCTCAGGAGAGGCTCGGTTGTTCCGGTCAAGCAGCCTCAGACTGGGGTTGTTGAAAAGACTATCAGTGGGTGTAATACCGTTGTCCGTCGAGTAGTGTAGTCAAGGACATCAGGACACATGTGTTTACGGACCAGGACCTGCACCCATCGAAAGTTTCGATTTCTTTTCTAGGCACAGGGACGCCGACAAGGGCAAGAACAAACAGGCGCTGCAATACCATCAACTCATCTCGATACATAAATGACACTCCAATCCAAGGTTCTCTCCTGTACAAAACTCGGTCCATCCGCGTCTCTTCAAATCGCACGAAAATGTCAACCGCCACCAGCACCCTATACAAAACTCCGTATCCAAGTTGTCACAGACCCCCATTTATCTGTCGATCCACTCAGAGTCGCCCTTGATAAAGCAAGCCCCTTGCAAGCAGATCTCTAAATTTCTTACTCTCAAAGTCCCAGCCTGCCCCGAGGACCCCCTTCCGAAGATCGCTAATTGCGGCCATCTGGAAATACCATTGGCGGACATTGGGGAACATGCCAGAATCTATGGCGGGAATGCAGTTCAAGTAGATGTACGGAAACCAACCAATGTCGGCGAGTGTGCTGTGCGCTGTTAGCAACCTTGGTCAAGCTGAGTGGAGGAACGGAGTCCCATACACTTTGTTTCCGACGACATGGAAACCGACAGAGTTATGCAAGTAGTACTCGAGCTTGCATAGCATGGTTATAGTCATGTCGTTCTCGCCAACACTCTCAAACACAAACTTTGCCCGATCGGCGACCATGGCGGCTTTGGAGCTTCCCTTTTCGTAAGAGAACTCCTTCTCGGTGTCGTACGTTTGAAAAAGATACTCGACGATCTGTGCTCCAAAAACCGTCTCCTCGCCCCATTTGCCGTCACCTTCCCTAATGGGTTCACTAAGCATAGTGGTGCCATGCTTATCAAAGGCTATCCCGTATGGTATTCTGGAACCGAGTTAGTGAGTTTGATAGAGGCGCGTTGGGAGGGTAGTTACCCGAGGAGCTCCAGGGTTATCGCGACGCTCATTGTGAGTGCTGCTCGCTTTTTAGTGTAGACAAATGGAATGATGGGCCTAAGCCGAGGAGCCTCGCCAGCCGACATATCCACAGTATCACCGTTCTCCATTGCTAAGGTTTGTGAGTTGAGCAACGTTTCTGTAGGCTGCGACGAGTGAGTTGAGGTCTCAGACAAGCAGAGGAGTCACGAGGACCTGGTGTTGTACAAAAATCCAACAGTCTGTGCCGCGATGGATCGTTAGTTCTGCGATAGGACGTGACGACTAGAAGCCAGAGTGGGTGTGCAAATGGTAGAGCAAGGGGAGGGAGAGAGCGTACTGACGATTGTTTAATGAATGAGAGGTAGCTCTGAATCTGATAGTAAAAAAGTCGAGGCCAAGCGAGTGGTTGGAGAGAGGAGGTAGGAGGGAGAGAGAGGAGAGGGAGAGGAGAGTTTAGATCAGTGTCGGGTGGAAGCCTGGAAAATCAGTGCGGCCTTATAGGTCCTCAGGCACCCCAGGATTTCTCATTCACTTCTTGCAGCTGGGTTTTGTCCGTCACTCACCCTCGCGTCTTCGCCACAGGACACCGCAGCGCGTGGCTGGCGCGTGCCTCGACCATGTTTGTGTCCCAGGATCGAATCCCAGCATGACAGACCTTTCACTTAACAGTTTACAAGTAGAAGGAAGAGCGTTCTAACTTCGTCTCAACGTGCTTGAGGCATCCAGAGAGCTTTGAGCTGCGCAAGGCTGAGCGTCGAGGGGTTTCTATCTCTAAATATTACTTGGATTGCCAGAAAAGGAAACCTGGTCCTATACCCCAGCCTGTGGACATTGCAACCGCTTGGAGCTACGCGTAGAATTGCTGGAAATACAATCCGGAAAAAGACCTTGGCTCGCAAGCTCTCGAGTGAATCTCTGGCGGTGGTCCAGGACAGTCTGGAGTGACGTCCAGCCCCACTGTGATCTGATGCCCGTAGCGCCCCGCAATCTATGATGGTCAACCTTTCTTGAATCCAAGAACTAAGCTTCCTGAACGCTATTCCAGCTGTCCAGCATCTAGAACGGACTTGATCTTACTACCCATTTTCCGATCGTGTTTTCATTTACGGCTCTTGATTTACTTTCTACGATCCACCCTCGGAAGGGACTCGGCTTCTGCGTCGCTTGCCGTCGATTTGTCGAATTGGGAAGTCTCTAGCTTCACCAGCAGACTTCACGCTTCATCTTTCCGTTCGGATATTGCACTTGGGAGCCCAAAGAGACGAATCAAACACCAGGAAAGATATGTTTGAACAACATTTCCTGCTTTTCGGACATTGCAGCGACAGAAGACATCGCCAAAGTCTTCAGAAGGAGCGACTCGAGATCTGAGCCCGCGGCTCGGCAAGATACCAATCTCCAGTGTTGGCTCTCTCTCTTCCCTCCCTATTACTTTCTCGATCTACAATGCTGATAGTATCGGCGGTCGAAGGAGATGAGCAAGATTCTCTCGACCGTCAAACGGCCTCCGTCAAATTCCCTCGCTCGATCCGTCCGGTTTCCTCCTTCCACTCAGTCTCCGTCTGTGGCAGCCAGAGAAATGCGATCCCAAACTATGAGCATAATATACATCGCCCGCCTTTTTGCAATTCTCGTTATCCTCTGAGCTACAGGGATAACCTCGCCTGACACGCCTCCCTTCACTGGCCAAAAGGGAACGGTATCGTGCTACGAGACGGGCAAATGGGCATCGATACAGCGGAAGCCAGGACATCGGGGAAGGCATTGATGACAGAAGAGCATGTGTGGCACACTCTGAGAAACATCCTCGACTACGGAGCCATGGTGCTTGTGGCTTTTGTCGGAATTTCGGCAGAAAAGTCAGCAATCATCGATGCGAAATTACGCAGGAACCGCACCGGCGACAGCTCATATAGCATTAGGGAATCAAACGTATATAATATTTGAACCCCGAGAACTAGCACTTGACAACACGTCGTGCCTAACCGTCACTACAATACTAGTCCTCTTATTTCAGGATGTTGCTCCTGTTCCAGTTGAACCCGCAGGCGTGTCCTGTGAATCCAATGCCAATCCGTACGATAGTCACCCAAGTCGCGGCCACGATAAATCCATGGCAAAACAGGCTGGGCTTTGGGAGGTTGAGGATACTGTCGGACAGCTGTGGCATTGACAAGGTCTTCTTGCCCTGGGCCAATCTCCGATTGCGCCGGTAAGTACCGTTCTGTGTCCTGGTCCCAAAAGCACTCTTGGAAGTACGTTACTAAATGTAACCTTTTCAGATATGGCACCCAAGACGAGACACACAACTGTGTCCCTGGATAACGTTTCCGAAGGCCATTGCAGCCAGCTCCCGCTATGTCGCGGAATCGGTGGGCCTTCATAAGGCCTCCGCCCACCTCAGCAAGACATCTTGACGATATACGAGTTATTTACAGCCCGAGCTCCCTCATATCCGAATAATAATCATACTCAACTGCTTGTCCTGTCGCACACGCGCCCTCCTAGCCTTGCTCTGGGACGAAGCTGCGGTTTCCTGAAGAACTGGTGGCGCTTCGATGATCTGCTGAAGGCCTGAAAGTCAGAGCATCTGGTTGCAAAAAGACTTGAAGGGCAGAAAAGGCGATTGACACTGCGCGAAGTTGATGCGGTCATCCTTGCTGGGTGTTGGTGCCTGAGGTGTCAGCACAGACGAAGCCCTAATTCGACAAAGCCTCTCGGACCACTTGACGCCGTATCATTACTCCGCAGAAATAAGACGCGATTTTTCGAACTTTCCCTGTCAGCAAATTCTGTTTTCCAGTCTCAGATTTGTCTGGTCCCTACAACAAGCGATTCAAAGCTGTTTCGCCTGCCCTTGGGTGGGAGTTCCCGCTCCGCATCTCACGCTCCCCTCTCTACAGGATATTGTACGGTGAACTCATGGGCAGTTAATTCATTAACGAGCGTATAGCACTAAGCTGGCTATTTACAAACAGCACGATACATCAACTGACTGTCCAAGCACTGGAGCACTTGCGGTCTCCGCGAGCGGCGCCGTTGGCCAACTCCCTGATCATCCGTTCATCTAAGTCCAGTCGAGCGTCTTCCAGTGATCGGCGATGAGCTTAGGCCCGTACGTGACCTCATCCGGCGCGGACGCAATCACTCTGATCTTGACGTACCGGTCGCCTTTGAAAAAGTACGCGACATCAGAGCTACCAGGCTGCGCAAAAGCGGCATCGACGGAATCGAAGCCCGCGGAGGTCAAACCAGGCCACTCCTTGGCCAGTGCAGCGGGACCATAGACAATCTTGTCCTGGTCGACATTGACACGGACGTAGTTGATGCCGCGGAAGAAGTACACCTCGCCCGACTTGCCGGGTACTGGAAGTGCGGCGTCAATGGTGTCGAATCCCGCTTGGCCGAGACTCTTCCATTTGTTGGTGATGACCGAAGGCCCCTCGACAACGGTATCGCTGGAGGTAGAAGGAATGACTTTGACGCGGGCGACGCGGCCGCCGAAGAAGAAGTAGGACTCGTCCTCGCTGCCTTGGACTGGGAGGACAGCTTCAACGCTGCCGAAGCCGATGGACTTCAGCGAGGGCCAGTACTGGCTGATTGTAGCAGGGCCAAAGGTGATTTTCTCGTCGGAGCCGCTGGGGACAAAGTCGATGCGGGCATAGCGCCGGCCGCCAAAGGCATAGGTTTGCTTCCCACCTGGGTGGTAGTAGATTGCATCAACCATTTTGAGGGTAGTTGGATTGGTCTTGGGGGTGTGGTGGTTGTTTGAGAAATGTGATGGGATTGGGGATGTTGTTGGTATCGCAGATTGGGAGGGCGAGATGGGGGTTCTTATAGATGAGGGAGCTGGGTCGACCCTCGTCTCTCACGAATCATTCCTTGCGCAATATCGTGCAATATCGTGCAATACCCAGGCGTCTCTTGCCAATGGTGATCCCTACGCACCTGGCAGAGCTCAGCCTGGGCCCAGAGCGTGAGGCGCTCACTCACTGGACAATTCATTGATGGACTCTGCAAGTTTCATCACATTTCGTCAGAGAGCGCCAGTCAAAGCGCCGTCCAGTGCGTCATCTGCTGCAAAGACATTGATGTGGCTAGCTGAGGTCTATTGCAAAGAGATATTTCCGAGACGCTCCGTGCTGCAGTTTGTTTGCCATTTCGTAATGAGATGTCGACAGATCTGCACGGATTGATCGTAGTTCTGCAGGATCGATACGCTTCTGAGGCACGAGCATGTGGACCCATCGTTGTGGTTCCTAATTGAACAAGCAAACAAGCCCAATGACATGCGACGGGAGCTAGAATCGCGTCATCCATCGCCCCTTCGCTAGCTCATGGTGACCCTCTTTACCTAAGTTCATGACATCTGACTATCCGGCAACCCTTTTCCATTGCTCAAACAACCTGTTTTTTGTCTCCCAATCTGATGTGAAGGCACATCAAAACAAGCAAAAGGAGCTACCCCGCTCATTTGAGGGGAGACGTGTCAGACGGACAAATGCGGGCTCTTCCTCCCGACAAAGCAAACATGGCGCTTATGCCCTCACAAATAACGTCACCCAGCCTTCCCTTGAGCACTCGACCTCGATTACGGCGCCACTGAAGCGCTTAGTGATCTGCAGGCATGGTGTGCTGTCGATGTCCTCAGCTCAAGTCTAACACCGAACATGGATCGTGCTTCTAGGCGTTTCGCTCTTTCCTCGCCGATCTCGCCCCAATCCAATCGACAGCTTTCTGTCTCTTAGATCAGCAGACTCAAATCAATAAGCATTACCGGGCTAGGAGGATCTTTATCATTTTGACGAGGTACGATGTTCTTCTCTGGCTGTTCTCCCGAGAGTCACTGCGTGAAAAGGTTGGTGGACGCATACAGTGAGTTGATGAGCAATGGGATCCGGATCTCTGGATATGCATGATCGATCTTGGTTTCGCCGCGTCAGATGCAGCATCCCCATATGAGTCTTTCCCAATCCTTCGCCCTTGTGTAACAATTGACATAAGGGATATCCTTCAGTGTAAAAGGCTGCCAATTATGACTTTACGGCCTTGGAAGATGCAAGTGCCAGCACACCTCGAAGACTGAGGATGACGCTATGCTCACTAGGTAACAGGTTCGTACGGCCATTCACTTTGATCCTTGCAGCCGCCAATCTTGTTTCGAAGTATTTGGGTTTCTCTTTGTTGCACCAGCACAGCCCACTGCTATGTTATTATCTTTGTTCTCATTGTTGTTGTCGATGACCTGCTAGTATAATTCGTGTGTTTTGTTACATGGTTGGTTGGCGTCTCCCTTTGAATTATGTGACGCGATTTTCACAACCTCAGGTGATATTTTGCTTATACCGCCCGATATTGACGACTTCGATTTTTATGCAAGATGGCTAAGGTCTGCAACCTTCGCGGCCTAACCCCCGCCCCGAGGTAGTGTGAAATTCTCGCCTTCATCCCTCGTGGTCTCGGAGCAACGAGAGGTCAGATGCGACCCTTTGCAGAGCTGCAAACTGAGTCCGCCTCTTATCAATACAGTTTCGATGGTTTCAGCCGAGGGCTGGCGAAGATGGAGCTGGCGAGACCTCTACAGGAAGAGAGGCTGATGCAGAGCCTCAATGCCTCTACTGAGGCATCTCTTCCAGCATGCATGGATGTCTCTCAAGGTACCCCACAAGGGGGATATTCGGCTTGTCCCACTCAAGACGGGCGGGAATGTCGGAAACAGGCACGATGAACAATCGTTTCTCTTTCTAAATAGGTACGGATTTCTTTCTCAGTAGGGCAAAGTCCAGCGCCGATATTTTTGAGCACAGCTATAAGCAGATTGCTGACCTTATCTACTAAAGGCAACAAGGGCCCGGGAAATCGACTTCACAGCTTCTAACTTACGTCGGGTTAACGTGCACCGAACCTGAGCCTTGAAAATCTATTATCGTGGCCCGTACTGGCCGTATCTCGTGGAGGATTGGCTTGCAAGGCACGAACCAATCGCCCACTGTGTGTTTAAGGGTGGGTGGTCTCCTCTGCGATTTGGCTTCAACGGCTGTCTCCAGCTTGAACCCGGCACAACGAGTCAATAACCAGTCAGCACTTGCTCTTCGTTCTACCAAGAAACCACCAAGAGTATCGCATTTCGCTTCGCGGTCACACACCGAAATCAAAAGCCAAGTCAGAAACCATGACGATGATTAAGAGTAGAGACAAAGGTGGCCAGGATCTGCAAGCCACAAGGCGCCCAACTGATCCTTCCCACAAGCCGAACCAAACAGAGGGCGCCGGATGCTGGTGCAGCCGCCTGTCTCATCAATCAAGTTGCCGAGATTCATCCAGAATTCTTCCCGAGTGAGATTGGACGTGATGTAACGTGGCTCCGACCCCAGAGTGGCGACACCCCGCATGCTTCGGGGCGATGATCGCCCGACTCGGTGCGCGAATCCCGATAAGATCGTCGGCTTACATCCCACGCATTCGACAGCCGCTACGTCGGTGGGGAGGCTCTGTGGGCTCGCTCGGGGGAATCCAGGGCGACCGTCTGGGGATTTATGATCCCCAGGTTCGTTTCCCGCGAGTTGGCAGGCTCCATCTCCAGATCAATTCCCGGAGGCCTTTTCACCACCACCAAGATGCATCTCTGGAAGCACGAGTTTCGAGGCAAGGCACTGGTCTTCGCTATTGCCGCCGCCTCATGCCAGGCCTTTCTCCTCCTTGGCTTCGATCAGGGCGTCATGGCCGGTATCATTGGTGCTGAGAACCGATTCGGGCGCGATTTCAACAACCCCGACGCTGACATGCAGGGGAACATTACCGCGCTGTACGATATTGGGTGTGTGATCGGCTCGATTGTGTGTTATTTTGTCGGTGAGCGGTTTGGTCGACGGACAATGCTCATCAACGGAGGAGGAATCATGATTGTCGGTGCTATTATTCTGACGACGTCCGAGACTGTTGCCCAGCTCATTGTTGGGAGAATTGTCACTGGCATTGGGAACGGAATGAACTCGTCGACTGCGCCCGTTTATCAGTCCGAGTGTGCGCCGTCTAGATATCGAGGTGCACTCCTTACACTCCAGGGGACGTTTACTATCCTTGGTGTCGTTATTGCTTATTGGTATGCCCTCCCCTCCTCCTCGAAGACAGTCCTAACAACAGCAGGATGGATTACGGAACGAGCTTCACAGAATCTTCCTTCCAATGGCGCTTTCCTCTCGCCTTCCAAGCCGTCTTTGCCATCCTCCTCGTCCTGCAAGTCATCGGCCTCCCCGAAACCCCTCGCTGGCTTGTGCAGCACGACCGGCACGAAGAAGCCCGCGCCGTCGTCGGTGCCATCGAGAATAAACCCAGTAACGACCCCGAGGTCATTCGCACAGTCCTCGACATCCAGGTCGGAGTCGAAGAAGAACACAAAGGCGGGCCCTTCCGCTTCAAGGAACTCTTTACCTGGGGCGATGAGCAGAACTTCCGTCGTCTGCTTATCATCATCTCCGTCGAACTAGGCCAGCAGTTCACTGGATCCAACATGATCAATTACTACGGTCCTGTGATGTTCCAGACGACGATGGGAATGGGTCGCAATCTCGCTATGATCCTTGGCGGGGCTATTCAGTGCACTTATCTGGTTGGGTCTGCGATCCCCGTCCTGCTCATGGACCGTTTCGGGCGGCGGACATTGCTTATGATCTGCTCGATCGGGCTGTGCTTTTGCTTCGTCATGGTCTCGATCTTGCTCTCGCTTGAAAATACAAACGCAGCATACGGTGCCACAGCGTTCATATTCATCTTCCAGCTGTTCTATGGGACTGGATGGCTTCCCGTCCCATGGTTCTACCCGAGTGAGATCTCGACGACGCGGACTCGCACTCGCATGCAGGCCATTGCCTCGGGCTGGAACTGGATGGCTGTCTTTGCCGTGGTGAAAATCACACCCATCGCTTTTGGTATGCTTTGTTTCACCTCTCTCCATCCTGCTCCGATAACAGAACTGACAAATCATAGACAACATCGGCTGGCGCACGTTCATAATATTCGCCGTGCTCAACGCCGTCTTCATCCCCATGGTCTACTTCTTCTACCCCGAGACCAAGGGCCTCGAGCTTGAGGATATTCCGCTCCTCTTTGCGAAGCGCGGGTTCACGGGTGGTGTGTTTACGTCAAAGGGTGGACGCACGGTCATCCCTGGGCAGCATGCACAGCAGACGGAGGTTGGCAGGAAGGTTGAGGGGTTGGGGGTTGAGCAGGTGGAGACTGTTACGTGATTTTATAGCTCGAAGGAATAGAGTGGTCCAAGGGTATACTTGAATACATATCCGCAATATACCAAATACATGATAGTAGGTCTCCTTAAGAGTTTATCATATATCCTGCCCATCGAGGCCATATGTAAACTCGATTATTTTATATTCAGGTCTAATTGAGGACACAAGTGTCGAATTTCTTATAGATAAGACTACTCCTAGCAGACCTCGCCGGCCCAAGGACTCTTGGTTCTCAGTCTTCGCGAGCTTCACGAATCCTTGTGTCTACGCATTAGAACTCAAAGTGAATCAATCCCTAGGTACACCAAAGGATTCGGATGTCGTTCGCGTTGCGCACTTTGTGGCTATTCGACAGTTCTAGTTTGAATTGTGGATTTCGTACACCATCTGCCTCTACACATTGCAGCCATTGTTTCTGGGTATATAAAGCAGGGTAGTACTAGTAGGGCACCGTTTGAGCAGTATCAAGTACGAGCCCCGGCTGTCCGTATTTTGTACCCCGAATTGGACTTTGGTGGTTTGGGACTGTTACCGCTTCTGAGCTGGGTCCAAATCACTATTTATGGCATTCTGTTACTATTTCCTCCCATGGTGAACTTGGCAACCTATGTCTGGATCTAGAGTAAAAGCGATAGTGTGTTAGGGTTGACTGTCCCCAATGATATATTATCTGACTTGGCCAAGCATCACGCGCTTGGGTGTATACTTTCGTCTAAGCTCATTAAGTGTTTGATTAGAAGATACCTAAATATGTCAATTTCCCAGCGGAATGTCTAAGGAAACAGCCTGTTGGTATTATTATAGAGCCACCTGACGCCCATATGGCCGAGTCCAGCACCTTCCATATGCGGTTGCACCAAAGACCCTCGGCCAACTCCCCATTTTTTCGATTACACTCGATGACCTCCTGTTTCTCACCACCGCTCACTACCTCTTTCGAGGAATCTCATTCTTATTCTATCCTTATTCTATTCTTATCCACCTCACCAGTCCCCTCTGCTCAACCTCCACCCGCCAAAATGCAATCCCCAGCGACGCCCCCTCCAGACACGGCCCTCCCCTTCTCGTACACGATCACCCCCCTCGAACCCACCGAGTACACCATCTCATTCACTCTAGCAGACACCTGCTTTGCACCCCTCGGCACCCTCCTCTTCAAAAAGAACAGTTACCCACCCTCAGCGACCTCCTCCGCCCAACGCACGAAATCCCGAATCGCCCGGCTCAACAATATCTCCCCACAGCCCACCCTCTTCAAAGCAACCGACGCCGCGACGGGAGAAATAATCGGGGTTGCCCACTGGACGATCCACACGGACGATGAAGAAGTCACTCAATCCGTCGCCGACGCAGTGGCTGATATCGTCGCGGCCTCGATCCCAGAGATGAACCGCGACGCAGTCCGGGGCTTCTACACGATGGTTACGGAGGGGAAGAGGGATGTCCTCCGGGTCGATGTCCCCGTTCGCGGGGTCTATGGGCGAGTGGGGAAGACATTCCCTGTCGTCAAGCTGTCCCGGCGCGTCGAGCTCGAGACGGTTTTTGTGCATCCGGATTTTCGGCGACGGGGTGTTGCGACGCGCTTGTTGGAGTGGGGGATTGCAGAGGCGGAGAGGTTGAACTTTCTTGTATATCTTGAGGCGACGGAGGAGGAGAGGAGGGTTTATGAGCGGGTTGGGTTTGAGGTTGTTAGGGGGGAGCGGTTTGATGCGGCGCGGTTTGGCGGGGAGGGGGGGTGTGAGTATACGGTATGCTTTCCTCCTTTTATGTTCAACCGAGAGGGTATCTGGTTGTTTTTAGTGTGATAGTGGTTGGTCTTGCTCTAATGGCCTGATAGTTTATGGTGAGGAGGCCTACGGAGCTGATGGCGGATTAGATCACGAGCTGTGGACGGCAGACGTGGGGATGTGAGGTAATACTGACTTTTCCAATTGGAATGCGATTTCTCAGGCGGAGGGAGGGTGGTGCAAATTGGGTCTCCGGCCTGATTATATTCCCATCCTCCATCTCTTGATCCTTTGCCCTACGCTACTACCTCTTTGGCATCCCATTATTCAACTACTCTCCACTCAGCTCCCATCAACCATCGGCATGCCCGGCCAGATAGTTCCCAGTAGCTTGTCCAATCCCAGTATTCAGGTCTGACGCAGCACTCTACCGCCTGGTCTCCGGACCACGAAGACCACGATAGCTCGCTGCGTAAATCCTTTCTCACTCAGCGTAGCCACTCACAACCCCATCATGATAGTAATCACAACGCCAGGAACAAAAACTCGCCCGGCTGGGAGCAGGGACATCCTCAAATGCACCCCATAACTTGGAATTGCCCTTCGAGGGAACATCTGTAGACATCTCAAACTCCATATCCACCGCGCATCATTCTCGCGCGGTTGCGAGGCGCAGTAGAATGGCGATAGATAGTTATCAGCGATACTGGATGTTCACGTCCCCATTGGCCCCGTTACACGTCGGGCAACATTATTTCTGGCAGGCACGCAGGACGCCTAGTGTGGTGACTGACGGGTCGATTCCTCTGTCTGCTAAATAAGTGGTACGAAACAAAGCAGAGGGGCAAGGCTCTTATGTTTTCGGATCGTGGAGCAGGCAGCTTTGATTTTTTTTGGATTAGTTGCTGCGATGTTGTTTTGAGAGGGGGAAACGCAAGAAGGCCAGGCGGTAGTACGTGCCAGACTCTCTTCGGCTGGATTGTATGGCTATTCAATGCCGAGAGCCGTCCTAAGGACCAGAGAGGGTGACTCTGTGACCATTATTGAGGTTACAGTGTAGAGGCAGGTAGATACCTTGCTTATAAGAGAGGGATCAATTGGATGGCGAGCCAGCAGCTTGAACCAGGTCCAATTGCTTGCTCGGTCTCACCCCTTGTTCGCGCTTAGAACAACCCAGAAACCACCGCAAGGCCCGCAACAACAATCGGCAAGACGAAGCCCGACACCCTCGCCGCGGAGTTTTCATCATCATCATCTTCAGCACCTGCACCTCCACTCCCACTCTCATCATCGCCACTCTGACTCTGGCTCTCATCCTGACTCTCACTGTCGCCTGCATCCCCCGCCGAAAGACAAACAAACTCGACATCAATCTCCTCAAATGTGACATTCTTCTCCCCCTCGTACTCCATCGTCTGCCAGTTCAGCACAGGCTCCAGGTAAACAGGGACGCGCGCGAGAATGCCCACGCCGATCTTGTCGAGTTGCGCGCTATAGCTGCGGGCGCGGTCGATCGGGGCTGAGTAGGTGGATGTGGCGTTTCCAGTCGGGAGGAGCTCGGGTGTCATCCAGCCGAGGGTGTTGTTGAAGGTTGCTTCAATTGCGAGGGCTGCCAGTGTGTTAGTATGGCTTGTTGGTAGCGGTAGGAGTACGCGTAGGGGTGGATGAGGGTGTTAGAGAGGGAGACGCACCACGCCCGTAACTTCCGTTCCCTGCGACAGTCGGATAAAGAGGGGAGTCATCGAAGAGATCACCGGGGCAGGAAAGATTCGTCAATGGCTTCGCATACAGATCATCAAGGGTCTGGTACAGCGACGCATTCTGACCCTCGGCGAGATGTCTCAGGATCCCCCACTTGAGCACATCCTTGAGATTGTCCGCACACTCCGACCCGATAATCCCGTCGCAGCCGCCATTATCCCCCTTGACGGTCTGCGACGCGTTACTGAAGAGCATCCCTACTTGCGAGATCACTAGGTCCTCATTGTCGACGTGGACTTCGGGGTATTGGACCCAAAAGGCGATGCGTTGGGCTTCGGTTGCGTCCTCGATTGTGCTGTATTGCAGTTCGTCGGAGCTGAGGGAGTCGACGGCGTAGACGAGGCTTGCCTGCGATGGGAAGAGGGGCTCGAATTCGAAGGTCTTTGTGCCGTTCGTTTGCGGGTTGATACAGTTTGATTCCTTGCTGTAGTCGCATGATTGTGCATTGGCGCCTGCAGTTGCGGACGCAACGAGGAAAAGAGTGAATACGGAGTTGGTGGTCCTCATGCTGGAAAGGTAAAACTAACGAACGTCGGGGCTCCAAGTCGCAGAATCTGAGAGGTTGACTCCGGTGCGCGAGGGTCGGGGTCTGATTTAAGTACCCTCGCAGGGGAACTAGTGAGGTCGGAACGAAGTGAGGCCGAGTGCTACGGTCCCATCAAAACGCCGACTAGAGACCCAAAGTTCTAAATAAGGGTGTCGTGCGGCGAATGTGCCTGTGAGAGGCTCATGCGCGCCAATGGAAACTGTCCTCGACATTAACCGATGCACGATTTGTGTCCAAGGTAGTTAGTGCAAGCGAACCCCGGGACCAAGAACCCCGACAGGCTCGGTTGATCAGGCACAAGGTGCGGTGGGAGATTAGCCTGCGCGCAAGGGCGAATCATCATTGTGCCCTGGTGTTGGGGCGCTTTTAGTGCTGGTCTTCTCGGAGACTATTTGGATTAAGGCAGGCTAAGCCGGATTCTCGGCTCCATATCCATCGTTGAGAATGGTCCACAAGTTGGTAGACAGCAAGTATGCCCAACTGGTCTCTTGAACGGTCGGGTCAATAGTGGAGGACAAGCCTTGAAGATATCACGTATATCAACCGAGAGGCTGACTCGATCGTACCCGTACATGGCGGGAACCGAAATGCTCAGAGGGGGAACATGTGGAGTACGAGTTCAGCGACTCACGGCGTCAAGAGACTCGTAACTGGTATCTTCGGTCGAACAATGTATTGTAGATTAGACCAGGCGCATGGAATTCGCTGCGAAGATAGAGAAGTGTTTTTTTGCTTTCCTACCGCACCCAGTCGCTTTGCACGCGCCGCAAATAGCGAAAGTCTGAACCCCCCAACCCGCCCAGGCAACCGGAATCACCATGCTAGTAAATTGCTCCGAAAGGCACAATTAGCCACCTGATAGCCTCGATCTTCTGATTGCGTTGCCGCATATACTTGGTAGTCGTGAAACCTCGACTTCGTGTCTGCGATGCTGAAGCGTTGCACAGCAGGTTGACGGGCCGTTTCCAGGCAAAACTCTTCATTCTGTTGGACTGGGTCTGGGATCTGGCACTAACATGATTCCAGCGACGGCGATTTCCTCCATTTGGTGCCTTCCATGAGTTCGGCCCATTATGGGACAGTGTTTGGTATCCAGCAAGCTTCTCCTGGCAAAGGACAGAGTAAGTTCTGCGGGATTCACTCTAATAGTCTGTCATTTTGTCTGCCATCAGAAGCCCTACCGTGGAAAAGTAATGGTACCGAAACGCACGGCGTTCAATCGTCGCAGGGGCTTGATTTGTCTCAGCTGCGTGAGCAGTAGCCACAGGCAAGCATTCCTCCGAAGAAACGTGAGTCGAGGGTATGGTTGGGTCGAAGCTTTCCTACGACTGCAATCCCTCCTGGGATCCTCTCAGGTTGATTCAATAGCGCTCAGGCTGGGTAGATGGTGGAGAATATCCGAAATGAGGCCGCTGAAAGGTTCAATTTGTTACTGCTTAGTTTCTGTAAGCGGGCAACTTTCAACAACATGAAGAATGTCTTCTTCCATTTTGAACATGCCATCTCGCCTTAGAAAATGCGTAGCTTTCAGAGGTTTTGAAGTGTATCAAAACAAGGAATGAATCAGCCAAAACTCGGTCTCTAGACACCCAAAGCCGAAAGACAAGTAGTCTCTCGAATTGCCGGATCTGCTCTGTCCAGGACTGCAACTCGTGGCTCCAGCCGCTCTGCAGTGCTTGTCCGCATACGTAGCCAAAGAGCTTGTCCTTTTCCCCGAGACTCCGTGAGACGGATGCTAGGCGGGGATTCGAGCTATGTGGTGTTTGTAGATCCTGCCAGCGTGGGAGAATGGATGTGTTGACTGTTGCAGAGAGATGTCCGAGGCTTTGGAAGAGATGATTCCAGCTTGCAAAACTTGTGCTATTCAAGGCAGCAGCGAGCCAATGGGGTCCAAGCGATCATGTGACCTTGGTCTCCTTAGTCTCGGCTGACCCGGACCGAGATTCCTCGTTTATCCACCTCACAGTCGACCTCATGCCAGATCAAGTGGGACGCGTTCATTTAGGTTTGTGATAGGAGGAAGCAAATCCCAATTGCTCCGACTGCCTCAAAAAGGTTACAACCCGACTGCCAGCGAATTCCTTTTGACCAGCCTTGAGCGATCCGTTATGACCCTCTCTGGCGGCCGTTCTACAGTCTCGCGAATGTCCACGCAATCCAGTACCAATCGGTGATGCTAGTACACCTGCGATAAGACCGCCTTCAAATGTCCGGACTATATCCGCCAGGTCGCATTGATCGAATCAAATCGAGAACAGGCTGCAAAACGTGCAAGTAGGTGCTTTAATCGATTAGGCTGTGCAACGCTGACGTGCCAGGGTCCGACGCGTGAAATGCGGGGAGGAGAAGCCATCCTGTGTCCGTTGTAGCAGCACGGGGCGACGATGCGACTACACAAATACCGCCACAACAGCGCAGTCCGCTGTGGCTCGAGCCCTGCCGACAAGTTCGGCTGAGTCCAGGGAGCGGCGTGCTTTTGAGTACTACTATTTCTCCGCTGCGCCGTCTCTCTCCGATGCGCTGGATCTGGATTTCTGGCGCGGCACCGTCCTGCAAATCTGCAGATCTGAGCCGGCGGTATGGGATGCTATTGTCGCTCTGAGCACCTTGTACGAACATCCTCTACACCCGGGGTCGCGGGCGACGTATCAGATCGACGAAACCGATCGTTTACCATCACCTCGATCGCGGAGCCATCGAGAAGCTCTGACCTGGTACTCGCGATCACTGCGCAAGATCCAACATCAAATCGATCAAGGCTTGGCCGACTACACTATGGCACTAGTTACCTGCGTGCTCTTTTTGTGTATTGAGATCCTCCAAGGCAACGTCAAAGCTGCCCTGTCATTGTACCATCGTGGGGTACAGTTGCTGTCATCGGCCGGATCTGCTTCTATATCCCGGATTCGAAAAGCAATCCTACCTGTTTTCCTCCGCGTTGCAACTTCAGCTGTTGTCATCAATGGTGTTGAACCGGTCCTCGATCGCCAATACATCGATACTTCAGGTGATGCTTTTACGTCCCTTTCCGACGCCCGGACGGCACTGCACAAGCTAGTCGCCGACTGGAAAATGTTTGACTGTGACTGTGCAGCTTTGCGCCAAGTGCCGGAAGCAAGCCTACACATACCTCGTCCTTTGCAGCACCGTCGAGATACATTAGAAGGAAATCTTCTAGCGTGGTACCGGCTATTCTGCGAAATGCCCGAGGTCAGCAAATCGTCTTCGCCAACTATAGCAGAGCACCATGGGGTGATAGCAACACTCCAGATGACATACAAGAGCATGCTCATTCTCACCCGAACTGCGTTTTCCGCTACGGAAACCAGCTACGACGCCCACGAAGCCGACTTTGCGGATATAATATCGCGCGCCCCGACAGCCCTCGCCGCGACAGCCCGCGAAACCGGCCAGCAGCCACCATTCACCTTTGACATGGGCAGCGGCACTCCGTTATTCATCACGGCCCTCAAATGCCGGACACCGTCTCTGCGTCGTCGGGCATTACGCTTGTTACGTCAGGCACCGCACGTCCAGGGCATGTACTTTTCGCAATCGGCGTCGGACTTTCTTGCGGCGATTGTCGCTGTTGAGGAAGGTGGAAGAGATTGCTCGGACGAAGAACTGTCATTCACCAGTGTGATCGCTCGCCCGGGGATTGTCCCAGAGGAGAGTCGGCGGATTTTTTCTCTACAATTGGTACCCTGGACAACGGCCGAAGGCGACAAGCGAACGGCGTTGAAGTACTCCAGGAGAGACCTAATTGATGGGAAGGTGCAGGTCGTCAACGACGTTGTCGTTTTACCAGCTCCGTCTCCCCACAGAGCGTTGAGCATCCTTTGATGTCCTGCTGCAGCCATGCCATCGAAACGATAAACCCTCTATTATCACTTGGAACGGCCTTCTATACGTCTACCCTCCTCTTTTCATTCTCTATCCACTCTGCTTGATCCCCTACTTCGTCTTGTTATATAACTCCTTAATCCGCCTCGCCAACTCCTCCGACTCGGCCTTGACCCACGGCATCGCATGGTGGTAGTTGATCTCGTACAGCGTGGCGCTCTCGGCGTCGTAGTAGTTGGCCAGCTGTTCGCGTCCCAGCGGCAGGAACTCGTCTTTCAGTCCGTGGAGATGCAGCGTCGGGATCCGGATGACTGTGTCTGGCTTTTCCATTTCTGCCGCAGTCAGCGTAATACACCACCAAATAACCGCGAGGAACCGGGAACACAGAATGACGAGGAAGAGAAGCAGAGAAAGGGAAACATACTGAACCCAATCTCCCCCTCCATCGGCGCCCCACCCCCCATACAACAAACGCCAAACTTCAGCTTAATCCCCCACGGAACCCCCTCCCCCGCTGTCTCTCTCCTCTGCTGATCCAACAACAACCCCCCAACAACTCTACTCCCCTGACTAAACCCAATAACGCCCACCCAATTCCCACCCGGAACCCTCTCCTGCATAAGCCTCCAAACCCTCGCCACACCATCGCTCCCCTTGTTATCAAACCCACTCCCATCGCCCGCGTTGGTCTCAGGGTGGAACCACGATTTGTACGGCGCGTACCCGTCGAATGCGGGCAGGACACCCGGGCCCGCAGAGCGCTCAAATGGCCCGTCGAAGAACTCGAGGCGGAATGTGTCGGAGAGCAGGCTGGTTAGGAACGAGCACTGGATTTCATATATGGAGGCGTTGGAGCCGCCGCCGTGGAAGGCCGCTATTATGGGTTTGGACATTGTTGGTGGATTGGTTCTGGGGGAGTGCGGGTTGTTGTTGTTGTGGTGTTGTGGTGTGGTGTGGTGAGGGGAAGGTCAGTGAGTGAGATTGCGGTGGGGTGAGACGGCGGGGCCGACGCGAGGGGTAAACTTGACGGTCGAAATAAGCATTTGGGCTAGCATGTAAGCTGTGTGTATTTTAGTCACACTGCTGCCAGCTGATTCCTCAAGTGTCATGCATCCTGCCGCTGCCCGCGTGGCTATTTTATTTCATTTTATTCCATACCACCGCAGATGCAAATGCAAATGCATGCAGTACCCCATCTCAGCACATATGCAGTCGACTTCCAGTTTCGAAATCGTCTGCAGGCGGGTAATGCAGGCGACTTTCAATTTCGAACACGCCGACAGCGGCGCTGATCCACCATGCAGTCGAAACCGAGTTTCCAATCCGAACCACACCGGCAGAATCAAGGTTTGTTTGCTGTCGTACAAGAAAAAATCCAATCATTTTTTATTCCCCTTCCGATTTTTATTTATTCTATTTTCTTCCTGCTGTGTCACAACGGTATTCCGATTCCTGTAAGTTTTGTATCTGTCTGCCGCTGCGCTCTGCCGCGCGCTTAGTTATCGCTGATGTTGGGTTTGGGTTTCGACTGCGTTTTGTTTGTCTGTTGGACAGCGTGAGGTGGTTGTGAGTTTATTTCGACTTCCAGCGCGAGCTTATTTGCACTTCACTTCCATGTTTTGGGCGTTGAGGTCGCGTCCAAAGATGATGCGGAACTTGTGTATAGCTGGGATGGGTTGGCTTTGTAAAGGGGATAAAGTGCGCTAGATCTGGTCTCGTTCTCTGCCTCGAGTAGATGCTTGATTTGATTTGATTATCCTTAGAATAATCCACTCTTTTGCGAAGATGATGCGAATGCGAAATATATACAGTAATAATCACCGACCACCGAAACCAAACACTCTCCTCTCCTCTCCTCCTTTCACATCAACCAACTCAATATTAGTGCTTGGGCTTGCAAGTCGACTTCTTCTCACAAACATTAAACACCGCAACAGACGGATCATGGTCACTGCTCGCATCATCATAGTTCAACCACGTGTTGACATGGACATGTTCCATCTTGGCGCCCTTGGCCAGCGCCTCAGAGACAAACATGTGGTCGAGCTGCTGGTGGTTCGAGTCATAGATGTACGTGTAGCGTTCCGTCTCGGGGATTCCCACGACTTCGTCCAGGTCGACGAGGCCCGATTTCTCAACAAAGGTCGTGAGCGGCTCGACGAAGGCGAATTCGTTGAAGTCGCCTGTTGCGAGGATCTTCGCTTTCGGGTCTTTCTCTAGGATGCCGGCGATGAACGATGCGATGACCTCGGCTTGTGCGATGCGCTGGTCGACGGCGCCGTTTACGGGGGGTCGGACGTCGCCCTGGAGGGATGTGCCGCCGCCTTTACTCGAGAGGTGGACGTTCACCGTGAAGAACTTGTTCTTCCCGTCCAGGGTTTCCCAGGATGCTGCGAGGGGCTTCCGCGACGCCTCCCACGCGCTGTTCGAGGGGTCGATAAGGCCCGGGTTATATTTCAGCTCAGCACCCGCAAGGACCTCGTTTGCGTCTGTGGAGGATCCGGCGTTTTCGTTGCGGAGGCGGATGATGCTGGGATCGTAGAGGTATGCGACGCGGATGTTGCCGCCGGGCTGGCCGCCGTCCGCGTTGTTGACGGGGACGATTTCGGTGAACTCGTAGTCTGGTCCGCCGGCTGCGGCGATGAGGTTTGCAAGTGTGGATAAGGTCACATTGGCAGAGACGACGCCGTCGTCAGTTGCGCCGGAGTTGTCCTGGATTTCCTGGAGGGCGACGAGGGCCGGCCCGTTGAGGTAGTTTGCGATGTGGTTCGCGATTCCCTCGATGTTCGAGGCGTTGGGGGTGAGGTTCTCGACGTTGTACGAGCCGATGCTGAGCGATCTGCAGGTGCCGTCACCGACAAGGGTGGAGGCGGGCGCGGCGGTGTCGTTTGAGGCTGTTACCTTGAGGGCTGTGGTGGGGAGGACCATGTACTGGCCAAAGACCCATTGCACGACGCCGGTGACGTCCTCGACGGTGTCGCCGACTTTCGAGTCGTCGCGGTTGCGTGTGCCATCGAGCGGTGTGCCGATTTTGATGGCTTCAGGGTTGGAGTCTGGAGTTATTAGTATAGTTTCAGTCTCAGGATCTAAGAAAACATACCCTTGGCAGTCATGGTCAGACCACCGTGCTCATTCAGGCCTGAAACAGCCCAGTTGCCTCGAACAAAGACATCGCCGTACTGGTTCGGCTTGGTGATGATGGTCAAGTCAGTCAACGAGACGAGCTCACCGCTGAGACTCTCCCAAAAGTCGAGACCATTGGCATCGGGCTTCAGGACGGGGTTCTCCTCGGAGATACGGCTGACGTTGTTTGGAAGCGCATAAATGTCACCAGTGTCGAGAGCAGAGTACACCTCTGTCGGGGGAGAGCGGTCCTTGCCAATCACGACGGGGGTCACCTCGTTGCCGCTGCTCTCGACAACAATGCTAGACGGGGAGGTGATCTCTGTCAGGTGGAGGTATGTGTCCTGAGACCGGTACTCCGAGACCTTTCCGCTGAGCGTGATGATGTCTCCGACAGTGACCTTGGAGACGGAACTGCTTCCGTAGACGTAGATGGACTCCGAGGTAGCATCGTCGGAGTCTGGAGTGGTCGAACGGATGAAGAAGCCGTTCTCGCCAATGGCCGTGACCAGGCCTTCGACGCCGGAAACGCTCTCGCCCTTTAGCGGGGAAAGGTACGTGTTTCCGTTGATTTCAGCGATTGTCACTGCCGCTACTGCAGAGGGCAGGACCCAGGATAGGGCAGAAAGAGACGCGAGGGACCTCATTTTGACGGCTGGGTCCGGAGTATTACATGCGACGAGAGGCGGGCTTTATAGGCGCGGGGAGATGTGAATCCTGTGATCGAGGCGATGGTCAGCCCCTGATAGTTGAATGTTATCAGGCGGGAGTACCTGAGCTACGAGGGGCGGCAGCCACTGAGATTGGCGGGTGATACCCACGTTGCAACGCCAAGACTGCGCCCAGCCCCGGTCAGGAAATGCCCCGACGACTCACCGGCCACAGCACCAGGTTGTGAAGAAGTGCAATATATTGTGGATAGCCTTGCTCGGACTTGGTCCTGCTTAAGAGCTGCAATTCAGACGCTAACGGCCAATTAAATATCAACAGATTCTCTATTCATCACTTGCGCCCACGTGCTCAACAGATATTTGTACGCCATCCTCTCTTCGTCTCGTCGTCTCTCAGAGCTCGCCGGATCGCCCAGCTATCAGGCTCAGGGCTCGGCTCACGCCTTTCCAGTGTCCTGCTTGAGCGATACGATCCGGTTCAGCACCACATGATCATCCGTGGAGTCGGAATCCATCGCAAAGTATCCCACCCGCATCGCCTGGAAACGAACGGTCTCAGGGCGGGGTCTGTCTTCGCTGTGCTCACCAGCGGCCTCGGGCCAGGGGGCGCGCCGCCGCACCTCGTCAAATCCGGACTCGATCAAGGCGTTTGTGTAAATGGTCTCGCTGTTGGGATTGATGTCGGCTAGGAAACCGCCCTCGGCGCTGGCAGGCTCTGCCGATTTGAAGAGAGGGTCGTGGACACGAACTTCCACCTTGCGCGCGTCTTCTGCCACCCAGTGGATATACGTCTTGGGCTTTGGTCCGTCGCGATCCAGGACAGCGCGCACTTCCGTGACCTTTCCATCCGCATCCTTCGAGTAGGTAGTGGCCTTGATGGGGAATGGCGACTTGTACAGACCGACGTTCTTGCCAGGCGCAAGGCGGAAATAACCCTTGCTGTCCTCCTCACGGAAATCAGAGCGGTCGATATACACGGTCTTGGTGTAGCGAATAGTGTGCGATCCCATGGAGGTGTCTTTGGGAGAGAAAGGAATGTCAAGATCGAGATGTTCAGGAGTGAGGGTCTCATAATCCTCGATCACAACGGGGATCGGGTCAAGAACAAGCATGAGTCGGGGTACCCGTGTCTCAAGGTAAGTGCGGATACTCTGTTCGAAGCGAGCGATGTTGATGACAGAGTTCGCAGTGGTGACTCCAAGCTCATTGACGAACGACAAAATGGCCTCGGGTGGTACACCACGGCGGCGAAGGGCAATCACAGTGTACAGGCGGGGATCATCCCAGGCTCTGACGTGGCCTGCATCAACGAGCTTCTTGAGCCCGCGTTTGCTCATAATCGTTCCACTGACGTTCAAGCGGCCTGAAAATTAGCGTCGTCTAATTGATAGCATGTGATGAGCTTACCATATTCTCGCTGCATCGGCTCATAAACGCCGAGTGTTGAGTTGAGCCATTCGTAGCTCTCCCGGGACAAAACGAACTCGGTTGTGCAAAGACTGTGTGTGATGCCTTCGAAGCTATCGCAGAGACAGTGGGCAAAGTCGTATGTTGGGAAGATAACCCAGCCAGGGGCCTTGTGATGCTCCTTTTTCAAGACGCGGTAGGCCGCAAGGTCCTTCACGAATTAGCTTGAATTTCCCCGCGGGCTCGAATGCAAACTCACCCACATCTGAGGATTGGGGTTCTCAATGTCCTGGCGCATCCTCAGGAACGCCGTCTGCGGTTCGTATTTCCCGTCCTTCATATCCCGGAACTTCTTCAAGTTTGTCTCAACATCCTGCTCCGCGTCCTTGCATCGGTATCTCGGCCCGTGGTTCTCTCCTCCGCGTTGCAGCTTGAGGTCTGTGTCGCTGCAGTGGCAAACGTAGGCCTTTTCAAGCTGGATAAGCTTTTCGGCGTGCTCGTAGAGCTTCTGGAAGTGGTCGCTTGAGTGGGTAATCCTGGCAGGTTTGAAACCTACGACTGTTAGCAGCATCACACCAACGATGGCGCCCTACATACCAAGCCACTGAATAATCTCCTCGATAGCCACAAAGTACTTCTCCTCCTCCGCTTCGGGGTTCGTATCGTCAAACCGAAGAATCTACCCTAGTCAGCAAGCCCCATCTCCAAAACATCCTACCATACGCACCGTCTCTCCCCCGTGGTATCGCGCAAACCCAAAGTTGACTGCAATCGCCTTGCAGTGCCCCAGATGCAAATATCCATTCGGCTCCGGCGGGAATCGCGTGACGACCGGCTTCATGGGACGTTCGCGGAAGACATTGGCGAGGAAGCCCTGCTTGAACATGGCATCCGGGTCAAGCGGGGTCTCCTCGACGGGCTTCGCCTGTTCGGTCTTGGGCTTCGGGGCCGCAGGCTTCTGGTTCGCTTTGGCGGCCGCCGCGGCGGCCTTTTTAGCGCGTTTCTGGGTCCGCTTCTTCAGCTCGTTCTTGGAGACCATCTCGCCGGTCTCCTCGTCAAGGACGAGCTTCGCCGTGCTTTCGGCGAGGGCGTCGGCCATGGTGGGCGGATTTTCGACGTTTGAAGCGATAGAAATATAGAATGAAAGAAGGGGTTGATCGTATGAAGCTGTAGGATGAGCAATTCGCTAATCTATCAAAGAATGGGCGCGTGAGTCACGGTTTGGTGCGAGGGTCAAAGAAAATATCCCGCCGTTATCAGCGGGGAATCTTTTGTGCCACAAGGTGGTGACTCAGCCGCCACCAACAGCAGGCGGTCGGGCCTTCTTGCACGTGATGATAAGGGCAGCCCGTCTTGACACCTCAGGTGTCGACTTTGTCCCCAGAAGGGAAGAACCTTGGACTCGGAACTCGTAATGCTGCATGCTGCTCCTCGTTGGACATAACAAACCTCTTCGAATTATTCCCTGTCCCAATCTTTGTAACTCGAGGCCAGTGTAAGTGCATTCCACCGACTTTACTCCCGACTATAGCCAATCGTACTCTGCCGCTTCTCCTTCAGCTCTTCGTATAGATCCACGGCACTGGACCATTCTATGTCATCGAACCAAGAGCGACCCTCGAAGACTTAAGTTCCTCGACAGAACTTGACACGGATATGACGCTTGCCAACCCTTTGCTAGGTATCAGGCTCCACCCACAGTTTAGGCACCTACAGTTCTCCCGCTGCGGCGACTTCATCCTGAGAGCTGCACGATGCTTACCCCTTTCCCAACCAATAAGAATCTGAACCAAACTCGCCAGAGTTCAATCGTCGCCCGCGGGTCCCGTCTTTGATCTGCATCTGGGAGTCTTATTGGTCAAGTGTTCGAGACCCCTTTTGCCAAGTCCCGAATACGAGCTTTGATTCCATACAAACTTATGGACGTCAAGTCCAAGAGCTTCGTTTTTGCGCTCCGACTCATCGGTCCAAACATGCCAAGTACAGCACTTCGGAGACATTGCTTAGAAATTCACCTGCTGTCCATTCGATTAGAAACGATTGTGCGGTTAGAAATGCTTCGAATCTGTACCTTGCAGAGGCCGCTGGAGAAGTATAAAGAGGGCTGAAGAGACCGTAGAAAGTGTCATCACCAAGCAGCCTCAGCTCGAGCACTCGCCAACTGTCAACAACTCACAACCACTCTCTCCATCGAACACCTCACAAAATGTCTACCTACGCTGGCAAGAAAGCCGTCATCATCGGCGGCACCCACGGGATGGGCCTCGCAACCGCCGAGCTCCTCCTCGCCTCCGGCGCCGACGTCCTCTTGACAGGCCGCAGCCAGCCCCCCATTGCCTCTGCAAAGGCCAAACTCGGCGACAAAGCCCACATCGTCCAAGCAGACATCACCTCGCTCGCGAACATAACCCGCCTCGTCTCCGACACAAAGGCGGCCTTCGGCGACGACGCCCAGATCGACTTCCTCTTCATCAACGCCGGCTACGCAGCCCTCGAGCCCGTCGCCGCCGTAACCGAAGAGTCCTTCCGACGCACCATCGACACTAATGTCTTTGGCGCCTTCTTCACAGCGCAGCAATTCATCCCGCTTGTCCGGGACGGCGGCGCAATCGTCTTTACCAGCTCCGTCTCGGCGAAATTCGGGTTCCTGGGTATGGGCGTCTATTCGATTGGCAAGGCCGGTGTGTCTTCCTTTGTGCAGACGCTGGCTGCGGAGCTGGCGCCGCGGAAGATCCGGGTTAATGCTGTGACGCCCGGTTTCATTAAGACGCCCACGATGGGCGTGTCCGGTGTTTCGGCAGAGGACCTTGTAGGGTTTGAGGCGGAGGGAGCAAAGCTTACACCACTGAACCGCATCGGAAACCCCGAGGAGGTGGCAAAGGCGGCGGTTTTCTTGGCTTTTGAGGCGACGTTTACGACTGGGACTGAGCTTTTTGTTGACGGTGGATTGGTGACTATGCAGAAGGAACACTAGGTCAGGATTTGTCAAAAGATCTTGGTGGCACAGTAGGAGGAATTGAAGAGTTAGCTATTTGAATACCATTCATGCATGTTTACTTTGATCTGTTGCTTACTGGCTTTGTGCTCCATCTATTTATGGAGCCGCATAAACTGTACCGGAGTGCCTACGATTTCCACCTCAACTGCTAGTGTAGACTCTAAGACCTAGTTGTTCGCTCCATACCTAAATGGTATGTCATAGGTATCTCAACATTCCGTCATCCACTGCTCGGGGCCCTTCTCAAAGTTTTATTGATACCGCGAACTGAGTTCCTCTTATTGCTGTTCAAGAAATGGTGGTTCCAGGTCAGGTGGGTGGTTGCCTAGGAGTCTACGACAACACCTTTCTGTAAGATGACTATTCTATGGCTCTTCGAAGGAATTCCCCGAGGATCAATCACCAGTCCACACAGCACAATCACAGGGACCGTAGAGCACACACAGGCCGCAGAGCATCTCGACGACAGAGCACACAGACCATAGAGACAATAAAACATCAAACGCCAAAGACTTACCAGAGATTCATCCGTGTCACGCCGACGACCCTGATCCAAACATACCGTGCAGGAATCACGCAGATACCCTCCACTAGAGAACCTGCCAGAAGACCCGCCATAAGTCCCAGAAGCTATTATTGACCAAGCCGCGTGTCCAATTGTCAGGTAAACTTTGCTCTCCCATCACCGCAGATCCTGTCGTCCGCCATATACCGCAGACACGTTCACGAAGGAAAAAACCGAGATCGACACGGGAACTGACTACGAAATGGCCCTCATCAAGCGCAGCTAGGACTTGTACATGACGCGTCAGTATGTGGACTAAGAAGAAACCAGAAACTGCATATAAAACTCACGATCAAGGGCAAGATTGTAACTCTCGTCTTCTCAGACCTCGAAGACGCGTCGTTGCCCACGTATGCGTACCTATACGCTCTCAATAACGCAGGTAGACTCTTGGGCTCTGTGGAGGAAAAGCTAAGGGGAACCAATGCTTCGACAAACATCTGACCAGGTATGAAAAGCTTGTAGTCGAAGAAGCAATATTCGAAACTGGATGCTGTTGGGGAGAAGAGAGAGAAGAATAGGAGGAGGAAAAGGGCGGCAGAAGGAGATTATAAGGGAGGCCATCAACTGTGGTCCAGGCGGGCGGGCAGGAACAGTCGCGAAGGTACCCTCAACCTCCTTGACGCGTTGGTCTTTTTATCCATCATGCACGATTTGATCTGAGCGTGTAGATTCTTTGCCTACAAGGACCGGACACTGCTCAGACCGGCCAGTTCTGCATGTCATTTGGGTGGTATGTTCACAGCCAGGAACAGTGGTGTGCGGAAAATCTGCTCTAAGATTGTTCTTAACGGCAGCTTCATTATTGGTCTCACTCGAAGCTCATCTAAACGCCACCTTCGTCATCATTCTCCTAGCAGTAACTTGCACTCGACAATGTGGCTGCCAGCTAGTCACGAAAGAATGGCCACGAGGGTGACAAAGGCGAACATTCCAGAGAGCCGCATCGACTGACTTGCAAGCATGGGCTGAGACTTCGACACGAAGCCGATCTCGACTCGGGTGCGGCAAATGTGCGCTGTACTCTGGACTACTGCCTCTTCTCACGCCCAGTCAACTCAGCACGCGTGAACCTCACCCACTCTCTGCTCGCAAACCAACGACGATCTCCTCTTCAGCCGCTCCTAAATATACCTAGCCTCCATCAACCAAATCCAATTACCCTCGTACCCTCCGCCCCTGAAACGCGCCGAGAAGATCTACATTCCCAGAGTTCGAGATCTACGCCAGCGATCACTCAGCCACCCCGCGAACCTGGAGTATATACGAGGGATCTGCGCGGAGGCCAACGTATGAGCTTATCAAATGCTACAGAGTCTCCTTGAGAGTGTAACTTTCCCTCTCTTCGAGTTTGTTTGTGATACGAGGTGTAACATCTCGGCTTGCGGATCGCGGCTCTTTGGGGTAGGGAGGTGCACGAGCTGAGATGCGGACTTCGTGTTGGGTTGCGTTTGTTTGTTCGTGTTTTTTACAGATGGGCGTTGACATCAAAGTCTTTGGAGAGTGGCTATAATTAGAGGGAGGCAAATGGTGGTCATGACAGGTATATAAGGCCCGTCATTCTCTCTCGAGATCTCATCATCATCAGCCAACAGTCGAGCATCGCAAAGCAAAGCATCACAACAACAAAGTGAATCTGCAAAGCACAAATCCCAAGCAAACCAACCAACCAAACAGAATGAAGTCCTTCATCCCCATCGCCCTTGCTCTCGTCGGGTATGTCTTCTTCTTCTTCTTTCCTTCCCTTCCACTTCTGCATTTCTTGGCAGCCTATACTAACTTCTATATACAGCTTCGCCGCCCAAGGTTTGCCTGCATTCCTTTATGTACCTCATCCTCAGTTCAATATTCCTAACATGATCACTTAGGCTATGCCGTCTCCTGCCAGTCCCAGGGCGGAGCCTGCCACGACGGTGACCGCGACTGCCCCGCCGGTACCAACAGTGTTTTCTGGGATACCGGATGCGATAGCGCTTTCTGGCCCTGGGAGGAGGATGACAAGTGCTGTGTCTAGGTTAGGACATGGATGACGCTCTTGAGTCGGGTGCCATTGGGCTACTGGTGGGGATAGGAGGTATACGCGGTGGGAGAGGTGGATGTGGTGTGTGTATGGGATTTCAGCTCCAATGATTAGGCAGAGTCATTCTTGTCCCACATAACATTCCTAAAGCACAATCCACATACTGTCAAGCATTTCTTTTAAAAGAAATATTCCTGCCTTTTAGTCGTCATCATCATCTGGGACGAAATGCGGTCGCCGATGGTTGGGATCCTACGAATCGTCCCTGTTCGAGTCAGAAGGTCTACTATACCTAAATACCTCATCTATATGTTCCAGTACTCTGGATACTAAACCTGTAACCAGCATGAGCTCTTCCTCGGCAGATATGAAGGACGCCATGAGACGACGCAGCCATGGTCCGAATGGGTACGTCGAGATTACGAATGTTGAATGCGGCCATTCGGTCCACATTTCATCTTCACTCCCAGCGACAAGTACACTCTTCTATCTCGATGGTCCTTCTGTAGGCGGATCGGATACGATGGAGAGAATCACGAGTTGGCCACTCTCCACGAGAACTTTGGTTTCACCGATAATAGGAAGGTCTATTGTACACGTTGGTGGATAGCTTTGACGCTCGAAAAGCCTGAGACTCAAGTTACATCCGGCATAGTTCTGGAGCGGCAGCTCCTCTACATCAAACATGTATGCTGCAATACTCCTTAACTGTGGTGGGACTAGCTGAAAGAAACTGACACCGCTTCTATAGCGCATAGTCGAAGATGGGAGATGCCAAACCGGGCACCAAACATGTTTTTCGTCGCCGCGCACACATTACATTCTCAAAAAGTCGCCGCTCGAATCTCCAGCGCGAGATCGTCTCTAGTCTCCGCTCAAACAAAGCATTGTAGGCATCATCATCATCGAGAGAGCCGTAGCGGTGTCGTTCGTTATCCAAATCTTGCTCTATCAACCCTTTCCACTTCGTGCCCGCGACCCATTCCTTCACTCGGCGCGTAATGTTTGCGTTGACTTTGATTGGCTCGGCTTGTGATCATCTGCGGAGAGTGTTTGCTCGTGGAGCTGGACTCTAGCGGCCTCCAAAGCTCTGATTTCTGATGGGATATTTGGGACCTTTGTTCTGAGGACGGTAGCGGCTTCTGAAGGAGCAGCTTCAGACATTGTGAGGACGGTTTTCGGTGGTTTGATGAGATTCGGATGGTCGTTTGGGAATGTGGATGATGGATGAGAAGGAGATATTTGCGGACTGGGAGGCGAAGAGCCCGAACTCGAATGTGAGCGCCGGATCGAGATCCCGTGATGTTTCCATCTTTGACGCCAGTAGCCTTCCATGAGCCAGGAGCAGTAACCGTCCTGAAGCAGGGGACAATCAGGCGAGAAAAGTGCGGCGATACTCACAGACCCTCAGGTTCGCCGCGGGCGTGGTCGCTCCTGTCCTAACGGGTCTGTCGACTAGATCTCGCCATCTACAATCGACTCTCCCTCGCCGGCCTCTCTTCTTCCCCCTCCCAAGCCCTCCGAATTGACTCCCAATACCTCACTTCGTCAAGCATAACAAGCGCACAATGCTCCCCTTTCCCAAACTTCTCCCCCTGAACCAGAAACCCGCGTCCTCTCCCATCCTCCATATGCCTCTCGACATCCTCCCACCTCACCATCTCGTCCTCGACAGAATAAACATAGAGCCTCCGCGCCGGAATTCCAAATAACCCCGGATCATTTAACTCTGCTCTCAAACCCTCAACATCACTCATCACCCCGGCAGCCTGCAGTATGGAGAGCAGGCCGATACTTGGGTACAGAACGGCCCTGCCGAGGAGATTCCGGATTGGATAAGTTGTTGCCGGAGGCAGAGATACGGCTGCGGCATTGTACTGTCGGATAAACGCGCTGTCGCCGGGACAGCAGTCGAAGATCACCAGTCTCAGTGCGGAGACGAGCCGGTCGTGCTTGGCGACGCTGTCGTCTCGGATCGAGCGCATAAGCTGCGTGCCGATATTACTGCCCCCGTGCGAGAAGATGTGAAGAAGGACTGGTCTACTCGTGTCTCCACCGTCACTGTTCAACCCAAAGAATTGACTGATAACTCCCCTTGCTGGCTCCAGTCTTTCCTTTACAGCGGCAAAACTCTTCATCGTAATCTCCGCAATCGTCGTCGTGATCAGTACAATCACCGCGGTAGGAAACAACTTCGCATAGCCAGCCGTGTACTTGGCAATTCGCCGGGGCGAGGCACCGCCGAGCCATGTGCAGAGGATTAGTAACGCTGTTGGTGGCGTGGGTGGTGTGTAGAGGTAGATGTTCTGGGCGATTGGTGCGCAGGGCCCGATGGGGTATTCCATGGCAGATGAGGCTAGACAGAGGTGACAGAGGCGATGATGTGATGTGGTGTGTAGAAGCGATGGAGGAAGGAATTGGAGTAATAACAAGCGTCAGTTGTTGGGATGTTGAATGCCCAGTCAGGCTAAACCCGAAACAGCCCTATCGCCCGGTTGCGACACGAGGCGGGCTGCAAGCCACCCGGCCTGCGGAGCGATTAGTTGCGGAAATAGAGGTTGTTTAGGTCTCGGTTATTATCGTTGTTATGCAGAGAACAGACCATGACGGAGAGATCTGAGGCTGTCCAAGGCCGAGTGGAAGAACGACAGACTCCGACTCCAGACTCAGAGTAAATGACATTATCCCGTACTCCGATCACCAGCCCTAATAAATACATCTCGCTATCCAGCTCATTACCAGCTCGTCACAACCCTCATTGTACCTTTTAACCTTTGACAAACAAAGCTTCACAATAGACGAACCCTCAAGGATCGAGACCAAGCTCAATCCCAAAATGAAAATAATCCTAGCAGGAACAACCGGCTTCGTCGGCACCGAGGTCCTCGCCCAAGCCCTCGCCAATCCACGCATAACATCCCTAGTCGTCCTATCCCGCAAACCGCTCCCGCAATCCATCACAGAGAATCAAAAAGTCACCGTCAAGATCCTAGATGATTTGCTTACGTATCCGGACTCCCTCCTCGAGGAACTTGCTGGGGCGGAGGGGTGTATTTGGTTTGTTCCCTACCTTGTTTCTTTCTTGAATCACAGCCGTCAAGGCCCTGGCTATCGGTTTACCTTTCTTACCCACTACCAGAGCGGCGCTGAGCTAGAATCACGGCCACCCTCTTCGAGCTGGATACTGATAACATGAGTGCAATAGGTCCCTCGGCCTCGCCACATCCCCCTCCCTATCCCTCTACCGAAAGGTAAACCACGAATACACGCTCGCTGCGCTCGATGCGTTCTCCAGAATTCCTCTGCCCCCAGGAACGGCTGTTCCAACCCCCTTTCATTTCGTATACTGCAGCGGCGCCGCAGCCGTCCGCGATCCCGACCGAACCAAGACGCTGTGGTTCATGGGGGATATGCGGAGAATCAGGGTATGCTTTCTTTCCCGCATCCCACTCCCCTGTTTTTTCTTCTGCCTTTTGGGGCCTGCTAGGGGGCCTAACAGGATCATGTACTTGTACTTGTACTGACCCGCTGGATGAGCGCAGGGCGAGACGGAATCCGCGCTCCTCTCATACAACTCCAATGTCAACTCCAGTTCCCAGACCGTGGGCCCTCTCCCAGACGGCGAGATTTCAAGACCCCGAAGAATTGAAATATCCATCGTCCGCCCTGCAATGGTCGTTGCAAAGGAATGGACCCTGCATAGTATGCTGTTTAGTCTGGGCCCGAGTATCCGTGTTGATCGCGTGGCGGGGGTTATGCTTGGGCTTGTGCTGGGGTCTTATGCGGATGAAAGTGAGGGGAAGGGCGAGGGTAGGGGCAAGGGTAAGGGTAAGGGCAGGCACGAGGATGGGGAGAGTGAGTGCAGCAGTGAGGAAAATTTCGGGGTGAGAGTGGTGGAGAATTGGGAGATGAACGGTTGGAGAGGGTAGAGTGGTTTTAATGTTTGCGGCCGTTTGCTGTTTGCTTGGTGGCTGGTGCGTTTGTTTTGACTATGGTTGTTTGAGTTAGGTATATTGGAGTTTAATATTGGGAATATTGAAGATGGGAGAGTTAGGGCCAGCTTTTATGAACGTCTGTGTTTTGAATACAAGTCGAGATGCCTTCTACAACACTGGGCGTAGTAAAACAACATAAATACTCGCATTGGCATATATACATGCATCAACAAATAGGAACATCAAGCAATAGTCTATCAGTAATTGTGGAAACAAATCGTCACCTATTCCTCGTTCTTTCCTCCTTCTTTTCTTTGACACGATATTTTTGTCAATTCGCTCTCTTGCGGTCGGTTGACCCCACTGCCCTCGCTGCTTGTGTGGCTTCTCTATTATTTTCTCTTCTCCAAAAGGCAACCTTACTACTCTTTTCTCTTGCCCTGTATCCAGCCTTTCCTGCCACTCGGCCCAATACTCAAAGTGGTTGTCAACCCTCAGGATGCGGAGACAGATATCTCTGGTTACAAGCATGCCTTAGAGGCATTAGTGCCCATCAAACCCGGAATTCACCGCCCAATGGATCTCGTACGTGATTTGCTTCAAACTGTAGGGATTGACTGCCCCGGGGTAGAGTTCGCGGACTTTGTTTGTCGTGAGAATCTGGGTATCGACAATGCGGTTGTGGACAAGACGCGGGGCCTCGAGGTCGTTCTGGGCTGCATGCGTGACGAGGATTGTGTTTTGATCCACAAAGCTGAAAAAGGCCTGTTGGGCTGGCTCGAAGCCTTTGAGATAGTGGCCATCCCGCTCGGCGTTCCGTTTATGATAGCGCATTCTCGTGGCCGTCATATTGCTCCACTTTGTTCGGCAATTCTCGATTGGGTCTTGCGGGTCAACCACGCAGTCGATGAGAACTTCTCCAGTTAGGACGTCGACAACACATAGTTCTCAGATGTGACTGGTGTTATTGGGACTGAAGCCAGCCGTTTCGCAGTCAAAAGCGACGACCTTTCGCTCCCTCTGTCCGGTAAAGTTCGGTCTGTAGTTGATAGGGACAGAGAGGTTGGAGTTTCCGCTTGGGTAGCGGGCCTTCTCAAGGTCATATTTTGAGTGGATATTGTCTTGTATATTTCGTTACATCGCACCCCGCTCTTCCGGCCGGATATTGTACCACCAGCCGCCGCTGATACCATCTGACGGGCGTGGGGCCCATTGTAAATATGAATAGAAAAGTGATCCAAAGAAAGAGTATGGGTTGCGATAAAAGTCAGGTATAGCCGTGCAAAGATAGTCGAGTATAGAAACTCCAAGTAGGGATAGAAGTCGGGTTAGATAACCAGTTCATCGCCTGACCAGCCATCCAAAGGCCATCAAGGAGCCGCCGTCATCCGGCATTGAGTTGAGCTCGCACAAAGCGATGCCAGAGATAGCCAAGAGAGGTTGGTCTCTGAATTGACTTGGCGGTTGAGAAACCGAGCTCGGGATCGAACAAACGGTAGACAAAGTGATCCTTTCCGGGCATTTCTCGAAATAGAGTGGTGGGTAAATCGGCAGTCCAAGGCACACGGATGGAGTCCTGCACTCGACCGAGAACTGTTCCATTAAAGAACCTCTCTAGTCCAAAGTCGATAGGACTGATAAACTAAAGCAAAACAGTCTGGGTATGTGTGCGCTCCTGGACAAAGAAGCCGCCAAGAGGCCTCTGCGATTCAACCAGGACACCACCCTGTAGAGAACATCGACTCCTTGCGATGCACAGCCAGAAAGAAGAATTATTCTTCAAGAATTCTCGCCAGATCAGTGGGGTTGCAATATCCATGCGGTAGCCTTGCGCTTGCCATCGACTGCTCCAGCCCCGAGACCTGATGACCGGTTCGTGACACCTGTCCGCGCTCTGCGATAAATAACAATATAGACGATATACCAAGCGTATCATGTAGATGTAAATGTAGGTCTTTCAGAACGACATGGCCAAGCAGAAGGTCTTGGTCTTCGATCTGGAGTGCGTCGTTGGGAGGTTGAAATGGAAGGAGCAACAGATCCTTGAGCGGCCTAGAGAAGCCAATAACCAGAACTCCCGAATCAACACTCCGAGTCTATTTACAACAAGAAACCTTGAAGATAAAGTTGACCAGCGCCTTTCTACCGTCTACCTTGAGCGGCCCCTCGATATGCATCGCGCCTTTGACGTCTTTCCGTTCCACATCGAGTCCAAGAGTCTTTGCCTTCTCTTCCAGCTGGTCAGCCACCCACAGCGGAATGACCTCATCGTTTGCCGCGGACAGGATAAAAATCGGAGGAATCGGTCTAGCGTTCTCTAGAGCTTCCTCTCTATGATGGGCGATCTTTTCCAGAGCTGCCGCCACGTCCCAATTGTTCCAGGAAAACGGCCAGAGATACCGGTACGGCAGCCATTTTTGCGGATAAAGACTGACCAGCATATCCTTGATGCTAGAGATAGGAGCCTCGAGGATCAGGCCTGATATAGGAACGGGGTTTTCTTGACCTGCTGGTTCATGCGATGCGGTCGCGGTGGACAGCTGCGTGATGGTAGCCGTGCTAGCAACAGCTGCGCCCAAACTGTGACCCCAGAGGACGACCTCCAAGTCGGTGTCTGGAGTATTATACGTCTCGGAGACCCACTTTAGAAATGCTTGAGCGTCAAGTTCGATGCCACGCTGCGTCCCGCGCCCCGAGGATTTCCAGTACCCGCGGTACGACAACGCAACCACGATATACTCCACATCAGGCGAATGTGCAGAGTCTTGAATCGTGCGCATAACCTGGGAAAGCAGCGGCAAGCGCAAGGGGGTTGAGCCCCCATTCCCTTGAAAGTAGCAGATGACGACTGACTTCTTCCTCGCATTCGAAGATCTAGCAGTCCTGGTCGGAAAACGGCCTTCACACAGCGCCAACTTGGTCCCGTCCAAACTGCGAATACTATTCTCAGTCCACTGCACACCGCGAAATTCGCCTGCATAGTCCGCTATACTTTCAGAGCGCGAAAGAGGCGGCAGCCACGAGAGGTACAGCAGCTTGTCCTGCAAAACCACGATCCAGAAACATTTCCACGTCCAGAGCGCCAGAAGCAGTCCAACGAAAATAGCGGGTGGAACCAAGATTGATGGAATGGCTTCGGTGAATAAGGCTCGGGCCCCTAAGAGACCTTGACACGAGAGATGATGCCGCAGGCTGTGCTGGATGGAATGGCGGGAACCACGAAAATCGTGCAACGACCTAATGGGTCCTCGTTTACCAATGGCTATTGCTTGGCGCGGACTGCGCCAGAGGCGCCGAAGAGCCCATCTTTGAAGCATCAATTGATGGGCGGGCCACTCAAGAATTGATGATGGTGTTGTGGGAGAAATCGGAACTGTTGTGACGACGACGCGGCAGCCCATGTTTAATGTGCACTAATAGTGACTAAGCTATGCTTGCATAACTAACGAGGCATCTATACAACCATAACCCTAGCCAGTGACTCTATAATCATCGTGGTGAATGTATGGAATCAGTGAACAAGGGCATCGAAGGCTTCTATTGTAGTATTTAACGCCTCCGCTTCCCCTCAGAAACTCTCGCCGTTCCACATTTCCATGACGCACCCAGCCCGACACCGTTTCAGCCGCTGAGAACCTTGACCAGATCAGACCCGCGGACCAATGCAGCATCCCAAGCCCTTTTGTGTCTCTCGTCTCAAGGATCTACTTACTATTTAGATTCGAGGCCCTCTCGGGACCGGCCCGGTCAGAACGCAATGCCCTCTCAACCGTGTCGAGATGGACCTCCAGCAGCCAAGGCTGTAGGTCTAGTATGACGACCTCTCAGGTAGACGCCAGTGACTCGACAAGAACATTCGCGTCATGTCTATCATGTCCGTTCCTTTTGCCTGGCGTGTGGCGGTGGGCTCTGAGGGCCCACGCCTCTCATGGTAAAGAGTGGCTCAGCAAAACATCCCGAAGCCCCATGAGCCGACAAGCCCGGGGCCATTCCAAACGAAACCCCAAGGCACGGTGAGTCCAACAGGTCAATCCTTATGCCCATAGCCACAAGAGGTTAGAAACAGCCGAACCACGTCAAAGTTTTCCGGAAACCCTAAGTAACTTTGCGTGTCACGGCCGAGCGCTAAGTTTTCAGCAGCAGAGCGTATGACCCGGAATACTCTTCCTGTTGAAGTCTATCTTAAAGCAATGCTTGACTCATGCTGCGGCGTAAGGCTGCTTATTTCTTTGCCTCTCGGTTCCCTCCTCCTTCGCCCTTCTTCCCACTGAGACATCTTATCATCCATACACTGTTTTATCCATTTACCAGCTATCATCTTTCAATATACAGAGTTATAACATCTATCTCTTAACACGCTTAGCGGCTGCTCTACTGGATATCCAGTAGAACATATAATTCTACATCCTTTATCTCAATCCTACCACGACGACAAGTCATGAAAATGCCGTCGACAACCACAACCACAACCACGACAAAACCCACCTCCACCTCCACCTCCACCGCATACCCTGTGTCCGTCCCAAAAAAAAACCACGACACCATCCTCCACGCCCTTTCCACCAAGAGCCACTCGACCGCCACACTTGCCCAAAACAAGTACCGAATCGGCACCCCAACGGCACCGCCACCAAACCCGCAGGGCACCAAGAAACACACTGCCCTCGCCATCGACTGCGAGATGGTCGGCATCGACCCCCGAAACACCGGCTACCTAGGCCAAGTCGTGGCCATCGACGTGCTGAGCGGCAAGACCGTGCTCGACATCTGCGTGCAGCCCCCCGTGACCGTCCGCAACTGGCGCAGCAAATCGAGCGGGCTGTCTCCCGCTGTTTTCAAGGAGTATAAGAGGCGCGGGAAGCTTGTTTCCGAGATAAAGGGTGCATAGAAGGCGCTGTTCAAGCTCATGGACAGCGAGACGATTCTCGTCGGGCATGCTCTTCAGAATGACCTGGAGGCCCTGGGGATCGTGCATGGGCGTGTCGTCGACACGCAGATTCTCACAAAGGAGCTTGTGGGTGGATTTGCGGGGGTCCTACCGAACCGGACGTGGGGGCTCAAGGGCCTCGCGAGGGATATTCTGGGGAAGGATATTCAGAGGGCGAAGGGGCATGATTGTGTGGAGGATACGCTTGCGACGAGGGACCTTGTGCTTGCTTGTATTAGAGATGAGGGGGTTGGGGAGTGGGCAGAGGGCGAGGCGTCGTGTGCGGGGAATTTCCCTCCGACGTCGTGGGGGGATGAGCAGGATGAAATGTGGGATCTGGATTCGAATGATGTGAATTCGTGGCTTTGATTGTTCTGGCTTTGAGGTTTCTTATCTTAACTTCTCTTTCGAGTTCTCGATTCTTTGTTGGTTTTGTGGTGCTAAGCTGATGGAGGTGTCTGGATGTATAGTCTCTCGAAACACCTGTCTGCTCTCATGTGAGGATTTCTTATAACCATCCGTCCAGTCACTAAAACAATATACGCTTGCTCATATTCTGGCATTTCCATCAAATTATCATTTGTAAAGCTCCTGGGCATATAGATAGCTAAGACGAAGGGTCACGAGAATGTGTAGTGTTGCCCGGGTACCAACTTCTTACGCTCGTTTGTGAGGATGGAAGATTCTCTTGATGCAGTCGTATACTAAGGATCCGTCAACGCCGGGCAGTCTTCCAACGTGGGATCGAATCTACCAAGCGGGTGACTGGCGCAGAGAGAAAGGAGGTATGTATGCTGGTGAAAGTAGGTGCCAGAATGATGATATGTGGCAAACAATACACAAGGGATATGAAAGGATAGCAACAGGAGAAGCTACGTCCTGGATATATCTAGTTAGGCTGATTTTCTCGAGACTAGCAGTCAAGAAGAATGATATTTCTCGGTCATCTGCTGATATGACTATTCTTTGCAGCTAGGCTATCTAGACTATCTGGTCTTCAAGCTCACATCTATCAACTAACAGCTCACAAGTCACACAGGGCATTGAATGGAAGAGGATCTGGAAAGCGAGGTCTGGGGCTCATCCTATACTCTGCTACCTTGCGTTGGGTCAGGGTATTCAGTTCGGCCTGCTGTCCTGCACTCAGCAACTCGATACGCTGGTCGAGATTAGAGAACTCGCCATAGTATCGCTGGTCGATGTATTTCCAGTAAATGGCATCAAACAGCGACGGAGTGCGTGCGGCGAGACAGAGCCAAAAGATTCCATTGTCTATGGACGCTCGCATCCGCCTAGAGAGCCGGTGCTCTTCGTTCATGAAGCGTTCGCGTATAAGCTCGTCTTCGCGCTCTCTCATGACTGCGAGGAATTCGGCCAGTCTAGGCATGTAGACATTCATCACCGATTCAAGGTTAGTGCTCCATAGGCCCGGAGTCTCTCCTATAAGCCACCATGGAGCGGCATATGTAAATTCGACTGGCGCCGCGTACGCAAACTCCCAATCAATCGCTGCAGTGACACGCCCGGTCTTCCTATCTGCCCGCACATTCGAAGGGCGAAAGTCGTCACAGTATAGCCTGAACGGCCCCTGGGGACTTTCGTAGCTGAGGCGATCTCTGACGAGGTTGAGGAATAGGAACCGCGCAACGAGTTTAGACCGACAGTCCCTCTCGGTGTAGATGAGCCCGTTGAACTGCACCCGGAACTGGGTGAGGTGCAGGTTGGCCAGGTGCACAAAGTATTCTCTGGAGGATATGTACGTCCGGTTTGGAAACGCTTGGAGAGGCAGACCGCAGTTTCGTATCAGCTCGTTCATGGTAAACGTGAGCGGCCGACCTGCTACTGCGAAAGTGCCCCGCTGCCGGACGAGCGACCCGATCCCGGAAAATCTCAACCAGGATAGGCGCAGAGTGATATCGGCCATTTCGCGGTACGCCTGCCGCACCTCTCGCTCATGAGCTCTGGGGTCACGCGTCCTATCACGGAGTGGGAAGAGGACGCGACACAATGGACGCCCATCCACCCAGGGCATGACGACGTACGGACCCATTGGAGTCATGCCCGTCCCAAGGACTTCGGGTATGGGAATCCCAGCGTGACCGCGTAAGCATTCCGAAGTCGCAATCTCAGAGTCCGTCTTCTCTCGGCGCAGAATCTGTTTCCCCAGCATCGGAAAGCGAACAATGGCCTTTCTTCCGTCCCTCCATATGACCGGAAAGCACGCATTGAAGCTTCCGCACTGTTCCTTCCCTACACCGAGCGGCTCACCCCAGTTCAGGTGTTGTCGAACGGCCGTCAAGCACGCGTTTTCAAACTCCTCCCGTGGCCACTCTTTCCACCATTCGCCTGCTTTGACGTGGGACCTCCGCCTCACCACGTAGTCCTCGAGGCGTGCCATGCTAAATCGGTTGGTAATGAACGGCTAAAAAGAGCGGATAAAGCGGTAAATGATGTGTATATCTGAGTAGTAACGATGGTTGCGGTGATTGTTCAAGCACCGTCAATCCAGGACAACAGTTCCCGCCAACATCGCCCTACATCCCCCAAAGGAAGGCACGACTCATGGTACCATCGCCTGCCCCAAATGCTCCGGAGGCTCGAAGACTGAGCTCCCTATCGCCGAGCTCAAGTTCAGCCCAATCCAACTCCGGGGTGGCAGTCCATCTCCTGCTGACGACGCTCACATACAATAATCGCTTCTTGCGCCCAACTCTCTTCGTCCAGCCAGCATCGAGAAGCACATCCAACATCAACCATCGATCTACACAGGGGGTCTACGCATCTCCTTCCACGCCTTCCAACAGTCCCACGTCCTCGCGGACTCATCCTTCGACCCACAGGCCACCCATACACCGAAATGGTCGTCGGCCTCGTTCTTCCATTTTGGACGGGAAGGCTCAGCTCATTTGGCTCCCAGGGTGGCTCTTCTTGTTTGCGCCCGGATTTATATAGCAAGTTTCGGCTCGAGGGGAGTTTGTGGGGATCTGGGGCGTGTTGCGTTGGCGTTGGTGCCGCGTTTCAAGATGATAATAATGTAAATTAATAATTTAATAGATAAAAATAATTCACCTATTCAATTGACAAGTCAACTTAACGGTTATTTTCAGGGAGGGATAGAAAGTGAAAAGAGAGTGTGAGAAGGGATGAATGGATGTTCAAATGTGAGGTAATGGATTACATGGGTCGATTATGGGGCGATAGAAGTTTAGGATCTTTAAGACCTGGGTAGATGTATGGCGGATATCACGAATATTTATACCATCCGAACAGAGTAGCAAACCAGTATTCTCTCGACAATTTACTCTTTTAGCTTGTTGTCCAGGATATTTCGTGTCCGGTGCTAGTACAGCATGATACACATGAACTACTGGTTCCGTATCTTGAATGTCTATCTTCGGGCTAATGTACATGTTTCTATTGAGTGGTTTGATCTAATATACATAAAGCTGGGTGTTACACTGAGCCAAAAAGGCTATGACCTCCATAGCTTACGCCCACTCCCCAACACGCGTAAACGGTCTGACAAACCTCGTCGCCTGCATCATCACAACCGATTGTGCCAAGTCGACACCAAGAATCTTCGCCTCCACAATGCTCATGGTACTAATCTCCCCAATCTCCGGCGGCGCAGTGATATGGCACCGGACACCGAGCGACGTGATGGTCCCAAAGTGCGTATCATCATTTGTAGCTCCCGCCCGGTTAAACGGGCTGTGTACGACGCACTCGAACCTCTCGGGGAGCTCACATTCTCCAAAGTAGAACGCGCGGAAGAGGAGCATGCACGCCCAGAACTGCTTCGAGCCCTGGTCGCAGACCCGCAGGCGGGTGCGCAGCCAGCGCGTGCGCGCGATGTAGTGGTCCACGTCGTCGTGGGTATAAGGAAGCTCGGCGATGTCGGTTGGGCTGTTGCCGTCGAAACGGCGGCCGTGTTTGTGTTCGAAGCGGAGGGCTGCCTCGATCTGGTGGTGGGCTAGGACGTCCGTGTAGCGGCGGAGGGGACTGGTTGTTTTTACGTAGGCGTCGAGGCCGAGCGGGGTATGGGGGATTGGGCGGGAGGATGAGACGCCCTTGGGCGGGCCGAGACGGAGCCAGCCCTCGCCGCCGAATTCAGAGACGTTTTCGTTGGTCAGGTGTGGGTATTCGGGGTGGTAGTAAGTGCCGTCGTAAACGGCTGGGATGTTGCGCTCAGCGCACCATCTTGCCGCGACCCAGCAGCCGAGGTTCATTAGTAAGGAGACAAGGTAGCGTTTTGTCTGGTCTGCAATCTCGTGGGGGTCGACATTCTTCTGGCGGAGCTGGATGATCGGGTCGCCGAGGACGTAGCGCCCTGTCGCGAGGTTCGGCTTGGATGGCGGAGCAGGGGCGGACCCGAAGCTGACTGCAACAGAAGTGTCGGCTGGGCTCGGCCAGTCCATTGCTCCGTTCTGGCGGCGGAACTCGCGGAACCCGAGCATGAGTTGGCGCAGGGTACGGAATGTGTCCTCTTCCTCGGGGGTGACTGTATCGCGGATGCCTGGGCGGGAGTCATGGGGTGTAAACTTCCCTCCGACTGTCAAGGGCGGCAAAGTCTCGTTTTCGTGCTGTGATGGTTGGAATATACTGCGCAATTTATCGTGCGTGAGATAAATGACGTTTCGCACGATACCATTCGAGACGTCAGTATCCAGAACCTCGCCGTTGAGTTTCATTTTGGCGCTGAAAGTCATTGTAGGCCGGTCTGGAGCAAGACTGAAGTGGTTCTCTGTCAGGGATTTGGGCAGCATTGGATAGGTCCTTTCGGGTGTGTACAGTGTCTGCAGCCGAGATGCTGCATACTGAATGATGGTGTTTTGTGGATCAAGAAACGCAGTAGGGTTGGCAACATGCACGTGTATCCAAAAGGTGTCGTCGGATCCTGGAACGGGCTCAAGCGAAACACCATCGTCAATCTCCTTCGCATCTGGATCGTCAATGCAATAGACGGGGAGGTCTCCCCAGTCTGTTCGATGATCCTTCATTGTGTCCACGATACCATCTTTGTTGAGCTTTTTACTCTCTGTTTCAACAGCATTCCACATTGCGTCAGATTGCTTATTACCGTGTCCAGGTAAAGCTAGATCTCGATCGGAGAGATGCAGGTTTTCCCAGGGCATGAATACTCCAATCTCTTGTAACAACAAAGGGACCGACCCGGCGTTGAGGTCCATTTCACTATACATTTTAGTTGCGCGCATAATGTGCGAGCCAGCCGCCCGTAACTCTGCCTTGGTCATTCTTCTCGGAGGTGTGCACCATAGCCGGAGAAATTCGAGGATAGTCTTGTCCTCTTGGGTGAATGGTTCGGTAGCCATCTCCCGATACACCATTGGCTTGCCATCTTGTCCAGCCACGAAGCGTTGCGCTGTTGGGCCAACGTTGGACATTGTCGTAGGCGAGCGTATCCTTCGGCTGAGACGGACTAACCGCTGTGCTCTCCGAACAAACATTGCTATCGGATGATTCTTCAATTCAGGGACGTCCCTCCCCGTTTCAGCACGAACCAGATAGTTTTGGTGCTCACGCACCCAGGAGACGACTGTAGTAAGTATCCTAGCTGTTCGAGTCGGAAGCACAACGTAGTGGTTAGCAAAAAGAGAACTGCTATCACTTTCCAACAAGAACGGGTTTCGGCGGACTGCGCGGTGGACAGCATAGAGGATGACGTCGTTCAGCTGCTCCGGTTCAATATCCAACGCTTTGCAAGCCAACTGTTCCAGAGTAAGGTGCAACTGCTCTTCTTCGTGGGCAACTAGGTCGTAAATTTTGTCAAAGCGAAGCGTATTGGATCGATAAAGTTCTTGCACCTGCGAGTTGAAATCGATTATCCTGAGCAAGAGACCGGCTCCTACATTCCGCGGCACGCCACCTTCAATCGCACTCTGCACTTCCGGACTCAACGTAGCAAAAGTATCGGGGAAAAATGGGTGTAGGGCGGAGACTTCTTCGGGAGATGCAAATCCCTTGACCACGAAATCAAGGTCTTTCGGGTACGCGACTCGCCATTTCCCCCTTTCAGTGTAGAATTGTTGCTGCTTGAAGATGGATCGGACGTATATAGCAAATCTCAGAACTTCGTCGCCACTGCGTCACCCTAGATTAGCACCTGTTGCACAGTCATACCCAGCCGGTACATACCATGTAATCGCTACCAGGTCGCCTGGCTCTAGGTAATTGTACAGACCCTCCTCTTCATTGCCAAAGTCCATGATATCGGGTACTTCTTCCCCATTTATCCGCTCAATATCGCTCCCCGACTCGAAGGCTTCCACGCTGTCGTTGAGCATATTTCCTACCCACATCTCGCCCTGCTTGTATCCCTCGGGAATGTTGACGGGGTCCAGAACATTTGGGTTGATGTCCTGCCATTTTCGCAGATACACTCTAACGTCTTTGTTTGCCTCGAACTCGTTCTTGAGTCGGATATCTTCGATATTCGGCGGCCGTAGAAGGTCGTTTCCTGTAGGGACACTCTGGCAAGCGATTAGCGAGTTGCATCCCAAGACAAATATGGAAAACAAACCCCTGTGTTGGTAACTAAGCTCCGAAAGATGACCGAGGAGCCTAGCAAGGCTCTATTGAGCCATGGGGTTGGTCTTGAGAAAGCAGTTGCAGGTGTCGGAGACGCGGCGCGACTGGACTGGAGCAAACCGCGCACGGCAGGCGCCCTGCCTGATACCTGACCCCTTGATAATTTCAAGAGCATACTGCAGTGCCCATTTCAAGAGTCCAATGTCAAATTCGAATTATCTTTCGATAGGGAGGCGATAGAGAAAAACTAATCGATGCGACGTCCGCGAAAAATGAATGCGATCTGCTGGCAGTATATCTTCGCCGCCTTGGCGGTGAGCCAGCAAGCTTATCGCCACGTGCACTTATCTTTCCCCCTTCAGCAAACACCGGCTTTCTCGATGCTCTTCCATCAGGCTCGGCGGTCTTGACAGCTCAAGTGTGCCAATTCTGTATTGATCGTCTTCGACACCAGATAGCCGAACCACTTGTCGAACTCTACTGGAGCCGGTGATCATGGCTCCATCGCCGAACTCTCAGTAAGCTGGCTGAGGTTTGTTGCGAAGAGTGCACAGGGCTGTCTCTCGCTGCTAGCAGTGACCAAGTCGGCCAAGATTCGCCCCTATCCCCAAGTCTCTTCCCATCCGCTCCCTCCGAAAATATGATAGCGCGTCCTGGCGACTTGAGGATTCCACGTTGAACTGTCAATTTATTTGTTCCTTATCAACAGCATATCCCCAAGGTCAAGTTCATCAATCCCGCCCTCCATACTCTGGAGTACATCCTCGGCTGAGCCGCGAGTACCCACATGTGACGGATTGGCCCGAACATGCACAGTTCCGTTATGACACTCCGTCAATCGGCGTCAATGGAGATACAGGAAGCGGTGACCACCAATCACGGTAACAGCAACTGGATAAAAGGTTTTGAGATCAAGAATATACCAAGCCACAAGCTTGGTGCGAGGCAATCCCTTCCGAAAGCAAACAGTCGAGTCAGTAGCCAGCACGTCAGAATGGGGTCCGACCGTCCTAGTCCTCGAATTCGGAATCCGAAAGACTTCCTTTCCAAGTCAAGTGCCTTTTGTGCTTGAAGTCCCCACTCCCCGCATCTCAGTCCACCGGCTCATGAACGATCATGGACGATCTATGCAGCTGCCAATGGAATCGACATCTTGCCCTCGCTTAGAGAACGCTATGAGCCGTGATTCTCGAGGTTTCGTACTCATATCCCGCTCATGACACCTCGTCAATTGGACATATGTCGTACTGTCATTGCGGATCCCTCTCCTCGAAGCACCTCATTTACACAGGAGGGATTGTGCCTGCTCATGTTTTCCTCGCCACGATACTGACAAACCAACGGGGATCATCGGACTCACTGGCAGGGATAACGGCATTCTAGAGACTAGTAGTGCCTGCCGATCACAAAGCCAGATTAGCTTTCTTCAAGATGCGCGGACGAATGGCATTTCAGCCATCACGCCCCCAGAACACCCTTCTTTGACTGGCCCACAGTTCATGGAATGTTACCCCGGAACAGCCTCTACTCATCTGTGTCGCCCCTGTGATTCCGAGGCTCTACATCAGGAGGCGAGGGGTCCTTCCAGTGTGAATGGGTCCGTTTGTGACTGGCTTTCCAGGCAACAAGCCACGAAATCTCTCCCTACATGCTCTCAAGATAGATTCGGAGGCCCACTAAACGTCGTAAGCGAACGCCGATCAGTTCTATCAATGACTCGCCTGGTCGAGTCTGCTCAGTGGATGACAGGCCGCCGTGCTCGACAATCTCCACGCTTCCGTATTTACGCAGAACAACCGAAGCGAATTCTGCTTAACAAATCCAGCCGAATGACGGGCTGTTCCAAGATGTAGACAAGCAACCCCTGAAGGCGTGGGTGGCGACGCCGTGTTCTCCGCAATTTTGACCCATGGTTCCTCTATATAATGAGCGTGGCCGCTCGCCGAGTATAAGTCCGCAGCCCCTTAGGCAGGCATCTCCTGAACATTTCTACCTCCTTCCAGTCTTATCTCGTCATGGGACGGCATTCAGAATGGCGCGTAGTCGCTATGGCGCTTGCTTTGGCTGCCATTCCCCTGGTTGCTGCAGATATCTGTTCTACACTCGAGTCACAGGGTGTGGAAATTGAACGGCCATTTGCGCTTGACTATACCCTGGAAATGAAGAACTATTGGTCCGTTGCATGTGGTGACCTACGACCTACATGCATTGCCTATCCCTCAAGCGCCCTCGAGATGTCGGCTATCGTCAAGGAGCTTCACAACACGGATGATCTCTTTGCTGTCAAATCCGGGGGCCACATGCCCAACAATGGCTTTGCCAGCATTCAAGATGGCCTCCTCATCTCTACAAGGAGGCTTGACCAGGTGATCTATGATCCGGATGACCAGACGGCGCTCGTCGGTCCTGGGTTGGATTGGGAGGAGGCGCAAAAGGCTCTGGATAATGTGAACAGTGGACGCACTATCGTTGGTGGCCGATTAGGTGGTGTAGGGGTCGGAGGGTATATGCTCGGAGGTAGGTCGAAGTCTATTGAGTGGGATGTAGCTGACATGAGCAGGTGGCTTGAGCTTTCTCAGTTCCCAGTATGGCTGGGCAGCGAACAACGTTGTCGAGTTCGAGGTCGTCCTGGCAAATGGTAGTGTTGTCAATGTCAATGCTCAGCAACATTCCAGTATGTCGTATCATCCCAAAAAAAAAAATGTTTCCTAATCAATTATTAGATCTCTTTGCTGCTCTCAAGGGAGGTGGAAACAACTTTGGCATCGTGACTTCGTATAAGCTCGAGACACACCCAATTTCAAAGGTTTGTCTATCGCTCGTGTATTCGATAGCTCTAACGAGAGCAGGTTTGGGGAGGAAACTACGTCTTCACTGCAGACAAAACACAAGAAGTCCTGCAAGCCGTCCGCGACTTTACCGAGTACTATCCCGACGATAAGGCCGCAGTCATCGTGACAGCTGAACATGCGTTGGTGCTCAATACCTGGATCATGTTTCTATTTTACGATGGACCTGAGCCACCCGAGGGTGTGTTTGACAACTTTACTGCCCTCCATCCGATTGAGACCACAAAGACATGGGATACGTATTATGATTTGGTTTGTCCTGCGCATCGTTTATCAACAATATGCTAATCAAAAGCAGCTCAAAAACAACGACTTCTTTATCCTTCAGTATGTACTCCATCAAAAAGACGGACGAAGCTAATAATACCAGGGGCCAACGTTATACGATTGCCACCGAAACGACACCTCTTCCCTCAAAGGAAGTCGGCGCAGACGTGATGCAGAGCTACTACGACCATTGGTTCAACATTACCAACACAGTGCTCGAGGTTCCCAACGTCATCGGATCGCTAGCGCTGCAACCAATGCCCCGTGCCATTACGAGCAAAGCCAAAGCCAAGGGAGGAGTGAGTCATCAAGCCGCAGATACAACTGTGTAACTCCAACTCAACTCGTATAGGATCTACTCGACTTCCCCGAAGACCAAGACTACATCATCATCGAGCTCGACTTTTCGTACGCCTTTTCCGCCAGCGACAACAAGATCGACAACGCCAACAAGAATTTGTATCGCGGATTCGACAATTTGATTTCCGAGTACATCGAGCAGGGCGTCCTACCAGATGTATACCGGCCGCTCTTTATGAATGACGCGTACTACCCGCAGGACTACTGGGGACGAATCAGCCCAGCCTCGCGAGAGCTCGCCCTTGAGGCGCGCAAGGCGTACGACCCGGAGAAGTTCTTCCAGACGCGCACCAGCGGCGGCTTCAGACTTGGATAGACGAATCATATAACCGACCGTATATAGCTTTGACACCTATAGTCGCGATCAGACATTTACAATTATAGCCCTTCGCTCCCAAGCCCCGTCCTAGAGTAAATAAACCGCAAACCGCCGTACTTTTGCACGGCTTAATATAGACCACCCGGATACGCCGCCGATCGACCCAAGAACCAGGACACAGAGCTATTATAACTTGTCATTGGCTCCAAGCTACCCAAACCCGCGTTTCATCAGGAAAAATGACATCCAGCCACAATCTGCCCTGCGGTAGAGCCCCTGCGTCAGATCCGAATAAGCTCCTGTAGGTGTTGGCTGAGAGCGCACGCCGCACGCAGCGCCTAAGCGCCGGGGCGGGGTCTGGACTGGATTCAGCCCTGAGCAGCGCGATGAGCTGCCAATTTTATCTCCACTATTTTTGTCGCGAGGGATTGAGCCCTGGCTAGCTACTCGCTTGTATCTAATAGCTATTCATCGGAATTGTGGAAGGGGAGCTTTGACGCCGCGCCTGACTCACTCCACTACACTCCGCCAGAAGTCAGGCTGCGTGCAATCTAGATCCAGCCTCACCATCTTGGCCCCGTCTCACGGCCATCCTGGCGCTTTGAATGATCATCGCAGCGTCCTACGCCGAGCAATGGGATTCGTTTTATTGAGTGTCTAGATGGAAAGGCCTGGACTTCGTCGTGAGCATCTAGACTTTCAAGCCCTTGTATATAAGAGTTATTGTGTCTCGCTCCATTCCAAGAAGAGTTTCAGGGTGCATCAACAACATCAATCAACATTCATAGCATAGCGGAGGTTTCTCCTTCTTTTTTCTTTGTCTTCTTCTCCGTCCTCTTTTGAGTTTTCTTCTAACGCGGCGACGCTCCTTCATACATACTCTGCTTCCTCTTGAGACGGAACCGACTGCATATAAGAGACCGGATCCTCTGCTGGCATTGGATCTCCATCTTGCACTATCGTTCCTATCTCGATTTCTCTATAGCCATACCTTCGGTATACAATTACGACACGACGCTCATTGACGACTACAAACGGCACTTTTCCTACTTCTCTTTTCGCTTTATATTGCATTGCATACATACACCATTAGATTTCAGGCCCATCTCAATCCATCCAGCAAAATGCCTCGCTACGGTGCTCTAGGAGCGACATTCCTCCTCGCCCGCATAATCCAAGCTTGCTCGCTCATCGCCATCATCGGGCTCACGGCGAACTTCATCGCCGAGATCGTGCGCTATGATGCGAAGCCGCCTGGGATCTTCATTGGGACGATCACTGTTGTATGTTTTCTCCTCCTCCTCGAGCACACCCGCAAGCTCAATTGCGATTCTTTGGCATGCACGGGGTATACTAATCCGATTCCGCGGCCAGACCTGCATCGCCGTAATCTATACAATAATAACCACAATCCTCTTCATCGACGACATCCTCCCCTTCCTCGCCTCGGGTATCCTCGACACTCTCATCCTCATCGCCGTCATTGTCGTCGCGGTGATCATGGGCCGCCCGCTGTTCTACCTCGAGTGTGCGGAGATCGGGTCCGGGAACGAGATCTCGAGCGCGTACACGTTTGCGACGCATCTGAGCTCGTATCTGCGGAATCTGAATGGCGAGGTGGATTATCGGAGCTGGGTTGGTACGAGCAAGGGGGTTTGTTTGGAGGCCAAGAGTGTTTGGGGGTTGAGTATTGCTATGTGGTGAGTTTCTTCTTTCTTGTTTCTGTCACGTTGAGGGAGTGTTGGGTGGTGATGCGTGGAGGGAGGCTAATTTGCGTACAGTATCATGTTCTTCTTCTCTGGAATCTGCTGCGCGTGTTTGTGGAAGCAGAAGAAGATTGGGGCTGGGGGTTCCAGTGATGCGAAGGAGGTTGATTAATCAAGTCAAGCAGCATTCTTGAGCTAATCAGGCTGCATAATTCGGATAAGGGGGCGATAATGAGGCGCTTGTGGGTGACAGGGCTCAGATCGTGTTGATTCTGTTTTGCTTCAGCTTTGTTTTCCCTCTTCTGTTGTTAATTCTCATTCGGTTTGCCTTCGTTCTGTTTTGCCTTAATACTCTGATTCGCGCATTTTCAGCATATCTATATCATAAATTAGTGAGACATCTACACAACCAAAATCAAAACGCATTGATTGCGGCTGTCCATCCTATCTCTTCTTTACCAAGATCTCGGGGTCTAGCGGGACTTGGAAAACGAATAGATGCGAGAAGGTGTTTTAGTGTTAGGGAGGCTCACCCTTTCACGCAGTCGTCGAGCCGTGTAGATAAATCAAACGACGTTCGAGGGAAGATGCTCAAATTCCGAGTCAAAAAGAAACTTCAACGCGATGATATTGTAAGAATCTAAAGCCGCGGGTATATGTCCATATTTAAAGCGTCTCCTAGCAGTCTGATCAGTCTCCGTCATATCCGAAGAGCGCAAGACTCACCTCACCCTTATATACTTTCATTCCCCCAAGACTGCATACGCCCAATTCGCCCTCTCCTTCCATTTTACCCTCGGCGACTTGGAAATCGCCCGATCACCCCGAACTAACAGGCGGAATAATCGCGACCTCATCCCCCTCCCCAATCACTACACTCCTATCCGACCCCTCAACATCACCTTCGACGTCAACATACTCATCTCCCAAACTCACACTACAACTGGCGAGCACCTTCTCTTTGATCCCCGGGTACAGCGCCTCGAGTGTGTTGAAGAGAGAGGAGAGTGGGAGCGGCGCGGGGAGGCGTTCGGTGTTCTTCCCCGTGTAGGTGGATGCACTGGCGAAGTAGTGGATTTGGAATGTTGGAGACATTTCTATGTTCCCTCTTTTTTTTTTTCTTTTGAGCCGGTTGTGGTTTAGGCGAGGGAACAGGATGGATGAGGGTTGGTTTGCTTGCTGCGTTGTGAGGTTGAGGTTCGTTCGAGTTGAGAGTTGAAGATAGCGGGAAGTGGGGAAAGTGGTTGTGGTGCAGAGTGGCCTTATCTAGATAGCGCAACGGTCCAGCAATGCGGTTTCTAACTTATTGTATACGGTTTGGTGGAATTTAGAGATTAAATGTGATGAAATTGCATTGGTATCTATCGACCCTCAACAAGCGCTCTGAACGCATTCACTAAATCCCGACGAAGATCTTCCCAATTCTCCAGGCCAATGCTCACCCGCAACAACCGACGGTCCACAGTCTTATCAGACATCGTCCGCCATTCAATCAGCGACTCCACACCTCCGAGGCTAGTAGCATGCTGGAAGAATGCGAGCTTGCTTGGGAGTTTGCGAGCGTAATCCTCCTCCTTCATCGTGATAGAAAAGACAGGCCCAAACCCGTTGGGCATCTGCTTCAACAGCCAGGACTCGTCGTCTTTCTGTAGACTCGAGTGAAAAACCTGTTCGAGAGCCTTTTGAGTCGCCTCTTCGTCGCTGCCCGGAGCCGCGTTCGGCGCATGCAGTGCGTCGTGAAGCCACGATACCAGATTCGTCGCGTTCTGACTCAGTCGTTGCACCCGAACCTCCAGGGTTCGCAAGCTCCGAACTCCTAGCCAGCTCTCCATGTTGCCCATTACACTTCCCAAGAAGACTCTGTCTTTAAATAGTTGTTGCGCCCAGTCTTTGTTCTGTGTCGCAAGCACACCACAAAGGACATCGCTGTGTCCGCCAAAGTATTTGGATCCCGAATGCATCACGAGATCCGCACCCCATTGGAAGGGATCTTGAAGGGGAGGTGGAGCAAAGGTTCCATCGACAATAAGGTACGCTCCTCGAGAGTGCGCCTTTTTGGCGTAGGTCTCAATGTTGAACGACGTGCCCTCGGGGTTCACAGGAGTTTCCAAGTGAATAACATCTCCAGCCTGCAACTCTTCCGGGTGACAATCCAGAGGCAACTTTTGCATGCCGGTCAGGCGGCTGAACAAGTCGATGACTCCATGACATCCATGGTAGCCATTGCCGATCGAGATCCGACGAGGGTTCAACAATGTAAGGGCCGCATGAAATGCCGACAGTCCAGAAGAGTAGCTAATAGCCTGGCCATTGAGAAGCGCTGAGAGAACAGTTTCGAAACGGGTAAAGTTGGGAGCAGTTAGGCGCGAATATACGTGTGACGTTTTATCCTCGTCATTGTACTAAGAGTGCAGGTTAGTGTCTGCCAGTAAGGGGATAGCAATCTGGTTGGTGACTCACGCCGCTCAGGTCGGCTACCGGCGTCAACTTGTCCGGGTCGTCCGAGTAGCGAAAAGTAGTCGCAACGTGCAGTGGAGGGGCGACGTCTGCAACGACATTGAGCGCATCATCTGCATGCAGAGACCGCGTCGAGGCGCCGATCTCCTGATCAGTGGGTAACATTGCGAGCGGAGGGGAGAATGGAAGATGAGGAATGGGAGAAGAGGGGTTCGGGTTCGTTAATGAGGGGTACACGTGACTCGGGCGGGTCAAGAGTGGGTTGATTGCGTGACAAAACCCAGAGTATCCGAGTCGACTCCAAGACTGAGTCACTGAGAGAGACAATGTGATGGTAGTCTACCGCCGCAGCGAGCCCATCCTAGATGGTTCACGTATTGACCCGGGAACGGCCGCCTGGAAGTTGCTCCGATCTACGACCATTAGTGTCTAGCGCCAGATTTATTATGATCCATTGGATACTTACCAGCTTCCGAGTCAAATGCGATGGCGATATCGTCATGCTCGCTGGGATAGTCGGGCATGTCCAAGCAGACAAAGTCGGATGCTGGATCATCGTCGGTCTTGGGCAGGGCGAATTTGGCGTCCACGATGCGGACACAGAACTTCCCTGATCGGTTGAAGCCCTCCAGAGTGTCGGTACTCTTCAGCACAAAGTTCAGACACCTTCCATGACTAAAGTCGTTGAGGAAGGCAAGTAGCTGCACCACCTTATCCTGGCGAACAATCTGAATCCGAGCCATAGTCGATTCCCATTTCTTTGTGATCGGGACCACCATTCGGCGGCGGGAAATCATGAATGAAGAAGCGACACTACATGATTAGTATGCGTTCAGAAGTCAGAGAAACAACGGCGTACCTATCAAAGAGCACTTTGAATCCTGTGACAGCTCTCTCGAAATCATGTAGACCTTTCAAGGACGCAAAATCAAATTTGCGAACCATTGGTTTAACCATGGCCGTTTGAAGGAGCTCCGTTAGCTTTTCAGGCATTTCCGGAGTAATCAGGTTCTCGGCAGCTGAGACAGTCAGATCTTGCTGCACTGGTCTGTACAAGCTGAGTCCTGTCCGGTTATTGACATCCAAGCCTAGTCTAAGCTCCCCAGGTCCTATAGTTTGTCAGTAACCTTTTCCATGGATTCCAGGTGAGTTGGTAACCTACCAAGGTTAAGGCGGTCGGTCACGGAACCCCAATCAGAAGCGACGAAGGCTCGCAGATGTTCCGAGAGGATAGTGGGCCCATATCCATGGTCAACAAAATCATGCTCTTGGTCAATAACACTTACGGTTCCTGCAGGGAACTGGAGGTGCTGTTTAGGTGGTTGGCCGGACGATCGATCAAATGGTTGTTCAATGGTGTATGCTCGGATTGGAACGTCGATCACCTTCTGTTCCCTCTGTTTAGGCAACATGGCAAGGAGCAGTGAGTGAAGGGTCGTCCGTTCCCGGACTTCTTGGAATGTCATTAGCATAGACCGCGTTCGACCATCCTCCGTCACTTTGAGAACAAGCGCCGGTGCGCCGTTCTCGCCTCGCAGCAGGCCAAAGACGATAGGGGCTCCATGGCCCAAAAGATGGCGTACGCTGCTAAGGGTCTTTACTTTTGGTGTTGTTAAGATGGTGATTCGGAAGCCTCGATGTGCGCTTCTAGTGCCGGTGCCCTCTGTGACTGTGACAGAGCGCTCAAACAGCCGTAGACGGCATCGCTCAATGGGCTCTGCGGGGAAAGCTTTTGGAGTACCCGGGTCCATGTACTGGAACTGCTTTAATGTGCATTCATAAACCACAGATTCACCAGCCTCTGGCTGCAAGCTTGCTTCTGTCTTGAGGGTATATTGAACGATATTCCAGAGCATCTTGAAATCATCTTCCTTGAACATGACATCTAGCTCAAAGCCTCGAGGTAGCTTGACCCTCATGGAATGCGACCGGACCTGCCAATCAACTTGATCCCATGTTGGTCCCTTTTTTTTATCGGACTGAATCATAACATTGACCAAATCACTCTGGCTCGTAATAGCCGCGAAGACATACCAGTCAACACGGTCGCGAATGATTGATAAGGCGCAAGGCATAGAAAACTGCTGTCCGTCGTCCTCGCTTGAGCTCACGGAAACCTCAACAAACATACTTCCATAGCTAAAGTAGCGGCTGGTGTCACCAAGAGGCATCGTCTGTACAAAGGTCGGTCCTTTTCCGGAGTTGTCCAGCAACATAGATCGTGATGTGGCTCCGGAAAGAACAGCTGACACATCAGGGGCGAAGAAGGGGTATCTGACCCAAACACTCGTGTCAGCCTCAGCATCAGGAGGAATGTCCAAAAGGATATTGTTTCGCTTGATCGAGACGGAGAGTGATCGAAGGTGGCTCATTACTGATTGATGGACTCCGAGGAGGTCCTCGAGTTGTTTGTCACCAGTTGTACTGACCACGGCAATAAGCGCGTCGATGCTCATTGCGCCGTACCGAGTCAGATCCCCATGTTGGGGAACGATGTTCTCAAGGATCCACAATGCTTTTGCGAGATCAATCACAGCTTGCTTTGCGCTCCCTGCTGAAGACGGGCGTGAGTTTGGTCGCGCGCCAGAGCTAGACGGCCTTGAGCGCGCATACGCCTCCAAGCGCTTCTTTCCGCGCATGAACCACCAAACCGCGGCCCTCACCCATTCCGCAAGGGAAGTTTCCATGAGCGGTTTCACACTTTCGGCCGAAATTTGTATAAGAGCGTCGTATTGTGCTGCATATTCCTTGAACTCGGCAAACGCCGTCTCGCCGAATTGACTCGCGATAGAGCGTAGCGAGTACTTGGGTGGTTGAGGGCTGGTAGATTTACTGCGTGCACCCTGACTAGATGGGCGGAGTAAGTCATCACTAACAGCATCGTTCGCCGGTTGCGGTTTCGGAGGCGACATTGTTCGTATATTACCGCCAGGCGCTAAGCCAGATGGAACAAAATCGTCGGTGGTGGTGCGCGTCAACTGAGGGCTCGGAGGGGTGCGAAGCGGACTCGGTGGAGCAGCAGGTTCCGGTTCCGAGATAGGGGGAGTGTCGTACATTGAACTTGGGCTCTCCGGGCTCCTCTCGTTCGAAGGTGAAGTCGGTTCCGTGTACCTGTGTTGCAGGGCACGGCCTTCTTCAACCTCCATCTTCGCGCGTACTCGCTGAGCGAGTGAATCTGATCCAGGAGACGCTCTGAAAGATAATCGAGAGCCGCTTTCACCGAGACTTAGAGTCATCAAGAAATCTGAATCTTGGGCACTTTGTACGAGCAGCGGTGTCCGGTTTGACGGATCACCACCTGCTTTGGTACGGTCTCGCTCGCTGAAAGAAGTGTCTAGTCGAAGGTGAGGAGATGCAGCCTGAGCGCTGTCACTATCATTAAGCCGACTCGAGCTCTGGCTATGGCTACGAGTCCGGTTGCGCGATATCTCTATCGTAGGTGCCTCGGATTCGTCCCCACCTTCTCCAATACAATCAGGTGCCCCGTCGGCGAACTTGACCCTCAACCCTTTGTTCTTCCGTGGCTTTGAGGGCATTTTCGGGATATTGACTGTGGGGTAAGAGTCAGTAGCTGGAGACGGGTTGGAGACCGGTGATTGGTTTGTAGGTTCTTGTGAAGACGGCCACTGGCGGGGTATATCCAGGCGGGGAGGTGGTGCTTGCAAGTCCCTTTGCGGCGGAGCTGCCGTATGGCGTCCATGGGAGACGGACATGGAGCGAACAGGACCCAGGAAATCCGCCACTTGCTGGTCCGCAGTAAACTTGGGCTTGTCCCTCGAAAACAGCTTATCCCTCCAATGGGGCTTTTTGACTGTCGGCTTCCGCTCAGTGCCCCTGTATGAAAAATGATCTTCCGTAGACATGGTGGCTGAGATCAAAGTGAATTTATTTGTCAAATGGTGTTGAAACCGCTATAGCGCATCGCAGGTGTGCGCAGGAGATCAGGCAGCAAGACCCCTCACAGAGTTTCTTGGCCCTCTTCGAAATCCTGCCCGCTCAATAACACTGTAGAGCGAAAGTATTGAACGGCTGTATAGGACGCGTTGGCTTTGGATGAGTGTCGAATATGGGTACTTGGTAAGAACGAGGACTCGTCGATGGCGAGGAACGACGTAGTGTAAGCAGCGTCGGCCAACAGGGAGGGAGGTGGGGAGAGCGGCAGAGAGAGTTATTATCGGGATATCGAAACCCCTAGCGTTAGCTGTATGAGCGGAAGGCTGGCTTTGGGCTGCAGGACAGCGAAGGAAAGGAAGGAAATGGACTAATAGTGGAGGATAAGCTCCAAGGCCGCGCAGTGTTCTTAACTCTTCGCAAGAGGTAAAGTCGTGCTTCCAGCAGGAGTGATTGCTGCGCGTTGTCTGGTGTGGAGTCAGGGACGAGCGATCTACCGCGACCAATTATTCAATGACCATTCAGGAACAAGAGGACGGACGGGAAGTTTGCGAAGAAGGGGGCATTTGCGCAAGCTCAAAGGGGAGAGGGCGGTTTTTAGGGAGGTACCTGAAAAGCGACTAAGCTGATAAACAAACTCCCCAGATTCGAATGAGGGACAGTCGAAGAGCCCGGTGGGGATCCACGATAGTACTTGGTGGACAAGAACGAAGGATTTGCCTGAGCTGAGCCAGCAGCCGTGAACTCGCCTGTATTTGAACGAGTAACAGTGCGCCTCTGTCGAGACAAGTGATAAAAGATAGCAATCGAAGAGAACGACGTTCAAGAGGAGGATGGGAAGAATCCCCAGGAAAGCAGGTGGGTGAAAGAGGTGGAATGGAGACGACAAGCCCGTGCGACGAAGCCTCTCCCCCGACCGAGGGCGCTTTGGTCCGGAAGTCAACCGCCCAAGGATTCCTCAAGGCTCAAACGCCACCTTACAACCACCAAACCTCGTTTCTCCTCTTTATGGGCTTCGCTCGGCACAACGCTGCTGTCAGGTCTTGTGTCTTTGATTGTTTTCAAACCTCAATTCGCAGGTTATCCGCTCAAAACTCGAGTGCTCATCAGGTCACGTGGTCTAATTGAATGTGCATCTTCCTGCAATAATAATACCTCAGACATAACGCCCTTTGTTTTATTAATCTCGGAGAGCCTAAATATAAAAGTGTCTCCTTTCAGGCTCCTGTGATTGATGCAATTTCACTGTTGGAGTCTTCAATTTCGTCGCCGCTAGTACTCTGTAAAATGCGACGGATTCGAAGTGAAAAGCCTCGGAAGGCTGACCACTGACCGGAAGCGCTAAGCGGTTTCAGCAGATGAACTGACGCCCGCAACGACGATTCACCCCGCATATTCCTGTTGGTTGTTTTATCTAGCAACGTCCACATTAACGGCGTCCTCTGGTACCTCAATTGCTGGAGAAGCCGCAAAACGGTGAGGCAAACAACGTTGGAATTTTCCGTGAGAACTCGGTATCACCTCGCGCGCAGAAAGGCTGAAACTGACGTGGACTCGTGAGAGGGACCCAAAGAACAAATGAAACCCCTGTGCATTAGCGCCAAAACAGTTATCTTAGGAACAGATCAGACAGTCTCTCGACCAATTATCAATGGAAGGAACCACCCCACTGCCACAGCCCGTCTGTGCGATCCATTGGGCGGCGTCCACAAGTCAAGCCCTCCCGTCACTCTGAAACTGGTCGATGCCCCGTCTCAGACAACGTCGTCCCTTTCTTCATCCTTTTTCAGGCAGACGCGCCTGCCCAGTGGGCCTCGCTAGCCCTCGTCGAACCTTGGCTCTCATGTGGGTTTTCCATGAACCGAACCATATCTTCTTCTCCTTTCTCCGAGTCTCAGTTTCTCAGGGGTGATGAAGGCTGTGCAACTTCAAAGCTCTTCAAGACATTGTTGCGCCACAGGCGTATTGGCTGAGAGTGGAAGATCTCAGCCACATCTTGGAAAGAATGTTGACACTTGACAGAACAGGGGCAATCATAGAGTTCACATCACAACTTCGGAATAGCTGACAAGGCGTATCATCAGTGCTGCTCGGTACGTCACATGGGGGAGGGCAATGCTCAGCCTGAATCAACCCAAGCTGCGCAAGTCTACACTGTTAGATTTTCGAGCACGCAGGAACCTATCATCAAAAGGTCGAGGAACGATGTTCATCCGCTGAGCAGAGAGTAGAGATGCTCTCATGTCTCTCAGCCACTCAAAGGCTGAGTCGAACGTCAACCAAGAACAATTTGACATAGCGCTCAGCCGGATGCAGGTGCAACAAAAGTAGCACCCGTTTGGGTGCCCGGACCTGAAGTCCTGGACGCCTTAATATGAATGAATCGGCCAGGATTATTATACTCATGTACAGCTCCGCGATAGTCTCCTCCTCTGGAGTCGGAAAAAGCATGGTGCTGGCCAAGGACCTCGGCTTCCCTAATCCATCGATCCCGGGCACAAACTTCACCAGCACAAGCATGCGTCGGTAGCTTACATTGTTATTCATCTACCCAGAGCCCCTGTTACTGTGGAGCATCTCAATATCTGCACGAGCCTGAGAAGAATCATGCGTTATTTATCTTCCTCTGGAGTCTGGAGTAGTATGGAGTAGTGAGTACGTACTCCGTGCTGTGTGGGAGAACCCACCTGGCGATCGCTGCGGTTGTCACAATTTTGATGATTGGTGGCGAGCAGCAATTAGTTTAATATTGTATAGACATCTCAAAAATAAAGAACGAGGAAACTTGTGCGCTTGGAGTGGATGTCTTATGACTTCGCTGCCTTTTCCGATGATCCGAGATCGTCGAACAAAATGAGGCCTCCACATGTCAGTAGGATACATCTACAACCCTACGCGGTCATTTTATGGTTTGATCTAAATCCTGCTGGAGCACTCTCTATGCAGACAAGACGAATAATACGTCTCCAAGTGCCTCGTAAAATGATGTACAATCGAGCGTCTTTTGTGCTCATCTGATATCTTGGCGGCTGTTTTGGCCAATATGGGATTGGAGTATAATGCCTAAATGAGGCTGTTCGGCATCAATTTGACATATATCGTTGCTTAACCTCGCAAATATACGTGAATAATGTTCGGATTGAATTATGGAAGTACTCATCTCATTTTACGCAAGACAGTCGGACGCTTTCTACTTCGGTCACGACAGCGAAGCACGAGTCCGAGACATATATATATCCAGGTTTACACTTGAGGTGCGCGAGCCTTGCTCGAATATGCAATGTGCCTCGTATTCGTCCTCCTGCATGGGAACGCGTTTCTTATCCTTACGTCGCCGTGGTTTTATGAGTAATAGCAATTGGACCAGGACCGTCGCCCAGCACGACTGGTGGGAGCTGTTCTGAAACAATGGCTGAGGTGGAATCCAACCACGACTGAGCTTATTACTGAACGAGGTACTCCATCTTTTCCAGATGAGGGACAATCCACCTCGGACGCCTGGAGATCTTGGTATGAGTATGAAGTGTAATTATTCTTTCTCCGTACTCCAAGCCCGACGCTCGAATATTAGGGGTATTGTTGATTCCACTGATCACCAAGCATATACCACAGGGCTCGAATTACCGTTGATCCGGTAGCGCATCACGAGATGCTTAGTATTCCAATCCTCTTGGGCTAATATAATACTGAGTCACCTGGGCTGAAACTTGGCAATTTCGGATGGTTGAAGCGGGGTATCGAATGACAGCTCACTGGTTCGAGAAGATCGAGGCATCGGACAATATCTGGAAGTTCTCGGCCGTCGGTCAACCAGAGGTTGGATAGCTCGGTGGCTGGCTGGCTGACTGCTGGTTCGAAGACCGAGGAACAAGATGGAAACAAGCGCATCCGGATCAGCAAGGTTTTGAGAACTGAGACACGAGTGGGTTCGGTTGAGAGGCCTGGGAAGAGGAGGCTCATGTATATTTAGGTCCGCGGCGTTGATGTGTGCCGGCCCAAACTGGTTAGCGTTTCCAAGATTAGAAGACTGGCTGGACATCACCGCCCCAGTCGGCACCAGCAGAGTGAGCAAACATGCTGCGCAGCATCCTCCGCCCAGTTTTCGCATTCCTACTCTCCTATCTAACTTTTTTCGACCAGTTTCCCTTACCAATAATGTCTCTCAGGGCTCCAATCTAGCGCGTCTAGATGTGAAGCTGCTCCAGCTTTCCTCCACCAGCGCCCGGTGTTTATCCTGCCGCCGACCGAGTCTCTCCCCCCGTTTTCGAAAACAATACCTGCTGCGCCCCCCTACCTCCCCCGAGATCTGGAAGAGGGCGTCAACAACCTTTGACCTCGATCCTCCGAAGAGAATTCTCTCGAATTGGACAGTGGCTTGGGAATTCTTTTCCAGGTGTTGGTTTTGGGTCGCCGCCTGAGGATTGCGGATACGAGCTTATCAGGCAGCCGTCGTGGATCAAAACTCGAACAGTGGAAGACTCTTGGCCCGGACAACGTGGATTGAAACCTTTCGACAGGGCTGACCTCCCCAAGGGGGTCATCCCATATAGACAAGATCATGATGGTTCTGGATCGCGACCCCAGGCGACTCGATAAATGGCCTGTCGCTCTACCCCAACCACCCCGATCAGAGCAACCCTTCGGACGGTCTCATCAACGACATCGAAAATGGCACAGTACCTTTCGGCGACGGCCACGGAAAGCTGTCCCGTTCGGAAACGGGGTAGCATGCCTTCTGGGGGTACTCCTGACTTTTCTGTCCTCGGCCCATGCGGCTCTGCTGGAATTCGACAATTGTTTGGCCAAGACCATTGTTGACTCGAACCCGCAACAACTGCAGTTTGTTCCGCTCAATGTGTCCGTCAACTTCGACCTGTCGGATCCACTATATCCTCTCGATGTCACAGTTTATGGAAACGTGACTGGAACTGCGGACAGAAGCGCGGACTACCCGGCTCCTAGCGATCCCCAATGGAACGATAGCAATTCAACGACAGGAAAAATTGAGGACCTAGACGTTGCTAATAACAATTACTCGACTCTCATAGCCTCTATTCAGGTCGTCAGCTTTAGGCCTTATTCGGAGGCCTCCCGCTTCTGCGATTCAGTTACTCAAGGGGATTGTCCGTTGGGGCCGGTTTTTGATGCCAATACGTGAGTCTCTTGACGTCTCACTTCGGTGTTCCTAGCTAGACTCGAAGTTGGGCTAACATATTTATGCTTAGGTCCGATCTTACCACGCTGCGGGCTTTCTCAATTCGCCATGATATGGTCTCTTCCTACCGTTTCTCCTCTCTCTACACTACTCTTACAGTTATATCCGGCGACGCAGCCGCAGATAGACTTGGTTGCATGTCTCTCAGCATAACGCCTGATCTAGGCTCAACCGTCAAGGGTGCTCTAGCCTACGTTCCCCTCGCGATTCTCATTCTGGTGGGATTGGCGACAGTTTCCGCTGCAATGTATAGTCCCTGGGGGACCACAGATCCGTTTAGATGGACCAGCAATTATGGCCGCGACGAAGACGTTTTGCGGCTGGTGACTCCAGGCTTTGGAGACTGCCTTCAGTATATACAGTTCATCGTTCTTACCGGTGCACTGTCTCTGAACTACCCTGGTTATTACCAGCCAGTAGTCAGTCAGGCTGCTTGGTCGTCTCTCATGTTCAACCAGAGCTTCTTTGGATCTGAACAGAACCCCGTGGTAGACGGTGTATACGCCGTGAACGGCTCCCGGGGGTTGGACAGATTAGAAAAATACGTCGGCATGGATGGAGCACGCGATGTCTGGCCGGCAGCGATGGTTTGGCTGCTGTCTATCCTGGGCATCGTCACGCTTTTGATCCAGCTAGCATTTGCGTTCCGCTGGGTTTACCGTGAACTGGCAAATGTTCCGGAAGAGGACCTGCGAGCCAAAAACATGCCTTTCACTATCGGCAATGTTATCCGAATTGTCTATAACTTCTTCTTCTTGCCGCTAATCTCGCTTTCATTCTTTCAACTAATTGTCGCCGGCGAGTCCCCAGCATACAGTGTGGGCCTGGCTGGTGTTGTCATATTCATATTAATATGCTTCTCCATTTGGATTGTTCGTTTGATCATTACAACAAATCCGGTTTCCTGCCTTTTCGACGATTTACCAACCGTGCTCTTGTATGGCCCGTTGTACAACACTTTCTGTGATGATGCGGCTTCATATGCTTCCATCCCAATCTTCATCTCTTTCACCCGCGGTGTTGCGATTGGCGCACTCCAAACATCGGGAATTGCCCAGATTGTCGTCCTGGCAATATGCGAGGTGGTGTCGGTTCTTACCATTCTTGCCTTCCGCCCCTTCACCTCTCCATCCTCTATGAATCTATATCACATATGTTTCTCACTCATACGATTCCTGACAATACTGCTGAGCATCGTCTTCGTTCCTTCCCTCGGAGTTTCGCAAGCCGCCCGAGCTTGGATTGGCTATGTGATCCTATTACTCCATGGCCTGGTTTTGGTTTTTGGATTCTTCCTAAATGCTCTGCAGACGCTAATTGAAGTTGTGGCCCATCTCCTTGGGGCGGGCGGCAATGAGGCCGGCGCTACGCGTGGTGGTCTTGTCAAAGTTTTCGGTATGCGCCAACTGTCACGGCGCCTTCCAAGACGAGATGTCGTCACCCGACAAAGCATGGCATCCGATGCAGCTATGCTGGCGCATACCGATGACCGTCTCTCGTCTCAGTTCGACGGGTCCCGGCCTAGGAGCCTCTCAGGCAGCTCGGCCTTGCTATTGAACCGAGCAACGGCAAGCGAAAGCAAGGGCAGTGGAATCTATGAATTTGGAAGCGCGTACGATAGATCTCATAGTCGAGCCAACAGCGCCGGTCTTTATACACCAACTACCCCGGGCGGGTTCCAAGGGTCTGGTTACCATACCACAGGAAGCAATTCACCCAAAATTGGTCCAGTTTTCTCCATACAACCACAAGATCCTTATTATCGACCACCCCGACCCCGTAAGAGGATGTCGGAACGAGGCTATTCAGATGATTCCGGCAGGCGCCGCTCGTCCAATCTTTATCGAGACATCAATTTCGCGGATGCAGATGATAATATCATCGAAGGGCCCTCAGTGTCTAGGAGGGGGACGCCTATCCCGGCGTATATCCCCGCACCGAAAGACGACCTGGATCTTGACGATCCAAGGAAGTCGAGAAAAGATTACGCGGTGCGAGAAGTGGATTTCTACTATCGTGTCCGGGGCCCTCCGCTTTCACACACGGGCACACGAAAACTCAAGACGGGTCCTGCAGATCCTACTGGGCCGGTCTCGTCTGCCACCGGATTCTTCCGTAATCTGCTTCGTGGCAAAACGAAAGAAAAGGGCAAAGGATTTGAGGTTGTTCGAAGCGCCAGGGCTCCTCCACAAAGGCTTCCTCCTGCTGGCGAAGAATTCAATGAGCCGTACTCGGATGAACCTGACAGCCAGGCAACCGCTGAGGCTGAAGATCGCCCGCAGCAGGATTCAGACCGCAGCGATGACAATCAGCCAGGGGAGACCGAGATTAGCTTGCCTGCCATTGATTCCGGCGGCACGATCGAGCTTCCGAGCCGCGTAGGATCTCGCCGAAGCACTACAACACTCCCGCCGGTCCCAAAGACGCCACCACCACGTTCAAGCAAAAGACGTGGATCTCAGAGCACTCCCCCAAAAGAACAACATGAAAGCCCCAACACCTCCCTGAGCCTTCCTGGACAGTCCAGCGGAACTGCCCGATTGCCATTCAGCGCGAACAGCTCTCCCTCCCGGGATCGGAATCATTCACTTGTTTCTACTAGCGCATCGACGGCATCCAGCCACCCACAGGCGAACGAGAGAACAGGCCGATCCCGCATCGAGCGCCCCTCAAGTGTGGGCTATGTTGCCCAGCACCGTACGCGAGACAATATCCACCAGCCTCTTACTGATGAGCCATCGTTCACGGAAAGTGCCGCAGAGCTTGTGAATGAACTCTCCCGTGAAGGAAGTCGTACATGATTCCTCCAAGCACCCTCATGGTACACATGATACGCACTTAAGGCGTTTCCTTTTGATATGTATGTTGATTTGGCAGCGTATCGGATTTCCATATTCCTTCATCTATGTGTTGATATCCATGTGACGAATCTCCTTGTCTTTTTTCCTCAAAAGAAGCGATATCCCAGTCTCCTGCTGTAATCGATCCTCGTGGCGTGTATGTCTTTATGTGCTGAGTATACATGTTCGAAGCTGCCTCTCGTATATTCATATGAGAAATATAATATTTCTAATGCTATCCCTGGGATGACGTGGCTATTTCTTTCTGCCACACTAAAGAATTCAGATGAAAGAGCAGAGTAATGGGGTGGGAGCATCACGAGGCTTATGCACGCGGGATATATGCAAGTAAGCAGCAACGGTACAAGTTGAAGGACGGGCAAGGTGGACGGGAAACAGATAAGGCTGAGGAGGCTCCGCGAGGTCGGGCGGATCAAATCATCCAGAAATTGGCACTGAGTGACCTGAGGAGCTGAGAGGGTCAGGTTCTCACATTACATCGATGTACTACCTACATTTCTCGGAGAAGCAGTCGGTAGTTTTGCCATATCATCCCTCAGATTTCCCGACTTCGCGCAGGCAGCTCTTTGGTTTGTTTTCTTTGACTAGGCCCCGCGGCGAATTTTCGGGCACAGTGCGGTGGCGGTGATAAGACCAGGCACCTCAGGCTGTTTCGGGCCCTGTGTTGCTTCCAGCGTCTTCTGTCCGACCTGCAATCTGCCTTTTTTGCCCTGCTCAACTTCTGCCTCGCATCATCTTGTTCCTTTCGGTTTCCTCTTTCTAGCGTGGTGTTTCTCTGGTCTCGCGGTCGCTGGGTGACTGTCACGAGACTATCTATCCCGCCTGGTCCAACTCCTCTTATCGGCTCGACAACGAACGCAACGACGTCCTCCCCCTCAATTATTCTTATCCCTCTCATCTTTCTCCCTCGTACCGGTCTTAAGTCCCCGCCCTACCTCTCTTTCTTGCCTCTCTACCGTTGTGCGTTTACCCGCTGCCAGCGCTTCTGTCCGACCTTCCCTCAACCCTGGAACCGCCGCGCCGCCCAGTCAATGACCATCCGCTTTGCAAGCGACGGAGATTGATCTCCCCGCGAGAGATAGGAAGAACCTCATCCTTGAGCTCTACCTTGAACCATTCACCTAGTTTTATGTCGTCATTCTCGGATTCCGCACACTCCGCCAACCCCCCACATACGAACCTTAGCCCCGGCTTCAGATTCCATGCGAGCTCGGACAATTTGAGGAGACGCGAGGCTGGCCCGGTATCAGACCCACGACTTGAAAGAAGGAGGTCTACAGTTTCTGGACCTGATCGGAAGAGAAGACTAGTCAATCCGGAGGTCGCTGCTGGGACGAGGTATGTTAGACCCTCGGCAATAGGGTCAAGCAGCAGCAGCAGAGCGGAAATGGATAGCAGGCCTATCCAAAGTTCATCATCTCACTTGCAGCCGGAAACTCCCAGACCCGGTTCCTCCTACGAAACCGCCATCGATATATCCTCATCTCCCCCGGAACCGCCGACGCTCGACCGCCGACGGAGCTCCTTATCGCGTAGGGATAGTCAGTATGGTGCTGATTCTACACGGCCGCGATGGCAACCGGACTCGGAGGTGACGGAATGCCCAATTTGCGGGGCAGCGTTTAGCTTTTGGTACAGAAAACATCATTGCCGGAAGTGTGGCCGCGTCGTATGTGCGTCATGTTCTCCCCATAGGATTACGATTCCGAGGCAGTACATCGTTCATCCGCCGACTGCTATCCACCCGAGCGCCTCTGCGCTAGCCCACCGAGCAACGCAGATGATTAATCTAGAGGGAGACGAACCGACACAATCGCCAGTGGCTTTCAATCCAGCTCTTGGAGGTGGCGAAGAAGTGAGGCTCTGTAATCCCTGTGTCCCCGATCCGAATCCTGAACCGCCTCATGGATACCCTCCTGTACGAGCGTCTGGTGAGCTGGGATCCGGTGCAGGATGGGTGCGGCATCGGTCGTATCATTCAATGTCAAATCCATCGAGACAGCACCCGTTTACCCCGATTGTAAGTCTTGTATTCACTCCCGTGATCCCGATCGGACGCTTACAATCTGTCAATTCAGCCCGACGTTTTCACATCCAGGCCCACTCGTAGGACTGTGGGATCAAGCGACTACCCTGCCTTTACTGGGTTCGGTGGTCCGCACGCTCCGTCCCTTCAAGGACGGCCAATAAGCTATGGTTCAATGTCGAGTTCTCGCATGCCTCCTCTGAACCCAGGTAGACACTCATTCCATTATCCCTACGGAGCAGTGTCAGGCTCTCACCCCGAGCCGTCGGGCTCGTCAATGAGCATCCCTCGTGTATCGCGGGGCTCACACTCGCGACCTTCCCGGCCTGTGGACGAATGCGATGCCTGCCCGATATGTGACAATCCACTCCCCCCTATTGGGGTAAACGGGAACGAAGACGCCCGAGAAGCACACATTCGAGGTTGCATTGAGAACCACGGACGGCCCGCGAGTGGGAGCCCGGTCTCCCCATCTCCTGTTCCCGTTCGAATGCTGGCCTTTACGGCGACGGAGAAAGATTGCATCGGACAGGATGGTACAGAGCAAGAGTGCACCATCTGTATGGAAGAGTACGAAGTGGGTCAGTCCCTGGTGCGCCTCGAGTGCCTATGCAAATTCCACAAGAGGTGTATCGTGGAGTGGTTTGAGAGAAAGAAAGAGTGCCCTGTGCACAAGACCTCTTAGAACACCCGTTGGCGCTCCCTGTTTCCCGCCCGCATTCGTGTTTCGTCCTTATCCGCGCACTGTCCATCCTAAGAATCACTCTCCCCCTCGTCTATTGGCCATTTGGAGTATATATGATCCCCCCTCTACGTTCTAGCCGGCGTTTGTTTTTGACCACTTCAGACACCGCCTGACTTGTATGCGTTGGCGTTTGTTTCCCATGGACGTGGCATATTCTGGTATCTGATGGTTTTCACTATGCTCAAAGTTAATGATAAATTCGAATTCAATAAGGAAGACCTAGTAGATACTCATCCAGATGATGCTCTAAGCCTTCTTCGTAGGCAGATAGCCTGGGGCCAGAGCGTTTGATTGGCTGGTTGCGGCGAAGCTCCATCTCGACTTTCAGGTCCTTCGTGTACTGACTCAACTTCGTTTCTTCCTGCTGATTTTTCATCTAAGGGCCTAGAGTCCGTCGATAATAGAAGATGTCATGATTTAAAGCAAGATTCTTCGATTTTCCCTCCCTTTTCATCGACAGGGCCCTGTTTTATCGGATCCTCCACACGGTCGGTGATCGGGACCCGAAAATACCGTGCCCTTGGCTGAAGCAGCGACGCCTCGACCAGCCCACCCCAGAGAGATTATTAATTGCTTGGGGACTCTCTGATGACAGCTTGGTATGCTAAACTCCCCTTCGAAGCTTACCTTTGGCCCCCTGCTGCCGCCTCGTCGCGACGATGGTCAAGCTGACATCCGCCACCCACTATGTTAGAGTCCCCGCAATCGATGGAGATTGATCCACGACTGCACGCTGGGGGGGAGCACAGCTCTTCGGACACCGCGGAATCTGGTAAGCAACGCCATCATTACTCCCGGGATTCCTCCCCCCGTAGCTCCACAAAGCACAGTAAGCTAATGTTCGCCTTTTACGGCATAAAGTCTCCGATTATCCAGAGCAGCACCCTTCTCAGTCCGCGCGTCCGCAGCCCTCCTCGACCGTCGTTCCGAACCCGTACGAGTCACAGAACCCCCTCCATACCTCCCCGCATCTCGATTCCGCCGACCCGAATGATCCATACTCCGATTTGAAACGGCCACGCGCCTGTGAAGCCTGCCGACAGCTCAAAGTCCGCTGCGAGCCCGACCTCAACAACCCCGAGGACCCGTGCAAGCGGTGCGCCAAAGCTGGGAGGTCATGCATCGTCACACAGCCCACGCGGAAGCGACAGAAGAAGACGGATAGCCGGGTTGCGGAGTTGGAGCGCAAAATCGATGCTTTGACGGCGACGCTACAGACTTCGAAGCAGGTTGATGCCCTTCTGCCGTCGAATAGTAATGCGCAACCTACAACTTCGCGAGATGACCATGTCGGACGGCGGTGGTTGGTTTCAGGGCAGACTGCGATGAACCGCTCTCTACCCACGCCGACGAGTCAGGGGAGCAAGCGGAATTTCAGCGGAGAAATCAGGGACTCGCGGGAAACCGCCAGCCTTTCGACGCCATCACAAGCTAGCAACCCCAGCCCGGCCGCGGAGCAAACACACGATGCCGGTGCCAGACAGTGGCAAACTTCTTCGTTTTCTGCCGCAACACCTGGCAGCAGCAGAGAGACCAACAAGGGTCCTGATATCATAGAGAGAGGTCTTGTAAGCCATGCGCTCGCCCAGGACTCGTTTACACGCTACGTGGATCATATGGCGGGTCAAATCCCTCTGGTGGTCTTCCCGCCTGGGACACAAATGAACGAGATCCGGAAGGAGAAACCTATTTTGTTCCATGCCATCGTTGCTGTTTCCATCGGCCGGTTTGAGCCAAGCGCGCAGACTCCGCTACTTCAGGAGCTGTACAAGACCGTTGCGGAACGGGTGATTGTGAAAGGCGAAAAGTCGCTTGATCTCGTGCAAGCCCTTATTGTGTCGTGCTTGTTCTACACTCCACCCGAGAACTTTGAAGAGATCAAGTTTTATCAGCTAGCACAACTGGCTGTGGCTGTGGGTATGGACATAGGCATGAATCGGAAAGCTTCAGGGAAGCTGAAACCGTTCAATCTTCTCCGTGAAGTGATCAAGAACTCACCCACTGCGGATCCTGATTCTCCAGAGTCGAGACGTACCTGGCTTGGCTGTTATTTTATTTCTGTTCAGTAAGTTTTGGCCGCTATGTGAGAAATGCATTATCTAACCTGATTAGGACTTCGAGCGCTTTGAGACGCCCAATTCTGGTACGATGGCTTCCATATATGGATGAATGTGTTGAAATTCTGGAAAACTCACCCGATGCCCTACCTTCTGACAAGTACGTCATACACTGGGCCAAGCTGGCGCGCATCATTGAAGAAATCAGTGCAAGATTCTTTCTGGATGATCTCGGTGTTCAGTCATTCTACGAACCGCATTCCCAATTCACCCTGAAGGCGTTCGAGCGACAGCTGGAACAATGGAAGACGGAGGCTTTCAATAACCACAACACAGCTCTCATGATACAAGCGGAAGCCATCGTCAACGTCTACCTTCATGAACATTCAATGGCTCTGGAAAACCCAGATGAGTACGGAAAAGAGACAGAGGTAGACATTGGTAGTCCTCATATGACGGCTCGTATAAGCGCTCTCAGCTCCACGCTTTCATCTATCCACCGATCCATCGATGCAATCTGCTCCGTCCCCGTCAGGGAGCTTATTAACATACCTACAGTAAGCCTGGCGCGGACAGCTTTTGCTATTGTCGCCTTGATCAAGCTTTACTCAATCGTGACAGCACCGGGCTCCTATATCGGGCAGGTGATAGAGCCCAACAACCTGCAAGTCGACTGCTACCTAGATAAGGTGATCGCCCACTACACAGCTGCAGGGAGTCTTTCAGGCGGAGTCACTCCAGCCAAGTTTTCTACAGTCTTGTCTATGCTGAGGGATTGGTTCAAGTCGCGCAAAGACCAGCATGGGGTGCTGAAGGATTCCCTTGAGACTTCTACAAAGGGAGATGTGGTCACGGCGCTCAAAGCAGCCACGGACCAGGTACGGATCACACTTACTACTTGTAGCTTTCCATTCAATGTACTGATCCACAACAGCAAAACCAGGCCACGAATGCAGCCGGCCCCACTCCACTCCACGTCCTCAGCGCAGTCGCGACAAACGATCCTAAGAACCAATCCTCACAGCAACAACAACATTCATACCCACACGCCGGGTACCCCACAGACCCAAACATCTCCCAACAACACCAATCGCCCTCAGGCCTCATCCAATCCCTCCCACCCTGCATCGGAATCAACCCCTCCGCCTGCCCACAACCCGCCACAACAACCTCCTCTGACCCAAAAACTACCGACTCCTGGACCCCCTACGCCTCCCAACGCCAATTCTACCCAACAACAACAGCAACATCCCCCTTCGGCACAACCGCTTCCCCAAACCAGAACCAACCCGCCTCCGCACCCGCGCCGGGCTACCCAGATCTCACCGGGAGTACATCCGGCGGCGGTGGGATGATGATGCCCTCGACCCCCGGCGTGTTCGCTCCCGAGTTCGGTATCCAGATGAATTATACGGATCCGAACCTCTTCGCGTTTTATGAGTGGTTGGGCGATGGCGTGTCGAATTTCCCCGTCCCGCCTGAAGGGACAGGGTTCTTTTGAGGGGGTTTTGGTTGATATATAATGATATATACATAATCTCCTCTCTCTATGAGTGTAACGATAGTATTTTCGGCCTATAGCTTTGTCTAGAACTATAGGCCCTTGTATACGCGTCCATCTTGAACAGCGGACGCGAGAAAAACTGTTACCAAATACATCTCCGCTTATTGAGCTGGCCTCACTGAGTTTTCAAGTTTTCTGTTATCTGGATCTACAGCTGAGGGTGAGCGAGGCGTATTTCTCTATCGAGTGATTATGATGCTGTAGTTCGTGTGAGTATATATAGATTAGATCTCTATTATCGATACAAAGGAAATTCATTTTATATAACTGAGGCAGCTAAGGCGACCTTCTCAAAAGTATCCTCGAGCATTGTAGGCAAAGGACGCCTATATATATCAGGCTTGAGGTTTGCGTATCTCAATTCTCCTCTGGAAGGTGCCTGGTCCGCCGAGATAAGGCATCATTCCTCTGTGGATAGAGCCACTGAACCCTTTCGAGGCGTACCATATGGCAACCAACCGTTGGCTGACATTCTAGAGTAGGCCAGCTCTACTAGATAGAAGGTGGGTGACTCGGAGACATCGAGCGACGTCCCTCAACATTTCCAAAATTCGGCCACAATCGCTCGACTGACTCAAGATGCAGACGACTCTGCAAGGTTGTAGGTTGCCCTTCGTTTGCTAACAGTCTCGTTCCATGCAAGTAGCATACTGGACGCGAAACATTCTGTTGGTGCAAGTCGTTCATCAACATCAGGTTGCAGTAAGGTGCCACTCCCGACTAAGCCTCTGAGCTACAAAGCCCCACGGCCATCCATTCTCCGCTTCTGTCTTGCGAAGCAGGTCTAGAAGAACTCGTTGTGCGAGGGGTTCGCGGACCCAATATCCACAGGCAGATAGTGCGTGGCATGCCATGACGCGGGCAGAGGCGTCGCCGTCGCTTGAGAGGGCGATGCCGAACAGAGTGCTTAGGTTTTGTGTTATGTAGTCCTGGGATTTCGGAAGTTAGTAACACCATTGTTGTTGCTGGTTTTGATAGCAAGGTACTCAGCGGGACGATGATGACGAACCTCCATTCTATCGGTGTCCTGAGTGTGACTAGGATCATGGCCCGCATGCGGATCCCGCAGTTCCTGCTCTTGTATCAGGACCTTTGCCATGCATATATGCTGCATTGCGGTAGCTGATACCAATCGTTGGGTTAGCGGAAGCCAGGAGTTTTCAAAATGAAAAGGCTTACCGTATAACGACTTGGTATACCAAATGACAGGATACGGCCTGCCTATCCTCGAGTCGGCAAGCGAAAAGTGCAAGGGCCGAAAGCCATCTGGTTTGCGAGTCTCCCACATCTCAATCTTTTGCTTCAAGAGTCTTCCATTCGCAGAACGCATATTAGGGTCGTGGACACCGTAGCAGTGGTTTATAGTCTCCGCTAGAAGCCACACGGCTTGATGTGCCCAGTCGCGGTCCGTTTGATTTGTGCGGTGACTCCATAAGAGTTGCAGTCTTTCGCCGAATGGGCTGAGCGTTAGACGCAGAGGCTTCTGGGATGTCAGCCCGAATTGAATATCCTGCATCACAAAAACCCAGAATGCTGCCTCTGCGAGACCCCCGGACACAGCGCAGTCGACTTGAGAGCTTATGTACACTGACCCGGCGAGGAGATGGCGTTGTGAGTCGTTTGATGGAGCGTGCGCTATTACTGTTAGCTTTCGAATGTAGCACTTGGATTTGCTCGACGTACACGACAGCTGCTCAAAGAAGCGCAGTATCACTGTGGATGCTAGAAGAATCTCGAGTCCTATCTTTGACTCCCAGTTTCCCAGACCGGGGAGAAGTATAGCAATGCATTTTTCATGATATTCATCCGCGGTATTCGGAGGGACGAGGTTCGTGGTGTGGGAAAGGTGGCGCGCCGCGGTGGCCAAACAAGCGTAGAGCAACAGAGGGTATGAGGGTGCACGCTCGACCACATCTATCGAGAATTGTCTTTCGTAGTCGCAGGAGTCAAGCTAAACGTCATGCGTTAGCTCGTCGTTGACTATGAAGAAGCGGGGTATGTTACCCAAGGGCCTAGTGTCTTCTGGAAATGTCGCAGAAGGAAAGCTTCGTTGAAGTCGGCCAAGCTTGGGTATTCGCGAGGCGACCTTGGTGATATGAGCGAGTCCATTGAGTATGCGCGCGAATGGATGTTGCTTGACGGTCTGGGATTGACTGGGGCGATCGCCTGGGTTGGGGACGCAATGGACGGTAGGGTAGAAGTTGAAGTATTAGTAAACCGATCCCGGTGAGCTCCTCTCGGGGCAGTCGGAGACGGCTCAGTAGAAACGACGTAGTACTCGGAGGCTATCTGTTCTGTCTCGTCCTCGAAGAACACTGGAGGAGCGTTAGCCCTGGAACCTCCCCCGACGCTTGGGAATCGAACGTTGAGAGCAAGCAAGGTACACACATTCAGACGGCAAGCCGACCCATTCCTGGTCATCCGGAAAAGTTAGATCTGTTTCTCCGTAGCGAGGCGGTCCTCTAGATCGCATAGATGGATTCTGGCCGTGACGGAATGTGATCTCCTCCGGCCTGGCTGGCGCGGGAATACACTGTCGTCCAGATCGCTGGCAGCGCAGACACTCGGTCCCAGTCTTATCACCTGTATAGCGGCGGTTAAGCAGTGATCTCACTGGGCTGGGAGGCTCTCAAGGCAGGACTGACATTTAAGGTGGCGTTGGCGACAGGTGAGGCTGGCGGGTTGGAAAGCAAAATTAGAGTCAACGGCGCACAGACGAGGCATGCCTATCAGGCGGGAGACACTCACCATCCCCTCATTACGTTATCGGCAATTCAGTCTTTGGCTGATGATGAGAAGAGCCATGGACGGGGAGAAACAACAATGCTGGGCGAAGCAACCATTGACAGTTAAGAGGGAATGCAAAAGAAGCAACACCATTTCTGAAACACAGTAAAAAGAACCAGAGAGCTGAGAGGAAGATAACGCGGAGGGGAGAGGTCTGAAGAATGAGAGGCACTAAGGATGTACTCGGTAGATGCAGCTAGACGCATTGTGACAGTGATTGCGATGGGCGGAACAACAGTCCAACGGCTCAACTGTGGATGAACGGTTCATGCAAAGTGGAGCCGTCGAATTGGCACCGGTAGCCCAAGGATCAAGAAGAGAAGGACGCCAAACCTGGGACAGCAAGAGGACGAGAGCGGGGAGGGAGATCGTTGCCTGTGACAGAACTGCCGCCGAACCAGCTCTCTCGCCGTTTCAGGGGCTGATGCTCTGTTTAATTTGGGTTCGCGTCCACATGGTATCTTGTTAGGAATGAGGATAATCGCAGTGGAAATGAAGCCTAATTCCATCCCCACTGCAATAAGGGTAAAAAACGGGGTTCCTCGATCGCGTCTCGCAACCGCATGGCGATTGGCACGCCAATGTCCGATCACTGCCCAAACAAGGCAATCCTCACGCCTTAAGATGGGAAACCCACCCAGGCGGCCAGGCCGGAGCTTTTCTTGGTTCTGTCAGCGGAGCTTCTCAGGAGGATTTCGGCACAGCGCGCACCCTGCTGCTGATTTAAGTTTGGCCCGTCAGAATTGTGTGCAGAGTGATTGTGAATTGTCCGTGGTTTGTGCTTGATCACAGAGTCATCTGATTCTGGACGGGCTCTTCTTGCAATCCCTCTGTCGAAGAAGCCGGGGGATATCTTGGACTCTGGAGTCTGGACCGCGCCTTCTGTTTCCTTTTCAACACAGCGAGCCGTTGGCGGGTCGAAGAAGCTCGCAGATCATCAGCCAGAAATGACATATTTAGATACCAGTCATTTGGTGCATGCCCTCAAGTGGAGGTATCCAAGAGTGGCTGAAACTAGCATTCAAGCATTCGCCGGCGAGTTGGGCGTTGGACATCTGGTATTTTCCACTTGGTGCGAAACAGCCTTTGGTCTGTATAGATTAGTCCTACGAGTCATCCATACCGCGTCAAAGAATGGCTTGGTGGCACCACAATAAACTGGACACCGTTGAGATTCTACTGTGGCATTGTCTCAAAAACAAATACATTGTAGATGAAGGATAGTGTCCCGCTAGATGGGTTGAAAGCAAACACCAGGCCAGAGCACGAAACCGCCAAAAACCAGACTCTTTCTAGACCTAGACCCTAGATCCGCAATATACAGTCCAGAGGGTTGAGTTTCAAGATAAAACCCTTCGCGCGTCGAGAGTAACAACTACTACACAGGCACCAAGTCAACAACCGGTCCTTTCAAGCTTACACCCCAGATACCTGGTTGGGGTCATTAACGGCTGTGATGGGATTTAGATAGCTTTAGGCTACCATTGTGAAACCATTATTACAAGGCATAGTTTTGGCAAAGCATAATTCAACTTGTGATTACTTTCCTTCTCGCCTTCTTTTCCCGTTCTAATGCTTTATATCTCTGTTGCAGATACACTTTGAAATGCATGAACCTTTGGCTGGATTGCTATGTCTGTGGTGAAGGGCCGTCGATAGCCCTTATAAGAATCCTCGATTTGCATGAGACCTCTTCTTCATGACCAGCGTTCTTCTCATGACCATCTATACCCAGTATCATTACGGGATAGCTTCATGTCATTCCGTCCTGTTTCTTCAACGCTCCTCTTCATATAACTACTAGTACCCACACCTCAAACGCCTCGACAGTAGGTTAACTCTAATTATCTCCGAGAATTCAGAGACGCATTGCAGGGCTATCTAACCACCACTACTCCAGCACGTCTCTCTTTCCTCTTTGCGGCGATTTTTGGTTCGGTTCATGTTTCCTAGGTTCAGACATCAGCAGAGCAAACTTTATCCGCAACTCATGGCGCACGCTATATGGCCAGAGAGAAATAGACTTGTGGCGGAAACGATGTCCGTGGAGGCAAAGGCAGGCAGGATAAAAGAGTTCAGCAACCTCCTACGCTCTTTGTCTTCCTGCCAGCTGCTTTACTTACACAGTTCCAAACCCCATCGAAAACTATCAATCTGAGCATACCAAGCACTATCAACATGTTTGATGACTTCCGCGTCCGTGTCCGGGACACGATAACACTGAGTCTTCGGTCTCACAGACGACGAATGGATCTCACTGCACGCATACTTCACAGGTACGAGGAGCTAGAGTGGCAGTGCAGCGGGAGACATGGCTTCGAGGCGAGTCGGCACGGTTGAGATGCATATTGAAGGATGAGATGAGGCATGGAGAGCCTACGCCAGACCAACTACGCGCATACGCAGATATCCTAAGCGAGAGACAGTTGAATAAACAGGCTTGCAAAAACGCCCTCGACAAGTGGCAGGCAACGGCACACGGCATCAAAGACACTCCTATGTACCGCGGGCTACATTCGACTCGCACGGCTTGTACGAATCGCATCACGGACTATTGGTGGCTTTCAAAATGGCTTCGCCAGCAGTGTGCCAAATCTGGAGGGTGCCGTGGGAGAGCTTGTAAATGTTGTTGGAAGCTTCCAGACATTGAACTCGAGACTTGGAGTGATCACTGCACGCCTGCATGTGGTTGTCGTCTGGATTGCATGGGCGTTGATAAGCCGATTGGGCAGCTGGAAAGCCGTGGGGAGCGACGCTCTGACCCGAAACATGGATGGAGCGACAAAATGCTGAAAGCATTTGCGTGGCAGCACTGAACTTTTTTCTCACTTGTCTTCTCATTTATCAGCAGTTGAGTCATTGCTACACGAATGAAGAACTTTTCAGATCCTGGGCACTCATAAGAGCAAAATAGGGAAAAGGCATGTTGTTGGATTTCCTCAATCTTTGATGGCTTTGCCGAAAAAGCAGGTCCTGTTGCACAAACTGCAGGCTCGGGTTGCACGCAATTTAAGGTAAACCCGCAACTGAAGGCGCACCATTGGTGAGCTGAGGCAGCAAAATAATGGTACGACGATGACTTGGTAGCTTGAAAACGGGCACCAGCAGAATCTGGAAAAAGCGGCAGAGAATTGAAGGATCGGACCGTGGACGTTATCTCGGAGACGGAACCCCAAAAAGAAAGAGAAGACATCAGCCGAGTTAGCCCAGCTAAAACGCGGGGAGAGCTCCAGTCAGGTGACGTTATCAGCGTCTTCCAAGGAACCAGCAGCCACGCGCTGCGAGCTCCCAATTCCCTCATTTTCACCATCGTCATCGCCATCCACGTCATTTCTCTCATTTTCTGCACTCGACGTCCCTTTCTCTTTTATTGATACCTTGCATCGAGCTCTGTTGTCGCCCAGTCAGCGATCCCGAGAGCTTTCAATCCTCCGAAGACTCCCCCGCACCTCGTTTCGGGCCAAATTACAACTGCTGTTTCAACTGAACCTCGCCACTGTGCCAAGTGGAAGTGAGCGGCTACAGAATCCTTCTTCAAAGGTACAATCCCTTCCAGTCTTTTGTCTACAGGCAGGCTATACTAACAAACTGCACAGGTAGGATGTCCCTGCCCCGAGTCTCTTACTTGGAGTCGTGGGAGCCGAGCCCAGCCTCACTGCGCCGCCCGCAAGACCGCGATCGGAGCCCAGGCCATGAGTCTGACGGTGATAACGACTCATACCAAGATCTTCCCGATTCTTCCTTATCGTCCTCCTATCCGTCCGCCACCGATATCCCCTCGTTGCGACATCGCCTAAATTTCAACCCATACGCTGGACCTGGCTGGACCCAGGCTGTTGTGGATGGCGGAGATGACGATCGAAATACCCTCTCGCGAGTTTCTTCTCTCGCTTCCAAACACCGCCAGGCAAAGCGTGCGGCGATAGCAGAACCACAAGCCATTCAGCAAGCCGAGCCGGATCAGGACGCTTGGGGCCCGCTTGAGACAACCGGAGCGTTCGAAGTTGGCAATACAAAGCGAGTCCGTGAGTGATACCAACCCCGACAAATTGTTCTAGGCTGACATTCTATAGTACAGGTTATTGTTGCGGTGGTCTACTGCTTCTTCGCTTCTGGCATTGTCTTTGGCTTTGCTGCAATAAAACCAGTTTTCATTAGAGAAGGAGTCTATGGTAACTATTGTTCCGGGGAAGAAGATGTTTGTTATGGACAGGAACTCCGGCTGAACCTGATGTTCACGATAGCTGCTGTCGCCACAAACGTTTCTGCTCTCCCAGTAGGAACCATTCTCGACACGTATGGTCCACGGGTGTGCGGGATAATTGGCAGCAGCTGTCTTCTTCTGGGTGCGCTTCTTCTTGCGCTAGCCAGCCGTCTTCCATTCGATGCGTACGTACTTGGCTATCTCTTGCTTGCGTTGGGAGGTCCTTTTATTTTTATTTCGTCGTTTCACCTCTCAAATACCTTTCCAACTCGGTCCGGGTTGATATTGTCTTGTTTGACCGGCGCTTTCGATGCCTCCAGTGCCCAGTTTTTGATATTTCGTATCATCAACGACAAGACACACGGCTCCTTCTCTTCCCAGAAGTTTTTCTCAGTCTATCTTGTGATTCCTCTGCTCATCTTGATTGCGCAAATAACGATCATGCCTAGCACCTCTTATAAGACCGCTGGAGAGCTTGTTCAGCAAGCAGAGGACCACATAGTCGCTGAAGCAACTGATCGTGTTGATGACCACATATTGGACCGTGATGAGGGCGAAAGACAACGAAATGATCGCCGTATGCACCGCCAGACTGTCGTTAGCAAGATTCAAGATCTCCTCACCAACGGTGACGAGACTGCATCTGTCATTAGTGAGGGGTTGACACTCAACGATGGCCGGGGTACCGCCGAGGCTAGCGCCGCCCGAGCCCATCCAGAACCCAGTCCTCCAAACAAGCACACGAGCGGCGGTGTCTGGGGCGCAATGCACGGGTTTTCCGCCGTCCAGCAGATTTGCTCCCCTTGGTTCGTTCTCATCGCGTTCTTTACAGTACTTCAGATGCTGCGCATCAATTACTTTGTCGCATCCATTCGACAACAGTACGAGTATCTGTTTGATTCCGATGAAGACGCCCGCCATATCAACGAGCTGTTCGACTTTCTCCTCCCAATAGGTGGCCTCTGCGCCGTCCCGTTCATCGGAACCATCCTCGACTCCGTCAGCACCCCATTTGTACTCCTCGTCCTAGCCTCAACAGCCACAGCAATCGGCATCTTGGGCTGCATCCCAGATAGCCACGGAGCCGCCTACGCAAACATTATTCTCTTCGTTATCTACCGACCCTTCTACTACACAGCCGTCTCCGACTACGCGGCCAAGGTCTTCGGCTTCCAGACCTTTGGCAAAGTCTACGGCCTGATCATTTGCGTCGCGGGCCTCGGAAACTTCGCCCAAGCCGGCCTCGACGCTCTCACTTTCACCGTCTTCGACCGCAACCCGATTCCCGTAAACCTCATCCTCACAGTCCTCACTTGCGTCACCGGGTCAGCTCTCGTCGCCTTTGTTTGGCGCAAGTCAACCCTGATGGCCGAGTACGGGCCTCCGCCTCCAACTCATCCGAATGATCCCGAGATCGCGGTCGTGGTTCAGGACTATGACGGTGTCACAACGAGGGATTGGGAGCAGCAGCCCTTGCTCGAGCCAAGGTCTATCCCGTCGAGGCGACAGGGCGAGTCGCCGTCTTATGGCAGTGTGAGGAGTCGGTAGTCTTGTCCAGGTGTGAAATATTCTTGGAAACGCTTTGTTTATATGCGTATGTACAAACCCACTGGCTTCTGCTCATTCTTTCTATCCCTTGGTTAAACAACCTCGTTTCTGTCACTGCTACTGCTTTCCACATTACCATCTAGGTACTGCAAGACTCATGATTGATGTATATGCCATGCCATACCCCGTTACGCGATGCCATACCCACTCCACTACTATATTCATGAATGTTGATCGTTCTCCTTGCTCCTTGCGCTTTCTTGCCTTTATAAAGCAAAATCAGTCTCTATTATATACACAGACACAGAGAGAGATCTATATATGGTAGATATACAAGTTGTTTCACTGTTGTATCTCAAGATCCAAAAATCAACGAAAAGTAGATGCCAGATAGAGATTACTGAGAGGCACTGCTCTCGTGACGGTCGTAATTCTATCGACCTGATCGTCGTCTTCCACTCCTCCATAGGTGTATATGCCGCTTAGGGTGATAAGTTCTCCGTCCGTCTGACCAGCTGACGGCATACTTCGTATTCTGATATTCGCGGAGTCTGGGCCCAAAAACGGGAAAGGCATGTAAATACCCAGGATTCAGACTGGCTGTATGTCATTCCAGACCACTGTATTGGGTCTATCTCCTGCGGTAGGAGAGTGTCTAGAAGCGGATAGAGGCTGGATCTGAAGAGTCTCAAATATATTCAAGTTCCGTCACGCTGCGCCGCAGCGGACGTACAAGAATGTTGCAACCAAGGGAATGATCTTTGGGGTGTTTCGCCCCTCGAACTTAACTATCGTCACCGATACATCCGCGCTCTCTCGAGCGCAAACCATAACTCCATGCCCGGCGTGTCACAGGCTACCGGATACCACGCCAACATCGCCAAATACCGCGATAGATGCTCGTAGGACGCGATCTTGTGATGTTCGACTACGCGGCACAGCCTCTCAATGTACCATGACCGATGCGGCGTATGTGTTGCTGCAATGCCGCCGAGGGTTAGAATCCAGAGGAGCGCAACCTGGGCTTGTGGGGTTGTCCACAGAGATGGGTGATTTGGGTTGCTGAGGACGTTGCGGAGAAGTTCGGCGAGATTCATAATTGGTGAGCTCTGAGGTGGGATGGGGAGGACGATGCCGACGCTGTAGATTAGACAGGCGAGACGGAGGGCTTCGTAAATAATGTCCTGGGGTTGAAGGGGCGGTGCTTGACTGATGTTTGAGTTTGGGTCGGTTTGGTGGGGAGCGGCTGGAGGGAGGCATAAGAGGGTATAGTGTACGATGCTGCGTTGATCGGCGAGTAGAGAGAGATCATAGTGGCCCCTTTGAGCTTGGTCCACAAGGTTGGTGTAAGTGTTCATTGCGCAAAGGATTTCTGCGATACTGCGAGAGAGGCCGAGGTGTTGGTGTTGTACGTAGTACCGGTCGATATCGGCATCCCTATACCCTAGCAGTTCTTGCATCGTCTTGTTCTTGCGACTCATTTCCAGAGGTATCCACGGGAAAACCGGGTGGAGGAGGAATGTGCTCGAAGTAACAATGTCGGAGAACGATATCACTGAGGCCAATCCAGGGAGCTCAATCTTCTCTATACCACCTCGTAGATTGACCATCTGGATCAGGCCTCCGATATGGATAAGATTGGGACGGAGGCACCCATAAACGTCTAGCCATTGGAGTCGTTGCATGGGGGCGGTGAACGGGATGTCTGGTAGTCCATTTACATCATCCTCAGCCTTATTGTGTGCCATGCAGACAACGCTCCAGATCATAGCATCGCAAACTGCACGGGAAGGATTGCTCATCTCTCTGCTGACCAATCGGACCGTTTCCATCTCAGCATGCTCAAGGAGGCGCTGTTGCCGGTGGCGGAAGATGTGTCGAGGAATCCAGCCTTTCAGTGCCTGGACACGCATGTGCGAGAGGGAACCAAATAGGAACGCGGTAAAAAGAACTGGATCGGATACCCCCAATGGAAACCAAGATTGCATGTTCGTCCCTGAGGGTCCGGGGGTGAGTCCAGGCCAGAGGCATGAAATGCCTATCAGGTGTTAGTACAGGACAAGAGAGGCAGAGCGATTGAACACACAGTATTCATCTGACAATCGAATGAGCTTTGGATCGATGTTTGTAGGATATGCTCGGAATGGATCCAAAGAGCCAGCGCCCACAATCTCAATGTATCCCCTGGATGACGAAGTGCCGGACTCGGCCCAGTCTGCGAATGATCTCTCGTCCTCATCATCGACTTGTTGCTGATAAGAATATGCGTTCGCTGGAGAAGGGGTGCCAGTCTGTGAGGGTATAATGACCAGCGGCAGCCGTGGATGCGGGGCTTTCGGGAAAATAGGAGTCACATCCCGCGAAGCGCTCGAGGTACTCGACCCCGGAGAATCGTGTGACGAAGGAGACGAGCCCGACGTAAAGGTCGAAGACGGCGAAGTAGAAGAGAGATAAGGATCGTCAGAGTCGGCATCGACGGCTTCCACTGGCGGATGGGGCCTGTCGTCGGAAGCAGCAAGTGGGGGCTCAACCAGACTGGCGGGACCAGCAGCGGCGGCAACAATACGGCCCTTTGTTTGGGTTGAGATCCATTGTCCAACGTGAGCGCGCACCAGCCGCTTATTATTCAATCGCTCTGTTTCCGAAGTCGGGTATGCGTTGACGAAGTGGATGGTATCCCTCTTGACCTTCGGAGCGCCCTTGTCAGCGGGCATGCTGCCTTTGCTTCCCATGCCTCAGTACACGCTCAAGAGCAGGCAAACGGATGTGGCTGGAGCGGTAAATGAGATGCCGGGAGGGTCATCATGCGTTTTTAAGCTGGGCCAGGCAGGTTCGAGGCGCGAACATAGCTGATCTAGGAGGGGGTTTTGCGAAGGGCGAGAGCGAAGTTAGCAAGACGGAGGATGCGAAGATGCAAGAAAAGAGGAAGAAAAGATTGTGTGCCCAGAGAGGGGTAGGCGAATCAAATAAATAATTAAGACCAGACCAATGTCTGGGGTGGTGAGTGCCAGGGTGCGGAGCAGAAGGGCGAGGGAGAAGAAGCAGCTCAACAGCGAGGTGAAAACTTCAAGCTGAATGCGAGGCGCTAGAAAAGTCCATGCAGAACTAGATCAATCCTCACTCAGCTTGGATCCGCCGCAAAAGTGCGAATTGCGAGCCCAGAAGGCTAGGGACTCTCCCAAAGCCCTCAGGGTCTTTGTTTGTCGCGTCGAAAGTACTTTTGCGATTCGAAGAGCCAGCGATCGTCAGACCGAGAAGATCCATGGAGGCCAACCGCACTAAGCCGCAATCTCCACTAGAGCGGACCCGTCTCTGCTTAGTGGACTGCCCATAACTGATTTGTCATGTTCCAAACCAACACTCTTTGAAGCTTTCCGTTAAAGAGATGGTTGAACTTGAGTACCGACATTGCGGATTCAACTGCCGGTATATTGAAGCTGTTGTTGTTATCCTCTTCGCTCATGTGCGAAAGGAGGCAGAAATGACGCCTGCAGGCTACTCGAGGCTTGCGCCGGACTAAGCTCTCAACAGAGGCTGGAATCGCGAATGAGATTCGTTCTCAATAATAATCTCAATTCCAAATCTTCGATTGGTCTTTCTGAGTGGTGCAATAAAGTTTCGCTTCTTAATTTGCGCAGAGACATCATCGTCGATCAGAGACTGCGGTCATAGATGATTATGGAAAAAATTCCTAGTATCAAGTCTTATGCTACAGAAAACCGACCTAATCAACGACAACTCTTATAAGCGGGCATACATCGTAGTACCAAGCTCGGTCAAGCTCAGTCAAGCTCAGTCAAGCTCAGTCAAGCTCAAGAAGTGGGTACTTTCCCCCCTCTCCAGTGATGGGATTGTGATATTTCTCCAATGCGCCCTCGACTGCGGCCATGTAGCCAAGCACCTTCTCTTCCTGCCATCTTCTGCCCACGACCTGCACCGCCGTCGGAAGACCCGCCATTTTAGTAGCATCGTAGTGCTTCCAGGCGCCCCGTGCAAGCGCGCCATTGGCACCAAGTTGCTTCAGAACCGTCCTGTAAGGAGCTTCCAGAGCATCCTTTTTAGCATCGACGTGTGAGACCGGCATAACACCAGCGCTGTAGTCGAGCAAGTTCCAGAGAAAGGTGTACCCGCAGGAGGAGACAGCATCTTTCATCGCCCTGTGTGGAAGAGCCGGAGTGGCATTTACCGGACAGAGAATGAAGTCGTAATCTTGCTCATCCCACCAAGCATGCCAGGTTGAGCGGAAAGCCTCACGTTTCGCAACTAACTTCCACTGCTGGGCAGCGCTCTTCGGACCGAAACCTAGGATCAAGGCTGCCCATTGCGGGTCACGCCGGATATACCGCACAAAAAGGTAGTAAAGGTATCGTAAAGGACGAGGCAGGTTGGCAATCAGGGACAGCTGAGAAGCGCCAGGATCGGAGGGTTCAAAGCTATAGAAGTGTGAATTGAAGGTCTCGCAGCCATCGGAGTTTAGCAGCTGAGAGGCAAGATGAAGACCGGCGAACTGGTCAGCATTTGGTGGGGGTGTGATCTCCACAACTTGGTGACCTGCCGCGTTGAGAGCAGCAACTGTGGTAGCGACGGCACGTTGGATAGCGGGAGTTGGAGGAATGACGCCTATTAGTTGGTCAGAGAGTTTCCCAATATACCTCAACCTTTGGCTTACCATCCGTAGACATTAGCCCAACCCTCAGTTTCTTGCTCTTGGCCTCAATCTCCTCCTCACCGCGCCAGGCAATGGGATGAACGGTGTAGTCATACTTCCATGGTTTCATGCCAACAATGGACCGAGTGAAATATGTGAGATCGTTCAATGTGCGAGCCATGGGACTGAACACACTCGCCACTCCCTCTTGTCCGGCCATGCTGGTGTTCACTCCATTCTTTGGCCAGCGACCAGTACTGCAACGCAGGGAGTAGATTCCACTCCAAGCAGCAGGAACACGGACTGAACCTGCGACGTCCGAGCCGATACCAATTCGACCACCCAAAGCGAGCAAAGCACCCTCTCCACCGGTCGAGCCGCCGGGGGAGTACTGCGGAACATGAGGGTTAAGACAGGTACCCCAGAGAGCGTTTGCCGATTCAAAGGACAGAAGAGTGACCGGTAGAGCCGTCTTCGCATAAGGTACCGCACCTGCAAGGATGAGCTAAGGGCAGTAGCAGGTTTAGATACGATACTCACCTGCATCTTTCAAGAGCTTCACCATCGGACCATCCTCGGCGTACGGCTTCCCGGCCAGGCGCGAGTAGCCTAGCGTAATGTCAAAGCCTTTGACCTGGATCGAGTCCTTCAAGGAGACAGGCACTCCAGCTAACGGACCTTTGAGGTTGACTTCGCTCTGAGCCCAAACCTCGGCCTCCGGAAGTAGCAGTTCCGTGATGCAGTTGGTCTTCTCCTGAGCTCTGACAGCCACCTTGCCGTACGTCTGAAGCACATCTGTCGCGGAAAGAGAGCCATCCTGAATCTCATTTACGAGCTCTTCGATCGGCTTATTGACTACCGCTTTATCTGAAGCATCTATGGGCGCATGGTAGACCGCAGGCAGAGAAGCGAATCGCGCAGCGCGTTCCTGCCGCTTTATGGTCCTATCGTTGAGAATCAAGCATTAGCCCAAGCTCACCAGGTTGGTAGTTTCGCCTAATGCAGACTTACCGGGCACGACGATAGTTGAAATAATCGAATGGTGGAAGCATCGTGACAGCGTGACAAAGAGCAAGGAGAATGAGGGGGCAGTTGGAGACAAACGGCGCAACCACCGTTCTTATATGCGGAGACAAGTGCGGGGGCTGCGATAAGACCCGTAGATAAGCGACGCCTTGGCGAGCCTGGCGCAGCAACAAAAGCGCTCGTTCGGTAGCAGATTTTGAATCTTTTACTGGATTTGCAAATGAGTGTATCTTCTGCCCCTGTGAAGATTAAGAACAGAGAACGTCCCCGTCTTATGGTATTTTCGAGGGTGAGCTGCTCCACGTGACAACTTCGATCGGAAACCGCGACCTTCCCAATTCGGAAGGTCCATGCGTGCGCGGCCGTTGATAACGCGAGTTTGGAGTTGCTGCTCTGCTGGTCCACGATTCGAGCATCTCCATCGGTCCTCGTTTTGATACTCGTTTGCCGATTCAATAGCTTCAAATAAGTTCATATCGGGTATTCTATGTCCAGCTACTAGACTCCATACTCCTGAAATTATCACAACAAGGCCAGCTCATCATGACCAACTCTGTTCCTTCTCCGGCCCGCTCCTTTCCCTGAACGTCTACAGAGAGCTCATGCGGTTTTATCTTCTCTAGGCTTCAGCCAGTTATGTGCGCACAACCACCAAACCACGACGGCTATAGCTGCAGCACATATCATCACGACGAGAAGCACTGCACAGCCGCATAGGACGCTTCTCCGCCGTTTTCGATGTTGCTGTTCGAGCCAATCGCCACTGGCATCCATGTTAGTTGAGAGACACTCTAAAGCACTCGCCTCGTTTCAAAAGAGATTCACGCACGACCAAATTGTGGGTTCCTTTTCCTCAGCGGGTGACTTGACCACCTCGTCCAAATGGACGGCTTTCGAAAACCTTTTCCAGAACCAAGGGTCCTGGACTAATGCCATTGTTCTGTATGTATTCGGTCATGCGGGTCGACCCGTCGTTCTTAAATTTTACTCGAGTGTGCGCGTCAATGAGTTCAATACCGGGTACGTGTGATTCTTCGTGTCAACGGCCTCAAAAGACACGCGTTGTTTTGAGTTCGCAGAAAAGTCGCGTTCTGCTCACGGTCGATGAGCAGAGAGGAAAACAGCTTGGGCGCGGTGATATTGTTGGAAAGTCAAAGGTGCGAGGATTGAGAAATGAAGTTCAGGTAGGTGTGACGACTTACGCGCCATGTCTATACTCAGCGTCCAGCGTCGAGGCCAAAGAGTGAGGAACCTGGATTGAGTGGGCGCCGGCGTTGTTATGGATAAAGACAATCAGAGATGCCGAGAGATGCCAGGGAGCTGCGACCGAGTTCTCCCTGCATTCCAGCCATCCAGGCAGGGCACGCATTCTGGAGTAACTGCCTAGGAGAGGTATCAGATCCCGATCCTAAAACGACCCACTTCTGCATGTGTATGCATGTCTCGGACTATGGGTCTCATCTTAAAACAGTAAAAACGCAGGGCAAATTGCTTGTCGAAAGCTTTGCTCCTTGACCTCGAGGTTTTCAAGACCTTGTGCCTGACAAGGAGTGGGGCTGAGAAGTCGGATTGTCAGATCTTTCTATTTTGACAGCAATGCCCTTCTCAAGATGCTATGGCGATCACACATTCTCATCAAAACTCAAAAGCGGTATGCATTGCTCGTCACGAGTCATAAAACTAACTGTGTAGGTATATGTGTACACCATCACTCCGAGAACATCACATCATGAACCATCGTAAATCATAAAACTCAGGAAAGAGAAAGAAACCGTCCCATACCCGCACCATCACAACACCGTCAACATACAAGTGGCCAGATTATGTTTCCTTGACACGTGGATGAACAAGATTAGGAAGTGAGGTAAACCCTCCTAGGCCTCCTCACACTTCCCCGGTCACCACCACTGCGACTCCGGTACGGCTTCTCCGAGTACTCATAAGTCGGGCTTCGTCTTCTTCGCCGCCGATAATGCGTTGTTGCTTCATTCGTGGGGTATCCTCCGTTACCCACAACAACGGGCGTCCCTGTATGCTCAGCCTCGTTGATTGCAGACGTTACCATGCATGTGCGCCACAGCCAGATTAGAAGCAAGGTACCGGCGATTGATCCAATGACTATTCCGGCGACGGCACCTCCGCCAATTGTGCTTGGACATGAGCACGATGTGCTGCCGCCGCTGTCGGAGTCGGAAGTGGATTGGCGTGGGAGGAGATTGAGGATGTGGTCGGTGGATGTTGGTGCCTGGTTGGGTGTTAGCGGCGGTTTGTTTACCGAGGAGACGTGGAATGTGAGGTGGATTGGTGGATAATGAGTAACCATGGTTCATCCGTTTGCCGACTCGACTTTGTTATGGAACAGAATCAGGCTCAACGGGCCGTAGCCGCGACCAAACAGAGGATGAACCAAGAGTGACGAGGTGCTATTCCAGGTATGCTAGAGTAAATGAAAGCAAACGTACCATGTTGACTGAGACGGAACCTCTCCGGAATCTATACCTCCAATCGACACCAAAAAAAAAAAAAAACGCGAGACCTAAGTGCCCCAGATCTCCAACGTAAGGGACAAGGGACAAGGAACGGAAAACGAAAGAAAAGAATAACCGCGGGGCTTTCCTCGAGATATACTCCCTGAAGCATCCACTTCTGACGGGCGAAGCGGGATGAGGGTCTCATACTGACGTCAATATGCCAACCTCCCACCGAGGAAGTCTAGTTTCGCGACCAGGACCCGGATCCGCTGTTGATCTTGTGTGGATTGAGATAACCCGCGCTATGCCGAGGCTCGAATTGAATGCAATTGACTCGCAGTATTCGGATGTTGTAAGTCACTGATTTTTTCTTCCCTGGTTTGGCGGCCTGGGCGCAGCTTACAGTAGTGTCGCGCAGTGCGGCGTTTTGCTTGCGCATGGCCGTGATTATGATGTCACTTGTCGGCGATTCGGCGCTCGGAAGTTGGGTGGGTGGGCTTGATTGCGCTTTGATTGTGCTGTTGAACGGGAATTTGTGCTTCAAGGATGGATGTGGTCGTCTTTTATTAGACACGATGATTTGAACGTGACGCAGTACGGGATGGATATCTCTCGACTGATGAAAAGAAACGCAATGCATAAATTCGAACTAACAACGCCTCGTAAATCAATCAATCAGGCAGGAAATCAAGGCCAAAATGAACATTCAAGCGTATACAATAATGAGGAATAGAGGAGAAAACGCCTTGTCTACCCCTCCAGTCATAACGTCGTAAAATCGTGGCGTCGCAACACAGAGTCGATTCTCGAGCGAAGACTCCAGAGAGCCGATCCCGCCCGCTCGGTAATTCGTATCCATCCTGGTGCATCAGGTTTTTCTTTTCTGTAAGTCCAAATCAAAATCCAAATCGAATCAACGCCTGCATCCAGCATACAACGATGAGGAGTATGTAAACAAGTCGTATTGTGTCGTGTCGTGTCTCATCAATCAGCGAGCACTGTGCGATGCAATGCAACCAACGCCCGAAACTCCATTTCAGCCAGTCCCAAGCCAGTTACACCAACCACCGATAACCAAAAAAAATTAAATTCAACCAAGCCGACAAATCGAAACCTAAATATTGGTAGTCAGATGTTTTGTTGTGCATATACAAACCTTTACAGCACCCAGGTTGAGATACTCATCCTATCTCTTTTTTCCCCAATGTTGTTGGCCCTAACGATCGTACAGCGATGCCATCCTGCCGTATTCAGCTTCCATGATGTTCTGGGGCACCCCTCGTCCGCCGGGACCGGAATTGTGGACGCCGGACCATCGTGGAGGCTGGAAGTCGCCTACAGACGCGAAGCGCGGCCGACCGTGGTGAGCAGGATTCCCGCTCGGGTTTGGAGTCACGCTGCCACCGCGATAGCTGTTGCGTCTTGGATCTCGCGGGTCGTCCATAATGTTTGCGTCGAGGTCAGCCTGTGGATGGACCATGTAGGCTGGGCCACTTCCGTTCACGAAACGAGGGTGTATAGGATGGATGGGGTGCACATGGTGCACTGGGTGTGCGTGTCCGTACACAGGGCTGGTTGGAGCGGTAGCCGCCTCGGCAAAGCCAGGTTCGCGGTATTGAGAGACGGGGGTACGGGATTGGCGGACTTCATCGATATAGACTCTGGGCTGCCGCACACAGCGACCGCTGTCGGAGTCATAGATCCTGGAGCTCGAGTTTCCGGGAAATGCCTCGCGGTATGCGAACCGTCGCTGCGAGTCGGGGGATAGTTCTCTCTGCGGTCGGCGCGAATATGCTTCATGGGAATGCCGACGGGCGTTTGGAGCGTGCGGCGGAGATAAATTTCGTTGATGTGGGTAGTGCGGCGGAGGCGAGCCGGGCTCTTGTGTTGCGGTCCCAGAGTCCTCGGAGGATGCATCTGAGGAACTATGTCCGTGGACAGGCTCTGGGCTCATAGGACGGGAGTATGTCTTGCGCTCTCGGCCTCGAGACTTCGGCGGTGCATGCTCCGGGTATGTCGGGGGCGAAGGCGCGCGTGGGGACGCGTAGCCGCTCGCGCGAGCGCCCGCGCCCGCGAACTCCGCCGAGCGACGAGGTAAGCTTGGTTGCGGTTTATGTAAATTGGCCTGCGGAATCTCAGCACTTTGTCGTCTCTGGTGACGGCGAGATGTTTGCGCGTCGGCGGGCACGGAATAGCGATAGCTCGATGATCTCGAGTGGTTAGAATGGCGGTTGGGATGGCCTGGGTGGTGCTGCTGCTGGTTTTGGGCAAATTCCTCCTCTTTGGCGGAGGTCGGAGCATCCTTCTGGTTAAACTGGTCGTGGTATGAACCGAAATTCGGCGGAGACGAGCGGAGTAAATTCTTCTTCCAGTAATCGAATTCGAACTTTTGGCTGACCGTCTTGTGCCACTGGATCATCTCTGGGTCTGGTTCCGCTGGGAAGGCCTCGCGGGGGATTGTCTTCGGGAAAAGAGTTCCGTTGGGGCTGAGAATGTCCCATCGTTCGACAGCGTTCTGCAAATATGAAACATGCTCATCTGGATCGAGGAGGATCTGGATGGTCTGCCATCGCACGAAGCCGTGGGGCTGTAACGCCGGGATCGACGGAGGCTTATAGGGGTCGGCGGAGGGCTGGATGCTGTGGAAGCAGCCAAGGCGCTGGTATATAAAGGATAGGGCGGAAGGTTTCGTATCGAGAAAGAGGACATCGTAGTTTCCGCCGACTTTACGATAAAAAGCCGCGAGTCGCTCCGGTGTGAGGTCAGGGATGGCGAGTTGATCAAAGGTGGTCTGCGTCACCACCGAACAATTGGGATCAGCACACTCTCACAGCTTTTTTTTTCCTAGTGTCCAACTTACAATCACATGGGCAATCCCCAGACACAGTTGTTCCAGCAACGGTGAGGGACTCTTATCGGGGTTGATCAAAACACCCCAAAAGTCCGCCTCATGATCATACGAAAATGAGGCCATAGTTGGACGGTCTTCAAGATACAGCGCAGGCATCTGACAGCAGCGAGGACTGTCGTTGCATCGATAACGTGATTCGAGGTGGTGAGGAAGGGTTACAGAGAGAAAGAAATGAAAGCAGGCCAATCTCACTGGAATTCCAGCTTGCAAGTACCCCCGACAGGCATCGTTGTCTGGCGGTCAGGCACCCATCGTGGCTGTCGCTGCTCCACTGCGGGGGAGCCCAACTGGACAACGCAGGCCACTGCCTCTGCAACAAAATAGAGGGCGTACTTTGCAAAGAACTCTTAGTGCTTTGATTGGGAAACAAAGAGCCCAACTTGCAGTCAGGCCATGCACCTCGCCCATTTGGTTGTTCGCGCACTGGTTCGAGAACCCAGACACTGTTCGTCTCATTGAACTGCAAGTTAATTATCCGGTACCTCGGCTGCCTCAATCTGTTGTGATTTGGCATGGCACCATGTTGCACACTATTTACTACAGTAAAGGATTTGCCGCTGCTGAAGAAAGTACTGGACACAGCTATATACAGACTCGAAGCTTAGGCACGTGCTAATCGCTTGCCAGTCCTCGCGATTCGTATGGAATCAGTGTAACCAACCAGCCAGCTACTAAAAATATCGCGCCGCTGATATATATCGGTACAGTGGTCTGCAAGTCAGCCCCAAGGGCCACAAGAGGTGCCATGATCCCACCAAGCCGATTCGCCGCACTCACGAGCGCGTTACCTGTGCCCCGATTTCTCGTCTCAAAGATCTCCGGTGTATACGCGTAGAGAACAGCGTAGACAAGACTGCTGCTGAATCCGTAAGCACAGTTCCAGCCCAACAAGGCTGACGAGGTTGTGGCCGATGTAGAGGCTAGGAGGAACACCCCTGTCATTATTGTTGCTAGCGCAAGTGTGCCTCGACGCCCGAATTGCGGCAACTCGACCATAACGCCCCCGACAAGACTGCCGGGAACCCCTGCTACCGCGATAATCAGTGAGTTGCGGTACGTCAACGAAGTCGACCCATCCCCAAACTCTATACCACGTTGGTGCTGGAGGTAGGGTAAAAAAGCGTTGTACAATGGGAACGCAAGACCGATCATCCCCCAAATAAGTATCAATAGCGCTGTTGTCCATGCACGGTGTCGGGTCGAAAACAAAGAATGGAGACGGGTAAAAGCAAGAGGCTCTAAGCGGAGTTTCACCTGCTCAACAAAGCCTAAGCCTCGGCGGTGGTAGTGAGAGCCCTGCCCATCTCCGTCATCGGTGCAATCGTGCAGCTCGTCTGCAGTCAGATTGCTGCTCTTTCCATTACGTCGTGCTACTTCGTGGACGACGGCAACGGCTTGGTAATGCTTTCCCTTGCCCATGAGGTATTTGGGAGACTCGAGGAGAGTAAAAAAGAAGTACCGAGTGATGCACATAACCAAGGCCAATCCGCCCATTGTAGCGAGAAAATACCGCCATCCCATATTGTCAGATCTGACACAGTCATCGGCGGAAGGACAGGTGAAGTTACCCACCAACGGCCATGCGACGAGATTGGCTAGTAGCTGAGCAAGGGCCCAATTGATCGATAATACGGTAAGAAGGTACTGGTGCGAGCCTGGCAAAAACTCGAGGAAGATGGCCGAGTCCACGGGAAGGTTGCCGCCCACACCTGTCGACCAGAGAGCTGACAAGACACAGAGTGCGACAAAGGTAGGCGACCATGCTGCGGCCAGACTAAAGACAGCGGTTATCCCAATCGTCATGTTGAAGGCTACACGCCGCCCGAAGATGTCACAGCCAAACCCCCAAAACAGTGCGCCGACAAGGAGGCCTATATTCTGTGCCAGAAGCAAGAGAGGTGGTTTTGAAACGTCAAATTCGTACGTGACCGGAACGAGTACAAGGGACGTGACGATAGGCCACAGGTTATCGCAGGCCCAACCAAATCCGACGACTCCAAATAGCTGCCATTGGTATCGTCCCATTCCAATATCCTGGATAGCACGGTTCAATACATTGGCGTTCAGTCTATACGCGGAAGACGCATTAAGATCAGCGCCACGATTCAGCGGCGTAGTTTCGTGAAGGGCAGCAGTCGGACTGGCAGGATCAGATTCTCGACGAGCGGTCATTTCGGTTTGATTATGAGGTATATTCGAAGGTCTCAGAGGAGCAACGCGAGAGTTAACCTATTATTTCTCAGATCAGTCAGATTTCGTCCTCATGAGATGCTTAAGAATTCAGCACGATTCTCGGAACTTCAATGAACAGATGATATTCTGATGACTAGCATAAACTGAATTGAAGAATACCTCGGATCCAATACTCGCTTTCTCTAAGAGAACACAACAAATAGCGATCAATGGGCGCGACAATGGTGTTGGTGGTTGTGATGATGAGAGCTTCCATGTGGAACTCCGGTAGGCTTCACGCTGCTAGTCGGCACAGAAGGGGAATGAGAGGCCGTACTCGCTGAACTGCTCAACGCAGCATTAGCGACTCGCGTCGGCTTGACAATCGACGTTGAAGAGGGCCCAATTGAGCTTTCCAGTGTTGCTCTCGCATTGCTCACTACAGAAGTGGATAAAACCGCCGCTGGTGAGGACGATTCAGCAGAGTCGACGGAGTTGGCTCCTGCGAGGGCACTGTAGGGAGTTGCGCCAGGAAAGAAGGAGGTTGGGATTGTGGGAACTGGAATCTCGGAGTCGGTGCCGAACGCTGACTCAAGATTGTTTTCCATGCGGGGTGCGGAGAAACCAGACGGTGCTGCCGTGGCGGTCAACGTCGTGGTATAGGGGGCAGACCCATCGCCATCCTGCAGACAAAATCCCGAGCCAAACGCGTTCTCGCAGCGATATGTTTGTTCGTCCCCTGTTTCTGTCCACATCTCAAAGTCCTCAATTGTGACCTCCGTACACGGTGCTCCGGCTGCGCAGACCACCTTGATTGGCCCACGCTCTGCCCCATTTGCCTCTGTCCCTTTCCAGTTGCGAATCGTGACATTGTTCAACTCAACCCCCTCCCCATCAATGGTGGACATGCTACTCCAATAGGCGTCTATGTCCAGGCTGTATGCATTTCCGTGGCCTAGGACGTCAGCATTTCTCTGGTCGCGAATGAGATCCAGCATACCTATGAAGTTTTCGAGTACAAGGTTGGAAACTGCTCCGCTCCCGCCATTGGATTTGACCATAAACATCTGGTTCGAGTTCCAGGTGTATACATTGCGATAGACAATGTCGGAAATGTCAGTGTCTGTTCCCAGTGATCCCATAGCGCAACCTCCGCTCCAATTGCAGTAAATGTTCTCGACGAGGATGTTCTTGGCTGGACTCTTTGGACGGTCAGAGCTAAATTGAGGAAATCCTCAAAAACTGCTTGACTTACCTTGACAGTGACACATTCGTCCTTGTTCGTGACCTCAACCTACACCCGTTATGAGCCAATTCCTTTTGAGGACGGTGTCTTGACTTACATCATGGATCCAGACGTTCTCACTCCAGACGTCAATTCCATCCAAACCTCCAGAGTTACCGCCACGGATCGCCATGTTGTATACTTCTCCATTATAGCATGTATCCAACGAGAAATGGAATAGTGGTGAATCAACGAGCGAGACATCATGCACCGAAAAGTCCGACACATCATAGAGCCTCAGGATCCGAGGGCCATCCATTGACCCTTCAGCATGAAACTCGTACCCATAACCCTGGATTGCACCTTCGGAAGTGCTGCTGAAGAACTCAAAATCGGACGAGTGCTTGATCATGATCATGTTACCCCCATCAGTCCCTGTGCGATAGATGATGCCGTCTAGCTGGATCGCACATGCGTTTCCTCCAGAGAGCGTGACCCAGGTCTCCATCGCATAGTCACCCGGGGGGATATAAATGACACCACCACTCGCGCAATCATCCCAGGCGGACTGCAAGGCAGAGCCGATATCCGTAGCCTTGTCGGCTACCGCACCGTAGTCAACGACATTGCAGGTCTTGACCTGGCTTTTGGAGCTTGCTGAAGTAAGGGGACCAACGCTACCAGAGAGTTGACCCTTAACTAGCAGGGGGGCTAGAGAGAGCAAAAACAAGCCAGCGGTATACATGATCAAGACGGATCCGATGCAATTCTGACATCTCAGGCAAGGACAACGCACGATCCTTCTTTATATACGGACCCTCCGTGTCGGTCGGAGAGAAATTATAAGGAGTCATTGCCCGCCCGTGTTTGAGCTTGAAAGTGCCTGCATCCCCTCTTGCCCCTGTCATAATGAAAATTTAGCGGACTTTACCCGAGTGGAGTCATGCTTCTCTAAAGCTTGATGGTTCAAGCACGGCCCGTCGAGTTGGGCACTACCTTGATTGGTCATTGATATCAATCTGAAGCGCCGGTGGATACAGGCATTCGACTCCACTGCTGTTTTAGTCTGGTGGGCTTGCGCGGTCGAGACTGAAGCTTCTCGTCTCACTGCACAGCATTTTCCGCCGAGCTGAAGATACCAGGTCCGTATTCAAGCCAGAGATCGAAAATAGACAGGTTTGTGCCTGTCAGGATGAAATTGAGCTTGTTCGCCTCGAGGCTTGAGGACCTTGACTCCGGTCTTCGAGCTGCCGCCTTAAACTAACTACGTGACATAGTCCCATCGATGAAACTCTGGATCAAGGTGGTTGTCACCGGTATAGACTGGGGCGGCTTGAAGGCTAATCTCCAATCTATGAGTCAGTCACAGCTCCTAACTTTAGGAGTCAAATATTTCCCTGGCTATTCCTCAGCGCTCTGAGAAGGCCAACCCACCTCGTCAGGTGCAATAGCAATACTAGTCAGTCTTTGTGCGTTGATACTCGTCCCGAGGAACCTCCTAAGGTTGAAGCTCTCGAGTTGCAGCATCAAACCCATCGAAATGATCCAGGCTGAGCTTCCCACTGTTCCGCGCGAGGTCTACCTGGCGGCTCATATCATATCGATCTCATCTTCAACGCCCTCAGATCAGAGTCTTCATCATCGCCTACGAGCGAAGTTTCTGTAGGTACAGGAGTGATCTTCAGTTACACGTTTTGGGACCAACGGGTAACAATTGAGCTTCGCTGTGCATCATGAATGACTTCAAGTTATCTTGACTTCTGATCTGCCTCAGCCTGAATGATGCTACCCAGTGGCTACATAGTTTACATGGGTATTAGGAGATCAACCACAATGGTGTTTCTGGTCATCTCTAGCCCAGAGGTGCATATTGCCCTGGAGGACAGCATTTGGGGCCAAAATCTCACTATCAATCTCACTATCAATCTCACTATAAATGTGACTGTAAATGTGACTTTCACGTACGTTACAGTGTCAAACAAAATTAAACCCGAGCTGACTTGTGTTGAGAGATAATAAGAAGAAGAACCACCAGAGCCGTATCAAAGCTCAAGTCCGCAAACTTACAACTGTCATTTCTGCCCGCGCCGGAAAGGAACCATATCAGAAAGTGGTCGGCAGGGATAGACGGAAAATCAGACCCTCAGGCCAGCTGCGTCTTAGAGATGAGAAACGTTCCCGAAGGGCACAGAGAGAGCCAAAGTAGTTTTCTCTACGGGTAATTCTGTCTGTGGCATTACCAGCCTGGAGCAAATGGGAGAGTACGTGTAACGACATGGTTGCCAGGCGGTATGTATATTGACCTTGCTAATGCGATTATTCAACATTTATTACAAACTGGAGTTTACCACAATCCCCGAGGCGGAGAAAGCGATGAGGCTACTGAGTGGGCTTGAATTCAAGGAGTGCCCACTAGGATCCGGATACCTCACCGGATCCCGAGAAACTCACTGACGACTCGTGCACTCTGAGTGAGGAGCTACGCTAAGCCAGACATTGAACCGTCCAGCCTACAAGACTTATCGTATCTCAATCTAAGATGATCGACTACGCACACTACTATGTTGAACAACTCACGGTTTAGCTTTGAACTGTCTACGGCGGTTTCGACTCACACTGGCGTCCCTATACCGACCTACAGAAGGCACTGTTAGGTTGAGTCGGGCCAATGCTTGATTTGACAGTTGTAGTACCAGAAAGGTTGAAACTTTCAGCCTCCCGTGCCTCCATTCGCCACTGATCACCACGAACATAATACTAGCCATAGCGGAGCACCACTTCTAGCGTCGATCACTCTTGCGAGTAGAATGAAACTTATACATTATTATGGTCAATTCCTATCGAACTGAGCAATATCTTCAGCTGTGCTGCCTGGCTTTATCCATGATGGCGGGGCCAACAATCCATGGTGGATCCTCCTCGAAGAAAATTTGGCCGAGCAAATTCCGAGTCGAATTTTCGTCGCAGAATCACGTTTAAGACTTTGAGTCAGAAATTCCGACAGAACTAACCGGGTATACAGAATTTACCATTGAGGAATTTGGTGAGTTGCGGATGTCCCGAGTATAAACTTCTCCCGACGCTGTTCAGATGCGCATACTGCCACCGCAACGATGACGATAGAAGATCAGGATAAGAGTCCCAAGCCGGGTTCAGTCACCAAGCATGATATTGGATGGAGGAGAGTGGTGCGTAACTTTACACCGTCGTATGCGCTGATCTCTCCATTGTGTGATAATCCAAGCGGCTAACAGGAACATCCAGATGGTTTTCCATAAACATGGGCACTGGAATAGTGTCCACGCTCCTTTATGCGCTGCCCTATAACGGTACATGGCTGTACTGGATCTCGGTAATCATCTTTGCTCTAAATGTTTTACTCTTCATTATTGTCTGCGTCATCTCAACCCTTCGCTACACGCTCTATCCAGAGATATTCAGAGTCATGATCACGCATCCAACACAGTCCATGTTTATTGGGACGCTGCCAATGGGCTTTGCTACTATTGTGAATATGCTCTGCTTCATTTGCGTTCCTGCATGGGGCGACTGGGCTCGAGATTTTACCTGGGCGATGTGGATTATCGATGCAGTTATTGCGGTGGTTACTGCACTGTCATTACCATTCATGCTGTATGTGCAAACGAATTTCGAATAAAAGTGCTCCAACTAACACTGTTCCAGCATGTCCAGAAGGGATGAAACTCAGCTCTCGTCAATGACGGCGGTCTGGCTTCTCCCAATTGTGGGCACAGTGGTCACAGCTTCATCGGGAGCATTAGTCGCTGAGATCTTGCCAAATCCGCAACATGCTCTCTGGACTATAATAGTGAGCTACGTGCTTTGGGGAATCGGCTTGCCTCTAGCATTGATGGTCATGGTGATATACCTCCAGCGGTTGACGCTGCATAAGATCCCGCCCAAGGCGATGATTGTCAGCGTCTTTCTTCCACTGGGACCGTTGGGACAAGGGGGGTTCGGGTACCTATCCCCATGCTCTCACAACTACTGCAAATTAACCATATTTAGAGCAATAAGACTCGGAAAAGCCGCGCAGACAATCTTCACCAAAACACACACTCTCGAGGAAGTATCTGGACCCGTGTTTTACTCAATGGGCTTCCTGGTTGGGCTTATTCTGTGGTCGTTTGGCCTCGTATGGTTGTTCTTTGCCTCGGCGTCAATTGCCCGCGCAAAGACGTTTCCATTCAACATCGGTTGGTGGGGGTTCTTATTCCCCATCGGTGCTTATGCTTCGTGTACCTGTCAGATTGGAGCAGAGCTTCCATCTGCGTTCTTTCGCATCTTAGGCACGGTATGTATCATTCCATTCAAGACTGTAGTGCCATGCCTAACATTCAGATAGATCATCACGCTTTGTGTAGTAGCTCTATGGATCGTCATAAGTCTGGGGACTTTGAAGGGGGTGGTCGCTGGAACCATATTCTATTCACCATGCTTGGCGGAGCTGAGGGCGAAGGAGATGGAACGGGGTGAGGTTAAGGCTGTGTAGTTTGTCTGCTAGCATTTAAGCGAGTTGTTTTCTAGATTTTCCAACATTGCTAAAATATACTTCAGCAGAATCCACTAATATCGCTCAAGCGGGTCTGACTGAAATATCAGGCTCAACAGGGACAACGCTGACCTTACACTGTACAGAAGGTTATAGTTTAGTCGCTTGAGTAACCCTGACGACCAACCCGTCCTATATCAACCGCGGTATGACGCGTGCTCATGGAAGCCTTGTGGTTCGTGCCCGACGTTGAGTGGCCAGTCTGGCAGCGCATCACGTGATGCGGAGAGAACCAGCGGAAAAATCGAAAATCGAAATTCAGAAAATCCAAAATTCAAAAAAGAAAAATAATAAAATAAAATAAAAAAAAGGAACGGCGCCCATCGAAAAGACCGCAATCCATCAGTTATTTCGGCCGACCCCAGCTTTCCAGATCCCAGGAGACGCCTGCGAGCCTTTGATTCACCCTGTTCCAGCTGCTTGACTGCCTTTCCTCGCTGCTGCCTTCGATTTTCCGGTCGGGGGGCGCGCTGAGTTTTCACCCTCGCTCTTTCCTGCTCAGCAAAGTTGCGCCACCTGTCCTCTTCCGATTCCCGTAGCACCTGGCAGCCTGAGGCAGGAACGGTCGAGACGCGCATCACGGGACCGACTCCGCACACCCTCCGCTCTCATTCGCTGGTTCGGTGGCTTGTCGTGTGGCTTTTTGTTGAGGTCTGTTATTGTTGCCGGAACGCTCACGGCAATTGTGCCCCCCCAAAAACGCGTTTTCTTTTTGCGCGTCGTTGTGGCGTGGTCTTCCATCTCGACTATTGGATTCTTGCGACTGCCGCGATTATTGTTGCTGGTGGAGCTGGGGGGTTTGTCGATTCGCGAGCCGCCGCCTGGTTATCGCGCGCGTGTACACTAACTTCGCCACTAATTCTGGTCCCTGGTCATTCCGATCAAACTACATGTCTGGTCTCGGCGTCGACCGACTCTGACCATCTCTGAACAATTGAGAGTCGGTCGCTTGTCTGAGTCCCGCTGGACAAGATGATGGGATATGGGGGTCACCACTACCCTCAGCAGCAACAATCCCAGCGCAGTGCGCTCCCACCACAACAACAGCAGCAGCAGCAGCATATGCAGTCGCCATCAACCAGCGCGGCTTCTGGGCACCGGCAGAACGCTACCGCATTTGCTAGCAATAGTAGTCTGTATCGGACGCAGACGCAGGCCGACCTGACAGGTCTTTCACCGAGTCTCCGGAATATGACTGCGACCTCATCGCAGTCGTTGGTTGGGGGGTTGCCGGCAGCCACCAGCTACGGCTCATATACGGGGCAGTTCCAGTCGCCTACCTCGTCCGACATGCTGTCTAGGACGACGGAATCACTCGGTCAGATGAAAAGCCCGTACATGTCTTCTTTGCAGGGGACTTCAATGCAGAGTTTACAGCGGAGCGTGAATCCAATGGCCAGTTATCGGCACCCTTCATTGAATCAGCAATCTGCGCTGTCTCCGCATTCGCAGACGATGGGTATTTCTTCTCCGCAGCAGTCGCTGGATCGACTGCAGCAGCAACAGCAGCTCCAACATCGACAGTCTCCGCATACGCATCCAACGGCGTCCACGCCTGCGACGGCCTCACCGATGCTTGCAACTAATTCACAGCAGCAACATCAGCCATCGTATACGCAGCAGTATCAGCAGTCTTCTCCTTACCAGACTCAACAGCAGTCTACGCCGTACCAGCAGACACAGCAAGCTAGTCAATATCAACAGCAGGCGCAGTCGTTGTCTCAATATCAACAGCCGCAAAAAGCGCAACAAACCACGCAGTATCAGCAGCCCGCGCAGCAAACACAGCAACATTCCACTCAGTATCGTGTACCGCAACAGGCTCAATTTCAGCAACCTCAGGCCCAGCAATCACCGTACCAGTCTCAAACACAGTATTCTCAGTACTCGCAGGCGCAACAGAGTCCATATCAACAATTGCAAACCTATCAGCAGCAGGCGCAAAAGGCTCAACAAGTGCCTCAATCTAGCCAACAGACGCAGCAGACACCATCATCTCAGCAAACGCAATCCTCCCAGACTTCTCAATATGCTCAAGTGTCTCAGCCCTCACAAACCGCTCAATATGCACAGGCGTCTCAAACTTCTCAACCTCCTCAGTATGCTCAAGTGTCTCAGTACCCTCAACCTCAGTCATCACAGGCTACTCAATCTTCGCAACTTGCACAATTGTCTCAGCTTCCTCAGACGTCCTACTCTTCGCAGTCAGCCCAGGCAACACAACCTTCGCAGACTACACAAGCATCACAAGCGCAACAGTATGCTCGGCAGCAGGCCCATCAAGCGCCAGCTACTCAAGCTTCTCAGACACCACAGGCCTCACAGGCTCAGTACCAAGCTCGTCAGCATGCCCACCCGCAAGCCCAGCAGGCACAGCAAAGAGTCCATCAGCAAACCCAGCAGGGGCAGGCGCAGCAACAACAACAACAACAGCCTCAAAAGGCAAAGCAGCCGCAGCAGGTTCAGAAACCTCAACAGACTCAGCAAGCCCAGCATAGCCAACAAAGTCAGCAGGCCCAGCAGAGTGCACTTACGCCATATCAGCAAGCACAGCAGCGCTTCACTCAGGCCCAGCAGGCCCAGAAGGCTCAGCAGGCTCAGCAGGCTCAACAAGCCCAACAAGCCCAACAAGCTCAACGGTCACCCTACCAGGCTCAGATGCAAAATCCCCAGCTGCAACAATATGCTGCCTACCAGCGCCAGTATCCACAACAGCAACAGTACCAGTTACAGTCTCCGCAGTTGCATACCTCGCAGACGCCTCAGCAGCAACAGTACAATCTACAAACGCAGCAGTCCCAGACGTCGCAATCTCCCCAGCAACAAATCACGCAGCAGACGCCACAGCAAGTTAAGCAGCAGTTACAACAGCAAAAGTCCCAGCAAACGCCTCAGCAAACTCCGCAGCAACAGCATCAGCAGATACCCAAAGCCCATCCTCAACAGCAGCAGCAGCAGCAGCAGCAACCTCAGCAGTCATCGACCCAATCTGCCTCAACCAAGGCTAAGCCGGTCAAAGAGCCTAAAAAGAAGCAACCCACCAAGAAGCAAAAGGCCGCTGTCGCCGCCGCCGCTGCTGCTGCCGCTTCGGCTCCTGCTCAGGCAGCGCAGCCCGCAAAGGCAGCACAGCCGGTACAGTCGACTCATAATGCATATACTGCTCCAACTTCTCACACTGCTTACAATGCACCAAATGCACACACTGCCCATACTGCCCCAGCTCACGCTCACGCAGCCCAAGCCCAAGCATCCCGAGTGTCCCAGATACCTCAGATACCTCAAGTACCCCAGCCATCTCAAGCATCACAGGCCCCGGCAGCTCAGCCAGCTCAGCCAGCCCAACCATCCCAACCAACGCCGGCAGCGCAGGCGACAAATCACGTGAACGGACAAGGTCCTGTTACTTTCATATCCGAGAATTCAAACCGGGCGCCCACGAAACCTGGGGATCCGAATCACACTCCGAGAAAGCGAGGCCGCCCACGGAAACAACCTGGAGACGAGACAAAGCCGAAGAAGCCGAAGAAACCCAAAGTTCCCGTTGCTCCGGGCGATGCTGCTGCAGCTGCAGCTGCCGGTCTGCCCAACATCCCGGGCGTCGGCGTGCCTTTCCAGATTACAACACCTGGTCAAGCTGCTGCAGGTGCTTCTGGCCTTCCTGGTGCGCCGGGCGCCTCTGGAACGTCTACCGCTCCCCCCGTCCCAATAATTGGGCCGGATGGCAACCCTATTCCCATGAAGCGTAAGCGAGGGAGACCTCGTAAATCAGAGATGGATCCTAACGCGCCCCGCAAGCCCAAGCCGCCCAGGGATCCGAACAAACCAAAGGGTACGGGTCGTCCTCGAGGTCGGCCGAGGAAAGCAGATGTGCTGGCACGGAAGAAGTTGGAGGAAGAGCAAGCTGCGGCGGCTGCTGCGGCGGCCGCCGGGATTGAAGATGGGGTTCCTTCTACTACTCAACCGGAAACGCAATCAACGTCGCAACCTAGCTTTCAAGCAGCATCTCAACCTGGGGTCCAGCCTGCTCCGCAATTTGTGAATTCCGTTGGGGGCCAAGCGCAAGTGCAAGCTCCGCCGCAGAGCGCTCAACCATCGACCGAGCCTCAGGTTCAGCACATGTCTCAACAACCTCAGCATCACGTTCAGCAAATGCTTCAGCAATCCCAATCTCAGATGCAATCTAGACCAACAATGGCACAGCTGCAGGCTCAGCAGATGAAAGCTCAGCAGATGCATGCTCAGGCTCAACGACAAGCGCAGACCTCGAAACAAGCGCAGCAAGTGCAGCAAATGCAGGTCTCAAACCAAAGGCAAGCTCAACCGCACTTGCAAGCGCATTCTCAGATGCAGGGATCAAGTCAGAGACAGCCCCAAACGCACATGCAAGTCCAACAGATGCAAGCACAGATGCAGCCGCAGCCGCAGCCGCAGCAACCGCAAACCACAGCTCAGATGCAGGTTCAGCCTCAGAAAGCGCAACCGCAGATGCAAGTACAACCTCAAAAGGCTCAAGCTCAGATGCAGACGCACCAGATGCAGGTCAATCCTCAGATTCCTGCTCAGCAGATGCCGAAAGCTCAGATGTCGACCCAGCAAATGCAGTCCCAATCACAGCTACAAGCTCAGATGCATGCACAGACCCAACGACAGACGCAGTCCCCATTGCAGACCCAGACTCAGAGACCACAGGCTCAGATCTCTCATCAGCAAATGCAGCCCCATGCTCATGCGGGTCAGTCTCATGCAGCTCAATCCCGTGTACAAGTTCAGACACAGCCTTCTGCGCAGGCTCAGACCTCTACACACGCTCAGGTGCAACAGGTGCAGGCGCAAGGACAGGCCAAAGCTCATCAGCAGTACCCTCAAGCTCACACCCAAGGCCATACACAAAGTCATTCTTTGCCGTATCCGCAATCGCACTCGCATCCTCAGGCGTACCAAACACAATTCCAAACTCAGATCCAACCGCAGCTGCATCATATGCAGACTCACTCGCTCCACCCACTCTCCCAATACCAACAACACCTTTCGCATCATACGCATTCCTCTCACTCACAAACCCAAGCTCAGCCTGGGTCTCCGATGACCTTGAACCCAGGTCAAAAGCGCTCCTCGTCGGCGCTAGACGACGACCCTCGCAAACGAGCCTATATCATGCCGCATCAGCTATAGCGTCGAGAGCTTACACTTGTCACCTTGCAGGCGCATATTCGTTCCAGACATGATTGGTGTTATCATTACTCCCCGTTTCTATACCACTTAATATGGCGCGGCCTTTCCTTCCTAGCACTCGTGAGCCTTTTATCTCATCTATTGGTCGACTTGTTCTGCATTAATCAATCGGTTCATCGTCTGTTTGTCTGTTTGTTTCCCCTGCTTCCGTTCCATAGCCGGCATTGTTTGATATTCCCTATACCATAATCCGTCTGCTCTGTCATTTGATTCGCAATCGTGTTATATATCATCCCTCTACTTGTTTCCGGTGTGGTCGACTGCATATTGTTTACTATACATAACTAGTATAATGACCGCTTCAAGCATTCCATTCCAAATTCAATCATACACCACGGGTCTAACAAACCCACAAGCGGTCCAACTCGTAGGAATCCGAGATCGTACTGGACTGCGACTTGGACGACTCAGGGCACCATTAGTATCTAAATTAGCCTGGCCGTAACCCAAACCTCTTCCTTTCTCTCGCTCTTTCTCCTCTCTCTCAACGTCAGACTCCCCTCCTTCCGAAACCTCTCTCTTCACCCACCTCGCCACCTCCCCCAAAACTCGGGCATCAACACCAGTCCTCACCCCCCTCCCCTCAAACATCCCCACAACCTCCTCCGTCGCAACATTCCCCTTCGCTCCCGGCGCAAACGGGCACCCACCGAGCCCAGCAACACTACTATCATATACGCGAACTCCACACAGATACGCCTCCCAGACATTCTCCAGGCCCCGTCCATGACTATCGTGGAAGTGGCCTCCGAGCTTGGGCACGGGGACGGGGACCTCGTGTGTGGTGAGGTAGGTTAGCAACGAGCGCACGAGAGACGGGGTCCCTGTCCCTGTTGTGTCGCCGAGAGAAACTTCGTAAACTCCGGCGGCGAGGAGGGTCGTTGTGCACTTGTGGACTGAGGAGAATGGTGTGGGGGAGTTGGTGATGGGGTCGGTAAAGATTGAGGAGATGTATCTGGTTTATCTTAGTTTACTAACCTACTATAGAAGAGGGTGGGACAGGGATGGAGGAGACTCACCCGCGCACAGCAACCCCCTTCTTCCTTGCTATCCTCGCAACTTCGACGGCCCGTTCCAGGCCCTCTTCAACAGAACAGTTTATATTCGCGCGGCTGAACCCTTCTGTAGCACTTACGAACACTGCAACCTCGTCGACACCATGCGCAAGCGCAATTTCTAACCCTTTGACGTTCGGCACGAGGACTGGTAGTCTCAAGACACCCGCATCTGTATCTGTATTCGCATCCGCATCCGCCCCATCACTTCCACCCTTAGCCTCATCCTTGCCATCGACGGCCCTCCGCCGCTGTAGATGCCTAACAGCGTCACTCCTCAGTAACCCCCGGCAATCCGCTAATTGCGGAACTGCGCGCGGCGAAACAATCGATGTGAGCTCGATGCTGTGGACACCTGTCCGGGAGAGACGAGATATCAGCTCGACCTTTGTAGATGTTGGGATTTGGTGCGGGATATTTTGTAGGCCGTCGCGCGGGGAGACTTCGACTATGCGAACCGCGTCTGGTATCGGAGGTGGCCTCATTTTCTTGGATTTTTGTGTAGTATATGATGTGGTATGGGTTTGGATTGATAAGTAGATAAGTAGAGAATAGGTATGCTAATCCATAACGAGTGTATGTGTGTCCAACCCGATCGAAGTCGTCTATGCCCCGCGCGCAGAACTCAATCTGACTCTTACTTTTGAAGACGCCAAGGTTGTCTGTGGCAAACGCAGGGTCTGGTCGGGTTATATACTCCACGTTTCGATGAGTTTCCGGGCCGAGGCTGGGCGGAGACTACCGGGGCTGATGACGACATGCACCTGCTGAGGCTCGGGGACGTGGAGATTTATCGTCCGACTGAAGATTTCTGGGATATTCTTGTATTATTTATGATTATGAGAGATAATAATCCGCTTGAGTATATTATACCGCTTTATTCAGACGGACTCGGTACCTTTTTTTTTTACCTCGAGATGGAAGGATCAGGAGGAGAGGCTCGGTGAGGCTGTACGGGATATTTCTGGCAGACTTCAGCTCTCCGGAGTACCAGGATATGAAATCCGGTAATTTTGGACTCGGATGTATGCTAGTATGAGCTTATGAGTCCTTTGTGATACTCGGGGTAAGAGTCGTGACTGGATGGATGTGAGAGTCATTCTGACTCGATGCGGAAATAGGGCAAAAGTCTAGGGCTGGATGCAGGTCTAGTTTTACGCCTGAGGCGCTGAACATGGTCGACTCGCAAATTGTTGCTAGTGACTGTATCATTTTCATCGAATATTTCATTGGCAACCATAACATTTTGCATTAATCATCTCCTCGTGAGTTGTCGAATCACTGCGTCCCCCGATATTAGTGTGTTATTTCCCCTCAAAAGGCAGACGCTAAGTAGCTGGCTAACAGTAGTTGCTGACTTGGGCATATATTACGGGGTCCGGAAGCCTCGGCTGCCCGCTCCACACGACGCCCAGTCCTCAATCCTGTTTTGCACAGAATGCCTTCTTGTTCGGGCCTAATCGCCTCCAATTCTGGCTTCCCCGGGCGCTGAACTCGCTGGAGTCCTCGCTAGCTTTATCCTTTCGGGCATCGATGGGGCCGAACCAAGAGTCGCCGCGCTTGCGCTCAGGCAGTGCCAGCCGGTGCGGTGCGGACGCCTGACTGACGTCCTGAGTTTATAAACTCGTCATGTCGCTCTTTCAAACTCTGTCTCTCTTTGTGTCCCCAGGCGTTCGCTCCAGAAATGCATCTCCGGTCTTTTGCGAGTGTCCTGCTTCTCTGCGGACCTGCTCTCGCGGCTCCGACCAAGGATCGCTGCCCAGCTGGGCCCAGTGTCCCCAGTCCTGACTCGCTTGGCGCTCTTCAGGCGCTCAATTACAACAACCTGGGCGCGGAGAACAATGGCACCGCTGCTGTCCTGGTGTACGAACGCTTGCCCCGCTCCAAGGCTCAGGAACGATGCGCTTCGATCGGGGAGACCCTGTTCCCCTTTGCGTCTGTGCCTGAAGCCAACCGCACCGAGCTCGTGTATCAGCTAGACTACCTCGTCTACGCAAAGGATCTCCGTCCTGACGACGATGTCTGGGTCGCCGGGGACGGCAAATGTCTGGCGTACTCTCAGACCAGGAAACAAACGTACTCTGCGCCGTGCGACTCGAAACTTCCGGCTCTCTGCACCTCTCGCGTTCCTCCCACCACGGACGTGGATCGCACGGTCATCGCCTCGTCTAAGATTACCGTGAAGAGCAACGAGTACACCTTGACTGGATACCGCGATGCGCGCTCATTCCGCTTCATAGGTGTGCCCTTCGCAGACCCTCCAGTGGACGAGTTGCGGCTCGCTCCGCCACGCGCGTACTCGGGTCCTAAGAAGATCGATGCAACCAAGTTCGGAAGTCCCTGCGTTCAGGCAGGGTTCGAAGGAGACGTCTCGGAGGACTGCCTGTACTTGAACATCTACACCCCTGTCCTGCCAGAGCGCTCCGATACTCCAGCGCACCGCCGCCCCGTGGCCGTGTACTTCTACGGCGGCGCCTTTGTCTCTGGCGCGGCGTCCGAAATCGACTACGACGGAGGCAACTTTGCCAGCCGCAACGACGTCGTCGTCGTGACCGTCAACTACCGCCTTGGCGCCCTCGGCTGGCTCGCCACGGGGGACCTCACCACGGGCAGCTACGGTATCCGAGATCAGATCCTCGCACTCGAGTGGGTGAACAAGAACATTGCGGCCTTTGGCGGCGACCCGAGCCATGTCACCATCTTCGGCCAGTCCGCCGGCGGGCAGAGCGTCATTGCCGTGCTCTCCTCGTCTGCAGCAAAGGGACTCTTTTCCGGGGCAATCGTCCAGTCCGCACCCGTTGACCTCCCCTGGTATACCCGTGAGGTGTACTCCTCGCTCGTGGTCCCGCATGTCGCCTCAGCCGTCGGCTGCGGAAACTCCACATCAAGTGAGGAAACCCTCTTGTCTTGCCTCCGCTCCATCCCAGCAACAAATTTCCTCGAAGACCCCAACGCCAACGTCAGCGTGACCTCCGCAATCGCCGAAGCCGTCAGCGAAAACTACCTGCACGTGTCCCAGCTCATCGCCAACATCGAGCCCTACATGCCAATGATTGACGACTCCGGGTCCGGCGTCATAGACGACCAATTCCACACCCTCCTCGAATCAAACTCGCTTCCCAACCGCGTCCCAACAATGTTTACAACCGTCACCGACGAAGCAACCTCCTTCGTCAACGCCGTCGTACCCAACCTCGGCTCCGCGCAGTCCTTCCTAAACACCCTCCTCGGCGTAGCATACCCACCAACCCTCGCGCAGACAATCGCAAACAACACAATCTTCCCCGTGACCCCCGGACAGAACGACAGCGTCCGCATCACGGGCGCCGAAGCCCTCACGTACAGCGAATGGGTGTGCCCACAAGCCTACCTCCTCCGCAACGGCGGAACCACAACCTTCCCATCGCTCTACGAAGTCCAGATAACAAAGGGCCACGCCGCCTACAATCTCCCCGAAATCTGCTTCCCAAACGCAGTCTACAACGCGACGTGCCACTCCAACGATGTCCTCCCCGTCTGGGGTACACTGAATTCGAAGACGCAGGGCGTGAGTACCTACTACGATACGGCCGACTGGCTGCACTCGCAGCTGCTTAATGACGTCTTTGGGTCGTTCTTCCGGAGCTATGATCCGAATCCGGATGTCGAGTGGTTGAGGGTTAGGGGCCCTGCGTATGCTTCTACGTTGGGGATCTTTGCCGGAGAGGAGTACCGAATTGAGGAGCATAATCCGCGCGATGAGACGCTGGCGCTGTTGGGCATGCCACCGTCGACGGCGCAGAATCCAGGGCTGACGGAGAAGTGTGTTGTCTTTGAAGAGTATGGGTTTACGTTTGAGAATGCGGAGCTTACTGTCTGATCTGCGAATAAGTGGGGTCGATGTGACGTGACGTGACGTTGTATATATGCTAATGATGTATATATGTAGTAGTTATTGAATCTGAATCTAATAGTACTAGGCTACTTGGCCTTGTCATCCATAGAATAACATGAGCAGGAAGGGGCAAAGCAGATACTCAGCAAACTGTGAGGCACGAAGCTCTAAAAATAGACATCGAATACAAAGAAGCCATTTAAGATCTCGGGGCGGGCTGCTGCTCAAAGGACTTATTCAGGAACCGGGAGAGGAATTTCCTCGAGCGATTCAGGGTAAATGTCGCTAGTACAGTCTATACTCGAGTCTTTCTTAAGGTGGTTCTTTAGTTATTGTGTAAGTACTTGGGCTAGCCCTAACTCCTAGAAGCTCCACTGTTGTAACACTGACCATGACTGAACAAAAGTATCCAAGCACTATTTCCAAACCAAAATCCCCAATCCCCATAGACCAAGCTACATTACCACTGGCCCGACAATTCTAATCCTAGACTGACGCACGTACTCCGTGGCCCAATCCTCCAACTTCTGACGGCTGTCATTAATCACCAACAACACCTCCCTGGCCACATACACATCCTCCACACAATCATGGCCCTTGACTAAATCCGCTTGAATGATGTGCCCACACAGACTCTTCGATAAATGCTGCAATTTTGACAATCCGCTAGGCGGCTCTCCGTCCTTCCACTTCGGCTGAATCGCAATCACCTTCCTCACCTCGTTCCTCGCCAGGATTTGCGTATCAATCACATTCATCACATTCACGCCATTATGCGTGCTCAATTTAGTATGTCTTATTCCCACCGGCCGAAGGGCATTCTCTAGTGCATGCCCGACGAGAATCGTGCTCTCATCGTTCCACTCGAAAAGCTGCTTGCGCGCGGCTGCCACACTCATCACCAGTTTTCCCTTTTCCCGGGCATCCGAGAAATACGCCTTTGTAAGCCCGCTCTGGTTTACCAAGACGTCGACCAGTACATCCCCCGTCAAGACGTCAACAGCCACAAGTTGCGCCAGCGCTGATCGGTTTTTGGTCCCATTGGTCGCCGTCCAACGCGCTAATCATTTCGCAGTCGAAGGCGACGAAGCGACGTTTGGGGACGGGGGCTCCCGGTACCGTGGTTTATGGCCGTGGTGTCCACTTCTGGTGTGGGGATTGTTTCGGTGTCTTCTTCTAGGGGATAGTTGGCTTCTCGGAGCTCCTCCGGTGTGGCATGGTGATCCAGGAGTCGCTGGGCGACGCTCGCGCGGTCGCTGGGGGGGATCGGGCTCCATCTGTTTCCCGGGGGGATGGTGTGGTTGTAGTCAGGTATTCCTCGGGGATCTCGTTGTAGTCCATGTTGATGTATATAGATGTTGATAAAGATAGTGCAAGTGTAGATGCTGTATAAGGATATAGCTGAGCCAGCAGTATAGATAGGATAGTATAACGATAGATAAAACGCAAAAAGACAAGAGACGGAGAAGAAAATTCGAAGACGGGAGTAGGCAAAGAGTATACTAAGCGTACATTCTACTTTACCAGCACATCCAAGGTTAATCTCTAAATAGACTTTTGTCCTTGCCACGAACAAGGCTCCACTTTCTCTCGGACAGTAGGTTCAAGGGAATCAGCGCAGAGAACTCATTGTAGACAAGGGGCTGGTTGTCATCTGAAACGGCCGAGTCGATGGCACAAAGAGGCCTTGGGGTTCGAAGGTAAACTAGGATTTCGGGTCTAGTGGTTGCTGAAAGAGGGTTGAGGCAAAATAGATAGTGGAAGGATTCTTTGTTGCTGCTGCTGTTGACCGTAGACCTCAGCGGGGGTTTCATTGTCTCGATGCTTTAGGGGAACCCATAACTCGAAGATATAAAATACATAACCCGGCAGGCAAGTCCGACATCTAGTTCACAATTTGCGCACTGGAAAGTTTTCACCCGAAAAGGAGCATTCATCGCCCATCTCATTTCCCCAGATTGAGAGAAACAGAGAGGAAGAAATATAAATACAAAGGGAAGGAAGAAGAAGGAAGGGAGGAAGGGAGAAAGAAGCCTAGCCGTCATCCACCATTGTCAGCCCATTCTCACTCATTTCAATATCCTCTCCCTGCGGTGGAAGCGTCTCCGAGCTCGGTAGCTCCCGTACATCAATTCCCAAACTCGGCCCCATGCGCCCTAGAAAGCCCTCGCATATCATAAATGCCCGTCGCGCGGCGCGGCTCGAGAAGGCCAGGTGGTGCAGCCAAAAGAATGCTTTGCGGGTCTCCTTGACGAGCATCTCGCGCGTTAGCGGTGGGACTTTATTCTGATCGGCTGTGTTCGTTTCGTTGTCTGATGTTGCGCATGTTGAGAGGCCGATTAGTAGAGCGGTCGTCGCTTGCATAATGTAATGCAGGATCGCCCACCAGGGAGTTACTGTGGTTAGCCAGACAGTGTTGGGTTTCTCGGGAAGAATGGAAAGAAGCGAGCACGAGGCCTGGAGGCAGGCGAGGGTCATTGTGGCACGGAAGCTAGACTTGGATTTGGGATCTCGGGCTTTCTGAAGAGAGTTTGGGGTATGCGAGAGACAAGGGCGGCAGAGGGTGATTCGCGCGCTGTAGTAGTAGATTGCAAGTGTGATACGCTCGCGAACATAGTCCGCGCCGGGTTCAATGTGGTACCTATCGTCTGTGGTGGAGAGGAAAAAGCGGTAGGCTTCTGGAATTTTGCGGAGCCAGAGGTCCATGCTCTTGCTGTGTTTTTGGAGCCGCTGTTCGAGTTGACCGGGTGTCTGGCGGAGGCCCTGAATGCTATAGACGCTGTTGATCACCGTCTGGGCGATGATACTGAGGTCTACAACGTAGTGAAAGAAGAGCAGGGGGCTAGGCTCGCAGCGAAAAAGCCAGTCTCTGGCAATCTGGGCTTCCTCATCGTTCTGATATATCGTCAACTGGAGGCGGCTCGCTTGCAGCGCCGCGTCGTGGAAGATGTCGTTGAGTGGTGATCTCCGGCTGCCTCCTCGTTCGTCAAATGGCACAGGAAGCAGCGCAGCACTGAGTTCTTCACCGCAGCCAGATATCCGGCCAGTGATTGAGGTCAGGAGATGTTCAAGAAGGAATATGGACCACCAAAGACGGCACCGTGCTTCCTTGGATGCGTGATGGGTCTTGTCGTCTTTGAACCGAAGGTTGATGCCGAGCGATATAGCGGAGCGCAGAGCCATACTCGAGAACTTGGACCCACTATGCGGGTCAGCAGCAGCAAATAGGTGTATAGAAAGAATACTCACCTGTTCACCTGTCCCAAGGCAACAAGATAAAACGCGACAAGTAGTTCCACCTGGATCTGCTGGAGATCATCATGGTCAAACAGCACATTTTCACCAAGGCAGAGCCTCCGAGTACGGTTCAAGAAAACAAGATCATCTGTATGAGCATCCTTCGCATTGACCTCGCCAGTCAGCTTGCAGAACCGACATCCGAGAGCAAAGATCATATTCAACACTGCAAGCCACTTACGCGGCGGGTTAACAAACTTCTTGGTGAAGAACTCCTCATACTGCGACGTAAATGTGTTTTCCCGGACCACCATGAACGCTGGGTGGACTGATCGCATATACGCGTGAAAGTACTTATCGGCAAGCGGCTTTGGTGGCATCGCAAAGGGATCAACCGAATCAGAGAGAGGGAGCACCAGGTCGTCGAGGTGATAGCTCATCGACATGATCGGTACTTGTCTCCCCGAGGCTTTCTTCTCGAAGCCCGAATCGCCTTGCTCAGCTCGTTGTCCCGACACATCCTCCAGCTTTTGCAACCACGCAACCTCCGAGTTCTTTCCATAAAATCCCATTGCTACCGTCTTATCGCTGCGATTCAGATCCTCCTTCACAAGGTCGATCTCGTCAAGCGATCCATGCGATGTGGACGAGTCCGCGTCGCTCCCACCATCTTCGCCTTCAACATCCGCGTCGCCGTCACCATCGGATGGGGACCGTTCAGCAACCTACACCGTTAGCTGGTGGATATTCTCCTCGCCTACCACAACTATTACGCACCGATAGGGCCTTTCTGATCCGCTTCGTCGTTCCCGGGTCCATTTCATTCTCGAACTGGCGCAACAACTTCTCATACCGTTCCACCTTCCTCGACAACACTCCAAGCTGCTTCTGGTCGCGAATCCGCTTGATGTCAATATATGAGCAGCTCAACGCGTGCTCGCGGCACTTTCGACACTCCGGCCGACCGCCGTCGCATTTGACCTTCCGCTGACGACAAGGCTCGCAGGCACGCGCGGACCGGCGTCGTTGCGACGATGTCTTGGCGCTGGTAGCCCGTGGAATCGCAATCTTGGGTGCAGTCATTGTATCTTGCGGCGGCGGGAAGTGCGGGTGCTGGCCGGCATTGAGATCAGGGTACGGCGTGAAGGGATAGAGCTGGTAGTTCACCACCGGAGGCGCGCTGTTCGAACTGATGGACCCTGCCCGCCACATCCAGTCGGAAGATGAGGACTGCGAGAGGGCCCCCTGATTATTTGGGCTCATGTTGCTATCGACATTGTCATTGCTCGCAACATGGTTGTATGCGGAAGGATGATTGGAATTGAACGAATCGTCCATTACTGGTACCCATGAGTGGTTGTCAATTGTGATCGAAAGGCTGTTGAATTGGCTCCGCGTAAGAGCTTATAAGTCTCAAGTGACTTTCGAAAAGGAACTCGACATGCCTCCTGGAATGTTTGGGAGCAAAGAGGGGCAGGTGAATGATAGCAGCTTGTAGTGGTGGCGGAACCTTTGGCCTTACAAGGGATGATGTCATGCGCATCATCATCGCGGTGACGACTTCAAAAATTAGGAAACTTTTATATGTTGGATGCGCAGAAGATCGTCGTGTCAGCTGTAAGGATTTTGCAAGAGCACTCAATTTGCTATTGTCGGGCGCCATTCTTTCCTGCCCTTTGACTGTCAAAACGCTGGCTTTTTGAATCCACAAAACACATTCTCTAACCATGATCAAGGTCCCTTTCAGGTGCGAGCTCGTCCCTGCCTAGACTCAGACACTCATACTTGTCAAGCATCTTGCACAGGGGATGACACTTCGCGATTGCACGATACCTTATATCCTCCAACTTCTCCAGCCCCTTAGCGCACACATCAAACTGCAACGACTCGGTGAAATTTTCATCAAACACATCCTTGACAACATCAGTCACCCTGTCACTTTCACGAATATGACTCCCTTGGTGTTTAGATCGAACTTGGACCCGAAATAGGTGAAACAAGTTCCGTCCGACATGAGACCGGCTCGCGATGTTGCCAAAGGTACATGCTAGGAACAGAAAGTCGTCGTCCTGGATATCAAAGTCCCGATTTAGGTTGAGCAGCACGAAGAGAGCCAGGTTGATGGCGTATACGGCGAAGTGGTGGATACGGGTAAGATGATATGCCCGCTGGTGCATGCGCGCAAGACCAGCGATAGCCTTCGCGGCGTTTTGCGCTCGCTCGTAGGGTGATATGACCTCCCTAATAGCGCCAGAACCTGCCGGACTGTCTGGAGTAATCATGGTGTCTGAAACATCATTTACTGTTTCAACCTCGGCCTTGTATAACAATAGAATGATGATTAGAGTGTAGTATCGCATGCCCATGATAATCACGTATGGCGGCGGGCATCGCAACGGATCGTCAAAACTGACCTTCTCGTCTATTCCTTCATACCACTTGCACAGTTTGCGATCTAAGTCGGCCTTGTCCTCTTTCTGTTCTTTCGAATGAAAGTCATCATAATCCACCGTAAAGAGACGCTGGGACATGTCGCAGGCAATTTCGCAGAGCTCCCATGATTTCGCAAAGTACTCGTCGAAGTATGAAGGACGGGCATCCTTGAAATAGGGGTATTGCTTCCACTCTCTTTCCTCGGCAGAAAGTATAGGCCGAGGTAGGTTGACTTGACGTATGACGCAGGGCCTCAGAAAGTCGGTATGCACAACTCTAGCAGTGTTAAGTTCGGCTTCTAAAACACGAATTAACGAAGCGAGGGCTTACGTATCAATATGGAACAATCCCCAGGCAGTCCTCTCAAGAGACTCTTCCATATCAGAGGAGATGTGGCCAGGTATCAGATTAGAACCACTCTGACCAACCAATCCCATGGACTCTCCAATGTTGATCGCCCGGTGGAGCATGCGGTATCCAAAGTCCTCTTTTCCAGACAGAGAGTATCTGGCACAAGTCAGAAGATGGCGCAGAAAGCCTTGGAATTTGAGAGGCAAACTTCTCATATAACATCAAAGTGCCCTGTAGATAGGCCAAGGTAAACTTTTCAGGTTCCTGGGCACCTAGCCGCTCAGCCTCCGCAAGAAAACCGTCACCTTTGGTCATGATGTCACCGGGTTGTCCATGCTTGAACACCTCCGAGATCTCGGAATAGTGCTGGATGTGTTAATTGAGATTCCGTCCTGTCTAAGCACAGGTGCAAGAGGACTAGACTTATGTGGTGCGGGATTGCATACGCATGCATTCGCAAGTAGTGCATTCACCAAGAACGGACTGCACAGCTCGGAGCTCATATCCCCAACTTTCATATGCCGGATAAACACATCACGGTTCAAGAAGATATGGGATGGGTAATCCCAGGTGAAATAGAGAGATACAAGATGCGAGACGAGATCCGAATCCATCGTGACGGTTGTCCACGGTTCTGCAGGGACCAGATATGGGGGTTCGCATAGATAGCTGAGATCCATGACTTGAGGTCGGAAAGGCGATCCCTCGAGGGTAATGGAGTAGGGTTGGTTCATTTCCATTTCCAAGAGAGTCGTACGGATCAATTGGAGTATGTCATTCATTGGGGTGCCCTTTCGAATACACGAAAACAAAGTTCGGCCATACGATTCGTCCTCTGCTCGAACCACCCTCAGCAAATCGTAGAGAAAGTCTTGAAAGTAAACAAGCTCCTCGGCCGTATGCTTCGCCGCCACTCTGCGCCGCTGATCCTTGGTTTCGTCAAACACGCATTCTCGACCATAGGCGACACAATTATCACACCTGTAAGTACCGGAGCACTGCAATGTCAGAGAGAGATGTATCAGGGTCAAATTCGGAAAAGGTAGTCACCTTTCGCTTGGACTTTTTGCACGCCAAGCATGCCATTGAGGCACGCTTCTTCCCATGTTCGCTTGAGCCTCGACGCTCTCGCGGCGCAGAATCGGCCACGGCCGGCTCATAATCAGGAGAGGGGACGGGCCCGGGCCCAGGCGCAAGAGTTCGACGCTGGGTTACTGCCTCGGGCATTTCCAGGCTGTAGGCGGGCGCCGGATTTATCTGAAGTGCTAAACAGAGTGATATCGTGTTTGCATAAGATACTAAGCAACGTCGGGATCAGAAAGACATGCATCGTATGCGTATTCATTTAAATCGAAAACTGCCTGTTGGGTCATGACGTTCAACCGGGGCTTGGTTCGGTATTGTGCGCGGCGATAAGTAGTATGATCGCTGATAAATCCATCCTCACTACAGGGATGATTGGATAACAATTGCGGCATTGCTGGCCAGCATCTACCGCTGGATACAGCCATGACTTCGCACCGTGGTTTACCGGAGAAAACATAGGGGGTGGGGAGAGTCAAGAGGGCTGAATGTTCCGCTGGAAAGGCCGCCGTGGGGGATTTACACGTGATTCTGGGTGGACCCACGCTCGGAAGGGGCCTAGACCGGGCGCTGGCTGTCGCCGCAAGTCTGATCCATCGGAAACTGAGGAATGTTTTTGAGTGACTTCCAGGATCGAGAAGCTTCGGGTACATCTGGGGTGAACCTGGATCTGCTATGGGGAATCATATGAACATCAGATTGCGCAAATCTGCCATTATTCGACAGGAAGCTTTAAGCGCATGTGGATGAACCGGATATACTCAGGAAAATTCGACTCCGACGCTATAGATAATCATGTGAAATAACTTAAAAATCAAGAGACTCTGGTTGTAGAGGGCGGGAAGCTTCAGGCGCATTTTGGCTCCATCCAAATTCTCGAGCCTCTTGGCTACATAAAGCATGTGATCTTTTTGAATTTGAATTCCACCAGGGTCTGAATTAGTTGTAGTAGAATGTAAAACGAAGACGGCTAGATACATTGTCGCCAGTAGTTTAATGCTCAAGGATACGCAAGCTACCCTGCACAACGCAGTTCTCTAGCACAGAGCCTGGTGGAATGTCAATCGTGCTGGTTTCAGTAGCCACAATAATGACAGTTCCCTTCAGTGTGACATTTCGGCCAAGATTCACCGCTCCAGTGATGGTGAGATGGTCGAGCTCGACGATACGAGGGATGCTAGGGATACGCTTCTGGAAATCAGAGACCTTCTTGAAGTCTCCTCCGAGCTTGATGACCGGGACACCGCCGAATCGGTTGGGGTCCATGACCAGCTGACCGTGCTCCAGACGGTAGAGATCTGACTTGACCAGCAGCAGATCAGAGCAAGTCTTGACAGGAAGGAAGCGACGACGAGGAACATTGACACCGTGAGCATTCTTGAAGTGACGGATAGCGGCACCAACGGCTGTCTCGAGCTGGTAAATGGCCTGGTCGGCCTCGCCCTTCTTGTCGGCCGGAATGGACTTTTCGTTGGCAATGATCTCCATCTCAAGCTCGTTCTCCTCCACAACACGCTTGATAGCACGGAGGTTCATCCAGATGTTGTTTGTGTTGAAGTACTTGAACTTCTTGATAGACTTGAATTCGTTGACGTGCTCCTTGGGCACCTGGGCGATTTCCAGGAGACGGACTTTGCCCTCGTAGTCGATAATGGTACCACCCTTGACGTCAGCCTTGGTCTTATCGGTCAACTCCATGATGTATTCAGCCTTGGTATCGACCATGTGCTGGAGGATACGCATGTCCACGACGGCGCCCAGGTTGTCAGCATTGGAGAGGAAGATGTACTCAACACCACGCTCCAAGAGCTTGTCCAGGGTGCCGGAGTTGTAAAGTGATTCGAAGACGTCACCGTGACCAGGGGGGTACCAGTCTTGCAGAGGAGCATCAAAGGATTTGGGTGCGGGCAATAGCGAATCCTTGATGATTCTAGGGTACCGGGACTGGTTGAAAGTGATGATATCAACGTTGTGGCCCTGGTACTTCTTGATGATCGACTGAGTGTCCTGGTCGGTGTTGAACGAGTTCATGAGAACGAAAGGGACGTTGACGTTGTATGTGCGGTTCAGGTGCTCAATCTGGCGGACGGACAGATCCAGGAAGGACATGCCCTCACGGACTTCGATGACGGACTTGGGGCCGACGCAACCCATGGAGGTTCCCAGACCACCGTTGAGCTTGACAACGGCCAGCTTGTTGAGGAACTCGACAGAGGCCTCGCTGCCAAGATCATCGTAGTTGACGACTTGTGAGGGCTGAGGGGGGGCAATGCGATCCCAGTTGACGACGTTGCCCTTGGCCTTGTCGTTGAGGAACCGACGGAAGAGGGCAAAGAAGTTGTCGGTCTCGGCCTCGAATCGCTTGCGTTCGCTGGGATCAGGGACGGTCTCCGCGAGGGCGTTCAGGGCGTTGCGCATCTGAGAAGCGGCAACACTGGTGGAGGCATTTTCGAATGCCTAAAAACATTAGCATACGGTCGACAAAAGACACCAAATTGAGGGGGGAAGCGGGCAGAAATCGCAAAGCGGGACAAATATGAAGGCCAACCAGACAATCCAGTGATTTTCATCAGAGCAAATCTTCGTGGCGGTGGAAAGCCGCCAAGGCATAGCATGCAGCATTTTGGAGGTCTAAGTGGTACAGAGAAAAGCAAAAACCCGCAAGGTGCAGAATCAGGAGAGGACATCAACATCACGCAACTCAAAAGTCCAATCGCGGCAACCGCAGTCGACAGTCCCGATCGTTAATCTTGAACTGCAGATGGGGGCTGATGTTGACTTTCAAATTTCAGTTCAAGGAGGGGAAGAGCAGACGTCATCTGCGGAGAGAGGGGGCTTGTTTCCCAATTGACAAGAAACAAAGAAAACCAATAGAAGATCAAAAACACAAACTGCACAGTTCAGTGACTGACCATGTGAGACTGGGACTTTCCATGGTGTTTCCCAAACCCAGTGTTTGAGGACAGGTGAGTTGGCAGATCTTTGGTGGCCATTGTGTCTGCTGTTCTGGAAAGAAAAGAGCTGCGTTGATGCGAGAATCTACTGTTGACTGGATATCAGCGTCAGCAAGGGAAATCGAAGCGCAAGACAGCGGGCAGAAAGCATGCTTTAAGTGGCATGGAATCGGTCCACGTCGCCACAGCAAGATGGTGTGTCGATCCCTGGGAAAGGGAGGGCCAAAATGTTGACAAGCTGCCGTCATGGCGGCCGGCCGTGCGACATGGAGAGGAGCATGGACAAACTTACAATCCAATGGCGGGCAGACAGACAATGGGGAGGCGACAAAGCCAAGGAGGGAATTGCAGTAGGAGAGAGATGGACAGAGAGGAGAGGTGGAGGAACAGGTTGGTTTTATTTCTGCTGGTGAACAAGAATGACGAAAACAATTATTCTTAGCCTTGAATTGAGACCTCCCCACTTCTCCCACGCCCACTCCCAACACTTCAGGGGAGTCGAGAGGGGGGAGCTGCCATACCGTATCTTACCCAGGGTACTGCTGAATTCCCACGCTTCCAGAAGCGGTGGACCCGGCCACGGTACCGTACCGGAACACCACCACCGTCAAATATGCTGGATATCAAATCGACCAGATGACCGTCGAAATGAAATTATTTGGAGACACATTCCTCGACGGATTTCGAAGAAGGTTCGGCTGGTGTTATTCTTAGCTCAGTTAGTACTGTATCTGTACCTGCACGGAGAAGGACTAACTGACTAGGTACACAGTTCAGCTGGACTCAGGTTACGAGGTCCTATCAGCAAGCCAAAGATAGCGGTTGGATATCATGCATTGGCAAAGTCATCTCGACGCGGCATGTCTTTCCTCCTCCCCGTCCTCGAGCAGCCAAATCTGACATCTAGAACCTCCTATCCAAGCTCTCCTCCTATTCATCCCCTTTCCTTTTTGCCCTTTACCCGCCCGTCCAGGGTTCAATAAATAACGATCTCAAAAAGAGCCCCACCGCCTCGTCATCGCCCAATTCGGACAGCTCCAAGCTCCAGTCCCAGTTACACCCCTCCTGAGCCTCCAAGACCCAAACATGATTGACAGCTCTCGCAGGTGACAGATTCAGCATGCTACTATCAAGACAATCCCAATAATTATTCGAAGTACATACATCGTATACAATAAATACCGCACATCCCACCTTACATTCACCACATACCGACATCGGGAAATCCGCCCAAACTTTCGATTCCATCCAACAACCCAGTCAAGGCCGGCGTTGGAGCCATGCCCCTCCCTCCCTTCCGCCTGTTGCTTGGACTCGATATGTCTTGGACTTGGAGCCAGCCTTGGGCACGCCGCCCGAGACAGGCCCGAGTCCAGAGTGAGTCCAGTCCCGAAGCCGACTGGCGGCGACTGAACGAGGCCCTCTTCAAGTTCTAATTTTAATTTTCAATTCCCACTCTGTTACCCTACTAGTACATATGTACTTTGTACCCCTCCGTCGCCCTCGCAACTTAAGTAACAAGGTGTCATATGGATGAATCTCAGATCTCCTTTTTTTCTTTTTTTCCCCCTCGCTTTTTTGCCCCTCCAGGCTCCGGCGGTCCCTGTTCCGATTTGATTATTTCTTGTCTCAGCTACCGCGGCTTGGACCGACTAGTTACTAACTCGCTTTTCATGACTATGTCACAGCCAAGATACAGAGTTACTTCGTGTACTTACTTCTGTACTCACTAAGTACATGTAGGTATGGCAATCCGCAGGCGTCAACCTCGTCAGGTATCCTTACCTGAGTAAGTCAGATATGTCACTTGGTGTGTACAGATATCTGTACTGTGCATATATGTAAGGAGCGGTGTGACAATTGAGTCCAACACATTGTCGCATTCCAGAAGCTGAAAAAAAAGGTATCTAACACAATAACAATCATTATCCAAAATCCTCCGCCCAGAGGCTGTACACAAACGCTACATCATGTGAAGAGCCACAACGTTTGATACCTGCAAGAATAGAATAAGAAGGATAGAAAAGGAATATCTCCATTGTAGCCTAAGCTCCACTCACGCTGCGCTTGCTGAGGAAGCTACGGCGAGGCTTTCTGGAGTCAGGACTGTCCAGTACTTCCGATGAGTTGTCGCCTGTCGTAGAATAAGCAGTGCCCGGTCTGAGACCGCCATCAGACATGGTGAAGCTGCTTCGGATTTGAACTGTCCCACTGCCAACATTCACCGACTTCTCCTGTCCAGCTACCGAGCCCTGGTCGCCAACGAAGAAGATCGCCTCGCCCAGGACGCTGTCGGAACCAAACGTCGAGTGGTCAACTACTCGAATTTGATACTGTGCATCGGCCGTCGTGTTGTGCACGCGGCAAGTCTCGTTCGAAGCGTCATAGTAGACTGGCCCACCCCCGCTCTTGATAGCTTTGCTCTTGAGCACCTCTTTTGCGCCTTTGGGGCCGACGGCCCGCACAAACACACGAACATTAGCGTTGGGAGGGTATCCTGTTGCAGATACGATCGAAATGGACGCCGTTCCGCTTTCTCCCTTGCCGCCAATGCTGAGTCTATCGCCGTAATGAGAGACACCACTACGAGTACGGGAGTGATGAAGCTCGCTCTTGGGTGCCGCTTCTGGCGGGGTTTCTCCATCGACGAGGATTGCTGATGGTACATCTTTCTGTTCTTTCTCTTCATCAGAAGATGAGTCGTCTCCCCGGATCTTTGACATGATTCCATGCTTCAAGAACGAGGCACCCTTGATAACGTTGCCCCCAACAAATCCAACTCCCTTGACGGGGGCACCGACAATCTTTCCTGGCGTGGCAAAGGTACCGGAGAACGTAGATGACCCTTGCCGTGAGCGCATGACATACGTCGGCTTGAACAGCAGTTTTAACCTGATAGCACCCGATTTGCCGTCAAGGGTAAGAGTAACTTCTTGCGCCTGGAAAGGATCCAGCATTTCAAGGTTAACTGGGGCGCCGCCGAGGTAGTCTGCCTTGTCGCCAAAGTCCCAGTCGTAAACATCGCACCGGAAATCGGCACCAATCCGGGATTTAATAGGGACCTCAAAAAATTCGTTCCAAGCAGGGTGCAGGGTCTTTTTCTGCACTTTGGTCTTGAATACTTCCTTGCCGTCCAACCGGAATTTGCAGTACGGGTCACTGTATCCATTTCTGTCGGCAGAAGGCAGATCCGCCGCATCAAGCACATCCACGCGGAGCGTGCCCATGTTGTTAATGCTCTCAGTGGGGTCGAGCTTCATCGAAACCGGAATGTATCGAGCACTGACAGTGACCTTGCTGACTTCTCCCTCATTCGACCGGAGGACGAGCTCAGTAGGAGTGTACTAAGCAAGTTAGCGCTATGTAACCCAAAGAAAAAGGGCAATGTAACATACGAGGATACGTTGAAGTGTAGAATAAGTGTCACCCGTCAGTTTTGCCACGATATGCTCGTCATCGTCCTTTGCATTGAGCTTCTCCACAATTCGAAGCGTGATCTTAGAGAATTCAAGCTCACGCACAAAGGCATCACCAACTGTGCATAATGTCAGCTTCAATCAATCAGGATCGGATGGGCAAACATACTGTCTTCGACCTTGGCGCTCTTTGTTCGGATCTTCGGCGATGACCATACCGGGAACATGTAGTCATCCATTAGAATCTCCACATGGACGTTGCTTTGAGATAGATGGACTTCGTGGAGCTTGAACACAATGAAACCGGATTCTGGAAGAAATTAGCACAGTTACCGGAAAAGAAACATGATGCGTGTTGTACCGTAGTTGCCAAGGTCATCCACGGAAATGTAAGTCTTGGGAACCTCCTTGATAGACTTGACCGACATGGTCTCGGAGTTTCTGGTACCGGGCCGGGATTCAAGACTTGCACGGCCATTTGTGTGCACGTCCGCAGTGCCATTTGTCGTACCTCCCTTCCCGGAGGCCTTTGAATCAACACTGATTGACTTGGAATGATGGCTTTTGCGCTTCGAATCTGTGCTCTTTCTCGAGAGGTCGGTTCCCTCAGATTCGCCGCTAATTTCCTCGTCTAATTCGTCTTCTTCAACTTCATCGTCAGGGTTGACGACCGGAATGGTGGGGTAGAAAGCGACTGTGTAGAACAAATCGCCTTTGGCGGAACGTTGGCCGAGACGCAGGGTACTGGTCAGTTGCTGCTTCTCGTCATCAACCTGGTACTCGCCGGCTTCATCCTCATGCACATAATCTGCAGCAGAGAGCTCTACCGAACCAAGGGAGCGGTCGCTTCCAACCGATTCTTCATCCATGACTTCGAGGGTAAGCTTCTCACGAGCACTGTGGATCGGGATGTACACAACTTCGTCCCAATCGGGGTCGAGGTTGTTTCTGAAGGTAACTGTTCGGGCTTTCATGTAACCAGAGAGCAAAACGCGGGCGTAAGGATCAGACTTGCCCATCTTCTCCAAGTTTCGAAGACCCGCCGCGCGCTGGAAATGGATTCGCATGACACCGATGGGGTCCACGTAACCAGCGCCTCCCGCAATGCCTCCGATCGCGACAGGCTTCCAATCCAAAACCAACTTGGCACGTCCAGACTTGGCGCCATGCAGATGGAACCATTGATGACCTTTCTCCATCATTTTCAGCATGTCGTTCAACTTGATTTGGTACGATCCCAGGATCGGGTCCTTTGTCAGATCCCTGTCATCCTTAATGACCAAACCAAGGCGAGCATTCTTTCTGTCCGTGATTAAGAATTCCTTGGAAGCATTCTGGAAGATAGGGTTGTTCGTTCGCTTGAGTTTGTTGGTCATGTGGATTTCCTTCCCATTCAGTAGGAGAACACCGTAAGGGTTGAGTTGCCCAACAATGCTCTTGGTTCCGTCCAAATCTTTGGCTTGCTCGACCGTTAGTCGGGCGATACCCGTGTTCATTTCTGGTGGCGGTTCAATTTCGCCATTCTCAAGCTTATTCCCCTCCAAAACAGGGAAGAATCGAATATCGGCATGAATGGTACCACGAGATCGGCCGCTAGCCAGAACCTCCAGATACACGCTTTCATGCTCCGCTTCTTGTTCGAGTTTGTCTAGCGCAAAAGTAGCGGTTCCAAGTTCCTTGTCTTTTCTAAATTCGTTCCAATCGTATGGCTGAATGGTCAAAGTGTCCGAGAAAGATGTGATGATAACATAGATGGTCTCATTCCACCGTGGGCTGTCCGTATCTTGTATCGTCTTGGTGCGGCCCAGCTCCGTCCGATTGTTAAGGGAGACGACTGCATACGGATCCGGGGTGCCTGCAAACTTATCTGGGTTCTTGAGCTGGTGGGCGCCATGGAGAGTGACGGCAACGACACCGATTGCCTGGTCTACCGCATTTCCGGCAAGCATCTTGGCGATCTCGATAGGGAATACGTTGGGTTCGTACATCATGGGGCCCAAGTTGGCGTGGATTTGGTCCTTGATGAAGCTCTCGAGTCCAGGGATAAAGTTGATGTCGAATCCAAGGGTGTCGCCACCGAGAGGTTTGCAGACATAGTCGATTTCCGGCTTTCCAATGAAGCAAACATCGACGCGCTCAATGTGAGGGAAGGGGATCTGAAGCTTTACCTTTACTCTCATCAAGCCGCTACAAGCCATGTCCTCAACGATCACATCAAGGCCCTTGCTCACGACTCCCTTACCAACTCGTACTTCCAAGACAACCTTTGGGTTGATCTTATTCTTCAATTGACGAGCGGTCAAATCCATGACGTCGTTGGGGGTGAAGCTAAACTTCCAGTCCATGATGACAGTGTCCACCTCCGTCTTGGGGTAGGTCTTAACGTGCTCCAATCGCGGAGGTTTGCTACCCAGAACAAACGTCTTCAGTCGCAGGCTGTCCAGAAAGGCCGGGGTCGAGGTGCTCAGAACTTGGTCGACGGAGTTGATGATAGTATCGCACATTACAGGCGCATAGATCGGCCAGAACTTGACCAAGAAACTGTTGATCCACTCCAAGCTCTCGGTGTCGGTTTCCAGGCGTTGCTTTGCCATCTCACGGTTGACGTCGTCGCGGAAGTTCCGCCGGACTCGACGAATAGAAGTCCGATAGTACGTGCTGCAAGCAGCCATAACGATGAAGATCCAGCCAAGTCCTCCACCTAATACAGCAACGATCCACGAGGCCAGACAAGCGAAGACGATAACTCCAGCATTGTGATACCAATCTATATTTCGTGCGTCAGTAACGGAAAGTAGCCAAGGCTCTGTAGATCACCTACCGCCGAAAAATTTGTCGTCTAGTTTGCCCTCCAAGAAGGTCTGGTGATCGAGCAGCGTCGTGTCATCGTGCTCTTCCTTGGTTTCTTCATGCGCGAATCGTGGAGCCCATCCTGTCCGGTTGCGTGCCCACCGTGCATCATCGTCTAGCTCGCCTTCCTTTTTCTGATCTGCCACCTCATCGGCCTTTTCGTCCAGTAGTAATCCACTTGCGGTTCGTGGGGGAGGAAGGTCGTAAGGTGCTGGAGTCCCGTCGTCCTATAGATTGAAGCTTTGGTTAAACACATTCCCAATCTCAACCCGACCATAAGCACTCCTCTCACCTTGTCTGTAATCACTCCAACACCCTTTGGTTTCCGTTCATGGTGGAAGCCCGGCGGGACATGCTAAAGAGAACCATAAACGTAAGCGGGCTGCCGTGTTCACCGGATACGAGCGACATGACTAGAACATACAGCTTTTGCCGCAGCGGCTTTCTCTTCTGGTGATGCATCTGGATCGAATTGATACGCTGGTAAACCGGCCTTGCGGTTTTCGTCTACCAATTTCTGCTCAACAGTCTCGGGCCGGATGTGTGATCCGGGGTCTTGCGCAGCAGCCTGAGCAATTTCTATGGCACCCTGCTGCTTCAACTCGGTCTTTTCCAATTTCTCAGACGCCATGGCTGTCGATGAGCCTCCGGCGGCGGGAGTCCCCTACTACAGAACCGCAGCCGTTCAATCTGATTGCAACCGGTAATCAGCTAACTATCTCCGTTTGTCACGCCAGAGCAGTGGGCTAGAAGGTAATTTGAGGTATATGGGTCTCGCAATTCGATCTCAAAGGCACGTAAAAAACGGTTGTAGCACGAGGTGTGTGGAAATCAGAATGGGAAGCGCTGGGATTTGATGGTTGCCTTGCCGCTGGGGAGGAGCTCGGCAGCGGGGACGCTGAAGCGCGGCAATTCGTCAGACGATTGGGAGATGCCGAGTCGAAAAAGGAGAGGCGGAAATTTGATTAAATCGTCCTGGAAAGGGGAGACACTCACATGGGATGAAGGGGTGCAAATCTCTCTGTTGAATGTCGAGAGGGCGTTGGGTGAAGACGAGGATTAAACTCACGAGAAGCCCAGGAAATATGGAAAGTGGAGAGGAGGCAGAGTGAGGTTCAGGGCAGCCGAAGGTGGAAGCCCGAGGAGGATGAGGGAGCCACTCTGAGTCGTCAAAGTTAGTGGCTCGCGAGGAGCTGGAGCTCATAAATGGAGCCAGAGACAAACAGCCTGTCGTGACGTCGATAAGAAAGTGCGCTTTCAAAAAAAGGGAACGCCGATCGATCATCGATGACCTCGACTTTCCACGGAACAGGAAAGCGTCTCACATCTGCAGACACTGTGCCACGCTGCTTATTTGACCCCAATAATTCAAGTGTCAGCAGTGGCTGCTCTTCTCAACTGCAACAGAAGTAGCTCCTTGCTCAATCCGCCGTCAGTACTGTCGCGATTAATTCGGTGTCAAGATGAATTACGTAGTCTTGAAGCTCCGATGGATCGACGGGGAATTAGTGGACGCCGGACTTGGATCTATTGACTGCCCACATTTTGCACCGCCACAAAACAGTCGTGCCACAATTTAGTTGTCAAAAGAAAAGGAGACTCTCGTCGCTCAATTCTTGCTCAATTCTTGAGCCAAACCCTTGCTGTGCCGATGAGGATCGAATATGATCTTGAAGCATCCTTGTGGACCACCAAATAGCACCTCGTGCCCTGCCAAGAAGGCCAGGAGTGTCTCTTCCTGTGGGGGTTCCAGGCTTCCAGCGTCGAGCCACGTCTGATTCCGGCGAAGATCGGGCTATCTTGTTGAGTGATCACTGATCTCTTGTTTCTTTCCAAGCAGCACAGTCCTCTGACGCGGGAGTCCAATCAGATCATCCGCATTATATTAACTAGCCCAAAACAGCTGATTAAAGTCACAATCCAGTGCCATTCTGCGCTCCAGATCGAATAAACTAACTGTCAGTTATTGTGGTCAAGAGCAGTCAAGTCGTCTTACACGTGGCATGCAGAAGAAAAGGCATCAGCTGTCTGTCGCTGTCGAGCTTGCAAAAGAAAAGAAACCCCATCACGTCCCCACTGTGTACGGAGTAGATGCGCGCACCACCCACAGTGCAGAACTCCTCCAGAGCAACAACAAATCGTGCGGACTTTCGCCACCCCAAACTCAATTCAATTCCCTCTTCCATCGGCTGCAGTAGTCAACCACCAAACTTACCTCAGTACTAGCGGCGCATCGTGCCCAGGCTAAAGCCGCCGGCTGTCCAATCCCCATGCTAGATTTCCAGTCGGAGCGAGGGATATCCCTCCCGCCTCAAGGCCGGCCTGGTCCCAGACCTCTCAAGGTCGCTTCTCAAATCTTGATTCTTGTCACCTTCAGCTGAGCTCCTCTCCTCCGTCTCGGCTCCAAGGCAGGCAGCCGCATAAGGAACATTGCGCATCTGTGAGGTTTGTTTGTGCTATCGGCGAAGACCGACTCTGAAGACTGGGCCCGGATGCTGCATTGACCGTCAGTTTTCCACACGGAGCAATACATCTGCCGTTGAATCACACGACCACACAGATGTGTTTGTGCATCTGGGGCAGTTCCTGTAGTTCCAAGTGGAGTTGATAATTGTCCGTCTCACAACAGGACCGAGATCTATCGGGCTGTCTGTCCTTCGCCCAGCGGCGACCATCAGCACCAACTTCTGCGAAACTTTGCTGTGTTCGGATTGCATTTTGCATGCTTTGTGCAACATACTTGGTCAGGAAGTATTGGTAATTAAGATTGTAGTCGTGCTGTATACTAATTTTGCGTGGTTTTTTTGACTCGGCTAGAGATATATATATATCTGCATTGTTCTAAGGAAGTTTTTTTACTGATCAAGAAAATGATTTTCAAATTGAATCCAGCGGAATCGTCAATAGCATGCATCCATTTGTCATTTCAGAATGTAGGTATATTTAAGAAAAATTATGAGACCGTTTTTCCAGGTGCCAAACTACCACTCTCATTACCTCTTCATCATTGATTCGAAACTCACCGTCCAAGACGAATAACACCAGCGGCCATCAGTTTCTGAATTTTCAGCCGAACCTGTGCGTTCTTCATGTGCTCTTGTAGGGCAGCAGGGTCGCCCTTCGCCTGCTGGAGGATGCTCTGCATGACGGGGTCTTGGAGGATAGACATGATCTATGCAAGTTAGCAGTTTCACGGATGATTCATTGGATCTTCCATACCTCTGGATCATTCTGGATTCGGTTCATGGTCTCTTGCTCGGTTTCTCCAGCACGAGCACTGAACTGGGCGTCGAGAACCTTTTGCTGCTGCTGCTCGATCTCGCGGGCGTGGGTTCCGTCATCGTGCTCCAGGGCATCGGTACAGGCGTCTAAAGCACGGCTGTACTCCTTCATCGCGACTAGAGCCTGAGATTTGCGCATGTACGCACGGAAGAACTTGGGATCGAGGCGGATGGCCTCGTCGCAGTCCTGGACAGCCTGGGGGAAGGCCATGAGCTTGATAAGGGCGGCCGCACGGTTGGTGAATCCTCGAGGATCGTTGGGAGCACGCTTCGTCATCTCGGTGAAGGCATCGACAGCACCGGGCCAGTCAGCCTCCTGGAACTTCTTCTGACCCAATTCGCGAGCCTTCTCGGCCTCCTCAGGGTCGATGTACGCGTCCTTCTTGGCCTTGTCTCTGGCCTTCTCGGCATTGCGCAGCTTAGTGAGAGCGTCCGGAGTTCGGTGTTCCGTCAATGACTTGTTGTAGTTCTCGATAGCCTTGTCAAGGTCGCCTAGTCTCTCGTAGGCGGTACCGATTCTGGTGAAAGACCTGTTGATATGTTAGTATCGAGAAACCGTCGATGGAAGGGCAAATCATACTTGGCAATAATCTTGAAGTCGGCGCGGAGGTCACGTCCTTCTTCGATAGCCTTCTGGCATGTCTCAATAGCTCCCTGGAAATCTCCCTTCTCAAACTTAGCTGCACCGATGTTGTTGAGGTATGTGACATCCTTGTGTAGCTCCCACGCCTTGTTGTAGTGCTCAATGGCCTCGTCGAATTGCTTCTTCTTGTAAAAGTCGTTACCAATCTGCTTCTCAGCATCACCTGCCTCCTGGGCCTTCTTCTTGGCAAGAGTCTCCTCATCCTCGGGCTCGGGTGCCGGCTCAGGCTCAGGTGCCTCCTTCGGAGCGGATGGGCGGACGTCGGGCATCGGCACGTCTTCTTCGGCCTCTGTGGCGCCGGAGGGACCGCCAGCCTCGGGAGGAGCTCCGAAGCTCATGTCAATACCCAACAGCACACTCATAACCTGCAGGAATCGGGGGTCCTTGATCTCCTCTCCAATGCTGTTCGGGTTTTGTTGAAGGCGCTTGAGCTTCGCCATGAAGTCGCCGTCGGCGAGAAGGGCGGAGGTCTTCGGGTTGCTGGACAGCTTCTGGAAGAGCTGGGGGTCGTTGAAAATGTTACCAAGCCCTCCCATGGGGTCTCCGGTAACGCCGTCAGCCTGGGCTTCAGCTTCAATGGCTCTCTTCACGGCGTTGAAACCGTTCTTCGCCTGCTCATTCGTGGGCTCGAGCTTGATGGCTTCTTCGTAGGCATCGTGGGCGGACACTTCTCCTGTCAGCAGAATGTAAAACTTTCAGAAAGATAAAGACATACGGAGATCTCCTAGACCGCGGTAGGCGGCGCCCTTCCGTTGGTGGCCCTTGGACCAATCTGGTTTGATCTCAATGGCCTTCTCGGCATCGGCGAGCGCCTTTTCGTATTCGGCCTGAGCAGCATAGACGGCGGAGCGGTTGGAGTAGAGGACGTGGTTGTTGGGGTCAAGGGCAATGGCCTGGGTGAACTTATCACTATACAAACAATCAGTAAGTTGCACTTGATGTCTCACCATCCTCGTTGAAGCGGGGTAGAATCTACTTACATAGCAGTCGGGTAGTCTTTGGCAGAGAAGGCCTTGTTGCCCTCGGCCTTCAGAGCGTCGGCCATGTTGTGGGATGTCTAGAGTGTGAGAACTGATGAAGTGAAGCTGTGTGGAGAGGGATACTGATTAGAGTCGACTCTGGCGCCGACGCTGCTAATATTGATGGGCTCTGAGCTTCTGGAAATTTCCGAGCCCAGGCCGCCGATTGCCTGAGGCTGCCAGGCCAACAAAGAGATGCGGAGCTCTGATCCGCGCTAAACCCTTTATGACTCAAGACGCTGGCCCTCTCCGAAGATTTGATTTCCAAACCACAAAAAAACATCTCTACTTCCTGTCATTGCACAACTTTCCCTCACTCCGCGCCCACTTTCTTTCAGACTACCAAGACTATTGGTCGGACTTGGTGTATCTCTGAACATGCACTTCCATGAGCCTTTGCGGTGATTGTGACGCTTGGTTTCTTCTCAAATGGCCTCCGCGGGGGCGTCTGGCGGCTCTGTGACTGAGCTCGCCTCCAGACTATACGATGCATGCATTAGCAAGTTTTCCGCCGACCATCTCTTTTACCAACAAGACCTCTTGGGTCTGGACATTCTTCCGAAGAATGACCTCCCGCTTCTTCTTCAATGTACACAATCACTCGTCGACCAGAAACTATTCCGACTACTGCAGGGTAAAAATGACCGGCTGGCTTGGAAGATTATCCCCAGGGAGGATGCCGAAAAGTAAGCCTTTACTTGGTATACTGCTCCGCGATGGGAAAACGGGTACTAACTTCCTTCTCCGTAGACTGCAGAACCTTAGCCCCGACGAAAGTTTGGTCTACAATGTGATTCATTCGACAGGGCGATCGGGAATCTGGGTGCGCGCCATCCAGAACCGCACCAATCTACACAAGTCTATCCTCGACCGATGCCTCAAGTCCCTCGAGGGAAAGAATTATATCAAGAGCGTCCACAATGTCAAATTCCCCAGTCGCAAGATGTACATGTTGGCCGGTTTGGCACCTAGCGAAGACGTTACTGGCGGCGCATGGTTTACAGACGGAGTTTTAGACGAGAACTTCATCAATGTTGTCTCCGGATTCATCGAGTTCTCGGTCAGCAAGAAAAGTTGGTACGAAGTGCCGGCCTCAGACAAATCCCGCAGCAAGCGGTTAAAGACAGCGGGGGGAAGCGTGACGGTTAAGAAGGAGTCTGGCCAACGGGAATACCTCCCATACCCTCCAGGCTACAAGGGATATCCCACTATTTCCGACTTAACCGCGGCCGTCAACCAGAGTGGTATTACCCCTGTTCGCCTAGGAGAAGAAAGCGTCACACAGCTCCTCGAAATGCTTTGTTACGACAACAAACTCGTAGCCCTGAATAACGGCGAATACTACAAATCCGTCAAGAACCCAGAAGAAGTCAAAGCCCGGCAAGCACGCAAACCAGACGAGGATCCATCCGCCACCGATGATCGATTAGTCCGGAACGGCATGACAGAAGTGCCCTGCGGGCAATGCCCTGTCTTTAATCTCTGCGTGCCGGGCGGCGCCGTGAGCCCGGAGAACTGCGAATACTTTGAGACTTGGATTCACGAGAAGAGCCCTTTCTCTTTCTAGTCCAAGCCCTTCAATTCGGATTGACTGTATGACAGGATTGGCTGTATGGGGTTGGTTGAGTATATGGTGTACAATACATGCTCACTCTGTGTGGGACGGTCGATGTTTTCTTTGCATAGCGATGGCGTTGCATGGTTTGCCCTGGATGGGTTAAGCTTGGTCTTTATTCACTGACTATCATGGGCGATTTTTGTCGAAAAATAGGATAGTCGAAAGCGAGGGAAAATGTGGACAAGATACCTTTAAAGTCTATGAGATAGTCATTGGCGACCTAGAATACTGTAAGAGATATTGTTACGGCTCCAGGTTTGCCCGCTGTAAGCGGTCTTGAATTATAGGCTAGCATAACATCATGCGAAGAGGTATATAGTACATTATTCGGCAGCCTTTGCAGCTAAACAGTCGGGGCAGTACCACTTCCCTACTGGCTCCCTTGTCAATCCAACACACTTCCAGTGAAACCATTCAAACTTGCAGTTCTCATTATCGCAAGCAACCATATCGCCGTGGCTGACAGTACGGCACGTGCAATAAACCCTGGTATCCTCGTTTCCCTCATCTTCGTCATCATCATCCATGTCTTCATCCCCGCGGCGTTCACTGTTGTTCTCAGAATCGGAGACGTCGGCGCTGCTGAGCATGGAATCGTCGTCTTCATCGTCGCCACCTGTAGCGGACGGAGATTTCTTTTGTGATCCTTGCTTGAGGCGGCTTGCGCTGGACGAGCGCTTGGTTGGCTTTCCGTTTAGGGACTTGAGTTTCTTGAGCTGTTGATGCGGCGCGAGTTTCTTCGTTAGGGCTTTTTTAATTGTTCCTGTTGAGCGTGGACCTGCGCTTCCGGCGCGGCTAGATCCTGGTGTTCCGGCTTTGGGCGTGCCTGGGCCTAATGATGACTGTCGGAGATTCGAAGATGCTGCAGGGAGTGTCCCTAGTGAAGCGTTCAATCGCCGCCGCTTATTCTCCACGGCACCGGCTGATGATTCACGTTGCCGCTGTTGAAAGTGTGCGGCGGCGGAGGCAGGGGTTGCCGGAGCAGAACTTCGTGCGGTATTTTGTGAAGCTAAAGCGGATGCTGAATTGAATCGGTTGAGCGAGAGGTTTAGCCTCTGGCCAGCACTCAGAGGGTTCGCGTTGCCTGAAGATGCGGCCAAAGGGGATGAGTATGAGGCGGCTTCGGTGGAGGAGTCGGGGAAAAATATTCTTGGAGGATCGCGATATTGGTCTTTATTGTTGAAGAGGGAGGGAATCGGAGGGTCGTTTGAGAGTACGCCGTCGCTTTGTAGGTCACGGATCTTGACGTCTAGCTTCTTGATCTGCCTGTCCAACAAAATACACGCCTTTTCGCTCAGGTGTATCTTCTCGTCTTGTAGCTGTTGAGACCGATCTAAGCTTTGTAATATGGTCTTTGAATACTGCTCTTCCTTTGGATTCGGCGTTAAACTGCCGTTGAGCTTGATAAACTTTTGGATACTAGCATCTTTCGAATTGATGACGGCGCGACAATCTTGAATGATCTTGTCTTTCGCTTGTATTTCTTCCATCAGATGATTTATTTCCGCGGGGAGGTTGGCGACATCGTGGACAAACTGCTCCAGCACTGAAGCGCAATCCTCCTGACCATGTGCCATCTTTCGCCGCAGTTGGTTCCACTAGGACAGCGCACCAGAGCGCGTCTTGGGCAAGACGTTCGTAGTAGACCGGAGTAAAACCTCGAAGAACTCGTTGATAATGCAGCGGCGATTGTTCCGGCGGCGAAATCGAGATGGAAACACGAGAATCGAACCTGATATTGATGGATGGATTTAGGATCGTTGGCCTGGTGGTACTCTTGCGAAATGTATTGAGAAACCGCGGATCGGATATGGTGATATTCCGGTAATGCGCCACATGCATCTCACTAGCCATATCTCTTCAGCCACAAATGGTATTGTTCTAAAATAGATGGCCACGTTGGGTCTATTCGAAAAGAGAAAGTTTGTGAGCAGGTTTCCCTCAACCAGCTGGTTACCCCACTATTGGAGGGGGTTCGGTCTTTTGGCCGGTGAAAGGCAAGCTTTCCGATATCGCACCGTTGGGGGATCTATACGCGGGTGTAGATATAATCCTTACGTCCATTCGACACTTACAGTTTCGGTTATCCCAGTTACGGGCTGGAAGGATACTTGACCTTAACAGACTCGCTCTTCATATTTTATAGAAAAGAAAACAAAGCCGCATGACGTCGCTGTGATATTGCTTCATCCTAATGCAAACTGTGCAAACTAGCCTCTTTTTGGAAGTCTTCCCCGCGGCTTTCCCGCGGCTTTTCATGCGCCCATTTGACTCGGGTTCCTAAGCTTTCGGTGTTGTACTCCTCTTACGCTGCTGAGAGTAGTGGTCCTCTCTAAGTTCTCGCCCAAGTGAGGTCTGCAATTGAAGCTGTCCACTACACCGACGCAAAGACTTCGCCATGGGCGACCAACCAGCTGCCCCGCTCCCGGAGGGGATCACGTCTCTGCTTGATACTGATCTCTACAAGCTGACTATGCAATGCGCAATTCTCAAGTACTTCCCTGATGTCCGTATGTATATGTATATTGCGCGTCTACTATTACTGCTTACCGGCTGACACGTTCGCGAAGACGTCACCTATGGATTTACCAACAGAACCCCGCAGATGAAGTTGACGCGGGGTGCATATAAATGGATGTTGGCCCAAATGGATAGTATGTGAACGACTTGGAGCCTTCAAGGCTTATGGTAACCTTGCTAACAATCGGGCCTCCCCTAGGACTTGCGAATATCCGAGTCACAGACGAAGAGATAGAATTCCTCAAAAAGCGATGCTCCTACTTCAATAACGCCTATTTGGAATTTTTGACGACATTTAAACTCACACCTTCAGAGCAGATTGATATCAAGTTTACACCTGAGAAAGATACCGGTAGCGACAATGACTTTGGCGATATTGAGTATGTTGTCAAGGGCTTATGGGTGGAAACCATCCTCTACGAAATCCCTCTTCTCGCCCTGACCAGCCAGGCATACTTTATGTTTAGTGACAAGGACTGGAACTACGAGTGCCAAGAAGAGAAGGCATACCGGAAAGGCTATGTCCTGCTGGAGAATGGGTGTACTTTTTCGGAGTTCGGGACCCGGCGGCGTCGCGATTACCATACCCAGGATCTGGTCATGACGGGGCTATGTCGGGCGGCGAGAGAAGGAAAGGCGAAGGGTCTTCCTGGTGTTTTCACCGGAACCAGCAACGTCCACTTCGCGATGAAGTACGATGTCGACCCTGTTGGAACAGTTGCGCACGAATGGTACATGGCCATCGCAGCCATCACGGACGACTACGAAAACGCAAACGAGCTTGCGCTGAAATTCTGGCTCGGCTGCTTCGGTGAAGGCGTACGTTCAAAACCCCCGCCACTACTACGCAAACCGCGGCTAACTAGAGACAGGTCCTCGGAATCGCACTAACCGACACCTTCGGCACACCCGCGTTCCTCGACGCCTTCCGCAAACCCATTCCCGCATATACCTCCGCCGGCGCCGGCGCAGTGACAACCTCAGCTTCAGGTCCCGGCACAACAGCAGATTCCACTGTACAAAGTGAGGCAACAACAGAGCCCCCCATTGCCGCACCGCTTGAAAATGGACACGCGGAACCAACCAGCAAAACTTACGCTCAGGTTTATACCGGTGTGCGCCAGGACTCGGGAGACCCCATGTACTTTGTGAAGATGGCCCGTGATTTCTACGACAAGGAAGGCATTACGGACACAAAGACAGTCGTATTCTCAGATTCATTAAATATCGAGCACTGTCTTGAGTATAAGGTCCTCGCCGAGGAGGCTGGGTTCAAGCCTGTCTTTGGTGTTGGCACTTTCTTTACCAGTGAGCCCACCTTTCAGCTTCTACATCCTTCATAGTCCAGGAGTATAGATAACTAACTCTTACCGTTTACAGACGATTTCCTTAACACGACCACCGGCGAAAAGTCTAAACCTCTCAACATTGTCATCAAGATCTCGTCAGCGAACGGGCGACCGGCCGTTAAGCTGAGCGACAACATGGGCAAGAACACGGGCGATAAGGATACCGTGCAATCTGTCAAGAAGAGACTGGGGTATGTTGAGCATGAGTGGGAGCAAGGGGATGAGAGTAATCGCTGGGCGAGGAAGAATTAGGTGACATGTTACCATATGATATATCTACGAGTTGAAGAAGAAGAGACGGATTGGTTGATAGAAAGACCGTGACGTGCCCTCCAATTCGTGAGGAACGAGGGATTTTTGGCTTCGTGGTTGTACTATATCTCACATTTAGATTGAGAAGATAAGAATCGTACGATATGGCACTGGCTCGATTTTAGTACTAGTACAGACAGTTCAACTTCGTACGGAGGGGGAGGAAACCAGGAACCCCGGCATCGTGGAAGCCTGCAAGAGCAGACAAATCGCTAAAGGACCAACCGACGCTGATGATACATCACCGTCATCAATCACTAACATCTCAAGACCAATAATAAAACAAGGTGTGATAGAAATCGTTACTTCGTAAAAGTCTAATAGAGCACGACGCATTATAACATTTCATCTCCGGACATAAAACCCAGATCCCGATCCAAATCCCCCGTGATACCCGTATTCAAATGGCTGTGGCTATCTCTATGCCTCGCCGGAGGACTTTGCCCATGACCAGTTGGAAACGAGAAAAGGTCTCTAGGTTCGTTGATCTCTGCTGTCGGGTAATACTCTGGGTTGGCATCTGCCCAGCGGAGCAACTCACCTGTCCAATCGAGGTCTAGGTCGGGGCCGTTGGAAGGGTTAGTGGTAGGAGGGGTGAAGTTGGATGTGTACACGTCGACGTCGATGTCGAAGAGATCACTGAAGATGAAGGGGGCGGTCGATGAGGATGGATGGTTTTGGTGAGAGGGATTGTTGTTGTGGGCGGCATAGCGATTGATAAAATTGCCTGGTGGGGTCGGTTGGTCTGGTTGGCGACTGGCCGGAGCATCTTTCGTGATGCTGTGGTTCAGGCCTTCGGTTGTGTTGGGTTGATCAGGATTGAAAAGAGAAGACAGGTCTTCGTCTTCGCTGGGAGGTGTCCAGTGGCTGGGTATTTCGGCCTGTAAAGGCGATTGGATACTGTGTGAACTTTGTCTCCGTTGCAGTCCTGGGGTTTGTGGTGACGGGGAGTTATCAAATTGAATGACCTTCAAGAGTGCCTCTGTGCCATGGGATTGCGCCTTTACGGCTGCTTCAATATTGGCTACTTCCATGTCCGCAGCTGGGTAAATCTCCTTCAATCCCTGGAGGACTTGGAAACACCGTTGGAAGTTGGAAATGCTGCTTTCACGAAGAGAAGGGTCGTTGGACATAGAGTTGGCCAAGTGAGCAACAGCAGCCGGAAGGATGACGGTTACGCCAGATTGAGGGAGATATCGTGTGAGATTTAGCTGGTTAAGACCTTGAATGATGTGAGTTATACCGATAGCAGCCTCTTGCATTTTTCTTCGTGCAACATTTGCCAGCTCAATGCGCGATTTTGTTTGGTCTTTCGCAGGGCCACATGCCCATGGGCGATGTAGGGCACTGATAGTCGCATGATACAGCATTCGGATCATAGCGCCATGGAGAAGTAGGACATCTTCTCCGTCATTGAACTTTGTCTTTGACGCCGGGATAAACTGGGCGTCTTTAGGTAGTGCAGACAACCACGAATCCAATCGTTGGCTGCAACGGGCCAGCTCCGATTCTGAGGCGTGCCTCGGAATAAGGTTAATCGTTGTTCTGTTCGTGAGGCCAAACTGATATTGCGAAGGAGTGTACTGGGCAAAAAGCACCCGTCCAATGCACTGGCAGAGTTTGGTTTTCTCAATGAACATGGTCGCAAGGCGTTTCTGGTGAGAAACATCCTCTAGCTGCCGACAGCGAAACTTCTCGACCACGGCGGGATGGAACGGTTCAAAGTCGAAGTCGTCTATCTTTAACATCGGAAGATTGCTCGACCCTTCATTGACCTGCGTTGGGCGTCTCATGCCCATGGCAATGAGACGATCACGGGAGAATAAGCACCACCACAGACGCGTTCTCAGCTTTTTTGTTCTCAGGTCCATATTGGATGATGATGGGTCCCTATTCAGCCCTATAGACTGAGCGTTGGTGCTGCAGATGCCAATCCAATCCCAAATATCCCTCTGTGGGCAGTTCATATGGTCGGACCAGTACGTCATGAGAAGAAGGGTTTGCACGATTACGATGCGATCGTCTTCACATTCAAGTGAATATAGTAGCTACAAAGGCTGAATGTCAACGCCGTCCAAGAAGAATGGGTGAATAAGAATGGATTGACATACCCTCAGTCGTGTATAAAACGTACTGCGCGCAGCCTTTCTTGTCGTAAATCCAGCAGCCTGTAGATGCTCCAAGTCCACAAAAGCTGTCGCCACAAACATAACGGCCTGGAAGAGTAAAAGACTAATGTTCCCGTCGGGGTCGTTTTCGGCAACGCATCGTAGGAATTCCTGCAGGTTCAGCACAGGCAGAAAGCTGTGAACCCATCTGATATAGCAACGCAGGAGCTCTGTCCGCAGCCCGCTCTCTGGGATACTCAGCGCTCCTCGAAAGCGAAGAAACTCCAGGTCCTCCTCAGGTATCCTGGACGGCAGTGGTTTTAAGAAGCGTGGCTCTTCGTCCAGTATAGCAATAAGCGGATCGAAGTCAGGGTCGAGTAGGTCTTGCACGGTCGATACCATATTTGCCAGTGGTAAAGACGGCGCGTGACCCCTGGTGCCTATGGAGCGCCGGCTCGCGGAGAATCTGCTCTCATGGAGCCATGGAGTATGCGCATTATAGCCTAAGACGTTGCTGGCCCTCCTCGCTGTGTGTTCGTTATCAACAAACCCGGCATCTGACTGCTTGCGCTTGGCTGTCGCCATCATCTTGCTTGCGGAGAGTACAAGTCCGCCGGCAGCATCCGAGGCATGGAAAGAAGATCAACAGGATCGGCGTTAGCCTGTTAACTTGTCAAGCTGTAGGCCAGAATAGCGTTCTCCCCGATGCGTGCGTGTGTAGGCGGTGTCCAGTAGCGCCCTTGGGATGACAGTGTATCGGCGACTGAGTGCTGTGAAGCAGCAAGGGAGCTTCAACTGAACAAAAATGGGCTGTGGGGGTGGGGGATTCTCCGGACATTCGAGGGCTTCCCCGCCAACTTGATGGGCATTCTTCTTGATCCAATAGGATGACGGAGATTGAAATGGAGAGAAATCGGCATATTGAGGGGGCTGAGCTCGGCGAATCCGTTCCACTCGAGAGTCTGGAGAAGGGGTGGAACTGGAGTCGATTTGCCGATTTGAGCATCCGAGATTTATGCCTTAGGCAGCTTTTCACACTGGGCCTGGGCAGATACCGCCACCGGCCAATCACTTGGAGAGTTGAGCAATGAGCAGATACTCTCCAGCAAGAGCACTCTGCAATGCAATGATTGTTGAGAATTAAGCTTTATTTAAATAAGCCCCGTGCCGAAATGGACATTCTGTCAGGTATGAGGCAGAAAGAAGCCGGCTACTGACCAGCAAGCAGTCCGATGTAGTGAGGAAGTTCGGTATGATTGTCCAAATAATTCTATTAAACGCCGATTGATACAGGAATCCCAGATAGACAGTGCTTATGCTCCAAGAGTAGCAAAAGGCACATGCCTACAAAACATTATATAATACACCATTCCGTCATTCGAGGGTAGCGAAATGTCGTTTGAAATAGATTGCTCGCGTCGTCACAGGTGCATAATGGTATTGACCATATTCAAACAGCTCCATTCGAGGCTTGCGATGGGTCTGGAGGCGTTTAAAGACTTCAGGTATAACGTCAGCAACAGCGCAATAACGGAGCAGATCAAGAGCGCGACTTACGGAGGAAGAAGGAGCTCGGAAAGGCTGCTGTGAAGGAAAGCAACGCCAACCTATATACAGAACATTGTTAGCAATCTAGTCCAGAAAGAAGACGTGAAGGGATGCGACGTACGCCGAAGACCAAGATGCTGCGGACGATGGTAGTGTTCTCGGGAGAGGTGATCTGCTCGTATGTAGCGCTGAGGAAGCCCTTCTCGGTCTGTCTGGGAGCCATGGCTGGATATGATTATCGAGTAAAATGCGTTCGGAATAGAAAGCTGGGATCAGGGACGAAGATGGTAGATGAAAGGTTGACCAAAAGCTGCTCCGAGAAATTTGGCGGCGATGCTTGGCACCGCCTTGCGCTTGGAGCTTTTCACGGTCGCCGTATTTATCACCGAGCAGCTTCGCGACTGATCTATGTTTGGCAAGCTTAATTGGCGCAACATCCTAGAAGGTTGAAATCAATTGAAAACTATCCTATTGATAATTGCTCCCTTATATCTGCGTCTCTTTTACGCTTCTTGGCCTCTTGGACTCGCGTCTGCTTGCAGTTGTCCGCCGCAAAGTCCAGCGCGAAGTCCGCCGCAACCATGACGAACGTGGATGAGCTTTTCAAGGTAAGCCCACGTTCTCACTGATCTTAAGGCGCCCTGACTGATGATACAAGAAACCGTTGTCGGCAGCGAGTGCCAAACGGAAATTAGATATCTCAAAAGATCCGAGTACGTCCCGCACCCCTACGGTTTTAGACACAGTTTCAAAGCTAAATTTGCGACAAAACAGACGAGCTATACAAAGCGGCCAAGCTGGAAGCCAATGGAGATGTCAAGTCAAAAGGAAAGGTGCCTATGGTAGAGGATGGAGAAGAGGACGACGGCTATGCTGGCCCCGAACTGCCACCCGATTTCGAATCCGAAGACATCCCCGATGACGAAGAAGGACGCTTCTTTGGAGGAGGAATGGAACGGGAGACAGCTCAAGCTATGAACTATATTGACGAACAAGATCAAGGAGAGTTTACAGTATGGGCGGCTATACATCGCGTGCTCGGTTCGATCGCTGATTCTGGTATAGAACGAGAAATTCGACGTCGCGTGGCTCAGGCGCTTTGCCTTAAACTTCGAGAAGAAGATATCCAAGAATGCCGAACTACGGGGAAAGTTTGAGGGTGACCCTCAGAAGTAATTGTTTTCAATGGAGTTCAACATGTGACAATCGGCTGACTCCTCAAAGGTTCATGGCGTCCGAAGCTGATTTGGATACGGAGATCAAAAGCCTGTCCATATTGTCCGAACATCCCGAGCTATACCACGAATTCGCCAAGTTAGGATGCGTCAGCTCTCTAATTTCCCTTCTCTCACATGAAAACGCCGACATTGCCATCGATGCGATCCAGATCATCAGTGAATTAACGGACGAAGATGTGGAAGCAGAACAAGAGCAATGGGATGGGTTGGTAAATGCAATGGTACGGACTCATTACTGCATGGTCAAACTGGAATACTGATTAATTAGTTGGACGCGGACCTCATTGAACTTCTCGCTCAAAATCTGTCACGGTTAGATGAGGAAGCAGAGGCAGACAGGGCAGGAGTTTACTATATCTTGAGTAAGTGTTCTATTCCTCTCAGATGGTGCATTTCTGATAGACTAGATGTGCTTGAAAATCTTGCGTCACAGGCCTCCATTGCCGAGAAGATTGGACGGGATTCGAGCACGATGTCCTGGCTGCTTGCGCGGATACAAAAGAAGGAAAGGCCAGTGAGCCAAAACCAGCAATACTCGGCGGAAATTCTGGCCATCCTTTTGCAGTCTGGTTCAAAAACCCGTGAGCGCTTTATTGGTCTCGACGGCGTGGATGCTCTACTTCAGCTACTGAGTCAGTACCGGAAGCGTGATCCTGAAAAAGATTCCGATGAAGAAGAATATGCCGAAAATCTATTTGATTGCTTAACATGCCTCGTGGATGATGACGCTGGAAAAGAGAAGTTCCTGGAAGGGGAAGGCATCGAACTTGCGCAAATCATGCTCAAAGAAGGAAAGTTTAGCAAGGTTCGAGCGCTCCGAGTGCTCGACCATGTCCTAGGTGGTATTGGAGGCGCGCCTTCATGTGAAAGGTTAATCGAGGTTGCTGGATTAAGGACGATCTTCGGCATGTTTATGCGCAAGGTAGGCTCTACGGGCGTCGCATTGCATGCAACTAGCTAACTTCTGACAGCAAGAGAGCCAAGTCATAGAACACTTGCTGGGTATATTCGGGTCTCTCCTGCGTCTTCTTCCTGGACAATCACCACAGAGAATCCGCACTTTGGCCAAGTTCATGGAGAAAGACTACGAAAAGATCGAGAAGTTGGTCAAACTGAGACGTGACTATGCCTCCAGGGTGTCACCGGTCGAGCAAGCTATTGAAAAAGAGCGAAAACAATTTACAAAGGAAGAACAGGAGGTCATGGAAGCCGAATGGCTTTCGCGGAGATTTGACGCAGGTCTTTTCTCTCTGCAGGTTGGTCCTCTAACTTAAGCTGTTCATCCCGTATACTAACACAATACAGCTTATTGATGTCATTCTGGCGTGGTTAGTCGCCGAGGATGACGGTGCTAGGAAGAAGATTGTGTCAGCTTTAGCAGATCGAGATGAAGATTTGTCTCTCATTCGCAGGACATTGCAAGGTGAGTATTACTCGTGCCCTCGACCAACTAGTGCTATACTAACTATAATCAGAGCAAATAGAAGGTTTGTCAGAAGAAGGGCCAGGAGAGAAGGATCATAAAGAAATGCTGCAGACACTCCTGCAATTTTTGTAACATGTACTTTTGGCCATGCGTCTGTAATATATTCTCTGCTAGTCTTGACACACTCATGCCCATGCCAGTAACAGACAATAGTGGAACAACAGTAGGAAGCCAAGAGCACCTGACATAACAGCTCACTTTTTACGTTTGGTAGACTTGAGGGGCAGGCCGGCTACCTGCGGAGAAATGGCAATCTCCGGTGAGTACACCCTGCGAACAACTCCCCCTCATCATCTTACCTTTTATCCACTCAAGATTGAGCCCGAATACGTATCATCACTAGATTGCAGTCGGCCTGCACCCATGGGGTGCTTCCAAGTTGTTCCTCGAGTAAAGGTGCAATCACGTGACTAGTATCAGCCCTATAACGTGCCAAGCTTCTGTATAGGCAGGTGCAGTGGTATCACCAGGGGAGGGTTGACGGAGGAGAAGGGATGCTGGTTAATTGCGTTTATATTTGTTTGTAACGGGGAAAACAGGATGTGTGGCCATTCAATTGTTCTCATCCATGGTCTATCTATCTTTCGTCAATCGCAGAATGGCCGGTATCAATTCCGGCCTCAGTTTCTAGTAGCCATGAGGCCGGAATTGAAACCGGCCACGCCAGATTATAAGTACCTGGTACTTTCCCGCCTAATTCTCTCTCTGTTCTATCCTCACAGATCTCGTCTCTTCTCTACCTTCATAACCACACTCCAAGCCTGAACTATCTCTTGTGACACTTGCACTTTATCCTCGCTGCCTTCACCTTGTCCTCCTTACCTTTCTTTTTCTATCTTCTTCGCCCTCTTGTTTCTACACTCTGCCTTTCCTATCTCTTTTCTGTTGCATAGAGGAACATGTCCCCATCCAAAATTCTCCCAGAGTCGTCTACAACTTTGGAGTTGTTCCCCCATATCCATGATGACCCTGCTACCCTGCCTCATTCCTTAGATCCCTTCACCATCACCACCTCTACTGGCTTTCTTCCCTACCTCACCTCCCCTACCACCCTCCCAGATGTCTTCAAGCCCTTGATGTCACTACTTGGCCGTCTCCCCGTTGTCAAGTATGATGGTACTCCGGGTCTACTGGCTACCTATGAGTTGGGTCCTGCCGTCTTGAAGGAACTTCCCGACTTGACTAACGAGGTTGACAAGCTGGTCACTGCTGATGGAAGCTTGGATCTTTACACAATCATGGCTGTCTTCCGTGACTACTCTTTCCTGGCCTCTTCTTACCTTCTTGAGCCGTGCTGGAAGAACTGGTGTGAGAATCCTGATGGTGGTTATGGCCTTGGTCGGGATGTCCTTCCCAAGTCTGTGGCTGGCCCACTGTACCGTGCTGGCCAGATGTAAGTGCTATCCCTTTGCTTCCCTCTCTACATCAAGTAGCCTTGCCTTTAAACAAGTGTCTCACTACTTACTCTTTAGCCTGGACATCCCTCCATTCATGTCCTATGCTGCTTCATACGCACTCTTCAACTACACCCTAGATGACCCGGCCAAGGGTTTGGTATATTCCAACCTTCGCCTCGTTAGAGCATTTGAGCGTGGCCTGGACCCTCGCAGCTCTGAAGCAGGCTTTATTCTCACCCACATCGATATGGTAAAGGACACCCCTGGCCTTATCACTGGCGTGCTTCAGGTGATCGACACGCTGCAGCAAGGTGGGTCACGATCTACCGTAAATGATGGGTTCCGGGAGATTCTAGCTTCTATGGAGAAGATTGAAGCGGGGATGGAAGGTATGATACCAGCAATACATCCACTATCTCTTGATAGTTTCTTTGAACACACAGAACTAACACTCGCAGACATGTGGGCCAACTCCAAGCCGTCTGACTACCTCTCCTTCCGCGTTTTTATCTTCGGCATCACCTCGCAATCCATGTTCCCCAACGGAGTCATCTACGATGGCGTCGAAGGCAACAATCCTCTCCACTTCCGCGGCGAGAGCGGCGCCAACGACAGCATCGTGAGTCTCTGAACTCCAGACCAAGCCAACCGCGAAGAAAATCCCTAACACCAAGAACAGATCCCTCTGCTTGACCATCTTCTCGAAATCCCAATGCCCAAAACGCCTCTCACCGAGATCCTCCATGAGTTCCGTGCCTACAGGCCTCTTCCCCACCGGGAGTTCCTTGCCCACATCCGTACCAAGGCCGAGGAGCTCGGTGTCCGTGATTTCGCCGTCCAGGACACCGAGACTACCATCCTCTTCCTCCGGACTTTGAACCACGTGCGTAGTTTCCGTTGGAGACACTGGCTGTTCGCTAGGGAATACATTATCCGTCGCACCCCTCATCCTACTGCGACTGGAGGAAGTCCAATTGTTACTGTAAGTGATCTTACCTGGATACTCTATTCAGGTACGAGCATCGCTGACCTGGATTCCACAAAAGTGGCTTCCAAACCAGCTATCTGCGGTTATGGAAATGATGATCACTATATACGAGGCTGTGCTTTCCCCACGCAAAGCTCAGGGCACTGACGGGTATGGTGGTGCGTGTCAGAAGCTGGTTGAGCCTATGATGGAAATGGTGCGCGATCAGAAGGAGAAGCTCGCGAAGGAGGTTGAAAAGTGGTGCAAGGAGAGAGGCGTTTAGGGAATGGCCCGTGAATAGATCGACGTGCTGCATTTGTTTGCGTAAAGACACTCTATCCAATACATGGCAACCCTACTAGATAATAACGGCAAGGCCCCTTGATCGTCCATAGTCAATAGCATCAGATGAGATCCCCTCGCAACCCTTGATATAAACACACTCCACATGTGCCTTGGCATCAGTTGCCTGAGCATCAACAAGCGTCTTAAGAGTCACACCCGTAATATCCGTATACGAAAGATTAAGCACCTTCAACGCCGTAAGCCTCTCGATCAAGAAATAAATCGTCGTATCATCAATCCCCATAATATGCGCCACATTCAGCGTCCTCAACTGCAACGCATACTCGCGAAGAAGCGTAACAAGCGTCGTCGCCGTAATCCGAAAACAGCTGTCCACATGTAACACGCGGATTGGAGCTTTGGCTTGCGCAATAAACGCCATCAACGTCACATGAGTAACCCAGGGGACATCGCTGAATATCAGGGTGTCTAGATTCGGGAGGTGGAGTGGTTTATCGTCTAAGAGAATGAAAGGAAGAGCCTCGATGGCCGCGCCACCGTGGATGCGCAGGAACTGGAGACTGGGGGGGAGGACAAAGTCGCCGCCCACGTAGATGCCGCTTATGTCTAGTCTCTGGAGGCGGGGAAAGTCGGCGGGGTTGAAGGAGGGCGGATAGGGGACGAAGATTTGCGGGTTCGAGTGGAGGCGGAGTTCGGTGAGGTTAGAGAGTACAAAAGGCGTCGGAGTCGGGGGTTCTGTGGGTATCATTCGGGGAATGTAGAGCGCCGGGAGGTAATTCTCGGTAACACCGGACTCGGTCGTGCCGAGAGTTATGCTTTGCAGTTTTGGGAGGGATGACGGCCACTGGACATCGGCTTCGCGGGATTTGGTGGCTTTGTGGATTTCAATGCGTTCGAGGTTGGGAAGGCTGGAGAGGAGATTTGTCAGGGTTGACTGGGGTATGGGTGTTTCTGCGGAAATTAAGAGGCTTTTGAGCTGCTTGCAGCCCTTGAAGAGTTCGTAGACACCTTCTGATCCGAAGGGGCAGAGGATCTCAAGATGTTGGAGGTTCGGGCAGCGGCTGATGTACTCGAGGACTTTACGGATAGATGCTTTCGTGAGATTCGTCACGACGGCTTGCGTTAGCATCGCTTTTGAACGTCGGATATAGGATAAAACAGAGGACCAGTGGATCTTGCTGCGAGCTCCGGAAAAGTCTAGGCGCATCCATAGATCCCGCATTGAGGAGAGGAACCGGTCCCATCCTTTGGAGACTCGAAGGATGGCACTATAGATTTGATCAGAGGCTAAAATGACAAGGTGCACTGCTGGGCTTACACAAGCTCCCTGAAGTCAAAGTGCTCTACTACCATCCTTGCAATTTCATATGGAAATACACTGAACGGATCGTAGCACTTGGATAACAGCTTATCCTGAAGCTTCTGATGCATTGACTCCACGACCTGCGTTGTTTAGCAGGTGTCTGAACGCAAAGATCATGGTATTAACAGACCGGACGGCGCAAGCTATCCTTCGGTAAGGACTTTAATGCGTAGGCATACACTTCAAGGGCTTTCTCCGGCTTTCCGTCCAAGAGCAAAGCCTTGGCACAGCGTAGGTAGCCCTACAGATGATCAGCACAAAGTATCATCGACGACAACAACAATCCGTACCCGCTCATCTTGCTTATTATGCTTGATCATTTGTCTTGAGTCTTTCAAGGCTTGGTCATATCGCAAGAGTTTGGTATATGTTGCTGCTCGATTGTCCAGCACCGAGAGGGCATCCACATCGGGACACTTTAGTGCCTGAGGCATCAAAATTAGCTCAATCTCTCGCATCAGACCACGATTTCCATCGCTGCCAATTCGAACGTTGACGAAAAGCAAATATACCTCTGTAAATGCTTTCACAGCAGCTTCCCAGTTACCCTGGCCATATAGATTCTGGCCCTGCTTCTGGAGCAGCGCGGCTTCTCCTACGTGACCGTTAGCGCTCCTTTCAAGACGTGTTCAGAGAGCAGACGACGTACCTCGAGACCCCATGATCAATCATTGACACTAACCAAAATCAAAACCATTGTTCTGGGTGACAATCCTCAAAGATGATCTCCAAATAACCTATCGAATGATGGATGGTCAACCTGGCAACCGACGCCACAGAACGAGCGGGGGGTGCGGTTCTGGTCTCTGCACACCGCCCCACAATCTAACGGTGTTTACTTTCTTCCCCTTTTGGAGTGTTGCGAGACGACTGATTTTCCGCAACAAAACCTCGCCCGGGGACGCTGCACCTCGGTCTTTCTTATCTCTACTTTAATAACCTATGGTGCTTGCAGGACAAGCACGCCCATCATGGAGCCGCAGGGTGATCTGCAGGCTGCTTCCACTTACATTAATAATGTCTTACTTGCCCGGGGTCTGGTCAAAAGCGGCCGGCCGATTGATTTCGCAAACCCGGAGGATGAAGATGGCGGCGTGGCGACGACCATGGCGCGGATTATCAACCTTGTGAACGACTTGGTTTTACGGCGAGACGTGAGTCTGCCCGTGCGCAATGCCGATGCTAATCAAGTCAGACCTGACTAACGAGGATGAAGCGCGAAGCAGAACATCGGGAGAACCTTGCCACGACGATCCAAACCCTACGAGCGGAGGAGTCTCACAAGACGGTCGAAATTGTACGTGCGAAAGGGACACCATGGTAGACGGTCGGGCGAGGGATTGCAGGGCTAAACGTCTGTAGGAAAAACTCCAAACGAAGACGTCGGAACTAGCACGATCACTGGCACTGGCCGAGGCGCAAGAGCGGGCCCTGAAAACCAACATGTCGAGCGCCGAGGCGACGGTCCGGGGCCTGAAAGAACAAGTCCAGCGCATGAAGACGACCGTTCAGCAAGTCCGATCTCAATGCGCCAACGATATCCGGAAACGCGACCTCGAATTACAGAAGCTGAAGGCCCATTTGGCCGACCGGCAACGAGGAAAGCGGGAGGGCTTGGGCGTGACAACGATCAATATAAACCCAGCTGCGAGTCAATTGTCCCGAACGCGGTATCTCTCAGGCGGCGAGGGTGTCCACGATCCAGGATACAGCTTGAAGCAGGAAACAAACGAATTCCTTACGCAACTTTGCCAGACCCTGAGCGACGAAAACGACTCCCTGATCCTCCTAGCACGAAACACTGTCAACACATTGAAAGAACTACAAGGACTGTCATCGGAAGATTCTGGCGCTGAAAATGGATATTCTCATGGAGCGACCAGCACGGGCGCTCAAAGATCGACACATGGTGGCCCTGCCGTCGCAAGCCTACCTGCATCATACGAAGAACTATCCGGCGAGATGGACCAAGTGCTGGAGCATCTACGAACCCTGCTTACAAACCCTTCGTTTGTACCTCTAGAGGAGGTCGAAGTGCGAGATGAGGAAATCAAGCGACTTCGTGAGGGTTGGGAGAAGATGGAAAGCCGGTGGAGACAGGCCGTCTCTATGATGGATGGCTGGCACAAGCGAATTGCGTACGGTGGAGGTTCTATCCGGGCAGAAGAGCTTCGTATGGGATTAAAGCTGGATGTTCAGGTGGACACGAGGCACTCTCGAGTACGGGATGGGGATGTGGCAATGCATTCACCAATCTTTGAAGATCAAGAGGAAGAGGAGAACGAGTTCGATGACGGGGAAGACATGGACGAGTCAACATCAGCCCAAGAGGCCATCGAATCACCTCCAGAGCCACAACCTCAGCCCAGCCCGAGTCGAGCTCTGAAAGAACGAAGCGATAATATCGTATCAGCGGCACAACCGCCACGGAAAGAAGTCGCCTTCTCCGAGGGGTCACGTAAAGTCGCAACAAAAGCACAACCAGAGGAGGACGATACGATGCCAGTCAAAGCTCATCAGTCTGATGCTGTAACGCGAAGACCGTCACGGAAACGGGGTGAATCTACTAGTAAACCGCAAGGGCCACGGCCGGTAGGTTCTAGCAGAAGGTTCGGGCCGAACACAGCTGACCAGAATGACTGCATGCAGGCTCCCACCCGAATGAGCGTACATCAAAAACTAGCAGCTGCTGAGAGTGAAGCTCGAGCAGCCGAGCAAGCGCGCCGAGAGCAAGAGAGTAGAAAGAGGAGTCGCGGAGGCAAAGTGGCGCGAAAGAGGACAGGCGATCGTCGACGAAGCACACTAACGAGCGACGAGCTGGGCGAGTTGATGGGGATGAAATAGCATCATATACCCATTTTGTTTTTCCTTCGCATGTTGTATATTTTCCTCGCTATTTTTTAGTATGTTAAGCAGAACACGAACCCCCCATAATGATATCACGGCATCATGTCGGCTCCGCAGACCTCGGTAAAATTAGACTTCAAGGCTATGAACCGAATTTATACTTAACCTCCTCGTCTTCGCATTTCTCCATCTTTTTCGCTTTTTTCGTCTCTTCTTTGTAAGAAAGAAAGTAAAACAGCGCCCCAATTGAAGATGCCCGAAACATTTACTGGTTGGGTCGCGCGCGACCCCAACTCGCCATTAACCCATGAACCGTTCACACCCAAACCCTTCGAAGACACCGACATCGAAGTCCAAATCAGCCACTGTGGTATTTGCGGTAGCGACATCCACACCATCCGCTCGGGCTGGGCGCCTGCCGACTACCCCTGCGTCGTCGGCCACGAAATCGTCGGGACAGCCGTGCGCGTCGGCTCGAAAGTCACTCCGCCAACACCGGACGACACCGTTATCAAACCAGGCGACCGAGTGGGAATCGGCGCGCAATGCTCCTCATGCCTCAAACCAGACTGTGAAGCCTGCGCCGACGGCGAGGAGAGCTACTGCCCGAAAATCGTGGGCACGTACAACTCCCGGTTTCCGGATGGGAGTAAAGCATACGGCGGCTACGCGAATCGATGGCGTGGCCCGGGGCATTTTGTGTTTAAAATTCCAGAACAATTGAGGAGCGAGGAGGCGGCGCCGATGCTTTGTGGCGGAGTGACCGTGTTTGCGCCGCTGAGGAGGTTTGGCGCGGGACCTGGGAAGAGGGTTGGCATTGTGGGGATCGGGGGGCTGGGGCATATGGGACTGCTTTTTGCCAAGGCGCTGGGGTGTGATTCTGTGGTTGCAATCTCACGTTCGAGTGCGAAGAAGGCCGATGCGCTCGGGTCTGAAGGAGGAGGTCAAGGGCTGGGCGCGGATACGTTTATCGCGACGGGCGAAGACAAGAACTGGGCAAAAAGACACGCGCGATCTCTTGATCTGATTATCTGCACTGTTTCTGGCGAGAACATGCCTCTTTCAGGATACCTGAGGCTTTTGAAGCGCAACGGGACCTTTGTTCAGGTTGGCGCGCCGGAGGAGCCGTTACCAGCACTGCGGGCTTTCTCCCTCATCCAAAAAGGCGTCAAAATAACGGGATCAAATATTGGCTCGCCCGCTGATATCCGGGCGATGTTGAGGCTCGCAGCGGAGAAGGGGGTGCGGGCTTGGGTGCAGACGCGGCCGATGGACGAGGTTAATCTAGCGCTGGCGGAGATGCATGAGGGGAAGGCGAGGTATCGGTATGTGTTGGAGACTGGGGGCAAGGTGGGAAAGCTGTAGTGTACAAGTTACTACTAGTTATTATCATTCACCTTCAACTTTCAAGGTCCTCGGCGGTACTCCGGTTGAATGCTGTATCCAGCAAATCACCCGTCAACGTTTCCGCGGATAGCAAGAGTCATGGTTGGCTGGTTAATTTCCCAAGTTTCTCATGGAAGAAGAGGCTAGTCGTGATCAGGCAAAGCTTACGAAGTACGAGATGGACCCGTTTTTGTTGCCATCAGCCATTGATACATAAGGAAACCAGAATTCGAGGGGGAGATGGAGGCTGAAGTTCTCTCAATAAATTTTTGCCATTCTCTATCTGTATTTCCTTTCTTTCATTTGGTTTTCGTATCTCATTCAAGATGTCCGGCGGCTTCGAAAACTGGGAGGCCTACCTCTACGACCCCTCCATGGCGGCGGCGGTCATCTTCATCGTTCTGTACGGAGGAGTCACTGGCCTGCATACCTACCATCTGTTCCGGACAAGGACGTGGTTCTTCATTCCAATGGTGATCGGAGGATACTGTGAGTTCCCTCAACCAGCCTCCATTCGTCCGCCGATGACAACGTGAGGGATCTTTTCTGACGAAACTAGTCGAGTTGATAGGATACATTGGCCGCGCGATATCGGCATCCGAGACCCCCGACTGGACGCTTGGTCCGTACATCATGCAGAGTGTGCTCTTGTTAGTTGCGCCGGCCCTCTTCGCTGCGAGCATCTACATGTATCTGGGCCGGATCATTGTCCTCGTGCGTGGGGAAAAGTTTTCGATCATCCGCGTAGGATGGATGACCAAGATCTTTGTTGCGGGCGACGTTCTCAGTTTCTTGATGCAGGCATCTGGTATGGTCTGGACTGTGGCAATACTGGATACATGCTAACAAGATGAATAGGAGCTGGTATCCTCGTGACTGACTCGCAAGACATGGGCGAGAATATTATCGTAGGAGGCCTTTTTGTACAGATTGCATTTTTCGGCTTTTTCGTCATCTGCACGTTCATCTTCCAGAGACGTATTTCTGGCAACGCTACAGCGCTGGGGAATGCCAGTACGACACCGTGGTTGAAGCACCTGTGGGCGCTGTACGGCTCCAGCATCCTGATTCTGATCCGATCCATTTTCCGTGTGGTTGAATATCTGCAAGGTTGGGACGGCTATCTTCTGCGAAACGAAGCCTTTATTTATGTGTTTGACGCGCTTCTGATGTGGCTGGTGCTGGTGATTTTCGTAGTCATCCACCCGAGCGAGGTGAACTGTCTTTTGGGTCGCGGGCGTGTCATGACAACGAAGGGAGGGTTGAGCATCAGCGAGGTTGCTGTTTAGAGTTGGAAAGCTGCAGATCCATAGAACAGACCAAGTTATTCTTCTTTTGTCAAACAAGGTTAGAGTTAGGTCTCGAAGGGTGTCATCGCTCTATCATCAGGTACTGCTCTCCAAATATTTGCTCCATGCAGCCGTGTATTAATGGTCTCCAGTTGTCGTCCAGGACATACCAGATCTCCTGTGCAACGCGTGTTCCCCATTCAATACCAAACCACACGTCTTGGAGTCGAGCTACTAATGCACACCAGTGTGCAAGAATCGCCAGAGCCAACGGTCGACGGTCCCGAATGCGATCGACAAAGGCCGGCTGTAGTTTGATCGCCCATCGGCACGCCACAAAAAAGCCCAATCCGCCTTTTACCGCTGCACTCAAGTCGGCCAGGTGGTCGATTGCTTCCTGATAGAGGGATGAGTCGTGGAGGATCGGGTCCTGGCGGGTGCATGCCTCGTTCGCCATGTGTAGCTGCTCGATTGCCGGCCGCGCCTCTATCGGAAGGGTAGGGTCGTATTCGGTGATATCTCGTAGTGGCGCCCAGGCGCGGTCCTCAAAAAGAGTGTTCATCGCTTGGTTGAGGACATACTGCACACCACGCACCAACACAAACGCCTGCACTAGATCACCGACGGCTGTACTACCCGGATCGGGAGTGCGGGGGAACCCAAACGCGTAGAGGACAGTGATACTAGCAAAAGCAAACATTGCCTTGCCATTAGCAGGATTTATATCGTCGAGCTGCTCACGAAACAGCGCCAGCGCTTGGTTATGGTGTGAGACGGCGATCTGGAGGTAGTCCCTGCCCAGTTGTCCGTTGTCTGCAGAAGCTCTGGGTGCTCGTGTCCGTGCAATATGAACAGCCGATAATGCTAGGATTCCGTGCATTAGAAACGGGTGCGAAACTCCTTCTTCTGGAACGTAGGTGCGCCAGATTTTGTCGGTGTGCTGGCCTCGAGACATCACCATAGATGTCGCGTTTACCCATTGCAGCAATAACTCTAGGTCGCAGAGATTCAACGGGGCCAAGGGTGCTTCGCCATTATTCGAGCTGTTGTTGCTCCGGAATTGACCGAAAAGGCTGAAATCAGGAGATGGTGGTGCTTGCTGCCGGTCGGAGAGGGGACGCGGGGATCGGGAGGGCTCGTCGGTCATCCATCGCAGAGGCCCAGACGAATCATACTCGCAATCGGTCTGTCGTCGAGCACAATTGGCACAGACTGGTCGAGATTCGTCGCACTAAGAGAGAGCATTGAATGAGGAAAGGCGACGAGAATGGGGATGGCAAGCGGGGGAGGGGAGCCGAGGGGCGAGAGGGAGACTCGAGAGAGGTGTACCTTGACTCTTCGTCGCTTGCACTCTAGGCAGCCATGTCTGGATTTCTGATGCGATCGTCGTTGGGCCATGGGAGCCTGGAGGCGTTCGAAAGCTCAAGCAAAACCAAGGAGTTCGACTGACCAGGTGCTCGCGTTTCATAGATCCGAGGGTTCGTGAAGGATCAGGTTAGTGGGAGTTAATATAGCCAAGGCTGGGTTGTCGACTAGGCTGCATTATTTCTTAGCGAAATGCTGCTATACTTCTGCTCGGCGCAAACATGAAAAAAAATCATCTTGAATACATTATTATACTGATAACAGACATCTACTGGGTATATACAAAGAACAAAAAAGAAGGCACTCTTCCCTTTGGCCGTACTTAACCGCCGTCTCCTCCTCCACCACCGCCTCCTTTGCCCCCAGTCCTGCGTCGGATCCTCTCATACATTGCTAGCAGGGTAATGAGAGCCATCATATCGAAATCAGGTCCATAATCTGCTGCCACCTGGAGCTTTCCGTTCTTTCGAGGGCTCTTGAAGCTGTTGCTGGTGAAAACCGCCACGTTTTGTCCGTTCAATTCGTCAACGAGCTTGAAGTTGCGGAGACTAAAGAAGGATGGCGAGTCTCCGTCCGCTCCGACAGACTGTGTTCGTTTCCAGAGAAACGATCGCCGCTCGTATCCGCCGTGTGCCGAGGGAATAGACATTTCAAAGCGGTATTTGGTCATGCGGAAGTTTTGACATTGGAGATCCTCCCAGACCATTGAACCTGCTCGCTGCGGATCTCCAAGACCGACTTTGCAATGCCGTGAGAGGTGAATGAACTTGCAAACGCCCGCAATCGGCGCGTTTTTGTCATCGCCAGTGTGAACCGTGATATCCGCCTTATCCGGAGTCAGGTGAGAGTTGTACACGAAGTAAAGAGGCTTCTTATCGGCATTGGAGACGCGATAGTCGTAGCGGATTGGAGTATGGTAGATATGGTACAGACGCGAAGATTCTAGGCTAAGGCTCTGATCATCAGCCGAGTCTGATTCCCTCGATGAAGGTGTCTGTAATCCAACGTCTGACGATTTATTCTCATTGGCACCAAACGGAAGGCTGTTTGAAGAAGAAGTCAACATCGTGATGCGCTCATCTGGTGAGCAGTTTGAATGTTAATCTGGGAGTTCATTCACAGGGGGCTTTCGCCTCCTTATATGTTTTCCAGATCACATATTCTGCCTCGTCATTGCCTGCCACTCTTGGATCATTAAGCCCAGAATACGAGCCCAGACAAGGCTGAGCAGCCGATCTCTCCACTTGTACAGGTTCTCCTCCAGAGAGGAACGGTTCGCTCATAGATGATGACCTTTTGCTGCGCCTGGGCATTGAAAGTCTGTCCAATCACACAGCCCGCCGAATACGAAGCTTCCATAATCGGTTAAGCGTACCTAGGTCCACGGGTAGGTAATTATAGAGTTTCTGATCACCTGACCGACCCGTTGCCAGCTTGGCGCACAGCCTCAATCAGCACCTTCTTTTCGATAATAAGCTTGCAGAAGATTCGCGGAAGAGAATTTCTACGGAGTAGACTCATGGTATGACGAACCCTTCGGATTATCACCCTTTGGGCGATACGAGGAGCGTCAAATTCGCACTCGCAACTGTATGCTTTTGCCGAACCCAGAACCATGAAGAGTTTTTCCAATTGTAGTAACTTTCTGTTGGTTGGCGGACGACAGAGTCCGCAATCATGTAAATATAGCTAATTGTTATCATTGCATGTTTACTTTGTAGGTAGTATTGCACATGAAACTTAGAACGTGCGTTCAACCAGATTGGCGGGCTGGCTAGCAGCTGGCGCAGTGGCTGTATAGATACTCCTGAAGTCTATCACATGACTCCACGTGATACTTGCCAAGACTCCGCGGCGATGGTGACGGAGCAACAATCATAACACGGCGAGAAAATGATGGATGCGTCCTCGAGCTCACCACGATCAAAGAGAGTGTCAACATTGGCCACTATCTGACTTTCCTGACTTCCCCATGGCTTGCGATTGAAAAAAATTGAGAAAACCTCACCGACATCCCCTGCTTCAGGGGTCTTTTCGCGCGCGTGGAACTCATTTCTTTTTCCACAGTACCTAACAAGCAGCATCAGTCCCCGATTTCTCTCACACCGCTTCAGCAGACAAGATGGCCTTCAACTTCAACTTCGGGCCGCCATCTACACCCGGAAAGGGACAGGGTCTCTTTGGCAATGGATCCGCGACTCCAGCTCAAGCACCTCCGTCCGCCTCCAACTCTTTCACTCCGCAAGGCCCTCCTCCGTCTACCATTCACGGAGGGAGCACTAGATCGCAAGATTTCTCCCCAAAGCCGATCTTCAATAGATCCGAACTGTTAAATGACAGCATTTTTGGCTCCTCCATCGACTCTCCCGATTTCGCATCTCGAACAAAGCAAAACACGGCGCCTATATCCTTTGGAGCGTCGCAATCCTTATTTAGCGTTTCTGGCGGCACTCGCTTCGGTGAGTCGACCAATTGGGGCGTTTCGAATGGTTTCCAATCATCACGGATGGAGGAAAGGCTAGATCAGGAAGAAGAGGTCGAGGAGGACAATGGTCCGATGGAAGAGGAAGAAGAAGAGGAAGATGTTCAAGAACAGACGAGCAAAACAGCCGGATCGGGCGCCAACTTTCTCGACACGCATATTGGCAATACAGGGCCTCCGTCCTCCGTCCTATTGCAGCGAAAATCGATCTACTCGAACCCCGGAGATGCAAAACGGCCCAAGCTCGACGAGCGGTGGGCGAGCCAGTCACCCTTGCGCAAGGCGAAACTTTCCCCTAAGAAGGACTCGCCCATACCGGCTATCGTGCGGACCCTTGCGTCACGAGGTCGTGCTACGACAGCGGAGGAACCAAGCTATTTTATTCTAGAAACCGAGGATGAAATTTCGCGGATGTACGACGAGGTGAAACAGGCAGAGCAGTACGGACAGGTGGAATTTGAGAACGCTCTATCAGGGGTTTGCAGCCGGCTGTCTACGGTGTGGAAGTCACCCAACAGCAATGACCCTTCTCGGACGGGAACAGGCATTGGCCCTGGAGACGGTGCCCCGAACTTTGTGAAGGCAAGCTTCCTAGGATCACTGTTACTGCAGCTTCATCACCCACCCTTTGCTGCTAGTAGACCGCCAAGTTTTCCTAATTTCGGGTTCGGGGGACCGCGTGCGTTGATGCTTGCCGGCGGATCGGACACACCTGTTGCCGTTCCTAAAGTCCTTTTGGACTGGCTGGAAACGCACGCCGGTACATCAGGCGAGCTTCGAAGTCTTGCACAGACTGGACCTGATCCTACAGCATCTCCGAACTTTTGGGAGATAATCAACGCTGCTGTCCTGCGAGGCAAGCTCTCAGAGGTGGCGAAGATTTTACGGTCGGCTGATTTCAACTACGCTCGTTCAGCGCTGGAAGATGGCCTATCGCAGCCAGGGTACCGTGGAGCACAGCTGCAGAACATCCAGAGATGCATCAACAGAGTGCTCCAAGTGTTGGAATCGTGCCCCAGCGTACAGCATGACGACTGGGACGTCCGTGGTGCGGACTGGGTAGTGTACCGAAAGCGAGTTCTAGCTGCCGTGTCCGACCTGGAGGAGTTCGCGGAAGGAGACGAACAGCCTGCTCCTCAGCCTGCTGCTACTGGCAATGCGTTCCAGGCGATCAATTTTGGGCTAGGGCCAGCCCCCTTCCAAGGCACTTCCTTTACAGAGTCTGCTCGTATGGCAGAGAGCAAGGTGCCGTGGACCATCTACCAGAATCTCCGAGTGATTTACCGCGTTCTCCTTGGCGATCCGTCGGCTATCATGAAACTCGCAGAAAATTGGGTCGAGGCTACGATCGGCCTAACTGTCTGGTGGGATGGCGATGATGACGAGGTCAGCTACTTACATCGCGGGCCCAAACCGTCTGAAGATCCCTATCTTCGCCGTTTAAATTTGGCGTTTGGCAGCGCGACCAATGCGGAAGCGAACGAGAAGGGCTTCAGCATCAATTCGCTCAGCGGACTTGAGGCTGGTCTGGCTTCAGTTTTTGAAGGAAATGTCGAAGGAGTGTTAGGATTGCTCCAGACATGGTCGCTGTGCGTAGCCTCTGCCGTTGCGGAAATTAGCGCGGTCGGTGGCTGGCTGGAGACGGGCGGTGTCAAGCCACCGTCCGGCCTCAGCGAGAATGACCTGATGGTGCTCTCGTATGGGCAGGAGGAGGTGACGGACCGTCGCGTCAACAAAGATGATGTTCTCACTGCGTATGCTTCGGCGTTGTTTGAGCGGCGGTCAATTGAAAATGAAACTGGCGCTCGTGAAGGATGGGAACTAGCACTTGAGGTGCTGAGTCGACTCGATGACCGTGAGAAAGGGCAGAAGAGCGTTTCCGAGTTGCTCGATAAGCTTCCGCTCGACACGGCGGAGCAGATGGACAAGGTTGTTTTGCTTTGTACAGAATTGGGTTTGGACAAGGAGGGCCGACGAGTTTCCGAGGTAAGTTCCTGAACTTTTTTTTTCTAAGTTTAGTACTGATTTTTTTTCTCCCTCAGCGTTATGGTGACATGACCGTTTCCAACTCGGAAGAGTATGGCCTTGCACTTGTTTGCTACGCTCGTGCACATAACCGCCGGAAGGTGCGGTCTGTTGTCGACCTACTCATCTCTTACAGTCTCGTCCACTCCAAGGCATACCCCGCGACAAACAACCTGGATGACCAGCTACGGGCACTGATTCGAGAGCCCAAGACCTGCCTTCAGGCAATTGCGTTAGCGGACGATGAGGCTGCTTCAATTCTACAATTTTACTTTAGCGGCTACGCGACTCTGCGGCGGTTCTACGAGACGCGCGATGAAGCGATTGGACTTCCTGAAGGGCACAAGCCACGGTACAAGCCACTCGCTAGACGGCGGGCCGCCGCACAGGCGCTGGTTGCAGTGATCAGTAGTGCTGCGGACAGTATCTACGGCGGACTATATGATCCCGATCGCGATTCGGCTATTCAAGTCGACGGGCTGTTGGCTCTCCTCGGCGAGGCTCTTCCTCTAGTTCATGGTGAGTGTCTTCCCGCGTAACATGAACCAAGCTAACCAGTGTAGAAAACTCATCGATTTTGACGACAGCTCAGCAGTTTGCGATCCTATCTGCTATCGAAGATCTAGAAACGGTTACACCTCGCGTCTACGCACAATGCGAAGAATGTTTCCGATCAACGCTCCTCGAGTACTCGTCCTCGAAACACGGGTTCTCTGGGAAATCAGACTCCTTCGTGCTGCCACCATCACCTCGAGCCCTTCTGAAAAAATCTGTTTCATCGCTTACCGGCTCCAGCACATTCTCAATCATCGGTAGTGACATGCTCGAGTCAGCACGCACACGGTCGTTATCCGGGTCAGCAGAAGGGTCCGGGGTGCTCGTGCCTCGGAGCGAAGGGGCGGTAGGAGCCGAGCGGGAGTGGGACTGGCGGACAGGCCTGACAGAAGACGCAAAGGGCGAAGACATACTCCGCATGTTGCGGTTAGGACTGGCGGGCGGGCTGAGCTTGGGGGCATTGGGCCGGGTGTAATCTCTACATATTCTATCTTGGGAATTTATTTAGCATGGCTGGCATGGCATGGAAAGTACTCCGGAGTAGTACAACGTTTGTATGTGTCGATGTGAGTCTCCGGGGGATTGACAGCGACTGTGCGGCTGTTACTGGTGCTGTTCTACCAATTTCCGATTTGTTCCAATAGTTAGATATTCCGTCATAATTTGCCTCTGGCGATCATCTTGCAAGTCTTCAGCCTCACTGGCCCTCAGGAACCCAAGGGCGGGGCAGGGCGTGATTGGCCGGGCGCAGATGCTGAGCCATGAGTCAAAATAGAAGAATCGCGTTATCATGACCGGCGCTGAAGTCTGCTACAAGATGAAACAGAGGACAGATTGCACAAGGCCGGAGCAGAGCACAAGGTGCCCCCAGTCATCATCACCGTCGAGCCGTGACTAAGGCAGCCGGAATCAGGCACGCTCTTTGTCAACGAGAGTCATTGCGCGAGGACAATGACAGCTGAAAAGAAGCGCCAGCCGCAAGCCAACTGGGGCCCCGGCGTCGACGCTAAACCCGGCGAGGCCAGGGCGCTGGATGGGCACTCAATCCGTCGAGGGTGCTAATCCTGCTGCAGTCTAGCGTTGATCTGCCTGATCATCCGTTCAGCCCCGAACGCTCTCCGCTTGCACGTTGCACGTTGCAGGTTTCCAAGGTTGAGGTCCTGCCTAACCGGTTCGGCGATGGCCGTAGTTTCTACGGGCCCCATAGGACCGTTTGGCCCTGCCATGGATGGAGCTGGTTGGGGCTGCAGTCCAGCCGTTGCAGCGGTGATCCTTGGCTGCGTTCGTGAGCTGCGGAAAAAATAGCTCGTGCCTGGGAGCTACCTACATACTCCGTTCCTCTGCATGGGCACGGGTCCTTGTTTCGAGTCAAAGGACGATGAGGTCCACGCTGGGCTGATACTTAGCCTGCCTTTGAGTGGTGCTTGCTTTTGCGGTTGACTCCTTTGCTCATTCTTTCAGTTTCAAGTCCGGATATCATGGTCCTTCAGGGCTGGATGGGGGTGGCCTGAGATTAGGAAGCGCACTCCTCATTCAGTCATTACGGAGGCTCACGCTTCCAAGTTCTCTACTTCATCTTCCTTATAAGGCTCAATTGACCCGCTCGCTCTTGAGGCTATTCACTCACTCACTCACTCATCACTCACTTCAGTTCTGGATAGCTTCGCATTCTTGTCCTCCATCTGCTACATTTCGCTTGCATTCTTGCCCTCCATCTTCTACATCCAGCTTGCATTCCTGCTTCTGCTTTGCATATACTTCGACTTCACCACAAGAACGACTTTTGACAAGCGTCACCATGTGCTACCAACTTGTCGAACGCTACTCGGTCTGCGGCTGCCTCTACTTCCAGCACGCAATTGACCCTTGCACCGCATATGGCCAGCGCGGGCACCAGACCCAGGAGAAGACGGTGCTCGTGGGCTACGCCTGCCCTCGACACTCAGCGCGACGAGGAAGCGGGTCTTCATATTCGTCAGGCCGGTAGACAATATCTCGGTCTACAATTTTCTACAATTATCCCAGTGATACATATGAGCTTTTTCCCTCTCCAATTCGACTTTCGATTCGACTTTCTTTCTCAACTCGCGATTCTCCTCTCTTATCAGCGTGAAACTACTCTGCTCTCGATTCAATGCTGCCGGCAGCATATCCTGTCTTTCTGATGTTCAATTGGTCGTTCTGGGAACGGAATGGTAAAATCTCGGTTTTTCTTATGGTATGCCTCCTGATACCCAGATATATTTATGCAACAGCAGTCCTGACCTGGTGCAGTAAAAGTTGCGACTATGGAGCATAGCATGGCATAGCACGGCATGATCATGAATGGACGAGCGATGGACTATATTTAAACTATACACAGAGTAGATCTCTTAATCTATTATCTCTTAATCTGTCCAATCCCACTTGGTATCAAGTTCCATAGAATCAGATAATCATCCAAAGGCGCGTCAACTGGGTAGCCCAATCGATTGTATTGGGAATCGTGCTGCCTTGTCGCATTGACTCGGGTCCGTGCGGCCCTGTGATTGGAGGTGAATACGAGCTTCAGTCTTGGACAATCCATCCCCATGACCCATTCCAACCTCGGACGTATGATAGAGAAGATATCCCCTTGTCTTCTCTCCTTCTTTCCGTGTCGGATTCCCTCCACCTTCCCACTGCCAACAGTAACCCCAGAGAGCCAGATACAAAAAGTCAGAATGCTCCTCCTCTCTGCCCTCCGGATAACGAGAGATGCCCTCTTCACAAGACATCTCCCCTTGCGCATCCGCCTCTTAATGCTAACACTGCAACCAATTACCTTGCTCACATACACTATCGAATGGTTCACAGCACGCAAGTTCCCGCACCAGCAGGACCTCAGGATCCCATTGAAACGCGCGGGGAAGGGGAGGACTGTTAGGGCTGTCGTCTACTTGCCTCCAGCAAGACAATCCCTTCACCATACTACCAGTACAAGTACAACAAGCGCAGCAGCAGCAACAACAACAGAATCCAGCCCCACAGAGCGAACCCTAAAATCAAAGATCCCACTCCACCTCAACATCCACGGCGGCGCCTTCCTAGGCGGACTACCCGAAGGCAACGCGCGGTTCTGCGCGCAGCTCGCCAGGGAATCTGGTGCTGTTGTCGTCTCCACGGGGTACCGGTATACGCCCGTGGCGAGGTTCCCAGATGCGCATGAGGACGTGCAGGATGTTGCAGAGTGGCTCCTCGAGCACGCGGAGGAGATGTGGGGTGCGGATCCGGGCTGTTTTACTGTGAGTGGGTTTTCGGTTGGGGGGAATTTGGGATTGGGGGTTGCACAGTCGTTGGTCGGGAGGGGGGAGAGCGGGGAGGTGAGGGGGTTGGTTAGTTTTGAGGGTGTGGTATGTTCTTTTCTTCTCTTTGTGGTGTCTACATGTACGATACGTGAAGTAAGGGCTCACATGCATTACAGATGGACTTTCGCATCCCCCCCTGGCAGAAGCCCCGACCAAAGGGCTTCGCAGAGCACGACCCGCTTCAATTCCTACAACCCCTCTTCGACGCCTACGCAGGCCCTAACCGCGCCCGCGACATGGCCAATCCCCTCCTCCATCCCATCCTTGCACCCATCAGCACCCTCCCACAGAACCTATTCTTCATTGTTGGCGGACAGTGCATCCTGCGCTCCGAGACCGTGGCGACGATCGAGAGACTCGAAGCGGAAGCAAGGTCGATCAATGCGGCGAACGGGCTCGGTCAGAGTGTTGTTGAGGAGAAGGGCCCTGATGGGAGAGCAGTTGTTGTCAAGAGCTATGTTGCCGAGGGCCAGATTCATGGGTGGACCGAGATGCCGTCTTTTGCGGTTGATGTGGAGAAGAGGACGAGGGCGTTTGGGGATGCGGTGCGATTCTTGATGCGGGTTCATAGGGCTTATGGATATGTACATTTGGAGGCGTAGATGGGAGAGATGGCTAGTTCATGTTGGATAGGGCCCGAGCGGATATGGGCATATGTGCTATAGACTGTATAGATCAGGCATCTCCTAATCGTATAATACACTCTCAACTTACTATACAACCTCACTGAATCTATTCGCATATCATCCGACCTACCATACCATTTAATATCCAGTTCCATTTATAAGATACCCTACCAGGAGAACAGTTAACCCTATCGAATAACACTCTCCAACCACTCAAACCCCTCCCTAGATCTCCGCCAGGTCGTCCCTCCAACCTCCATCCCCAATGCAAACGTATGATCCTCCCCCTCAACCTCCACAATCCCACACTCCACTCCCTTCTCCCTTAGAACCTCCAAAAGCCTCCGACTCACATCAACGGGAACCATCCGATCACAATCCCCATGCACAATAAACGTAGGAGGAAACCCCGCCTCGACTCTAGTGACGGGATCAATATCCTCCAGCCTCCCAGCACTTGCGGGAAAGATCGCATCGAGAACAGTCCCATTGGCGATCTGGGTTAGCGCGAATGCGTCGCGGGGCCGGCTGAAGTCCGGCCTGTTGGATTGTTGGCCCTCGAGGGAGATGCCGGATGTTGTAGGGATGGGGTACTCGTCGTAAACTTGTTGGAGAAAGTCTTGGGGAAAGCCGTTTGGTGGGAGGTTGGCTTTGACGTGTGGGAGGGGTTTGCGCCAGGAGGGGTGGGTGAAGTGGACGGCGCCGTAGAAGTTGAGGATTGCGCGCGGTGGGCGGGGCGTGTCGTAGCCCTGTTTCTCGTCAGTATGAATGGTATACAAAAGTAAAAGCCAACAGTCTGGGAAAAGCCTAAGGAAAGCTTGCAGCACACAGGGGAAGAACTCACCAAGGCCAGCGCCAAATAGCCGCCACTCGACGTCCCAAACGCCATAACCCTATCTAGATCGACACTATAGTTCCGCTCATCCTGGGTTGGGCTCTGCTCTCCCAAGAACCGCTCAAGGTCACCAGCATAAATCCATGCCAGGAAGTCTCGCATGTCCTGCACCGGCCCGTTTAGCACATCGACCCCGGGACAAAGCCGGTGATTAGGGACAGCGACGATCCAGCCTCGCTCAAGACAGTCGTCAACTTGCGGCATCGAGACCATCCGGCTGTGGCCGAGCATGAAGGCGCCGCCGTGGATGTTTATTACTATGCTTGTTAGCTTGGATTCTTTTGTCTCTCCAGTTTTAATTGCCTGGGATTACGAGGGGGGAAAGTTGCGTCGGAACGTACAGACGGGATATTTGTGGTCGTGGGAGGCATTTTGTGGAGGCGGGGGAAGGTAGATGTCCACGGAGATCTTTGACCAGTTGATCTCCTTGTAGATTGTTGTTAGGGGTGATGGTGGCATATTGGTCGATATTGATTGTTGGTTGTGGTCGGTGCAATGCATGAAGTAAGAGATACTTTATACCCGATGACTCGGAAAAGCCGAGCGGATGATCCGACGACATCTGCATCTACATTATCTCCTTCACCACTACGGAGTAAGCAACGGGATATAAGTATACCTGTCATAATTCATCACCTCATTTCTTTCATCTCGTCTTCACTACTCAAGCTAGCTACCTAACTAACCAGCTCCCATCCATCTTCCATTCCACCTTTCACCAAAAATCTTCATCTTCCACCTCTACTTCTCTCATGACTCACGCCTGGCTGTTGAGTTCAACAGAGCGGACTTGTCAACCTGTCTGATACATAAATATCCCACAACCGCCCCCGCGACTCCTCACCCCGGACACGAGTCGAGCACAGCTCGCATCGCATCGGATTGACGGGTCAGCGGGAGGCTAGTTCAGCCTTTTTTTTTTGTCTTTTTCTTCGTGGTTTAAAGTATACACTCGCTGGGCATAGAAACCCAACAAGCGAAAGAGTGACTGATGTACTGAACGCAATGTACTGTTCGCATATATGCAACACGCACACGCACATGCAATGTCAAGCCGATCTGAGCCAGTCAATCCGAGCTTCGGTATGTATGTATCCCATCTATGTTGTGGAAGGAAGGAATAAAAAAAGCGCAACGACACGAAAAGCCTTCGTTGGCCTGTCATTTAGCGCCTCACAACAATACCCTGGCGACGCACAGCGCGGCGCGCATGGCGGTACTCCTCGTCGCTGTCGGACTCCTCGGAGCAGGAATCCTCAGACGACTCGGTGATGTAGCCGCAGCGGCTGCCGCCGCAGTCGAGCTTGACGCGGTCGCCCTTGCGCGTGATTCCGTAGCGCTCGCAGTGGCAGACGGAGGGCGGGTCGGACATGGAAGACAGAGACGATGGGGATGTCGAGCCCGAGGAGCGCGACGAGAGCGAGGAGCCGACGGAGCTGGGTGGGGAGGCGGAGAGCCCGTCGTAGTCGTCTGACATGCGGGAGCCCGCGAAGCGGCGGGTGAGCTCGTCCATGTTGGGAGCGAAGTCGGCCTCGCGGATTTGTCGGGAGGCGTAGGGCTTTGATGGCTTTGGGTGCTGGATCTTGGACGGGGAGAGGGCGCGGCCGGTGGCGATGTCTGTGGAGCCGCGGCGGGCACTGCGGCGGCTGGAGGTTGTGGCAGCGGAGGAGGGCTCCTTGCCGCCGGGAACATCGAGGATGTTGAGCTTGCGGCCGGTAGTGGGCTCGACGGTGTAGTCTGCGGCGGGGTCGTGGGAGACGTGGTAGCCGTCGAGGATGTAGTAGTACCAGTAGCGGCCGCCGAGCTTGAGCATGGAGGTCTGGAAGCGGAACTTGCCAACCCATGAGCCGGACTTGGAGCCATCGCGAGAGAGCGGGATCTGGCGCGAGTAGTTGTCCCACGAGCCCAGGAGGTGGACCGTCTTGACGTTGGACGAGGTGCGGAGGTTGAACTTGAGTTGGACAGCGGACATGTTGGCGAAAAAGAAAAAACTAGTTATTAACGGAGTAAAGTATTATTGCAATCGTGTAGATAATAAGTGTCGAGATGGACGTTAAAAGGACTGCCAGAGTCGATTCAACGCGGTTCGTAAGGCGTTGTTGGTGAGGCTTGGAGCTGTTGGTGTTGGGTGGCAGAGCAACAACGGCGCTTTTCGAGCTTGAGGATCCAGTCCACGACACGAAAGAGGACAATTAGAATAAAATTTCGAGTCAAGCAACAAGGCTGAGCAAGTATCGTCTGATGCTGAACGATATCAAGAATCACGTCGAACCGGCGACGAGAGTAGATGAGACCGTTGTAGAGTTGATTAATTGGAGTATTCTGCACAGCAGATCAAATGTATAGCAGCCAAAGATGTATATCAGAGAGCACAGCTCGTCTGGTGTTTTTTGGGATATGGGGTAAAAGGGTTGAAGATTAAATGCTGTATAGGAGCAGAAGCGAAGAACAGAACAAACAAGTGCAACCAGTGCACAGAATACTCCAAAAAAGGGCAGCTTTCGACAAGACAGGCTTGCTGAAGAAAAAAAAAGAAGAAAAAAGGACAAACGGGCCTGGCGCTTGCAGGACTCTTAAAGCATGGCTGCGCGGCGTGTGGTCAGTGGTTGACTGATGATGGTGTGCCTCTCGGTCGTCAAGGGTGTCTGTCCTTGTCTGCCACTGTCAACTCGTCACACCGTCTCTTCTATTCTGGGATGCATCCAGAGCCAATCCTCACGGACGATCGGCCTGCCCCGCTCATTGCGGCGGTTACAGGTTGACAGCGATTGGGCTGGAGCCGGGATGAGGCTAATGCATGTTAGCGCTCGTGATGAGGGCCCGTCACAGTAATGGCCAATCACGCTGGAGAGCATCCCAGAAGGTTGATTCTTGATGCATCGAGTCGTTTTCAGAGTTCAACTTGGAGGGCCGGGGACTCTGCGAAGGCTGGACTTTGTCCTGCAAAATTGAGGGAGGGCCTCCTAGTATTGAGAGCCGGCGAGAGAAGCAGCAGCATAATGAAAAACTATCCCGCATTCAAGAAAAACCCATCCATCTATAAGGATGACTCGTACTTCCCGACTCCCTGCATACTCTCGCATCTCCGGTATAGATGTATGATGCAATGTCTACACTAGACTGCTTCAATTGGTGTATCTCGCGTCGTAGATCACGATACATTGAAGACAGACTGATAGGTGGGTCTCACTGCACATCATGCTGCAGAGCTCCAACTGCACAAGAGAAGTGTGAGCCGTCTCGACTCCTCCCGTGTGAGTCTCTGGAGGTCTCCTCACGGCTCATGCTCAAGTCAGGTCTCATCACCGATTCGTGTAGTCTTGAATTACAAACTCTATTATGCATGCTTAGCGTCGTCAGCAGAATCACTTGAATAATGGTTTATTGTTCTGTACCGTAAGCTATTACCCCCGGCCCAGTTACGCCAGGAAATGCCAAAGGCAGTTTTTACTTGATACCCCAAAATTTAAACACGAAGAAAGCATCGCCAGCGTGGGAATGGAAGCAGAAAAAAGGTATGAGGAAAAGAAGAAGTGATGTTGTACAGACGACAGTGAGCCCCTCATCGCACGGAGACGCCGGACCGGTTGGTAAACATACGAGCCGAAATATTCATCGCCGCCAGCTCTTGGAACAAAAGCTTGGCTGCATACGGAATATGCACCTGAGAGATTCGGTGCTTGTTGTTGCACAGTCGACACTCGAAAAGTCCCTTCTTCAGTTTCCTGCCACATGGGGTTGCTGCGTTAGCTCAAATCCTGGCCAAATTTTCACGACGAATCCACGAATCAAAAGGCTAGGGGTCAACTTACGCGATGGGGGTCATCAGCCCGCAGTCATCACAAATGTGGACACGGAAGGGGTCGGAGACGTCGAATAATCTCTCCTTGAGGAAGGCACTCGCACCGTGGGCAATCATACAGTCGCGCTCCATCTCTCCGAATCGAAGACCACCGTCACGGGCACGACCTTCTACAGGCTGACGAGTCAAAATCTGCGTCGGGCCGCGCGCACGAGCGTGAATCTTGTCGTCTACCATGTGTCGCAGACGCTGGTAGTATGTGGGCCCCAAGAAGACCTGTGCGACCAGCTTGCGTCCGGTGTGGCCATTGTACATCACCTCGAAGCCACGGGACTGGTAGCCGTGTTCACGGAGAAGACGGGATACCGAGTCCACAGTGACATCCGTAAATGGAGTGGCGTCTCCCTCGAAACCACGCAGCGCAGACACCTTACTGAGCTGACACTCGATCAAGTGGGCAATGGTCATACGAGACGGAATGGCGTGGGGGTTGATGATAAGATCGGGTGTAACACCCTCGCGAGTGAAGGGCATATCTTCCTGGCGATAGGTAATACCGATTGTACCCTTTTGGCCGTGACGCGAGGCGAACTTGTCGCCAATCTGCGGGATCTTGGTCGTCCTCATGCGCACTTTGACAAACTTCAGGTCATCGTTGCTGGTCGAAACCAACACCTGGTCGACGATACCATTTTCCGTGCTACGGAGGGGTGTCGACACGTCCAGCTTGGTGTGGGCCTTGGTGCGCTGACCGAGCTCCTCTGCATCCGGAGCGAGAGGAGCAGTCTTACCGATGATGATATCCTCTCCCGAGACACGAACACCGGGTGCGATGATACCGTCTTCGTCGAGTTTGTCGTACGTGCCCTTTCGCATGCCAATTGTGTCGGATCGCATCGGCTTTTCGAAACGCTCAACAACAGTAAGACCAACCATCTTCTCGCTGTCTGTGTATGTACGGTAGAATAGACTGCGGAAAAGACCACGATCGATACTGCTCTGGTTCATAATGACGGAATCTTCCTGGTTGTATCCCGAGTAACAGGCGATAGCCACAATCGCATTCTGACCGGCAGGCAATTCACGGAACCGCAGGAACTCCATCGAGCGCGTTGTCGCCAATGGCTTCTGAGGATAGTAAAGAATATTCGCCATGGTCTCCATGCGCTGGTCAAAGTTGGTCAAGAACACACCCATAGCCTGTTTACCCATAGCAGATTGATATGTGTTACGAGGCGACTGGTTGTGATCTGGGAAGGGAATGATACTGGCGCAAACACCAAGAATCATACTGGGGTGGATCTCGCAATGCGTCCAGGTGTGCGCGCGCTGGCTCAGAATGGACCGCACGCGCTTGTTCTTGTCGTGCTCCTCTTCAGGAAGCGCGTATCCCGCTTGAAGCTGTTTTGAGATCTCCAGATCCTCTGGCGTCATGACAATCATGATTGTCTCCTCTTCTTCCGCATCCACGTACTCAACAACTCCTGACTTGACTAGTCCGTCCCATCCGAAGTATCGCTCGCGGCGGTCTTCTGGATCAAGATCCGGTGGGAGATCCTTGTCCTGCTCCAACTTGCGAATATGCTCCTTGTTCAGGACTAGGTTACCGCAGTTCTCGCTCTTCGGATCGTTATCGATGACATAGAGTGGTCGGCAAACACGGCCAGCATCGGTGAAGATCTTGAATTCACGCTCACGAATATCCCGGATAAGACTGACTTCGTGGGAGATCATGTTCCGTCGGCGCAGAGAGAGCATAGTATTGACGAGATGCGCGGGATCGCGGTGAACACCAACCCAGACGCCGTTCACAAACACCTTGGTTGCATTTGGGGTAACTTGAGGCTCGAATTCCTCAAGAACTTCCATGTTTCGTTGGATCATAAAGTCAATGATGGGCTCGCTGGGAGTACCGACAGTGATGTAGCACATGAGAGCCAAGTTCTTGACCAAACCACAAGCCTGACCTTCCGGTGTTTCTGCAGGACATACCAAGCCCCAGTGAGTGTTGTGTAGCTGGCGGGGTTTAGCGATCTTGCCGTCACGGCCAATTGGTGTATTCGTTCGCCGAAGATGTGAAAGTGTAGAAGCATATGTATAACGACTGAGCACTTGCGACACACCAGCCTTGGCGCTAGCTGCCTTTTTCTGCTCGCCCCAGTTACCAGTGGCGAGGGCATACTTCAGACCACCTGTCAAGGTGCTGGCCTTGATACCAATGTTTAGGTAAATTTCTCTGTTTGTTTCCACACAGCGCTGCACGTAGCGCTGAAGATCGCGTGTGACTCTAGTAAACAGGACACGGAAAAGGTTGGCGAGCAAAGGACCGGCAAGGTCGAGACGCTTCTTTCCGAAATGATCACGATCATCGACATCACGACGTCCAAGAGCGCACTGAAGAAGTCTATGCACCATGTAGCCCAGGAAAAACGCCTTGCGGGTCTCGCTGCCCTCGCTTTGAGAAATGTGAGGCAGCAGCTCCTTTTGCATAATCTCACGGGCATATCTCACACGGCGCTCGTGATTCATGCTGGACTGAGAAGAACCTCGCTTGGCGATAAAGTCCAGAGCAACCTCACGGTCCTGAATAACGAACCCTTCTTCAATACAGGGCTTCAACATCTCTAGCATGGGGGTATCATTTCGGTCGTAACAAATGTGGTTGAGAATATCTTCATCAGACACAACACCGAGCGCACGGAATACAACGACAATCGGAATGTCGGTCTTGACATATGGGAGAGTCGATCTAATGGTAGGACCAAAACCGCCCTTGGCACTATCACCCCTCGCAAACAGCTTAAGGGCCAATTGCGAAAGCAACCTTGAGCCCTTCTCAACAGCACTGCGGATCTCGGCCACATAGGGCGTTGGACTCGGGGGAGCTTTCTTGAAGACCTGGACCGTGTTTCCTGCACTGCGCTCCTGGGCAATCAAGACCTTTTCGCTTCCGTTGATGATGAAATAACCACCAGAGTCGTACGGGCATTCGTTCCAGTTGTAAAGGGCCTGCTCACTCAAGTCTTTGAGGATACAGTACTTGGACTTGAGCATGATGGGCATCTTTCCAATGAAGACAGTTTCCTCTTTGGCCTGGTCAGCGGGCAACTCCTTTTGCTCCCATGAAAGATAAGTTCCCTGCGCCTTTCGGTCTTCGTTCGAATCCATCATATCGTCTTCATCGCGATCAGCAACAAGACGCTCTCGTCCCTCCATGATTCTCTTTGTGATACCGAGATACAGGGGGCTGGCGTATGTAAGATTGCGTAGACGAGCCTCCTGCGGCAACATGATTGTAGTTGCTCCATCACCTTCAGTGACAGAGGGCCGAGATAGCATGACGGTTCCGAATTTGAGTTCGTATCGGCGGACAACGACGGGGTCGATTTCGTCTTCGGCAGGAGGAAGGGTTTGATCGAGGGTCACCTGGCCCTGCTCCTCCACCAGCTCCTGCATGGTCGACGAGATGAATTCATCGAAGGAATCCAGCTGCTGCGAGACCAGACCCTTGGTGTCAAAGAAAGAGGAGATCACGGTCCAACAATCCTCGGACGTAATCCCCTCATCCATATCATCGTAATACTCCTCATCGTAGGCATCGCCATAGTCAGCCATCTTGATGGTTACCGATTGGAAGATACTCGAGCGACAAACGGAAAGTCGAAGAGCGCAAAGGGCGCGACGCGCTCGGCGACAGAAATGGAACTGCTGGTCGTCCGGCTGCGAATGAAAGACCGAGCACCTCTAGCCAGAATTCCGAAGAACAAAGATTATCAGAGTCTGGGCAAGGCGGGAACCTCAGGTTGATGCGAAGAGATATCCCAGCCTGACAGAAGATGCTGGAGGAACACAAGAGATGCTGAATGTCTTCACTCTCAAGTCTCCGTCCATTCACTCAAGCCGCCACTAGCGGCCTTTGATGACTTGAGGAGGCAGGCGGTGAGAGGTGAAAGAAAGTGAAAATAAGTTTAGTCACGTGGAGAGACAAATTAACTATGCCTCAGGCATCCTTTTTGTTGCTATGGTGTATTTGCATTTCTTTTCAAAATCCCACATATCTCACAAGACATGAGCTATAGCAAAGGATATCAGGCGATCTTTGAATAGAGTCGCTTTCCGACCCTGTCTATCCAGTACTGATAAGGCATGAAGTGTATCAGGCGACATTACAGAGGATCGCCATCTCCGATGCAAACCAAGTTTTCAAGGCGAATGCCGGACGACAAGTCCGGTGGAAGAACTGTCATCATAATTTGAATTGTCCCTTGAGAAAGCTGATATGTCCATTATCCGTCGTATCTGTAGCTTTACTGGACGGTGGCATGAGGGATTCCGCAAGTTTGGATAGACGGACATTCGAGTGGTATAATAGGTGTTTATGAGATTGGAGGGGTCTCTTAATCGTGAATAATATACACATCGTGGTTATAATACATTTATATACTAGAACGGCTCCGATATCAGTACTTGTGACCTCGCTGTCCAGACAGGGAGAAGATTCACTTACCAGTCGAATCCCTTAGGCTATGGTCATGTCCCCTGGTCCAAATTCGACTGCCCTGCGCTTGATATTTGTGAGCCTATACTCGGGGAGACTTTCTGTATCTTTCGGTATTCCTCTTCAAGCGCCTTCTGCATCGCAAAGTCCGCCTGTCGTTCTAATCGAATGCGCTGTTTCTCCATATCTCGCTCAACTCCTTTATGCATAGACTAGTAAGCACAGCTCATCAGTTTAAAGATTTCTAGCGAAGCAAGCTGGAGTTTCTAACATACCATTTTTTCCTGCTCTTGAGCCCAATGGACAAAACAGACAATACCAGCAGTAGCTAAGCCGGTGGCAGCCAGTGTCAACTTCGAAGCTCGGGACATATTGCAATTGAATTAGTGCGCCGAGTGAGCAAGGAGTGAAGGGGACAATCAAGCAGGCTAAACTGTCATGTCGAGGAAGCATCTATCTGGTGATGGCGGTGAGGCGGGCAGAACCTCGACCGCCCAGGGGAACAGCCATCCGTATTGCGGAGATGGCGTAGACGCCGCATCAGAAGCATCATTCGTCCTTTCTGAGCTTCACGCTTTTGCCTTGTCATATTTACTCTTGGGACTTTGATACAACAAGGATCTGGGATAATTAATTTGTCAACATGGTCAGTTCTTGATTCCGGTCACAACTGACCCTGGTTATGCTAACGCTCTTATAGTCCGCTCAGAACTCCGCAGGCATTCAGACCCTTCTCGATGTTAGTCAAACTGAGTTGGTAGAGACTCTAAATGCACAAGTTGACTTGTATTGTCTAGGCCGAGAGGGAGGCTCAAAAGATTGTCCAGCAAGGTACGTTACCTTTATGATCCCCGCAGCTTCGAGCTATTGCTGACGTGTCGCATTGTATAGCTAGAGAATGTATGGGATAGCCTTCACTTATCATATCCACGACTTATTAACGCCGTTAACAGACCGTACGAAGCGGATAAGGGACGCCAAGTCAGAGGCGCAGAAGGAAATCGAAGAATACAGGAAGCAGAAGGAGGAAGAATTCAAGAAGTTTGAGGGAGAGGTGAGACTTGCCTATCTTTCGCAGCAAGCTGTGGTGGTATTTGTGTCTGGGAGCCCTAATGGCTAATGTTACGATTCCTTATCAGCACTCGAGCGGTTACAAGAAGGCCGAGGACGAGGCGAACAAGGAAGCTGAAGTGAAGATTGAGGAGATCAAGAAGGCTGGGAAGGAAAAGGGTCCGAAGGTCGTCGAGAAGCTGATCCACGCGCTAACTGATGTGACCCCCGAGCCATCGACGAAGATTGTTACCAAGGCATAGAAAGACAGGGCGTGAACTGGTTTCGTCCGCCGTTATGAACAAGTCGATTTTTTTTGTTCTTTAGAGCCTGTGAATATAGTACCATTCTACAGTTTTGATACTGTATACCCTGGATGATTGTTTCCTCTACAAACTATCCTGGTTCCGCAGTTTATGGTGAGCTCCATTTGCTGCCTGAGCGTTGCGAGGCGAGGACGAATGATAAGCCAATGATAACCAAGAAACCTTTGGTCTCAGTCCTTTATGCGTCCTAAACTTGTCTGGAACTTGCTAGGTAGTAGGTACTCTGTGAACAGATGTTGTCACATGCAAGGCGAGGTTTCTAGAAACTGTTCGCCTCAGGCACCAACTACGCCATTGCGTCACTGTGTTTGATGTCGTCTGGATGAGCTTCAGCATCCGACGATTATCCTACATCTGTTCTTGAGGGCAGACTTGAGATATGGGGATCGTACTTGGCAGCTCGTTTGCGAGAAATACCAGAAATCTCACTTCTCCCCTATATCAATCTCGGTTCCTTTGCCCAAATTGTTTCGTGCGACACTTCCGCTCCTCGCGCAGGAACAATTCACGCGTATCTGCCGACCCGCGTCTGGAGGATTTTGGCAAAGTGATCAGAGACGAGTACGCTGTAGTTAGAGAGCACTATGGTCAGTCAAGGATTCCTTCTAATCAAGACCTATAATTGACCAACTCCGCGGACAGATACTCCGAAGCATCCCATCATCCTCGCACATGGGTTGCTCGGATTTGCCGAACTGCGACTCGCCGGGCCCTTGCTTCCTGGAGTCCAGTACTGGCGTGGCATCAAAGAAGCTTTGTCGATGAAAGGCATTGAGGTTCATACTGCGACTGTGCCTCCCTCGGCTTCGATTGAAATGCGGGCTGAGGTTTTGGAAAAAACTATTGCAGCTACCGCTCGAGGGAAAGAGGTCAATATAGTCGCGTATGTTGATAAACTTCTGCCCCAGTTTCTAAAAGCTCTCTCTAACGCCGCGCAGTCATAGCATGGTATGTTGCCAAATCATCTTAGGACTCCCATATACTCATGGTGGCCTTAGGGGTGAGATAACATCACGAACTGCACAAAATGCTTTTTGCAATGTGTTAATCGCCTTGAAAGCGGACTTGACTCTCGGTATATGATCTCACGTCTAAACCCGAAGGACTTCAAAGTTCTATCTTTGACAACTATCGCAACTCCGCACCGAGGTCCGTGGCCGTCCGCGTCTTCGGCAGACTTTGCTGACTATCAACAGGCTCGGCAGTGGCTGACTATGTTTTAGGACAGATAGGCGGTGCGCTTGAATCACTGTGGGATCTTGTGTCGTTAGACTGATACGTTTCTCCCCCAGATGACCGGCTAACCCAGCTTTATTATCTCCTCGAGAAGATCCAGATTGAGTCGGGGGCATTCTCTCAGCTGACACGTGAGTATATGGAGAATACATTCAACCCTAACACGCCAGATGTCGGCGATGTCCGGTAGGTCTCCGCCCAGTGGTTCTCGGCCATAGGGCTGATATTGCAGATACTTTTCCTATGGGGCGGTAATGCAGCCAAGACTTTGGTCAGTTTTTCGCCTATCCCACCGGCTCCTTGACCAAGTAGAAGGCTACAATGATGGACTGGTTAGTGTAGCGAGCAGCAAGTGGGGAGGAGAAGACGGGTACAAGGGTACACTCATGGGCGTGAGTCACTTGGACCTCATCAATTGGAGCAACCGGCTGAAGTGGCTCGCGGGCGAGCTCACCGGGCAGAAACCAAAGTCAGGATCCTCGTTTAGCCTGCCAGCATGTCAACTTACACAAGGCTAATGTTTTATACATAGGTTCAATGCCGTTGCCTTCTACTTGGACATCGCTGGTACGTGTCAATTCTGCTTGCGTCATCCTGCGCGCTTCGCGAGCAAGGCTAATCCGCAGTTCCCCCAGACATGCTTGCCAAGGAAGGTCTCTGAAGAAGGGTTGTAAATAGAGCTTGTAGACTTAGAAATTAAGAATCTTGATGCCTAGAAGCCCCACCGGGGTTTTCTTCGGCTAGGTACATATCCGGTTTAAGGCGGCGCCAACGGAATGCATTTGAACGACATCATACTTTCTCCAATTCGCCCTTGTCTCAGTACTCATGTGGTCGAGCACTTCCTGAAGGGGTGACTGGCCAAACGAGAATGCGATCAAAGGTGGCGGTGCATCGCGAAGCGTCAAGTGGCTTAGCCCCAGGTTCCGAATCCATCATTGGACTCGCTGGAAGGCAGCCAGAATACTCAGGAGGTCGGTATCTCGTGGAGCTGTATTAAATGGTGATGGAATGCACTTTCCAGGGTTGAAATATAGCAACGTGGAAACCGAGAATCTGTCAATTGCTGTTCCTCTTCTCGGTTCCTTTTCTCGGGCAGAGTCCCTCTGATCGCCTCCCGAAAACGCCGAGCGCTTTCTGCCCCACGGCTTCCTTTCTGTTCCTCAGCCTTAACGTCATTTTCATCTCTCCGTATATTCTCTGTAGTTCGTTCCCAAATTACCGTCCGATTTTCTTCTTCCGCTGCTTCCGTGTACTCCAGACCTCTCGTAGCACAGTATCTGGAGCTTCCGAGAGTTAGCCAGCAGCTTGTGGCTTGGGGGAAAAGACCGCATCGGCCATCTTCCTGTCCCCCACGGCTTCCCCGAATAATCCGGAGAAGTGCCCGTCATGTCTGTGACCATCCACCTGGACCGACCGCATGCACATTTTACCAACCTCGACTTCATTTCTGGAAAGGTGATCCTCAATCTACCTTCGGAAACCTCAGTAGCGGGTATTCAAGTCAAATTAGAGGCAGAGAGTCGCACACGCCTCTCTGGGCCTCGATACCCACATAATGAGCACTCTGATAAAAAGCGCACCGAGCTTGAGGTCCACAAGGTACGTTTCCTCCTTGATTTTGCTTACGGCGAGAAAAATATGTTGACTTTTTGGATACAGCTCCTGTACAAAGTGATGGATTTGTTTCCTGACCCAACTCTGGTCAGCAATCAATCAAACCCTACTACTTCATGGACATTTCCTCCCGGGATATCTGAGTACCCCTTCCAATTCAAGGTATTCACCTTTCTCTCCGTTCTGCCCTGTTCATAGGCTAATATATCTCCAGTTTCCGTTCAATAATACATGCAATCTACACAATAGCATCTCCACGAACCTCAGTATTACCGGTCTCAAAGTCGAAATGGCCAAGCAGGCCAATAGGCATGTCAAGAAGACTCTTCCCCCGTCTCTATCTGGCTTTCCTAGAATGGCCGAGATCAAGTACTATGTCAAGGCTACCGTTGTTCGCCCACAGTTCTATAAAGAAAATCTAAGAGCAGTAGGTAGAGCCTTGCCCTCAGTCTGAATCCTGGTTCCTGACTATGCTCTTCCCAGATTACCAACCTAACATTTCTTCCAATCGAGCCGCCGAGGACCGGTAACCCAAAGGAAGAGACGTACGCAAGACGCCAACATCAGTTCCATAGCGGGCCAACCCCATCACCCAAAAGCCTGTTTCACAAAGTTTCTGCCCCTTCGTTGAAGGATTCTGCTAGTAGCTCTCTTCGTGTTTCCGCCGACCTCCGATTACCAAACCCGTCTATTCTCACCTGCAATGAACCCGTGCCTATGCGTGTGCTTGTTAGAAAGCTGTCTGAATCGTACGAGACGCTTTTTCTGCAGATGCTGCAGGTTGAGTTGATTTGCTACACCCGGATTCAGGCCCATGATTTGCAACGGACAGAGAGCACCACCTGGCTTATTTTCAGCCGTAGCAACATGGGGGTACCTCTTGGCAGAGGAGGTGATCCTGCAGGTACCGAGTGGATGCTTGATGATAACATGTGGAATCATTTGCCTATACCTCCATCGGTTTCGCCCTCTTTCCAGACTTGCAATATTTCGAGGAACTATGAGCTTGAAGTGCGGGTCGGTTTGGCTCACGGTACGGTGGGAAATATGAAAGTATGTGTTCACTCCAATGGTATTTTTGGTGGAATAGAGCTAATTCAGCCCACAGCCTCAGCTCATCATTATTCCCTTGAGGGTGCCTGTACGGGTCTACTCGGGAATTACTCCTCCAGTCGCACTACTGGAGGCCATGGCTGCTAAACCGCAAATCAAGCCGAAGGCCCCGGTTCATACCCCCAGTTGGCCGCGTGAGGGCGAGGACGATACTGATCGCCCCCCAATGCCCCCAAGACCACAGGCCCCTCCTACCATGAATCCTGATGAAGCCTTTGACGATGCTCCTCCAAGTTATGAGGACGCGATGGCTGAATCCCTCAGTCCAGTGGATGGCCCTCGTCGCGAGTATTACCCACCAGAAGCCTCGTCCACTAGGTCTTCCAATGAATCAGGAGCTGATCCGAGGACTTCAGCCGGGAATAACCCCAAGTCGACTTCCATGCTTTACAGCAATCAGTCGGCCAATTCGTCGTCGGAATCTTTCGATATGCTCCCATCGACTCCGCCAGAATCCCGGTCCGGATCACCCGTCGGGTCCCTTGTCGCCCGCCAACAAAGTGTACTCAAAATCCACAAACACCCATTTCCGCAGGAAGAGAGTCCCCCGCAATATCAACTTGTCGCTGAAGATCAATCTTCATCCCATGCGCAGGAGACACGAAGACCATCCCGGCCTATGAATCTTGGAGTACCGAACCGAAAGCCAGTGCCTAGTCCAAGCCGGGCCAACGGTCACTCAGAGCCGAGAACCGGGTATCAATGACCTATTCGTCCTATCTCACAAGTCAGAGCAAGAAGCGCGCTATACTCTGCTTGATGGGATTATTACAAAATTGCATAGATTAGGAGTTATTGGATTTTCGCAGGGGCATTTTACTTTATCATCCAGCGCGCCACCTGATACCAGTCTATTTCCAGCCGATTATGGTTGTTCTAATAATTATTGGCCAATCTGAATTCTTCAAATGCCGTTCTGCCAGTCGCATAGTCAACTTTTCTCCTCGTCTTGAGGCTGGGTCAACCAGTGCAATGTGACAAGGTGTGTAGTTGGTCACTTTCAGATAGTCAAGAGGCCCATTTTTGTGGATCAACTTTCAAGCAAGCAAACATTTGCCCTGTACTAGTGTACAACGACACTCTCGGTCGTTGATTGGCCCTGGTTGGAAAGATCCTCAAGGAACCGTTCTTGGGATATCTTGCGTCCGTAGTACAGGTCATGCGCATTATGATGCACCGGACTCGACAATTCTACACTGCCGTGACAGTGACAGGTCGAAGTTTGAATATAATTGTTTCGCTACTCGTGAGCTATGGCTGAGAGGCTATTAATATCGGCTCTTCATCTATAAAGCAACATATATATACTTGTCGAATATACCACCAGCTCACCATACAATCTACCTACCCAGCCCAGCAGTTGACAGATTAGTCGACGCAAAATTACCGCAGGCAAACAGTCTGTGAAAGAGACCTGCAGCTGCTTGAGGAAGGCGCCAAAGACTGGAAAAAGAAAGAAAGTTTGAGGACCACCGTGGGGTTGCCTCAAACGGCGCCGATCAAAACAATGTGAGCGGTGAAGAACCTTCATCACGAAGAGAAGCGCCTTCGGCGCTTTTCTCAACCTTCGCAACCTCGTGCCTCTTACATACTCACATACTCTCCATGATTATGCGTGCTGTTTCCGATTCTTAGCGATCGCTTTAGCGGGCCGGTTTTCTGCATTCTAGATTTGGCGTTGCTCTGCTTTCCTCCGTCGTGATTTCCCTCGAAGATCTGTTACTGTTCGCCTCCACCGAAAAAATCCCAATTATTCCGCGACAACTACATGGGCCGTCAACTCTCCTGAACCTCCAAGCTGTGTCGGTCTCACTGCTAGACTAGAAACGTCGGCACTGCATCATTTCACATTCCAAGCATGCGGCTCCACCTCACCATCCAGCGTCACGGCCTGCCCGTGACGCGCATTCTCTGGACGACGTCACCCCCGTCGCTATTCGGACATAATCATGCGAGCTCCTCGTCCATGATCCCTGCTACGTCCTCTGCTGTCACGTCGTCGCGCGTTCCCAATGCGTTATATGCAAATGGAGGATACACGGTTGCGCATTTACTGGAGGATGTGAACGAAGTCATTCCGCTCGAAACCGAACCCCGACTATTCGAGGATGAATCAAGTGGACAGTGGGGCTTGGAAGACTATGTGGTCGAAGTGGGCGGCTCAGAGTGTTTGCATTTTATGGAGGTGGATGGCTTGTTGAGGGAAGGTGATGAGGTCTTGATACGGGCACTACAAATATCGGATCTGAGAGCGCGTCGCCTCTCTGGCAGACACCAGATCTCAATGGATGGGAAACATCTTATCGATGGGGTGCCGTTTGGGAAGCCGTTCCTCAAAAGGCCTACGTCGTCGCGGCCGGCTATCACGATTCCGCCGAGGAAGAAGAGACGCACCGCTCTTTCGATTTGGGGCAGCGGAAGTAGCTACGAAGAGGAGGATACCGAGTGGGCACCGCCTCAGCAAATATCGACGGGAAAAGAGCTATCCCTGCTCAATCCTGCCAGTGGGCTCGAGAAGGAGGACGATGACGATGACGAGTACGAGGATGCTTACCGGGATGATTATGAGGATTACCACGAGCCGAACGAAGATGGCGACGGGACTGTTATTCGGCACAACATCGACAGAACACTAGAAGGTGCGGAAGATGATCATCAGGGGTCCGACGGCGTGGTCGAAGATCTCAGCCAGGAATTGCAGGATCTCAAAAAAGACATGGAGGCACCGTTGGTACCAAAGGAGGGAAATGCTACCAAGAGGGAAAAGTCTCGCAGTCAGTCATTGCGCTCACGTCTAAGTACACTGCAAGCCGTTCCGAGAAAGAGCTCTCTTTCGCGTCCCTCTATGAGAAGATCATCTGACGCTTCACGGAGGGACTCCAAAAGTGTCACATTTGATCAACAGAAACAGGACTCACCAAAGGTCAACGTAGAAACAGCGCTTGCTAGGGCTGGGTCCACCTCGGAGGAGCCTGAAGATGTTATGTCTAGTGAGAGTGATAGCAGCAGCTCCGCGAGTGATTCCGTCGTGTCGGAATCAAGTGACGAGGAGGAGGAGGAGGAGGAGGAGATAGACTTGTCTTCAGCCTCGTCTTCGGTATCAGAAGCCGCATCAGAATCATCATCCGAGTCAGACTCTGATTCTTCATCCGAGAGTTCGCCATCTGAATCTGAATCCGAATCAGAGGCAGAATCCGAAGCTGATTCGGGAAAAGAAGATGTCGCCGACACTAGCAATATCCTGAAACCAACCCACAACATGAATCCGCCTGGTGCAGGATCACTACGAACTCGAAAGTCTAATCAACGGTGCAAATTACGGCGAAGGCTCACGAAACTCAAGGAATTGGGCATACTTGATAAAGCAGCCGATTTTGCCGCTCTTCGACAGTGGGAGGCTGAACACGGTGACTCCTTTTATGTACCTGGAGCAGTCATCGATCTCAAAGCGAAGGCGCAGGAGGAGTTTGAGGCAAAACGCCAGAAGCTACTCCTTGACCTGGAGTCAGGCGGTGTCGATATAACCCCCTACTCCGAAAAGGAGAATGTCACCCCGACGCCCGTTGAGCACGATGTGTCAGAGTTACCTGAAGACCATGATGAACAATATGAGACTGCAAATGACACCAACGAGGCTAGCCCGGAGGTGCCCCAGCGCCGGACATTGGATGTCGCTAGCACGCGGCGGCTCCTTTTCGGCTCCCTTGGCGTTAGGGCTCCTCGCTCTAAGGAGGAAGAAGAGGCCACTCGAAGGAAGCTGGCGGGAAAGGCTCAGAAATTCATTCCTCAAAAGACAACACAAAATGTCCCTGAAGACCATGAAACTGAGTCTGAAGTGGACTGGCGTGAGAAGTTAATACTTGGGGCTACTGAGTGTTTTTACGACGACATTGAACTGAGTACTCCGCCATTTCCGTTTGAACAGCGGTGGGACCCAGAAGCAACAGAGCTCATCAGACAACGAAAGCAAAGGGGAAAGAAAAGGAAAAGGAGGCAACAGGTCCAGGAATATGATGAGGAAGAGAATACTGGATATGACTATTATGGCGAGGAAGACACGCAGCTGAACTACGACGACTCTGAGTTCCCTGAGGCTCAGATCGATGACAAAGTCGAAAGTGAGCAGGCAGCTTTCAAGTCGGTCGAAAGCACCATAGACGATCTCCCAGCGCTACCAAGTGATACTAGTGGTCTGGCGGGTGTCACTGCACAGGAGATGAAACCAGGTCTTGTATTCGCCTTCAAGCAGCTCGACGTGTCAAGAGCTACAAACTGGCAGCCTACTGTATCTGAGTTTCGAGTTGCAGTTGTCACCGACGTCTTCGACAACAACATACTCGGTATTCGACTTGCAAAACCATACCGAAGGGAGCCCAAAACCGACGATGATGAGGGTCCGTTCCAGTACAGTGGCTTCGAGATGCCCGGCATGGACGACGAAGAGGGGGAGGATGACGGATTCCGTGAGGTGCCATTCGACGACCTCATCGACCCGAAGCTGCTCCGCGCTGCGCCGACTGCAGATGCTGGAGATCAAGATACCGCCAGCATGTCAGTGAAATAAATTTCCCTTTTATTCCTCGATTTGTCTGGCGGCCAAACACTTACCCGACCAAGACTTCCTGCAGGCGAAGAACCACCTGCGCCAGAGCCGAGTCAGTCTGCGGTCGATGATGCCGTCCTAGTTTCTGAACACGGGGAAGACCAGTTGGCAGCAATCAGCAGCCAGAAACCGTCTTCTCCTATAATTGACCGTATTTCCACTTCTAATTTTGTCACGCACCCCGATAGCCCTGTTCAATCACCACGATTTGAAGGATTCGAGCCTGCTAGTTCGCCTCCAAGCTCTCCCGCGAGCGGTCCCTCTTTAGCAGCGAGTTCAAACAAAAGGCACGATGAGGATGAGGAACAAAGGGCTCCTTCAACACCTAAAGAAAAGCATGGGAATGAGCAGTCTGAGCTGCCCTCGACTTGCCCTCCCAATGCAGATGATCACGATCAGCAAGAATCAGGCTTGACTGATCAACTCCAACCGATCAGCACCCCCAGCGACATGGGCTCCTTCAACCGGGTACTGGACTATTTGGCCAGCCAAGATCCATCTTCTCCGATAGGAAACTCTGTCAAAAGTGAAAGGAAAGGGAGTCCTTACAAGCCGTCCCCGGAAATCAGCTCTCCAACGGTACCTACTCCATTCTACGATGTCGACAAACTCGAGGAGCGTCGCCGGCTTGCTCGCATCGACCGCAAAAATGGGCGTGCATCGAGTAAGCGGCAGCCACTCAAGGTCGAAGTTCCCTCATCCCCAGAATTCGCGCGCAAATCCTCTCGCAAATCCTCCCCTTCTACGCAGGATCCATCATTGGCTAGTGTGGTCCCAGATAGCGTTCAGCCGCCGGCGAGGAACGAGTCTCCGCCAGTGTCACAGGTGTCCGAGCATTTCATTGATTTGACCCAGTCCAGCCCTCCCGTATCTCCCGCCGGGAGCGACAAGGACTATGCAAAGACTCACCCGCTTCCGCGAGGGCCAGGCTGGGTGTCAAAGAACTTTCCGCGCAGGCAGACCAGACAGTCGTCTCAATCGAGTAGGATAGTCCAAACATTGAATACAGGGAGCATCAGCCCGCCCCGACGAAGGTGAAGGCGAAAGTCATGATATTGAAATGTACGACTAGTGTATATCAGCTGCTACTGCTACGTGTGAATATATTTTCTTGCTTGATTCAAGGTGATTGTTGGAGTCATGTGATGGCACAGATGGTGTTGTTAGAAAAGAGTGGTCGTTGATTGGCGGAGAACTCGGGAGAGCTGCATAACAATGTCGTCATTTCTCCAGATCTGAACAGCTCAAGTCAGATCCTGAGGTTGACATGACGCATTGAAGACTGTGAATGTGAAGGAGCAATTCAGGTTATCCAGAAGCTGTCGCTGCTGGTCGGCGAAAGTCCTCCTGTTAAATGACCTCCTAACCACCGTCTCCCAAATGCTGTTGTGACTGAGCTTTTTCCTTGCATACCCCAATTTCCTCTCCCAATCGTCGCGACCTATGCATGTGCCCCTCTTCCCTCTCTCTCTCCCCTCCCGCCAGAAACTCATCCGTTGGCCTCGTTCTTTCTGTCCGTCAGCGCTATTTTCGACCACTCGCCTTTCCCGCCCATCCTTAGTCACCCACTGTCGGTGTGGTTGTCGCAATTCCTCCCCCTGTTCCTGTTCCTGCTGCATACATCCCTCCTCCACCGCTTCTTCGTCCCAGTCTCGACCGCTGGTGACCTCGCTATCATCTTCTCCCTCATCCCAAGTATATCATACACGCGCTCAGATTAGACCTTTCTCATCAACGAGGCCCTCTACATTCTCTCGCACTCCCGCGGCAATGGCCAAGGAATATAAGCTCAAAGATATCACGTCCCTGTCGGGCATCAAAGACTTCGACAAACTCGAGGCCGAGGTGGAGGGTGTGCAGGATGGAAAGGTCTTGCTTGTCAAGTACGACGACAAGGTTCATGCAATTAGCCCTAAGTGCACCCACTATGGCGCGCCCTTAAAGCTCGGAGTGGTTTCTCCAGAAGGCAGGATAACTTGCCCATGGCACGGAGGTAAGCAGCTCTCCAAGGAAGAGAGTGTGTATGTGCCTACAGTATTCTAATGCGTCCTTAGCATGCTTCAACATCAAGAGTGGAGATATCGAAGATGCGCCTGCCCCTGCCGCGCTGAATACATTTGACCTGGTGGAGAAGGATGGCGCTGTTTACATCCGCGGTACAGAGTCCGCTATCAAGTCAGGCCAGAGGCTGTCAGAGCATAAATGCAGTGCTTCCGGCCCCGGAGGCTTGGTTATCGTTGGCGGGTAAGTGCTGGCAAAGCTTGTTCATATGCGCATAGCTGACGTTCTCGCTCAGTGGATCCGGTACCCTGGGTGTAGTGCTGGCCATTCGCGAACTGGGATACAATGGAGCCATTACGATAATTACTCGCGAGCCTAGCCTCATAATCGACCGCACCAAGCTGTCTAAAGCTCTTATTCCAGACCCAGAGAAGATCCAATGGCGCTCGCCTGAGTGGTACAGGGAAGTCGGCATTGAGACTGTCTCGGACGAGGTCACGGCCGTCGATTTCAGCCAGAAGACTGTTGTCACTCGCTCTGGCAAGACATTCCCTTACACCAAGCTCGTTCTGGCAACGGGTGGTGTACCGCGTAGCCTCCCAGTGGAGGGCTTTCAGCTTCTCGAAAACATCTTCAAGCTCCGCACAGTCACAGATGTGCAACACATCCTCAATGCAGTCGGCGAGGAGAAGAAGAAGAATATCATAATCATCGGCAGCTCATTCATTGGCATGGAAGTCGGCAACGCTTTGGCCAAGGACAATGAAGTCACAATCGTCGGCCAGGAACAAGCACCCCTCGAGCGCGTCATGGGCGCCCAAGTTGGCCGCATCTTCCAGCGCAACCTCGAAAAGTCCGGCGTCAAGTTCAACCTTTCTGCCGGCGTCGCAAAGGCAACGCCCTCCAACGAAGAAGCCCGCAAGGTCGGCGCCGTCCACCTTCAAGACGGCACCGTCCTCCCCGCCGACCTCGTCATCCTGGGTGTCGGCGTCCGCCCCGCAACCGACTTCCTCAGCGGTAACCCCGCTGTCACTCTAGAGAAAGACGGCTCCATCAAGACAGACGAACACTTCGCCGTCCCCAACCTCAACAACGACGTCTTCGCCATTGGCGACATCGCCACGTACCCCTACCACGGGCCCGGTACAGACCCAGAGAAGGGCACATACACCCGCATCGAGCACTGGAACGTCGCACAAAACGCTGGACGCAGCGTCGCATCAACAATTGTGCAGTCCCTCAACAATAAATCCTCTTCACTCCAGAACATCAAGCCCAAGGTTTTCATCCCCATATTCTGGTCCGCCCTGGGCTCACAGCTGCGGTACTGCGGGAATACGCCGAACGGGTGGGACGATCTGATTTTGCAGGGAGAGCCGGATGAGGGCAAGTTTGTGGCGTTTTATACCAAGGGCGATACGGTCGTTGCTGTTGCGACAATGGGCATGGATCCTGTTATGGCTAAGTGTGCGGAGTTGATGCGCAGGAAGAATATGCCGTCTAAGAAGGAGATTCAGGGGGGTGTGGATGTTTTGAGTGTTGATGTGCCAAAGGGGGTTAGGATTTAGATAGATGCTGGAAGATAGTTGTAATGTTGGGTTCGACTAATGAATATGACTTTGACGTTCTCATACTTTTTGCATGATCATACGACGTAGGAAGACGGTTTTGTGTAGTTCTGAAATTTTTGACGAAACCAATGGCTCTATGCACTGTACTAAAATGAACGAACTGCAGCGGTATTAAACAACAGTGAAGCATTTTTATCCAGGTAACGCCGAACATGGACATAAACATCAAGATGAACTAGAGAACAACATACCAGCATATATTCTATGTGCTGGCATCTCAATCTCAATGCATCTACCGCTGCTTCTTTCCCTTCCCCTTCCCCTTCACCGGCTTCTTACTCGGGCTATCAAGCTCGATATCAACAACCTCATTCTCGTCCTCCGGAGCGGCCAGACCCCCCGACATCGCCAAGATAGGAATCGTCGTCATCGTCGTCTTCCGCGCCGCACTCAGCGGGGCAATGATCCCGTTTTTCTCATCCTCGAGGACCTTGGCTTCCTCCTCGGGTGAGAGCATCGTCCCCTCTACGCTCAAGAATCCGCGATCCCGCTCGCTACCGGGGATGACGTCGATGTCGACGACGCGGAACTTCACGGTCCCGCGCACGCGGTGGCCCGAGATGGATTGGAAGTGGCCTTCAAGGGATTCGTCAGAAATGTCGAATGCGCCCTGTTGGTCCTGGGCGGTGACGTCGCCCTCTCCTTCTCCTTCTTCGCCTGTCGTTGGAGCGGTGGTGTCTAGCGAGTCATATGAGAAAGGATTTGCGTCTGAGGCGAGGGAGACTGGATTAAAGTGTTCCTTTTCAGGATCGAATGGTGAGGAGGTACTCTCTTCGTCGTCTTCGTCTGACGAGGTAGGTGCAGAGGATGTGGGTTTTGATGAATCCTGCATTTCATCCTCCTCTCCTGGTGGGATCCATTTCCAATTCGGTGGGAGGCGCTTGCGCTCGATACCCACGGAGAAGAGGTTCAGCAAGACTGCGCCGAGGAATCCCTCGGATTGAACGTTGACCCAGCCCTCGAGGAGCTGGCCGCGCTGCGGGCGGAAGACGAGGAATGTTGCGGTCAGGTAGACGTACATGACGCCGTACTCTCCGGCCGTGGCGGCGAGAGTTAGTGGTTGTGGGTTTAGGTCTGCCGGGGAGGATGTCGAGGATGCGGATGGAGGGTGGCTTGAGATCGACGCATTGGAGTAGGCGAGGATAATCCCCTGGAGAGGAGGGTAGTATGTGAGGAGGAGAGGAGAGAGGTGTTCTGCCAGGAGAGAAGCGAGCGCATGTGTAGGCGAGATGGAGATGGGCGAGAGTGGCAGGTATAGCGTTGCGGTGGTGAGGGAATATGGGGAGTCGGGAATCACTGAAGCGGACTCTTGTTGCGCTGGTTGCGTGATAGCGGAAGGTGTGCTCTTGCCTTTGCTCTTGGAGGACTTGTCCTTCTTCTTGCTCTTCTTCTCGGCGTCGTCGGCTTTTTCATGCTTGCGCTTCTTTTTTGAAGGAGAGGAGGTTTCGTCTTTGTGCTTGTGCTTGCGCTTGCGTTCCTTTTCTGACTCTAAAGGGCCCGTGGAGGCAGGATTGGAGTCGATCTCCATTTCGTCGACGGCCATTGTTCCCGAGGCGCAGTGTCAGAGTTGCTGGTTTCGTGAAGCTTTTTTTTTTCTTTTACCTTTTGTAATTCTTCGGCAGAGAAACAAGTCTGGAAGGCGGTGGGACAGGCGGGTGGACACAAACAGGACAAACAGCCGGCGGCATGCGATTAAAGACCGCGGCATCTCCAGAGGACATATCTCACCTGAGGCTTTGTTCAGGGGTAATTGCTTCTAGGCTGTATCGTCTGAAACCTCTCGAATACGATGATGAGAGAGTGAACCTCTCAACATCACCATGGCCATATTGTCGTTGATTGGTTGGTATACTCTTCCCAAGGTGAGCCCCCCCCCCCCGGTCCAAACACAACACTCACACGATAGTCAACAGTATGCGACGAATCTAGTCCTGTATGTCTACTACGGCCTCACTATTCGCGCCGGTGATCCAAAGCCCCAACCGGGCACGCCGCGATATAACCGGGACCGTCGGAGGATTTTCGTCGCAATCGTGACCACCTACCTCCTCTATAACCTCTTTGAGGTCTACCAGAAAATACAGACAGAGGGGGATTTCTACCAAGCCCTGGGAGTGTCTCCTTTGTCCGATGAAAGAGCAATCAAGACACGGTTTCGCCGGTTGGCTGCCCAGCACCACCCAGACAAGCTTGGTGCTGGGAGTTCGAGCGATTACTTTGTGTATTTGAAGCAAGCTCAGGATACGCTGACCGACCCGGTGAAGCGATATGCCTACAACATGTGGGGATCCAGGATCCTCGACTGGGGAAAGATTGACACGAAGCATGGCTATTTTCTAGCTGGGTTGATGAAGTCTGTACCCGGATATCTGGTCTCGTTCTGGATGCTCTTGCTCTTGAATTATACGTGGTGGTCTGACTGGGGTCGCTACGTAAGTTTCAACCCGGATACTGTGTGAGCATCGCTGACTGATTGTACAGTGGCGCTTCTTCACGTTTGCGGCTCTTTTCACGTTGAACCTAGTCTTGATTAGCCATCAGGGCCCCGTGTTCTTCTCGTCCACTGTCTTTCTGCTGCCCTGGCAGATAGTGAAGATGGCAGAGACTCTCTCACTAAGTCTACACATTTTCATCTCGCAAATTGCACCGCCGGGAGCAAAGGATGCGGGGTCACCCGATTGTCTAAACCCGCAGACAATACAACGACTCGGACAGCTCCTGCAGCTCAGCCGCGCAACGGATACTGAAGCGACACGGCTTCTTCAGCTCGGGTTCGCGCCGTTCCAAGGGGATCGCGAGAGCGTGGCAACCCTGCGAAAGGGCATGAAGGAGGGCTTAGTCCTGAGCAGTGTCCGTGCGAGTCCCGGGGTGCAGAAAGCTGTGAAGGAAGTAGTTGAGCGTAAGAAGCTAGAGAGAAAGGATAATTGAATAGTCGTAGCTGCCAGTCACATGTCTATATATAGCACTGTCGGTCAGTGTTGACTTCTTTCGTGTGCCTATACAGAAATTCCTCTTGAGAGTATTGTGATCATGGGAAACCGAGGAATCGGCGAGTAAAATAATCGAGGTTGCGCCGTAACCGTGCCTTAGCATGAAGATGCCATACCATCCTGCTCCTTGGGGAACAGAACGGGGTTGGGTCATTATGTCCGGTCCGGTATAGCTTACATGGTCTCATTCCAGTCAAGATTTAATATTATCGCGCATATTCTCATTCAATCCCTGCACTCTTGGAGGCGAGCGAGGGATCAAGCCAGCGTGGCGAGCCGATCGGGTGTTAATTCTTGGTTCATCGTTAGTATATTCCGTAGCGCAAGCAATTGCTGCTGATTGCAAATGGCCTCGTTAATTCGTTCCGAGTCCCGGGGGCGAAATGCCCAATGGCTCCGTCCGGATAATCACACCAACACTGACCAGCCACATGATGCGTGGTGGTGAAATGCAGGATGACCAGCCAGGGTATGTGTGATCTATCCAGCAGCGAAGATCAGGTGTGACAAAGTACAGTGCAGTCGAGCCCTCTGCATGTTGCCCTTTCTGGGGCTGAGCTTGCTTGGGACCGTAAACGGAGAAAACTCGACCTGCGCCAGTAGTGACGGAATCGGTGGAAACTGCCGATGGCTGCGAAATTTGTGTTCAGAAAATCAAACCTGGTTGAGGCGGGACTCGACTGGGCGATCCATTACTGGTGATAGGAGCGAATGCCTGAGAATGGCGAGATTACTTTTCAGTAGACTATGGCGACGCGTCGGAACCCACGACGTCGGACGGACGCGGATGCTCTCATTCAAAAGCCGAAGAAGACTTTTCCGTTCCCTAAAAAGGTGAAAGATTCAATGGGCGCGAAATAGGAGGCTGCTTCTCCGTGCTCCGTAAGAATCTGACAACATAAATAGGACGGTCCTTGGCAGTTATCCTCGTCTTTGGTACAGATTACGGGAGCAGGCTATGAACTTGAAAGATGAGATGTTTGGTTAATAACGGTACCGAGTTGATACCGTAATAAATGCTTTTTCTCCGTAGTCAAAGAGCACAGAGTATACTTCGGTACGCGTAATAACACAGATCGTAAGCAAAGCACAGATCAGTTTCCTGGACTCACCTCTTCTCTCCTGGACCGACCGAAAGTCTGCTGTTCCCTAGACGAGAGAGAGAAACACACACAACTCGCCCAACAATGAAACCACACGGCGCCTCGACATCCCCATCCCTTCCATCACCTCTCCGCCCTTCCCTTTCCCTCCTTTCTTCTTCCCCCATCCCCTTTCATCCCCCCTCTTCATCTTCATCGTCACCTTCACTATCCACATCTCACCCCCGGACTATGTCACCTCTGCCTCACGTTTGCCTTGACAAGCCTTTCCAAACTTTCGCCTCGCCCTGACTTCAGCTTCGCCGCCACGTTTGATTCTAAGCAACCCCCAAATCCCGGATCAATTTCACCTGGACACCTACTGCTCACCACATCGATCAACACCATCATCTAAATCGGACACTGCCACCTCATTGTCCTTTAGCTTCGAACGCCTTTTCTTCCTTTCCCTCCTAGTCGACCGGATCCTGCGACCGAAAGGACAAAGCGAGGGAAGGAAAAAAGAAATTACAGAATCCCAAGAAACCATCAACGGGATTGGCGTTTTCGTCGCGACCATCAGACGAAACCATGTCCTCGAACTCCCGCTCCAATGGTCGCTCTAATGGCACCGCAACCTCCAAGCTGGTCGTCGTCCTTAGGCTCTCATCAAGTCTTCTGAGAAAGTTCGCGCCTGTGCCAGACACAAAGGACAAGAGGAGGAAGAGCAGCACAGCGGCGGCCATCGCCAGCAACAAGACCACCGAAGCCGCTGGCTCCCCTCTCAAAAAGGAGGAGGTTCCCTCCTCGCCCTCATTATCCGCCGCGGACCCGGCACCCGCTGCGTCCTCCGTGGACACTGCATCCGATGCTGCTTCCACACCCGCCGCTGCTTCCTCAGCGGCCGATCGTCGAAAGGGTCTTCCCGGTCCAAAGCCTGGTGCGAAGAGAGGTCTCAACGCCACCCCAGACAGCAACCTCAAGCCGAGGGGGAAGCCCGGCCCTAAGAAGAGGCCTAGGCTGTAAGTCCACATCATTCTTCTTTCAGTTTTGTGCACTCTAGAGCTAACGTTTCTCTTATAGTGAGGATGGCACCGCGGAGAATGTTAGATTGAGCACTACCCATCGGTTGGGACCCAAAGCCAACACAGGCGCGATTAATGCCGGACTTCGTGCTCTAGATCGGACTGGCGCCCCATGCCGCAAGTGGGAGCGTAAGCCCTTGCAGCTCAAGAGCTTTACTGGAATACAATGGCAGCTACCTTCCTGGCGCGCGCCCCGGGGCCAGAAACAGGGAACGAACGGTGACACGAAAGAAGGTGTTCTCGAGACTGGTGACAGCGACAGCAGAGCCAACCAAAGCGCAAGCGGCGTTCCCAGTGAAAAGAGCAACTCTGGTGACGGAGACCTCACACCGGCTCCTCCCAGTATGGTCGAGGCATCGTCGCCTGCCCTCGCCATGGCCGCCTAGGCTGACATCTGACTAATCAGGCGTTTTTTCCCTCCTTCTTCTTGTATATTATTTCTTGATGTGTATTTCTTTTGGTGACTAAGGAGCGGATTGTTATCTCACGGTTGCTATCTCACGGTTGGCGTTGGTTCGGTTATTGGATGGTCACGCGAGCCTCTACTACAGCTACTATATTTCTCAATCCACGGGCATAATTCAACCGTTTGCTTTAAATTCTCTGGCCGAACCTCCGCTTGAACCTCCATCAAATCTCTTTCAACCCAATTTCAACCTCGTGCAGCTGCCCCCCTCCATTAAATCTCCCTTAAACCTTCATTGATCCCTCATAAAACCCTCATAAACCCTCAATCAAAGCTCCATTAAACCAGCATCCTTGCTCGATGTCGATGACAGGCCTGTTGGAACTATGGAACTGACATTAGATGGTAGTAGTATAAATAGGAAGGTGTCCGGGCGGTTCTTCTCGGAAGGTATATATAGAAGTCGGACCGGATTTGTATGGATTACCTCTCCTGCGCTTGGGCTCTTCTGGGATACTGTCAAAGCGATGCAGTATAAGATGGAGTAATACTAGCAGTATTAAGACTCATATAGGTAGGATGGATGGTAATCTCCGGACTGCATTTCCCCTCAACCGGCTATGCTGCCGTAAGTTGAGGCCTTGACCTTCCCCCGCAGTTTCTCGTTGTTGGTCATGCCATCAACAACTCACGCTGTCCTTTTGCATCTCTTTCCCCTTTTCTCCCTCGCCGTCGGTCAGTTTCTACGGCTACCACTAGTTCGTCGTGTTTATCTCTTTTGTCTCACGAGAGTCTCATTTTTACCTTCATTCCCGTTACACAAATAGTGATGTTTGCTCTCATCAGGAACGGGTTTCAGAGTTGCTTCAAGTTCCTATTGAGCAGCTGAACGGTCTTCGACTCCAATCATCTTATCATACTGCATACGGATAACCAAAGTATCTCCATTTTCTTTGGGTCACGGAGACAGTTTGCCTGTTACTCCACCTCCCCACCCCAATCATCGATAGCTTCCGGGACTGGACTACTCAAGATCGGGATCCAGAGAGAGAGGAATACGCTCGACTCCAGTAGCGTATAGAAGCTACAGGAGAAATAATAGAAGAGAAAGTTTGATGACCGTCCTGCGGGGTTGACTGGAGTTCTGACGTCCAGTCGAGACCTCGAGAGCGGCGCGTGAGAGGACGTCTTCCAAGAGTACCCGCCTTGAGCCTGTTCCTCCACTGAACGTCAACGCCAGAATGACCGATACACCTTTTTCCCCTTCCGGTGGAGCTCCTCGAGCTCCTAACACCACGACATATCCTGCACCGAGCATCTCTTCCGTTCCTCGTCGCTCCTCTTACGCCTCCGTTCTCTCAGGAACTCCCGCTACTACCTCGACCCAAGCCAACACTCCGTTCTCGCACTCGAACTCGGTTTCCACTTCATCTTATCCCCCACCCTTTCACCCCGAAGCTCGCCTGTCTAGGCACTCGACCGCCGTGGATGCAGATATGCAGATGAACTCCTCCTGGAGGTCTTCCTCCGGGGACTCGCTCCCTCCATATTCCAGAAAGTTTGCGAGCTTTCCGGCGTTTGATCCCTTTTTCCAAAGCCCTGGCAGCTTCTCCGATTCCTCCTTCACGCCCTCCTATCTCCGCAACTCCCGATACATCTCCCGCCTCGATGCTGCCCGCCGCGCAAAATCTGCTCCCCAACGCGATGGAGCTTCGGTTGCTTCAATCCAGGGAAGCGCACCGCGAATCGCGCCTTCATACCGCGGAATGACGTATGATATCATTGACAGGGAACCCGCCGGTGACGACGACAATCCGATGCCGCTTCCCTCTCGATGGAATGACTCGGATAAATATCAAGGCCTGGAGCTTCCGAATGAAGGGTTGGAGATTCGATATACCGGACCGGTCAACAAGCAGGAGCATGAAGCTGCGGCGGTGCGAGCAGATCATCCCATGCCGCCGCAATGTGGCATTTACTACTTTGAGATTACCATACATTCTAAACCTAAGGAAGGGTAAGCTGGATGACAAAATTTCTTTATGTCCTGCTATATGCTGATAGGAACAGGATGATTGGAATAGGATTCTCGAGTAGCAAAGCGTCAGTCGAGCGGCTTCCGGGCTGGGAACAGGAATCATGGGCATACCACGGCGATGACGGCAAATCGTTCTTTGGCGAGAGCCAAGGGCAAGGGCGACAATATGGGCCGACTTTTGGCGTCAATGATACTGTGGGATGCGGAGTAAACTTTTCGAGTGGCTGTGCCTTCTTCACAAAGAACGGTGTCTTTCTAGGTATGGGTTGCGTCTACAAAGGACAGACTATGGCGTTCTAACACCTCCAGGTAACGCGTTCCGGGAGCTGCGAAATCTGAAAGTTTATCCATCCGTGGGCATGAAGAAACAACCGCCGGTGCATTTATCCGTCAATTTCGGCAAACAACCATTTATGTTTGATATCGACGGCATGGTCAAGGTACGTAATGCGGGTGGGCTTGGTTATCAAGGTCTTCGGGACAACGGCTAATTCACCCAACAGAAAGAGAAAGCTGCCATTCATTCGGAAATCCGATTGACAAGCATCGCTAACATTCAACCCCCACTGGATGAATCTGCCTTCTTGCAGGAGTTGGTTGCGCAGTTTTTAGCCCATGATGGATACGTAGAGACTGCTCGAGCATTTGCTGAAGAAGTTGCGGCTGAGTCGGCAGCACTGGAGAATGGCCGCCAGGCGCAGCTGAAAAAGTACGAAGTCGAAGAGGATCTGGAAGCGATCAACCGACAAAGTATGAAACACCCATTGTTCATGTGGTATATCTTACTAATTGATCTCAGAAATTCGCGCGGCTATTCTCGAGGGCGATATTGATAAAGCTCTAAAGTATACTAACGCCTATTACGCCAACGTTCTACAGCAATACCCCCACATACACTTCAAACTACGGTGCCGAAAGTTTTTGGAGATGATGCGGCGTTCCACCGAGTTGTCGTCAGCAGCAAAGAAGGGAAAAGCTACCAACGGTCTCTCGGACAGCGCTGTTTTTGACGAAGAGATGGAGCTTGATGAACACATGCATGACCGCGACGGCTGGGAGGTTGATGGCATGGACATGGAAGAGAGCGAGACCGCAACCAAGTCCAACCAGCTGCTAACCGACGCAGTGCAATATGGGCAGCAACTTCGAATGGACTACCCAAACGACGAGAACGGAGGGGACAAGAAGATGCTAGATGACATTTTCTCGCTTGTGGCTTACCCGGATCCCAAGCGCTCGGTGCATGGTCACTATCTGGATCCAGCTGGACGCGTTGCTGTTGCGGAAGAATTAAACTCGGCGATTTTAGGTAATGGTCACTATCCTCGCTGACGGCTCATAACTAACGTGTGTAGTGTCACTTGGCAAGTCATCAGCAGCGGCTCTGGAGCGGCTGTATCAACAAACAGAAGTATTAGTCAACGAGATCAGTGAAGAGGGAGGCGCTGGGGCGTTTATCAATGTGCGCAATGACTTTCTACAATGAGTTCTCCTTCGAGTTGTTTTGCGGCGCGTCTGGATGGGATTGTGGTTCTATTTGTTGATATGGCATTCGCAGACTGGCATCTGAAGATTTGGCACTCTCACCTTGTGATTATTTTTACCTGTTGTATCCGTTACCCTACTAGTACCCGCCCGCCCTCTCCGTTCCCCTCCTCCGGTGAGGAGTTTCCCCAGATATATTTGAGTTTAAGGCCGGCTAATGTAGCACACTAGCCGGTAATATACTATATTTTGCATCACAGGTGGTGCCAGAAATCAGCGGATCATTGAAAAGCAGTGGCCATGTATCGTTGAGGAAGGCCACAGATGAGACCAGCCCTCGGCCTCCGCGAAACCCTGTCCATAGCTCGGGTCATTTTCTCTCATCACTGTTCTGCTGATGATATAAGACTGTGCATGGTCGGATATTCCTATGTCAGTATCTGTTAACTTCTACCTAACTAGGAGAATCGAACGTGGGCTGACGACCGAAGCTTCTCGTCATAGTAGGCATGGTATATAGTCAAAGTCTACAAGGTCTTAGTAATAATTGCCCGGATGGTCTAGTGGTAAGTCGCTACACAATGCAGCCGCCAGTCGCCTCAGCTTCTAATTCATTCATCAGGTATGATTCTCCGTTTGGGTCGGAGAGGTCCCGCGTTCAAACCGCGGTTCGGGCCTTTTTTTTTTCTCTTTTGCTGTTTTATTCACCCTGTGCGGTTAATGTGTGAAAGCTGGCATAGCCTTAATCCTTAATTAACTATCGCCCGGATGGTCTAGTGGTATGTCAATGTCCAGTTAACCCTCCAATTAGACTCAGTTTCTAACTTACAATTAGGTATGATTCTCCGTTTGGGTCGGAGAGGTCCCGCGTTCAAACCGCGGTTCGGGCCTTACATTTTTTTTAATTCCTTTATTCCCTCTACACGACTATCGTCGTCCTTTGGTTTTGCAATGTTCTTCTCGGCCAGCTGTGACGTTAGTACAGAATAGAGAGGTGAGTGAGATTCCTGATCTCAAACACGCAATAAACAGGCCTTTTCGCAATGGATAATACTATCGTCCATTGAGTGTGTTTAAAGATAAGTTACACCTTTGTCTTTTTCTCTGCCACCCTCTTCTCGCCCTCTTGATCAAAGGACGCCTATATTGACAGACATGGGTGGCACCGTCATGACCACAACAGCTGTAATCGACCGAAGTTCTCAACTAAAGATTGGAAACCACCCTTTCATACACGACTAACCCTAATCCTGAGACAGCAAACATTCCTGCTCTAGGTAAGGTTGCGTTATTTCCCCCTTCCCCCGGGTGTGGGCAACAAAACACGCAAAGCCTAGCTGATATTGTTGCGAGTGGTGGCTGGAACCTTGCCTATACGTAGTAGGCAGTAGAACTTATAGCGTGCTTTATCTCGATATGTCAACTCGTCAATATAGTTGATTATGTACGAAAGATCAGCACTGAGAAGATAGAGGGAATATGGAATGGATGGTGCCCGACTGGACTTGCTAGAGGTAACTCGGAATACATAGAATCGGTATACTATTCCGAGTTAGTGCAGTCTCTACCCTCAAGCACCATTCATAGCGATCATTAATCATACTAGGACCTCACCATACATCTCACTGGCAGTCCTCTTTTGTGTCACCGACTTATCGTCCTCGAGCAACTTTTGGGCCTCAATTAGGGCGGCAATTCGGCCAGCAATGCTGTGAGATCTTCGTTGAAGTAGATATCGGGTCTGCGTGGGTAACTAGTAATGTCAAATCCCTGCGTTTTCTGAAATGTGCTCCAGAGTCGACTAAGATGTGCACTACGGATGAACGGATAACCAGCTGGCAACCAGTCAGTTCTTAAGCCGGATTTGGCGCACTTGTGCACCGCTACCACGAATCTGGGTTTTGGATGGCCAGTCCACCTCGCCCGCACGGATCTCGTCTCCCCGCAGCCCTGGCATATGACTTCGAGTTCGGAAGGGAGTGCTCCAAGTTCTGTTGCGCGGAGTAGGAACCAAGCGTCGAATTGGTTGACATTCTTCTTTTTCAGAGCTTCCTTGCTAACTGGATGGTGCTTCAGACGGCCATCAAGAGGTACCAGTCTAACGTACTCGCTTGACAATCCGGGCGACCACAATTGGAGTTGAAATAGTACCAGATAATGTACCGATCAGGGTCGAATATTGACCAGTATGGAAAAGGGTCATCAAGGTGTTGCTTACCGCATCCAGAACATTTTCGCGCGACAGTATCATAGGGAGACGCTCGAAAAATAATCCTACTGTCAACAGAGGGCTTTCGCGAACGAGCAATCATCCATCCATACGCAGTTAGGACTGAAGCTGCCAGTGCAACTATATTAATGACCTGGGATTACCTTCACATTTCTGGAGGAGACAAAAAGCAAGTTCAAGGTCAGGCCGGCTTGATATTTCGCGCTTGTTGAATTTGAGGCCATTCAGCGATTGTATGAAGTTGTCCGATGGCCTAGGAAGATCTTCCCAATCCCAGCAATCCAGATCTTGTAACTCCTCCGGAAGCTGCTCTGAAAGAGTGGCTATAGCCTGTACGCCGTCTGTTTGTGCCTTGTGCAATGCAACGCAGGAGGGATAGGTGAACGCTGATAAAGGCATACGGAGTTCTTTCCAAAAGTCCGCTATCTTGCGCAACCGAGTGTTTCTCTAATAGAAATAAGCCAAGAAAAATACTAGAGTGAAGGGGGGCATACCAAGACTCTGCCATCCGTTAGATTAGGAATGCTAGCCGCCTCATTAATTTGTACCGACTTGATTAGGGTCAATACTTGGCGAAGGGCAGCCTGGTCTTCCCCTGTGACACGAAATCGATGAGATGTCTCTGCGGAAAGAATGGTGTCAGGGAAAGCCTTGCTCAATTGAATCACTGCCTGGCCTTTCCAGACGTTCCTTCTAGCGCTGATCTCGCGCGGCACACATAAGTTCTGGAGCAATCAAGAGTCTAGCTCATAAAAGCTTGGGCTGATATGGATGTCACATAATCGAGCAGCAACAACCAAAGCTTGGTCTTGCGGAGCTCCAAACCGCTGACGCCAAGCTCGAGCATTCTCACCATCACTTTTGACGTACATGAAACGCTGCGGGTGCGCCACAAAAATGACAAACCGGACGAGAGATGTCTTTCGAGGCGCAAGCTCTAAATACAGAACCATACCAGTAAAATCTCCCCAAAGACGAAGAGGCTCGAGACAAACCTTCTTCAACATGCGTTGCCGAACATTTGCACCCCAACAAACCTCAACCTTGGCCTTCATTGCTGCTCGGAGTGCAAACGTAAATTCTTAATGAATATCGAGCAAATCGTCGGGGTACACGTCTCTACAGTGTTTGCTAGCATCTCTTCGGGCAATATGATCAAAGATCAAACAGTTATTCTCGGTCGAAAAACCAGCACTCTTGAGCTGGACAAGCGAGAAATTGGAAAAGTCTTCGGTTTCCTGGCGGCTTGGATCGTCAACGCTGAACGTAGGGTTGTATAAGTGGCACGCAATGGGAGCGTCCAGCTCGCCACTGCGGCGAACCAAGTATTCTATTGGGCGAACGACACCTCGTTTGAGCCACAGGGCAACTTCTCTCTGTCGAAAACGCTCAAAAGCTTCATCAAGACTCCACTGGGACAAGGACTTTTGATCTGGTCACGGATTAGCTTTCAATGAATATATGCCTGGACGGGAAGAAAATACCTGCCTTTGGTCCTTTTCGCTCTGGCTTCCTCGATCTGTCGCACCTCGAAAGCTTGGATAAGCGCGAGGAGCTCCTCGTAGGAGCAATTCTTTGGCGGGCAGAGCTTGCTCAGGGTCCTGGAGCCACAAATTCCCGACAATGCGGATCATCCTGTGTGGTGTACGACTTCATGATCTCGCGCCTGCCTGACGCTTGATAGACCGATTGGCACGTAGTTCGCCTTCCTGTGTTGGCTGTATAGTGTACTACTGTACCACTCCCTTGGGCATGGAATACAACATAAGGCGGGGGAGGCCTACTGGCTGCTGCGAAGAGATAAAAGCAAAGCAAAGAGGCAAGGTGGACAATCATGTGACAACATTGCTTAGCATCAAGTCTATGTGTTGCTTGGACCCATCTTCGAGTAGTTAGTGATCACCTGACGTCCGTCTCCACCTGACGCCAGTTCCTGTCCAGCGTTAGTATTATTGGTTAGAGTCATGATTTTTGCCTTGAGGGATGCAGAGCCACTGCCCAGTCTATTTATGTATAGCGATGGTCGAAGAGAAGGGAATAATTCGTTTCGTCTCACTCAGCTTGGACTTCAACTCGAACTTGCCTTCGAACTGACATCACTTCCCCTCTTTTTCTTCTCTCTTTTTTCCAAGTCTTCTCCAACTCCAACCCACCCACAGCTTCGATGACCTGGTCTAGGTTCTTGCATCGGTACCTTACCAGCTCATCGCTCCACACGGGCGGTGTCACTGCCAACTCATCCACTTACGCCGGGTAGTCCACCTCCTGCATTCCTGCTCCAACGGTAGTTTGTCTCTCGTCAACTTTGGCGCTAGAGAGGACGAACTCCTTCAGCCATGGAATCCGAACCCTGGAATAGTAGCCCTGGCCCCGACAGGGCCAGCGCAAGTGCAACGACAGGCACGAGCCAGGTGGAAAGCTACATTCCAACGCACTCCTCATCCACCAGCCGGGAGGATCTCCACTGCTGCTGTGGCCGGAAGGAGTGCGCATACCTCCAAAACAACCATGTTGCGCTGGAGGGGCTCGAGAAGGATCTCGAGACCGCCGCGCGGTTAGGCCAGGTACGTTCCTTGGTATTAATGCATATGCTTATTTTCGGTTGTTTGGGTTGGTTGTCGGGCCGTCATCTGGTGCCACGACTGGTATTTATCATCCATTAACTATTGTTTACTCTCCTACATTTTTGTTGTTTTCTGTCATACGTACTTCCTGCACCTCAACATTGCTTGCTGAGGCTTGAATTCCTCTCGCTGTGGATTTCCCAGCACGGACGAAACCAAGGGAACGCGCGATTCCTAGTGTGTTCATTGCGATGGATACGAAATACCAGTCCCCGATTTTGTCCCGCTGTCTCGTTCGTTTCCTTGCTCTCTATCATCAGGGTCTGCAATGAGCTCGTCGTCGCTAACTTTTGCTCTCCAGGCTCTACTTCATCGCCATGAATCTTATATGGCCGAGGCGGAAGAGGACCGTCGCCGGTTATTTGCAAGCATCGACAACTTGGAGCGCGAGAAGCGCCAGGTCCAGGCTGAAAATGCTCGCATCGTCGAGGAAAATCGCAGCTTACTCGAGCAGCTAGACGGCCTAAACAAGGCCGTCGCGGACTCTGATGCCCATGCCAAAACACTAACCGCCGCGCTGGAGAGTAGCGAGGCGGAGCTGCGCAATCTGACTGCATCGGCGGCGCGCGCCGCCGATCTCGAGGCGCAGCTGGCTCATATGGAAGCGGAGCAGTCGAAACTGCAGGAAACGCTGCTGATGGCTCAGGAGGACTCCAAGTCGTCGATGCAGCGGTGGAAGAAGGCCGAGTGCACATTGCGAGACCTTCATGACCAGGTAGATCGCATTGAAAAGGAGGCTCGCGAGGAGCGCGAGCGGCACGCCGAATTAGTCCAGCGGATGGAGCGTCGGCGTGCGGTTGAACGAGAGCTTGAAGGCGCAGCAGGCCGACTCAAGGGAGCAGCGGCTGCTCAGAACCTGGGGCGGACGAATGGTACAAGCGGCGTGGTGTCGCGCTTTGTCAAGGACATACTCCAGGACAATGCTAATTTACAGATGGGGGTCATGGAGTTGCGGGAGATGCTTGAGAGCTCCAACCAAGAAGTACAGAATCTGCGCGATCAGATTCTATCGCACCAGCCTCTAGCTGCGGTTGAGAATGACCGACCAGCGACAACGTTGAGCCAGGAGCTGGAAACAAACGAGGCGAATCGGGTTTCACAAGAGTTCCATATCCACCATCACTACCATACCCCGACGGCTGCGAAAAAGGAGAAGGGCTCTCTTTTTCGTCGGTCCAAGAAGCGCCGCTCTCTGGGGAACCCGCCTCTGCATTCTGCTACAAGTATACAAACCTCCCGCAAGGTCAAGCATCGGTCTCAGCCTTCTACTTCATCTGCTTCCACAATACTGTCGCAAACGTCCGTCTCGATACCCCCAGCCTCGTCACAGCGTTGGACGCTGCAATCTCCCGTGCCGCCTGATTCCATGGCCAGCTCGCCTCAGTCGGCTTATCGGTCGTCTATTTCTATATTTGACCGCGTGGAGCGTGGCTTCGATTCGTCGCAGCCTACCAGCCCTGACAGTGCAGTCTTTACGTCGCCACTCCGGAATGGACGATACAAAATTGGCGGACCTCTGGATGCATACCGCACGTTGGATGGGACTGACGGCGGCCCTATGAGCGATGAAGAGATTAGCGAGCTCGCTGTGCAGGCAGCCATCCCAGAGGAGATTGAAGATGCCCTGCCGATTTCTCGAACTCAATCTCCTACCGGGGACGAGGACATATTCTTCACATCCTCGCCGTACGGGACAGTGCGCAGATCTACCTCCCACGAGAGCCTGTTCTCAGTTGCGGGCATGGACATCCACACGCTCAGCCATCGCCCATCCCGCATGAGCGAGCTTACATCTGGCGCTCTCCCAATCAGTGTCCAGCGTCGAATCTTGTCATCCGACCTCTCCTCTACGCTGACTTCAACCACGACTGTCACCGCTGGCCGAGAGCCCGCGAGACCTTCGCACAAGTCACCCCAGTCCATTCTCGCTTCCGTCGCAGCCACTCACGCTGCTTCACAGCAACAAACTGATAACAACCCGACCCCTTCATCCTCACCCCTGGACGACTCCGCCCTCACACCAACCCGCATTCTCACCCTCGGCAGCCGTGTCGGCGGCTGGGTTCGTGGCCGCTGGGGTACTGCCCCAGTCGCCTCCCGCAGCAGCCTCAAGCCGCTCACGGAGGAACCTTCGCCAGCGCAATCCTCCGCTTCGTCAACAGTCTCATCTGAGCGGACATCCGTTTTATCCTCTTCAGCGCCAGCGAAGCGACCTCCCATGAGATTCAGATACCCAGGCGTGAACCAAAAGGGTCCGATTATGGGATTTCGGCCGCCGCCTCCACCGCCTGTCTCTATTCATGCTGAGCAATTGAATGAGGGCCTGCTGAGGGAGAGTCTCGCTGAGTGATTCTCACGTACACATTCCATCTTCATATCCTATTCTCTTGCTATATGCTTTACTCTCTTTATATACCTCCCGTCCATTGTCACGGATCGGTTGCTTTATTATTCGCCTAATTGCTTGCATTGCATTGCGCCGCGTTGCATATCTGGATTGCATTGGACTGGAACGGACCCTCATTTGGTTTTTGTTCGGTGACCCGGTTGCTTGGTGTTCTTCGCTTCATTCATAGATTACGATACCCACGCCACACGCCGCATTCTTTTGTATCTCCTTCTCATTCCATTCACATATTTGATCTTAGGAACTCACTTTCCTTACATTACCCCTTCTTGTATACCATACTACTGAACCGGACTATGATTTGAATATTATATTGAAACGCGCTTGTTGTGTAATTGATTCGATAACATCTTCCATTATCGATTAGGGTAATACCTAGACCTGATGGTCAAGATGAAGCTTTGATTCGGTACGTCCTTATAGGGATACTAGTCGAATGGAAGAAGCCCGTTTGTGTTTCTCTTGGCGGAGAGTCAAAGGGTATCTGGTCTACAGCGAAGCGGTTCCGTTCTACAGATAGACATGATATCAGATGTCTACAAGACAAGGAGAGAAGAGAAACATCGCTGGAAAGTGAGAGAGAGGCGCGGGCAGGAAGACAAAACTTACTGCAGGCGTCTAGAAATGTGCGGAAAGTATCTTCATTCCGCACTGTTGCGGAGATGACAAACTCGTGCAACGAGTAATTGTCGAAGAGATCTCTGATTGTGGAGACGAGCAGGGGGACGAGGTCGACGTCGTAGATCTCATCATCCAATTAGTCTCTCTCCAAATATAGTGAACAAGATGACATACAAGATCTGCTCCCAGCGCAATGTCAAAACCGGTCAAGCCACGCTCTGTTGCAGTTTCATCATCGTGAGAAAATCGAGGAACCTGCAGTGGTGAACCCCACTCCCAGATCCCCGTTCGAATCTTGGTCTTCTCAAGGCCATTCTTTGCAATACAGTCATCTATCTGCTCGAGAAGCGTCGGATCGCGATCCGTAACCAGCATACTCTCAGTAGCTAGGTGTTTCGCGCACAGAAGGGAGACGAATCCCGTTCCAGCACCTAGCTCTAACACGCGCTTGCCGACAACCAGAGATTGACCGAGATTTGTAGTCGAGAGGAATGTACCTAAATGCAGGGCAGCTTCCCAGGTACGGAAGCCAGTTGTCCCCGAGGCAAGGATTAGCGAGCGGTTTTCGGAAGTTATTATTGTTCTGGACTCTGTGCTTTCGGAGGCTGCGGCCGAGGATGGAGCGGTGTATCTGATGTATGTGAGGTTCTGAGCCTGTTCGAGGGCGGAGGACCTGGGTGTCGAGAGGAGAGAGGTCCATTTCTCCAGGAGGCTGTCGAGGATTTCCTATAAAGTTCATGATGTCTGAGCCTTTACTCCGTATTCAAACGTGCTTACTTCGGGTTGTTGCGGTCGGGAATGAAAAAAGCGTAGGCATACTCATACATCCTCCTCTGGATCGCAGATCGCTTCTTCAATCCGTGCAATAATGACCTTCAGAACGCGAGTCTGGTATGAAGCTGGAGGGAGAGGCCATGCCGTGTCTTCATTGAACATGTTCTCGTAGATCGCATTTTGTATGGCGGGGGTGACGAGAGTGGGGCCATTGGGGAGGGTGAGGTTCGGAGGGTCGACTTGTTCAAAGTACTGCGCTGCGAGGAGCGCTACCTGATCGTACATAGCGGGCGACCACTTGCCATGAGACGAACATCAAATGCACAAAGCTCCGAAGTTATTGTCGTGGTTGGTGTGACGGGTTGGGGAGGTATCTATAACTTGGGTCGGCGGAGACAGGTCTCGTGACTACGCTAGCTGCTAGCGGTTAGCGCACTCTAGCCGAGCCCACAGCCGACTTTGCACAAGAAACGAAATTGAACGAAGCGCAACTCGACGCCAGAATTGACGACAACGACAGCGACATCCAACCACCCCCTGACCTTGTCATTCTCGCTGCTGGTGGTTCAGTCTTGTCAAGCCTACAACAACCACAATCATGGCCGACGCTCCCGTTACCCTGCGGACTCGCAAGTTCATCCGCAACCCTCTTCTTGCTCGCAAGCAGATGGTCGTGTAAGGCTCCTTTTTCCTTCCTGCACTGCGCCCGCACCACACCCAAGACCGATGGAGGGGATGAGATGGGAACTGGAACAAGCATGCATTTTGAGGAATGAGGAAGAGATGGAATTTCGCTTTTTGGATATTTTCGACTTGGTTCGACCTTTTGGGTATTCATAACGGGATACTGATCCAAGACTTGTTTTTAGTGACGTCCTGCACCCCAACCGCGCCAACGTCTCCAAGGATGAGCTCCGTGAGAAGCTCGCCGACCTGTACAAGTCCAACAAGGACCAGGTCTCCGTCTTCGGTTTCCGCACACAGTACGGTGGTGGCAAGACCACTGGCTTCGCTATGATCTACGATTCCACCGAGGCCCTAAAGAAGTTCGAGCCCCACTACCGTCTTGTCCGTATCGGTGCTGGCGTGAAGGTCGAGAAGCCCAGCCGACAGCAGCGTACGTCCACCTATCCTACAGAAGAAACACCAGCAGCAACAGCAGCAGCAGAAGAATGTGAGGCTAACACCAAGTACAGGCAAGCAACGGAAGAACCGCTCCAAGAAGTTCCGCGGTACCGCCAAGGTCAAGGGCCCCAAGAAGAACAAGGACTAAGCGTGTGCGTGAGCTACTGTGGGATGATTGTGCTGGTGCTCGGGGGTTGGAGGGAGAATGTGGCGAGACAACTGGGCTACATATTCTGATTTGGACTCGGATTCGCAACTCGGACTCGGACGCAGCAAGGCTGAGATCAGTCCACGATGATAATAACGATAACCCCAACAACCCTGTGATTAGCAACAAAAAAGACCGAAGAAAGAGAACAAGAAAGAATGCGCGTCCAAGGTCTTGCTCTGTTGTATCATTATCATCAATGACTCCTATCTCCCAACGGCCCTTCTTCACCTTCAATCAATTATCCAAAAAAAATAAAATCTGGTCTGGTTGCACGGTGGTATGTTCACATAGTCTGCTTTTTCAATACACTTTCTGTTCATTTGCCGGGTCCAAGCGTAGTACTTCTAGGACAATCCACTCCAGAGCCACAGCCAAGGTCACATCCCCAGCGGAGGCAAACAAAAGGGAAAGCAAACCTACCACCCAAACACTAAATCAAAGTACCGCCCACACACCCGTACTTTTCCCATCCTCAAGCTGAAGCTCCCTGAGTCTTCCCCTTGACATCCGGCGTCCGCACCCTATTCTGCAAGAGCCAGCCCAGAGTACAGCGTCCAGCGTCCAGCGTCCAGCGTCCAGCGTCCAGCGTCCAGCGTCCAGCGTCCAGCCCACACTGCGACTCACGCTACTGCAAGTGCAAAACCGTCCCAATGGAAAGGATATCCCTGCTTGCGCACCTTCATGTTCCCGTTCCCGTGCCGACTTCCATCCACGGGCCAGGTCCGCACCCAGCTAGCAAAGTGCTTGCGCGCATAGTAACCCTACTGTAGATCCTCTGCATGCAACATGGAAGCCGCCTCCTGGGAATCTCTGCATGAGGATCCCCGACCAATAACACACCCCAGATAACGCTCGAGTCTTTCAAGGATTCCTGCGTGTGGACGGATTAGACTAATCTGGCGTTTTATGTAGTGCGGTAAAGCGGACGGAACGGGACGCAGCGAGCGATGCCATCACAGTTGTAGCGGACTACCCGGATCTGTGTTGCTTTTCCTTTACATCCGGAGCCGAAGCGTAACCTTTTTTTTTGGGTGGCGGCGTTGGTTTGGTCCCTTGGTTGGTCTGGTTTGTCATACTTGGTGAAGTGGACTGTTCAGAATCGGAAGCACTTGCATTGGGATGGACGGAAGATGGCTGCCCGAGCCTTGGGATGTCAAGCTGAGGCAGGTGCACGTCAGATTATCTCAATTGTATGGGTGTTTGGCTGGCTGGAGTCTAGGCTTTCTCATCCTTTCCTCCCTCGTTTTTGTTTTTGAATGTACTTTTCAAAGGACCAGTCAGTCATTTTCGGAGTCTATCTCCGGCCCATGGGCTTCAGAGCTAAAGCGCGCGACTCTTTTGTTCTACAGAGTACCCTGGCCAATGGTGGTAATAGACAATATGATGTTAGGGTATTAACTAAAGCTAGAAATGCAACTGGACAAGGCTGTGTCGGCTTGGGATTGGCAAGTGGTAAAAGAACGCAACGCCATTGCAAGGTGCAAGTGCAACAAATTAAGATCAGAACCCGGCCAACACGCCACCGTCATTAGTTATCTTAAGGTGACATGGACGCAAACAAGAAGTGCCAATGCAAACCACCCACAGTTGATCAGCTGAAGGTTAGGAAGCGGTCTGACAAAACACGAATAAAGGACTGGATTAGCAGTGCGTTTGATTCCTTTCCCAAACAGGACAAAGCAGGTTCTGGCCGTGTAATCGACCGAGTGTATCGTGGTGGAAAAGTCGAGGGTGAAGAGAGAAATGGACTGAGGAAAACGGAAGATTAGGAATAATGGAGAAGAAGAAAGAAAAGAAAAAAGAAACGTGATAGCCGGAGGTTGACAGGCCGCATGAATTGTGACCTGGCGTTTTGCTGTTTTCCACAACCCCCGAGGACTTACGCATCTTCGCGCTCGCGAATCACCTGTCGTCGCCATGCGTACTTCTTCAGCGTATCCGAATGTTCGCCACTGCGTCAATAGTCAATCTCGATGCGCAGCATAGCGCTATCACATTGACGGTCAGAAGCCACTGGAATGACCGAGAGCAGGAACCGGTGTCGAGAAGTGCCCAGGCGCAATCTTGTAATCTGAGAATTCATCGGAAGTGAGCGTTGGAATAGGCATCGGATGCTTCGGCCGCTCATACGGCAATCCGGTAATCAAGGTGCTCTCGGAGCTCGTGTCGCCTGCCAAGCGGGTTCTGTACGCTGGCCTGGTATGACTGTAATAATCTGCCTTGGAGTGGAAAGGGGACATGGCCCGCTTGTTGTGTCTTGGCGAGAAACCTCTTAGTCGACTGTCCATTGCTCCACGGTATTCGTCGCCTGGATCAGCGACGGATCCCGCTGCTTCCGAGCTTGCAAAAGCGCCAGAGGACTGTGTCGAGGGGGAGGATCCATTGCTTGACTCTCCTGGTAGGAGTCCGAAGGACGTGTCCTGCGCACAGGATGGAACCAACCTGACCCGCTTCCCCGTGGCAGTGCCAAGAGATATATTAGAAGTTGCTTTAGTTCTCCAACCTAACCTGTAGTCGCGGGTAGGGATATCCTCAGCAGTTGTGGTAGGTCCATTGTTGTTTCCGGGGAGAGTGTGTCGACTGGCAGGGTTGGGCAGTGTCCGCTCTGTTCCCTGGGTGGGAGAAGTCAGCGAAACTGGGGTAGTCGTCATACTGAGAGCTTCGTTTGCCTGCCCAGCCTGCCCAGGCATCACGTAAGAGTAAGCTGGATTGAGAGTGTTGTCCGACTCAGCTTCAGACAACATCGTGTCACCGGGTGCTCTCCCACCCTGAAGACTTGGCCCCCAGTTTCTGGAACCCCATCCCGATGCACAATAATCAGTCATGAGCACCTGGGGTGAGCTTGGTAGCATGTACGCGGATGACGGCGGGATATTGTACGGGGTCGCGGACTCGTCCTCGTAGTTCGTTGTGGAGTCAATGGCATAGGGTTGGCGGCCATAGGGATTTGGAGAGTCAGAAGCCACTTCATGGTCTGGTATTCGCAAAAATGGAGAACCTCGATAGCTGGGAGACTTTGCAGATAAGAGTTCCAACTTGCAAGCCACGGAAGGGGCGTATATTCCGGATCTCTGAGAGACTATATCATTCGGTGGATAGGGCCATCCAGACCCTGCAGAGTGTGCTTTCGGTGGCACTATGGAGAAAATTGAAGAGTTGACCTTTTCAATCATTATTATAAGAAGAAGAGAAGAGTGAATGGGGGAAGGGACAAGCTTGCCCTCAAGAACTGGCAGGGTGTGCTTCCCGCACTCCGACAATTGGAGCAACCGAGGCCGTCGCCAACATCGCCACTACACTTGATCTTCCTTTTGCGGCATCTCACGCACTAGCCACGTAGAAGACGTTCTCAGCTCTCTGTATACCCGTCTACTTTTGGGAGGGTTGACTTACTGCAACCTGGATTCGCCGCCTCGTTGGGCCTCGACCCTTTACCTCAAGCTCTGCCCCGGTATTCAGACAGCCCAGGTTTCGGTCGAGAAGCTCTTGTTGGCAGTCGCTTGGGATAGTATGGGGTATTGACACAGCGTCTCGCTTTGTTTGCGAATCAAAGCCGACCTCGTCGTCGGTATGGTAGAATGGTTGTCGGGCCATGACTTCCTCAATTAGTGGAGAAAACATGTTTTGCATTTGAGTTGGAACTCACATGGAAGTCAGGAAGGAACCCGGGAATACAAGTACTTCCGAGAGATATCTTGGGAGACTTAAAGAGGACTATGAGGTCAGGACCAGGCAGGGATCCATGTTGAACGGATTGGCCGAGCCGGGAGGGAGGTGGTTGG